GGACTCAATCATCGTTGGAGAATAGCCTCAGGCCGAATCCGTGATCTGTAGCCTTCAATATCCAAAGAAAATGGCCATTCGTCGCCCAAAAAATTACGAAAATTCCATCCGAAAATAAATTGGCCCAAATCGATGCTTAACGGGCTTATCATTCGTGGAGAATAGGATCGATATACTTCATTATCGGTGGAGAATAGCCTCGGCCTGATTCCGTGATCTGTAGCCTCCAGAATCAAAAGAAAATGGCATTTCGAATAATTCGCCCAAAATCTTTGATGGTACCCCTTTGGAATCTGCCAAAAATTGACCCGGAATAAATCCGCCAAAATCGGTGCTTAATGGACTCAATCATCGTTGGAGAATAGCCTCCGGCCGAATCTGTGATCTGTAGCTTTCAGTATCCAAAGAAAATGGCCTTTCGTCGCCCAAGAAATTACGAAAATGCCATCTGAATATAAATTGACCCAAATCGATGTTTAACGGGCTTATCATCCGCGGAGAATAGGATCAATAGACTTCATTATCAGTGGAGAATAGCCTCGGCCTGATTCCGTGATATGTAGCCTCCAAAATCGGGGGAAAAAATGGCATTTTGGATAAATCGCCCGAAATCTGTGATGGTACCCCTTTGGAATCTGCCAAAAATTGACCCGGAATAAATCCGCCCAAATCGGTGCTTAATGGACTCAATCATCATTGGAGAATAGCCTCAGGCCGAATCCGTGATCTGTAGCCTTCAATATCCAAAGAAAATGGCCTTTCGTCGCCCAAGAAATTACGAAAATGTCATCCGAAAATAAATTGTCCCAAATCGATGCTTAACGGGCTTATCATCCGTGGAGAATAGGATCAATAGACTTCATTATCGGTGGAGAATAGCCTCGGCCTGATTCATTGATCTGTAGCCTCAAGAATCGAAAGAAAATGGTATTTCGGATAAATCACTCGAAATTTGTGATGGTACCCCTTTGGAATCTGTCAAAATTTGACCCGGAATAAATACGCCCAAATCGGTGATTAATGGACTCCATCATCGTTGGAGAATAGCCTCAGGCTGAATCTGTGATCTGTAGCCTTCAATATCCAAAGAAAATGGTCTTTCGTCGCCCAAGAAATTAAGAAAATGCCATCCAAAAATAAATTGGCCCAAATCGATGTTTAATGGGCTTATCATCCGTGGAGAATAGGATCAATAGACTTCATTATCGGTGGAGAATAGCCTCGGCCTGATTACGTGATCTGTAGCCTCCAGAATCGAAAGAAAATGGCATTTTGAATAAATCGCACGAAATCTGTGATTGTACACCTTTGGAATCTGCCAAAAATTGACCCAGAATAAATCCGCCCAAATTGGTGCTTAATGGAATCAATCATGGTTGGAGAATAGCCTCAGGCCGAATCCGTGATCCGCAGCCTTCAATATCAAAAGAAAATGCCCTTTCGTAGCCCAAGAAATTACGAAAATGTCATCCGAAAATAAATTGGCCCAAATCGATGCTTAACGGGCTTATCATCCGTGGAGAATAGGATCAATAGACTTCATTATCGATGGAGAATAGCCTCGGCCTGATTCCGTGATTTGTAGCCTCCAGAATTGAAAGAAAATGACATTTCGGATAAATCGCCCGAAATCTGTGAAGTAACCCATTTGGAATCTGCCAAAAATTGACCCGGAATAAATCTGGCCAAATCTATGCTTAATGGACTCAATCATGGTTGGAGAATAGCCTCAGGCCGAATCTTTGATCTGTAGCCTTCAGTATCCAAAGAAAATTGCCTTTCGTCGCCCAAGAAATTACGAAAATGCCATCTGAAAATAAATTCGCCCAAATCGATGTTTAACGGGCTTATCATCCATGGAGAATAGGATCAATAGACTTCATTATCAGTGGAGAATAGCCTCGGCCTGATTCCGTGATATGTAGCCTCCAAAATCGAAAGAAAATGGCATTTCGGATAAATCGCCAGAAATCTGTGATGGTACCCCTTTGGAATCTGCCAAAAATTGACCCAGAATAAATCCGCCCAAATCGGTGCTTAATGGACTCAATCATCGTTGGAGAATAGTCTCAGGCCGAATCCGTGATCTGTAGCCTTCAATATCCAAACAAAATGGCCTTTCGTCGCCCAAGAAATTACCAAAATGCCATCCGAAAATAAATTGTCCCAAATCGATGCTTAACGGGCTTATCATCCGTGGAGAATAGGATCAATAGACTTCATTATCGGTGGAGAATAGCCTCGACCTGATTCCGTGATTTGTAGCCTCCAGAATCAAAAGAAAATGGCATTTCGAATAATTCGCTCGAAATCTGTGATGGTACCCCTTTGGAATCTGCCAAAAATTGACCCATAATAAATCTGCCCAAATCGGTGATTAATGGACTCAATCATCGTTGGAGAATAGCCTCAGGCCGAATCTGTGATCTTTAGCCTTCAATATCCAAAGAAAATGGCCTTTCGTCGCCCAAGAAATTACGAAAATGCCATCCGAAAATAAATTGGCCCAAATCGATGTTTAACGGGCTTATCATCCGTGGAGAATAGGATCAATGGACTTCATTATCAGTGGAGAATAGCCTCGTCCTGATTCCGTGATATGTAGCCTCCAAAATCGAAAGAAAATGGCATTTCGGATAAATCGCCCGAAATTTGTGATGGTACCCCTTTGGAATCTGCCAAAAATTGACCCCGAATAAATCCGCCAAAATCAGTGCTTAATGGACTCAATCATCGTTGGAGAATAGCCTTAGGCGGAATCCGTGATTTGTAGCCTTCAATATCCAAAGAAAATGGCCTTTTGTCGCCCAAGAAATTACGAAAATGTCATCCGAAAATAAATTGACCCAAATTGATGCTTAACGGGCTTATCATCCGTGGAGAATAGGATCAATAGACTTCATTTTCGGTCGAGAATAGCCTCGGCCTGATTCCGTGATCTGTAGCCTCCAGAATCGAAAGAAAATGGCATTTCGGATAAATCGCCCGAAATCTGTAATGTTACCTCTTTGAAATCTGCCAAAAATTGACCCGGAATAAATCCGCCCTTGTTGAATAATTGTTTGTGCATGACGATCGTGTTTGTGTGTGTGATTGGATTGGCCTAGTGTTGGTTATTTCCGACAGGTGCGACCCATCCTGTTTCGGGTGGATATTATCCTTCGAAAACAGTGTGTTATATTTCTTACGATGGTAACTGACCGCCGGGACCGGTTATTGTAACAACACCCATTGTGTTGTTATTGTAACAACACTAGTCCCCAACCAATAGGAAGCTAGGATTGTGATGACTTTTTATTAGATGAGTTGACCTAGTGTAAAATCAAAGCAGGGGTATAATTGCTATTATGAAAAATCTATTTAAATAAAAAATAAAAAAAATAAAAAAAAATAAAAGAATAAAAAAATATTTTTTTATTTTCTGCCAAAAAATTTGGTCGTCGGAATTCTGCCACCGGTCGCCGGAAAATGGTCGCCGGTCACCGGAATATGCTTTTTGTCGCCGGAATATGCTATTTTGTGGCCGGAATATGCTTACCGGAGTCGGAATATGCTTACCAGCGTCGGAATATGCTTACCGGCGTCGGAATCTAGTCACCGGGGCCGGAATATGCCTATCGGCGTCGGAATCTGCTCACTGACGGTCACCGGAGTTCGGTCAACGAACTTCGTTGACCGGTCAACGGTCTTCGTTGACCGGTCAACGGTCAACGACCACCGGATGTTATGGTCTGCATTGTGAGATTTATGGTTTGGTTTCTCATATTTTTTTATGCCTTTTATGGTTTGTTTTATCGTGTTTGTGGTTTGCATTGAGAAGTTTATGGTTTGCTTTATCGTGTTTGTGGTTTGCATTGAGAAGTTTCTGGTTTGCTTTCAAAAACTTTGTGGTTTGGATTGTGAGGTTTTTGGTTTGTTTTAATATATTTGTGGTTTGCGTTAGGACGTTTATGGTTTGTTTTTTGTGGTTTGATTTACTGTGTTTGTGGTTTGCATTAGGAGGTTTCTGGTGTGCTTCGCAAATATTGTGGTTTGCTTTGTGAGGTTTGTGGTTTGTTTTAGGAGATTTGTGGTATGCATTCGGAGGTTTCTGGTTTGCATTAAGAAGTTTCTGGTGTGCTTTCGAAACTTTTCTGGTTTGCTTTGCAAGGTTTCTGGTTTGTTTTAATATATTTGTGGTCTGCATTAGGACGTTTTTGGTTTGCTTTACCGTGTTTGTGGTTTGCATTAGGGGGTTTGTGGTGTGCTTTCGGAATATTTGTGGTGTGCATTATGGGGTTTCTGGTATGTTTTAGGGGATTTTTGGTTTGCATTATGAGGTTTCTGGTATGCATTTTGTGGTTGTTTTTATTGCGTTTATAATTTATATTAGGCGGTTTATGGTGCTGATAACTAACAAATAAATACAAAATTATTACAAGGCTACAACCCCATTTGACACCAAACTACATATGACCACAAGTACACTCTATAATTAGCAAAATTAAACAACGCATTATACCACAAATATCAACTTAAAACTTGAAAATAGCTTTCCAAGGACCAATGATTCTCTTCACTGTCCATTCAAATTGTCATTAGAAAAAGCAAATTCAATTGGAGTAAAGAAACGAGATGGAGAGGAAGAAAAGTAATTGAAGCATAGACTCCGTAATTTCGGCACGGAGACGCTCATTGTTTAGGGAAAGCTAGCCACATCCACAAACTTCGGGTCAATAATCATCAATAAAAATGAACTCGGATCAGCTGACTTCATCAGTAACGATTACCAGTTCTCAAGTACTCAGGAGGGGTGAATGCGAGATTAGTGCTGTAACTCTTACCATCTCTCCTGTTCTTCATCATCCCAAAGCAAGATAGCCTTGGATTCCCATCCTTATCAAATAAGACCCTATAGGCATTGAGATTCAATCGATACCAGTCACCATCTCTAGTTCTTTGATGTCGTCAATCTCCGCGGGATACACCAACTCCGCCGCATCTCGCTGATTTTCCCCCTGATGTTGATTGCAACCATACGATCTATTGCAGGACCGGCCGACGCTCGTCCCCAATCCGTTCCAATTGTGCCAGCCCCAACACTCAACTTCCCTGCTGATCTCTCCGTCACCGGAGTGGCAGAATCCGAGAAACAATCGGCCGCGGCTGTTGCTAAGAGCTCAGGTAGCCTTGGTGCGGCAGAAGAGAGGTCTGAGGAGAAGCAATCAGAAAAGGTAGGGGAGAGCCTGTACAGAATGTGTGTCAAAGTTCATTCCCGAGGCGAGCCAGAGCCTCGATCACCGGCGGCCACTGGTGACTGGACGCCTTCCCCGACGTCGAAATCGACGATGTGGACGGTCTCGGCGTCTGCCGGAATCGACTCGACCATGGCCGAATTGGCGGCGAAGTGAGCGAATCGGCCGTAAGGGAAGATCTGGTAGAAAGCCCTGAATTCGGGAAAGGGAAAATTGCGGCACGGAGATGAATTAAATAATTTTTTTATTTTTTTTATGTTAAATTACCCTATTACCCTTAATGAATCATGTTGTTACGGTAACAACAGAGGAGCTGTTGTTATACTATCTGGACCCCTGACCGCCACGCCAGCTCAGGTGCCCTCTCGGTGGGTACTACGTACTAGTATTATATTGGTTGGATTCCCATCCGATATAAAACAAAACAATCCAAAACTGTAAGTGGATCCCACTTTGGGCTCGCACGTCGACGTAGCTGTTAGCCCAAAATTGAAAGATAGATGTTATGGGCCCGATCGATGGCCCACATATTGCTTCTTTGTACTTTGCCGTCACGAACTGACAGACGACGTAGCTGATTACCTAACTAGAATCTTATTAATTTGGTAATTTTCAGCCTAGAATTTTTGTTTACGACTATGAGTTTATTAGATATTCACAAAAACCGAGATAGCAAAAGAGATAGCACTTCATGAAACTCATCTTCGAAATCTCCTATATTACAGGTCCTTTAAAAAAAAAATTAGCTAGTAGAAAACGCAAGACCCTTTCTACATTTCATAAATTTGTCTGCTATTCACGAAGACAAGCCGAGAATATAAGACCAACAGAAGATAAGCAGATAAGAGGAAGACAATCCGACTATGATGCTCTTAAGCGGCTTGAGGTATGGTATCGTCAGATTGAGTGACCGGATCCACAAGCATTGGATCGAAGCGGTGACAATTCCTTACATAAATAGCCACCTATTCGATCCAACAATCACGAATCGTCCGCGCTCAATCCAACGGTACCAGACGCCCTGTGAGTACAATAGCAAAATTGGAAATAAGAAACAAAGGCTCCTTATGATCTTCGGTTATCACCCAAACTAGATGCAGGTTTATGATTCTGATTTCTGAGCTTATCTCAAATGGACATGCTAATGAAGCAACAAAAATTAACAAGCAAAAACTGAATACTAACTACTTATATTCCTAGGAAAAGTAAACAAATGGAGAGAAAAAGAGGAGCAATTTTCCAAAAAACAAGTTACAGAATGTTACAGAGGGAACAACTGTTTAGCTGACTGATTGCCTTCTCTAACAAATGGGCTTCCAAAATTTGTGCTGCATTTGGCCTCTCAAGCTCGCCGAACTACAGCCGTCGCATAACAAGGGTGGTGTACGAACTCGAACGAAACCTTCAGGGAATTGGGTTCAACAGCTCCGAGCTGGCAGATGACGTTCATAGCCACGCTGTTGTGCTCCGCCACCTGTTCTAACCTCCTGAGCTCGGCTAGCCGGTCATGGTCGTTCGAGAAGCTGCTCCTGAGCTCTTTGGCCATCTTCTGTGCTTGTTGGAAGCAGTTGGGCGTTGCTATGTTCTATGAATCACAGAGAGAAGCGGGGTCACCATGAGGAAAATGGGATACACTAGTGGTGATTCAGAGGTGACGTTTTGTAAATGTTGACTCACCGAGAACCTGGCGTACGAAGTGGATTCCTTGAACGAGTGGTAGGTTATTTGCTCTGGAATACAAGCTTTCTGGAGAAGCTCGAAATGCTGGAGGAAGATCTGAAAAGAGACAAGTGTCGAGAAGTAAAAAGTGAGTACCAGATTTTGAAAGTGACTGGCTTTGTTGAGAATTTCAGTAGTAAAGCTGGCCACTCTTGGTGGTGATTGGTAACGTGGAAGTCACTGGATTGATCCTTGAGATGCAAGAAATATGCAAGTGAAATCAGTAAGCATCATCACATGATTGATTGTTAATGAAAAGATGGAGACTTTCACCTCTTGTTCGGAGTTGAATGGGGTTAGACTGTGTAAGGCCGCCATTTCGTTTCTTAAAGCAGCATGCAGCTGTCGACATTAGACGACAATAGTTAGCTAGTGTACGGCAAAACCAGACAAACATAGGACGAAATCCAAAGTATGATTACGAGTGTGAGCCCTTCGACGAGGTGGATTTGACACTGAAGAAAACGCACTGCTGGTGGAATCCGAGTCTCTCTTCCTACATCTTTCGATGAATCCTTTCGTTTCTTTCCCTTCCGTTTAGCTGCTACAGAATATAAAATGAAATGCATTAGTAATCTTTTTGCCAGCTCTCTCAGCAAGAAAAAAACAGATTCATTTAGCTTGTTCTCTAAGTAATTCTATCGCCAAGCTCATTCTTCTTTCAGTTTTATTACAACATGTTCTATAGAGTTCCATCTAAGCAAACAACTAAGACATACGGACATAGGTCATACCAGTGATCTCAGTGATCTCCATTCTAGAATCTGTTTTCTCAGCTAGCTTGACCAAGACAGCATAAAGGTACCAGTATACCATGAAGAATTCGCTAGGCGAGTAGAGCTCCAACTCGAAGCCCAACATGAGAAACCGAAACGCTATCCAGTATGCCTGCTCCTCCAACCATATCAGGATTTGTTTGACAACTCTTGCCACACCATTCTGTAGAATTGAAACTCATCGCCTCCTATGAGATATCACAACCAAATGTGAAATAAAAGGTCAGAATTAGAGGAGATAAAATTACCTCGTCTTTTGAAGCTGCCAATACTTCTCCAAACTTGTTTGTGAAAGCAAGCTCTAGCTGTTGGAACAAATTCAACAACGGAGGTGCCTTGTGTTATTTAATATCAATGTAAAGCATGATGGAAGTCAAATCCCATCATCACAAATCATGGTACTAATATTAGGAGACCTTGGCATGCAAATTCTGCCCTCTACGTAGGCCTCCTGCTATTGTACTTAGGCAGTCACTAACCAGATTTACATACCTGTACATAGATAACACGCCAATCTTGCAAACTTTTTCCTAGTTTACGCCTTTGCCATGCAGTATTTGTACAAACAATTTTGAGCATGTTGATGACTAACTGCAAGATGCATGGAAAGTGAATGAGCTCATGGAAAGCTCGTTCCCAGAACAAGTATATAGCAAAAGGATGCAGAAATTAACAGTCGTCGTTATTTCAGCACTAAACATTTGTGCTTGCAAACTCAGTAATTCAGTTCACATCAACGGCCACCAGATAAGTTCAACTACAGCAGAACATTTAAGAAGGTAGTAAGTTCCAGAGAAATAGAGTAATTGGAAATCATCCTCACCTGCCCTAGTTGCATAACAGATTCATATCTCTGAATATCATGGTTCTTTGTGGTTTCAGGCAACCCTGCAGCTCTAGTAATTACAGCAAACATAGGATCCCGTCCATAAAGCCTTCCCTCTTGAACCAGCAAAAGCTGTAAAGAAACCGAAAGTCAACCACTGACAGCGATGATATTGATAAGAACTGAAAATTAATTAGAAAATGCATTATGCTTAGGAAAAAGGGATGTCCATCTAAGCAGCTTAAGTGAGTATTGATCATATAATAACAGACTCAGGGGGAAAAACAGTTTCAGTGGAGGGCAAAGAATAAGGAACCTGAAGATGTGATCTTGCAACTAGATCAGGTCGAGAACTCTGAAACTGGGTCACGAACCGTAGCAGAACTTCCAAGGATGGGTCCAATGAATAGGAACAAATAAAATCTAGATCACGAAGAAGTTTTTCAAAATACTCAATGGCCTGGCAGAATGGGGGAAAACAGCATTTCATTAAAATGAGTAATTGAACAAGTTAGGCATATTTAATTTCTGCAGTCATCACCTTATTCCAACTAAGCATTTTTATTGAGCGAGGTGGAGCAGGAGCAGAGACTCTACTATTCAAACTAGCATCAAAACCAATAGGTTGCCGTCCAGATGCAGTTGTTCTATCTTCGATACCAATTGAACAACCGCCAGAAGCAGTTGATATTAGAAAGTCTGCTGATTTACGAATGCACTCCAGCTCTGATATGGATGAAGCTATATGTTTCCTGGCCAGCTCCAAGCCTTTTCCTTGAGGCCGCCTCATACAAGCAAGTACATGAAAAAAATGCTGGAAGCAGAAGGCGAAGGGTATCAAAAAGAGCAAAAGGGAACCATATTGAAGTAGAAAGTAACCTAAGTGACTGTGTAATAGAAAAAGCATATATGCTAATGCACTGCATATAATTTGCCCACTTTGTACAGGATAAACAGAGGATAAGACCTTACGAAAGCGTAAGCGGCATAACAATGCTTTACAGTAGCCCTCCTCCATGTCAATATCAGATTGCAAAGGTTCCATATCTGCTTTTTTCCAGAAACATTAGTATGTCATATAATTGTTTGATTAAGCCACTTGCTGAGCTAAAGAAATGCAAGTTCTCATTACAAGGAAAACTCAATTGTACCTTGTTTTCTTCTAGATGATTGAGCCTTGCAAGCACGCAACTGACGACACAGGTTCTCTTCAACAGCATTTAGCAAAGACAAGCTCTTTTCATCTCCATCCCCGTCCAAAGGAAGTCCATAAGCCATGGTAAAAAGATCCTCTTCCTGCCAGAGAAATGAATTAACTCAGTATATTAATATAACATATAACTGTTTAACAAGTTTTAAGAATATCTTGACATATATGAATTAAGGAAATATTGAAGGAGTAATAGAAGCTAAAGGGTTGTTGGAATACTTTACTTCATGTGTACGGGCATCTGAGACAACTGAAACAATAGCCTTGCAGGTAGCCCGAATGATTTTGCAATATGAATGCAATATTGGGGATGGAACTGTTCTCTCGGGCCTCAACAAGTAGATACAAGAGAACACAGTTTGAGCAAGTGAATGACCCTTGTGCCACGTTGCCTGCCACAGAAAGACAGCAGTTCAGGACTACAAACTTCTTTCAACGTGTAATCCTCAAATGGTGATATACCAATCCTACCTCACAAGCTAAGAGATGGTCCATGATATCTAATGTGCATTGAACATCTGTGGTTCTATCAAAGCTTATTGGAACTGGACCAACACCGTCTTCGATTGCCTCATCAACTGAATAGTACTTGCATATCATGCCAGAATCCATCTTTGGGTCCATTATCTAGAAAATTGAATAACTGTGCTCGTCAGTTGCCAAGCCAAATTATGAACGTGGAGGATAAAGAGAGAGGAAAGGAAAGCCAAAAAGTTTGTGTTATTATGCAAGCCAAACACCTCACCACATCTCACATTTTACAAGAGAGCAACGAAGTTGCAAAAAAGCCACAAAAGAAAAACCAAGCAAACTACAGTTTGATATAATTCTGCTATAGAGCTAGCTTTAGAAATAAGATTAGGTGATCAACGAACTAGGTGCAGAAAGCAAGTGAGCACCCTCCTAGGCAAAGTCTTAAACCAATCATAAGTTCAAACGTAATTTCATGTGAAGGCAAGCTAAGAAGCAACAGAAACGCTCCAGCACTTGTGTTCTTTGATGGCTCTTAAAAGCCTAGATAGTGCATGCAGTCAATGACCATTTGGACCGACTTCAAAATTATGACTAGCAACGAAATGGTTGAGGATTTATCTATTAATGTGAAAACATGCTGCTCTTATGGGAAGCAACGAAATGGTTGAGGATTTTGAAACTACTCCGTTACCTCTAAAGCAGACATGGCAGCGAAAAGATTGAAATTCTCTCCGTGAATGAGCTCACCATCCAGAAGATCTGTCATTTAGTATGAGGAACAGATAGTTAAATCTCAATGCACAAAATGATCCATTCTTGCAGCCCATCCTAGTTATGTTAAATGGTTGACCAACAAAGCACTGAACTTCCAATTAGATAGAACTCGTAAAATCCAATCCCCCAATGCATCAAATGCACCAAGTTTTTCCTCTGAAACACTGGATTGAAATCCCCCAATTGCCTAGCTTTCCCACCAATGGATAACTCTCAAGTTCCGACACAAAAGACGCAAACTTTCGTCCGTAAATCCACAACCCAAGTCCCACTCCCAAGCGATTCCCCATAATGATCACTTTATCATTTGAAGTCGAGACCCTTTCCAGTTTCCACCAAACCTTTAATAGACAGACCAAGAATAGACTAGGGAAACTAATAGTAAAGGCTGCAATTCTAACATCGCAAAGTTCGACAGCTGAATTAGGAATTTCAATCGATTGACCTGTGCAAGCGGCCTGGAGGAGCGGGGTGGCGTCGACCCAGACGGTGTTAGGGCTGGCGGGAATGGTAGAGGATAGCGGTAGAGAAGACCGGCGGCTCATCGACGGCTCTGCTTGCTCCGCCAGAGTACTGTTCCAGTCCATTAATCACTCTTCGCCGCGAGGGAGACAGCGCTAGTGACCTGATGTTCCCTTTGGTTTGCGAGAACAGGAGAAAACAGAGCCAAAGCTTTCGCAAAACTGTGAGCTGAAAGCCGGAAAAGTGAAAACTGTAGCGTACAGCGGTTTATTAGGGCATCTACTTTCCGGGTCGGGTAGATCTTAACTAATTGAACTGAATGAGTTTGTTCCCGGTTGGCGAGTTCTAGTTTTCAACAAGCAAGATTTGTGTCAGTGGTTTGGTTTCGGTGAAAGTTAAATTGATGTATTGTTATTAAGATTATGCATAATAATATACATGTATATAAAAAAATTGATGTATTGTAGTCATATCGTTTTGATTTCTCTAATAGTTATCATAGTATTTAAATAAGATATACTACTTTTTGGATGAAATGCCAATTTGACCCTTTGTTTTTAATATAAAAAAGAGCAAAACACATCTAAAGGTAGGGACATAGTTGGAAGAAGAAAAAACTCCAACAATCTCAAACAAACAATCTCGACAATCTCACAAAAAACTTAAGATTTAACTATCCCTCATTTTGAGTAATAGTTTGTGTCGCATCAAGTAAACAATGCATGGATTGTTTGTGCAGAAAATTAAAAAAATAACGATGCATTGTGAACAATGCATGTATTGTAACTATCCCCACCAAACTATTACCAAAACCAAACGACCAGAGTTTCGGATTCGGACTTCGACATGTTGATTTAGTGACGAAGTTAGGTTAAAACGAGGAGGGAGTATAAATAGAGTTGTCGATACAATTACATGTAAAAGTTTAGCAAAGGGTAGTTTAAATATATACAAACTTACTATCCTCCAACACTTTGCATGTCATATAATAGAATTTTGTATGTAGAATTTTACGAAATAGAATAATAGAGTAATGGTAAGGCCTCGACCCCCTCTTAATTTTGAAATATAAGTAAAAATTACATATAAAATTCGTAACAAACTTAAGAAATAGAGTTAATTTGTATGGATTTATATCTTATAACGTACCCGTGCGATCCACCGGCAAAGAAGGCATGTGTGAGAAAATGCTCCCTATTTGTGATGACATGAGACCAAATGTGTTGGGTTAGTCGTATGGTTAAGTTGCATGAGTTGGGGGATTAGTGGGTCTAGCATGTTAGTAGTTAGTATGAGCTATGTGTTTTGGGTTATAAGTGTGGGCTTAGTAATTATTGGCCGATTAGGAGTGTTGTTCTAGGTGCGGCCGAGTTGGCTAGAGTAGTAGTAGGGTTTGGGGTTAGCTAGGGTTTACGTATTAGATTTATTTCTTATAAAAAATTATGTAAGTTCGGCAGTAGTTTCGTAATCTAATTAATAAATAAAAGGTTTATTTCTCTCGCTTTTTAGTTACAAGCAAAACCCTTGAAACCGCATGGTCTGTGGGATAACAGTTCGTCAATTTGCCCGAGTCGCCGTCGCTGATCGCGCGGGATATCAGCACTACTTCCGACTTTGCCCACATTAGGTATACGATCAATCCAACAGTCACGAATACTAGTGCAAGAAAGTTTTCAAAAAGGAAAAAACTACTGGTTTCATTCATGTGTATTTCCTATTATCTACTTCTTGACTTGTTTCTGTTGTTGTACAACCAATACAGAAGTCTTGGTCTCAAGATCCGGAGAAGCCAACAAATCCCCAACCACTCCCAACTCAGGGAACTCACTCCACTCGGTCAACCCCATGGTCTGCTTCGAGTCCATCCCGTGCCTCCTTCCAACCACGAACAGATCATGCTCGTTCGCGATCTCTCGAACCAACAGCGCCGTCTGCGGCCCATCCTCGACCGCATGTTCCTCGTACCTCACATTGGCCAGCCCCGAAATCCCCTTCATTGCCTCCTTCAGCACCACCTCGTCGTACAGCCTCTCGCTCGCCATCCGCGCGTTCCTCCTCCGGCTCACGCTGATATCGTCGTCGTCGTCGTCGTCGCTCGGGACCAAGTGCAAGATGGTGAGCCTCAGGCTCGGCTCCCTCGCCGCTCGCATCGCGAAGCACAGGGCCTCGTGGTCGTCCCCGCCTCCCATGTAGATCACACACACCGAGTAGAAATGATCGTCAGGTTGATCATCATCTGATGTAGTTTGTCTGGAAACGAAGCTCCCTCGGTCGAAGAAGATTCCGACGGAGCAGGGAGCTCGTTCCAGGACCTTGGAGTTGACGATTCTGAACGAGTTGTCCGCGCACTCGACCCGCCCGTCGGCACCCCACTTGACGTGGAAAGGGAGGAGGAGGAGGGAGACCTCCTTGTCGAGGGCGAGGGTGCAGATGTCGTCCGACATGAACCTGTGGTGCGAGATCGATGTGAAGGTGCCGACCGTCGTCGTGGTGGCCGCCGCGTGGGGCGTGCCGATGTGCTGCTGCTGGCTCCGCCGCTCGTACTGGTTGAACGCGAGGATGACGTCGATGGAGCAGGAGTCCGAGACGGGCTTCTGCTTCTGGTGTGACACGAACACGGGCGTGGCACGACCCACGAGCTCGACGAGGTGGAGGGCGTAGACCCCGAGCGGGCTGTCCTGGGTAGGGCAGGTCAGATCGAGGAGGTTGATCGCGGAGATGATGTGGTCGGGCTTGTATATGCACGGGAGGACCCTCAGCTCCGTCTTGGGCTTCAGGCTGAAGAGGTTCCTCGACTGGTATCCCGCGTATTTCCTCGACGGATCGTAGAGGTGCTTTATTAGGATCGGGATTATGACGCTGTTGATGAAAATGGCTACCACGTATAGCGAGAACAACCCTTCGTTTATCGACTGCAATCAAGAGTCGAGGTATTAAGAGTCAGTATGCACTTGACACCAATAACTCGAGTTGTTGGAACTTGGAAGATTCAATAATAGATCTTATACTATTTACTAACACCCTCCTTCAAACTCAAGTCATTCAGATAGGTTTAGAGTTTGGAGAGGCACAAGTCCAGACATCGAGTGCTTAACAGAAACAGATTGGGGTCAACGGAAATCAAACAGAAAACCTCACGATCACAGAATGCTCTAATACCAAGTCAAGAACCAGTTAATCTCAATAACACGAGTTGTTGAGAGAGGTTGAATCGTGCATCATATACTATTTACTAACAATTGGGATCAGGACCAACTGCATGGTTACTGTCATAAGAAAAGTACAAACGTACCGTGGTATCTCTATGAAAAGTGTAGACACTAAGCTCGTAGACGCCTTTGGAGCACATGATGAGGGAAAGAACAACAGAATCCGTACGAGGCATCCACGGCAGCGACAGGAACAGACAGACGAGGAACTTGGTGACCGTCGCCATCACCAGCGAGCTTCCGTAATACCCCTTGTTATCGAACTGCCAGAAGAAGGACGACAGATCTCCTCTCATGACGGCGGTGACGACGAACAACGGGAAGAAAACGGAGGTGGTGACGGTCTCCATGGACTGGACCACGGCGGAGCCCAGAGGAGGCCCGGGAGGGACCGCCAGGCCCAGGACAAAAGGCCCCATCGCGGGGGACTGGTTCATGGCGTCGAAGAAGATCTGGTACACCATGGCGACGGCGAACAGGAGCGGGACGCAGGCCGGGTGGACCTTCTGGCCCTCGGGGGTCTGGCCGATGACCCAGACCATGATGGGCCTGAGCACGAAGGCCGCAAAGAGGGCCGAGCCCAAGGTCATGCCCGCGTTGAGGATGCCCCGGATCTGGGTGATGATGGTGGCCCCGAGCTCGAGGGAGGCCGCGACGATGCCCGAGATCAGGGATGTGGACAGGGCCAGGCGGCCCAGCTCGGTGTTGGTGAGCTTGAGCTCGGTCATGAGGTGGGAAACGACCGGGAACGTGGTCATCGATTGGATCGCGGTCGAACCGATTATTTGCATCCGTTCGAGCAGACCGGGAGCCGCCTCGAGCCGGGTGAACTGGAACCCTAGGCCGATCATGTAAGGGAGGAGCACCGTGGCGATTCCCAAGATCATGACTTTGCGGCCAGACCGGAGCAGCATCCCGAAGTCCATCTTGACGCCGGTGAGGAACATGAACATCGAGTAGCCCATGTTTGCGGTGACGACGAGGGCGTCCTGGCTCTTCTGTGGGAAGATGTGGTCTCTGTAGTAGTCGTATCTGGCCAGGATAGTTGGCCCTAAGATCGCCCCTGCCTGTAGGTGACAGAAAGAAAGAAAAATACTCTGTTCAGCCACAATTTACATTAGTTCACCTAATGTTACAATTCATGAAATCCTAATCTCATGAAAACTAGTCAATTCGAATTATCTGTTTCCACTTCAAACAATTGAATTTGACTAAAAAACCGATCAAATTCAAAGTATATCAGACAAATTGATTTATCCAATTTTTTTGCTGACAAACTAGTAATATGGTATAATTGTCTCGACGAAACACTATGTTGAATGAAATGCGAATCGTACCAGGCACTGGGAGGTGAAGGAGATGATGCCGAGGCGGTGGAGGAAGAAATGGAGCAGGTTACTGAGGATGACGATCATGAGAATCTGGATGTTGAGGAGCTGCACGGTGCCGGTGAAGAAATCGTCGAGCGGGGGGACGCCGAGCCGCTCGGCGGGGGAGAAAACGCCGCCGGACCGGAGCCTTGCCGGGAAGGTGTAGCAGACCTGCTCGTCCGTAAACGAGATGTTCGATCGAACATTCGACATCTCGTCGCCGGCTGAGATCGATCGCCGTTGGGAAAAGGATGGATTCCCTGCTGCTGCTTGAGACTTGTTTTGGATATGGAAATAATTGAATGAAACCCAGAGTAACAGGAGATAAAAGAACAGTTTTTCGTTCTTTTACCTCCTGTCACCGCGAGGAGGAGGAAGGAGAAGGAGATCGGGTTGAGGTGCGGAGAATGGAGGAATGGAGGCATCATGATGGTGGTGGTTTTATACCGGAGGGAGGATCGAGGCATGGCGGACATTTTTTATTTTTTTTTGCTGTTGCGAAATGGCCGGAATGGGTAAATTTTCTCGCCCGCAAGCTGTTTGTTGAAATGCCAAGCTGAGTTTAATTTCTGATTGGTGGCCGTTCAGGGCGGCGTGCGATTTTTACCAATTTCAAGACAATGTAACTAGAAGTACGGGTTTGCATTTCCTTGTATTGCTACGTGAATGTGGAGGTTTAACAGCAAACGAGATATAATTAGTAAGGGTTGGTAAAGCTATATAATATCGAAATTGATAGTTTATCCGTGCGTAGTATTTATCGTAAAAGGAGTTATATAGTGTTGTATTATGAGAGTTTATACATAAAAAAAAACTCAAATCTGATTTATAACCTACATAATCTTACCATTTGTATCATATTGTAATTGTACCATCATCCTACAATATCATAAAAGGGGTTGTGTAGTGATGCATAAACAAGAATTATGTATCTTACCTCGAATCGTTGTTATCCTGACCTCCTCATCTTTTTTCAATAACAAAGAAATTAAGTTCCGTCATTCGTTTATGCAACAACTAGTTTTCCTATCGTCTTAATGAAAGTATGAAAGTTGAACATTTAGATAAACAATTAAATCCTCCTTGGTTTTTAAGTGTATAACGTATCTAACCAAATTAAAGTAACCCGAAATTGATTTCATGGTCTACAAACTACATGTGGATTGAAGAAGTGAACTTTTAAGCTTTCATTAAGACATATGCATGTCGGATTTAAAAAAAAATTGTACATAGAAATATCAGTTTTTTACTTTACAATATGACATCCATTTGATATTTTTGGAACGAAAAATTTTAGGTAATCATACTCATACCACTATCATACCACGAGATTTACAGTGATAGTGATATGATATGATAGTAGTACAAATGTACAATGTTGATATGATATTGATATAATGTTGGTATAAGTTTTGTGTTTGTCAAAATAATTTGATGACATCATATCCTTGTCTTATCATGATATTATCATTATACCTTACTGATAATATTATAATATAACACTGATACGATTTTGGTATGACAGTGATATGTTATGATATGATGTTGGCATGATGTTTTTTGTTTGACAAAACATAACAAAATGGATATTATTGTGTAGATCTTAACTAATGCATTCTTTCTAAATAAAATTTTCTAAATTTTGAGTTGAAAAGACGAAGATGAGTCATCATATCACTCTCATATCATTATGATATGATAAATATGACATTGCTAATATTACAAACGGCACATGTTTTGAAGAGCTATTTTTTTATTTGCTCAAAATATGGCAAAACGGATGTCATTGTATAGGTCACAATTAATGCATTCTTTTATGATTTTTTAAAATTCCGAGTTAAAATGAATGTTATAGGATCTTATTAAAAAAAATAGGAAATAAGGAAAAATATCTCCTCTAGATCGGTGTTAGAGTGTCAACAAAAAAAGCTATAGACGAAATTACCAGTCTGGTCTTCTTGTTTTTTTTGTTGAAAATTGTTCTAGACTATTAGATTGTCTTGACATGGATGGTGAATGATGGAGTTTTGTAGTGATTTCTTAGGAAAGGATTTTATATACTATCCTCTCTAAAAATAGATCATATGGTTTCATGAGATAATAAGAGCTGCAATTTATTCTTTATTGAGTTTTTTCTCATATATTTTTGTCATACAAGATATTGCATATCATCACTAATAATGAAGATAATAAATTTGTGGGGAACATAACCAAAAGATATACGATTATTTTGGAAAGCTAATATAATATAAGATTGTCAAACTTGTTTAAACATGATGTAATATGTTATAATCGGAGTACAACATATTTATATCAATATCAGTTTTAGCAAATATGTGAGGAAAGTGTGATATATTTAAATTAAAATACAAACATTTATAAATAGAGTTTATAAATGACAAGTCCTCATATTTGAATACAAAATATAATGTAAAGATTCAAACGTTTATATTCGAAGACGATTCAATTTAGATCATTTTCCCTTTTCTTCATTAGACGGTCTGAAAAACGACTACTTTTTCTTGAGGAGTCAGGAGTGATTATTTAGATCAAACTGGTCGATTTTAATGGTCGCTTCATATCGAGATCTTCCAGTCAGGTTGGTAGACAATCATACTGGTAGAACTAGCCAACATGAAATCGATTGGACAACAATGGTCTTACTCTCACCAACTAGTTAGCCCTTCGCAGTTTGCAGGGTCAATGACATGGATGGCGTCGTAACGAAAGTCAATTCACGAGATTGAAGCAAATGAAGCAAGTAATATTTCTAATCGGGCTACAATAGATTTATATCGTTTTAACAAAATATATGAGGAAAGGGTGAAACATATTTAAATTAAAATACATATTATATAAATAGAATGACAAGTCCTCAAGCAATTCAGACTATTTTCGATTGTTTTTTGACTTTTTTCATCAAACCGTCTGAAAAACGACTACATTTTCTTGAGGTGCCAGGCACTATTATTTAGATTTTAGATCAAACTGGTCGATTTTAACGACTGCTTCGCATCGAGACCTTCCAGTAAGTTTGGTACACAATCATACCGGTTGAACCGGCCAACATGAAATCGATTTTATAACCATGGTCTTACTCTCACCAACTAGTTAGCCCTCCGCAGTTTGCAGGGTCGATGTAATTGAAAGCCAACTCACGGGTTTGAAAGTTTGCACAAACTTACCATATTTTTTACTTAAATTAACTGTTAATATTAGGGGACCGCTTGCCCGAACCGACTCTGATATCATATCATAAATTAGTTGATCTCAATAACTCGAATTATTGTGAGAATCTTAATTATGCATTCTATGCAACTCCTTTACAACTAGAAGCTCGACATGGCCAGATGATGACGTAACTGCTGATGCATTCCATCAGGTTCATGTTCCCACTGCAAACAAAGAAGAAGAAAAAAAGTTCAATTGCTGCTTGAGTTCCTTGCCGAATGTTTCTGTATTTCCAAGAAGCCATTGATTCCTTTTGGAGTTCCATCGTAGCTATATAAACACCAACCATTTCCCACTTCCAAAAAGCAGAGTACCAAAACGCAGAGTACTAATTAGCAGAGCAAGCATGGAGATCAATGCTTCCATATACTTGTCCATCGTCCTCGTCTTCCTCGCCATAGCTTTCAAATTATCACACCGCGCCAGAAACAACAACCTCCCGCCGCCGCCGCCCAACCGCCGTGCCCTCCCGGTGCTCGGCCACTTACACCTCCTAACCAAACCCCTCCACCGTTCACTCCACAAACTCTCCCACAACGGCGGCGGCGCATCAACGCCGATCATGCGGCTCAAGTTCGGCTCCCGCCCCGTGGTGGTGGTGTCGTCCGCCGCCGCCGCCGAAGAATGCTTCACCAGCCACGACGTCGTTCTGGCCAACCGCCCGAACCTCATGATGGGGAAGCACATCGGCTACAACCACACCACCATGATCCAAGCGCCCTACGGGGACCACTGGCGCAACCTCCGCCGCATCGGCGCCGTCGAGATCTTCTCCGCCGGCCGGCTCAACAACTTCGCCGCCATCCGGAGGGACGAAGTCCGGAGCCTCGTGCTGCGGCTCGCCGCCGATCACAATGGTCACAAGAATGTGGAGCTGAGGACGATGTTTCAGGACCTGACGTTCAACAACATGATGAGGATGATCGCCGGGAAGAAGTACTACGGCGATGCGACGGCCGCCGGAGAAGACCGGGAAGAGGCGGAGCGGTTCAAGGAGATGATGGTGGAGGTTATGGGCTACGCCGGGGCTTCTAGCAATGCCGATTTCTTGCCCGTCTTGAATTGGCTTGACGGCGGTCGGTTTGAGAGGAAGCTGGCCGGACTTTCCCGGAGACTGGATGCGTTTATGCAGAGGTTGATCGATGATCGTCGAGACTCCAGTAGCAATGACAACACAACCATGATTGATCATCTCCTGTCGTTGCAACAGTCCCAGCCGGAGTACTACTCCGACCAAATCATCAAAGGCATCATCCAGGTAACTAACGAATGGGTATTGGGCAAACGGTTCTGTAAACCCGTACCGAACCGAAACGGAATTAAACCGAATCGAACTTGAAATAATGCTATTCGGTTCGGAATTTGGAAGAAAAATATGGATATTTCGAAAATCAGGGTTCTTTCAACCGAACTGAAATCCCGACCGAAAAACCGAAATACTATAATTGCAACCTCCAAATGGTGGATTTTTATGTTTGTAGTTGTTTTTAAACTTAAATATTTGATATGTGTTATGACTTATGTGTTGAAAAGTTTGATTTTATCATTGATGATGCATATAATTGCATATTAATTGTTTATATTAGGGGTGAAAATAATTTAAAAGTGAGAAGATACAAGTAGCCTCACAAATTCGGTTTTGTGTGAAAAATCGAACCGAACTGAATTATAATTCGGTTTAAACCGACTGAACCAAATTATAATTCAGTTCAAATTTGGTTTGAGGTTTGGGAGTATTCGGGGACCCGGTATTCATAATTTCGGTTCGGTCGACCGAATGCCCGCCCCTAGTATTCAGCCGTAATTAGTGATGGCAATTTGAACAGCCCCACCAGTATTATCTAACCTGATTCGCGATGGGGTGGGTATTACCTGATCCACAGTAGCGTGGGGCGGGACATGGGTATCTATTTCCGACCCGTCCCGTTATTGGCCCATTCTATATCAATTTCTTACCGTATCTATTCATATTTTGACTATTTTGACTATTCTTCTCTTTCAACTATTTAGACTTAATGACCCATTCTATTATTACTATTTTCATTCACAAAGTGTTTTCCCCTTCGTTTTATCGTAAAAGGTAAAATTTTGCATGTATTTTTTTTAAATAACATGTAAGAGTGGGTCTACCAATTGGTTCCAATAATTCGAGTTGTTAGGAGAAGGTTATTATGGATATCATACCATACTCTTACACACGCTCTCAAACGAAAGCCACCTCACGGGCTTGAAGTTTGCACAGGCCCATGCCATACTTTGTGCTTTAATCAACCGTTACTATTGAAAGTCGTGAAGATTCAAACAAACAACCACTTGGCCAAACCAGTTCTCCTACTGTTAGAATATGACTTGAATTTTAATTGGGTTTTTGTTTTGTGCTTGGGCCTACTGTGTTTGGACTTTGTTTTGGCCTTTTCCCTGTAGGTTTGGAAAATGTGTTTGGTTTTCTGTTTGGGATTAGGAGAAAGTTCTATAAATACTCTTCACCACCCTAATCTGTAGTAAGGTCAATCGGGTTAGTCTGTTTGGTTTGTCCGTTCGGAATTTGGTTTTTAACTTGTACTCTCCTCAAATTAGTGAAATTTGTTCTCCTCTGCCCGTGGATTAGCTAGCACACATTTTGTTAGTGAACCACGTTAAATTTGTGTTCGTTCGTGTTAGTTTGGATTATCGATTGCATGTTTCTGTTCTGACACCTACCATGTCATAAACAGTTGGTCCCAATAACTCGAGGTTATTGGGAGAAGGTTATTATGGATATACTGTACACACACTCTTACACCAGATACTTACAGGTAACGATTTCGTTTGGAAATGAAACAGATTATGTTGCTAGCGGGAACAGACACATCTGCAGTGACGCTGGAGTGGGCGATGTCGAACCTGCTCAACCACCCGGAGATTCTGAGGAAAGCAAGAGACGAGATCGACGCCCAGATCGGGGAAGAAGGTCGTATGGTGGATGAAGTACTGGACCTCCCCAAATTGCACTACCTGCAGAATGTGATCACCGAAACTCTCCGATTGTATCCATCGGCACCGCTTCTGGTCCCTCACAGCTCATCCCAGGACTTCACCCTCGGCGGATACCACGTGCCGCGGAACACGATGCTGCTCGTCAATGCTTGGGCCATTCACAGGGATCCTCGGGTTTGGGCCGACTCGACGAGTTTCAAGCCGGAGAGGTTTGAGGGCAGTGATGAACATAGTTGTCCTAAACCAATTCCTTTCGGGATTGGAAGAAGGGCTTGCCCCGGGGCGGGTCTGGCCCAACGGGTCGTCGGGTTGACTCTGGCGTCTTTGATCCAGTGCTTTGAGTGGGAGAAGGTTGTCGAGGAGGAGGAGAAAGATATTGACATGGCGGAAGGCACCGGGCTTACCATGCCAAAGCTGATTCCGCTCCAGCTCAACTGTAGACCTCGCCCCATCATCCACAACATGGTTCTTGCTGCATAATTGTTTGTCAAAACTCGATGTTCTATCACGTCTTTTTCCCCCCACGGTGTTTGTTGTGTGGTTTTCCTTCTGGTTTTCATTTCCGTCGATGTCAGAGTGATGAACAATAAATAAAGGAATTTCTCAAGTCTCTTAAGGAAAGACAACGACCCTTAGGCTTGTAAGAACCGTAGGAGTACTCGTCGTTGTTTGTTAATGGTAGGGGTAGTGGGGATGACAAATTTTGAAACATGGAACATACAACAAACCGCAACCTATTCATTTCTATTAAAATGAGAAGATATATGTGGTAAACACGCTGCTACTGATCGAGAAATTGTCGGAACCGATAAAGCAGGAATACAAAAGCGAGAATCGAAAAACACAGACACACGATTTACGTGGTTCACTAGCACGATGTGTGTTAGCTAGTCCACGGGCGAGAGAGAGTCAGTTTCACTATATCGAGGAGATTACAGATTACATAGGAGTATGAGAAGTATTTATAGTGTGTTAGCTAGTCCACGGGCGAGAGAGACCCCCGACTACCAGTCGTAGCAGCTAATAGTCCGATTCAAGTCACATCAACAAATCTCCATCTTGACTTGAATCCTCTTCCTCTGAAATCTCTGATGTACTCTGCTCCTTCTCTCTCTCTCTCTCTCTCTCTCTCTCTCTCTCTCTCTCTCTCCTGCCATCAATGCCCCGTAGGGCGGAGTCACCCACTCAAGACATTCAGCAAGTCCAAGCAGTGTTGGAACTTGCCATGTGGAACCGGCTTCATGAACATATCAGTAGGATTATCTGCGGTGCCAACCTTATTCACCTTAATCCTCTTCTCCGTCCTCAAGAAATGATACCTCACGTCGATGTGCTTAGTCCTCTCATGGTGGACTTGATCCTTGGCCAAGCATATTGCACGCAAACTGTCTCAATACACCACTGCCTGATCATGATGTAGACCTAGATCACCAACCAGTCTCTTCAACCATACTCCCTCCTTAGCAGCTTCTGTCAACGCCATCTACTCTGCCTCAGTAGTAGACAATGTCACCGCCGACTGCAAAGTTGCCTTCCAGCTCACTATAGAACTCCCAAGAGTGAATACGTAACCAGTTATCAATCTTCTCGTGTCAACATCTCCAGCATAGTCCGAGTCAGAATACCTAGACACCAAGCACTTTGTATCACTTCCGAAGCTAATCCCCACATCAGGTGTACCCTTGAGATACCGAAAGATCCTCTTCACAACCTGTCAATGCTCCTTCCCAGGTTGTATCATGAACCTGCTGACAACACTAACAGCATGTGCAAGATCAGGTCTAATGCATACCATAGCGTACATCAAGCTACCTATTGCACTAGCATATGGGACTCTCGACATGTACTCCTTCTCATCCTCTGACTGCGGTGCATAAGTTGAGGATAGATGAACATTTGAAGCACTAGGAGTATTTAAGGGCTTTGCTGAAGACATGCCAAACCTCGACAGTATCTTCTGGATGTAGCTCTTCTGTGACAAGAAAAGTTTTTTCTTTGACCTGTCCCTGTAAATCTCCATACCCAAGATCTTCTGAGCAGCTCCCAAATCCTTCATCTCCAACTCAGCACTGAGAAGCCCCTTTAACTTCTGGATATCAGACTTCGACCTCGCAACTATGAGCATATCATCCACATACAGAACAAGATAGATCATCGAACCATCCTCCACCTTGTTGTGGTACACACAACAATCATATGGACTTCTGTTGTAGCCCAGCTCAAGCATGTAACTGTCAAATCTCTTGTACCACTGCCTCGGAGACTGCTTAAGTCCATACAAGGACTTCTTCAGCTTACAAACATAGTCTTCTTTTCCCGGAACCTGGAATCCTTCTGGCTGAGTCATGTAAATTTCTTCCTCCAACTCTCCGTGTAGGAAAGATGTCTTCACGTCTAGCTGCTCGAGCTCCAAGTCATAATGTGTCACTATTGCTAGTATCACTCTGATCGAAGTATGTCTGCCCACTGGTGAGAAAATCTCATTGTAGTCAACTCCTTCCCTCTGCGAGAAGCCTCGTGCAACCACCAGAGCTTTAAATTTAATGCCCTCTTCAGAACTGATTCCTTCCTTCTTCTTGTAGATCCACTTGTTTGTAACAATTTTCTTTCCCTATGGTCGTTTGACTAGCTCTCAAGGGTCAAGCATCGATCAAAGAAATTGAGAATTTACCAATATGTAGCCTTTGTTTTGACGATGATATATAGTGTTGTAAAATTAGAGATTATACATCGGAGAACTCAAATCACATGACCTACATAGCCTTACAATTTATATCACATTATCATTATCCTGCCCCCTCCTTCTTCAATAAAAAAATGTTTCAAATCCATCAGCTAGTCTCCTTATTTTCTGAACCAAAATTTAACATTCACTTACTATTAGATGCCCCTTATCTTTAAGTATATAATGTATCTATCTCAATGAAACTAACCCAAAATTGATTTCATGGTGTCTACAAAACTACATAGTGATTGAAGATGTGAACTTTTCATTAACACATGGATTCAAAGTTTTACCATCCAACAAACTCAACTCCCTCGTGATCCAAATCAATAATTACAACCTAACATTCAACCTCCTCAACCACAAAGAATGAAGCACCATGTGAAGCAAATCGTACGGCCTCGCCGGCCGGTTCACCTCAAAATGCCTCCTCACCCCCTTCACCCTCTCATACAACTCCAAGTACCTCTCCTCCGAAACACCCTCCAAAATCCTCTTAATCTCGCCGATCCTCTCCACCGTCACCGTCACCGTGAACTCGCTCCAGTCCAGCACCTCGCCAAACGGCAGCGAGTAGTTCTTCGAGATCAGAACGGGGACGCAGCCCACGCTGATCGCCTCCACGATCCTCGGGCTCGCCACCTCGTGGCCGCTCGGGCACAGGCAGAACTTGGCTCGGGCCATCCTCGCCATGTAGATCGACCGGTCGGGGAGCCGCTCGATGACCTGGACGTCGCGGTCCTTGCCGTGCCAGCGCTCGAAGAGGAGGCGGCGGATGTGGCCGTGGATCCCGCCGGAGAAGAAGGCGAGGGTGGTTCGGTTCGATGGGTCGGAACCGCCTTGTTGGACCGGGCCGAGTCGGCCGTAGTCGAGGAAGACTTCGGGTAGGGAGGCGTCACGAGCGGGCTGGAATCCTTCTGAGGTGTTGGCGTTGCAGAGGACTCGGATTAGTTTCGAGTAGAATTTCGGGTTGTCCTTGGAGACGTCTGGTGCCTGACAATAATAATAATAATAATAATAATAATAATAATAATAATAATAATAATAATAAGTTAATTGGTCACACGAAGATTTCAATTTTCTACATAAAATTTTAGTTCAGTTCAATTTCATAAAGAAAGTTGTGCAAAAATATATAGGTACAAACTCAATTTTTTTTAATGAATGATAGAACTTTATTATCAAGAAAAAAGAAAAGTACAACAAAACGAACACCTACACAAGCATAGGAGTAAGAAAAAGGTGATAAACAAAGCAACGTCAAAACTCAAAGAGAACAAACATGAATTAGCATGGGAACTTTAAGACGGGTGACAAACAACTAGGACTAGTAGAAAACAAAACAAAAAACAACGAGAATGAATTTGATTAACAAAGCCCCAAAAATAACACGTATACATCGAGTAAAACCAAGAAACAAAACAAACAAACCATCAACCAACACTAATTCTCACCCATTGTTGTAAGGTCTGATAGAATTTTAAACGCTCGAAACTAACCTCCTATTCGTTTGGATGATCTTGTGATACAAGGAGAAGTTTCAATATTTCTGAAAATCATATTGTTTCGTTCGCTCTAGTGTTACCAACATACTATACAAGGCAAGGCTTCAATGCAATATGTGTGTCAAGAACCAGTTGCTCCCAATAACTCGAGTTGATGGGAGAAGGTTCTGCTGGATCTTATACCACATTCTAACACGCCCCCTCAAACGAAAGCCAACCCATGGGCTTTGAAGTTTGCACAGGCCCACCATACCATGTGCTTGAAGACAACGGTTAATATTGGGGGTCGTGGAGATTCGAACACACGACCACTTGGTCAAACCAGCTCTGATACCATGTCAAGAACCAGTTGCTCCCAATAACTCGAGTTGATGGGAGAAGGTTCTGCTGGATCTTATACCACATTCTAACACTGTGAACTTAGAATCACACCTCAGTCCTCTCCCTAACGTTAAAGGTGCAATTTCAATTTGTACTATTAAGAAATTCACGAAAAATATATAGGTACAAACTAAATTTGTACTATAACGTGATATGTACCACTACCGGCGATACTATAATTTTTTTTAATCGAAAGCACCGATACTATGAAATATTATAAAATTCATGATGACATTATGGACAATGATTAGGTTAAAGGGACATGAATAATCAAATGCATATTCTCAATTTGGTCACATTATAATCAAAAGGGAGGAATCAACGTTTACCCAATCATGACACGACACCATGAAGTGGTCGGCGCCCTGAGACCGGTTCCAGTACGGGTACTCTCCGGCGACGATTCCGACGTAGTCATCGACGATCCGGTGGAGCCGGCCGCGGTCGTAGTCCTTCTTGGTCAAGACGGGCTGGTAGATGAAGTGAATGATGGAAGCGACGCTGACGGGAATGTAGAACATATGGGCCTCTTCCGGGGTTTGGGCCCTAAATGGGCTTTTCCCGCTCTCCATCTCGTCGAGGAACTGGCCCTCGATGGAGTAGATGTTGGTCATCGGAGCCCGATGGACCAACGGCCTCTCGCCTTCTCTGTAGGTCCATATCTTGAACCTCTTCACCATCTCTATGTGGCTCCTAGCAACCCAAATCGACAAAATCCCAACAACAAAGTAGAGTGAGTGAATGAGTTTGTTAGGGAAATTTGTTATTTCGAAGTAACTAACTCGATCTCTATGTCTAGGGGGATGTGTGGAACGGTTCGGTAAGATCCGATCCAAACTCAACTCATGACGAGAATCGAAGTTCGGTAGTGAAAGACGCCTTCAAATTAAGGATCAAATCATTATTATGTTCGTTTGAATTTGCTCCGATTCAGATGTCAATTCAACCAGTTATAAACTGTTGTGTACACCCCTATCCATGCTCATAATAAACCATGTCAAACCTAAAAATAGTGGGTTTTGAAGGGTTCTTTAAAAAAAACTCTTTGTAATCAAATGATGAAATCGATAATTCAATGCTATTATGATTTTGCAGCATGAGTATTGGTAAGCTCTAATAGAGTAAATAGTTGAAATACCCACTAGAATAACCTAGGGTTGTTTGGATGCATCATTTTGATTCTGTGGTATTTCGAATCAAAATGCATCATTATTTTGCTATGTGGTATTTCAGTTTAGAATGTGGTAATTGGTCTAATTGTCTTGTTAGATAAAACATTCAAATATTGTGGTCTTTCGCCATTTAAAGAAGAGATGATGGCGAAAAAAGAAGTTGAGAGATGAGTTATTTGAAATAACTAGGGGTGGGTCGGTGTTCCAAATAACTTTCAATGGGTTATTTCAATCGTCTCATCGACAAAACACTACCCTCCATTATGTTTTCTGAGTTATTTCGGCCGAAATACCTCATTAAAATACGTCATCCAAACAATTGTAAACATAACTTATGTTATGAAGGAGAGACTACACTATTCGATCTTAAACTCGTATAATTTTCATGTCAGCTCAATGTTTTAACCACCACGGAGATACTACAATCTTATATTTTCACGATACTAGTCATCTGGAAGATTCGTTTACTCGTGCAGAATTCAACAATAAAATCAAATCAATGATAAAAAAACGATGATAATTCATCGTAAACCGATAATTCATCATAAACCGATACTACAATCCCTTGATACGATGATTTATCAGTCCGTACAACCCAGACAATACGATACGATTTCACTCAAAACCTATTTCGCAAAAAAAAAAAAAAAAACATTAAAAAAAACTTGATATTAACTTACTGTTGGAAAGCGGTAGGGTTTCTATACACAGGTCCCCGGGGGACGAACTCTTCTTCCTTGTACGACCTATAGCTCCGGCTTCGAATCGCTTCCCTGATCGCCGCCCGAGCTCTAGCCAGCTCCTCTTCGATCTTCTCCAAGCCACTACTAGCATTACGTGTGCTGTCGCTACTGCTGAGGTCGATCTTCTCCGTCGTCAGCGGCGGCGGGGCTGCAGCTGGGACGGTGGCGGCGACGGAGAGTTTCCTGTCGATGAAGGGCGAGACGGCGAATAGGGCGTAGAGGAGGAGGAGGAAGATTGGGATGAGGGTTAGGATTACGTGAGAGGTTTTTTGCTCCGCCGCCATCTTGTTGTGCCGGAGGAGGACTCTCTTGTGAATATTTTTTGACTGATTTACGGTGTAGAAGGTTTTTCAATCAAATAATATATATATATTAAGAGGGATAGTAGGAATTATCGGTGAAATACGTTGGGTGAGAAAGATTTGAGATTTTTGTTTATCTTTTTGACATTGAAATTTCTCTCAATATTTGTTATGGGAGTGGAAAAATTAAGAATTATTTCGACCGTATGGATAGGTATATAACGCTACGTAAATGCTTGTAAATAAATAAATAAACGCTACGTAAAATGATAATAAAAAAAATGAGGAAATTCTTAAATTCTCACACATACAACGAATAAGTCGAATATCGAGAAATTCCAGAATAAGAAGATGACCGAACTTTCACAATATTTTTGACAAATAGTGCTTAAATGTTGAGGTCCTTATAATTTCTTTTTTAGTTGCTCTTGGCATATGTGTGTAGTCTACCGGACTTGACTTGAAACAAACGAGCCGCAAAACTAGCACGGTTGGATTTAGATACTCTAGAGTGAAGTTGTTATCCTTTGATTAAATCAACGGTTCTGATCCGTAAGAGTTATTCAAGTACAAAATAATAAATGTGAATGCAGGCGTATAACGTACGTCAGACATATGCTAGCATTTGCCATATGTATATATGGGCGTTCTATCATACATTGGGGGGGGGGGGGGGGGGAATCAAAGGTATGACATCTTTAAGGGTTAGGAATAGTACCATATGGCAAACTCCAGTCAATTCAAGGTTTGTACTTTGTAGGCCTTAATTCTATAAATCTCATACACTAAGATCAAGTTAATTAGAAACATAAATCGACGGTCATGATTTGTCGAAATATAGGCAAGAAATTACGTGTACAGTCTTAGGTGTTAGGGCGTAGGCTCTATAATTTAGATAATTAAGACCAAGAGTTCACTCATTAAGAGTTGTGGTATAGTATCATACCCAAACCCCCCCGATTAGTATCATGCCCAAACCCCCCCGATTAATTCAAGGTCTAGATAGCTTCCTACTTCAGGTATGTCGTACCTTAGATTTTGAGTACGGCATAGAAGTCACCATATATATTATTGTTTTGTATGACATATATTATTATATTTTACTAGGGATGACAATCTCAACCTGCCCAATTCTCGATCTATTATATTATCTAAATTACATGTAAAATTATACTAAAATTAATTAACGTTTTACTTTTATTACTTAATATTTTAGCTATAATAAACTTATAAATAAGTAAATCTCAATTTCTCAATTAATTTAACTATATTTTATTTATTTATTGTTTGATGAAAAAAATAAATTTTCTAATATTATCCCTTTAAATTACACTCATATGAAATCTGGACCCTTCAAACCACTATCTATTGTCCTAACAAAATCAAAACCATTGATCAAGTGGAGCATTTATGATTTTCTCGTCCGAAAATCACGCGAGGAAAATAGCAAAATTCGTAACCAGCGAAAACAAAACAAGAGCCGAATTCCCTCCTGGCTCAGGTGTATAAAGGGAAGTACTTTCCTCACGGATCTTTCCTATCTGCTACTGGCCGGTCTAGACCGTCTTGGGGATGGCAGAGTATCCTGTTTGGGCGCCAGCTTTTGGAGGCAGAGTTAAGATGGCAGATCGACAATGGCCTATCGGCCTCCCTGGTGCATTCTAACTGGATTCCTGGACTTCAACTGGATCCTCCTTGCTATAACCCTCGTGTCCTGCAAGATGGGGGGGGGGGGGGGGGGGGGATCCCCGGGTAGCGGAGGTTATTTGTCAAGGGGAAGGGCGTTGGGATGAGAATAAGTTTAGTCAATGGTTTGGCCCTTCTGTCTGTCGGGCCATTACAGCTATCCCGCTTCCGAGGCGGAATGTGGATGATAAACTTATATGGCATAACACTGCTGATGGGGTGTTCTCGGTTAAGACAGCATATCATCTGGCTGTTGAGCTTGACAGGAGGAGGGGTGGGTGGCGAGACTCGGTGAGTTGGATGGATAGACAAAGCTGGATCCGGTTGTGGGAAGCTAAGATCCCTCCCAAACTTAAAGTCTTTGTCTGGCAAATTTTGAATCGAGTCTTGCCAACCACAGAGGCGCTCATTGAAAAGAAGGTTCCTGTGCTGTCCCGGTTTCCGGTTTGTTGGGATGGTCCCGAGACTATGGAACACTTATTTCTTTACTGCCCGGTTGCTCTGGCTCTCTGGGATTTATCGGGGTTGGAGTATTTAGGAGAGGCTTTGCCTCGGCACACTTTTCCACTAATTCTGAAGCGGATGCTTGCCCTGGTCCATGATCAATCGTTGTTTATGGCGGTGGTTGCCATCCTTTGGCGGATCTGGCGTTCGCGAAACTGGGTTGTCTTTGAGGGCAAACAGTTTGGGCTTCAGGCTTTAATGCGCCAATTTCATCAGCAATTTGAGGAGTGGATGGGGCTGCCGGTTGACCAGCAGTCAAGGGTGTCGTGCTAGGTGGTCCAGCCAGGGATCCAAATGGATGATTCTTGTTTGGTTTGCCCTGTGGGATGGGGCAACTAGGAGGGGATCACACTCGGCTGGAGGCTTGGTTCTTTGTGGTCCGGGAAGGACGGTCCTTCGGGCTAAAGGTGTGCAATTTGCACGAATTGATGATCCGATGGTGGTGGAATTGCTTGTGTTGCGTGAGGCTATCACTTGGTGTTTAGAGTGGGGTTTGTCCGAGGTTCGGTTCGAGGGTGATGCGAAGGTCATTATTGACAAGATTAATCAGGCCGATTTGCGGGACAATCGCTTGGGGGCAGTCCTGGACGAGATTTCTCAATTTTTGCTGCCTATCCAGGGTTTACTGTGCGGTTTATAGGTCGGGAGAACAATAGGGTAGCACATTTGGTTGCTAGAAAAACCCTTTCTTTGTACCCAACTGAAAACCGTTATTTTGATTTCAGGGCCTGGCTGCTTTTCAGGATGTAACTATCTTTCTGATTGATTAATATATATTATCTTTTGAAAAAAAAAAACAAAATAAGAGAAATCATGACAGCTTATGTCATGGCCAGGCATTAAGTCGGAGGTGCCCAAGTTACTTATACGTACACGAAAATTAAAGACAAGGAATTGGTTGGGACGCCAACTACAAATCTTGATGATGGAATTTAAAGATGGTGATGGGAATTGGAGAAGCCATGCCAGAAGTTCGTTCCCCTACTGAGCTCTAGGAATTTGCATGTATATATCAGAAGATGAGATATCAAACAGGTCCTCTGGTTTTTCCTTCCCTGAGGAAAACATCCCATTAAGGATTCGAGTGTCAAAGAGGACTGATTTTGGACTTGATAAAAGAAAATAAACAAATGGGGATGCAGGATTGGGGGGAGACTGAAATGAAAAGAGGTCATATTTCTGAGGTCTTAGAAGGCAGCTCAAAGAGTCACAGGCTTTCTGAGTTTCATTTTTGTTGCAGAGTTCTATGCTTTGATGCATCCCAACTTCTGCAACGAATCCCGGATGTCGGAGCTGCTCGAGTCTTCGGCTGTATAAGAGACGTTCGGACTGTCGGTTGCTATGACATCGGAGAGAGGGTAACTTCTGTTCAAATGGAGTTGACTGTTTGCAGAACGGCAGACTCCCTTCAGAACCACCGTCTTGTGAACTCCACCCAGCAACCCTTCGTAATCAGTGTCGCCGCTTTCTCCAGTGAACACCACCATATTTGTTAACTCGACTCCCCAACGTACATATAGATACCTGGAAAAAAAAACAGTGCGGTTCTCTCATGAGTAAACCACGAATGTATCATACTGTTGGGGAAGGAAACTTGAGAACAGGTTTCTCTTCTCTAACTATACTGTACATTGATCAACTCAGGACTTATATTCGAGAGTAGGAAAGAAAAACCGTACCTGAGGGCTTGAGATCGAGAAGCCAACACAGGAATTACATTTATCCTGCTTCCGTTTTGGCAGTAGACCACATGGCACCGAAGCGCCTGAATTCTCAGTGCCTTACGAAGTTCCTTGACCGGTGGAACCTGCACAGGAACAAAGGAAATCTGTAGAGTGGCAAAGGTGGCAAGTTTGTAATACGAGGCGAGTGGACAGAAGATTTTACCAATCCTGGCTTTTGGCTCTGCAATTTAAAGGCATAGCAATAGTTGGTCGAAAGTTGTTCAGAAGGAATGACAATATGCTCCTCACTACCAGTCTTCTTATCCACAACAGAAGATGCCCAGCGTACTAAAGTCTTCCTGAGCCCTTCTCCACCCCAACGGTACTCAATATGAGAATGGTAATAGAAGTCAACCACAAATGGACCATCTTCTGCACCGGGAGCCGAGTAATAGAGTTCACTACCACTGTTGCAGATAAAAGCATCAAAGTCACTCGGGTTAAACCCTCCAGAAGCAAGAAACGACTCAATCTCGGTTATGGTCAATGATGTCGACAGTATGAACCCGATTGAGCCTTGGGTGGTTTCCTTTTCCACAGAGGCAAATATCTTCCTAATGGCTTCAACCAGAGAATTGATGTCATCACAATCCAACGCAATGACAAAGATATACTTCCTCCTCCTCAGTGCAGGAAAAACCGAGCCCTGGGATTGTTCACCTCTGTCGGATTTACGAGATTCCTTCGAGACGCCCCTCGACCAAGCCATCACTGCATGCTCGAGTTTGCTCTTGTTACCATCGCCAAGGTTTCCTTCAGAGTCGAGATAACTGTCATTTCCTGAAGCCCCTTTATCTCCATCCATTGAGAACTTCAAGTTCAAGGAAATGTCATGTATGTCCCTCAATGAATCGCCAGGTGAATCTAGGTCTGAAGTGTCACCTCCATCGTCGGTTTGCTGCCACTGTGGGTGCCTTGGCTTGCAAGCAGCTATCCGTGACAAGTAGGTTTTACAATGCTCTGGCCATGAAAAGAGGTGTATGTTTTTCAAACCATTTTGCCGGCATTTTGCCCAAAGCTGCTTGTCAGCTACTAGCTTCAGAAGCGCATTTGCAATTGATTGTTGATCATGTGGGTCAATAAGAAGTCCATTGTCCAGTACCTAAGGAAAAATACACAAAATATGTACTCAGATATTATGTAACAAAACGTAAACTCTACTATATGATGATGCTTGGAAATATGGGTACATGAAAAAAACGAAGTTATATTGTGAAACGCCATACCCTATGAATGTCCACAGGGCCACCATTTTTTGTAGCAACCATCGGCAAGCCATATGCTGCGGCCTGTCACCCGCCAAAAGAAAAAAAAGGAGTTTAAATTGGCTTTGATCCATGGGGTCGCCTAAGTTCACATTTCCTAAGAGTTTAGAACGGGCACCTCGATCAGAGTTAGCCCAAATGGCTCAATGAAAGCTGGATTGATGAAGACGCCCTACACATATATTCAAATCTGAATGAGTAATCAGGTATACGTACCATCTTCAGAACATAAGGTAGAGCCCATAGGATCTGATGATAAGCTTAGTGATGAAATATCAAAACTTCATTCACAAATTTACACTCCATTCACAGACTTAGGAGATGGTCAATCAATCCAACTCACTAAAAAATAATTAGTCTGACAGCTCAGCAAAGAAAATTTTCTTTCCAGTTTTCACTAATCATGAATCTGACTATTCAATCACTTGAGTTTAACATGTGGTATACATGAGATAACATACCTTAGTTTTTGCAGCTAGGCGATATATATCTGGAACATCAGCTTGTTTATGATGCTTAGGATATGCCACTTGCCCATATAAATCATATTTGTCAATGAGCTTAAGCACTGAAAGGAGTACGGAGGCATTTGTACTTGGCATTTCATCGATTTCATCTCTATTCCCCATGATTAGAGTCTAAAGTTCATATAAGAGAAGAGGCGGAGGTGAAAAGAATACACGGTAAGGCACTTGAAAGTGAATGACGCCAGATAAGAATAAATCTCCTCTAATTGTACGAAACTTCATACCAGATTAGCAAGCTCTCTCAGGGGGCGGCATTCTCCAAATGCCTTGACCAAAGTTGTGATATTCTTCTTGGGGTCTGCCCGAGCAAGTGCAAGGATCATTGGCTTGCGAGGATTGGTGAAAAAACGCATTATCTGCCCAAGGTAGAGAACACGAATCAGTTCCGGAACCGCTTGTTGGAAAGGAAAACAATGGCTTCCCCATCAAGAGGACAGGTAGAACAAGAAAGAACCTCAGGCCATATTGGTGGTTCAGGAGAAGTAGGATGGTCATCATTTCCTTCGGCTTCGCCCTCAATATCACCATCATGAGGTACAATGTGGTGGAACTCCATTCCAGGAGGGATTACCTGCACAGAAATGAAGATTGTTCACTAGCTCAAACTTAAGGCATGACACGACAGAACAGGAACACTGCACATCTCAAGTATCAACTACCATCCAACATTGGGGTAGTTGAAGTTATGAAACTAAGCTTTTTAACAATCTCATCTAATTGCCAGAATCATTTGATCCACATGCTTCAGCTTGTTACGGAAACCAAAGAGGTAAGATACTTCTCCAAGTTCAAACCAATTCTACTTCGGGAAAGTAATATCACAGGCAACTGAAGATTGCATAACCAGACAGCTCATAACCATGACAAGGAATTAGAATGACATAAGCATTACTGGAGTTACAACTTCATCCACCGACAGTCCGACAGTCGGTCCAAATTCATAGGTTCTTCAGCCAACCCATAAGAAATAAGATTCTACCTTACAGCGCAGTGACAAACTTAGCAGAGTTCCGTAAAATACACTGTATATCAAATGTAACCCAGATAAACAAAGACAATAATCAGTTTTCTGGCTAACAATTAAAATAAGAGTAGTATGCCCTTTTCTCCTAGGACAGCATCCTCAACCAAGCAACTTTCAATACTTATTTATATAAGAACTTTCGTATTCAAAAGCAAGTTTCAATACTTACAGCCATCCGAGGCATAAACCTTCCATAACAGCTGACATTGCGCCTGATTCTTGCGCGCAGTTTACGCTCCAAAACCGGATCAAAACCATCATACAGCCTCCACTGTTGCTCTATCTCTTGTCTAGTGCTTGTTATGACAATCTCAGATGCATCAAGCGCAAGTTCCTCGGCCTCAATCCTACGCATTATTTTGTATGTGGAGTTTATTTCTTCTCTCGAAAGTCGACCTTGTTTCAGTAGTTGGTCCAACTTATCCCGCCCAAGTGAGTGGCCAGTAAAAAGCATTGGCACATTTAGAGCACCGGATAAAAGAGCTGCAGAGTCACCAGCATCAGCATAGTGGCCATGGATGGCAACTGGCCAAACAGGTTTCCCCCCACCAACTTGTTCACCTAGGACTTTGGACATCTGGATTACATGGTTCAGCGCACCATCAACAAATTCCGGGATGTGAGGCCACAACAGTTCTTTCTCAATATACTTGTCCTTTGGTCCAAACGGTATCCGGACAATATAGGCACCACTGCTCTCCCCCATCTCATCTTCATCATCTTCCAAGTTTGTAAGAGTCAACATCTCAGTCGGTTCACCGTAACTCCAATCTACATCTGGAGCTGACACTTGTCTTGTTAACAAATCTACTCGATACACTCCTGGCATGGAACCCAAAGCTCTTGCAAGTTCCACAACATACTTAACCTATGAGAGACGAAGTAGGAAACTTCAAAAACTCTTGCATAGAAATTGATAAAAGTAATGAGACCTGGAGACAGCAAGCATAAATACCTGACCACCAGTATCTGAATCACGTCCAAGCTCCATACTTTCTCCTCGTATTAGTCCATGGAGGCTGCATGCATTCTACTCGTTACAAACAGCAAATGGTTATATGAAAAGCAAGTCCTAAAGTGCAGCTTCACATCACAAAGGAAATGCTCAAGAGACTTCCATACGATTTGAATTCAGTAAAAATTCCCAGCAGCACAAGAAACATAGAATAGAAGAATAAAGAATCAGACTATTCATTGGGATATACTAAGTTCTATCACGTATACTGATCAAATTGATATACATTATAATAATTAAACACCAAAAGCCTAAAGTTGAGTTCATGCCTTATCAGTACAATGTACAGCTTTTTCCCTTTCTGCTGGCTGGCCCATGCTTCCATAGCATCAGCAGAGTTAATCCTGGGCAGTCTTCCCCTGTTACTGTCACCATGGGTTGATAGATCACTAGGTGCATCTCCCTTTTCACCCTCTGACAAGTCTTCTGACATATCAGCAGTTGCTTCCCTGCGGCCCCTTTCACGTTCAATATGGCGCTTAGCATTTGTCTGAGCTAGCTCTCCCTCAAGCTACAAAATTCCAGTTTGTCGATCAGCTATATTCATCATTTCATCAGTTTGTCGATCAGCTCTATATTCCGCTTTAGTAAACCATATACATGCATAGAAGCATGCTAGAGTTGCATACTACTGTTCACAATCAAAAGATGGCGAGAACCCATTGACACTTTATCAACTTAAATGTTCCAGTAAATCCAGCAAGTCAACAACAAATCACATTGAAATCCAGAAATGCAATACATGTTCGACTCCAATCAATTCATCTATCCCAAAATGAAGGAAAAACAGATCATCACCCTGAATCAGAACCAGCAGTCAAACATTCAGCCAAACGGACATCACAATTCCACATAAACACCGTATCAAACACAGAAATCAAATGCCAAGAAAGCTGAGATAAAACCAAGAACAAACCTGCTTCTTCTGACGAGCCAAGTTCCAAATCCTCCAGCACATATTCTCCAATCTCGTGTTCCTTTCCTGTGGACTCCTCGTCGCTTGAGCCTTTCAATCCACACAACATCACCCCAATATCAAGAAATCAACAAAGCAAAAGGAACCCCGATTCAAGAACGCCAAATATCTAATCCCCAAATCGGGAAAACCAAACAAGCAGAGTAACCATCATCACTGCCTTTACTCACCTTGACCCAAGAGCGATGAAGATCGGTCTCATCGAACCCAGTGATGACTTCCTCGACGAAATAGCGAGTTGGACTGAACCTGCCTCGCTCCCTCAACAGCAGAGACGATTTGGCGTCGTCTAGTCCAGGACCCACGTCGAGAATTGCTTCCAGGTAACTGTTTATCCAGTCGTTCCCCGCCATTGTTGCAGACCCCTAGATTCCCCCAGAATTCACCACAGTCCCCTAATTTCCAGTTTCTTCGTCAGGGTGTTGGAGAAAGTGGACTGCGGTTAAATATCATTGAATGAGAGAATGGAGAGAGAGAGAGAGAGAGAGAGGAAAGGAGTAGAAGAGAGTGGAAATCGGAATGAAAACAGAGAGCGGCTTTTTTATACTTGCCATAGCTGCCTTCAAAGTTGAAAAATGAAAACTCTTTTTTTCTTGTGCTATTTTTCGCTTTTATTTATTTATTTATTAATTAATGTATGTATTTCTCCTGTTTTCTTCCCCTTATCTTCCTATTTTCCAACATCTATTTCGAACCATATATTTTTTCCCTTAAATATTCAGAACTTAACATCAATTTTATTTCCTTTCAAATTGTTATACAAAGATGGTTATAAAAGTACATTAAATGAAAGGGAAAAAAGAAAAATTGCGTCACTGCGATGAGACTGTCGGATTATGAATTTATAGTTCATTAGTCAATTTTACATATTTAACAAAGTTGCGATGACCATAGAGAAATATATGGTCATTGTGTTATGGGTAATTGTGATGGTTGTGAAATTAAAAAAAATAATTATACATATATATATATATATATATATCACTTTTTTAAATAAATAGAAGGTATAAGAGAGGATGCAAGGGTGTCTTAATGAATTTTTTTGTGAAAGAGTGGATTCGAGTCAAGTTTAATGCTATAAAATACATATAATGTTTTGGATTTTAGAAAAATTATCAAAAAGAAAATAGCTCTGCATTTTATATAAGTTTAAAATGAAACATTCGTTTTTTATGAAAAATAACACATAGGTATCAATTTAAACAATAAAATAATAATAAAATTTTTTAGAATATTCCTCCAATAGCAGTCATGTCGCACAATAATATATAAGGTTCCAAAACAAGTAGTTGTTAGGGATATATTTAAACGTCACAAGAATTTTGGACCCATGAATAAACTTATCTTAAGTACCATTTTAGATAGATAAATATATAAATATGTGGCCCGAGTTTCATTTAACAAAAAAAAAATGCAAAGGATAAAATTACTATTTCCCCTTTGAGTGTCACATCTTTGATTTCAGTTTTGAGAAGAAGGCTTCACACAAACTTGAGTGTAAAACTAGATGCTCCACATTAGTAATATTTTTTTCAACTTTTCGCATAAATTTGTTATCAGATACCTTTTTAAAATGTCTATTTTTTATGTAATACTTTAATTGTTCTCTCCAGTTAAAAATCTCGAACTTTTCAACACATGAAATTATGAAATTCTCATATGTAAATTTTCGTTTGATCTTTCATACAGATGCATATCTCAAATCTCGAGATCACAGAACGAGAGTTCACACACAACTAAAGTCTGTTGCACCATCACCAAACTTGAAAATCAGATTTCGATACTACTTGTTGAAATCAGACGCTCCAATGTGCGATATTGTCCGCTTTTAGACAACCCAAAAATATTTGGTATTTGACACCTTTATATTAAGGCACTGTACTAATGCCTCGTATAATTCTGATCCTTCAAATATAGATCAAAGACATGTCCCTACCCTCGTTTTCGAATCAAGACACGATACAAAAATTTTGCCTCACACTTGAAGAAATGATACATTGTTCAAATCAAGACCCCCGCTAGCATCATCAATCATATGCTCTCAATGCTATCTAAAGATTCCAAGTTCAACTAGACAAGCAAAAGAGTGAAAATTCTTCACGCCTCCATTTCCTTCACAAAAGAGTGAGTTGAAAACTCTGCTTCAAACGCATAATTAATTACGACAAATCATCATAATTAACCTAACAAATTACAAATCAGAAATTGCCATAAAACACCCAGGAGGAGGATTTTCCCAGAAAGATCATTGTCACGTCTCAGGTGTAATCTCTTTTTCCCTTTACAAAAGTAGAAGGAAACAAAAGGGGGAATATTTAACAGTTAAACAGCAATCAGCAGTACACGTGGTGCTCTCCAGTGGGTTTCCTTTTGGAGTTAATTAAATAAAATGGAAAAAAACGAATAATTGGGGTGCATAACAATACAATATTATCAACAACAAAAAAAAAGAAAAATTACATTACAATTCAATATGTGACAACTCACACATAATTTGTCTAGATATTGGACATGAACCAACCTTTCACCATTATTATTGTACTAGAAAGGGTCCAAGCTGCTAACCTGATCATACATTTGGACCAATCATCAACCAAATTAGAACAAAATATAGATTATCAAACTCCTAAGAATCATATAACCACAAGAAAAGTAGACAAATATGATAAAAATTTGATGATGGTTAGTTGAAAAAAAGAAAACCAACCATGGAAGCTAGTCCCAATCAAGGTGGCATGTACCCACCACCATGTCTTCATGCAATTGAACGACTTGACTGTTGGATTAAGGTATGTGTGATGTGCTGCTGATCAAGGGTGTCGATTTATTTTCATTTTTCGATTTTAATAGAAATCGAGATGGTTTTATAGGCTTATTGGTGTCCCTTAGCGGGTAAAGACCGATAAACTGTTAAATTTTTGGGTTAAAACCGAAAATAATTAATGAGACGATAAAAGTTGATAAGCCTTAACGCAATCAAATGTTTGGTTTTGACTTTTTCGGCTAAATCTGACCGAAACCAATAAATTTTTTAATGATTTCGATTTTGGATTGGACAATTGGTTACTTCGGATTTCGGTTTATAATGGTTTACGGTTAGGATAATCGAACCATAAAGAAGGTGCATGAACCCTAACCACAGTCGGTTCGATCACAAATCGGATATATCGTTGGACAGAAAAAGCCAAATTCTTTGTTCAAACATATAGCCATTCAGTACTCCTCTAATACAAGGAGTACTTGCAAACAATGGATCACATCCATTATAAAATAAGGCGCATGAACCCTACAAGCGGAAAACAAAACAAAATCAGGCTTATGGTTATTCATTTACATAACCAAAAAACCTAAGCTCTACTGAAAATCTTTATCAGTTATACATTCAATCTGGGGCAAAAACAACACACATATTTCCTGTGATTCCACAGTGCAAAGCAGGAAAGAAGAGGCTAATCTGCGGCGATGGACACAACTGAATACGTGAGTATCCTTTTCAACTCGTGATATCAGTTCCAAATGATGTTGATTCATCAGGACATCCAACAAAAAAGGAAGGTTGAAGAAAGAGACCGGATTCGATGTCCCAGCACTTCTCAAACTAACATGATTTGGTTGATCAGAGAGATCCAAACACAGTAATAAAAAAAATCGTATACTCTCCTTAAATTAATTACATGCTTCTGATCCTAGGTTACATGATTCTCGAGATATAGAGCATGGGAAAATTTTATATCGCGGTTCTGGATTTACTGATTTTACCGGATTGAATCTGAGCTTGAACGAGGCCACATGCTTGTGAGGATCAAGTTGAATGGCGGCGGTGCAATCCAGAACAAGGAATTCGGTAAATGATCAAAGGAACTGCTTCAGGAACTCTGTAGCTACAAGCCTCCCTCTGGTGTTCACCGACATTTTCAGGTCACTGATCTCCTTGTCAATATCCTGCAATTTGAAAAGGAAGAAAAAAATGGGAAGGTGGTTATGTTCTCAGGTGAAGCAAGAAAGGTCAGAAGGACTCAGATGGTGTAAGATATAAGAATAATGATCTATTAATGGAGCACTCTATCAAACAGACGGGGAAGGCATGGTAGTTTGTCAAGATTGTCAGGCACGGATCCATAGTGGAACAAGATGAATTATATATATGCACTTTTAAAGGACAGCATGTGCCAGTATTGATATACTGAAGAAAGTGTCAGTTATCCAGTTAGCTCCTAAAGTTAGAAACTTGTTCAAGATGTGATGGGGTATGACTGAAAGATGCCAGAGGACATTCAAGAAACTCAAATGGTAGGCCATTGTGTCTGTACTTGTTACTAAACTTGTGGTGAAAATTGAGAGATAGAGAGGAAAGGTAAGTAAGTAATGCAGATATGACAGAACCTTTTGCCGAGTAACTAGGAAAGCAAGGCAAGACAGCCCTCAGCATCAAGATAATTATACTCAGTATTAACTAACCAACTGAGCAAGACCAGACATAGACAAGGCTGAGATTAATTGATTACCTCCATGAATTGCACAATGAAATCTATGAGCTTTTGCTTCTGCATTTCCTCACAATTGTAGTTTGTAACAAGAAAGCTTATATCATAACCCTGTGAGGTACCAAAATGGTGGGAAAAATAGAAAAGCACGGAGTCAGTATGTTATCAACTATCTAGGCAAATGCTTATAGCAGTTCTCAATCTGCAAATGAGAATTCCCAGCTCACCTGTATCGGCTTTCGCCTCAGCACTTGAAATGCTTCTGCCCTAATCGACAGAAATCGAAGGAACTTCTTCGTCAATATGTTTTCAAGTTCATCAGCCTGCTTCACCTGTCCATGGTGACAAAGGGCATAAGAGCCCAAAACTATTATTACTGAGCTAACTTACCAAAATGCAGCTTATTACAGTTTTCATTTACCATCAATTTGAAATCAAGTTCATTAAGTATATCACTAACCAAAAACACACACCAGTAAGCGTTGCCTTGAATGTAAAACAAATATTTCTACTGCCCGATACGCACAAGGACAGCACAATAGGACCTTTGCTTTACCTTAAGGCTTAGACGCAATGAATTGATTGATGTTTCTATTAAGCATCTTTCAGCCTCATTTCGACATATCAAAACCTGAAATAGTAAATGACACATTCATCGCATAAAGTCAGTTTAGAGGGTTGTGTAATGTCTCATGCCCCAGCATTGTACATTGTGAGAACAAGAACCTTACAGGATTCAGCAGAAGTTCAGAGCTTGTCCTGTAGCATACAAAAGAACTAATCAACATCTATGCTAAAAATTGCTTTGATGCCAATCATATCAACAACCAACCAATGAGGATTACGTCTATTCATTTTGAGGCAGTTGCTCTAAGAAGATCAATTCCTAGTGTCGCATGACAACATTGAATCCTTCATTGTTCTTTCCCCTCCATAACCAATTCCATTTGCATTACAGCAGAAATATATATATATAAAAAAAAAAAACTTCACACAATAACAGAAGGGGGGAAAGGAAAGAAAAAGAAGCAAACAAACAGTACTTTAGTTCAACCTCTGGCTTGTTATGCCTCTCGACTTCTTGACAAGGGAAATTCTGCAATTCAACCAAACACACCGTCAAAATCCAAAATCAAGTAATTCCATTGCTGTCGTTCCCACATAGTTATGAACACAGAGAGCTTGATTCCTAAACAGTACCTGTAGGCACATGGCCGCCTCTAGGGTGTTCCTAATGCACGTCAAATACAGCCGCAGCGAACTCGCCTGCATAATTACTGCAGCACTTAAAACCAATCTCGCGAAACTAGAAAGAAAATAGAGAGCCAATGCTCGAAAACCGACCCGATTAATTGAATTGTGATGTCGCATTTCCAGTTTCTCGGAAACCAAACAGATGCGACGAATGGAAATGAAGAAAAAAAAAACGAGAAGATCAGCGAGAGCTTGAAGACTCACCATTCCGGCGGACTGGAAATCGCAGAATATCTCCTTCCTGTGAAAAATGGAGAGTATCGCCGTCGTCGGAGCAAGCGAGCGCCGTGAAGTTCAGAGCTCTGAGTTGGGAAATGGCGGACTTCTTCTTCTTCTGATCTTCCCCGAAGGTTGGGATCTGTGCTAAATTGCGCTTCTGGAGTGTGATTTAGCTTAACAAGCGCGGTTAATTTGCGTCTGTCGACTGTCAGATCATTTTGGATCGAAGGAATGCAGAATCGTAAGCCCACAGATGAGAAAAATGGGCTAAGAGTTAAGGCCCATGGGCCATTTGGCCGAGTAATTATTATATTGTAATTTGTAAGTCGTGATTAAAATGTTCTCCATTGCTAATGTTTTATGTTAATACATTTGTAATCATAATATTAGTGTTGTTAATATAAGTTTTGAATTGAATTTCCCAATTTTTCTAAAAACGTGACTGATTCACAACCAAGCATTTTCACAGCTAAAATTGGCAAACCAGCCCCCGCCTTCATCGCACGCCATTGCTCTACGAACAAACGTTCCTTCAATTCCATCTATAAAACCAAAAGGAAAAAAAAAGAAGAGCATCCATCGAACATCAAAAGCAATAGAAACTCATCCATTCAGTACTCACTCACCCAAAGCAAAACAATAAGCTAAAAGAAGAAGAAGAAGAAATAAAAATGGAAGGCAAGTGGAGCAAAGTGTGGCTGATCGCGGCCGTGGCGGCTCTGCTGGTGGTGGCGGCATCATCGCAGCGCGACGGCGACAACAAACCCGACGTCGGTTCAAGGCTGGGCAGCGACTTCGGATCGGCTACCCTGGACGATGTCATCCCCGCCGACGTCCTCACCGGCGGGTTTTCCGGGTCCCCGAGCGGAGCTCCGGCCTCCGCCCCGACGGCCAGGGATGACGGAACACCCTCGCCATCACCTTCATCTTAAATCTTAAAATATATTAAAGGGGTTCGAGATTTTGACCCATTTCATGTCAGCCTCGAATCAGTTTTAAACATCCACATAAGGATGTTTTGAAATAAGTCATTTGTTTTTTTTTTTTGTTTCTTGTGATAATAAGATATCATTAGTAATAAACTAATAATTAGTTTTTAATAATGTATAATGTATTTCATAGCCACATAAAAAATTTTCACAATTGTATTTTTTATATTCTAATAGCAAAATTTTATACTCATCAACTGATTATCTATGATCTTAAACATGTTATCTATGTCCAATCGATAGTATACCGTTGCAAGATGGTTGATAAATTAAAACAATACATTCAACTAGCTTTATACGATATAATATCAAAATGAATGTAATTTTTTATAGAGAATGACCAATCTAATCCTTTTGCATCAACATGGTATATCATGGCAAATTCTTACCATGGTATAATCTCCAGCACCACCATGACATATCACGATATAACGTGATAAAAAAAATACGTCATTTTATATTTTCCACCAAAATATATATAAATTTGTATATCATAATTAATCTAGTTTTTCTACGTAAAAACATTTATATGTGCGATAAAGCAAACGAGATATAGTCCGTTAATTCTTACTACACAATGTAGTTGTCTAGCGTTGCATAATCACGGGGTATTGACCGAACTTGCGCTCAAGCTCAACCTCCCATAAATAATAGATAATAGGTTGGAACTTTATGTTAAGTCAAATTTATAATCTCTTACACTAGAGATTTCAATCTCCAAAGTGGGGAGGAACAAAAAAACGGTTAGAGAGGTTTAGGGTTTGAATTGATCAATTTCACAATTTTTCTAAAAACGTGACTGATTCACAACCAAGCATTTTCATTTTTCACTGCTAAAAATAGCGAACCAGTCCCGCTTCCATCGCACGCCGTTTCTCTACGAACAAACTTTCCTTCAATTCCATCTATAAAAATGAAAGGAAAAAAAAGAAGAAGATCATTTCATCGAACATCGAAGCAACAAGAAACTCATCCATCCATTCACTCACTCACTCACCCAAATCAAAATAATAAGCTAAAAAAGAAGAAAGAAATAAAAATGGAGGGAAAGTGGAGTAGAGTGTGGCTGATCGCCGCCGTGGTGGCGTTGCTGCTGGTGGTGGCATCATCGCAACACGACGACGTCGTTTCGAGGCTGGGCAGCGATTTCGGATCGGCTACTCTGGATGACGTCATCCCCGCCGACGTCCTCACTGGCGGGTTCTCCGGGTCCCCGAGCGGAGCTCCGGCCTCTGCACCAACGGGCGGGGATGACGACGGCGACGCAGCACCCTCGCCGTCGCCTTCTTCCTGAATTTTACAATATATTAAACGGGATTTGAATCATTTTTTTCAAGCATCCACATAAGGATGCTTTAAAATAAGTAATTTGTTTTTTTTTTTCATGGTCACTTACAAAAATTTGTAATTTTTTTTTATATTCGAATAGTGAATTTTTATTGTTTTACTCATTATCAACGGGTTGTCTATGACCCAAGCTATTAGGGGGTGGCAGTCGCTCGGTTTCGATTTAACCGAAAACCGAAAATTCGGTTATCGATTAAACCGAGTCACTCCCTATAGTTGCCGACCACCGACCGTGAGAGAAGTCACGGTTATCCGGGCAACCGACCGATCGGTTTCGGTTTTAAGCTCGGTTAGCCGGCCAACCGAAAAAATCTACCTTTTCTCCAAAAAAAAAAACTAAAAATTAATTTAAAAAAAAAACTAAAATTCTCCACCACTCATCTCAATCCTTATCTCCTCCTCTCTCCTTCCTTCCTCCACCAGACCACTTCTCTTCTCGCTCCTTCCTTCCTCCACCATTTCACACCCACCAAACCACTTCTTCTTCTCTCACCTTCTTTCTCCATGAATGAACAGATTTGCAGGGGTCGCCGGGGGAGATTGAGAAGGCGTCGGCGGGGCAGGGAGAAGGCGGAGGAGGGGTCTTGGAGACGGGAGACCTACCGCCGGCGGGGGAGGAGGGCTGGCTCGCGGCCGATAGAGGGAGGAAGGCGGGGTCGTCGGGGAGGGGTTGTGGTTGGATGGGGGCTTCGCTGTTGATTCCTCTTCTTCCCCCATCTGATTCTAGATCTCCGTCGCTCCCTGTCGCTGTTGTCGGCTGGCTCGCGGCCGACGGAGGGAGGAAGGCGGGGTCGTCGGGAAGGGGAGATGGGACATCGGGGAGGGCTGGTGGTTGTTGGGGGCTGGGTGCAGGTGACAGCTGGGGGAGACGAGAGGGATAGATGGGGCAGAAGGTTAGGGTTAGGTTGGGATTTGGTCGTTTTTAGGATTTGGGGTCGTTTTCGGAGGAAAGGGGAAGAGGGTCGGCTACCCGAGAAACTGACGGTTTTCGCCGTCGGTTAACCGACGCTTTTCCCCTTTCCTCCGACTACCGACCGTGCCAAGATGGGGGCGGGTTTTGGTTAGCTGAAAACCGGTCGGTTCGGTCATAACCGACCGGTTAACTGCTAACCAAAAATCGTTTTGCCACCCCTACAAGCGATAGTAGACCGACGCCTATTAAAGGAGAAGTTTGGCGAGGATTCTGTCAGGTAAAGTAGACTCGATGTGTTCTACGCCAAACGCATCACCCAACAACCCTCCTTGATATGGCATTTTAGTGAAAAAAATTGTGGTCCGATCGATAGTGATACCGTTGCAATATCGTTGATAAATTACAACAATGCATTCAACTAGCTTTATACGATATGATATCACCAAAATCGATCGATTTTACTGGGAGTTGGTAATTTAACTATGTAAAACCGCTTGATGTTATATTTGCACAATATTTTTGTAAAGTATTGACATGAGAAGGGACACACGGTATTTACTTTCTATGACCTGATTGGTGATATGATACAGTTCGGTAATCTTTCAAATATATCCTCTAATAATAAAATAGACAGGAGGAATGCATGTGAAGGTGAGCCGCTGATGTCGATATTACCAAATTCGAGAGAATAGTACGTGGCTTGATTCTAATATGAAAATATTTTGATATTTTTAACATTGTTTTGTCGTTATAGATTGTAGATTGAATAGATACTATAGAGTATCACCCCATCAAACGCGATAGTCGATAAATAGTCGAATCGCTGATGAAATGAGCTTTTAACATTTTTTGGAAGTTGCGAATGTTAAATCGTTGCATTGTAATGAATCATCATAATATAAATGCATGTATTGATACAATAGATGTATTTTAACAATACAATGTTTGGTTGTTGATATTCTACTTTATGCATTGATTTACATAAATTACTTTTATGAGGAAATGTCATATTTACCCTCAACTTTTAATATAAGAGTATAAGACAAAAACTATTGGGGATATAAATGGAAAGAAAAGGTTGACACAAATCTAAAAGCAACAATCATAACTTTTAGTTGAGATTGTATAATGCATCATTTTTTGTGATTGTTGGTGGGACCTACATTTTGGCACTTCCAAACATTGTATGGTGCACAATACATATATTCAACAATCACAACTCTAACAATCACAACTTCCAGACGACCTCTAAGTATTTTGATGGGAGGAAATCATTCAAGGATACGTGATATTAGGTTCACTTTAGGATTGGTATCTTGTCAATTATTATGCGACTGATTTCTTGTCGTTACAATCATGTTTTCTTTTGGTTATATTGTTAGATTATGGTCCACTAGATGCTTAGGTTTTGTTCTTCCACTCACAAGAGTTTTTAAAATTTAAGTTAATATTCAATCGAAAGAGGAAAGAACCGTCAAATAGGGTTGCACAAGACAAGAGTCAATATATCTAATATCATGATGAAAAAAGAAGGATCATCATAAAAAGGTTAAATAATTAACTAAAAACAATTAATCTCTTAATGCATTGGATATGTGGAGAGTTTCCGTTCCTTAAAGGTAATAACTTTTACGGAAAGAATGAGACTGACGTATTGATGTCTTGTAACTGGTAACTCTATATGTAAAAAGGGAAGCTACACAGATGTCTCGGCGTCAAGTTGGATGATGATTATTGACTAGTCTTTGGCTAGCCTCCCACCTAATTCGAGTCATCTTTTTAGTTTTTACAATCCGTAGTTTTTGCTTTGTTGTTAATCAGTGTACAACTTCTCGTGTACATTTTAAATGCTCTCAATAAGTGATCGTGCGTGTTCGTTATTACAAACCCCATGCAGCAAGACCCAAATGTAAAGGAGTGAGAATCCGAATTGATTGTGATCCACCCTTATTGAGTCACCGATCTCTACTTTACGACCACATCTTAGTGCAACCTCAATTTATCTCTAATGATATGAGTGAAAACGCCAATGTTTTTTTTTTTATAAGGGTGAACTGATTTTATTAATTGGACAGGAGAAATTCATATAAATTTTATTCAGAAAAGTCAATATAAAAGCTGGTTTAAGCAAGTTTGGAGAATTGCTGGACCAACATTTGGATTAGTTTTAGTTGTGCAATCTCCACCGGTATACTCATTGGAAGAAATTAAACCACAAATTGCAGACGGCCAAAAGGTTAACTCGCAAGAACACATCACTGTTGAGAGCCCACCATCCTCTCTCACTTTCCTCTTCCCTTCATTTCTTCATCACAAACAAACGTCAGGCCGGTCTAGCTCACACTTCCCCATTTTGCTCTTATCTTTTATTTCCCAATTTCCATTTCGATTTCTTGCTGTTCTCCAACAGTTTCCCTCCACCTTCCTCTTCCTTATCCTCCCAACTCCTCTCTTTCTTCTCTGCCCGCCATCTAATTCTGGACTGAAGTGGAATCGAGCTCAAAAGCTCAATCCTTTACTCTTCCCAGCAGCCCCACGGAGCTCCTCGAGCTCCTCCCCGTTATGTGGGTTGGTCATCTTCTGCGATTTGATTGTGTGGGCGAAGAAGGGTTTCGTTGAGCTTTGAGGAAAGGGTTGCAAGTTTAGAGCTTTGAATCCAATACTATCTCTGCTGTAGCAAGTGGGTATTTTTTAAATTGCAATGCCAGTTCTTCGAGCAATCAAGCGAAGGAATATACCTGAGTCTTTAAATGGGCGGCAGCTAGGAATGGAATCATGGTTTTAGTCTGGAGCTGACTTGAATCCAGTTCCCTGACAATTCTTGAAGATTGAGTTTTTGCGCGTAAAGTTTGCAGAATTCTTTGGGTTGATTTCCTAAGTCCTTTATGGGCAGGTCTGGGTTAGTGATATCTTCATTTGTTTCTTCCTTAGTTTTGGTCGCCATATGTTGAAACTACTAGCGATGTCCTCAGTATGTTTAGATCATTATCAACAAAGATTGACATGGAGAGATTAATTTCATTAAGAGTAATTGTCACCATATTGAGCCAATTGTTAGCTCTACAGTTTCAACAGGCATCTGCCTATGGGCATAATGAGATTCAATCAAGGGTTTGTGGTGCTGATCGCATTTCCTATTCAAATAGTGTGGGTGGTGAAGGTTTCCTCATTAATGGAAGTGTTGTAGACTTAGATTCACTATGCAAGGCCCTCCATTTTCACATTGCGAGCGGCTGCATCTCTGCCGAAGACTACTTTATGAGCCTCTGTCGATCCGAATCCGAATCCGAATCCGAATCCGAATCCTCATCAGGTATCTGCTGATAGTATATTGGTGTGTTTGTTTTCAATTAATGATCTTGTTTGCTTGTAATCCCTTGTAGCTTGGAAGATACTCCTTAATTTGTTAACTGTTACTTGTAATGGCAGGTAACCCACACCACAAGCCAGCAAGAAAGCTTCTACAAAAGGAGTTTAAGGAAGAATCATCCAAAGAACAGAAGGCAAAAGATCCAAGTAATAATCTTTCTGCGAAGCACATTGGGATAATAGCGACTGGAATCATTGCGATGTGTTGTGGTGTGCTCTGCCCCTGTATATACAAGAGAAGGAAGGCTACTTCACACACTGTTCTTTCTAAGGATCAAGTTTCAAGTGAGTCCTTTAAAGCTCCTTTTCATGTTTATAGTTGATAGTTAGAGCTACATCGAATTTATTTCGTGCTTAAATTGATAGTAACCTAACATAATCTCTAAAATGCTGTCATGTTATCCATAACCGCAGTCGATTCAGTTTCCTCCTTCGATGCGCCACCCTCTGTTCATGATAAAGTGCCTGCTAGTCCACTTCGTGTGCCCCCAAGTCCTTCTAGATTCTCACCGTCCCCTAAACTTTCTAGACTTGGGTCGGTTCATCTGAACCCGAGTCAAGTCACCAGAGCTACACGTAATTTCTCTCAGTCACTGAAGCTAGGTGAAGGAGGCTTTGGAACCGTGTACAAAGCCCACCTGGATGATGGGCAGATAGTTGCCATAAAAAGAGCTAAAAAGGTAAGGCCTTGAACATGTACCTAACTTAGAACCATTACTTTTTGACCAGATGATTTCTTTTTTCAAGTATACAATGCACAAGAATCCTATTAGTTTGTTGCTGTTTTAAACTATGCATCTTTTTGGTGGTTACTCAAGTGGGTACCTGAAATGACTAGTTTTTTGACCAATTCCTAATATATCCAAGATGTATCATGAAGAAGACATTTTTTATTCCTGGAACACCTTCCTTTATTTGCTCTTTGCTAGATTAAGGATTGCCTAGCTCATGGCACGGGTAGTGTTCTTTTGTGAAGAGTTCTTCCATGGTACAACTTTTTTGGAAATGTTGCCAATGGAAGAGGGCTCCTCTCATGATTAGTGGGAACAGGCTTTCCATATCAGAGATAGGTCCAGTTTTTTTGTTTTTGTTTTTTTTTTTTAACTAACTAATTAACAGGAAGTTGGCAAAGTTGTAGGAGTTAGGAGCAGGGATGCTTAACAGTTTCAGTACTATGGGTCACTCATATCAATCAATTATCTTGTTCATAGTTAGGATTTCCCCCAAGTTTTGCTGAATTTTCTCTCCAGAGATTGTTGAATGTCATGTTTGATGTGTTCCTTCTTATTAGCTCTATCCAGTTTGTAGTTTTGTCTTGGGCATTCTGTTGGTTAACTTTACATAACCGAATGTAGGAACATTTTGAGAACTTGCAAACAGAATTCCTCAGCGAAGTTGATCTTCTGGCAAAAATTGATCACCGGAATCTGGTGAAGTTACTAGGTTTTGTCGATAAAGGACATGAGCGGCTTATCATCACAGAGTTCGTCCCGAATGGTACCCTCAGAGAACACTTGGATGGTCAGCGTGGAAAAATTCTGGACTTCAATCAACGGCTCGAGATAGCCATCGATGTTGCTCATGCTCTTACATATCTCCATCTATATTCAGGTTGGTCCAAAGATTGAAACTTCTTCACTTTTAGTTCCATGTTATGCAAGTCCTAATATTTAGTTCCATAACAGAGAAACAAATCATCCATCGAGACGTGAAATCGTCCAACATTCTTCTAACGGAGAGCATGAGAGCCAAAGTGGCTGACTTTGGATTTGCGAGGTTGGGTGTGGACTCCGACCAAACTCATATCTCTACCAAAGTCAAAGGCACAGTGGGATACCTCGACCCTGAATACATGAAGACATACCAGCTCACCCCTAAGAGCGACGTGTATTCATTTGGGATACTACTCTTAGAAATTCTCACAGGCCGTCGTCCTGTGGAGCTAAAGAGACCTGCTCCCGAGCGAGTAACCCTTAGATGGGTAATCTTCTTTTAACCTTGAACAAGTCTAGCTTCTTTTAAAACCTTTTGACCGATCGATGTTGAAGCTTTGAACTACTCATTCGCAGGCATTCAAGAAGTACAATGACAATGCAGTGGTGGAGATGGTGGATCCTTTAATGGAGGATGTTGTGGATGCGGGAATACTGAGAAAGATGGCGACTTTGGCCATCAGATGTGCAGCTCCTGTTCGTAACGAGCGGCCTGATATGAAAGCTGTAGGAGAAGAGTTGTGGGGGATAAGATCTGACTACCTCAAGAGTTCTAGAGGAGGGTAGAAAGAAATATCAATCATGTCGCGGTCAAACATGAACCTGGAGTCGAATCTTACAAGCATCGTCTTTCCCTGCTGCAGAATCCCACATTGTAAACAGACCCTTCTTTTTTCGGACGAAGTATAGTTTTGATTTGTCTAAGGTTGATTCCCATTTTCGGGGCATTGTATCATTGGCTTGATTGAGGTCGATACAGAAGCTTGGCTGTGTATGGTTACGTTCTTCTTCTTATCCTTCAAGCAAGTTCTGGCTTCTCCATGTTTCTAGTTTGGCCAAGAACATGCTGCAGTCAATTCGAGCAACATATTCCTAATGTTGTACCAACTTTGATATTGATGAACTTGTTGCAAACGTCCAATTGTGACTACTACTGTTAGTTATTCCGAATTTGATTGTGTGCAAGTTTATTAAAAATCGAAATACAGTGATGAATCTAATAATGATCTCAAAGTTTCATGATCATTTATGTAATTGACCCTCTACTTCCGCCTCTCTTGTTCTTCTCGCTGTTAGGTTTCCACAGAAAAGAAAAATTCAAATTTACAGTTGTGGAATTCTGGTGGATCTTTGGATTCTTCCCTTTTATCACAGCCAGTTGCAAACCAAGCAAGCCACAGTCAACTTTCAATTCTTCTCCTTCCTTTTTGATTCTTCAACTGGAACTTCATGACTCTATTTCTTCAGGTAATTCTGTTTCCCTTCGCTTTATTTACTGTTCTTATTCTCTGGGTGTTTGTTTGATTTCCCATGGTCGCCAGTGGAAAACCCTGCTCTAGAATCTTGGAAAGTTTTATACTTTAACTGTTTCAGCGCTCGATTTCTGCTACGTTTCCCGTGAAATGTCTTCATCATTCGTGCAGACAGTGATGAATTTCTGCTGGGTTGCTTGAGAAAATGATTCTTCAGGCAGGAGCTTCTTCCTGCTTCAGCTCAATTCCACCATGCCCAATCTCGAGCTCCAATCGCCAACCCTCGTCTCTAACGACTCCCAATTTCATCTCAATTAGATACAGAAATGGTAGAATGTGAGTAATTAGTAAAGGTTCTTTCACTGACAAGATCTAGAGTTTAATGTGCATCGCAAGCTGGTGCTGATCTCTCAAGGCTTCTTGCTGTAGGTGTGAGTTCAATGATTTGCATAAAGAGCTGGTCCCTTACGCCGACGCTTGGAAATGGCAAAAGGACATTGTTGCAGAGAAGAAAGCTCTGGTGGAGACCAACCACGATTGCCCTGATACATTGATTGTGCTCCAGCACCATCCTGTCTATACTTTGGGTATGGGTAGTTCATTGGAGCACCTTAATTTCGACATGAACGATGCTCCATTCAATGTATATCGAACTGAGAGAGGTGGAGAAGTTACTTATCATGGACCTGGGCAGGTACTAACTAACCTGTCTTGAAAATTTGCAGCAGACTTCTCTCAGTTCTATCGAATGCTTTAGTGATGCTTCTAGTATTCACTTTCAGTTAGTTATCTACCCAATAGTTAATCTCCGAAACCACAAGATGGACATCCATTGGTACCTCAGGGCGCTCGAGGAGGTGATCATTCGTGTTCTCTCATCAGCATTCTCCATCGAGGCTTCCCGAGTTGATGGCTTGACTGGAGTCTGGTTTGGTATGTTCTTACTCTGCCATCTGAATGAACTGGGGGAGATCATATGAATGTATGAAAGCATGAAGCTTCTGTTATTATGTTTTCAGGCGATCAGAAACTGGCTGCAATTGGGGTGAAGGTTTCTCGGTGGATAACGTACCATGGAGTTGCACTGAATGTGACCACGGATTTGGCGCCTTTCAAATCGATAGTACCGTGTGGGATCAAGGATAGTAGGGTAGGCAGCATCAAGTCATTGCTGGGCTTAGATGATGAAGCTGATACTCAGCTAATTGAAACTGCTTATAAGTCGTTGATTAAGGAGTTCTCTGAGGTTTTCGAACTTGGAATTGACCATATAGCTTCCTCCCCCATTTTAGAGGGTTTAGAGACTTAGCTTTCAACCTTCCCTTGTATGAAACATGACTTGGAGGGAATCACTGAGTTCAAAACTGTAATGGTACATTAACTTAACTGCATTGCTCTACGTTTTTGTTAGCAAGAAATAAACTCATTTACATCTCTCCCTAAACTGCAAATGTACAACTTTTCTGGTTGATTGACGATCAGATCATCTTCAGAAGATGCTGAAAGTCCGTGGTACCTGCAACCTCAACCTCTTCCATCTGCTCCTGATAGCAATGGATGCAATCCCAGTACATGTTCTGGCATGAAATCATGCCTCGTCAAGATTCCTACCACAGGTGATCTCTGCAAATTTCAAAGGCGTGAACTTTTTAGTTATAAAAATCACTAGAGAAGAAGATGATGATAGACACTTGTAACGAGAGTTGTAGTCGAGATCATACGATATCTATCGCTCTAAAATGGTAACAATGTAAGATAAATCAGGCAGCAAAAGAGCTACTTACATTGGTGATCTTGGGGATAACCAAGAGATGTCTTAACCCGAGTTGTCTGAACAGAACAAGAGCCTTGGCAAGCGACATCGTCTCCACAACAGTGTATGGAGAAGCATTCGTAAAAGGATGCAAGTCAACGTACATCTCCATCTCCTCTGCACTAATCTCCAAATCATCAATGGTGTCCCGAGTCCCCGACCCTCTCTTCGCGAAGTCGGCAGCTGAGAACTCCACGCCGCCGCCTCTGCTCTCTGCTGATGTTGACATAAAACCGTCCTTCCTCTTTAGCAGCTCAACGAGATGGGCTCGAAGGATCAACCCGTAAAGCACTCGTGAATCGTCCTGGGAACATTCGTCAACAACAGGGAATCCATTGTGCCTAGTGATCCTCAATACATGAACAATAGTTCCAACCTTCTCAACTCCGTGGAATGTCCAAAGAGGACCGGAGAGCACGTCAGCAACCGTCAGTTGTCTCATGTAAGGTTCAGTGTGTGCCACGAGATACGGCAACCCTTTCGCCTTCATGATCAAGTCATAGATATTGCCGTTGAAAGCATCAGCAACAGTTTTAGAGATAAGTAGAACCAGCATTATCAATGGCAGTAACAGAAGATTGTTTGTGAGCTCGAGAAGGATCACACATAGAGAAACTGTCATCCTCATTGATCCACCAAGGAATGATGCAGCTCCCAGAACAGCATAGAGGCCATGGTTGAGGCTCGAGTGGGGTCGACCGCCAAACAGCATTCCGACAAACCGGCCATATGATGCACCAGTGACTATGACAGGGACAAATAGACCAACCGGAGCAACGATACCGTAGCTGAGGATGCTCAGGACGCAGCAGATAAGGAAGAAGACGAGTACTGAGGAGGCATGGAACTCGGAGTCAGTATTCCTACTGAAGAGGTTACGAATGGCGTCATCATTGGTGTTGAAGATGAGGCTGGCGAGATCATTGTAGTGGCCAGACGAACACTGAAACTTCCTGTAGTTGCCTGACCGGCCTATCGTTGGACAGGCCTCCAATGCATCGGGTGGACATGGCTGGCATGAGCCGAGCCATGGGACTCCAAAGAGGAGGCATGATGTGAATATTGATATCAGACAAGCTAGTAGGATCTTGTAGACTGTGCCTTTCCTAGCAATAAGGAATCCAGAGTTAGTCATCATTTGTTCTGAGATAGGGATGTACAGCAATTTGGTTCACATTGGATCGACTTGGATCACGATCGAATATATACACACCTTGATTCTCAAGAAGCTAACAAGAAGTGATTAGGATCTTACTCGTTGATGTAGTTGTACATTCGAAGGACTTTCTCTAGCAGGAAGTTATAGAAGCTTCCCAAAATGCCTCCCATGACTCCAAGAAGAAGCACAGAAGGGACGTCAGTAAGATGGTAAGTGATGCTTGCTGAATAGACGTCGAACATGATGAGCCCTCCTTTGCCGAACAAACCACACTTCCCGCTCAAACACACATCGATCAAGGCGCGGAGAACTATGGCAACTACAGCCGTCGCAAAGAAAGATCTCCACAATAGGGCACTTCTCCACCTGCAAAAAAGCAAGACATTGTAGAGAGACTTCCAACTCCTTTTGGCATAAGGAGAGCAGCATTATGAGAATAGTTAGCCAGCCATACCATGATGCCATTTCCTCGAGAGCAAAGAGCACACCGCCAACAGGGGCGCGGAAGGCAGCAGCTATTCCAGCTGCCGATCCACAGGTCACGAGGTCTCGCCTGTCACGGTCGTTCTTGAAGAATCTCAACCATTTCCATGTTAAGCCATACTTCTTGGAGCCACCTTGGCCGAGCAAAGATGCAACGCAGGCGCCTGTGTGGACCATTGGCCCTGCCTTCCCAACTACAAGAGATGCTGACACAGCTGAGATGCTTCCAACAACCTGCATAATTAAAGATCGAATTCTTATGCAGGTTCGGTATGGTTGATATGTCCTGAATCCTGATCCTTGTCCTAAAGTGAATTACCTAATCTAACTCTTACTCCAGACAACGAGCTAATATGGATATAGAAATGCCCGCCCTACCCCACTCCATTGTCATCCTTGTCTAGGAAAATACCATATTTGAGCAAACCTAAGCTGAAGAAAGCATCTTGGGTAATTACCTTGACAAACAGAGTGCGCAAAGATAAGATTCCTGGAGCATCCACACCATTGAGGTAAGCCTTCACCTCCGGTATACCAGAAACCGGCGGCAGCCGGAGCTATGAATGCCGTGATGAGGGTTGCAAACAGAGTCAATACCAAGTTAGATGCAGAGAACACGAAAAATGCCATCTTAAACCTGCCAAGCCAACCATTTCCATCCTAATTCAGCGAGGAAAGAAAAGTAAAAGCTTTGGAACTTTAGCTCGACAAAAACAAACTGCTAATCTCCAACCTCCCGGCGAGCATCATGTTGGAAGTGACCACGAACTTCAATCCAGCAATGTTCTCGACGGCCAAATTATTGAAGAACCCAATTAGGCTAACAATCAACCCAACAAGAAAACAGAGCGACCACTTCATGAACAAGTACTGGAACATCTGCTTCTTCCCGCGAGACCTCCAGTCCTGCTTGAACACGTCATTCTCCGCGATTCTGCGCCAAACCCAGTATAAATCAACTCGAACCCAAACGGGGAAAAGAAAAAGAACCAGACTTTCGAACTGGGGAATCTCACTCGTAGTCGAGGCTTTCGATCGGGCAGACATTGGCGCCGACGAGGGCGACCTGTGAGGTGGAATTGATGAGGGAACGCTGTGGGAGCAATAAGGGAGATGCAAGTGATTCAGACCCGTCGTTGCCATCGTCGCCACCGCCGTCCGGGGAAAGTCTGTTCATCGGGGGTTTTGAAAACTGAGAGGAAAGGTACAACCGGACGGCGACAAAGTTGAGAAAGAGCAGGAGAGAGTAGAGTCATTCTGCCTCTAGCTGTGGGGCAGAGTTAATTCTAGGTGGAATTGTAACAATATTTTTTAGTTAACTAGAATGATATGATATGTAATGGTTATAAAATAATTATATAAAAATTTGTGCCTTATTGAACTGATAAACTATATGATATATCGAGCAGTTTTGATCTATGCTATATAGATACGATGTTGACTGAATATATTATATTATACAATCATATGAATCATATCATCCCTTGATATTATCATATAAAATAATCTATATAATTCGCGTCTTACCATCTTTGATATGAATCATATTATCCCTTGATATTATCATATCAAGGGTCGTAAACACTAAGTTTTGCAGTCTTGATGTGTATCATATCACTTCCCTTGTTTTATTGTAATAAGTTAATAACCACTACATTGATATACTATTTGTTGAATGATGAATACTAATTTTACCACTCAATTTTTTTTAACTTATCTTCCGTTGGAATTTATGCTTTTCTATTATGTTTTCCATTCAATTATGTTTTCACAAATCTCGTCGATATAAAATGCCTAAGTTACTCCAATACGAATGAGTACCTTATCTAACCACCACCACTTTTCAAATAATTATAATTATGAAGGACAGTAAGGAAATAATAATGAATTTTATTGATCATTACTCATTAGTAAAAAAATAAAAATGCTTATGAAAAATGGTTAAAATTATTATTATTTTTCGTTGAATAAAAAGGGGAAATTATTCTCCCAAAACCAAAAGGCACAGAAAAAGGAAGAAATAAAGACAGATTCCAAGCTCCCGAAAGAAAAGAGTTTGACGCCGATCGGCCAAGAAAAGAAAATCGGAAAGGTCGCCTTCATTGTCGGCAGCGACGGCGACCCTGACCGCCGACCAGTCTTCTCTCACCCTTTCGTTTCCCTTACATCTGGCCCTTCCAAACCGCGTGTGTGTTTATAACTTGTTAGTTCATTCGCGAGCAGAGAGAGCCACGTCCCTCACTCCCCCACACAAATCTTCGATTCCAACGTCGAATTTTCCCATTTCTTCTTGTTCCAACTTTCCCATTAATCCATTCCCCATCTGACCCACCATCCAAAAAACTTCATTTCCCAGTCCGTTTCCCCGGAAAACCCGTTACTGTTTCACTTCATCTACTCTTCTTCTTCTTCTTCTTTAATCCTCTGTTTTCCCGCTGCACCTCTTCCTCCTCTGCTTCCAGCTGAACCCAGCTGGAAGAAATGTCCTTCTTTGTTGGCTTAGTCGTCGGGATAGTCGTCGGTCTTGCTCTGATCGTCGTCTTTGTCCGCTCCGAGAATGCGCGATCCAAGCTTCGAACTGACCTCGTTAGTGCCTTGGTTCATTGACTTTCGTTTTACTTCACTGGATGGACGGGAAAGTTTTGAACTTTGGCAATTTCATGATGTGGGGTGTCCAATTTCTTTTCTGGGGTGCAGGCGGCGACGGTGGCGGCTTTTGCGAGAATGACGGTCGAGGATTCTAGACATCTGTTAGCTCCTGAGTATTACCCTTCTTGGGTCGTCTTCTCTCAGCGCCAGAAGGTTAGAAGTTGTTATTTGATCTGTGTGTTTCTGTAAAAAAATGGTCTCTGCTGGGTTTCCTGATTTCTTGGGTTTTTTTGTGTGTGTGTGTGTGTGTGTGTGTGTATTGCACAGTTGAATTGGCTTAATTCTCATCTGACGAAGATCTGGCCTTATGTTAACGAGGTTTGTAACTTCAATTTCTTATTGGTTAAGCTCGAATTTGATGAATGTTTGAGAAATCGTGGTTTGATGCGGGAAGTTGAAATGTTGTTTCTTTGGAAATCTTGCCGCATTGTAGGCAGCATCTGAGCTGATAAAGAGCTCCGTTGAGCCGACTCTTGAGCAATACAGACCCATAATTCTGTCATCTCTCAAGTTCTCCAAGTTCACTCTTGGTACAGTTGCCCCTCAGTTCACAGGTTAGTCCTCTGCTTGCTCTTCTTAAATGATTAGTGAAACTTCCATCGTTTGAGATTCACAGTATAGAATTGTGTTCCAATAGGCTACCTTTAGCTGATTAAGATTCCGTTTCTCGGAAATGTCGTGGAAGAGTGTGGCTCTCTAACTGCACGTTCAATGATTCGGTTAATTGTTGCAAAAGATTGCTTAACTTTGGTAGTCCAAACGTCCTTACAAAAGCAATGCCATTGTGTCATTTTCCAGGAGTATCTATTTTGGAATCTGATAGCAGTGGTATTACTATGGAGTTGGAAATGAACTGGGATGGCAATCCAAACATAGTACTTGATGTGAAGACCAGGCTGGGTGTTTCATTGCCTGTCCAGGTACTTATTATTATTACTACTCAAAGAATTGCAATGTCAACCATTTCAAGGAATTATAGGCCACAATGTTGAATTATCCAAGATGACTGATATCCGAGATCAAGCTGTTAGCATCCTTTTGCCACTGCAAACATGTTGACGGTTGTTGTAATGTGAAGGAAGTTAGCTTCATCTGTGGAATTCCAATTTTTTACGATCTTTTTTCTTTTGTATTTCATATCTTCTACGCAGGTCAAAGATATTGGATTTACTGGGGTCTTCAGGTTGATCTTCAGACCGCTGGTTGAAGAGCTTCCTTGCTTTGGAGCTGTTTGTTATTCATTGAGACAAAAGGTTCAGTATCTTGTCTTTCTAGTTTTGACAATTTCTGATGTAGAGATTATAATGTTCTTAAAGAGCATTTTTTGGTTGTGCAGAAAAAGTTTGACTTCAAGCTTAAAGTAATTGGAGGTGACATAACATCTATTCCTGGACTCTCGGGTGCTCTGGAGGTTCGTAATTTTTTTTAACTCTTCTTGTGCATGTGCCATGAAACTTATGCTAATGTTAATCAAAAAGCCATTTCCTCACTCTGTACAGGATACAATACACAATGCTATTGAAGACTCCATTACCTGGCCGGTGCGGAAAATTGTCCCTATCTTGCCAGGGGATTACAGGTGTGGCAATATATGATATAAATGTTATATTTGCTTCTATAGATTGATCTAGACCCATGAATCGAATCATATTTTAGTTTAGATTCTGTTCAGGTAGATCTAATATTGTAGGAGTAATATTTGGTTGAATGTATTAGGATACTCAACATTTGGTGCAAAAAATTCGAAAAAACGATGCATTGTGGACAATACATGCATTGTAACTATCTCAACCAAACAATCACCAAAACCAAACGACCCCTATATGTTTGCCTAGCTATTCCCGTCTTCACGATTCATCATTGGGGAAACCTTCCTTTTCCTATGTTCAGTGACTTGGAGTTGAAGCCATCTGGTACACTAGAAGTGAAACTGGTGCAGGCCAAAGACTTAACAAATAAAGACTTCATCGGGAAATCAGATCCCTATGCCGAACTGTACATTAGGCCGTTGCGTGACCGAACAAAAACGAGTAAAATCATTGTAAGATACCTGGTCTTTTTTCATAGTTCATAGTTTTCTTTAACTTTCTTTGGATAAGGTTTTTATATTTTTGTTCATGCAGAGCAATGATCTGAATCCAATCTGGAATGAGCACTATGAATTTGTTGTTGAGGATGCATCCACTCAACACTTGTATGTTAAGATTTATGATGATGAGGGACTACAAGCTTCTGAGCTACTTGGATGCGCTCAAGTTCAATTAAGTGAGCTTGAGCCCGGTAAAGTGAAGGATGTGTGGTTGAAGCTGGTCAAAGATTTGGAGGTCCAAAGAGACACCAAATACCGAGGGGAGGTGAGGTTATGGCAGTCAAAAACTTGCTGAAGTTCATAATTATGGTAAGGTAGATTTTACATTTATGGTTTGTTGTGATTGATACGATTTTAGGTGCACTTGGAGCTTCTCTACTGTCCGTATGGTATGGAGAATAGCTTCACCAACCCCTTCGCCAAGAAAGTTGAAATGACAACCTTGGAAAGGGTGCTCAAAAGTTCAGGAAACGGGATAGCAGATGCTGCTCAAACTGAAAGAGAAGTCTCACAGAAGAAAAGGGAGGTGATTGTTAGAGGAGTTCTTTCTGTAACCGTGATTTCTGCTGAAGATTTGCCTGTGGTTGATCTCATGGGCAAGGCTGATCCTTTCGTTGTTCTCACCATGAAAAAGTCGGATACTAAAAATAAAACCAGAGTAAGTTTCTCTCCGATTACATTTGTGACGAGTTTCCAATGCTTTCTCCAGTTGCTTCGGTTTATTTTGTATATGTTCAATTCAGATTCAGATTCACATTCACCATTGTACTCTTTCTTCTCGACAGGTTGTGAATGAGAACTTGAATCCTGAGTGGAACCAAACATTTGACTTTGTTGTGGAGGATGCACTGCATGATATGCTCATTGCTGAAGTTTATGATCATGATACATTTCGCAAGGTAAGTTTGACTCCATCCTCTCTCAAAGCTGCCGTGAATGGTGTTTTGTTACGAGTTTGGACTTTTGCCAGCACTGTTCTTATTCCACATTTTGTTGTGCAGGAGTATATTGGGAGGTGCATCTTGACATTGACCAGGGTCATATTAGAAGGAGAGTACAGAGAATGCTTCCCACTGGATGGTGCTAAATCTGGAAGGCTGAATTTGAGCCTCAAGTGGGTCCCACAACCAATCTACCGCGATTCCCAGTAGTAGCAGGCGACACAGCCCATAGTTTCGGCATTCAGAAATTCTCATCCATTGTCATAGAGCTCAGTGTATCTCATAGCTTGGAAACAAGCTGTACATAAGAATTCTTTTTGTGAATTACCCAGAAGATTGTTGTTTCAATGGATGGATAATGAGAGCTCTATTGAGAATGAGATGATAGGAAGCAGAGCTATTTTTGACATGTTGTAACCGATATATCCAGCCCAACAGCATCCCTGTTACAAATATGACCTAGACAAGGATTGCATTATGTATTTGCTTTATACATTGAAGAAACTGCCATAATATTCAGCAATTGGCTGCTGATTCGGTGTGGCCTCATCACTCTGAATGCAGCAAGAACTTGGTAGTAACCGGCTGGATGATACTTCTCAAGTGATGCTTATTTAGTTTTCTGCGTCTCAGATTGCCTCCCCTGCAAGCAATGCAAAAAAAGTTCAGCTGGGATGTAAAAGGTCCGGAGGAATTTGCAAGTTCCTCAACCGAAATGGTGACGAAATTCCCCATTCTAATTTGCTTACCAGTATTGGTTGAGCAATACAAATGCATCAGTGGGCACCTTTTTGCCATCGTCATTGCGGTTCCAGTGGTACAATGCATGTGTTCTATTCATTATCTCTAAAGTTGAATGCCCATAACTGGCTTCCCTGAATGCAGAATAATCTGGCTGTGGTTCCAAAAACCTGCACAAACCATCAATGGGATGGTTTATTCCTTGATTTGAAAGCTTATTAGCTACTGAATCCATTAAGAGTTTCGGATTATATGTATTGTTGTATACCTTCCAGCAAGACCTTCTTGATTCCCTCCATCCCCTACTGTAATGTAGACGGGTGCAGATTTGTCTGGAATAGGATATCGGGCGCCACTTGTCACATTGTATTGTATGTTTGATATTCGGTACTGGAGGTAGATATAAGACAGAAATGGATTAGCTTCTCAAACGCTGCACAACTCTATTTTAGTAAGAAGTTAAAGCTCTTCTAATTTACCGATCTTTCATAAGCGTGGACATGACCAGCAAAGATAACATCGACTCTGTATCGAACAAACCACTTCTCGAAAGCTGCACGCATACTTTCTCCCTCCATGTAATGCGCGTCATTGCTGTTGTAGATAGGGGCGTGCATGAGAACAATGAGCCACGGCGTCTTCTCTCTGTTGACATTCTTCAGCTCTTCCTTCAGCCACGTCCATTGTGGAGTGTATTTCACTGATCAAAAGATTGAATTAGAGAACAACTAATAAAATATCATAGAGAAGAACCGAAGTTAGAAAGGTTACCGAAAGGTGAATAGCTGGAGAGTACAATGATATGAGCAGATGCACGTTTGACGGCATACCAAAGAGGACTAGTGCTTTTGGAAGCCAAGTAAGGAGTAGGGTACCGATGAAGAAAGTTTTTGAAAGGAACAACCTCATCCTGAGAAATAGGAGTGGAAAAAATGTTCTCGAATTACTCCGATGAAAAAGCTTAAATCTCCAGTATTATGGAATTGGAGAATTGCACGAACAAGTTTACCATGTATGGCATGAACTCAATTTCGTGATTTCCAGCAGACCACATCCATGGCTGATATGCTGTGCTTTGCTCAACAAAACGGGCCCATGTATCCCATCGAATCCCAACATCATTGTACTGGTATCTGTCTGCATAAGAGAGGTCACCAACAAATAACACTGCATCTGCCCCACTCTCCATGTAGTGTTGAAGGGTAGATAGAGAGTTATATGTTTGGCCCAGATCACCTGGAAGACATAAATAGAAGGGAGCACAACCGAGTGATAACTCAGTAACCGTAAGGCGAAAATTGAAGCACATGAAAATGCATATATGTACGACACAGGTGGCGACTTACCAATTATTCCGAACTTATATGGAGCATCTGGATTAATCTTTGGTGGCGTTTGGAACCAGAATTCACGAGAAGATTCACCATCGCCGATCTTGTAGTAATACTTAGTAGCATACTACAGACATGGAAAGATCAGGAAGTAAATAACTCAGGCCAAGTCTGCAAAACACAATGAATTCAAACTAGTTCAAAGTTGAATTTACCTCAAGGCCATCAAGGAGGCACTCGTGAATGTATCCCGATTTGTACTTGTAGAAGGAATAGTTTGATACTGTCCCATCAGCAGTCAAGTCATATTTCTTCTCTGACTTACCATACTGTACTTTAAGAGAACCAGGCTCGTCAGGTGTCACCCACGAAATGATCACAGCCTTCCCTTCATAGTCACCCTGTGTGATGTGTACCTACAATTTATCGAAGCAAAGACACAAAATTGTGATAAAAATGCAGTACATCTTCTCATAGCCAGTCAGAACAAAATCCTCAGACAATAACGAATTCTTGACCGAAAATGCATTGTCTTCCCAATTAAAGCAAGTTCAACACTCCATTTTTGGCACTTGTACAGCAAAAGCAATCCCTTCTCCAAGCCACTTGTTGTATAGTAACAAACAAGTTACCTGTTGGGGTGCATTTCGACCCTTAGGAACTGCAAATGCTTGATTATCAAGAGGGATATCAGTCGATGGCCACTCCGAACGGACAAAGGTACTCGTCATCTTCGCATTCCCATTGCTCAAACAACTCAAGAACAGAAAGAGTGCGGCAACAAGCCGAACCCACAACTGCTTCATCTTTACAAGACGTTGCCGATCGATCAGAGTGAACCGAACCTATCTGCAATCATCAATGTTGAACATTAAATTCTCAAGTCAATTTTGACTTTCGACACAAACCCTTCCCTACCAACTGCAGTAACTCAAATCACAACGAATTCGAACAAGGGTCAAGTTCAATGCTTTCTAATTCGAGAAAGAACAATGGATCAAAGCAGTAATTCCTTCCAAACTTGGAGACGGATGAATCAAAGCAGTAACTCAAATCACAAGGAATTCGAACAAAGGTCAAGTTCAATGCTTTCTAATTCCAGAAGAACCATGGATCAATAATGTGCTAGTTAAGGTCAACCTTGACTTAATTTTGGCTGCTACCCAGAAATTGAAAACGGAACAGGATCGCAAAGAACACAGTTTGGTAGAGAGAGAGAGAGAGAGAGAGAGATCAAAAGAGGAGACATTTCGTTACCAGCGGATAAGGTGACGAGGAAGCAGCTTGTGGTGGAGAGCAAATGATTGAAAGAAGCGATCTTTATTCAGAGTGAGCCACCGTAGTTAGAATGTCATTATCGCTTCAGAATTACAGTTGCAGTTGAGAAGGCTTCGTGACGGAGGCGCAGGTTGAGCCCGGTGGGGTGCGGTGACACCAGAAAACGATGACGCCATCCATGCGTGAGTTTTGGCAGTAAAAATCATGTACTTGGGTTGGGCCTGGGCCTGGCCCAACAAAAGTTCCACAATTTCTGTTTCAGGCACATCTGCGACTGCGAGGAAGGAAAAGGAAATTCTTTGGAGAAGGAGATCGATTCTTTGCGCTCATCTGCGCTATTAGCAGCGGCGGCGGCGAGTGAAGACGGCAGCATAAGATCCTCCGTCGACGGCGGAACGGTAAAAAATTTCGACAGGTTTGTTCCCATCTTCACTCTCTTATCGATCTCTGGATTTGTTTGGTTTTCCCGCCGTGGAATCAGTCGATTCCTTGCCCAGGTCTGAATTCTTGTGTTTATGAGTTTGCTCAGCTACCCTGGTCTGGAGCTCAATTTCGCCATTTTAGCTGAAAAGAAGAGAACTTTGGTAGTTTATGGTTGAGGGGTTTTGTTTTTTTAACTCATTTGGATTGCTGATTTCAGTGTAATTCTCCCAACCTTTTCCTTCGCAATGTTGTGGGCAAGTATAAGGCAGAAACTTGTAAATTCAGCTGGAAACGCTTCGATCGACCGTGGCTTTACCAATTTGTGTGGCGGAGCTAGAGGAATTCTAGCATACTCATGGCCATTAAGGTTAGTTGATAACAACGTAGTTTTGAGTTATCTTTCAGCTTAAGAAATGGGCAGCTTGGTTGCTGCTTGAGATTCCCTTTATATGAATTTGATAAAACTTATAGGGTTGTCTGCTGATCCATGGGATGTTGGGTTTTGAAAGCATAAGCTTGATTGCTGTTCATTTGATACCATTTCGTTATCAAGCAGAGACTCGTCGGCTTATGGATTGAATAGGTTGTTTTCCTCAGCATCAGAAGCTTCCTCAACAGGAAGTGAAACCCAGGTACAAAGTCTACACAGTTGGATTTCCTGTTAAGCTATGGCTTCCAATTGGCTCCTCCAATTGCTTTGAAATCCTGGTAGTTGTATTGATTTGAAGACTGTGATGAACATTGCAGGCTCCTATGCCGAGGGCAATGTGGAAGGGTCCGTTCGTGGATGCTTTCCTATTGAAGTTGAAGAACAAGGGAGATCCGCTCAACAACAGGAAGATCTGGTCGAGGAGGTCGGTCATATTGCCCGAGTTCTTGAACTCCACTGTCAGGATATACAATGGGAAGTCGTTCGTTCGTTGCAAGATCACCGAGGCCAAGGTGGGACACAAGTTCGGGGAGTTTGCTCTCACTCGAAGGAGGAAGTTCAGAGGCAGCGATGGCAAAGGGGGTAAGACTAAGACTCTTAAGAAGGGTGGAAAGAAGTAGTAGTAGTAGTAGTAGCAGCAGCAGCCTCATAATTGGCTGTTCTTTGTTTTACATCACTAGAGAATTTGCAGTTGGAACTTACAAAAATGAAAGATTTTGAGATGTGAGTTGCAAAATGTAGTATATGTTGCCATGGCATCTTAGTTTCTGAAGTCCATGGTTCTGATTTCCTACATATTTGTTCATTCTACTGCTGCTAAACTGGAAAACAAACCAGTTAAGCGCTGTTATCGATTTTTCTTATCGATAGAGAACGATCTCAAACTGTCAAGCAACTGATTTCTCGCTTTGGATTCGTACTCGGGTTTTTTCGTTAGAATTCGCATTCGGGGATGGCATGTGAAACATGTAGATTATGAACCAGTTCATTTGATCATATGCCACCCTCAATAAAACAAAAGAAACAACCACGATTTCACCACCTACAACTGCTGACTTCTGTCCCCAGAAACAGGACCAGCTGATTGAGACGTCCTCCTGTTTCCAGACAAATCACTCATATTAATTTTAACAGCATCTTAATCTTTGCTTTTCTCATGGATTATTCATTATTCAAGTAATTGAACCCAGGGAGGCACGTTTTAGTGCAGTTGCAACATCTCTGTCCTTATCATTGCATCAAAATTACACAACAGAAGGTTGAATGTCAAAATGGATGAAGATTCATATATTTACAATACTTGCATACTTGTGTTCATAGCATGTGTCAGATGGTAACGAGAATGGCTACGATATATGCACGAGCACGGCCGATCACGTGCATCTGTCAAGATAGCGTATTACACTGGTCGATATCATCTTATTGCACCGTTATGAAAGTTTTGAGTAGTCGTGACGAAAAAGAACACAAGACACATGAGATGATTACTATAGCATGATACGAAATAAAATTTGACATCACAATCACTCGAAGGCAAGACCTTTCACTGCGTGCATAAGGGGTCCTAACGAAAGACACTAGTATTTTCCCAGGTTACATCTTTACGCGTTTCATGATCTTAATTCAACAACTCACAGTGACCGTATAAACCAGAAGTGTCCACCATCGAAAGTGATTCATTTGTGTCATACCAAGAAAAAGATGAGTGGCGCAGAATCTCTCTCACGTATATATAATAATGGCGGGACGTTAACGGGAACGAACTAACTTTCTCCAAATCCCCCCGCCTTAACTTTCTTTCACCCACACCAGAGTTCCAATCCAACTTCTCTTCATCCTCTGTTTTCCATTTTTTATTTTTTTTGGGTAGAACATCCTCTGTTTTCTGGGTCAAGCAGTTGAAACAAAAACAGAGCACCGCCGCCGGCCGGCCGGCGATGAAAGACCCATCAGTCAAGGAAGAAGTGTCCCGGGTGCTCCAAGTGCTGGAAGCTCTCAAACAAGCCTCACACGACCTCCAATCCCACCCGAATCCCACCTCCGCCGCCATGAATCCCCTGCTCCAGCTCGAAACAGAGTCCGACGGGATCCTGTCCGACGACCCGAACCTCTCCGCCCTTTCTCACCGTCTCGCCGAGCTCAAATCGCTCGTCGACGATTACAACCGTCGGTCCCCTAATCGGAGCAGCATCCGCAGCTTCTTGGCTCGCCGGGTTTCGACGCATTCCATCTCGAAAGTCGCCGGGTCGATCGAGTCCGAAATCCAGGCCTGGATCGATCGCGAGAGCGTCGAGAGCCTGGCCCGGTCGCTCAAGAAAGAACCACCTCCCAAGGGACAAGAAGAACAAGAAGAAGAAGAGCTGGCGAGTCTATTGGGTCAATTCGAGAACCGAATTTCTCAAGGGTTCAACCGGGAACTGCAGGATTTGGTCCTGAAGGCGAGGATATTCGGGTCGTTGGGTCGGATCCTCTGCGACCCGGGTCGGTCGATTCGGATCAGGGAGCTCTGCGCTTATTGTATCACTGCTCTCGTCGGGTTCAACAAGGACGTGTTCGCCGGATTCCTCACGGCGCCGCTGATTCACGCGCTCGTTTCGTTGGGGACCTGGAAATCGGTACGATTGCTCTGCTCTCTGATCAAATTGATCAGATCGCCGCTCGTCGACGAAATCCAGTACAGCGGCGAGATCCCGAGGATCATTCGGCTGCTGGACTGTAAAGATCAGGAGACGAAGGTTATGGCGATGGATTGCGTGCTGGAAATGGGGTATTTTGGGAGGAAGGAAGCCATCGACGCGATGCTTGGGGAAGGGTTGATCGAGAAGCTGGTGGAGCTGCAGAGATCGGAATTGGGCGGGGATTTGATCGGGATGGAGAGGTTCGACTCTGACTCTGAATTCGACTCTGATTCCGACGGCGGCGGAGAAGGGCAGAAGAAGAAGAAGAAGAGGAAGGAGAAGGGTTTTTTGGAGAGGCACCCGTTTGCGAGCTGCGTGGCGAGATTCGCCGTGCAGTTGGAGGTTGGGGAAGGGCTGCGGCAGAGGGAGAAGAGGGCTCTGAAGCCGGAGATTCTGCGGCGGGTGAAGGAAGGCTGCGTCTCCGACGCCGAAGCCGCCACCATTGTCGCCGAAGTTCTCTGGGGATCCTCGCCGTGAATAAGTAAAACGCAGGGAGAAAGTGATCGTTTTGAGTTTTGGTTTGTTATGAAGATTTGGTGGTGTAATTAGACAAGTGAATTTTGTTGTGAATAATCCTTTTTTTGGTTAATGTTCTGTATTACATAATTCATTGAGTGTACAAATTTGTCACTTAAGAGTAAGTTTGTAGTGAAATTTGAATCGACGACTTCGAAATTATGAATTTGTTGTGTTACGTTTATTGATGATACTACTAAGTTACTAGTTCTTTGTAACTTAATGTATGGCGATTTGTCGAGAAAGGGTCTCACCATCGCGAATGAAATATGGATTGCATGTAGGAATGATGTCTATGTCTCTATGAGCCTAGCAGATGTTTGGTGGTGACAACGAAGGTGGTTGTTTGGCTTGCTGAACGAGAGAAAATTCGCAATAGAATGAAATTCACGGAATGTTGAAAATCAGAATCAAAAGATTAAACTTCTTACAAGTTACAACTAACTAACAATCCTACTGGTCCGATCGTTAACCGGTGCTAACCCGAGAACCGAACATCCCTATATTTTCTTCTAGCAGCTACTTGGTGGGATTCGATGATTCGGGTGACTTGAGTACGATAATGAAAGGTGATGGGATCAAAATTCGGATATGCCTATTGAGGTTCCATGCTATGCCATTGTTGCCAATGATACGTATTGATTATGTTCACCAAATGCCCAATGCTGTCTTGCTATGATAGGCAGCTAAATGGAGGAAAGTCAAGATAATACTAGAATATTGAAAGAAAGAAACTTCTTAGAAAGAAAATTGAGAAACGATAAGGAATCTTTCACTAAGATGGAGAAAAAAAATTTAGATCGAAGCAATGAAATAATATTACAACGTTACGAAATGAAATAGTATTAACTCAACGCGAAATGAAACGAGATCTAGAAGAAGCTCCAAAACCTAGTAATGATGCGACTCCACCGAAGACACACATAGCACCACCTTTTTTTTTTCTCGCATAGCTCACTCATGGCTTTTGATTGATTTCACTATTCAATCCCATAAAAGATACAAACCAATGAAAACAAGCATAAAAACTTCTAGGACAGCAAAACGTATGGTAGGGAGCTAATAAGATCAACAACGGTATAATTTGATTTGATTTTAACCGCGGATAGATATATAACGAAATTGATGGTTCGAGGACCATCAAATGAATCGATGCATTTTTTATGTACGTTTCTTATCATACTCTCTCCCATACTATTCAATCTGATCATTTACCGGCTTGATCGGACCATTACCGATGGGTTGCTCGGGTAGCACAGACTCGAGCAATTGAACATGAAACGAAACGTCGCTTTCTTTGTCCACTTAAATACGTCGTATACTCGTATTAATACATAGTCATGTAAACTCTCAAATTGTAACGTCTTATTATCGCTTTGGATGTTCTTCAAATTTTCACAAGTTGAAATCCGTACTCAACCCCTACAAATCCTAATTTTAACACACTAACCACCATCACTTACCGACATTCATTTATTCGTCCACTTAAATTAGTCGTATCAACACATGTCACGAATACTCTCAAATTGTAACGTCTTTTCATCGTTTTCAATGTTTTTTGAGTTTTCATAGATTAAAAACCTATACTCAAACCATAACAAATCCTAATTTTCGCACATCACACACCATCATTCACACGCATTCATTCCCACTCAAACATTATTGGATATCTATCTAAAATAAGCCCAATTTCATATGCATGATCAATGAACTTATCACCCTCCCATCCAATCTCATCCTATTACATAGTATCTATACATATATTCATAAACATACAACAAATAAATCATTACACACTCCAACACCAACACGAACTCGCCCGATTAGATACAGTACAATTACAACCTCAAAATGATTTATTAATCAATCATTACTCATCAAATCCATGCCAACAACAACGTGTAAATCATCGACTTATCCATCTCAGCTGCTAGTTAAAATCAACCCAACAATGTGCTTAAACTCGCCGGATCGAAGGTCTGGCCGGTAAGGATTCCGGTAGCTTTCTCGCTGGGATGGACACCGTCCCAGAACAGGTACTTGCTGGCGTCAGGGCAACTACCCGGAACAATAAATTACAGATGATCAAACCCTACAATATATTGTTTTATTTTATTTTAGGAGGATATAAATTACAGATGATCAAACCCTTATCCAAAAACTCATTAATCCGCCTTGATCCGTCCCGACCCAGAGAGTTAGGTTGGATCAGTTTGTCTACAGTGTCAGTGTAGGGTCGAGTCATTTTTTTTACCCTGTAAGGGTCGGGTAGGGTCGGATCACTTTTTGACCCTGTGACATTTAACAACAACTAGTGATATGAAATTTCACATGACTGCACATTAGATTTTTTTGTAAAATTTTATGAGTTTAGGTACTAAGTGGTAAAAAATAATATCTATGACAAAAAATGTTAAAAAATAAATCTGGGTACCATAACGTAAATTTACCATCAAAATTTAAAGACTTATATGTAAAAAGAAATTTTAGATACTAAATTGTAAGAAAAATATTTTTGAATACCAAAATGTAATCGATAAAAATCAATCTGTTGATAAGAATCGATCCACTGACCCAACCCTAAATAATGAGAGAGGGTAAAACAAAGAAGTAGAAATAAAACGAATTAGTTATATCATGTATCTTGACCCTTGAGAAACGGGGCAAGGTTATTTAAATTGGAAGAACATAAGGGATGTATTGTAAGGTGGCAGGAAATCAACCACCGAGATTGTAGGATAGGACTTAGAGTTAGGAATAATTGAGCATACGAGGGAGCTTTATTAGTGTCCTCTATTTTCTTTACACATTTACCGTTTGATCACTTAATTATGTATCGCTAACAAAACAGTCATATATTATTTTTTGTAGGTTGTTAGTCTCAAGATTCGAATTGAGGTTGTGGTGGATTTCATCATCCCACATTACCATTCCGGCAACCTCTTAAAGTTACCGTCACATATATTCAAGTTTATCAAACAAAATGATTATTACATCAGTCACTCCGTCCAATTAAGTTAGTCGTATCAACACATGTTGTGTAAACCAACAAGTTAAATGGAACTTAACCAAAGTCCAATGCAACGCGACTTGGAGTCGAACTTTCTAAAAATTGTGATGTCTTTTATCATTTTGCATGTTCTTCCAGTTTCACAAATTAAAATCTATGCTCAACCATAGCAAACTCTAATTTTTACACATCAACCACCATTGATCGATATTGTTGTATATATGTTTAAAACAAACTCAATTTCATATGCATAATCGATTATTATTTAATTTATCACCATCACGTCCAATCTCATCCTATCATGTAAAATCCACAATACAATTTACATTGATATAGAAATAACAAATCCATCATTATACACTCGAACACGAATTCGTCCGATTATGTACCACACGATTGCATTAATCGATCATTACTCATCAAATTCACATCAACAACAACGGCTAAATCATCAACTTGTCCCTCTCGAGTCTCAACTGCTTCTACACTTTTAAGATCAACCCAACAGTGTGCTTAAACTTGCAGAATCAAAGGTTCCATCACTTATGATTCGTGAAGCTTTCTCCCCTGGATGAACACTATCCCAGAAGAGATACTTGGTCGCATCAGGGCAGGTACCTGGAACAACACAGAGTATCCCAAGCTCAATGGTTCCCGTGCCACAGCATCCTCTCGTCACCTCCACGATCCCTACAAACCAGAAACAGAGCACTCCTCTTAAACAAGGGGGAACCAAAAACAGAGCAACAACGGGTGTCAGAAAAAGAGCTAATTACGTTTCATGTCATTACCATACGGAGCTGGGTTTTGTATGAGGGAAAGCGCAGGGGTGAAGATGTCGAAGTAGACGATCCTCGCTCCTGGAAGCTGTTGATTCAGTGTTGAAATCGCCGGAGCGAGCTTGGAGTTGAAGAGCTTAGCAGCTTCGTTCAGCTCCTCGTTGCAGTGCCGCTCGAGTAACCCACCACCAAGTATCCTCTGGAGCGGGACGCAACCTATTGGAGCCGCACCCACCACCCCGATTCTCCTCGCGCCGAGCCCGTAGAGTTTCTGTGGGGCATTTCATCGAACACTTTCTGGGCATGAATCTAATGATCTGATTGAATGAATATGAACGAACGAACGAACCTTGACTACATCCAGAGCTAACTCGACGAGTATGTCGGTGTACGTATTGGAGTCGTATTGAGCTCTCCTGATTGTGTTGGAAATGTCGTTGGTCCCTAGCAGGATGAAGTGGGGACTCGTGGAAATGATCTTGTCTGCTATTTCTTTCCCCGCGCTTGCGTTGATCTTGCTCTTGTATTCTCTGTACATCTCCAGCTGATCCTCTATTGTTATCGATCCCTACGTGCATTTTTCATCAGTTAGAGATTGAGAGATAGAAACAAATCTAGCTCGATATGGTGGACCTGTGCAAACATAGTATATGTGTTAGTGTTGTGGTATATGATTCACGATTGAACCTCTCCCAACAACTCGAGTTATTGGGATCAATTGGTTCTTGACAATATGGTCTCGTACATACAATTTCATCATCATCTTATTTATTTTGAATAGCTCGTAAGGTAATGAGATGAAATGACATAAAGGAGGGTGAGAATATTTTTTTTTATAGAAAAATAATATGCATTACTATTTGTCCTGAGGTGAGAGCGTCGTAACCAGCACCAGCGGAACCAAATGAGACACCAGTGAGGAGATCTTCCGACTTCAGGGTCGGATCCTTATAAGGTGGCAACAGGTTCTTCACACCCAACGTTTTAGCTAGCGACATAAGAGGAAAAATATCGTTTAGAACACAATTTAGAAATCGATTCGAATTCAGACTTTTGAAACGACATAAATTGAAATACGAGAACAGTGTCGCAAATTCAATCAAGTCATGACGGAAGAGATGATATTGTTACCTAGAAAATCAGGGATGAGTCTTCCATTGCCGAACCTTCCGGTGGGCGTCTCGCCGGGAAAGTCTCTCCCGTAAGGCGGGAAGTTGCTCTTGGCAATGGTGACGACGTAGTTGTTGTTCCCTGTATCAACGAACGAATCTCCAAGAGTGAACACGGCGGGAACGTCGCCGGCTGATGTGCTACTGTTCATTAACAGTAGCACAAGAACAGAGAGAATGACATTGTGTTTCGACGATCCGAGGCTAGCCCGACTCTTATGAATGTCCGACAAACCCATGAAAGCGAGCGGTTCGAACTTCAGAGAAGAAAGAAGGATTGAATGTTGCAGGACAGAGTACTATATCCATCTGCATATATAGATACCAGAATATGGAAGTGGTATATATAAATTCCAAAAAAATTCTGATTAAGGTGGTGTCGTGTGAGTGACTATTATTCAGTAACATTATTGTTCGATGTCAACTATGGTGGGGCAGGGTGGCAAAAATAACATAGATGTGGATACCATCGCGGTTGGGTAAAATTCGAACTCGAAACTTTTTTAATGGGTATAGGGTAAAGTCCGAACGGGAATATTACGAGCAACGAGAGGATATGATTTGCTCACTATCTGACTCGACCCTCTCCTCGGTTATACACATGCATAAGTATTTTGTTTAAAATTATATTGTTAGACAAAATATAAAACCTCTTGTATAATATTAGAATTCAAATACAAAACCACTTGATCAAGGGTTCTATACTCTAGAAAATAACGGATGCCTCCGATAACTCGATCAAGCATGAATCTTCTCGATAGTACTAATAATAGATAATAATAATAATGTCCACAGGTGGTCAACATGATGTGGGTGGAATGACACAAATATTGTGTGATTTTTTTAATTTATCACTAATATGGCTGATTAAAAAGTATTGACAAGTATATTGTGTTTTGGAGAAAAAGTTAGGCGAGACCACCTGAGACTGAGGTGTCATCACCTGAGACTCAGGTGAATAGGTGGGAAGAAAGTCCCAGGTGGTGGCACCTGAGACTGAGGTGGCACCACCTAAGACTGAGGTGGCACCGCGAAGAACAATCATAATTCTAACCCTAAACCAGCGAATTTCGTATCAGTTATTCGCACAACAAATGGCTAATAGGTAAGAGACATATTTATTTTTTAATTATATTATTCAAATGCTATTATGATTGTGTTTAGTTTAATTAGTGAGTTTTTCTGTAGTGATTTTAGAAGATTTGAACTAGTCGTTCGGTGGAAATCGGAGAAAGTAGAGGATAATTTGGGCGTCAAATTCGTTGGTGGTGGTAGTTTTCAGTTGACGGTTTTTCAAATGTAATAGTATTTGAATAATATAATTAAAAAATAAATTGTCTCTTGCCTATTAGCCATTTGTGGTGTGAATAACTGATACGAAATTCACTGGTTTAGGGTTTAGGGTTCATGGTTAGAATTAGGATTGTTCTTCGCGGTGCCACCTCAGTCTTAGATGGTGCCACCACCTGGGACTTTCTTCCCACCTATTCACCTGAGTCTCAGGTGATGACACCTCAGTCTCAGGTGGTCTCGCCTAACTTTTTCTCCAAAACACAATATACTTGTCAATACTTTTTAATCCGTCATATTGATGGTAAATTAAAAAAAAAAACACAATATTTGTGTCATTAACCCACATGATGTGCTAGGAGGTCCTCTAACAAATGACATTTGAATATTAGAGGGACTTCATGGCCGATTTGTTGGTTAAGCCAATCGTATATATATAGTAGTTTGAATTGTGTTGTATGATTATTCGATTATGGGTACAACCGAGATTAAGTCTGCTAATTAATAGCATGACTAGTCATTAATCAACATTCTCTTGTATATTGATTGAAAAAGCCATATATGTGCTATGAAAATTCTATGTCTCTTAAAATGACAGAAGAAGCTTTTAATGGGTTAGTTATGAGTTATGACAATGGTTGAAAATTTACTCTCAGATGATACGAAAATCGAACTAATAGATAATTTCATTTCAGACAATATGAGAAAAGCTCATTACTTGTTAAATAACTATGCTCTGGTTCTTTCTATTTTATTATATTTGGGAGACAGAAAAAAATGGGATCTAAATTTTGGAATAAAATCCCCGGAAATCAGTCAACGGCGCTGATATTATTATCTTATTGCAGTAGAGGAAACGTGGTGTAATTTATATGCACAAGTTAGCGCCTCCGACTCCCCCCCCCTCTCTACGTTTGGAATAAGTTTATTTCAGGTTGTCAACCCGAAGGTTGACCTGTCGGTTTATCCGTAGTCGATGAGAAAAACGGATCACATATATGTCGGGTCGTCCCGTTGCAAGGTTATCATATTGGAAGTCACATGGTGGTATTTTTTTCTTTTGGTTTGCAAAATACGTTTCTTTTCTGATTTTCCTCTTTGTCTAACCCTATCTTCGGAATTCGAAGTTGAATGTTTAAATATTGATTTTATATAAGCACGTGAATTTACATTATATGTTGGATCCAAGTACGGCATGTGGAGGTCCCAGGTTGGTAATACTACTAGCGTAAAACCCGGAGGTCTCAAGTTCAAATTCCTTAAGTAGTACTTTAATCACAAAAATGAAACCTATATCACTCTTATAAAAAAAAGTACGACATGTTATTTATGTGTATTAAAATATACTTAAAAAAACTCGACATAACCGTCTCTACGAATCCTTTCACTATCCGTACCCGATCCCGTCCGATTATATGTCCGACTACAACCTGAAAATTGCTTTATTTCACCAACCATTAATCGTCAAGTGTAACTTCATACCAACAACAAGAACTCAGATCATCAACTTATTCTTCCTCTCAACTGGTTGCAGCTTACTTAATAAAATCAACCCAACAGTGTCCTCAAACTTGCAGGATCGAAGGTCTGACCGGCAATGATTCCGGCGGCTTTCTCGACGGGATGCACACTGTCCCAGAACAGGTACTTGGTGGCATCAGTGCAGGTACCTGGAACAAGACAGAAGATCCCAAGCTCAACGTTTCCAGTCCCACAGCACCCTCTTGTCACCTCTTCAAACCCTACAATAACCAAAATCGTACAGACAAAAAAAAAGTCAGCGATAGGATATTTTGTATTTAATCCGCAAATTTAACTCTACCTCTAATGTTTCATACTGCTAAAATCGCCTACGCCGACTCGAACGCAGGTAGATTATATGTTTATTACCATGTGGAGCTGGGTTTTGTATGAGGGACAGAACAGGGCTGAAAATGTCGAAGTAGACGACCTTCGCTCCTGCTGGAAGCTGTCGATTCAGCGAAGAAACCGCGGGAGAGAGCTTGGAGTTGAAGAGCTTAGCAGCTTCATTCGAATCTTCAGAGCAGTTCCTCTCCAGTAACCCGCCACCGAAAACTACCCTCTGGAGCGGAACGCAGCCTATTGGAGCCGCACCCACCACCCCAATTCTCCTTGCGCCGAGCCCGTAGAGTTCCTGTGCGGGGCATTTTGTCGAACACCTTCAGGGCATGATTTTTTTTTTTTTTTTTTATCTGATTGAATGGATCATACGAATGAAACGAAAGAATCGCCGAACCTTGATCACATCCAGAGCAAATCCGACGAGCATATCAGTGTACGCATTCGAGTCGTATTGAGCTCGCCTGATTCGGATGCCGACGTCGTTGCTCTCTAGCACGATGATGTGTGGACTTGTGGATATGATCTTGTCTGCTCTTTCTTTCCCCGCGCTTGCATTGATCTTGCTCCTGTATTCTCTGTACATCTCCAGCTGATCCTTTATGTTCGTAGCGGTCTGCAAGCATTCCGTTAATTCGTAAGCAAATGGTATAAGATTTATTTTGTTACGATCGACTTGAAACGATTGATTTGCGTCCACACACACGATACACTAGATCTGTGCAGACTTTCGAGTAGCATTTTGTAATGAAATGGTACATTGTTTTTTTTTTTATAACTCGCGAGTTATTGAGAGAAGACAAACGAAAGATAGATAAAACGAAATTACGGAGATTATAAGCAGTTTTATTTGTATTACTGTTAATGTGGTGGTGAGAGGGTCATAACCAGCACCCGCGGAACCGAACGAGACGCCGGTGAGGAGGTCTTGCATTTGCAAGGTTGGATCCTTGTAAGGAGGCAACAAATTCTTGACACCAAAAATTTCACCGGCTGCTGACAACAGACATTGACGTAGTCAGAAATTTATTAAACAACGTCCGTATAACGAATAATTTTTTTTCCCTTTCTTCTACTAGTAATAATCAAGACTAATTTGATTTCAATATGTACAATTTATATCTATCTTGATACCTATGAAGTCAGGTAAGATCCTTCCGTTGCTGAACCTTCCGGTGGCTGTCCCGCCGGGGAAGTCTCTCCCGTAAGGCGGGAAGTCGCTCTTCGCGACACTGACGATGTGGTTGTTGTTCCCTGTATCGACAATTGAATCTCCGAAGATGAACACCGCCGGAACGGCGGCGGCGGCTGCCGGAATGTTGATGATCAGTAGAAAGGTAACGGCCGCCACCAGCTGAACGAAAACAGAGTGGGTGCCCCTGTTTTCCGATGATCGGAGGCTGCCCCTGTACCCATGAATTTCCAGCAAATCGGTAGCTATGGGGGATTTGGGCTTCATAGCCCTGCCGGCGGTGGCCCCCGTGGATTCTTCGCGAGAGAGAATGCTGTAATTAGCCATGGAAGACGAACAAGGAAAAGAAGATTGAAGTTAGCAGGGGAAGACAGAGTGCTATGTATGTTCATTTGAATGACCCTGAGATGGAACTGCTATATACAGGGTAAATTTAGGGTAACTGTGTGTACTCTTGGTAAGAAAATGCTTTTGCATGGATCTCGAATGAGTTGAATTGTTTTGGCACGGTATTGTACCATAATTCTTAATGAGTGTACTTTAGTAAGAAATGTTATTTACAAATTGAACTTGTACTCTTGGTAAGAATATGCTTTTGCATGGATCTCGAATGAATTGAATTGTTTTGGCAAGGTATTGTACCATAATTCTTAATGAGTGTACTTTAGTAAGAAATGCTATTTACAAATTGAACTTGTACTTGTGACATTAAAGCTACAAGTTCAGTTTGTATGATAAAAGAATTTGTATCTTTGTGTTACGCAACTATGCTACAAGTTCAGCTTGTACCAAATTTTTTTTTACAAACTGAATTTATACCATAATATAAAAGTACAAGTTCAATATAAATCATAAAGACATTTTATAAAAAAGATATAAGTATAAACTAAACTTCTACTATAGTTTTAAAAATACAAGTTCAGTTGTACTATAAAGATTTATTTAAAGCAAATATCCGATATTGTAATGTTAAAATTACTCCAAATATTCACCAAATTACTCCAAATTATTGTTATGTTTTTTACTTTTTACCATGCAGTTACATTCATTTAAATAAAACCATGCAATTAACTCTCAAACAAAATTAATGTTTAACCTAAATCTCTTAATTCCCAATTCAACCCCATTGGTGATTAAGAAATGTGCTACTTTATAGATCCTATACTCTAACACACACAAAACCAGAGGCCGCTCCTAACTCGCTAAACTCTATGTACTTTAACAAAATTGAAATGGAATTATGGTTGAAATATTTTTAATTCATAAGGCTACATATGAAGTCAACTACTTTTTTTGAAAAATTATACCGAACTATCAACCTCGACTGTAACGGTGTACCTAACTATGGGTGTGTTTCTTTCTACTTCTTTTTTATGAAAAACTTTATTTTCAGTAGCTTAATATTCTCAATAATTTCATTCTAATCAGATTTAGAAAAGAAAATGGAGTAGCAAAACTGACATTTCTCTTCCATTTTGACGAGGTCAGATAGTATGAACAACAGTTCAGCTGTGGGTGACAGATTTTTTGATGTAAATGTTAACAGAATTGCGTATTTGATAGGTTGCCCTAAAGAACAAGGGTGTATTTGATGTAAGAAAATAGTAGAGAGACATGTTTAATAAAAAACAAGCGCATATTTGATAGTTAACAGAAAGGCATATTTGATAGTTTGGCTAAAGAATAAGAGTGTATTTGCCTAAAGAACAAACGTATATTATACCTACAATCCATCTTTATACTATCAAACATTCAAAGCTTTTTTTTCCCTTGCGGATTCAAACATTCAACACCGTTGTTTGTGTACTAACACCAAGCTAAAATATATTTATATTAAACACCAGAGTTTACATCCTAGCACCGAGCAGAAAAACATCCCAAAAAATTGAAATTGGACTATGAATACTAGAGCTAAATAATAATAATAAAAAGTGGTTCCTAATACACAATTTTTTAATGTAATACGAATGCATCATCCAAAAACCAAGGTTAATTTCTTAAAACCTTTTTCATTTTTCTTTTTCAGGTCCCTCAAAGATAATTTTGGCTTGGTCAGATTGTGACCAGTTAGGAGTTATTCCCGTTACTCTCTCATTGTATCATCCAAAAATCAAGGTTCTAAGAAGGTCCAAGAAGGTTCTATGACTAATTTGCAAAGAAAATGATAAACTGACATGTTGAGAAATATTGATTTTGCGAGCCTTTCTATTTCCTTTATTTCTCCTATTTATAACCATCACATGTAATTGTTTTGATGTATAATGTAACTTGACATCCCTGATTTCTGCGAAGATTACGACCTTTGTAAGTACCATGATCAAGTTGGACCCGTACAGGGTTGATGGCATGTAGTTTTGTTTCCCCGACCAACCATGCTAGACATCTAAGAGCCGAAGGAGTGTCTTGTTTATCGATACTGACCCCCATTGAATGATATCATGCTTGGAGGTCGACACGAGAGGGTGCCCATGCTGACCCTTAACCATCCACCAAACCACAACAACAAGCCAGCTTGACATGCACAATTTAGACAAACACCCCATTCTTTTCTTGCAAGTTACCACATGTTATGTCATCAACTGTATTTCCAGTCCTTAACCATAATCTCATTCTTCACACTTCACACATTATGTTAACAATTAATAGTTCCTTCCACTCCATAGGTGGATTAATTTAGGGAAAAGAAGCAACTTGTTTGGGTTGATTCTTTGCTTCTTCTTACCTTTTGGAGCTATATATATGAATAAAGTAGAAAAATAAACTATGAGTCCTAGACAAGCAAATATATACAAACTAATATAGAAAATATTACAGGGAGGCTGAGAATCCAAGAAAATGAGATCAGCTGAAAATGGATTTTGTACTATGCGAGCACTCTAAGAAAACCTCAAGAAGAAACCCCTGTTCCAACAATGGAGAACCAAAAAAAAATTATTGGCCAACAACAATCAAACCCTTTTTCCCTCTATTACTTCCTCGCCAAGAAACTCCTTCCTTTCTTTTCCCATTTTGGTACACATATTTTTTTCCTTTTCTTTTCAGACACCATGTTTCGGTGTTTACCATCCAAGGACAAAGAATGGCGCGGTTCATAATTTGAGTTAGAAGACTACCAGTACCTATACACACTGCATATTTCGAGCAGGGGGGGAGCGAGAAGGCACACCTTTGGATCCGATCCTGATGAAGAAAGATTATTATGATCATACGAGGCTTGTGAATGAAGATGTCAATACGTAGGGCATGTTGGCTAGAGGGCCGCGTTCTTGAGAGAGCTGGTGGATGTCCTTCACTATGTCGAAGACAGCCTCTGGCTGTGCTAGCTTCATCGCGTTCTCCGACATTCTTTTCAGTCCGTCGGTGTTGGTTGTGAACCATTCGGCCACCATCCTCGATGTTTCTTTAGGACTTCTGGTGAAGACGCCTGCACCGTTATCAACTACGTAAGGCACATTGCCCTTCTCCTGCAAGGAAAAGATTAAGAAGTCAGAAATTTACTAAATGGTCCACTGCAAGCTTGGAAGACAGCTTTAACAGAGCTACAGGCACTGAACAGCCTCTCACTCACTTGTCCAGGAATGTAGTCGTTGAGAATAATAGGAAGCCCTCGAATCAATGCCTCTGCAATCGTCCCGGGTCCAGCCTTGGTAATTATGCAGTCACAAGCTCCCATCCATCTTTCCATCTTAGTTTCAAATCCTCTAACCTAAATTTGTCAAGAAAGAAAGAAAGCTTTGGTAAATGGATCGTTCTCTGAGATAAAATTATGTGTCAAACATGTAGGTTGAAGACGTTTTTTTTTACCTTGACTGGGATGTTCCAATCTGCGGATTGCAATGTAGATCTGAGAACCTCATTACGCCCACATATGATAACCAATTGGCCAATCGGTTTGCCAAGTTCTTTATCATACAGTGATTCTCCCAAAGCTAGTGCAGTTTTCTTGACAGGTCCCATACCTTCACCACCACCCATCAGCAAAACGGCTGGAAGATCAGGATCCATTTCAAGTTCTTCCCTTAATTCCTCCTGAAATCCAAGAAAAAGGCATATCAGTAACTAGTCTTCACTCTGTAACAAGGAACTATTGGATGCGGTTAAGATAAATCAGACCTTGGTGAAAACTGCACGGGCAAAAGAAGGCCGGATTGGCAAGCCGAAAACCTGGATTTGAGACTCTTCCAAACCATCCATTGCAGCCCTCTTCGCCAATTCCTTTGATGGACAATAACATCTGTCGACTCCAGGATGAAACCTGGAAATTCGCTACATGTTAGAAGACAATTCACGTAGGCCAAGCATGCATATAACAAATTTGAAGACCCTGATCTCAGCAACTAACCATGTAGGATGGCAACTATTGAGGTCGGTAATAACTGTAACGAAAACAACTTTCTTCTGCAGCCCTTGCCATTTCAGAACCCACAGAGGAATATGCTGCATCATTGGATGGACACTGATGATAATGTTAGGCTTGTACTCCATTAAACCAGCCTCCACCTCCCTTCATTCACCATAACATAAAATAAAATAAAAACCATTAGGAAACCATGTCTACACTAAAATTAAGATTCCACATCAAGAAAACCAATTATTTAGCTTCAACAATCATCAAAAGCTTCTTACAGAACTGTGGGGTCAAAGAGAATCATATACGGCAAAAGCATGTTATTTCATATCACCCCACTCAAATAATCGCTGGACCACCACACCTAACACCATATTTTATTGATGTTAACGAGTTGATCTATCATGGTGACCAGCTAAAAGCATCGTTCAAGTCACATGATATGATATGGGAACTGTAAATCTAAGCTTTTATTTTGTAGAAACTGGAAATCTGAACTAAGAAAATAAGATCAGGCCAAAAAAGGGAACATCTCATCATTGACCAGCCTATCTCCAGCGTTAAAAACCAAAAAAGAATGGTATTAGGTTAAAGTAGTATTCAAGGCAAGCTGGAAGTACTTGGCATAGTAGGCAGCAATGGCGGCAAGGTAGCTGCTGTGGATCCATTTAGGACATGTAGTGTGAAATGCCACCTTCCATAGCTGCACATGCTTCACCATGAACTTGTACTGCCTCTCCATGTCATTCAATGGCCACCCTGTGTACTCCTTCCATACATCCTTCACAATTATCTGATTTCTCAAACCAAAAAGAGAGCTCCAAATCAGAATTACAGTATACATATAATATCTGCTAGAAACAGGGCAAACAAAAAACAGGAGGGAAAATTCATTGAGGAATTGGGTCGAACACCAAGTTTGCAAAAAGAGGTAACACAACAGTATTGGCCAAAACCTAACAACGATGGAGAAGAAGAAAGAAGAAAATTTTCCGAAAATCAAAATTCAAAATCACGGAAACCAAAATCTGATCAGAGATTGAAACTAAGCAATTGCTATGAAGAACTCAGGCGAAAATTCGACGGGCTGTAATTGTAGTTTACCCGGTAGTCGTCGCCGTACTCGATCTTAAAGGCGTCGCGGATGGCCTCGGCGGAAGCCCGGTGGCCGCCGCCGGTGTCGCTCATGAGAATCAACACCGTCTTCGTCCGCTCCGCCCCAATCTGAGCCAGCTCCATCGTTCCTTCTCCCTCCTCGAAATCATTGTCCATCTCGTCAAGGAAATACTTCGGCTGGTGCCGGTTCCTGCTCCGGTTATGGTCGCTCCCGGAACCGAAATTCCCGTACACGCGCTGCATCACCTCCGCTATCGACGCCTTTCGCGGCGTAGCAACTTTCATCACCATTCTTTCTCCCTCGCCCCAACCTCCAATCAAGCCAACCACCGGTCAAATTAACGGATCCGCCGCTCAAAAGACTTTCCCCGTTCCCGCCGCCGGGAAGAGGAGAATTCGACTCAGCCGGCGGGATGTGGAATTAGGGGAGAAATTAGACGGAGGAAAAGGAAGGGAGAAATTGGAAGCTGTTCGTCGTTTGTTGGAGAGAGTCTCTGCAATGGCGGAGGAGGAAAGGAGGGGAAAGGGACGGCTAAATTTAGTGTGTGTGGGGAGACGGCATATAATTTCCCGGTGGAAGGAATTATGCCATCAGGGGGACGATTATTTTTTGAATTGTTGGTGACCGTCGGATTCGCATTTTGTTTCGGAATGTTCTATGGCGAGATTCGAATCTTCTCTCGGGTGTCTATCTGTAATATATATATATATTTTTCCCCCCTTGTTCTGGGGGTAAACTTCTTTCACATCACCAAATTTTACTAGGCGATTCAATTCGGTCACTGTTTAATTCTTTTTAACGATTAGAGCCCCTTCTGTACCAAGTGATGTGTCCATCTTCTTCTTTCAGAAAACACGTCCGTATTCTTTTGCTTGTGTTCAAAACTAGTATAGTTCTTCTGTGTACAAACTGTATTTTTCCGACGAAATCGGTAGATCAAGTTTCCAAAAGAATCATTCATGGAGGGAGAAAGAGAAAGATGATCAGAGCTGTTCTTTAACTTACGGACAACCATATTTTTGTTTTGGATTTTTATTAGATACGTTGGTTGTCCCGTGATTTTGGCGATGGGCTGATCTATTGTGCCGTCACAATTTCGATACGGCGATTATGTCGTTTCCCTCTACGTGGGCCACTCTCGGTTCGTTCTGATTTTTCGGTGTAGAGTGGCGAATAATGGGAACATGAAGAGCTTGATGGTAAAATTACCATGTATTGTGGGGTCTAATTGATCGACAAGTGGAAGTGGAGGATGAAGCAAGTGGGAAGAAGGTGGTCCCCCCCTTCTTTTGCACAGCTGGCAATGGGGCCATGTCAGCCTGTGCAGACGCCACCACAATCAACCTAAAAAAAGGAAGTTCTTTATTGCACAAGGTGGAGCCCACAGTGAAACTTGCGGTTGCGCACAGCTCGTTTCTGATTCGTCTTCCGACCTGTCATTTTTGTTTGTAAATGTGATTAGCAAAATTAGCATTTACGTATCTGGATTTTAAGGAGTATACAGTAAGGTCCCTCAACTTTGTGGGAAGTCTGGAATTCTCTCTCTTGGGCCAGTTTGAAACTGGTTGGGCTGGGCTTGTTTTGGATCAATTTGGAAGGTTAACGGCCCATAGGTTCAAGTCTTACCCGAAAGAAAATTTATGGAATAAAAACGACCACAGTGGGAGTCGAACCCACGACCTTCTGATCCGAAGTCAGACGCGCTAATCCACTGCGCTATGCGGTCTTATACGATTAATTCGAATAAAAAGTTTACTACTCCATTTTTAATTTAACAAATTACCAAGCACTACCTAATCTTTACCAGATTCCCATGCCAACCCCAATTCTTAAAACTTCGTCTCTTCCAAACACGTCCTCGCCACTCCCCCCTTTCTCACTTTCCCCGACTATCTCCATCTCTTCATCAAATCCCCACACAAAATCTAGGGTTTCTGCAATTCTCCCACCGCCGTCCCGGCTCCGGTAAGCTCCCCCTCCACTCCTTCTCTCTGGAACTCGCCGCTGGTATCAATTCTCCCCATGTTCCTCTTGTTATCAATTCCGCGCGTCTCCAATTTCACACTGTTTCCCTTACTTCACCAGCTGTGAATTTTAGAGTTCCTTTTACTCTATCCGTCTTCATCACCCGTCTTGTTAATTGAGGTGATTGACTTTACGAATCATTCAGCTTTTTGCTTCAGTTTTGACCAGCTGGTAAATTGCATTGACCCCCTTTTTGATTAAGGTGTCCCTATCTTTGTCTCTTGTGAAACTGACGAAGATAAAGAGTAAATTTTGACTCTTTTTGCACTTTTGGGGTCTGAACTGTTTTTTCTTCTTCTTTTTCTTTCAGGTGAGTGTGATTTGTGATGCCGAGGGCAAAGCTTATACTCATATGCCAGTGTGGCGGGGAATTCACGAAACATGATGATGGCACAATGTCATACAGCGGTGGAGATGCCCACGCTGTGGAGATCAACAGAGACACTGTCTTTGATGATCTCAAGCTGAGGGTTGCAGAAACCTGTAACTTGGAGCTTCAATCTGTCAGTATGAAGTATTTCATCCCGGGGATGACCAGGACCCTGATCACATTGTCCAATGATAAGGATTTCAATACCATGTATGATTTCTATGGCGAATCGATCACCGCGGACATCTATGTCACGGGTACTCTGGGTTTCGTTCAGTCAACTACGACGCCATCCCCTAAGAAGCTTCCTGCTCCTGCCTCGTTGTAAGCTTTCTTTTTGGTTCCTATAGTGAATTGTTCATTCTTTTGGTATGCTAAGTTGGTTTTACTGGTTTGCAGGGGACTTATGGTTAAATCACCGCCTGCAACAACTGGGAGGCGTAAGAGGGCAGCATCTAAACCTAAATCAAAAGCAAAATCAAGATCAAAATCAGCTGCTGCTGATAGTCCGAGTGCTAGTAGCTACACTACATCACCTAGCAGTGATTCTGATGATGCTTCTTCTTCTTCAGATCATCCTTCACCCGACACTGAATCAGCTGGAATGGAAACACCACAGAGTCCTTCCAGTAAAGTTGTTGATGTCCCAATTTCATTTGATCTAGCTGCTACCCCTGCTGATACGGTGAAGAAGAGAAGGCGCACTGCTTCATGGAAAATTGGTGCTAATGGTCGAATGACAATTGGTTCTTCTGCTAACGAGGGGGATACGAGTATGACTGCATCGTGTATTAAGACCATTAGGAATCTGGATCCTTCAGTTGGAGGGAGTGGTACTGAATTGATGGTTATAGATGAACATACGAGAGACGGTTCATTGGACCAGTTGGTGGCCACTTGGAGAGATGGAGTAACTGGTGTAGGTCAGGAATTCGAGAGTGTGGTCAAGTTCCGTGATGTCCTACAGAAGTACGCCATTGCACATCGATTTGGATACAAGCTAAAGAAGAACGACTCGAATCGAGTCAGTGCAGTGTGTGCAGCCAGAGCTTGTTACTGGAAGATTCATGCCTCCTGGGTCCCTAATGATGGAGTTTTGCGTATCAAGAAAATGGATGAACCGCACACTTGTGGGGAGGACTCTTGGAAGTCGGTTCATGCATCCAAAAATTGGCTGGTGAATGTTATCAAGGAGAGACTCAGAGAGAGCCCACATCACAAACCGAAAGAAATCTCTAATGGAATATTTAGAGACTTTGGGATTGAGCCGAACTATGCTCAAGTTCGACGTGCAATCGAACATGCTCGTGTGGAAATGTTGGGTTCATACACAGAGGCATATAAGAAGCTCCCCTGGTATTGTGAGAGACTACAGGAAGCAAATCCCGGTAGCTCCACAAACCTTGTCGTTGATAAGGAGAGCAATAAATTCCAACGCCTTTTCATATCGTATCGTGCATTGGTAGAAGGTTTCCAGAATGGTTGTCGCCCAGTTCTTTACCTCGACTCTACCCCTTTGAGATCGAAGCACCATGAAATTTTGTTGACTGCTAGTGCATTAGATGGAGATGATGGAATCTTTCCTGTTTCATACGCGATCGTAGATATAGAGAATAAGGACAGCTGGCATTGGTTTTTGGATCAGTTGAGGTCTGCAATTTCGAGCTCAGAGCCGATAACTTTTGTCTCTGACAAGGAGAAGGAGCTGAGAGAGTCGGTGCTCGAAGTATTTACTGGTTCCTACCATCGTTATTCACTATATCACTTGCTGGAAGAGTTCAAGAGAAATCTCAAGGGCCCATTTCATGGAGACGGCAGACCATCTCTGCCTGTAAACATGTTAGCTGCTGCATGCACTCGCCGGCTTGAAACCTTCAACATGCTCCTGGAACGTATCAAAGATGTCTCTGTAAAAGCTCACGAGTGGCTTGTCCAGATTGACCCTGAACATTGGGCGAGTTCGCATTTTAAAGGTGAGCAGTACACTCCGGAGAAACCGGACACATTCAACACTGCAGAGTTCTACTCAAAGTGGATCGACGAAGTGTGGGAGATGCCAATTACAATGAAGCTAGAAGCGATAAGAGGGAAGATAATGGAGTTGATGCAGAGTCGTAAAACCGAATCAGACGGCTGGACGACTACTATGAGAATAACTCCTTCCAAGGAGAAGAAGCTTCAGGAGGAAGGGACGAGAGCTCGATCTTACAAGGTGCTATTCTCGAATGGAATCCTGTTCGAGGTTCATGACCGTTTGATCAATGTCGTGGATACGCACTCAAGGAAGTGCACATGTATGGAGTGGGTCGTGAATGAGTTTCCATGCTGCCATGCGATTGCTGTCTCTATTCGGACTGGACACGTGGCGTATGATTATTGCTCGCAGTACTTCTCAGTCGAGAGGTATCGTGCGGCTTACTCTGGGTCGATAAATCCTGTTACGGACCCTTACAGTCCTCCGGAGGAAGAAGACGATGAGGAGACTACTGAGTCTACTGTGGTTGTGCTTCCTCCTACAACGCCAAGGCCTCCGCCTTTGCCTAAGGAGAGGTATTACAAAAGGAGAGGGGAACTGAAGAGGATAATCTTGTGTACAAGGTGCAAAGGAGAAGGGCATAATAAGGCTACTTGTAAGGAGCCTCCTGAGGAGGAGGAAGTGAAGGTGCTTGATGCAGCCGAGCAGCCAGAAGAACTACACCAGCTGGAAGGACCGGACCAGGGAGAAGAACCTACGGAGAAAGGTGAACAGAAGAAAACTTTGTGCACTAGTTGCAAGGGAGAGGGACACAATAAAGCCACCTGCAAGGAGCATTTGTTACTAATTGAGGACGCGAACGAAGTCGAATCATAGAAGATAATAATTTCATACCTGGGGTTACCCTTGTATCATTGCTCTGTACAGTCTTCATGTTCTGAATCAGAATTCGGTAACTGTTGATTAGTAGTTTCCATTGCTTGACTGAGGAACTCTATTAGTTTTTTTCAAGGAGAAATGCAGCCTATCTGTTGTTTGATTGACTTGCTGTGATGGCAGTTGCAGGATTGTTAGCTAGTTTTGAAGTAATGAAAGAATTGAATATGTTTCATTGCGTTTCACTCAATTGGATTGCTGCTTAAAGAGAGGCCTACAGCCCCGATTGTCGCTCTGCTGCGTCTGGTATCCCTATATAAATTGGGTGTGAGTGACTCTGAAAATCTGATGTGAAGGCCCAAAATATTTATGTACTCACGATAAATTTGGTGCAAAACATTGATTCTAGGAACTGTAACTCTTAAGACCAAAACTATAGAGATACAAAGGGATAATTTTTCGTAGTGGCTAATGATTCCAATGTTACTCCTTTAATTCTAGTACTCAACAGAGACTCTTTCCTGCAACTAAACATAACAAGGAAGCCATTGCAGCACCTATAATCCTAACACAGTAGGGGTCGAACAAATTACAAGGTACATTGTGCCCAGCTAAACCGAAAGCCGGTCAGACTGTCACCATAGACACTCTTACAACAACCAAACGCCACCTATGTCTCTCTAGTCATCCATCTAAAACTATGTGTTGTGCAACCCTAAATAACCTTAGTTTCCTTCGTAGCTCTATCTACAGAGGTTACATATCGCACGATCACTTCAGTTGACAGATGTAATCTACACGCAACACAGTGGGCATCGAGGGTCACATGTGTGCTCGAGGCTCGTCTTCCCCTCCAAACATTCTGCGTGATACATATGGCCGCAAACCAGAACAGCGACAACAGCAAATTCACCGGAGGATGATGGCGAGTCGCCGAGGGAGCAAGGCTTTCGCCTCAACAGCTTCTGGCAGATCCCGCATACCACCTTTATCGAGTCTGAGGAGGAGGATACGGCGTCAGTTACTAATGAGCTGAACCGGATCCTCTCGGGTCTGGTGAAATCGCCTTTTTCCCTGTAATCTGTGAGTGAGGAAATGTGCATTAGGGAGTCAAATGTGGAGAAACTACAAGCAGCTGATACTGCCTAAATGTCCAAGCTGCAATATGGTAACTGAAAACCAAACCGATTAACTACCCTATCGTTGTTGCAGCATGCACAATAAGGCAAAAGTAAACTCGATCGTAAGGTTAACTTCACCTCCCTGATGCTTGAACTCTAGACCTGCTTCGTGTTGACTGCCAAACTTGAAAGGGCGTCTCTCATCGTGTAAAAGGTGGTGATTCCTCCCATGAGAAGTCGATGATGAACCAGCGTGGCTTCCTGAATTCCTACGAGAGTAATGATGGCCATAATGATGACGTGATCGTTTCAGAAACACCGATCGACCAAGGTTGTGGTGCTGATGTGAGAGAGATGAGTGCAAATTCAGCAGTCTGGTGGCATTGTCTTGAGCTTGCATCCCTTGCGAAAGAGGGTTTGGTTCAGCAGAATCGAGCCGGGAACTTCTCTGCAAAGGTAAAGGATGACAGAATGTGCTTAATCACAATGTTAAAGATAAATTCTCCCAAACGAACCATTAACCCAGACCACGCCAGAAAATCAAAATGGAACCAGAAAGACTAACCCCGTGGGGTAGTGATCCTCTTCCAGAAGAAAAAGGCATATCACCTGCATAATGAATCCACAAATTCCCCCCAATTTAGAATCAAAAGGCATATCAGAGCAAGACAGATGCTAAACTAACAAAGACGAGAAGCCTACATAGAACATAAATCAACAGACAAAAGCCGGAAAAGAACACAATGCAGGCTAGTAATCATACAGCAAGAGATAGCCAAGATTTGAAATGTGTCTCAGTTTGTAAGGTAGTTTCACGCATACATCCACACAAACCAAAATCTGAGATTTCATGGTATTCCGAAAATGAAGCTAGTAGTCCATCAAAAAGAAGATTAAGCTAGTAACATCAGGTGTTTAATGAAAATGACAATGGTGTGCAATTCTAAGAGATGCTATAGACAAACTACAAGCATAACAGATCGATATGACTAAAACATCCAATCACAAAGTCCATTCAGTCCAATTCAAATCGCGATCATTCGATGTAAGCTCCACAATGAACAATAGGATCCAGAAGCGGCCATCTCCAGCTTCTTGCATGAAAAAGGCAATTATTTTGGAATGCCAAAAAGATCATTACAGCATTATCAATTCCAAGCAACATCAGATCAGGATCTCCATTTGCCCATTTTCGATTTGGTAAAATGACAACCCACAGCTCTCAATCAAAGTCGAAAAACAAAGCAGGAAACAATCAAACCAAAAGCAATACCTAACCTTTTTCCTATTAGGCATTCTAAATGAAAAGATACCAAATTTTAACCCAAGGAAACCGCATCTCACAAGAGTTCCCACTAGATATCAGCAAAATTCAACAAACCCAACTCAATCGATTCTCAAAGATTCAAGCAATCTAGCCAAGTCAAAAACACAACCCATCAATCAATTTCAATAGCTTCCCCAAATCCCCCATCCAAGCACCAAACTTTCCACATAATCAAACGAGCCCACAAGACCAAAAATCTACCAACATAAACAAAAGGATCGTACCAGAGGGAGAAGGGGTAGAAGAAGAAGGATCGATCGGCGGATTTTGATGATGGGGAGTCGAGCCACTTCGCCTCCTCTTACCCATAACGAAAATAAGGGGCAAAAAAAAAAAAGGGAAAGGAGAGAGAACCAACACCACCCTTCAATGGCGGAAATGGCTGAGAATCGTAGGGTTTTAGGGAAGGTAGGAAAAAAGATTGTGGATTCGCGGAGTTAGAGGAACCAGAGGAGCATTTCGCTCCAAAAAAAAAGCTCTTCCCTTTTTCCTTTTTGGATGTCAGATTTCACACACTGCTACTGCTAAGCTACCGACGAGTCCACAAAAGAGAAGACGGGGAAATGAGAGCGGAAAGGAAAGGAATCAAATGAATGATAAAAGGGTAAACTCCCTTCATCATCTGTTTCCTCAAACGCGGCGACACGTGCACTGTTCGTACTTCGCATCATATCACTATGTTCATTCGTTCGTGTCCCAACTTCTCGCGGGAAAATGGCGGAGAAAACCCCCCCGCCTTCTTCCTCCTTTCTCCTCTGCTCTGCTCCATCTCTTCTCATCTGTCTCGGTGCCAAGTGGACAACCTCTTTGCCGTACAGACTTGCTACAAGTAGCGTGTGACCGTAATAGCTGCACAGAGTATTTTTTATATTTTCACAGCAGAGCTTTTTAGACTTCAATGGCTTCTTTTCTATGCTGCTGAAGGGTTATTTCCATGTTGAATGCACTTGACTGCTCCCTTAACTAGCCATGGTAGGAGTTCTGATCTACGACAACAGCATCCTCAAAACGATAAATGACAGCTTCACTCTCTCGAGCAAGCATCAAAACATCTAATTTCATAGTTAAAGTACGAGACAATTGACCGATTAGTATCACTCTCTAGTCTCTAATTGATATTGATCCATAACTACTATACAATTATCATGCATCTCATTCCACATTCGACTCATGATCGAATCATACCCTCTTATCATCATCACATACGAAAATGAGCAAGTCCTACATCAACCACATCCAACACACAAAGTATGGTATACTTTGGTTTGATCGAAGATGAAAGTTCGATAATACTGAGACCGAACAAGCCAAAAACAAAACTATATAAGCAAATTTGGTAAAACTGAGATGTGTAGTAATGAACTTGCTGACACTATGAGTGAAAGTTGTGTCAACATTGTAAATATGTTGTCTAGTTAAGGCATCATTTTCTTGTTTATTTAAAACCAGCCTTAAAAATTGGTATGAGATCACGATCACCTCTCAAGCTATCACCGTGTGTGCATTGAAATGCAGGTTTAGTGGTTGATCATGAAATCATCTTACCGCCTAAATCGAAGAAAAGAAAAAGGAAAGGAAAAACAGACGACCAAGGCATCAATTTTTGCCCATGTTCCCAGGCTGCAATGGTTAGCTAAGTCATGTACATTTGTGCTCCCATTTCAACATCATGCATCATCCCACTTGCTCCAACCACCTAAAGAGTCTCCCAAGTGGTGATAAGATAACATGATTGATACAATGGTGCTACTCTCAAGTTTAGTTCTCTTACAATATTGTTTTGGTTGTTGTTCGGACAATTTTTTGCATGCCATTAACTCGCAATATGTCTACTCCCTGAGTTTGGGTAAGTCGTAACTCAGCATCATGTACATTTGTACTTACATTCCAACAGCATGCATATCACCTGCTCCAACAGCCTACAACATCCCCCCGAGTGGTAATAACTAATAAGCTAACGAAGATTGATACTGACAAGACTGTTACTACCTCATTACTCTCGAGTTTAGTTCTCGAATAATATCTTTTGGTGGTTTTCATGGCGATATGTATGTACTCAACTTGATTAAGATGTGCAGCTCAACTAAGTATATAAACAATTGTGGGAAGTTAAGCAACAAGCACCAGTGGTCTAGTGGTAGAATAGTACCCTGCCACGGTACAGACCCGGGTTCGATTCCCGGCTGGTGCAATCGGAGCTGTGATGACTTTCTTGCCTTTGCGAAGTGGTCCTTTGCAATCTTCCTGATCTCTGATGGAACTAAGGCATTACTGAGCTCTTGCATTTTTAGTTTTGGGCTTTTTGCTCCCTTGATTATCTAAAAAGAGTAGTTGCACTTGAATAACAAATTGTATTAGTGAATGTACTTAGCAATAGAATGACACAAACTTACATCCCTTGATCAGTTTATGTTGCCCATGATCCGTTCAAATTAAAGAGTTGAAAAGTTTCAGTTTGTTCATTATAATCCGTATGATTTATTGAGCTTCTCGTCTCTCATATAATTTATTTTTGCATAAAAGATGATACAACAACATCTGAGTGAGGTAGTGGCAACGAGAAAGGCTTTGTATGATGGTGTGTTTGACCCGTTTTTTGGTGGAGTTGCTCTCCTTATGCGATGCCATGAGGTGGTGCTTGGACAGGGGACTGCGGTCTATGGTGTCTGCTTCCGATGCGAAGGTCGTGGTTGATAGACTCCGGGAGGATCGGTGGAACCATGTTCGTGGCGGCGCAGTCCTTGGCGATATTTTGGCCTTGAGGGAGAACTTTGAGCGAATGGATGTTAGGTTTATTGGTCATAAGTTAAAGAAGGTTGTCCATTTGGTGGCGCATAAAAACCCTTTCGTTGTTCCTTTCTTTAGTTGGGTTCGACGTTGTTTCTTGATTGTTTTCGGCCACTTGACTTATGTGTATCTTGTTATTTATTCGGTAATACGGATGACCTTTTGCCAACAAAAAAAAAAAAAAACACGTGTGATAGTGATATCTCTAAGTGACAGAACACTGGAACGAATACCAATTAAATACATGTTACAAGGATATGAATCTCCCTCTATGAACTCTATATTTATTGAGAATTAGCAATGACTGCGAAATCGTATCAGAGTTTGTATCAGAAAAGACAACGATAAGGTACTTTTATGTCGAAAATCGTGATTCGAACGTTTCATACTACTAAAAACCATCTACTTGTTTAGATGGATTAGTCTTCCAAGTATCCAACAAATATGGAGTAATCCCAATCCCCCCAATCTCTCTTAATCACAAGATTAGAGGGTAGAATTACGATTTTTCACTCTGCCAATTCCACTTCCTAGTTTAGTACAATGAACTCGAAACTTTCGTCTTTGCCAGGGTTTCGCCATTGGTTCAGCCGCACTCGTCTCCCTGGCCCTCTTTGGCGCCTTTGTCAGCAGAGCATCCATCTCGAAAGTCGACGTTCTGACCCCCAAGGTGTTCATCGGCTTGATCGTCGGAGCGATGCTTCCTTACTGGTTCTCAGCCATGACGATGAAATCCGTGGGAAGTGCTGCCCTGAAGATGGTTGAGGAAGTCCGCCGTCAGTTCAACACCATCCCTGGACTGATGGAAGGCACGGCCAAGCCCGATTACGCAACCTGCGTCAAGATCTCCACCGACGCCTCCATCAAGGAAATGATCCCACCTGGCGCCCTCGTCATGCTCACACCACTCATCGTCGGTATCTTCTTCGGCGTCGAGACTCTCTCCGGTGTCCTCGCCGGTTCCCTCGTGTCTGGTGTCCAGGTAAACGTATTTCGTGTTTCGCACGTCAACTCGGGCTGTAGGCCTAGAAGGGTATTAATGAAACGTTTTCGTGTTGCAGATTGCCATTTCTGCTTCGAACACTGGTGGAGCGTGGGACAATGCTAAGAAGTACATCCAGGCGGGTGCTTCGGAGCACGCCAGGACCCTCGGTCCGAAAGGTTCCGACCCTCACAAGGCCGCGGTCATCGGTGACACCATCGGAGACTGTCACCAACGAGGCTCAAGAGTCGAAAGAGGCTGCTCGAGGTCGAAGGAGGCATTTCGTAGCAAGGACGCGACGAGGGCGTCGCGAGCATAGGTGGGGGAGGATGTCACATGTGGCAGATGACATGGCGCCAACAAGGTGACAACATGGCGGCTGCACATGTGGCGTGTATGGAAGACTAGTAGCATAGAGATGCTCCTAGGATTCTCCACCTAAATGAGAGCTTAATGGTGCACTTATGAGTCACATAATGGGTGACATTTATAGAGTGCATAATGGGGGGGACTTAATGGGTGTATTGATGTAGTAGAGGGACATTATGAGGGGCATTGATGCCTTGTATGAGGAGAGGCCTATATAAGGAGCCATCTCCCTCACTTGTAACTCATCCATCATTTTTGTGAGCAATACAACTATAGAGTTCTCCCATCTTCTTGTGTCTTGTTCTTGTGAGTTGAGTGAGTTTGAGAGCTTGTGAGAAGGCTGCCTAGCATCTCTAACGGAATCGAGAGCTAGGGCCGCACGACCAAGAGTAAGGCCGTGACAGTTGGTATCAGAGCCTGGTTCTGAAAGAAGAACCGGTGTCCTCACTCCCCAAGAAGGAAGATAAGAAAGAGCGAGAGCCTCACCAAAGATGACTGGATCAGAAGTCCACGACGATGCGGAGAGGCACCGTGGAAGGGATACCGTGAAGAATCCCAAACCAAAGGGTGACAAGTCAAGCACTCGTGATCCTATGACGTCTCTAGAGAGGCGTGTCTCTAGAATGGAGGTGAAGTTGGCGGAAGACATCAGTGCCATCGAGGATTTGGGAGCGAACTTCACCCAAGTCGAAAGCGATTTTCAAGGTATGAATGCTCGTTTGTCGAGCTTGGAGATTGGTCATGATGGCATACGAGAAGAGCTTGTGGCCCTCATCAACAACACCATCAACACATCCTTGAACAACGCCATTGAAGTTGTGAAAGAGCATGTCCAGGCTGAGCTGGTCGGCGTGAAGGAGGAGACTGCAGACCTCAAGAGTGAGGTCACTCTCGTGAAGAGAGCCATGGCTAACGGACCTGCCATCGCACAACCTACCTCAACCATGGAGATTCCTAGACCAAAGAGCTTTCAAGGGTCGAGGAATGCAAGGGAGTTAGAGAACTTCCTATGGAGCTTGGAGCAATACTTCGAAGCTTCGGGTATTCGAGATGAGAATACCAAGGTAAAAACTGCACCTCTTTACTTGAGTGATGTTGCCATGCTGTGGTGGAGAAGGACCCAAGGTGATATCAATAAAGGGGCGTGCGTGATGGAGTCATGGGATGACTTCAAGAGGGAGATCAAGAGGCAATTCTACCCAGAGAATGTTGAGTTTGAAGCCCGGTCGAGACTAAGGAGGCTTGCTCACGAAGGAGAGATTCGAGGGTATGTGAAAGAGTTTTCTGAATTGTTGCTCGAGATCCCCGACTACACCGACAAGGAGGCCATGTTCACCTTCCTTGACGGCCTCCAACCATGGGCGAAGTTGGAGCTACAACGGCAAGGCGTGCAAAGTCTTGCCGAGGCAATGGCGATTGCCGAGTCCCTAGTCGAGTACCACGAGCCGGAGGAACGTGCGGAGTTCGGAGGCAATGGAGGTGGACGCGACTATGATAGAGACACACGAAGGCGTGGTAGACCGGACCAAGGAGGTAGTAATAAGGTTGAGAAACCACTTACTTGCTTTCTTTGTGATGGTCCACATCGTGTGAGAGATTGCCCAAGAAAGCACAAGTTGTCGGCAATGAAGGCCGTACTGGCAGAGTGCTCGAGCTCGGAAGAGGAAGCAGAGGAGACTCCAAGAGTGGAGCCCCATGTCGTGAAGATGGGTTGCATGAAGAGATTGGGCGCCATAAAGCGGGCGGAAGAGCCTCTCCAACCCGAGCAGCACGGCCAATGCTTCGTAGAGGCGAAGCTCAACCAAAGGAAAACAAAAGCCTTGGTTGATACTGGGGCAAGTTGCAACCTTCTTGACGTAGGTGAAGCGCAGAGGCTAGGCATCACGTACGAGAAGAAGCAAAGAGGGTGGATGAAGGCTACCAACTCAAGGGCCACAAGAACTCATGGAGTAGCGCGCCAAGTGCCACTCAAGCTTGGAGGATGGACCGGGGTGGCGGACTTTGAGGTTGTGTCGTTGGATGATTATCAGGTCATCATCGGCACGGAGTTCATGGTGCGGGAGAAAGCTTTCCCGATTCCCTACGCCAATAGATTCTGCATCAATGGCGGAGCAAGATCGGTTCCCATGACAAGAGAGCAACTCGAGTCAAACAAGAGGTGTTTGGCAAGGCAAGAGCAGCGAGAAGTGGCAACGATGGTGGAGGCAGAGACTCACTCGAAGACTCGTTGGAGAAGGACGAGAAGGAGGAGTGCACAACATCGTGGAGCCATGAGAGACGAGGATGTATCATCTTCGACTTGCCAAGAGAAGCAAGAAAAGGCCACCATGATCGAGAAGGTGGGACACTCAAAGACGCGACGGAGAAGACCGCGGAGGAGTGAGCAACATCATGGGAGCACAAGGCTCGAGAGCGAGCCAAGGCCATCCTTGGTTTGGAGGAAGGTGCAACGAGACCTTGCAAGCAATGAAGCTAAGGCAAGGGAGGCGTCTGCCGAAGAGCCACGACGAGGGCGTCGTGGATTGAGTGGAGGAGAATGTCACCAACGAGGCTCAAGAGTCGAAAGAGGCTGCTCGAGGTCGAAGGAGGCATTTCGTAGCAAGGACGCGACGAGGGCGTCGCGAGCATAGGTGGGGGAGGATGTCACATGTGGCAGATGACATGGCGCCAACAAGGTGACAACATGGCGGCTGCACATGTGGCGTGTATGGAAGACTAGTAGCATAGAGATGCTCCTAGGATTCTCCACCTAAATGAGAGCTTAATGGTGCACTTATGAGTCACATAATGGGTGACATTTATAGAGTGCATAATGGGGGGGACTTAATGGGTGTATTGATGTAGTAGAGGGACATTATGAGGGGCATTGATGCCTTGTATGAGGAGAGGCCTATATAAGGAGCCATCTCCCTCACTTGTAACTCATCCATCATTTTTGTGAGCAATACAACTATAGAGTTCTCCCATCTTCTTGTGTCTTGTTCTTGTGAGTTGAGTGAGTTTGAGAGCTTGTGAGAAGGCTGCCTAGCATCTCTAACGGAATCGAGAGCTAGGGCCGCACGACCAAGAGTAAGGCCGTGACAAGACCCGTTGAAGGACACTTCGGGGCCGTCGCTCAACATTCTGATCAAGCTCATGGCTGTGGAGTCGCTGGTGTTCGCGCCGTTCTTCGCCACCCACGGTGGCTTGCTGTTCAAGCTATAAACAACGATCAATGGATTGGAAGAGAAGGGAAGGGAAGGGAAGTGGGTTACTTGAGGAACAATTTACCGAGAGGATTGGTGTTTTGTTGTTGTAGGGTTCAGTGTCAGTTTGTAGGAAAATCATTTTGTATACCCCTTTTAACTAGTTTAAGCCTTTGATGACGGTTTTGGTATTAATATTTGTGAAACTGTATCGGTTTGATCTAATTATATTTTTTTTTATTTTATGAAAGGCTAAATTCATAAGTAATTTTGGCAGTATGAAATAGTTAAAATTGCATTTAAATTACCATTTCAATATTGTTGATTTTTTCATTAAAAACTCTAATACATTCTCACGATTCTTGATTTCTACTCTTCTTTCTTACCTCTTATATGTATAACTTTCACGTGAAAATTTTACTGACCTTAACAGAAATGCCACACCTAGGCCGCGCGCCCCACTTCTTCCTCGTCAGTCGTCACCGCCATCTTTCTAGAGGTTCGTTGCCTTTTCACATACGGGTAGTGCAGCAGCTGTGATTTGCTATGCCTTCCGAATTTGTTTCAACAACCCTTGGATACCTATAAACTCGTGGGGTACCCAGTTAGTTGGGTTGGGCTTGCGATTTCCGAACTTGCTCCGTATTTTTGCCTGGTTTTTCCATGGGTATATCATTTTAGCAAACCCCAACTCAACCCGATTCAAATTTTAGGCCAGTGAAAATGATAGAGTGGCGATAGAGAGAGAAGTGACGAGCAAGAAGGGCCCATAACTAGTTAGCCTAGACATGCCTTCCTCCATCAAATCCATTTTACATGGGCTTGTAGCCCAATGGGGTTCCCAATAGCAGCAGGCCCTTTCCCCCTCTCCACCTTAACCGAGCCCGAGCAGAGAGCGGAAAAAGAAAATTAAAAATATAAATAATCCTTGATCTCTGTTCCCCCATCTCTCATTCCAACCAGACTCGGGGGGGCTCTGAAAATCTCAAATCGCCCTCAAACCCCTAAACACAAAAATCCCCGACGCTTCGTTACCGCCATCGCCACCTCAACCACCGTCGGCATCGCTCTCCAAGGTTAGTTCCCTCCACCACCTCCTCCTTGTTTTTCCGCCACTGCGAGATCGGCTCTGTTGAACGGATCGGAGGTGCGTTTTTCCCTCTGCGATTGTTTCTCAGAATTAATTTGTGTATCCGTTTACTGGCAGGTCGGTCGGAGAGGTTTTGATTGTGTTGCGCGCCATCATCATGTCGAATTTTGGAGGGCTGGAGAACACTGCTAATCCAGGTTACGTACTTTCCCCCCCTTTTGTGGATTTTTCTATTTCACCGATTTGAACATTCCGCCTTAATTTCGCAATTCCTTGCATCAAAAAATTTCCGTGTTGGTTTCTATAGTCGCCGGAGAATCTAGCTAGGTCGTTGTTCAGTGTCTTTCCCCGTGGAATTTAGGAAATAGTAATGCCTGCTAGCCTGTTGATGAGGGATGCTTTGTTTGTTAGTTTGATGCTCTCCCCTCCTCCTCCTCCTGTTATTTCACTGTCTCCTTCCATTGTTATGATTTATGTTAGGTTTTCCGGTATTCTTATATTCTAACTAATTGATCTCAAACTTGGATGCAGAGTGGGACGGGAGGACAAGGGAAGAAGAAATCGCTTGGAGAAAGGAGATGCTGGCAAAGGGAGATTTAGCTTGGCTAAAAGAGATGCTGGCTAAACTGGTCAAGTGGCAGGCGCAAGAGAAGAAAGAGCTGGAAGAGGCACGCCTAGATTATGGGGATCCCAGAGATGATCCGGCGGTCCGTGGAGGTAGTGGTGGTGCTGCTGCTGGTCCGAGAGAGTAAGGGACACTACTATTATTAAACATATTCTCTAGTTTGCAACTCATTTGTTGTTTTATGTTAAACATTATGTTATAGTAAAACCATTCTTCTTTATTCCCAATTATTTTCAAAACCTAACAATTAAACTCATTCGAGTTATCCTTAATTTGAATTGATTTTATAGGTATAGTGCAAGAGTTGAAAGATTCTTTCAAGTTTGAGTTACATCAGGAACAAGGTTAGAAATCGAATATGCAATCAGTTCATGAATTATTGTCTAATATTGTATATTTGCACTAGTCGAATATTTTTTTGATTTATGAATTATTTAATTTAATTTTTGGAAGAGGACATCCATATAAAAATTTCCTGGATCCGCCTGTGACCTAAGTATATCTAATCTAACTTTGGGTTCATGGGTTTGATCTTTTTCCCTTGTGTATGCAATTTGACCAATCCATAAAGAATTTCCTTTCTCATAAAAAAAAACAATAGCCGATTTTGAATTCCTTAATCTCTTAAATCATAATTGCAAATAAAATAACTCTCACTGCATAATTAAGAAGATAAACTATGCCGAGAATGAATAAACCCTAATTTTTCATGTTCGGTTTCTAACAAAATATAATCTAATGAACAAAATATGATCATAGACAGAGTAGATAGATAGGCATTGCTTTTGTGACCTCAAGTATATCTAATCTTAACTCTGGGTTCTTGGTTTTGATGTTTTTCCCTTATGTGTGCAATTTGACCAATCCATTTCGCCCATTTTGCAGATTCTTATATTCTTAATATGGCATGGCTGGAACGCGAGATCAAAACTTTATTTTCAAAATTTGCTCTCATCCCTCTCTACCTTTCCCCTCTCCGTGAAGCTCTTCAGGGCAGCTGCCGGCATCTCTTGGTGACTGGCGGTAGCCCATCCTCTCTCCTTTCTTCCTGCTTCCTATATTTGCTTGTCTTTGATTTTGATGTTTTTCACTCTACTTTTCCAGCTTTCAAGCTTTTTAAGTCATTCTTGGCATTTCGCTCCTCTGTTCTAAGGTTTTTGTTGGGATTTGCTCTCCTTTGAGGCTGGGTTATGCATCTTGGGTCTTCTCTCATGATGGTCGGCTTATCAACTTTTGTGGTGAATCGATTCTCTGGTTTTCCCCTTCGTTCTTCCCAGGTGGTTGTTCTGCATCTAGGTGGCCGACGGAGGATGGATTGCAGAGTCTAGCCTTGCTGCTCGTGGGTTCAGTTCTTTGATCTGGGGATCTGGGTTCTTCTGTTTTCCTTGACCAAGTCTTGGAGCCTCCTCTTCCCCTGCCTTTTCAGCTCGGAGCATTTCGATCCTCATCTCTGTCCACCGCCATGTAATCTCTCACCCGTGATTCACTGTGTTGAGCGTCTTTGAGCGACTCCCAGGAGGCGGCTTATGACATTGTGTTCAATCGTCATGGACTCGGTCGGATCGACGAGCTGATTGCGCTTGGTGCTACTTCGTTTGTTTTGATTGCAAGAGAGCTTTCAGTGTTTACTGCTTCTGGTTCAAGTGTTTCAGATCCTTTGTTGGATGACTCCTTCTGAGTTTTGTGCTCTTCTTGTTGTATTTCTGAAGCTCAGATTGAGCATTTATGTGCTTTTGTTTTTCTGTCCTTGTTCTATTTGATTTGCTTTGTTGGTTCTCTTGTAATTGATCATTCAAAGTGCAATGCAAGTATTCCCATTGTAAAAAAAAATATATATGGCATGGCTGAAATTTTTGGGGCCATAGGATAATGGTATCGTTGAGAAAAAGATGTAAACGAATAAAAAACAGAATGAAAAGTAAACAAGTTTTCTCATTTCGGTTGCCAAATTTATCACATGAAAACAGGAAACGAAAATGGAAGTGAACAGGGCCTAAGTAAGAGGTCCCATCACTTTTGCTTTTCAATAATCACAAAGAATAATAATATCTATTTGTTGTGTTTGAAACTCCAATCCATGCTAATAATTGACAAACCAAAAGTGTATGTGAGAACTTATTCATAATATCATCGCATTCATAGAATTGCGGATGATTATAGAACATCCGCCTTCGATTTGACGGAGCTAAAGTTTTGTGGGCCACAATTGCTACTCGATCTTTCTTGCTTGTTTTGCTTTTTGTCGGATGAAACATTTAGGTGAACCAATGTAACTTAATTGTCAATAATTAAGTTAAAATATGGGAAATATGATCTATCAACTATAGGTTAAAAACTATATATACCACAATCCAGGAATATTATTTTCTTCTTCTTTATGTTGTTGTAAACTTATAATTAAATAAGAAGTATTTGCATAATTTCAACATTTAAGGATAGAGGAACCAACAGATCCACCACACACATGCACTCTCATTCTTTCTCGACATTTCACCTCCTTAATTCAACGTTGATTATTTTTAAATTTTATTTTTAAAAAAAAGGAAATAGAAACCTTGTACCCACCATCAACAACATCAAAAGCTACCCCATATAATTCACAAAAATAATAATAATAATAATAATAATAATAAATTGGTGAGATGAGATGGCTAGATCTGTATATGATTAAGCTCCAACATATTGGTGGGTGTGACCATTGAATTTTGGGTTTCCCCAGCAAGCATATAAATAATTGAATGTGGAGGGTGTCTTTATTGATTCGATGTCCCACAGTTTTTGTGACCTAGTAGGTGACGGTGTCGTGTGATATCAGAGATCTCACGTCACTGGTTCTAGTCGTCGTGGACAAATCTGTACATGATCGCTACCCAACACTCTCATATTATTTACACCATACCGAAAATTAACAACATTTATTATTGCTACAACGAAGAATATGATTGAATCACATCTTACCACGATAATAACATGTTGGTGTGAGTTACATGTCCAATCTAGCTGGTTTTGGTAGTCTAGATTTGTTATTTTCTATACGATTCCTTATAGGAGTGAGAGAAGATAACTTCATAGACTATAGCAAGTCCCATTGAAATGTTGTTGTCAACATTTTAATTTGGTTTGTTGTTGTTGTTATTGGTGATGGAGGGTGTGGTATGTGGTGATGAGCCAACTCTTTGGTTTGTCTATTACTCCACCAAAATCTACATCACACTCTCCATGAAAGGACAAAATCTCAATTTGCATGTCCCCATACCAAAACCCACCAACCATTAATTACTATTTTTTATAAATAATAATAATTATTAGAAATCAAGATCAAGGGTTGTAAAAAGTACAGAAAGTGATGGGGAATTTTGAAGAATATGGAGATTTGGACAATTTATCTGCAAATGAGAGCCATGCAAGGCCATTGACACCACATATAAACAGTCATTTCTCAACCATAAACTTATCTATTTGTTTGTTTTATTGTATTCTAGAGATACTTGTATTGCCAAAGATCGAGATTCAAGCACACATTATTTGGTTGTACATGATAAGTCGTACCATATTGTTCTCACGATCAACAAATCAAAATCAAAAGACGCAACATTGACGTCAGCAACTGCAACAACCTGACGTCCTCTAATATATAGCATCAACGCAGTCACCAACACACACGTTATCAAGGACTTGCTTAAAATATTCAGCACCTATATCAACCCATGCGAACCATATCGAATCGAATAGCGTCACGAGACATCCTCACAAAAGATAAACTATCTATTTGTTACTCCCAAAAAATATAATAAATGCCAACAAATAATTTGCAAAATAAATGAATATCTAAGTATGCAATGAAGGGGTGGATGGTAGAAGAAGTGGTCGTGAGTGAGATGCTTCCATTTGAACATTATCTTCAAGTGATTCCTATTTCTCGAGGGAATTTCTTCTTTCCCTTTCTATCTTTTTTTTTTTCCTGTTGGGTTTCTTAGAGAATGATTTCTTGATGCCCTTTTTCTGGTGCCTTTCTTCGAATTTAATTCTCTCTTTTTTTCGAAAATGGGAATTATTGAAAATGACGAATATAGTGACTTCTATCATATACCAGACAAAAACTTGTATATGTCGTACACCAAACAATCTTCATCATACGCGTTCATCTTAACGGTCAGCATAAATGAGATAGTTTATTTTATAATCCCACAAAAAATAGAACCCACAATTATGTTGACGGTTAAAATGAACGCGTACAGTGAAAATTGTTTGGTATACTACGTACACTAATTTTTCCTGATGTACAACCTTTGTTCTCTAGAGAATCGTTCTGTAATTTTTCTTACAATAATTTTGTATACAATTTATCATTTATATTCACTTCGACAATTCAAGCAATTGGGATGTAGCGATTATTCATATGACATCGATTATTTTATTGGTGGTATATTATAGTATTTTTCGATTGTATGATTAGCGAGTCTAATAAGAGTATTAACCACCTTTGCGCTATTCCTAAAACTATGGCCTGGAATCAGTTTAGCAACCACGCAAAGCTCGTGGTCTTCTGATGTAATCACCAAACCATATGTGATAATTAATAATTAATTAAATCGTTGACAGATAGACCAACCAAAATAGGAACATGGAAATGGAAAACAGCTCTTAGCTTATTATTTTCCAGTGATGGCAATGTGGCAGGTTGTAGGGTTGGAAAAATTATACCAGACCGGTTGAAAAATTGTGGATCAAATCGGATAGCATAGTTTGGTACGAACTGGTCCATGTTTTATGATATTTTGATGTAATGGTCTGGCATATTCTATATTTTGGTTTATCGGACCAAATCGTTGACCAAGCTGACTTTCCAATACGTATTAGTAGTCCACTCGACCACTCTCGCAACGAGATCCAACTCAATCCTAATTTTGAGAATCTCGTGCTTTTATTCACAACCACATTTCATGAGAGAGTAGAGACAATCGTGTCTCCATATGACATTATGGTGCAAGTTGTGATGCTTTGATTGTGTATATTTGTCATTTACTAAGATTTAGGGTGTCAAAATTACTCATGTATGTTGGAATTTATGTTTTAAGGCAAAAAAATACATTTTTATTGGTTATCGATTCAAATTTTAGTGGGGTTGACTATACAAATTGTCCATTTTTTGTTCAATGTGGTCTATCTGGACTAGATCGCACATGCGTGGTCCGGTCAGGACCGTATAGCATGTCGTTTGATCTCTGGTCTGGATCGTAGAACGTATATATGGTCCAATCTAAACCAGAACACACCATTTCCCAATCCTAGCAGGTCGGGTATCTCGATAGTCATATTTGCCCAGACCAAATGCAACTATGTAGGGTAATACTCACGTGGGTACAGATCGAGGCAGGTCGATTCATTCTTATATATTATTTGAAGAAAATATTTATTTTCACGATAAACAAAATAAAAATAGTCCATAAATGAAAAATAGAGATAATAGTCAGATTAATCGAGTCAAATTAGTTGAAAGATGAAGTTTTGCCTTCTTAAAGCCGTCGGGTGCAAATAGGCTCGAACTTATTTAAAGCATTGGTCAGTAAAAATGTGACTGATACTTTAAATAAGTTATAACGAACAAGATGAGGCAGTACAAAGCAAAAGTAATACTCATATTCTATCCTACACTGTTGTGAGTTGAATGTTACCCTTCAGAATGTGGATTAGATCAGATAATACCCCACGAGACTGGTTTAGTTTGTCATCACTATTTCCCTCAAAGTTTAAAAAGAGAAACCGTGGAGAAAAAAGAAGGAATGAAAAAAGACCTGCGTATGGTTTACGTTCTCGCAGGAAGGCTTGAAATTTCAATCGCCAGGAAAACAACCCCTCGAAAGAAGTCTAATTATAGGTCATTAAACATTAATTACGGAGTATGGACAAAAGGAAAAGGTTAAGTGAATTGTGGTTAAACATTAATTAAACAAATACAAATATACAATGTATATGGCAAAACATGAAGACTTGTCTTCGGTCAACCGAAAGGTGTAATTTTCTTATTGCGTAAGGTTTTGAATCCTAGTAGTTGTGGGTCGTACAGATTCATACACCATATAGTTCAACGGAAAAAAAAGTTTGATAATTCAAGTTGCTAGAAGAAGTTTAAAAATAGATCATATAATAATTTTATAGGGTTTGGTTAATTTTGATTTTATAATTATCGAAATAGGGTTTGGTTTGTTAATTTACCGAGATGACAGGTTTATGTTGGATTTTATTTTTCATTATGTGGGGGGACGCTGGATTTGTTTAAAAACTTTTGCGGTGTTTAATAAATCATATTGAATATAAAATTGTTAAAAAAACATAATAATGATAGTCAGGGTTTTTTGGTGAAACATAAATCATGAAATTCGTTTCCTGGGGTTTGGGATTTTACCCTCAACTGGAGCTAGAGTTTTTCTCCCTCGAGAACGAACGACGTGAAGTCTGGGTGAGCAGTATGGGCAGTGGTGAAGAATTAGTAACCCAAGATTGGCGTTAGCTAGGGAGATGAGCCTAAGGATCTAACCATAGTAGCGAGGCAACACAACAAAAACCCGGAGCGAGACCAACTCTTCAATTTCTCGGATCCCAACAAACTAGTGAAAGATAAAACATGTTGCATCAGAATGAAAGTGGAAATTGAATGATAACTTTGTAGGATCGATGACAAAGGAAAAAGATTGACATGAATCTTCATGATGATTTTCCGTCCCAAATAATACTTCAAATTGACTTAGTGCGAACGACTTCCTTTGATCTCGTCCTCGTTAAAGAAGAACTCATTGATGACAAAATACTAAATAAAATAGATTGACATAATCCTAAACTATTACACAACCTTATCCTGTCAAGATACCATTTCTCCATAAAACTGTACAAAATCCACACATTACTTGCCTCTTAAAAACAGCCGATTAATTAACGAAATAATCCCCATTTAATGAGTTCCACTAAATTCTAGGACCAAAACATTAGCGTTCAATCCAACCTTATCCAATTCGTTTATTTTTACATCACCTAATCTCTCCCTTCATCCTTTTTTTCCTCCATTCCAAATTTTGATTAGATAATAAAGAACACCAAATCTTTTGTTTCTTATTTTCATCAATCTAAGTTTGTTATTCAAAAATTACTTTGAAACCTCGAAATTGCAAGGCAATTTAGGATACAAAATTATTGCTTGAGTTGATCTTCACCTACTTGTCGATTCACATTAAGTTTAAATGTTAATTTTTTCACTACTAAATATTGTCGACAAACAATTTTTTCGATCGAATCGGTATTAATAAGTTTGGTTCTTACCTGAAAAATTGATTAATCGTCTTCTTCGAAGTACTAGTATGTATAACTCAACGTTATTTGCACCAACTAGCGATCCACGTTATCAAAGCTACCCAATACATAAAAATACACATTGATCCATTGGCCTAACTTATTCATAGATCTATATTCTGCTATAAAGGGCCTTGCAAGTTTGGTATTCATTTATGTAGCAATCTTCTTTGTATCAACTTAAACCCGAGTTAGACAGGATCAAATGATTCGAGGCACAAACATATCCAACCAGAATTATGGATCTGGTCGTATCGGATCAAATATACTTTCAATTTGATTCCATTTATGTTCGATTGAAATGAATTAGATCATTCAATTCGTAATAACCGATTAAACAAACGTGGACAACAGTCAACATATAGACAAGAGAGTATTTCTTTTAATCTTTTTTTTCATAATAAATATATTACGAGCCACCAATAAAATACCTAACAATTAAAATACCCCAACAAAAAAAAAAGAGAAATTATTTCCCTTTTTTTATTTGTTAGATAAATTTCCTAAATTTTATAGATTTTAATTAATTTTTCTGCTTGTTTTGCAATTTCCCGGCTCGGCGGATATAAAACCTTGATTTTCGGCTTACCCACCAGCACTCCCATTTCCTCTCCTTCTCTACTCTTCCATTCCCTCTGGAGAGAGAGCAGAGATAAACCTTTCGCTGCCTCCTCCTTTCTCGTCGGTTACCCTGAATCTCGGGCGGCGGGAATTCTATCCATTTTCTCTGATATGGGTTCGTCGCTCCTGCCAGATCTCGGCACCCAGATACTGATTCCGGTATGCGGGGTCATCGGAATCGCCTTCGCTCTGTTCCAGTGGGTGCTGGTCTCGTCCGTCAAGCTGTCTCCCGCCGGCGGCAGGGATGCGGCCAACAAGAATGGGTATAACGACTCTCTGATTGAGGAGGAAGAGGGGGTGAATGACCACAGCGTCGTCGCCAAATGCGCTGAGATTCAGAACGCCATTTCCGAGGGTAAATAGAGCTCTCGGCTCTGTCTTAGATCTCAGCTTTGTGTTGGGTTTATTCAGTTTTGTGAACTGGGAGTTGGTCAGAGTTTTAATTAGTGTCAGTGATTAGAGATGGTTTCAGAGGGTTCCCAGTGGCCAAATTTTACTGGGAAGAGCCGTAACTGTTATGTTTAGCTGATTCTGTCGGTTGTTTTATTGGGTAGAGGTTCCTGGCGGAGATCTGATTCTCTGTTCTGCACGTGTCTGGTTTTCTGCAACTGAGCTCTTAAAGTTTCGTTTTTTGAATCCATCGAGCAAGTGTGCAGAGTAGAGTAGAACTTGTTGGATCTTTCCCCATTTTTAGGATGGTCCGGGTTTTCCTTTGGGTTGGTGGAGATCTTAAGGGATTTGTGCTAGATCTGGGAACCATTTCTTCTTCATGGTTTGGTGGAAATCTGGAGCTCCATTGAAGTTCTATGGATCTGAGCTTTTGTTTCCAGCCCTATGTGTTAATATGTTGTGCTCTACTAGAAAAATCTGCTAATGACCCATTCCTTGTGGAAGACATTTTGAGCACGACCAAGTTCTTCGGACTGGATGTTTAAATGGAGTTCTTCGTCCTTCTCATTACCCTTTTTCTCCATTGTGTGACATCAAGCAGTGACTTTTCCCACTACTTGGGTTTCGTTACGTGTTCTTGCTTGCCACTTATGCTTTAATATTGGCGATACTTTCCTTAGTTCAATTATATGACATAGTAATTAGTATTTAAACGTCAAAGTCTACTTTTTTATGCATCCTCATTGATCTGTGAACTATGGGGAACATCCTTTCCATCGGTTTCTCTTTCTGAGATATACAATGAACGCTGTAGATTCCTCAAATCTTTTTTTGGTCTTCATACTATACTATATTATCTTGAGTATGTTATACACGTGATGAAATCTTGCATTTGAGAAGGTGGAGGCACAATATAAAAATTGAACTTTCATCTTAGTTTTAATGCTGTACTTGGGCACTTCTCCTCCCGAAGGAGACTTGCATGTGTTTGTTAGTTTCTGCAGTATGCTTAGCTGGATTGACTAATTGGGTCTTTTATGCTGCTTGCTGCAGGGTCAACCTCCTTCCTTTTCACTATGTACAAGTATGTCGGCATCTTCATGGTTGCCTTCGCTGTCCTCATATTTGTGTTCTTGGGATCCGTTGATGGATTTAGCACAAGTCACCAGGTTTGCACCTACGACGCAACCAAGATGTGCAAGCCTGCCCTGGCTACTGCTGCTTTCAGCACCATATCTTTCTTGCTCGGTGCAGTGACTTCTGTGGTTTCCGGGTTCCTTGGGATGAAGATTGCTACCTATGCAAACGCTAGGACAACACTTGAGGCAAGGAAAGGAGTCGGAAAGGCTTTCATTGTGGCCTTCAGATCTGGTGCAGTCATGGGTTTTCTCTTGGCTGCAAATGGTCTGGTGGTTCTCTACATTACCATCAATCTCTTCAAGCTTTACTATGGTGATGACTGGGGTGGCCTTTTCGAAGCTATTACTGGTTATGGTCTTGGTGGATCTTCCATGGCTCTCTTTGGTAGAGTTGGTGGTGGAATCTACACCAAAGCTGCTGATGTTGGTGCTGATCTTGTTGGGAAAGTTGAGAGGAACATTCCAGAGGACGACCCCAGAAATCCAGCTGTAAGCAACTACTAAATATTTCTAGCCTTGCTTATGAACTGTGGTGAGTTGTGGTTACATCATTGTTTACTCTGGTTCTTTTTTTCTTCTTTACAGGTGATTGCTGACAATGTTGGAGATAATGTTGGTGATATTGCTGGTATGGGATCCGATCTTTTCGGTTCATATGCCGAGGCATCATGTGCTGCTCTAGTGGTTGCATCGATATCATCTTTCGGGATTAATCATGAGTTCACAGCAATGCTATATCCACTCATTATCAGTGCAGTAGGAATCGTTGTTTGTTTGATCACCACTTTGTTTGCCACTGATTTCTTCGAGATCAAGGCTGTAAAAGAAATCGAGCCTGCTCTGAAAAGGCAGCTCATCATCTCAACTGTTCTCATGACCGTCGGGATTGCTGTTGTTAGCTGGATTGCTCTTCCAGCTTCCTTCACTATCTTCAATTTCGGAACGCAGAAGGATGTGGCCAACTGGTATGTTTATGTCAGCTCAAATATTCTTAAGTTTATGCTAAATGTCTGAAGATTTTTCTCACTGGAATCTCTGTCCGTTCAGGCAACTGTTCTTGTGTGTTGCTGTTGGTCTATGGGCTGGACTTATTATTGGATTTGTGACCGAGTACTATACTAGCAATGCATACAGGTAAAAAAAACTTCAAAAGCCTAAGGCTCAATTTGGTATGCTTTCTTTCGGGAATCTGTAATAAGTAATAACACTAGTTTTCTTGTCGTCGGTTTCGTTTCTTCCCCAGCCCTGTTCAAGACGTTGCTGATTCTTGCCGAACTGGAGCTGCCACTAATGTCATTTTCGGGCTTGCATTGGGATACAAATCTGTCATCATCCCCATTTTTGCCATTGCAGTGAGCATTTTTGTTAGTTTCAGCTTTGCTGCTATGTATGGCATTGCAGTAGCTGCCCTTGGAATGTTGAGCACCATAGCCACTGGCTTGGCCATTGATGCTTATGGCCCCATTAGTGACAATGCTGGAGGTATCGCTGAGATGGCAGGAATGAGCCACAGAATCCGAGAGAGAACTGATGCCCTCGACGCTGCAGGAAACACCACTGCTGCTATTGGCAAGGTTGGAATCTTCTTTAAAAAGATCTCTCATCTCTTTTCTTTTATTCTGTTGGTTTTCGAAGTTATCTTCTTGTTCTTCATCTGCCGTGTTGGTGGGTGGTGCCAAATGATTTTTTTGCCCATGGGACCACGATTAGTGTGGCACACACGTTTAGGGGATGGATGACATGGACTAGCTGCCCGACTTTACTTTCGGATTTTTGCTGGAATGATTTTTTTCATTTTGAAAGAGAAAGCTGTGATTTTTTCCTCCTTTTCTTCCCAAGGAGTTAGACGAGGAACCAATTCCTTCAACTGCCTTGGACCACTTGTTTACTTGCGTGACCCTTCCATTTCTCTAGTTAAATGACAAAAGTGGGAATGATAACTACATATTTAATTTTGTACAACATTTTTAGGGGGTGGATAATGGTTATCGAATCCGATTAAATTTCCCGGGGTTTGGTTAAACTAAAACCAGAATATTGCGTATTAAGTTTGATTGAAATTTCGATTACTCAACTCTTTGATTATGCCAAATTCACAGGGTTTCGCTATTGGTTCTGCTGCTCTCGTCTCACTGGCACTCTTTGGCGCCTTTGTCAGCCGCGCCTCCATCACAACGGTCGATGTGTTGACACCGAAAGTATTCATTGGGTTGATCGTCGGGGCAATGCTTCCATACTGGTTCTCTGCCATGACGATGAAGTCTGTAGGAAGTGCAGCATTGAAGATGGTTGAGGAGGTTCGTAGGCAGTTCAACACCATTCCTGGACTAATGGAAGGTACTGCTAAGCCCGACTATGCCACCTGCGTCAAGATCTCCACTGATGCCTCTATCAAGGAAATGATCCCACCTGGCGCACTTGTCATGCTCACTCCCCTCGTTGTCGGCATCTTCTTTGGTGTTGAGACCCTCTCCGGTGTCCTTGCCGGATCTCTCGTGTCCGGTGTGCAGGTAAATGCCAGATATCAGATTCCTACATTGCTGATCTTGAATAGCTCTCGATGCTTGACCTGTTCTTAACGCGGGTTTTGCATTTGTGTACACTGCAGATTGCTATCTCTGCATCGAACACTGGTGGCGCATGGGACAATGCCAAGAAGTACATTGAGGTAATAATACATTTCCTCCTTTTCCTTTCGGGCTGTTACAATGCTTGCTCCAATTTGTCATTGAATTTGAGTAAATTCTTGAATTTTTGGATGTTGTTCCAGGCTGGTGCATCGGAACATGCCAGATCGCTCGGCCCAAAAGGATCAGACCCACACAAGGCAGCAGTCATTGGTGACACCATTGGAGACCCGTTGAAGGACACATCTGGACCATCTCTCAACATCCTCATCAAGCTCATGGCTGTCGAGTCCCTCGTCTTTGCCCCATTCTTCGCCACTCATGGTGGCTTGCTGTTCAAGCTTTAAGGAAAACACCAATGGTGAAGTATCCAACCAGAGGAGAATCAAGGTGCTTGCTGTCTGGGTTCCTCTTTTGTTTACCCTCTTCCCCTCCCCCAAATCTCCCATCCTTCCATAGCCTTCATTCCTTAGATAGTTCAGATTATATGTAGTCTGTAGCTGTTCATTGTCTTTGACAAGTCTTTTGAGATAAACAAACGGGTTTGTATGTTCTTCTCCCACATGGGGGGAAAGAGGTCGATAACGACGAAGATATGTATGAGGAGAAGAACAATGTTGGTTATGTCGAATCCTCGTGATGAAGGCCAGAAGAGAGTTGTGACTTAGTTTTATATGTTTCTTCATTAGCAAGAAAGAACATTTACATTTTTCGTGTAATCCCAGTGTCTTCATTCATCTTTCGAGCTCATTTTCAGTGACATCTTTTTGGTCTTGCCAATTCCTCTTTTCTATTTGAGGCGTGACTGTCTTTGCCGTTACTTTTCCTTGCCTCCTAGTTTACTGAGAATTGGTTAGTAGTAAGTACCATAGAGGAGCTACTGTGCTTTTTCTGTAGCTGTAGCTTGAGTGCTGCACTTGGGTATCGAATTGCGGAAGAACGGTATGGCCTCCTTCGAGATCAACTACTTGGTTGCAGTGCATCGAATTCTCCGGTTTTCATTCTTTCTTTCATTCATTCAGACGTTCAAAAGATTTGTTAGAACCAGAACTCAGATTTTGGGTTCGACAGAAGTCTTTATTTTCTCTGATACATGGCGCATAACATAAACTTCAGCTTCCAGACACTAGAAGCTGGAACTTGCCTCCAGAAGGCTTTATTTTTTCACATACATGGAGCAGAACACAAACTTCAGATTCCAGAGGTTGAAATCTGGAACAGGGCAAATTTTAAAAGTGAAAAAGTTCCAGACTTTATCCAAGAGAACTTCAAACTCTGGCATCGTCGATGAGTGTCCTCCCACTCTTATAGTAATCGAAATGAGTGGTTTCTTCATATATCACCTTCCTGTACAACGATGGCCTCTCTTCATTCACCAGCTCCTCAATCGGTTCGACTCCCGATTGCGGGTTAGAAAGAGAGAGCACAGCCAGAGAAACTCTCTCCCTTTCTGAATCCACCATTCCCCTGTGGTACAAGCTCTTGAACTCTCCATTGCTCAGTATCTGCCACATATTTTCTCCATTCATCCATGTTAAAGGAAACGAAAGCAACAAAGCTAATTTACCTCCACCAAACTAATCACTGTGAATGATTTACTACATTATACCTCTAGCTGCTCCCCAACATTGATGACAAGGGCATCTGGAACTATGGGAACTCTGAACCACTGCCCATCTTTCAGAATCTGCAGGCCTTCCAGTTCTTTGTCCTGCAGGAGAACGGTGAGCACCGTCGAATCGAAGTGTGGCTTGAGGCCGAAGACGAGATCTGGCCTCGGACAAGAAGGGTAGAAGTTGAATCTTGCATACATTATCCACGGCTCTCCCATCTTGTGCAGGAAGCTGGTCTCTTTCAGGTTCATTGACCTGGCTAGTGCCTTCAGGATGACTTCATACACTGTTACCACCTTGCTGCTGTATTCATCCACAACTTCCCTGCATCGGTTTTTCATGAAATAAATTGCTTGTTGCTCAAGTAAAAAAATCAAAACTACGCGAATAAGCCCCGAAAACTTCATAAAACCTGAACTCTGGTGGATTCTCAGGCCAATACTTCAGCTGTCTGAACTCCTCGGGACGAATAGTGATCCTCAATCTGGCGCCCCAATCGCGAGCAAGGAAATCGTTAGGGGCAGGGTCACTGCCATACCCTTCAAACCCATCAACTTCCCTCTTCCATTTGAGCTTCTCTTCTTCTGGCAGCGCCACGAATTGCTTGAACAGCATCCTCAATTTATCAAGAAACCAACTCTCCACTCCATGGTTTGTTACCTGTACACAGAAAACCATCAACATATCACATATCAAATGTTGAGCAGTCAGAATGAAACGTCAGAAGAAGAAGAAGAATAAGAAGAAGAAAGCAGACAATCATGCAGCCATGTGTGCTGAGAGCTGAGCGGATCTTTTGATCAGCTTCAGAAGGAGCAGTGAGCTGGCCGATGTCAATGATGGGAATGTCTATCAGTGGAAGCAGAGAAGGGTGTTCATGGTGGCCTTCACGGATGTATTTGGCTTCTGGGTTCCTGCCACTGATGGGAATTTCTTTCACAGCTTCCATGGTTGATGTGCTTAATTAGCTGATTATGAATGTTTTGCATGAATGGAAATGGGTTTGGTTTGGCTTTTATAGAGGGATGTGGATAAGGCAATAAGGGGCAGTTTCAGGTTTTGCATGTAAGACTGACAAATGGGCTAAAAGGGGTGCTAGGGTTCTGAAGGATTCAGAATACACGTATAGAACATGCATGCAATTCTGGTGGTTGTTACAACAAGGATGAAATCATGCAAGGAACTGACAAGGTGAGGTGTTATTCTTATCTTTACCTTGATTTGGACAGAGATTCGGACAAGGTGTTTGATGAAATGCCCGAGAGAGATTTCTTAGCGTGGACAACGATGGTTTCAATGGCGACCTCCGAGATCAGCTGACTGATCGGTGGAGTGGTTCCTTTGTTGGTTCGTACATTGATTCAGTAGAACCTGAGCTCAGATTTTGCCATGGAACAGAAAGCTTTTCATATTCTTCATATAAATGGAGAACATGATATAAAACTTCAGACTGATAACAGAAACTGAAGAACCCAGAACAGAGTAAGTTCAGAAAGCTGGAAAGTTTCAGACTTTATCGACAAACACTTGAAATGATTCTCTTCCCACTCTGGTAGTAACGGAGTTGCAGACTTTCTTCGTGATTTCACCATCTCGAACAGCAATTAATGGGCGCTCTTCATTCACCTGGAACGATGGGAACTCTGAACCACTGGCCATCTTTCTCCATCTGCAGGCCTTCAACTTCTTTAATTTGACTTCAGCTGTCACAAACAATAAATAGTTGAAAACTTGCAAGCAAGAGAATGGAATGTTTTTTAATACCTTTTATCAACTTCCAACATATTGGCGACAAGAAAAACCTCGCGCGACATAACAGACATATCTTATTGGGGCACGATAGTTAATGAGGTGATGAAAGCTATACTAGCATTTTCCCGCTTAGCATGCCTTTTCCATAGCTTTAATCGTACATAAATTGCCTTCGTTCCTAAAATTGTGGAAGTTAAGACGATGAAACAGTTGAGACTGATCAGTCTCTGTCAAGTGTTCTACAAACCGACAAGTCGACAATGAAGCTATAGGTCAATAAATAAGCTAGAGTTCTTCTATATATCATCGCCCTATGTCAAATTGGCTTTATTTGTGGAAGATAAGTAATTGGTAGAAAGTCATTAAAAAAAATTCACAGAAGTGGGAGATTATGCATTATGGACCTCAAGCTAGATATTAAAAGAGTTTTGATAGAATAGAATGAGACTTTCTTCTATAAATAATCATAAAATTAAGTGAGAGACTGTCCATTGACGACAAGAAAAATCCTACGACATAACAGATAAATCTTATTGAGGCACGATAGTTAATGAGATGACAACATTTTTCCGCCAAGCATGCCTTTTCCGTTGTTCTGGTCTTCATTTCTAAAACTGTTGAAACTAAGACGACCGAGACAGTTGAGACCGGTTAGTCTCTCTCAAGTGTTATGCAAACCGACAACGAAGCTACCGGTTAATAAATTAGTGAGAGTCCTTCCATGTGTCATCTTCCTATGTCAAATTGACTTTATTCGTGGAAGATAAATAATTGATGACATCTTAATTAGTCATGAAGTGACCCTATTACCTAAGAAATCAAAGAAGTGGAGACTCTCCATTATGGACCTCAAGCTTGATATGGAAAGAGTTTTAAGATAGGATGGAACTTGTAATTGTAAGGTTTTTCCGTTAATGGGGAAAAAAGAGGGGACTCTCACTCGATTCTATGGTATGATTCTGACACAAATGTAGAATAGTAGCACTAGTTTTGACACAAATGTAGAATAGCAATTAACTAATAACAGAAAGATTTATACTTTGGGGGAATTGACCGGATACATACGAGAAACTATATCCAAAGACATTCATACAGAATTATCCATTACAAATGATTCCATCAGAAAAAAGGACTACAACCATCACTCATCTATTGAAAGAGGATAGAGAATTCAGCTATGTGAGTTGAGAGGGAATCGGTCCACTCAAACTATTATGAGAAAGATCCAAACTCAACTTGTTGTATGACAAATTGAGAACCTTGATGCAGTCTAGATGACCGATTTGGGCAGGGATCTCGCCTGTGAAGTCGTTGCTCGATAAATCCAAACCAGAGATTAAAGAAAGAGGTATCCCTTTGTAACTATATAAACGTGTCTTTGTGACAAACTCCATATCACCAAAAGAAATAGAGGATCCCAATCCTCCACTGTCATTCGTGCTATTTGATTTGAATATTTCAAAGGCAAGATGACCAGACAAACGATTGTGAGAAAAGTCGATCAAATTTAAATTCTCCAAGTAAAACATCTTCAGAACCTCTCTATAAAATTGATTGTCATTCAATTATTATTAGTATTATTAACCCGCAAGTTTACTCAAGGTTCAATTACTCTTCATTACGACAAAATAGCGGTAACCACGTTTTTATCGGAAAATCTAACCTACGGCGCCGTAAGACACAATTTTACCGAAAATAACAGCACTTTAGTCGGGGAATACTGTTCATCTTCGGATTATTGAAGGATTTAATTCCCTGGGGCCGTTTGTAGCGTTATTCCGTGGGAAGACCCTGGCGGCTGGGCAAGCATCAGGTGAACTTTTCATATGGGGTCATGAAGAGGAGGAGAGAAGGGGAAACTGAAGAATCATGTAGTCACCAATCAGGTCGGAAGTTTATAATAAGTCGCCGACCACCGGGATGAGCTGCATGGAACAATTGTCCCACTCAATGCATGCAAAAGAGCACAATTCATTTTCGTGTTGACGAGTCAGGTGCTTGGTACTCGGAAATTCGTCTTCTCTACTTCTGCCGGGAAAGAGGGCGATGATCACCAAGAGAGAAGAAATGGGGAAACAAAGATAAGATCACTGAGGAGTAAAGCAGCTCATTTTGTATCTAATCTCACCACAGTTACGTTGTTTCACCAACTCACCATCAATGCATGCATGCAGAAGAACACAATAACATTTGTCTATGGGCGAATGCAATAGGAGATTTAAACAGAGGTTTGCATGAAAACCTTCTCTGGTGCTATGTATTTCCACATGCAAAGAACTGTAACCATAAAAAAGAGATAAGAAGTGCTATTGCATTTTGTGTGAGACGTCTGCTGATCAACAAACTGTCTATGTCATGACTTGCCTTCAATTTCACCAATTAAGGCTCATGCTATAGTAAAACTGAGGATTTATTGAGTTACTAAACTGCACACCTCATATATATGTTGATCCTTCTTATACGTTTTTATTATTTTATTTATTTTGGTTTTGCATATTTAAGGGCCTTTCCTGATTTGGGTATTGATGAAAAACCAAAAAAAGAATGAACCTTCATGAATCAAGCATGCAAAGAGTTGTGGTAACTGGTAACCACTAATCAACAAGAAAGGACGAAATGAAAACAAGAATTTCAGAAATTAAACAATGAAAGAAAACTTGGCTTCATTATAATTTTCATTTTTAACTAACAACTTAATTAAATGTCACATTGTTTATAACTTAATTCCTTTATTATTAGCTACCATATTCATCATCCAGTCAATTCATATACATGTTGATAAAATAAGTTAAGTTTTACATAATAATGTAGTTCGATATTTTTCATAACTTGATTTTATTATCGCACCACATATTACAAAAGTTTGTGTAATACTGTTTTATAAAAGTTATGTAAATTATCAATGCATTAAACATATTAAGTAAACCTTATGGAGAATATTTATTTCAATTAAACAAAATGTATTGTTTTAGTCATCTGTAATGATTAAGACACTACGTAGAGGGATATTTATTTCTTTTGTATCAACTAAACAAATTTAATTATGTAATTTTTTCTTTTGTATCAATTAAACAAATCGCTATTTCCTTTATATCAATTAAACATATCAATTAAACAAACATATTCTGTCAGTTTTTCGTAATATAAGTTTGAACAAAAAATTTATTTATAATTAATAAAATTGTTGATCATAGCATCTGTCAATATTATATAGAGGATTTGTAAGATCAATTATATGTTACATAAAATTTTAATAAAAATGTTATATGTTCTATAACTTAATTATTTTCATTATTAACTGAAATTCTATAACTATTACCTACTATATGCATCAAATGGTATACTTTTTCTAACCTATTTCTTACATTATTAACCAAAATTCCTTAACTATTACCTACTATATTCAACATCTCATCAATCTACATTATGCAAAGGTTCCATAAAAGTATGTTAATTTTTACATATAAATATAATCAACTGTGATGTTTTCACAACATGATTTATTATTAGACCACACATTGCATGAGATTTACTTCATTCTACAGCTACGTAAAGTAAATGTATACTATGTAAAAATTATGGAGGAATAGTTATTTTTATGTATCAATTAAAGTAACATATTACGTAATCTTCTGTAATGATCAAAACACTATGTAAAGTTTATATAGATATTTTACCCAAACTATTTCGAAAATTATTTGATTTCAACTACATTATCAAATGAATGGATGAAATTTAAATATAATTAATTCATTACCGCCGCGAAGCGCGGGTCAAAAAACTAGTAAGATATATACCGCAATCGAGGTCTCCGTTTAACAATCCATTTTGGGATTTTTACCCTGAAATGATTGTGACTGAGATCCAAGAGGTATAACCCGTAGCCTGAATAATGAATTTCATCAGCAGCACCAGAAGTCCCATCTTGATCATACAAGGTCCCTCCCAATTGATTTCTCTACAAATAAACTTCTCGCATCTTCGGTGAAATAAAACCGGGTGGCAGACCTCCCGAAATCTTATTCCTTGACAGATCTCGTCAATTCGCCCGGTGGCGGTTTGCTGCGAGTGGAGGAGACTTTGGAGGAGCTCCTCGTCGATCGCCGGCTGATCGGAGACGGTCGATGATTGCGTAGACTTCTTTGGCGCCATCTTCTCGAATCACGTTAGTCGCAGAGCAATCAGGCTCTGATACCAATTTGTTACGTGTATTTTCTCCGGTGAGAACCTTCATGCAACGTTCGTCGTCGATGTTAAAAGATATTCGTAAGAAAGAGAGTTAGAACGAAGAGAATATCCAGAGTAACGAAGATAACTACAACTACTATTGAATTTCAATCTTCAACATATATCATTAAACCATAGAATGAGTAAATATTTATAGATATAGAAGATCAAAACATGACTCCTACTCCTATAAAGAAATAACTAACAATAAACCAAATTCTAGACAAATAACAAAAGATAATCCAAAACCTACTGGAACAAGGAAATAAAACGGGTACCACCCTTCCTGCCGCTATATATAAACCTTGGATACTGCGGAGGCTGTTTCTCTGGAGAACAGTTTGCCATCTCCGATGAGTGGCATCGACTCGACAGTAGCAACGAGCTCAGCCCGTCCGCTGCCGGCTTATCCCCTCCGCACCGCAGCTAGTTCAAATGCTTGGAAACTTGGTGTTTGCAGAGGCCGCCGACCTACGCCACAAGAGACAGCGAGCAGCTGAAGAACGACGGCCGGTTAGCTCAAAATCGGAGTACTCCCCCATCACCGACATCCCCGACAGTCTCCTCATCCACATCCTGCAACGCCTTCCGAATCCCAGATCGGTCTGTGTGTGCAAATCCGTCTGCAAGCTCTGGAATTCGCTCATCTCCGATCCGGACACCCTCGCTCAGTTGGTGTCTCGCCACAGGATCAATCTCACCGGCAGCGCCGAAATAGAGCTGTTGATCTATTTCGATCGGCCCCAAACGCACGAATCAATCATTAGGAGTACCCTTCCTCCGAATCTGCTCTCCAAAAACAATGATCTCTATGGCGACCGCTACACTTTCCAAGTCATCTCATGCTGCAACGACTTGCTCCTCTGCGGGAGGATTCGATCTAAGAACAGGTACCGCAGGAGGTTCTTTGTTTGCAATCCGTTTACAAAGCAATGTGTCGCTCTCCCTCTGGTCCCTCTAGGCCTCTCAAGAGGCGGGTTCGAATTTGGAACTCATCTAGACGGAGGTTTTGAGCTGGACGCATCCCTAATTGGATTTGTTTGCGAGCCCTGCTTTCATTATAACGATGATGGTGGTGGCTGTAGCAGTAGCAGTCATAATAATGTAGTGAGGCAGAATCCCAAGTTCCGATTCCGTGTAGTGTTCATATTCAGAGGTCTTATCGATCTTGGAGTGACCACTTTCTGCTCCGAGAAGTGGGAGTGGAAGTATGCTAGTTTTGCGTCCCCGTCGGCCGCATCTGAACAACCCGTTCTACCTTCCACGGCTCCCTATATTGGCATCGGCAATGCTCACTCTACCACCATTGCTGGTAGTGGAAATAAGCTGTTTTGGAAGTCTTCGAATGCCAAAGTTGCTGTTTTCGATCCTTTCAACGAGGGAGCTCGGCCAAATATCAATTTGATCGATTCTTCTGGTTTATGGTTGAATGATACTGTTGACAACAATTTCTTGGTTGGGGTTTCCCAGGGCTTTTTGCGTGGGATGGTGTTTCCACGCCCAGGTCCATCAACCAACAGTAAAGAAGGATCCTTTAGTCTTTGGAAGCTGCAAGAGTTCCAGGTTGGCCGGTTTAAATGGAGCTTGGATTACAAGGTGCCCATGCGAGTACTCTACAACCTTATCGTCCGACGACATAAGATCAACAAGATCGAAGGAGGAAGGAGGAGGACGACGACGACGACGACGCGGTTGGGGGTACTGGGCGTCCACCCAAGCAGGCCAGAGGTCGTCTATTTCAAGTGTCGTGATTATACTAAGAAGCATAGACATGACCCATTCTTCTTCGACTTCAATCATCATTTCAGAGATTATGATAATGGCGTTGACGGCCCGAAACTACCTGATGATCAAGCTTATGATCCCATCTACGTTGTCCCCTTCGACGTGCTTAAGCAAGAGGTGGTGGGTGAGATTATACCAATTGCTGAGAGTAATGCGACCCATCTGAGGTTCAAATGTTGGGGCATGTTCGGAGTAGGCGACCCGATCGGCTGGGCTGTGTTTCAGCCTTCGATTCCGTTTTGGCCGACTCCAATTCCGGTGCCGGATGTTGCAAAAGAATGTGATGATGAAGAAGAAACAAAGAAGGAAATATATGAAGCTCCTATAGTTCGCTCATGCGTTTACGATGTCTGGTATTAAGTATTTTCCTTCCATTTTGGTGTCTTTCCCATCATGTTTGTTGCCATGGATGATAGTAATTTAACCACATATCTGATTCTTTATTCTTATTGTTCAAACTGGAAGGTGACTCAACTGCTGCTAAACTTCTCAGGACTTGTTGATTAGTCAAACAGCGGCGGGCCCAACTGCAGACCAGGAACCAATCAAAGGAGGGTGAATAGTAATTCCGAGTCTAAATGAACAAGAATTTCGTGTCTAAACAAACAGTAAATCGTGTCTTTGCAAGTAATTTTTTTCAATTTACACATCTTAGAAAAAAATGTCAATCTACAGACAGATTGACCCGCATAAAATCAATCTGAAACAAGCCCAAATCTCAATGTTGGGCCCAAGAAGCATGGAGCTAAAATGAAAAAGCCCGAGTGCCCAACTAATAGGAAAGGCGCGAAAGCCTGGACGATAAACCAGGCGGCAGCTCGGAGATGGAAGAAACAGGGGACAACCAACAGAAGATGAATCGCTCGCCAAAGAAGACGACCTGTGAAGGAAAAATATGACGTATGAAAATTGTTCTGGGAAGGACCCAACTCTGTATTATTTACGACCGCTTGGTTTGTGCTGAAGTTATGAAGCCTACTGTGTATCGAGTTTGATGTGTGTGGCTTTCTCGGAGCCTCCCAGTTTCCCGCCTACTATTATAATGCTTTCTCGAGCCAATTCGATAGTTTACCACTTGAAGCAATGCTCCAAGATCATAGATTTGGATTCGGCACTGGGAAATATGATCAAAGTAGCAGCAACCCAAGATTGCTTTTTAATGAACCAATTCATCACGGCTTGTTCTTCCGTTGGCGCGACGGACCAGGCCGTTTCCGCGGCTGCGCAGATGGAGAATCCGAATGTTTATGTTTATAACGCGATGCTTAAAGGATTCGTCGAGAATCGTCGACCCGTTGAGGCTCTCGAGTGCTATGTTCAGCTGCTGAGAGCTCAGTTGTCGCCGACGAGTTATACTTTTTCGTCTCTGGTTAAAGCCTGCAGCTTTGTACGCGGGGATGGTGGGAGGATTGGGGAATCAGTTCATGGGCAGGTTTGGAGACACGGGCTTGCTTCGAGCGTGTTTGTCTGCACGACGTTGATAGAGTTTTACTTTGATTTGGAGAGAATAGGTGAGTCCGTCAAGGTGTTTGATGAAATGCCTGAGAGAGATGTCTTTGCGTGGACCACGATGGTTTCTTGTCTTGCTCGTGCAGGGGATTTGATTACGGCGAGGAGGTTGTTTGAATTGATGCCTGGAAGGAATGTCGCTACTTGGAACACATTGTTGGACGGATATGCAAGATTGGGGGATGTAGAGTCGGCTGAATTGCTATTCAATCAAATGCCTGCTAAAGATGTTATTTCATGGACTACGATGATCAACTGCTATTCCCAGAACAAGAAATTCAGAGAGGCATTAGGAGTCTTCAATGAGATGACCAAGAATGAGATTACTCCTGATGAAGTGACCTTGGCAAGTGTGATTTCAGCATGCGCCCATCTCGGAGCCCTTGACTTAGGCAAGGAAATCCATTACTATGTGATGCAGAATGGATTCGACCTCGATGTCTACATCGGATCGTCTCTGATCGATATGTATGCAAAATGTGGATCCCTAGAGCGGTCTCTTTTGGTGTTTTACAAATTGAGAGACAAAAACCTCTTCTGCTGGAACTCCATCATCGAAGGTCTCGCAGTCCATGGATATGCAGAAGAAGCTCTAGGAATGTTTTCCAAGATGAAGAGGGAGAGAATCAAACCGAATGGGGTGACTTTCATCAGCATCCTAAGTGCTTGTGCTCACTCAGGGCTTGTTGAAGAAGGCCGAAAGTGGTTCAAGAGCATGACTTGTGATTATTATTTCCCTCCACAACTAGAGCATTATGGTTGTATGGTTGATCTATTGAGCAAAGCCGGTTTGCTCGAAGAAGCTCTCAGGCTTATTAGAACCATGAATTTGGAACCAAATGCTGTTATTTGGGGAGCATTGCTTGGCGGATGCAAGCTTCACAGGAACTTTGAGATTGCACAGATTGCTATTGAGAAGTTGATGGTATTAGAACCAGGGAATAGTGGTCATTATGCTCTTTTGGTTAGCTTACACACTCAGGTTAACCGGTGGAGTGATGCTGCAAACATTAGGTGGAAGATGAAGGAACTTGGAGTTGAAAAGTGTTCTCCTGGGTCCAGTTGGATTGAGGTGGAGAAGAGAGTTCATCAGTTTGCTGCATCGGATAAGTCTCACCATTCCTCGGATGACATACTGTCTGTTTTAAATCAACTAGATGGGCAGTTAAAACGAGCTGCAAATAGACCTCCTGGAATTTGCCTTCAGTAAAGATTACAAATTTCAGGAAGATGGCTGCTTCTGCATTGTACAATTGTTTGCAAATTTAGCCTACAACACCAAGGAGGCATAGCTTGTTAATGAAACTTAAATTCTCGCATCATCGACCATTCTTCTTCCACTCTGATAGTAGCGAAGGTGAATTCTTCCATTGTACTTCACCTTCCTGAATAGCCTTGGCCTTTCTTCACTGACCAAACCTTCAACTGGTTCTATTTCATTTCCATCGTGAGGAATAGAAGGTGCAGCCAGGGATATCCTCTTCCTCTCAGAGTTTACAACTGCTCTGTGAATCGGGCTCTTGAACTCTCCATTGCTCATTATCTGTTTACATATTGCATTCAAAATATTGTGTTAGATGCTTAAATCTCAGTTCCCCATCACGACATTGACATCCAAAACGACTTTAAGCTTACTTACCTCTAGGTGTTCGCCAGCATTGAGGACCAGAGCATCCGGGATGACCGGAACTCTAAACCATTGACCATCTTTCAGAACTTGAAGCCCTTCCACTTCTTTGTCTTGCAGGAGAAAAGTGATCACTGTTCCATCAGAATGTGGCTTGAGCCCAAGGACTTGATCAGGCCTCGGACATGGAGGGTAGAAGTTGAATCTTGCAGACATGATCACCGGTTCTCCAATCATCCGCAGAAAGACACTCTCATCCAGCTTCAATGACTTTGCCATGGCCTTCAGCATGACATCATGAAGCACCTGCAACTTGGTGCTGTATTCATGGAGAACTTCCCTGAAGCAAGTTGGTAATTGATGTGAACTTATCATTCTTTCTTGAGGTTGAAGCTAAATGAGTTAATGATTGGAGAGTTTACTTGAAATTTTTTGGGTTTTCAGGCCAATATTTCATCTGTCTCATTTCTTCAGGGCATGTTATAAGGCGCAATCTGTGGGACCAATCATGCACCATTACATCTGTGACTAATGGGTCACTCCCGTATCCTTGAAACCCTTCTGTCCAGCATTCGAGCTTCTGTTCTGTCGGTAGTGCGAGGAATTGCTTGAACACCGTCCGAACTTTGTCAAGAAGCAAACTTTCCACTCCATGGTTTATTATCTGAAACAAAGGGTGACCCATCTTTACTGCAATCATTCTGCAAAATGAAATGAAACTGAAGAGAAGAAGGAACGAGCCAAACCAAGAGACATCCGTATGAACTCAGAGCTGCACGGAGTTTCTCAAGTTCTTTTCCTGTGTCAGTGGAAGGATTTGTGAAGTGACCCACGTCAATCACTGGAATGTCGATGAAGGGTAGAAGAAAAGGGTCTTTCCCTCCATTGATCCCATTGGGATGGATGTACTTTGCAGGAAGGTTCTCTCCACCGACAGCCGCCAGTTCGGTCAAGGAATCCATGCTGCTGTTTGCTGCTGCTGCTGTTGCTGCTGCTGCTCTAGAATGGCTGGCAACCTGGGAACTGGACGTTCTATTATGAAGCTTCCAGGGGAACCATGCACATTGACAAATGGCAAAGGGCGTTGATGAGTTTCCAATCAACGTGTAGAGCATGCCGAAGAGCAAATCTCTGCAGAGAAAGAAAGGATCATTCTAATTCTTGGATTCTAGTTCTTACTGGGGTAGTTTCGATCCAATAAGTAGCAACCTGCTACTGCTACTAACGTTCGGAAAACAGCTGTTCTTAGCTGTCGAATGGTTTCTTCCTCAGGAAAAAGCTTACAGCTTTACAAGCACAAGCAAGAGACTCGTGTGGCCAAAGACATGACAATTTTCTCCCCCACCTATCTCAGCTAAGTTGACGTGTACAGCATGCATGGCATTGGATGCTCAAATAATGCTGACATAAATGGTATGAGGCTTCTAATTGTTTGACTTTCTGGCATTGGATGCTCAATATTGTTGACATAAATCCTTCTTCGTGATATTGTACCGTACCGATCAAGAATATTTCAGTAATATGAAATTTCTTTAAAGAGATTCTTGATATGCAAGTTATTTGTTACACGTTTCCTCAATCGGAAATTTATTAGATGATTTTTTCGGCCCATCAAACATTAATATTAGAGCTAATATCATATTAGAACTAGTTGCTAGAAGAGGAGCAAGTTGGGCTCCTATCGACATGATACACGCTCCTCGTTTTTATGTAGAATACAAAGTAGCTATAAAGGTACGATTCCGTACTTTGATTCAAAGCGCGAACAATCTCCCAAGTAGTCGTACGGAGGTGGGGTCCTTGTGGTAAGCCGCCTTTGTCTTGGGTAGTGGGTACGCCGAATTCCTAAAAAAACAAAGACGAAAGATCTTATCAATAGATAGCCACTGATCTTCTATATTATAATTATATAGAGTTGGAATAAGTATGCTCTTTCTAAAATCAAAGATTACATCATTCCATTATAATATTGATTTAGCTATATATCCGTAATCATACACATAAAATCTTGTAACGATTATGATATTGTTCATATAGGATTTTTTATTTTATTTCGTCTCCAATCAATCCCACCGATTCGATTTCACACCTATGGAAGTAAAAAAAAAAAATGCACTAACGATGAAAATTGAAAAAACTCCAATACATTAACAATCAAGGCTGAATAAACATATTTTCAAGTAGAGTCTTTTTGGATAGAAAACACTAATCAAAGTTCTAATCTAGGGATTGAATCCAAGGCCTGGAGGCGCAGTAGCCCTTCAAAGCGTAGCCGAAGTAAGGGTTCGTCAGCGGCGCGAACGCCGTCGTCACGCACTCGTCGGAAACTCGCCGGATCGATTCGCAGCAACCCGCCGACAGCGAAACCCTTCCGCTCCAGAACGACGACAAGATCTGACCCTCGCAAGTCCCCTCCATGATCAACGACCCCACGCACCTCCCGTACACGTACGGATCCCACGGCCGCCGATCGCTGCCCGCCGACGACGACGGGTACTGCCGGTAGTACCCCGCCGCCGCCGCCGGGTACTGCTGCTGAGCTGGCTGCGGCCGCGGCGGCCAATATCCACCTCCAACGCCGGCGGATTCAGCCGGCCTGATCAGGGAGCAGAGGAGGAAGAGTACTGGTACGATTAGCAAGTTCTTCGTCGCCATTGATGAATTAACTGTTGGTGATTGGGAGGAAAGCAAGGATTTTTAGGGTTAATGTTAATCTCTCCCGCCTTTTTATAGGTGGTGGATTGCAGCTTTGCCGCCAAAAGAAGAGCTGATTGGTCGCGGGATTCCTAATCGTGCTTGGAATCGGAGAAAAGGGTGGGGCTTAAAGCTTAATTCCCCATTATCATATTCCGCAACTACTTAGGTTTGTTAATCACAACTGTTACGTGATCCTTTATCTCAGCCTAAGAACTATGGAAGTATTTCATGCTCCAATGGTACCGTTGCAAAATATGGCTGCGTCTAAGGTACACTTTCGATTTATCTTTCATATGATGTCGAAACGAAACGTAAATGTTTACGTCGAACATTTTGAATTTCAGTGATGAATTTGTTAGTGATCTCACATTTGTGTAAGAAGAAAAGTAACAAGCAACTAATTGAAGAGCATTGTCAGTTTAGTGTAGGAATGGTCTGAGATTGCAACAAACTGAAAGAGAATAAGGAGGATCAAAGCATGGCTGCCTCGATCGGCCTCCTCCCTCGCTGGTAGTACTCGAAGTAGATACTAACATAATCCTTAACCTTCCTGTACAGAGCTGGCCGGGTCTCGCTGATCAATCCTTCAGCTGGTTTGATCTCATGCCCTGCAGAAGGGATGCAGAACACTGCTAGGCTGTGCCTTTCCTTCTCCGAATTCGTCACCACTCTGTGCACCGGACTCTTGAACACTCCGTTGCTCATGATCTGTGGTTCATCGTTTCATCACCATAGACTGTAATTAGATTCAATGGTTGCTAATCGGGCCCTGCCGCCCTGGTCGAGCCATAACAAATGATGGGAACTCTGTTTGAAGAACTGCTAAACTTGATATGTTTTAAGTATGAAGTTATGTGTTACCTCTGCTTGATCACCAACATTAACCAGAAGAGCATGTGGTATGATGGGGACTGTGAACCATTCATTGTCCTTCAGGAACTGCAGACCTCCCACTTCTTTATCCGGCAGAAGGAACGTGAGAGCTGATGCATCTGCGTGTGGTTTCACTCCGATGATTTGATCCGGCCTAGGACATGGTGGGTAGAGATTGAACCTTGCTGTCATCAATGCACCTTCTCCATACTGGTCCAGAAAGCAGTTCTCCTCCAATTCAAGTGATTTCGCCATGGCTTTAAGCAGAATCTGGTTTAGCTCTTCCAGCTTCACCCCATACTCCTGCAGTGTTTCCCTAGTGAGGTAAATAAAGTTCAGCACTTTCCTTTTTCATGGTGAAAGCCATAACTTGATATGCTAAAAGGAGTTTCTGAATGTAAATCACCTGAAAGTCTCGGGCTTTTCTGGCCAGAACTTGAGCTGGACCTGGTTTGGAGGGTTCAAGGTGAGGTACAATCTGTCAATCCAATCAAGTGTTTGATTCTCTGCAACTATCATATCAGTGCCATACCCTTCAATGCTATCAGGTTCTCTGGTGTATCTGTGCTTTTCTTCCTTTGGAAGATCAAAGAACTGCTTGGAGATTTCATGGACTCTGCCCACGAATGAATTTGTCATTCCATGGTTCACTACCTGCAACACGGACAAGAAAAACACCTATCAACCCCAAAACTATGGATCCAAACGGTGTCCACTTCAAGATATTCCTTCATTCACATATATCCTTTCAGATAGAGGAACCCTGCTAATTCGATCACTAGTTCACCATTATCTACCCAATGAAAGCAAAAAAACCCAGAAACCCATTTCAGATTTCGGTCAGACCAACCAGAAAGAAAGGAACTTTTGAATCTAGGATCAAAAGTTCTTGGGAATAAATGGAAATTGAAAGTTTGGAGAAGCACAGTGAAGAGTGAACACCTGAAAGCAGCCCCAAGAACTGAGAGCCAAGCTCAGTTTCTGGAGCTCGTGATTTGCAGCTGAAGGCGAAGAAATCAGGCGACCAACGTCGACGACTGGAATCTCCACCAGTGGAACTGAGGCGTTCAGAGCTCCACCGCCGCTCCCTCCGTAATTGTACCTTTCAGATGGATCCTGCCCGTCGGTGGCCAGTTCCTGGACTGGTGTTGCCATTGAAACTGAACCCATTTTGCAGGGGAGCCGTTGACTAGCGGTTTGATCCCGTGAGCAACTTTCCCCCACTCTCCTTCTGGTTTTGGTCAAAAGATGACAAAAATGGAAGTCTTCTTGGGCCTTCCCGCCGCTAGTGTATAGCTAGGTTGCGTCTAGGACTAGGAAACTTTGGGGTCCAGTTCATATCGGATTATACATACGGTCTATGGTTTACAGTTTACATCGGAAAGTTGCATTATAGAATAGGAATTAGACAAAAATATAAGATGGTCCTCACCAGATCTTGTATGTGCAGTTTGTTCGGATACAACAAGCAGTTTCATTTTTTTAAATTGTCACGTCACTCGTTTAACGGTCCGTCCCGTCAACAGTTTTTTTTGCCACGTTCTGAAAAAAAAAAAGCAAAGGGAGTTAACATAATCAGACGGTCGGTGACCAAACGTGAAGCGATTCGTAAAGTTAGTTATGAATAAGAAACAAAAGTGATTCGAGTGTTAAACGTCAAAAGGTTTGTGTAATTTGAGTGATATTAAAGGTAAAACAAGATATTGTTAGTCTTATTGTGGATTTTGTGGATTAATTTTTTAGTTAGTAGTAGATCAAACAAAAAGTTTGTATAATGTGATTTTGTGGGTTAACCACCACCAACCAAAAAAATCAGCTACTAACTACACTCAACCCACTAGCCACAAGATGTGGTTAACCACAATGTTTGCGGGTTGGTGGTTTATGGACAATCCACAAACCAAAACCAAAACCAAAATTTCACCCTAATTACATGGTGGAAACTGGGAAGCGAACTTGATTGGGCTTGGGCCCCTCAATCTAAGGTCCAAGGATTGGTAGTTCCTATAAGCTTCAAGCTGGGCTTAATTAAATAGAAAAACGAGCCCACAGAGCATCCCTCTGGTCCCGCAAAAAGCTGCTCTCTTTGGAGAAGCGAAAATTGAAAATTGCAACCGATTACTAACCAATCAAAACAGAGGGAAAAATACCAACGATCACTTTCGATTCACTGAGAGCCACAAAAAATCAAGCTGAGCTCCTCGGCCGCGGAAAAATGCCTGCACCATTTCCACACTGTTGTACTCTCCAGATCAACAACACCTGTGTTCCAGGAGGAAGGGAGAAAATAGGAAAAGAGAAAGGCTGGGGAGGAGCAAAAATGGCGAAATTCACTCTGAAAGCTGAGAACTTTTGCTCCTTCCTTCCTCAAACTACTACTACGGTCGGGAAAGCCTTTGCCTTTCGGGACAAATCGGTCGGCGGCAGTTACTTTCAGCTGTCTCCGGCGAGACCCAGTTCGTTGAAGTTTAGAGTTTTGTGTGGCATCAGAGAGAAAGAGGGTGTCAAAAAGGAAGGGGAGACGGTTCCTGCTGTTGCTCCTTCTCATCAGGGCGTCAATGGAGTCCGAGTCAGTGAGGCTGAACAGGGTCGACTCAGTCGTGGGGGTGACGGTGGAGGAGGAGAAGTGGGGTTTGATTGGAATTGGCCGCCGTGGAAGAATCTTCCTCCGAGATATAAGCTTATTGGGACTACTTCACTTGCCTTTGTTATCTGCAACATGGATAAGGTGGGATGGTTTAGCTTTAATTTTGAGTTTGGTGACTGATGTCTAGTTCTTGGTTAAGTTGAACTGTGAAAGTTTGAGTTTGTTGGTTGACCTTGTTGAGCAGGTTAATTTGAGTGTGGCTATAATTCCAATGTCAAACCAGTTTGGGTGGAGTTCATCCACGGCTGGGTTAGTGCAATCCTCCTTCTTTTGGGGATATGCTTTGAGTCAGTTGCCTGGAGGTTGGCTTGCTAAGAGATTTGGTGGCAGGTAAGTTTATATGAAATTTTAACTTTCTAAAGTCTTTAACTTTGCTCCTTATTTGTTTTCTTTGACCTTTGATATTCATTCATGTTTGAGGATAATGTAATTTGTGGAATGAATTCTCCTGTTATATAAGTAGACGGGCTTAGGAAGTGTGTTCGTATTCAAAGCAAGGTGTTCAAATTGTAACATGATGAATTTAGTGAAACCCGGAAATTAAAGGTGTCATCAATTTTAAGTGTGCAAGCTCTGGGCATTAGAACGTAAAATTTGTGTCACTTCGAATGATGTCTTCTTCATCGTTCTGAGACGAATGATACATTGGGGACACTTCTGTTTCGCTCACCTGAATGATGGGTTTTCCCTGTACAGAAAAGTTCTTGAGCTTGGAGTGTTGACTTGGTCATGTGCTACAGCATTGGTCCCTTTGCTTGCCGGATTCATGCCTGGACTTGTTTTCTCTAGGATTTTGGTGTGTCCCCTATTTCTTCTGAACTTTTATTATATTTGACTTTTGAGTATTTGACTACTACTTGCATGATTTCTATAGAACAGAAACTTTGAGATTGATCATTCACAACCGGATCAGTGTTGGAGAAATGCTGCTTCACTTCGGGTTTACTTTCTTTTCATGTTGATTTGCGAATGGTTCTCACATAATCATCTCTTTTGCTTATGTTTGTAATCCAGGTTGGTATAGGAGAAGGTGTTTCCCCATCAGCTGCAACCGACCTGATTGCCAGGCATGTAACATGTGCAATTCATTAGGACCACGATCAACAATAAGTTATAGATTACAGTACGCTTTACTCTTATCCTAATCTATGTTTACTGGAGCAGGACAATACCTCTACAAGAACGGTCACGGGCTGTAGCATTCGTCTTTGGTGGACTAAGTGTGGGAAGTGTAACAGGGTAAAACCTTTTCAACATGGATTTTATGGAAGTTGAAGTATAACTAGATGAAGTTATTATTGTATAAGTCGGTAATTTAAGCTCTATTGTGCCTAGTGCCTACAAGTGTCAATTAGGTGATGGATTTTTTTTGCTTCCAGTATGTAATTCTCTCAAATGAAGTAAATTAGTGGTCAGTTGACTTTTTATTCCTGCTAGTCATTGCTAACTGTGGAAGTTGAATACCTAAACATGTTTGACTATGTTTCAGGCTACTTTTGGCACCTGCGCTCATTCAGCATTATGGATGGGAATCTGTATTTTACCTGTTTGGCCTATTTGGACTAGCTTGGTAAGTGGTCTTCTTTTTGCGGGTCTAGCTGATTGAGAACCAATTTTGTATCACTGATGGCAGTGTCGTGCTTGTATAGGTTTATAGGATTTCAGACTATGGTTGAACAAGAAGCTTCATATACTGCTGAACCTGCTGCAAGTGAGCTCGTAAACATTGTCAGTTAGCATTTTATTGTGCATGTACTGGATTGGTGCTACTTAACTTGTATTATTGACAATGTCGAAGTACCACTAGGCACATAAACTTATTTTATTCGATAATGAGAATCATTCTCTGAGATCATCTTACTGGTGACTGTAACGTTTTCTCATAATGAAACAGATTCATCAAGTCACGAAGAGGAAAAATCACAAGGTTCTTCTCTTGAGGAGCTTGGTGAATCGATGAATGTATGTTGAATGTCCTGTATATTTTTTTTTCTGCCATATAAATGTCCTGAGGCAGTTCTACCAATATATAGAAGATTATTGATAATCTGGATGGAGCTCCAAATATGTTTATTTTTTCTTAACTATGAATGTTATTTCAAGCTGTTCTTCTCCCATGACTCCCTCTTTATTTCATCTGCTGTTCTTGAAATATAAGGATGTGCCATGGAAAGCAATTTTCAAGAGCCCAGCTGTATGGGCAATGATATACGCTCACTTTTGCGGGAGTTGGGGCCACTATAACTGTTTGTCATGGCTTCCTACTTATTTCAGGTACTTTTTTTTTAATCCTATTGGTGATTATGTTTTTTCATCACTTGGGCCTAAACTTGAAAATCTGATTGACATTGCATTGCATGCAGCGAGGCGCTGAACCTAAACTTGACTGAGGCTGCATGGGTAACTTGAGTTTCTACCACTGTATTATTCTCTTAAGAACAATGATGCAGATGTGAACTTGTAGACCCACATTATTTATTCCATTGTCTTATATCGGCAAATAATTGGTTTCATTTCTGCACAGTTCTCTCACTTAAGAACATTTACCTTGTCAAATATTTTCAGGTGTCGATTCTTCCTCCCTTGGCTTCAGTTTTTGTGACTAACCTCGCAGCACAGTTAGCTGACAAGTTGATTTCCAGTGGAGTTGAAACCACAACGGTATGGGGAAGAAAGAAAGACTCAGTAACTAATTTGTCATGTGCACTGTTAACTTAATACTGCATGGTCTCTTTGTATATATGACTTAATTTCCATGTGAAATCCTTGGCAGGTACGGAAGTTTTGTCAAACAGTTGGTTTTTTGGCTCCTGCACTTTGTATGATCCCTTCCGCTGTGGATTTGGGACTGCATCCATGGCAAGTTGTGGGGATCCTCACAGCTGGCTTGGCCCTCTCAAGCTTTTCCTTGTCTGGTAAGTCATTTAACTTTGACCACAGAAAACCAGCAAGCATTTGACTTGTTTTTCTTATGTTGTTTCTTTCTTTTTCATAGGATTGTACTGTACACACCAAGATATTTCCCCTGAATACGCAAGCATACTCCTGGTATAACCATAGACCCTTAAGTTTGTAGTTTAGGTGTTATAAAACATTGCATTAGTAATCATTCTATTATTTTCATCCCCCATTGTCTGTTCATTTTCATGATCTCAGGGTATTACCAGTACTACTGGAGCGGTCCCTGGAATTGTAGGTGTTGCCTTGACCGGCTACTTACTAGATACAACTCATTCATGGACAGTAAGTACCAAAATTTGACCGAACTTGGCACTATTTTCCTTCTTCATTTGACTAACCTTATCTTTGTTGATTTGTTTGCTCTAAACCAGATATCATTATTTGCACCATCCATCTTCTTCTACTTGACCGGCACGATTGTATGGTTGGTATTTGCCAGTAGTAAGCCACAAAACTTCTCCAGTTGAGGACATTGATTGTATAATCATGTATAATACGTAGTATAGGTATAGAATCAGTCTTTTTCTGCCTCTTTTTTTGGCTAGATGGCTTGAAGGTTGAGTAAGTGCTCGGTTGGCTGGCAACACATATGTACTACCACATCTTTGCATCTCAAGGTTGTATCATTTGTACATTCTATTGAAAATCTCCATTACCACAGAGCTTCATATTTTGTCAAGGATCTTTCTCTTATATTTTCACTTCATTAAAAATCAACATAAAGAAGGGATGATTTATCCCCTCTCTTATTGTCTTCTTAATCAATCACTCTAGTGGAACCAAATTTCCAGTTCCCATGCTACTAGCTACCTACCTGCAAGCAGGAAGAATATACGGGATACGAGCAAACACAATCGAAAGAGGAGCTACTGATATCAACTCCGATGAGTTTACACGGGAAGGCTCGAACGAAGGTATGTCCCCGTTTGAATCTACACTTAAAATCTTTCCGTTCAGTAGCATTGTTTGGCTATGCAAATCCCCGTCTTTTGCTGTTAGATGGTACTCTTCTCTCATCATTTTTCCAATCTTTGAACGATGAGGAAGCCGAATGGTACTACTGTATGACCTATGATGACTATGGTGCTTGTGCCACTTCTGGTTGTTATGTTGCTGCTGGGTGAAGGTTCTGTTGACGCCTACGTTGACTTCAAATGTTGTGCTGTTGTCCAGATTGATCAGCAGAAGTGTAAATCGTTTCTGCAGCATCGTGGTGCATCTCAAATCAGAATCAAGATCTACTCTTTGGATATGTCGCAGAAAGGATGGAAATGGAAGAAGACTTACGGAGTACTTTGAGCAGTGAGCATATACTCGTAGCTTGTTCGACCCAGAGAAGCTCGTTGCCAAAGCTTTTCGTCCCATCAATCGATGCCAAAGAAGAGCACTGCAAGATATGCAAAGAGTGTAAGCATCGTCTAAGGATATACAAAGTCCATATCTGAGTGCTTGAAAGAGCGTTGTGCAGCTGAATTTCAATCCAGTCCCAGCCTGAAGGACAAGAATGGTGTACCTGTAATAGTCAGGATTAGGCACGAATGTGGTGGTGTTGAGGAGCCCGTAGTTACCACCTATCAGAGATTGTCTGCAGTAAGTCTTTGTATCGTGTGAAGCCGCAAGTGCAAGCTGATCCAAATACCTGGTATGACACCAGCATTAACTCAGATTCTGAGCCTCAACATGGAGAATATCATATATGAATGCTTGAATTGTCACTTACCAAAAGCTATACACAAATGCATTGGAGACGAGATTGTGGCCGCTGTTATAAGCTCCACCAGCCTCACCAACCCATGCAGTTGCCGAGCTTCCAGCGCTCCTGAGGAGGCTCTGTAGGCCTCTAAACGACTCAACCACATTGTCAAGCACACTCGGGTCAAGAATCTTCTCCACGAGATTTGGATCGACTCCTGAGATATAGAAATGAAGGGCTATGAAACCCCATTGTGTATGGAGGAGTTAACAGATGTTAAAAGAAACTGAAGGCACTCAATTACCTGGACCAAGATTGTAAATGTGGTGGGAGATGGCATTCACTGAATTTCCTGCTTTCGTGATCAAAGTTTGGAACCAATTGGTGTCGTAGAATCCTCCTGGTGCGATAACCAAGGGCTTTGGTTCAATCCCACTGTAAATATTCTGCACAATGTCATGCAGGGAGATTGTATCAGAAGCATACTGATCTGCTGCAACGTTGGTTCCCACTCCACTTCCACTCAGCTCATTTCCTGCTCAAGCAGAGAAACAACAAAGCTGGTTACCTAACTGAATCACAGGATGTTTTTAAGTTTGAAGGCTGTTGATCTTACCAAGCTCCCACCCATGAATGGAGTAGTTATGTCTGACTGTGTAGTTAATGAAAGATTGAGCATTTGAGTAGTTCCAAGCTCCAGCTGCAGAACCATCAGGCTGAATAGTCCTTCCCATTAGAGCATTCAGTCCAAATATAATCTTAGCCCTGAAGACAAAAATGGTTCAGCATTTGAAAAATTTAGCCTTTCTGCAATGCTCAAGGAAGTGGGGCGAAAAAAAGTGAGGCACTTTTGGAATTAATTACCCTGATTTGTTGAAGAAGGCATTCAATTCATCCCATCTGTACATAGGCAAGCAGCCTTCAGTGAAACTGAAAAGCTCACTTGTGTTCTTGATGAATTGAACACAAGGCTGGTGGTTGTCTGGTGTGTCGTATATGACTTTGTCCTGTAACGTCCCTCCCAACCTGATCTTCAATGGCGAAAAGGCTGCAATATAAAAAAAAATTGAATGTAAGAACAAAGACAGAAAGATGGAAACAATAGTTCCCAGCCTATTGCCATAAATCAAAACTTCGGTTTTTGCTTTTACCTTGTATTGCCTTCAACAGAATTTGGTTATTGAGATCCTGCAACCAAAATACACAAACAACAATACATTCAAACACTGTTGACCCCAATATTTGATTTTGACCTCTCCTTTGTCTCATCGGTCAAATGTCAAACAAAGCTTCAAACTTCAGAATAAGGAAATGGATGAAGAAAAGAAAGAACAAAACTGAGCATTTCGCTGAGAAGCCATGGAAGCATTCAACAAAGAATAACACCAAAGAAGATTAAGAACATGAAGAACATACAAGGTTGATGAGGGAAGTATGGTCCCAAGCGCAAGTCCCATAGTCACATTTCTCAGGAGGCCACCAATCCAAAGTGGCACAAATGAAATCTTCATCAGTTCTCCCAATGGTGTTGTCCCCATCCACCACAACAGTTCCTTGAACAACAGATGAAATGTTACTAGCGCCAGTGACATTATTATTCGTATTATTCCCACCTTGGCCTTGTGAGCACACTGAAACAAAGCTGCAGCTTAGGACGCACAACAGAACAACCAAAATCTGAGAACCCATGTCTCCTTTTTTGTTTTTCTGCCAACCCTTTTTCCCCCAGCAGAGTTCTGGAACTCAAGATCTGAGCTTTACAATAGAAATGGACAGGGCAGCCATGAAAGTATTACTCTGTCAAAGCTGAGGGGGAGCAAAGGAAAAGGTGGTGGTGGATGAAGAAGAAGAAGAAGATCCAAATGGTTCACGAGAGGGAGGTTTAAATGGAGACATGTGTGGAGATTGAAATACAGCCAGCTAGCCAACTAATAAGCCTTGCCTTCTACTGCCCTCGAAGCCCAGCCGTGGGTTAGGAAAAAAGGCGCCAGCAAAAAAAGAAAGAAAAAGATATTTGGTGGCCTGTTCAAAAAGAAAAGGATATTTGGTTGGAAAGGAGAAGATGTGGAGATATTACTGCAAAAACCGAAATTGCAGAGGAAAAGAAAAGAAAGAAAGAATCGCTTTTCTCTCTGTTTTGTGAGTTAGCTTGGAGCTCTCTCGTGGGATGGAAAAGGAATGAGAAACGGAGTTTGGTCGACCAAAGGTGGGGCCTTTGTTCGCCGGTTATGCTTTTTTTGGTTACTGAAAGCAAGCAAAACGAGCTGCTACGCAATTGGACAAAAGATGATTACAGAGTAAAGGAAGGAAGTTAGAAAAAAAAAAAACAGGGGAAAACAGGGGATGGGCCATTTTTGCTCCATTTCTGGAAGTTTTTATGAGGGCTGGCGGGCAATGAATGACCCACTTGCCTGAGAAAGATTGATATATATTTTAATGGAGTCGGGGTAAATAGATCCGACCCGGGATTGGATTATAGATGCTGAGGTTTTAGATTAAGGGTTTTAGGAGGAATAGTGGATTGGAGGGACTTGATTTGTTTGTAGCTTTGTCTTCACAAAATCTCAATTCTTGGATTACAAGTGAGTTTTCCTTCAACTAACTTGAGTAGATATTTGCATATTTTCCATGTGTCATTTGGAATATGAAAGTTCAAAAAGAGACTAAGAAAATGGGTTGAACTCAAAATATCGTCGATTTATTTATGTCGGGTTGTGCATTAACGATAATGTAACGGGTTGCATATTGTTTCGCTTTATTGAGGTAGAGTAACAAGGTAGGTCCATTCACCTTGTATGGTCATGAACTCATGATCCACTGGCAAAAGAGTATGATTCTTAACTCGACGGTCGCTGTCACCGTTCGACAGATTATCCTCTTGTACATTATAGTACGAAATTAATCAAATCATGCGCTTTAAATTGCCTTTTGTTATGATTGAGCCGACAACGATGATGATGAAGGTTTACCCTCACATTCTACCACAGAGGTCTCTCATTAGGAATACATTCAACCGTTTGAAAGTTAATTACACTAGTTAATAAAGCTAGTTCCCAAAAATGAAACTTCCTAGAATTTTATATTTCCAAAAAGTGGAGAAGCATGGGCAATTTGCAGAGGGACACAGCCCAATCAGATTCAGTCCACCTGCCCTAGATTTGTATTGAAGGGTTTGTTAATGGCAGTCCCTTAAATTTTGGGGCAACTTCCCTAGATGGTCAAAGGTCAGAGATCCACATGCATGTTTGTTGAGCTTGATTGTCATTTGTATTATAAGTTATTAGGACCATTGCCTCTTAATGTCATAAGGTCATCTGGTTAGGCAAACTATCATTGTCTTTGATGGTGAAGCCCTACCAGAAAACTCCTAGGCTGAGTCATGCTCTCTAAGTTATCAACCAAATCCAATGTCAATTTGCCACATAATCCTTACAAATATGTTTGGTAACTAGTATTGTTAGCTTCTTTTTTTTTTCTTCTTCTTCTTCATTTCATCATATTCGGATACGATGGCCACAAAGCAAGATTCTAATGCATTAAAATACCCGGTTTTATTTAATTTCCTCGGATTTTGTTTCCATGGATGGACTCTCTATATAACATGAATCCTAAAAGATGATGTTTGACCATAGTGGGCAAGGAAATTAGCGGGACAAATTCGTCTTCGTGAATGTGTATCATTCTATTGATCGTTGAGAAGTTGACAAATCACAACCATGACGATCGTATAAATCAAATGAAACTAAACAGATCGGTTGTGTCCAGGGGCGGACCCAGGGGTTTTAGCGGTGTCCCCGGACACCCCTAAATTTCGGGAAAATGATTATCCAACCCCCGGTGGTAATTTACGTATAGACAAAAAAAAAATATAATTGATAGTGAGAGACACCCCTGAAATTTAAAAAAAATGATTATTTTACTGTCATTTGTGTATAAAAATATAAATGGTAGGTTGGTTAATTCAAATCTAGAACACTATTATTATTAATAAACTTAATTTCCGTTGAGCTACAACTCATTTGGTGTTCGATTTTGAACAATGTGTAATAGTAAAAAGTAATTCTCTATCTCTAATTATTTCAATCTAAACTAATTTCAATCTACCATTAATTTGTATTGATTTTATGATTGTACGACAAGTGTTGAAGAGTCTTTCAGCTTTGGGTTACATCAAGAACAAGTTTACAAATTGAATATGCGATAAGTTCCTAAATGATTGTCTAGTAGGGTATATAGAGATTTTTTTTAACACTATAAACACCAAGTGTATTCTACAATTATTTTCGAATATGAAAACACATCATGGACTTTTTTAACTTGTACGAGTAAGGTATTTTCATATTTACGATTTTATTTTTATTAATTATTTTTATTTTTATTTAATTTATTTTTTAAAAGAGGACACCCCTATGGAAAATTTCTGGGTCCGCCACTGGTTGTATCATTCAAATGGAGGGCTGACCGTCATGATCCGGTTTCTCGTGTAACCCAAAGATGTTGTAGATTTTCCACACCACTAGGAAGGAACATGTATGGTGACATATGTTGTCACAAGATCCTCGTTTATCATGGGCAAGATCAAGAAGCTAATTCACATGGCCAGGCAGAAATCTGTATCAATATTCGCAGGAATAACTAATAAAAAGCCAATTTATATGCATTTGTGGAATATTGTGCTTTACACATTGTAGCTTTGAAAATTTGAGTATAATGTACACACCACCTTCCTCGATCTTTCACATTTGATAAGGCAACCCAACAACTTGCAGCAGATATTATCAAATCCAAAATTTCCGACTCTTAAGAGAATTTTTTGTATCGAATTTTTTTGTACGAAAATACAATACCAACTTAAAATTAGACAAATATTTCTATTATCTAGACAATAAATTTCAATTAGGCAACTCAAACACAAGACCCTCACAAAGAAAGACTTTATGAGGAGGTGTCAGGCTGTCAGCCCAATGTAGAGGTGGGTGACAACTGACAATCCATCATAAAATTGAACCGAAAACGTATGTATTTCGAGAACATACCATTGTCTAGTTTATGACTTAACAAACATATGTATTTTAAAATTCTAAAAGCTAGAACTCATTTGGGGAAACTTACCACTAGATATAATCCTCTACACCTATTGCAAGAAGTCAAGAATATTAATTAACTAAAATTGTATTATAAATAGTGGTTGCATTTTTTTTAATTATTGCATAAACCAACAACTTGTGTAGTTGACAAGCTTTGTTAAATTAAATCTATAATCTTACATTTTTAAATGTACACTTTTAAAAACACAGTGCTAAGTAAATAATATCAGCAAAACATCCAAATGGGTTCAACTGGTAACAACGTAAAGTATATCACAATTTACTCTCAATTCCAAATCCACAATTTAATCATTTTGACAAAAACTCATTGACGAATACCAACAAAAATGTAAGCCCAACCCGTCTAATATTTTCATGAGATCGAAATAATCTCAAACTGCTTGTTCCGTGGTCCCTCATAGTCATGTGAAACAAAACAACATCAGCAAAAGGAAACAACCTAGAAAAGTGAACTAAGTACACTAATTACCAAATGTGCAAGTGGGACACTGAGATTGAGTAGATCAAAACCTAAGAAAAGAGGGTTTGTTAGATTTCTATCTTCAGCAGCAGCAGTTGGGTCCATCATCATATTTCAGAGGGTTGGTTATCATCATTTTCCTAACTAAACCAACTTCATCAGGATTCACTAATTAAATAACATTAATAGAACTTCTTCCTTAATCCCTCATCTCTATGGAATTGCATGGGAACATGGATCAGGTGACTTTAATTTGTGGCCAATATATAGGGTAGCGGCCCTACAATGAAGACAGTAATCAACTCCATGAGACCTAATCCATCTTAATCATGAAATTAGGTTTAGCTCAAAGAACATTAGGTGGGGGAATTTTCAGCTTTGGTTCAAACTTCAAACCTAATTCACAACCCTATTTCCCCATATATGGAGAGAACTTGACGCATATATTCAAGAGTTGAGACTATCATGTGTCCAATGAAATCATAAAAATCATGTATGGAGAACAAGGTACGAATTCACATGGTTCCTTGGCCGTTGTGAATGAGATTACTTCGCAAAGAGCTACAAGCTCTTAGTCGATATTATAATGGCGTGATTGTGTCATCGGTTCTCATGACCATACATGCATTTATGTACTCCTAATCAACGAGCAAAACATTACAATGCTACGAACTATGTATTACAATGGCTAAATCTATCGATATGTTAACACCCTGGCCCCTACAAAACGATCAATATTCGAGCTTACAACACTAATACTGGCCACCAAAATATCTTTCTCGTAATAACACATGATATCAATCCTCATATCTTACCACCTTAAAACTGCCATTTGATCCTCACCCTATTTATCCCATTTCTATTTCAACAATGATTCCCTTCGAGCTCTTACCCATACCAAGCAACCCAATTTTCAACACGAATCCAAGATCATTGGCCCAAAAGTTCAAGTGAAGTGGGAAAGAAAGAGAGCAAGGTTGTCAACCCGCGGGTTGACCCGGACCCGGTTGAGCTAGTGGGTCAAGGGTTAATGGGTCACCCGTTTTAGCCCGGAAATATGGAAAGCGTCGTTATATTGTACTTATCCTGATAAATTATATCAAATCTCATCTAACATATGAGTTATAAAATATAATATTACACCAAAATAACATTTCGTACTTAGATTCAACATATAGTGAAAATTCACACACACTTATATAACATTAATATTCAAATGTTCAACTTAGGATCCCAAAGATTGAGTTAGGCGAAAAGAAAAATCTGAAAATAGGCGCATTTCGCAAAACAAAGAAAAAAATGATACAATTTGACCTCCAACCTGGTACATTGTGGCGGTCGACCCGGCGGGTGCGTGCGGCCCGTTTTTCTCACCGGGTCAGGGTCAAAGTGGGTCAACTCGCGGGTTGACAACCTTGATGGAGAGGTAGTTGTTTATGGAATCAAAGGGGAGTCCTCTCTCTCTTTATATTCTCAAGACAAGACTATTTTGCCCACTAGTTTGTTAATCCACTGGGGTTTTTAATTATTTTGCTTGCGATCAGAAGAACTTAATCTAATACTAAATCAGTAATTTTGTCAGTTTTTTACCCACCACTAGGCCACTATAGTTACAAAGCTCCATGTGCAGAATCATGATCCTTAAATGTCTGTCCTTCCCATCAGAACATCATCACGCTTGATTAAATTTTGGAACTTGGTTAAGGACAACAATTAAGGAATAGGGTAGAATCGAGTCAGCCGACCTTATCTTGGTAGTTGGATATAATTAATGTTCAAACTCCTGAAGTATACTATCAATCTTTAAGTGACATGACCATTAGATGTATTTTAGTGGTGTTTTGACAGAATAAAAATAGTAGATTATTATTTTTATTAAATTTATGTACGAGTTTGGTTTGAGACTCTCAGGAGTTTATTCATTAGATGTAGGATACAATATCAATATATCATCATATTTGACATTGGTTTGATCTTTGGTATATACATAGATATATCTGCAATAGTTGGAGTATCGCTATACTCCAAAAGTATATTAATTATTTATAAATTTTTAATCTAAAACTTGAGATAAGATTTGTTTGGATTTATAACAATTTTAGCTCCATTGTGTGTGATTAAAAATTATTCTCTTTTTAATGGAATTTGTATCACCTTATAAACAAACAAAAAAAAGCCAACCATCGAATAATTCGTTTTTCTTTTCAACGCTCTATTATCAAGATGTTCGCCAGACTTAGTTAGACGTACTAAATCAATTTTTTTCCTTGTAATTCCTTAAGATGGACTAAACCCATAAATGAAACAAGACAGAAAAAAAAAACTTCCTTAAAGTCGCACACCTCGTTACTTTGCTTCGTCTTATATCGATCTCCCATGCAAGCATCGTGAGATCAGTCGCATGACATGCTAGATTCTTTTTTTGGTCTCCGTCATCAAATCCACTCCATTCCAAACGTCACGGCCTCACAGGAGCGCTACGATCAACAACTGCACACAAGACACGCGGTTTCTCGAATTCTTACCAGCCCTAAAAAATAAGAACAAACCGATTCTTGACAAATTACCATTTATTCATTTTTGATTCCTCTCAATATCATTGAACATAAACAACATTTTGATGTATATCTCTTGAAGCAACGCATCATCGGGCGGCAGCAAATCAAAACGGCTTTGATCTTTGCATATCCTGCTGTTGTTTTTTCTGGGACGTTTACTTCCTTTTCATGGTTTAAGGAACACGGCGATTCGTGCATGTCTTGTAACAGCTTTTGTCACCATATCTTGTTTGAAAACCGATCTGAGTCATCATTTCTGTCACTGTTCTTGTTCGGCAATGCCGTAGCTTGCAAGATGAATGGACTGCAAAAGATTAAGTATGGGGGAAAAACGATTTGTTGTTATGTCATCTAGTTAGCTAGGTCTACACATTACTCAATCAGTCAGAAGTTAGCTGCGGGTTGGAGGTACGTAGTTTATACAAAACACAAGGTAGCTTGTTTAAAATGAACCGTGTTAATATCAGGGATCGTGAGGATTCAAACACGAGACCTTTTACACTCAAAAGTCTTGATGTCATGACAAAGATCGGTTTGTCCATATTCATCCCAGATAAATCAAATTATCAGGAGAGAATGCTTGTAATTGGTCTTATGTGATTGTCTTACGTAACTAATCACCTCGAATTTTGCCGTTTGTACGATTCACCTTAAAGTTAAATATTCATTAACCCTTTTGAGTTTTGATAGGTACATTTGTGTCCTTTTTCTTTTGTCATCATGTTAGAGTTATGGATTTATCTCCCAGCCCAAAAATAGGCCCATATACAACAACCCAAGAGAAAAATCTCGGCCCACACGAAAGTCTTCTCCCTAAACCAGTAAACCCTCGATTTGAGTAATAACAACTCCAAGCCACTCCTTCACTTCCTAGTTCCTTCTTCTCCCCATTATCGGCTGCGCTTCCGTCCACAAACCCTAGATTTCGCCGCTTCTCCGCCGCGCCTCCAACCATGAAGTACAATCCGAGAGTCTCTTCCTCCCGGCGCAAGAACCGGAAGGCTCACTTCACGGCGCCGTCCTCGGTCCGCCGGATCCTGATGAGCGCCCCTCTCTCCACGGACCTCCGCCAGAAGTACTCCGCCAGGTCGATGCCGGTGCGCAAGGACGACGAGGTCCAGGTGGTGCGAGGCACCTACAAGGGGCGGGAAGGGAAAGTCGTGCAGGTGTACCGCAAGAAGTGGGTGATCCACATCGAGCGCATCACCAGGGAGAAGGTGAACGGGTCGACGGTGAACGTCGGGGTCCATCCTTCGAAGGTCGTGATCACCAAGCTGAAGCTCGACAAGGACAGGAAGTCGCTGCTGGACCGCAAGGCGAAGGGGCGCGCCGCCGCGGATAAGGACAAGGGGACCAAGTTCACCGCCGATGATATCATGCAGAATGTCGATTGATCTCCTCTTGTGGTGACGTCTTTTTTTGATTCAGCTCTATGTTTTTAATGCTATGGATGATGGAAGTTTTTTCAGTAGCTGGTAGCTATGTTGGTTTGGATGACACTGAGGATTTTGTTGCTTGTTGAGATGATTAAGATTATAAGCTTTTTGGAATTTCTGGTATCAGGGTGTTCTGGGATGCTTTGATTCTGCTCATTAGTTAGCTCGATTTGGTGTTTGGGATTTCTTTGGTAATTGTTGACTGCCACATACAGAGTAATCAGTAATGTAGCTTCGAATTGGAGTGGGTATATTGGTGGATGTGCTTAGATCTGCCTGTTGGCAGAAGGGTTAGGTTCTAAAAGCCATGGGAACAAGTTAACTAGCTAATAGAATCCGAGTATTAGCTTTGTTCTGACGGGGCGGTGATGAATCATAAGAGAGGAAAGATTTCTGGTTTGATTCTGCTCATTAGTTAGCTTGGTTTTGTGTTTGCGTTTGCGATTTCCTTGGTGGTTGTTAACTTCTGCATACAGAGTAATGTAGCTCTGAATCGGAGTATGGTTTGTTGGTGGATGAGCTTAGCTCTGCCTATAGGCAGAAGGGTTGGGTTCTAAAAAGCCACAGTAATAAGTCAGCTAGTTAATAGAATCTGAGTAGTAGCTTGGTTCTGCCGGATGGTGATGAATCCTGAGAGGGTAAGCATCTCTGTTGTCATAGCTATGATGTGTGATCTCCTCCTGGATTAAGAAGTTGATCCTTTGGAGCGAGCGTGGAGGTGTCACTGGTCTGATGTCGTATTGTCTGCATTGATCTTTACTGTCGAGATGAAGCTTACAGGTTTTGTGGATCTTGTTGTTATCTTGTGTCTTGTTGCTTGCTTGCTTGGGCTATGCTCATTTCTATAGCATTATCGTGTTTATGCTATAAAATGGTATATGTGTGCATGGTCTTTTCAATGGAAGTTTGTTTGAGATGGTTTTATGCAAGGTCTTTGGTAGTGTTAGCATACAAGGTAATGGCCCTTTGAATTGGAGGGAATGGAAATTTGGTCACTGGTGGATTAGCTAAAGATTTGCACTCATATTTGAGTGATAGCTTACTCCTGCCTATGGCGAGGAATCCTGGAAGGGGAAGGATTGATGTGGTATATTTTGTTCCTTACCCTTCTATGACCTCAAATGGCGACTGGATTCCAAGTATACTTCTTGGCTTTAGTGTGTCAAGGCTGAAACTCCCTTTCATCATCTCTTCAGACTAAATTAGTAGATAAAGATTGCTTCTAGTACCTTTGTAAACTGATATTGGCGGGTTGCTATGATAAGATTACAAGTTCCTTTATGCATTGCTAAGGTGAATCTGTTGGTTCCCTCCCAACTTATATATGAGTTCATATCGTTTCCTTTTGCCCTCACTTGTTGCTTGTGGTGCGTGTTCAATTTGCATCTTCTCTAAGATCTCCTCGTGTTTCAACCAAACAAGATTCTCAACCCAGTTTAGTAAGTGGCTCTGGTTCGGTCGTTTTAGTCCGGTTTAGCTAAGATATATGAAATATATATATATATATTTTGTTCATCCATATAAATTAGATCAAATATCATCGGAGTTATTAGTAGTAACATATAAGATTAGATCAAAATAATAGTCCGTGTTTGAATCTAACATATATTGAAAATTTAAATACACTTAAATTCACAATATAAGTTTGTGATTGACACCTTAGATGAACTAGAATAGCCTATGAAATATAGATAGAACTTGTGACTAAAAGAGTTGGAGCCCAAACAGAATCACAAGATAGATAGAACTTAGTGATTAGAAGAGTTGCAACACATAGAAGCACATGAAATCCTAATTACAGGGTGGAAGAAAATGGGGGTTTGCCTGCAATTGATCGAACTGCAAAAAGGAATGTTGTTTATAAAAAAAAGGTAAGAAGATAATTGCTAATAAAAAAAATGTTCTTTAGAAACAACACGATCTCTGGATATACTCATGATATCGTAGGTGAGCTAATAATATAAGTTCGGGTCGCACAAATCAAATTCTTGACGAATATGGAAATCCAAAATGGATGTCTTAATTCTTTGGTCATCCTTTTTGAGTGATAATGATTGTGGGTCTTGATTCGAGCTTTGTTCATCCTTCTTTGGATGTCTTGATTCGTCTATCCGTGTTGGAGAGTCCAGTCATTGATTTCGATCTCTTCACGAGATGGTAAAAAAAATAAAAAAAACTGAACCATTTGAAGATTTGGTTAATCAAGAAAACCCAAAGCCGTACCAGAAGATTAACGACAATGGAGTCGCTCAGCTTGGTCAGTTCCTGACTTGGAACAACGTAGCAAATGAGATGAGGAGTCAAAGATGTGTATACAAACTTCGATTTTCAAGGAACATGTACAATTTAGATATGTTATGTCCCAGCCCGTTTTATGAGTGATTATTTCTATAGAACTAAAACATACTTAACACTTTATCTCCAAATATTCGATTCGTGGTAAAAGAAAATATTCGTAATGAAATGAGATTTCGTAAAAAAAAAAGTTCAATTCGATTCCTTTATTTGTAGATGTTATACATTTGACCCAAAATTAAAGCTATAGCTCTATACTAGAAATATTCAAAATTTTCTTGTAGAATTATTGATTCCATTTGATCAATATTCATCTACTTATTTCAACTTTATTTTCGATTGCAGTTGGAGTTCTTTTCTTCACCTCCAAATCCAATGCCTCTCAGGGGAAGAAGAAAAAAATGATGTATTCCACTAGGCCACGGGAGGAGCAACGGGCAACTTACCGTCGCCGCCGCCGGCGCTGTCCTTCATCTTCTGCAGCCTCTCCTCCCGATGATTCAATATCGCCTCCTTAACGTTGCCGTCACCGACGATGTGAACGCTGCCCTGACCCTGCATCCTCTCCTCCCGATGATTCATGATCGCCTCCTTCACGCGCCCTCCTCCGCCGACGGCGGCGGCCCTGTCCACGACGGAGCACACGCCCTTGACGAGGCGCGGGACGGCGGGGTACTTGGGGTACATCTCCTGCCAGCAGGAGTCGGTGATCCCGCCGGCGGCCTGGCAGCACGTCTGTCCCATCCCGAGGATCTCCGTCCGCATCCCCTTGTGGGTTTTCATGCCCTGGATGCTGAACCGGGTGAGGAGGGAGGCGGTCTCGTTGACCTGCTTCATGCAGCCGGGGATCTTCCGGAGCGCGCTGATGCACTGCACCGAGTTCATCAGGCTGGGCTTCTGCTCGTCGGTGCCGAAGACGGAGCACGTGCCGCGGAAGAAGAGCGCGACGGGGCACTTGGGGAACATCATCTTCCAGCAGACGTCGCTGACGCTGTTGATGATCTGGCAGCAGGCGGACCCCAGCTTCACGTAGCTGCCGCTGATGTCGACGCTGGCCTCCCTGGAGGCCGACACGCCGCCGCTGATGGTTGTGAAGGTCTTGTGGATCTGGTCCCGGCAGCCCGGGACGCCCTTCAGCACGTCGCAGCACGGCGGGTTGTTCACGTCGGTCGGGGGCGGCGTGGTCGGGGTGGTCGGTGGTGTTTGTGGCGATGGGTCTGTCGGTGGCGACGGAGCTCCCGGTGTCGGGGTGGTTGGCGCCGGCGGTACGTGGGCCGACGCGATGGTGGCGAGGGTTAGTGCGAGGAGAGCGGCCACCGTGAGCATGGTTAGGTTGGAGGAGGTTAGTGGTGATGATGATGACATGGTGAGATTATTTGTTGAGATTATTCGTTAGTAATTATTATTTGTTTTTGTTTTTTTGTTTTTGTTTTGTGTGAAATTGCTTATTATTTATATTTGGGTAAGGCAAGAGAAGGAGGATGGAATGGAGGAGTTGTTGTGAGGTTGAGAGTTGATGGTGGATTTGGGTTTGGAGCGAGTCAATAGCGGGGAATTGAAGTAAAATTAGAGGGGGGAAAGGGGGAAAATATAGAAGGTTGTACCTAAGATAAAGGGAAATGGTTGAGTGAAAGATTAGTATATTAAGTAGTAATTGATCTAGCTAGGTAAGATATTACATCCATTAAGTTGACTATGGTTTGGATAATAAATCAAATGGATGTTTGATAAGTTATGATGAGTTAACTTGACGTACGACCTAACTTCAACATGCATCTCGCGCGGGACCTATAGCCAGAGTTCATTAGTAGAGGCTGATAGCCCTTCTCACACTTAGAAACTAGAGATGAAATCCTAAACTCTCGATACACACCCCAACGGGGTCGGTCCTGCGCACGTGGGATGGTTGTAAATAATGTTGTGTTGTCATGGATTTTGAACTCTCTTTCATAAGGATATGAACGAACTGGGATGAATCATGTTAGTGCGAGGGTGTTGTGGGATGAGTTGAAGTGAAGGTATGGAAAATCCAATTTTGTACGTTGAAATCCACAGGTTCAAGTAGGAAAATCTTCCCATAAACCAGAATCTTAACCAGATCAAAGGACAATGAGAGGAATTTGCTTGTACCAGTGCTCTAGTGAAAGCTCATCCATTTGATGTTGCAATAGCCTACACAGAAAGGCAAGAAACAGACTATCTAATCACGTTCTTAAATCCAGACTATGAAATCATTAAGAGCCTGTTGTCGTCTCAAAAGCCATTTCCAACTATTTTTGAAAGTAGTTGATGACCTAATCCAATATGATCAGAATTTGAAAGCAAAATCTAATACTAGCAGAAAGAAGGCTTCGAATAGAGGTGACAAATAGATTGGATTGGTGAATTAATAAATTAAGTGGATTGGAGGATTGACCCATGAATCCGGATGACATCCAAGTCTTGGACTATTATGTAAAATTTGAAAAGTTTAGATACTAAAATTTATTATAAAAAATTGTAGGTACCAAAGTGTAATTTTCCAATTATACGTTTCGTCTAAAAATTTAAATATTAGGTATCAAAATGTAAAATATAAAATATAAAAAGAATATGTATTAAATCATAATTTATTATTTAAATCTATGGATCAATCCATAAATCAATTGGATTGTATTTAAATAAATTGAATTATTTATATTTTTAAGTGGATGGATTGGTGTATTATATTATATCACTAATTGCCTCTTCATAGTGTTGCACTTGGCTGTTGAAATTGATTAATCTCTTTTTGAATTTTTTGATATTCTAAAAGTTAATTGGGGCAGCCCGATAGATTCGGGCATGGCTTGGGCTCAGCAGGAAGTTCAAGGCCCGCTCACAGCCAGCGAGCCGTCGTCGTCTTTCTTTCGCCGCAACTTCTTCATCAGGATTGATTGATTCTGTCCAATTTCCCGGATGCCAAACAGAGCTTCCATTCCATCCCGCCGCAGCCATCGCCAATATGCTGAGAAGGAAACCCACTAAAATTGAGGTGACAATCGAAGACAAAGAAGAGATCGAAGAAGCCCGCAGTCGTGCCGCTGCCGCCGTCGTCGCCGCCCCTTCCGCCGCCGACGCTCTCGTCCGACTCCTCGAACGCACACAATCCAGCACCACCACCAACAACCCCGCCGCCCCCTCCAAATCCCAGCGCATCGGCCTCTCCTCCTCTTGAAATCTCACAAATGGAAGTGGAGGTCAAGCTAGGGCTTCCGGACGCCGCCGCACACTCCAAATTTAAATCCCTGATTTCAGAATTTCACGTCAAGACCGTCAACCAGCAGAACCTCTTCTTCGACACCCCCGCCGCGGCCCTCGCATCCGAGCGCGCCGTGCTCCGCCTCCGATTCCTCGACGGCGTCACCCGCTGCGTCGTTTCGCTGAAGGCCAAGGCCGTTTTGGTCGACGGGGTGAGTCGGGTCGAGGAGGACGAGGAGGAGATCGACCCGGTTCTGGGCCGGGCATGTGCCGCCGACCCGATGAAGCTGGGGTCGATTGATTCGAGGATTGTGAAAAGGTGCAGGGATGAGTTTGGCGATGGGAAGGAGATGGGCTTCGTTTGCTTGGGAGGGTTTGAGAATGTGAGGGATGTTTACCAATGGAGAGGGATGAAGCTGGAAGTGGACGAGACTAAGTATGCATTTGGAGTGAGCTATGAGATTGAGTGCGAGAGTGAGGATCCTGAAGGGGTGAAGAAGGAGCTTGAAGGGTTTCTGAAGGAGAATGGGGTTGATTACAAGTACTCTGAGATGTCAAAGTTTGCTGTTTTCCGATCTGGGAAGCTACCATAAGGGTAAGTGATTATCGTAAAGCTCTCAAATTTTGCCTATGAATTTGGGAATGGTGTGGTTGTAAGATTGTCTGAGTGAAGAACACAGAGTACTGAAACATGTTTTGTTACTTTGTTTGATAAAGCTCTTAAATTTTGGCTCTGGATTTGGGAATGGGGTGATTTGTTTGAGTGAAGAAGAACAATGTTAACTAGTGAAGCTATATTTCCCCTGTTTGCTTGTAGATGCTATTGAAGCTGTGATATCACACCAGGCTATTTAATCTCTGCAAACACCATCGCGAATAGAATCGATATGTAGCTAATTATGAATCTCTTGGTCTTCTTTAATCATTACTGTATCGAACTATGGAAGAGTTGCAGTATATCTTATGTACCATTTTTTTTTTTGTAGGTGTAACGTTCGTGATCACTGTGGAAATGAAATCTGTCTGGTGTGATTATTTTGGTCTTGATCTGGATTTCTGATCGAAGAAAGCCACGTCGGCAGTCTTTGTTCCGTCTCAATCTCAATTTTCTTGCACCGCTGAACCAGTTCTTGGTATCCATAGCCTTTTGCAGCCACTTGCAATGTTATTATTACACTTTACAGCCTTCTGCAACTGCAATGTACTTCTGGGAAATGAACTTTGACGAGTGCTTTCTGAAGTTGGATATAGACATGATTAGTACGCTGAGTAAATGTCGGGCTAGTTACTCTGGAAGTGTTGGTTTAAGTATGGTGTTAATCATTGTTCTGCTGTGTTGGGATGATCATTTAAGATGGTGATCTGCTGCCTCCAATTCGAGGCTAGGATCTAGCTTGGCTAAATGGTTATAGATTGAACTGCTTACCGAATACCGACCAAATACCACCCCTACGAACTTAAACCCGTCAATAATGCTCCTCCTCGGAAAATAGTTCAATTACTTTATTTCTCCAATTACCAATGTGGATGCTGGAGGTGTGTGCCAAATTTGGTGAATCCACTCGTGGTTGGTTTATATTAATCGTAATTGGGTTAAAATCACGAGTAATTTTGGGCGGTGTATCGATCGGTTTATCAATCATTTGGTTTGACTTCTGTAGGCTTATATGCTGGGCGGGTTACATGCCATTGTCTGTTGGTCAAACCTGGTTGCAAATGGATTGAATCAGGTTGCCAGGTTTGGTCAAATACTCAAATTCAGTATTCTGGATATCCTGCTGTTGAGTTCAGGATAGGTTAGTTCGAGTTGCAAGTCAAAGTTAATATGAATCAGAGATCACACAGAGACAACATAGGAAAACATTATACACCACAATAATAATCTGTAACAACAGAAGGGCATCAGCATCAGCAGCACACCAACAGAAGCCATAACCATGTCAACGACGATCAACGAAGGAGACTCTACTAACCCTATCCAGACCCTGACATGAACTCAATCTTCCCTCCTCCTAGGAGACCTAACTACTCTTGACAGAGGGAAAGATCAAACCGAAAGTAAAAATAAACAACAGCATACTGTCCCTCTCTTTCCCTCGCATTTGTCAATCACTCCTCTCAAGTCATTTTCTCTTCTTCGCCGGTGGTTGCTGAGGAGTATCATCATCTTCTTCCTCCTCATCTTCCTCATCATCATCGTCGTCATCCTCGGCATCATCATCATCCTCATCATCATCGTCGTCATCAGCCTCCTCCTCATCATCATCGGAGTCTCCAGCGCCATTAGCTTCAGGGTCGTCTTCCGGGTCTGCTCCTTCGTCACCCGCGAAATCCTCGTCACCAGCATCGTCGTCGTCATCATCATCCTCTGCATTGTCGTCCTCGTCATCTTCACCATCGTCCTCGGTGTCACTGGCATCTTTGTTTTCTTCTGTGTTGGAGCATTCCTTCTCGTGAAGCTTGCTAAAAGGAAACCTGCATAGATGAGGCAACATATGCATCAGCTTACATTCTTTAGACTGTCAATGGACTGGAAAGATGTGAAAATATATGGCGGGTGTACCTCTGTTCTACAGCAGTCAGATTGGCCAATGCCTCAGCTTCAGCGACCAGTGATCCAGCCTGAGAAAGATGAGAAATTAAAGTGGCATTAATTTCCTAGACAACAGAGGGAAAGCTAGTAGATAATAATATCTTGCCAGAGATGGAAACTACAACACACATATAAGCACTACTATCTCACAGTAACAAGAAATAACAGTGCACTAAGTCTTGGAATCAAGATATAGACAACAGAGGGAAAGCTAATAGATAATAATATTGATTCTACCAAGAAATAAGCAATGTGACTTTTCCTAGCCTTCATGTTGACAAGACATCAATTTCATGATCTTCCACAATTATCCTAACCCAGAAACACCTAAGTCTATAGGTTTAAAAGGTATATAAAAAACCAGATAATTACTAGAAGATGTTGAAACAGAACTATGAACTTCCACATTGGGGCAGGCGTAAGTGGGAGCAGAGACACTGAATCCCATAGATGAAAGAATGCCCTAGGTCACCCAAAAGCAAGTACATGTTTAGAGAAAGTTAGTTCTGATAAACTCTGCCAAAAACCGAAACGATCGAAGCGTACGTTACTAAGTAAAAAAAGGAACAGTAACCAATCACCATTCTTTGGAAACAGCAAGTTGGTACCTTTTTCTTCCTTTTTAAACCCACAGGCAAAAGGCAAGTTGCCAAGTAGGTTGTCTAATAGCATAACAGGAAAGCCTAGAACATGAATTATGGAAGCATCTTAAGAGGAAACCACCCACATGTGGACAAACATTCTACTAACACCACTGCTATCCTAGCAAACAAGCTTCAGATCATACAATCCATAGTATCTTCAAAGCTCATAAGAATTATTCCGCATAACAACCAGCAACGATGAAGTAAACTCCAATCCACCAATAAAGTAAGCCATATCTCAGCCAGAATCACCATTACAACAAATCCTGGAGCTTCATAACAAACAGGATGCCGCCTATTGACACACAACACAACTACATTCGTGCGCAACTCACTAAACAGCTCAGACCACAATCAAACACATCAAATCCAAAAGCACACCAGCAAGTATATTCACAGTCACACACATAAAAGCAGCAAAAAAAACCCTAATTTTCACCAGATCAGTGAAAAAATCAACCACAAGCAGTTACCTCCACCATTCACAAGTCAAAACAACCAACAAAGAACACCAAAGACAATACCACAGCCACAACAAACGAGAACATTAGTACCAACCAGACAAAAATAAATAGCAAAAAGCACCACCAACAAGTACAGAAGAGCACTAAACCTCACAAATATATACACATTGAGAGGGGGAGAAAAAAAAGGAACAAGGGTTTATCTCCATCCAATGAGTCGTACCATAAAGAGCAGGCAAGCAAGAGCCTTTCCAGCAGCAACGGCAGCTTCCACCACCATAGCTTCCACAACAGAGGAAACCCACTCGGCCCTCTTCTCCGCAGAGCTCACACTGCCCAAAACATCCATTGACGGCGGCTGTATTTCCAAACGAACGGGATTGGCGACAAAGAAAGGATAAAAGCTAAATCCTAGAGAGAGAAACAGTAAAGTCAGAGAGGGAGAGAGCTCAGTAGTCGAAGTAGAGAGAGAGGGAGGAGCAGCAGCAGCAGCAGCAGGGGAAGGGCGAGAGCGGAGAGCGGGGCCGAGACGAGGGCGTGGTGGAAAAGGATGACCTTTCACTGGGTTTTTCTTGGGTCCGGTTAGGGTTAGGGTTTGGTCCGAATTCGGGTGCTTTTTTTTTATTTGTCTTTTTCTACATTAAAGCTAGTTATCGGCATTCGGCAGACAGCCAGCTATTTTTTTTTTCCGGACCTTTTTTTACCGTTGCGATTGGTCGGGTTCGGGGATCCGGAATTGTACCCGAATTGTGGAATCAATGTTCAATGGGGGAAAAGAGGGAAACGGTGGGGTGGAGTAAATGTGGCGTTTCTTTTTCCCCTTTTATTAGTTTGATAATAATTGCTTCCACTTAGGTTTTCCTTTTCTTTATTTTATTTAGAGAATATTTCCCTGAATAATAAGATAATTAATCTATTAATCCCTTCTAAAATTGTTGAAACCTTCAAATTTCAAAAGGTATTGAATATTTCTTTATTTTATTAGATATGAAGTATTTAGATGTAATTGGAATAATGTGTCAATTTTTTATTTCATCCTGACACACAATATAGGCATTGGAGATTTTATACGTCTCTCTAATTATGAAAGATTTAAGACCTGAGCTAAAACTTGAGATTCTTTTGTTTAGGTATTTTTTTCCCTGCTAAAAATATGTTTCTTTTTCACCTTAAAAAAAAGGTAGAATCTCAAAGCGAACAACATCGTACTAACAGAACTATTCGATAAACAAGGGAAACCTGACAACTTCAATCCTACCGTCACCAAACTGGCTCATAAGGTGCTTTCGCTGCTACTGATTCACTGAAACTCCTACCTCCGAAAGAGGCTCCAACAAGATTCACGACTTGAAATACTAGCTAAAGCTGAGTCTCCCAATGAACCCCGACCGAATTATCACACTCAAAATGTTTTTTTTTTCCTCCAGTAACATCCATTCTACCTAGCTAAGTTCAGCGGAGGTTTGAATGCCCAACAAACAAGCTAAGAATCCTATGCAGAATGAGAGCAGGGGAGGCCTCAATGGCGACAAGAGGAAGCACTCACCGATTACTCCAGGGAAAATGAACAAGTTCAGTGGAGGAATGAACGAAGTATCAAGAACCCTAAACCCGAATGAAGAAAGACAATTTTTTTTTTTCAAGGGACAATGCACCACAGAAACAAGAAGACACTGAGAACTGGAGATGAAGATTGAGCTTACCCGAGAGGGAGGATTGACTAGAGAGCTTCTCTATTGGCTTCAAAGGAACTTCACCGCAACAGAACGATCGGATTTAACTGTTAAGAGAAGGAACCGAAAGAGGAGGAAGAAGAAGAAGAAGCGCCAAAACCGAGCGAAATGACGAATGGAGAGCCCCAGTCAATGGGAGAGGCAGGAATAATCTGATTCTGAGGACCTCTTTTGCTATACTTAAAAGTTAAGAGGATGTATCGGTAAGACTTTGAAAAGAGTAGGATGTAATCTGAATTTATTTTTCTGACTCTGAATTTATTTTTGTTGCAGCAAAATTGGAAATTTCAATGTCAATCGTTTTTTCTGAATTCTGTTAAGGCTTCTTCTTCTTCATCGCCCATTCCATTCCAGTCAACACGGGGAGGGCTAAACCGAGCCAGCCAGCAAGCCAGCCAGCAAGCCCAAAGCTTTCCTCCAACCCTCCTCTCCTCTCTCTTTCTCTCTCCCGGGGGACGAAGAAGAAGAAGGAGCCCTAATTTCTGTTTCCCCCAAATCCCTCGGCAATTCCACCTTCCTTGTCGTTCGATAACTCCAACCAATTCAATCCCAGATCGAGGAGGGGGAAGGAGGAAACAATGTCGTCGGAGATCGAAGTGGTGGAGGAGGAGGTTGTTCATTCCGGGGATCACGGGGGAAGCAACGGGATTGCTGCTTCTGCCAACGGCGGCGAGGATGCTGTCGGCGACGAGAGCCTCAGGAACGACGTTTACACCGCGGCCGCGTATGGAGATTTGGAGAAGCTCCAGAGATTGGTGGAGAGTGAGGGTTGCTCCGTCTCCGAGCCCGACGGGCTTGGATACTATGCGCTGCAGTGGGCTGCTTTGAATAATCGGACTGCTGCTGCTCAGTACATAATCGAGGTTGGGAGGATTGGATTTCCTTTTTTATTTGATGGAGTCTTTTGTTTCCTTTCCGCTTCATTTTGATGTTTCGGGTCTGTCTAGAGAGTGGTCAATCTAGTTTCGATTGGTGTGTTGTAGCCCTTTAGGAATGGCAGAGTTGAGAGAAGAAATTGGATGGATAGAGCTTTTTTGTGCTTATCCTTTGCATTCTGGAATTAGAAAGTAGGTGGTGTTGGTTGTCTTCTGCTAAGGTGTAGGACACTGATCATTTTTTTTGGACTTGAAGAAGTTAGCTCAATTCATAGATTATACGTGTCCTGAGTAGTATGAATCATTTGATTGCCAGCATGGAGGAGATGTAAATGCAGCAGATCACACGGGTCAGACAGCACTACATTGGAGTGCAGTTCGAGGTGCAATCCAAGTTGCCGAACTTTTACTTCAAGAGGGTGCTCGGGTGAATGCAGCTGACATGTACGGTTATCAGGTTAGTGTTTATTCCAGTATTATATTAGGTGGTAATTATTCTTTGATTAAGATATCTTGTAATACAGATAAAAAAAAAAGATATCTTGTAATGTTTCTGAAAGATAACTGAAGCAGAAAACACGTTTCCATTGGTATAGTCTAACTAAGATAAGACCAGTGGTAGTATGATTTTGTTCATGTTGTTATATGGCTTTGTGTCTTGAAGATGACGACTAGTGGAAATTTTACTTGCTTTCAGACTACACATGTTGCAGCTCAGTATGGTCAGACAGCTTTCTTGTATCATGTCGTCTCAAAATGGAATGCAGACCCTGATCTTCCAGATAATGATGGAAGAAGCCCCTTGCACTGGTAAGGCTATACAGATTCATCCCCTGGTCATATTTGGAGAAGGCTATAAAATATCCAAGCTCTATAAATTGATTTGTTACTTGTTCTCAAATATTACTGCATCCTTGCTCCAAATTAGTTAATGAATTCCAGAACCCGGTACAAGCTTCTAGATGGAATCTCGATTTGTATTCAGGGCACGAACTTAGGCTAGTTACAGCAGCCAATCTAGGTTTATTTCTTATTTTCCTTAGTGAACTGAACCCATGGATTTGCCCCATTTTTACAAAGTCTTTTTCATTACTCATTTTTTGACGTTCTACTTCATCTGGGACCTGCTTGATTAAGATCTTTTTGTGATATTAATTTTGGGTTATTTTGACAATGATCTATTTTGGTTCATGAATTGAGTAGTTACTGAACCACCACAATGTGTTTACTTTTATTGGCAACATACAGGGCTGCTTATAAGGGTTTTGCCGATTGTATACGCCTGTTGTTATTTCTGGATGCATATAGGGGACGGCAAGATAAAGAGGGTAATGTAGCAATTTATTACTGCCCACTTGCTTTTATATGTTACTCGAGTCATCTTAATGAAGCAACTAGACTAAAATCCTGATATTTTATCACATCAGGTTGCACACCCCTTCACTGGGCTGCAATTAGGGGTAACTTGGAGGCATGCACAGTGTTGGTACAAGCTGGCAAGAAGGAGGACTTGGTAATCACAGATAACACGGGGCTGACTCCAGCTCAACTTGCTTCTGATAAGAACCACAGACAAGTTGCATTTTTCCTTGTAGGTGTTCCTTCTACTACTTCACCTCCATTATTTGGTTACTGGTGTTAACTGGGTGACATATATCCCCATTTCTCTTTACATTTTAGATTTTTGTGTAAGATGTTACTAAACTTTTCTTAATAGGCTGCTGTGGTTATGTTCTACTTCTACTTTCACTTCATCTCCATTTGGATGTTTCTTAAGAAATTCTGAAAAGAAGCATTAAAATATGTTCCCGCCAGTTTTATATCTAAATGACCTGGTTCTGCAGGGCAACGCTAGAAGGCTTCTTGATAAACGTTGTGATGGCGCCACCCACTTGGGACGTCTGTCGAAGTTGGGCCTTGCTCCAGTTCTTTGGTGTATAATAATTATTCTTCTGATCATCTATATCCATTCTGTCATCATGGGTATTCTCCATAACCTCTTTGTCCGAGTTGTTGTACTCCTTTGAGGATTTCCAGTTAGCACACTGTATTTGATGGTTTCTTTTTATAATTTCAGCTCCAAATCTGCCCAGGGTAACACCTGGCTTTGGCCTATTTGCATGGCTTGGGGTATTTCTTGCAACCAGTGGGCTTGTGACGTTTTACAGGTGTAGCAGGTAGGTTTCAGAAGTTCTCGTGAAACATACTCATGTGTATGTCATCCAATTATCCATTGTGGTTCTTGATGTTTCCAATGCTTATAAACTAGACAAAGGATAAGGCGTAGAAGCCAAATCAGTAGCTCAAATGATGAATGAGCAAGGAATCAAATCCTTAAGACATGGATATTTTATACCTAGAAACGAACTTACAAAATTGATTTCTTTAGTTGGCTAGATAACTACATCACCTTGCATTTGATTGTGTAAGCTGTTGTGTCTATTCTCTTCTCGTTCTTGATTGCAGGAAGGATCCTGGATACGTAAGAATGAATGTGCATGATCCACAAAATATGAAAGATGATGTAAGTTCCATCATTTGTAGATTCAGCATGTCTAGTACTTTCATCCGCTGCCATTGCTTAAACAGTCATCTCCCCCACCTATAGAAAGTGAGTGGGAGGAATAGCAAGCAGAAGTCAGATGGAACTTTTATCTGTCCATAGAAGTTTGACTTCAACGGATTCCTTAATTTGGGTCCTGTATAGAATCTTTGGCAGCTTTACCTTTCTCAGAGTACCAGCATTGTTCGTTTGCTGACTACTGACCTCATGATATCTGCATAATTCTTTCTACTAGGAACCTCTTTTGAAGATAGAGATAAACAATCCTGCTTTGCTTTCTGGGAATTGGTCTCAGCTTTGCGCAACGTGCAAGGTAGAGTTATCACACGACTTGTAATTCATATGATAGAAATATGCCTTATGGTTGAGGCTTAACATTTCGTAATTTTCTCGTCTCCAATCTCATCTTATATACCAGATTGTAAGACCTCTTCGTGCAAAGCACTGTTCCACATGTGATCGTTGCGTCGAACAATTTGACCACCATTGCCCGTGGGTATCAAATTGCATAGGCAAGGTGTGTGACCAACTGACCATCATTGCTTCATATATTCTATTAAATATATATGGATACATCAAGTTCATTTATCCTGCTGCAGAAAAACAAGTGGGATTTCTTCTTGTTTCTTGTTTTGGAAGTCTCCGCAATGCTGATAACTGGTGGCGTGGCTCTCACTAGTATGCAACTTATTCCCCTTCCAAGATTATAACTTTCGAGGCACCCTGTTTTGCCCTGTTCGTTTTCTTCCATTTATGGTGGATCTTCTGCACCGCCTTTCAGGGATTGTTACCGATCAAATGGCTCCTTCAACATTCGGAGGCTGGTTAAACTATGCAGGCACTCATCACACTGGCGCCATATCTTTCCTGATGGTCGACTTCTTCCTCTTCTTCGGTGTAGCTGTTCTAACCGTCGTCCAAGCCTCTCAGGTAAGTTCCCGCTTCTCTTAGCTCTCATGCCATTCTTGGTCTGTGTACGGGTAAGCAATAGCTCGCTGTATCTCTCATGATATCCTTCTCCACCACAGATATCCCGCAACATAACAACCAACGAGATGGCAAACGCAATGCGGTACAGCTACCTGAGAGGCCCCAGCGGCCGGTTCAGGAACCCATACGACCACGGATGCAGAAAGAACTGCCTGGATTTCTTGGTCTCGGGTTACAACACCGACGTGGAGTTCATCGAGGACTCGTCCCAAGACGGGATCGGAATGATGCACATGTCTCGACACAACACGACGACCACCCTCCAGAACGGCGACACCCCCCAGATCCCACACCACGCCGCCAATGGCAGCAGCAGCGGGCACATTGCGATCAACGTGAACAACCGGGAGAGCAAACCCCTCCACCAACAACACCACCACCACCAAGGTGGTGGTCAGCACCACGTTCACTCTTCCAACTGCAGCCATAGTAGTAGTAGCAGCAGCAGCAGTCAGGGGAAATCCAAGTCGGAGAAAGTGCCATTGGGTTTAGGTCTAGGTCTCGGTCTCGGTCGGAACGGTAGCCGTAGCGTGGCAGGCCCCTGATGACTAATCACTACATACAGATTGCATCCATTTTGTCTTGGTTGTTTTTTTGATTACTCTAGATTCCCCTGTTGGTTGTCTTTGTACCATAGTGAAAGGAGAGAAAAAGGAGAGAACCCTTCTGGTGTTTCACCTGCTGTCTAATTCAATTGGTTGTTGCTGCTCGTTTTGCTCGGCCTCCATACATTCATTTACTTGTACAGAGAGCTCTACTTTTAGATACAACTTCATCTCTAAGCATTGGCTTTGGAATGATCCACGTTTCCTGAAACCTGATAGATGCTGCGAGGACCAGTGCCCTGTTGTATCAGCCATTTTCTTAGGCAAAGGGTATTAAATTTCTAGGGCAAAGGTCCATCTGCAGTAGGACAACAGGGTATTAATTATGCTTGGAAGAGTGACAGCTACTGCTGATCTATGTGCATTCAGATTTCAGCCATTCACCATACCTACCACCGAGCAAGCAAGCAAACAAGCCTGTTCTGCTGCAAGTTGGTTGGGAATTGGTGCCTTCAGTTCAGGACATAAATAAATGAAACGAGTGAGTGAGTGAATGAATCGAATTCACTTCACACACGGTATAATTGCCAACTACCACCTCCTATCAGTTCGGGGAAAACGAGATCCTAACCGAAGATCCTATCTTTAAATTTTATTAATCAGAATTAGTGGCTAGTTGTCAAATCGGTTTAAATTATTGAGCGAATGAAGCAAGTAGTTTGAGATTTAATAGTTTGATTGAGATTCAATCTGTTTTGAGTCGTTATATATATATATATATATATTTATACAAAAAATTAATAAGTTAAAAATTTAATAACTAAAACGAAAATTGGATTATATGTATCATTTTGACCTGCTACCGACTAAAACTCAAACTGACTTGTTGGAGACAGTTTTCATGGTCGGTACAGATGTAATCTGGTTCAACCGGCCGGTCTAGCAGTGGTTTGACAACCTTTGTATGCTCGAAGGATGATTGATAAGATTCGCCGGCTTTCCTACTAGGAAACACTTATGATACTTGAGCTCATACCTCATCGAGCATGTTTTTCCTCGATTAATCAAATCGGACACATTATAAACATATTTGTTTGCCCATTTCTCGACTATGATCTATTCAACTATCGAATGAGCTGCCTAGCTTTTTTTTTATGTGGATGAAATCTTTCTCATTAAAAAAAATATACTCCTCTTACGAATAATTATTGATAATACTAATACAAACATAGTAATGATTAACCATTGAAAAGTATGGGTTTGATTCACCGATGTGGGCCAAATGGACGAATTACGATCAGTGGTTTGGTTTGAATTGAAGACACCCTCTCTCTATCTTTCTCCTCTCTGGGTTTTTGTTTTTTAATGCACTGGTTGTCTGTGCGTGAATATGGTGGACAAGGCGCCAGCCAGCCCACATAAGATGAGGTAGACGAGCTTCAGAGGGCAGCAGCAAAAGCTGAAACTTACAAAAGGAAGGAGGCGAGAGGGAGAGGAAGAAGGAGGAGGAGGAGAAAATGGGTGTTTCTACTGCTGGTAGTAGTAGTAGTTCATCATCATCATGGCTGTCTTCTTTGACCTGCGACCCCGGCGGCTCGATTCAGGTTGACCATTCATCATCGTCCTCCTCCTCGCCGCTCCAATGGCTGAGATTCATCTTGCTCTCCCCATGCCCGCAGCGGCTCATGCTGTCATCCCTCGACACACTGTTCATCCTCCTCCTCTGCATCTTCGCCCTGTACAAGCTTTTCACCACTCTGTTTTCCGCCCGCCGCCGACGACAGCACGTCAATGGCGACTTCTCCGATTCCACCGTCGACAAGCCCCTCTTGCAATCCAGTGGTCCGGACGTGGTCACCACCGACGTTTGGTTCAAGGTCGCGCTCGCCGCCACCGCCGTCTCCGCCGCTTGCTCCGTCGTCCCCTGCATTCTCGCCTTCACCGGCGGCGGGACAGAGGCAGAGTCCTCGCCGCCGGGGTACTGGAAGCTGCTCAACGGGGTTTGCTGGTTGATTCAGGCCGTGACGCATCTGATCGTCGCGGTTCTGATCATCCACGAGAGAAGATTCCGAGCGATTCGGCACCCTCTCTCCCTCCGAATCTACTGGGTCCTCAACTTCGCCGTCGCTGCTCTGTTTGCGTCGTCGGGGATTTTCCGATTGGTCGCCGGCGGCGACGATAGTTCCAACTTAATTGCAGACGACGTCGTTTCAATAATCGCTTTTTTCGTCTCTATTCCTCTCCTCGCCGTCGCCGTAAGAGGGTTTACTGGAGTTGGGGTTTCATCAGGAATCAAATTAGCAGATCCTCTTTTGGAAGATGAGGAAGGAGAAGAGGGGAAATTGCCAGCTAGCGCTTTTGCTTCAGCTTCCATTATCTCGAAGGCGTTTTGGTTTTGGATGAACCCACTTTTGGGGAAAGGCTACAAAACCCCATTGAAGCTCGAAGACGTCCCCAGCCTCGCCCCTAGCGACAGAGCCGCCGCCATCTCCCGCCTCTGGGACGCCTCCTGGCCGGAAGAGAAATGTCAGAACCCAGTTCGCACAACCATCCTCCGCATGTTCTGGAGGGAAATAGCCTTCACGGCCTTCCTCGCCATAGTCCGATTGTGCGTCACATACGTCGGCCCCGTTCTGATTCAGGATTTCGTCGACTACACGAGCGGGAAGCGAACTTCGCCGTACGAAGGCTATTACCTCATCCTCACCCTTCTGGCGGCCAAATTCCTTGAGGTATTAACCACCCATCAGTTCAATTTCAACACCCAGAAGCTCGGGATGCGGATTCGCTCCTCCCTGATTACAGCGCTCTACAGAAAGGGGCTGCGGCTGTCGTGCTCGGCTCGTCAAGCTCATGGCGTCGGGCAGATTGTGAATTACATGGCGGTGGATGCTCAGCAGCTCTCTGACATGATGCTGCAGCTCCACGCCATTTGGTTGATGCCCTTTCAAGTTGGGGCGGCGTTGATTCTTCTATACGGAGCTTTGGGGGCTTCCACTCTCACTGCTCTGGTTGGGATTGTGGCGGTGCTCTTGTTTGTGTTCTTTGGCACCAAGAGGAACAATAGGTTCCAGTTCAACCTGATGCAGAACCGGGATTCAAGGATGAAGGCCACGAACGAGATGTTGAATTACATGAGGGTGATCAAGTTTCAAGCTTGGGAGGAGCACTTCCAGAAGAGGATCCAAGGGTTCAGGGATTCGGAGTACTCGTGGCTGTCCAAGTTCTTGTACTCCATTGCTGGGAACCTGCTTGTGATGTGGTGCACGCCTCTGCTGATTTCTACTGTTACTTTCGGTACCGCGATCTTGCTGGGTGTGCCGCTGAGTGCTGGCACGGTTTTCACCACGACTTCGATATTCAAGATTCTTCAGGAACCCATCAGGACTTTCCCACAGTCGATGATCTCGATCTCGCAGGCGATGATATCGCTCGGGAGGTTGGATAAGTACATGCTGAGCAAAGAGCTGGTGGAGGAGAGTGTGGAGAGGGCAGAAGGGTGTGATGGTAGGGTGGCTGTGGAGATTCAGGAAGGTGTGTTCAGTTGGGACGATGAAGCTGAGGAGCCGATTCTGAAAGAAATTAATGTGAAGATCCAGAAAGGTGAGCTTACAGCAATTGTTGGAACTGTTGGGTCAGGCAAGTCCTCTCTGCTTGGCGCTGTTCTTGGTGAGATGCACAAGATTGCTGGCAAGGTATGATATTCCCGAAAATGCAGGCAACCCACCATTGAAGAAGTTGTTTTTCTCTTTTAAAGTATAAAAAACTTCATCTTTCTGGTGATTTCTTGTTGAATAGGTGAGCGTGTGTGGATCAACTGCGTATGTGGCTCAAACTTCATGGATTCAGAATGGGACCATCGAAGAGAACATTCTGTTCGGTCTGCCCATGGACAGGAGCAAGTACAATGAGGTAGTGAGGGTGTGTTGCTTGGAGAAGGACTTGGAAATGATGGAGTTTGGTGATCAGACCGAGATTGGCGAGAGAGGGATTAACCTTAGTGGTGGACAGAAGCAGCGGATCCAGCTTGCCAGGGCGGTTTATCAGGATTGTGACATCTATCTGCTTGATGATGTTTTCAGTGCCGTGGATGCTCATACTGGCACTGACATATTTAAGGTAACAATCACACAAATGTCAGGAAAGAAAGTGGGAAAAGGGCTCCGAGATTCCTTGTTAATCAAACAACTCTTCTGAAATTGTGCAGGAATGCGTGCGAGGAGCATTGAAAGGCAAAACCATCTTGCTTGTGACCCACCAAGTAGATTTCTTGCACAATGTTGATCTTATAATGGTGAGCTGGGGAGCAATACTTTTTTACATTTGCAGCTGGTGGTGCTTTGTGTTCTAGGTTTGATTTCTTGTCTGTCTGTTTCTGAATAATGTTGGTGATGATATGGAATCTCATTCTCAGGTGATGAGAGATGGGAAGATTGTGCAATCCGGGAAGTACGATGAGATGCTGGGATTAGGGACGGATTTCGAGTCACTGGTAGCTGCTCACGACACTGCTATGGAACTCGTGGAAGCTGGCCATAATAACTCAAATGGTGGTGAAGAAAATGGCCCCAAATCGCCAGGAGGAGCTCCTTTCAGCCCTGGAAGAGAAGCTGCAAACGGCAGTAGTGACAACAAGGTCTCGCCATCAGAACAACAACCTAAATCAGAGCAAGGAACTTCCAAGCTGATTGAAGAAGAGGCTCGAGAGACGGGCAAGGTTGGGGTGAATGTTTACAAGCAGTACATCACAGAGGCATTTGGGTGGTGGGGTGTTGTAGCTGCGGTGGCCCTATCCTTAATCTGGCAAGGGTCTCAAATGGCCGGAGATTACTGGTTGGCCTACGAGACTTCCTCCGACAGAGCTACAGCATTCAACCCGACCATATTCATTTCCGTGTATTCAATCATCGCAGTTATATCAGTGGTTCTGTTGGCATTCAGATCATACTTTGTCACTCTGATGGGACTCAAGACCTCCCAAATTTTCTTCAATGGTATCCTGAACAGCATTTTGAGGTCTCCAATGTCCTTCTTTGATACCACGCCATCTGGAAGAATTCTGAGCCGGGTAAGAACTGATCTTCTTCAGTTGAACAATAATATACCTTCCCTTTCAGTAGACTGAGCTTGTTTCAAACAATTGTTAATTTTGTGCAGGCTTCAACTGATCAATCAAACATCGATCTCTTCCTTCCATTCATTTTGTCACTCACACTGGCCATGTACATCACAGTGCTCAGCATCTTAATTGTGATTTGCCAAAACGCTTGGCCAACTGTGTTCTTGTTGATTCCTCTTGGTTGGCTCAATATCTGGTTCAGGGTAATTGATTCACTCCATTCATTCACCACCCCTTTTTTTTCCTACTGACAGTTTTTTGCCTAGCTAACTAGTTCATATTTTCCTGCTGAAAGGGCTACTTTTTGGCAACATCCCGAGAACTGACACGACTTGACTCGATCACAAAAGCCCCAGTAATCCATCATTTCTCAGAAAGCATAGCCGGGGTAATGACAATCCGGTCTTTCAGAAAAGGAAGCAGGTTTTGCCAGGAGAATGTCAGGAAAGTGGATTCCAACTTGAGGATGGACTTCCACAACAACGGTTCCAATGAGTGGTTGGGACTCCGGCTGGAGCTTATCGGCAGCGTCATCCTCTGCTCTTCAGCCATCCTCTTGATCGTCTTGCCTAGCAGCATCGTTAATCCAGGTAAACCCACAAAGAAGGTGGAAATGCAAACAATGTTACTTCACCTCCTTGCTTACTGGTGCAGACACATAACATGATTGTTCTTATTGTGCAGCCAACGTTGGATTGACGCTGTCATACGGGCTGTCCCTGAACTCGGTGCTGTTCTATGCGATATACATGAGCTGCTTCGTGGAGAACAGGATGGTTTCGGTGGAGAGGGTGAAGCAGTTCACCAACATCCAGTCGGAGGCAGCTTGGAGGATCAAAGACCGCCAGGCTCCTCCCAACTGGCCTACTGAAGGGCGAGTTGACCTTCGCGAGTTGCAGGTCAGGTACCGCCCCAACACTCCCTTGGTGCTCAAAGGGATCACACTCAGCATTAAGGGCGGGGAGAAGGTTGGGATTGTAGGGCGGACTGGGAGCGGGAAATCCACTCTGGTCCAAGTGTTCTTCAGGCTGGTGGAGCCAACTGCCGGGAGGATCATCATCGACGGGATAGACATCTCCATGCTCGGTCTCCATGATCTCCGGTCCAGGTTCGGGATCATCCCTCAGGAACCTGTTCTCTTTGAAGGCACCGTCAGGAGCAATGTGGACCCTATCGGAGACTACTCCGATGAGGAGATTTGGAAGGTCAGGGCTTGCTTTGCTTTTTGCAAGCAAGAAAGAAAGCTTGCTTCTGTGTTCTGATATGGTTATGCTGCTCGTTATTTTCTTCTTCCTGCAGAGTCTGGAGCGCTGCCAACTGAAGGATGTAGTAGCTGCCAAGCCTGAAAAGCTGGACGCTCCTGGTGAGTTGGTGCATAGCTTGTAGAACATCACACAGTTTACTTACCATAACAATGATTGTTACTCATGGTTTCTGGTAATGCAGTGATCGACAGTGGCGAAAACTGGAGCGTGGGGCAGAGGCAGCTGCTCTGCCTGGGGCGGGTGCTGCTGAAGAAGAGCAGGCTTCTGTTCATGGACGAAGCCACGGCCTCCGTGGATTCCAAGACGGACGCCGTGATACAGAGGATCATAAGGGAGGATTTCGGGTCGTGCACTATAATCAGCATCGCTCACAGGATCCCAACCGTCATGGACTGCGACCGAGTCCTCGTCGTGGATGCTGGTAAGCTCCCTTGCTCTTGTTCCAAATTTCAAGCTAACTAATGATGTATCCGTCTGTGTTCCTAAACTGCATTTCTTTCTTGAACATAAACAGGACTGGCCAAGGAATTCGATACGCCATCGAACCTGCTGGAGCGGCCGTCGTTGTTTGCTGCATTGGTGCAGGAATACGCTAATCGATCGGCTGGATTATAATCATCATCATCATCCTCGTCGTCATGCTTACTCGTAACACGAAATGCCTGCATCTATGCACTGTAGTCCTTCCTTTTTGCCTGTTGTAGTCTTAAGTTGGAGGAGCTTGAAAGAGGATAATGGCTGCAATTTTTACCAAGTTCAAATCTGTCAGGAAAATGGTTCTGTATTATTCTTCATAATTGTAGTTGTAATAATAGTCTCCGGACTCTGCCCCAAATGTAGCCAAGGGTTTCTGCAAAGGTTTTAGGCCGCTACTATTCCAGTTGTGTTCTAGTTTGCCATCCTAGAATAGTCTGTCTGTGGAAAGAAAAAGAAATGGAAACCAACAAAGGACGAGTCTTTTTCCATGGGTTAGCTCTGTTATTTTCTTGTTGTATTTCCTCTGTCGCTGTCTGTAGTGGAGTTTGATTAAGAAAAAATCTTTGCAGAAACAGAGTCGTTTTTTGGTGTCGAGTAGCAGCTGATTGAGTCAACCTTGTTCCATTGTTGGGAAGGAGACAAAGAGGAGAGAGAGAGAGAGAGGCAGAAGACGAAATCGTTTTTGTGTTGTCTTCCTTGTTTGTCAAACAAATGGGACTGACTCCAACCAAGAAGAAAATACAGATGAAAATGATGGCTCCTTCTACTAGAACGATAGAATAAATCGTGTTGTCAATTGGTTTATGAAAATGGAGATACTAATTTTAGCGATATAGCCTAAGAAAAGGATGGCAACGAGTTGGATAGGGATAGACGGTATATATTCTTTTAAGTATCAACATGTTCTAATTACTTTGAATGTATTCACATATAAGATTGGATAGTCAGTTAGACTTATATTCACGATTTTTGGTTGGGTGGGTATATTGGCATAGTAATTTCCTTCTTATATTTCATTGAATGTACTATTATATGTAAATATTTACATTATATAATTGAAAAAATTACACAGGAAGTATGGATGAGCAATGTGCGATTGGGTGGATTTTGGTATTGTTGGTCCACGCAGTTGAGCAGTCATGGGCCTCGGGGTCCAAGAGGCGAGTGACAGCGGACAGGGCCACATAGAGTATCCGCCCCGGTCGCGGAGACTGGAACGACAGGCGGTCATCGGACGAGATACGTACCTCGGACTGGTACGTATCTCAACGGATTTTTGCTTACCCAGTCCGAGGTACGTATCCACCCAGGACTGGGTAAGACTGTTGAGATACATATCTTTGCTTACCCAGTCTGAGGTACGTATCCACCCACGACTGACCATGACAGAAAGCAAAGATCCGTTGAGATACGTACCTCGGGCTGGGTAAGACTGAGCATTTATTGCTCGCGTAGGCGGTCCACTTTAGGATCAGGCCTGTCAGGGACGCCTGACGTGACATTAAATGACTCAACCACCACCATATCAGGTATAAATGCACCACGATAGCATTGATGATAAACTCAACTACTCTCTCTCTCTCTCTCTAGAACAAACACATTATCACACACTTCTCTGTCTAACTTAAGCATCGGAGAGTGTCCTGGACAACCGCCCGAGGACCCTTGCCTTGCAGGTATCTGGAGTGCACCCTCCTTCAAGAACAGACGTGTCGCCCCTGCCCTGCAAACCGTCTAGTATTTACTAGGCACAAACAGGTATTAAATTGACTCATCTACTTATTAGTGAGTTTATATACTTGTGATCCGCTATCAACTCACATTCTTCTTCGGATTAGGTTGGGGGAGTGATGACTGATGAACGAGTGTGGCTGGATTCTGGATAGACTAGCAACATCAATTCTCCAACTACCCATTAAGAAAATTTACTACTATCTATAATAAGTTACTCGCAAATTAGTAAGATTGTACAAATTAGACACTATCCACTTTGTTGTATATGCATCTAGTATTCTATTCTATCAAATTTTCCAGTACTCCACCAATCTATAGGGTAGAGAAAACTAAAACATTTTGCAACTTCGATACAATTAATACTATCCTAATATCTAACGAACATTACACAATAGTGTAACCAATGATATATAGTAGTCGAGAAAAAATTCTTTATTCTTCACCTTTAGAGTGATAATCAGTGTGTAGTGCAATTATGATGATTTATGACAACTATTTAATTGTATAAACAAGAAATAATTTTTTTTTTCAAGTGATAATAAGGTGCGGGTCATTTGGGGGATCCGTAATCCACCCCATACCCATCTGAGTAAGTGTCGGTAAGAGATTTGTCAATCAACAATCTACTCACATCAATCACCCACCCATTACGCTTTGAGTTAATAATATTTTATTTCTTTTTAACGGCAGACTAACCGAATTTTAAAGGGATGTACAATTCAATGACATTGATGATACCCGAACTTATTCTAACTTAAATGGTATAGCTCTCCCAATTTTACTTTAAGGTATTTTACCTGAAGATTATGTATTTCCTATGTTGGGCTAACTCTCCATTAGACAATGAAACCCGGTCTCGTGGGCTGAGTACCGCAGCCTAAAGCCATGGACATTATGTTGCTGGGTTAATAGAATGAAGAGGTGGGGGGATGGATCGAAGCCCATTTCTATGTAAATTAACGAAGGCCTGAAAGCCCATTTATCGAGATCAAACAAGAAAAGGAGGCCCAAGGATTGGGCTACTGGATCAAAAGGTGGAGTGCCGTAGCTCCTAGTCTGTTTAATTCAATAATAAAATGTGATAACGTTTGTCGAGTGAAATTGACATGTATAATTAAACAAATGAAACATGTATTTATGGGTTGATATAACTAGACAAAAATGGATTGAGATCCGTAATGACGTGAGTAATACACAAGCAACAAGGCTGCTCCCTTGTTAAGGACACCAAGTGAAAGAATCGAGGTTCTCGGGAAAAAATTCGAATTATTTTAATTTTAAATAGAGTCAATAGAGAGTCTCAACATGAGTTTGTTTCTATATTTTCATAATCCGACTACCGTGTTACATTTATTATGATTAGAACATCTGAATATGAATCATGGCTATTAAAAATGGGCTGCAAAAAAAAAGCATTTGAATGAGTTAAATTACAAACGAGAAGTCCATGTGCGCATGTATTTGAGTTCGTCTTAATACAATCAAATACTATCGCAGACTATCATAAATTTCAAACATACGCTTATTTTAACGACAATAAATTGGCTAAAGATGTCAAATATTCCACTAAAAACTACTCTACATACAAACACCGAGTGACACAAAATATGGACTTTTCAACTAATAGACACATAAGAACTGCAATAATCCAATCAAAATGAGGAAGAGGTTTTCGATCTAGACCATCTCGATGATTTTTTTTTTCCGCGATACATACATCTCTTTGCCATAAAAATTTCCGAACTCCGAATTTCAAGATCATTCTCTGTATTGTGCCCAACATACTCTAATCCATCTACGTTTTTTTTTCAAATGCTTCAACGACAACTTGATTATAGCTAATTCACCCTTAGCTCTCTACCTACCAAAGGTGACGGTGTTGATAATAATCATGATTAACATTGAAAATCCTTTCCCCTCTCCCATTAATCCCTTTGGATTAATTAATAAATCGAAAATATCTAGAAGCGGCCGGCTAAATAAAAGCGGGAGCGGGAAGGATTAAAAGGATGGGTCCCGCTTTTCTACCCGCCAGCGGGTCCCACCATTTTCCGCTCTTATCCGATCAAAGGCTCCCACCCTGGCTCCCATCCTGCCACGTGTCTTCCATCGGACGGCTCTCCTACTTCCACCTCTTCTCCATCCTCACAACAAAAGCCCAGCTCTTCCGCCTCTTTGCCCTGCCTCGTCTCCGCCATTTGCTTTCTCTCTCACTCACTTTCTCCTGAGTTCTGATTCCCTGCGACGATCGTATCGTATCTCTTCAAATTTGATCGGCGGTGCTCTTTTTCCCAGTTTTCATAGGTACTTCCGAGAGGATTCTGGGTTTTGTTTCGGTTTCTTGTTGTTAGTCGAGTGATATGGCTTTCTGAATTGTGATCGTTGTGGCTGCTGTTTGTTCTTATGCCGAATGATTGTTTGGAGCTTTCCCAAGTGTTTTCTTTAGCTTGGATTATGGTTTTGATCGAGTGGAGTCTCTGTGGAGATTGAGCCGCAGTTAGGATTTTCTTCTTCTTCCAGTGCAGAGACTTGTCTAGAAAAGAGGGGTTTCAGGTTTGGCATAAAAATTTGGCAGCTTTTTCGCTTTCTTCTATCTACTGGATTGGGGAGTTTCCGAGTTAGGCAAGCGGCAGTTGTTTGCTTTATTAACTTTCCTGATCAGTAATCACGCTTCCTGTTTTGCGGTGTGAAGTGGGTTTTGCATTTGCGTAGGAAAGATCGCAACTTTTTGTTGTTTCTTTGAAGCTAATGCTCTACGAGTTACCTTAATCCACCATCGTGTTTCTTGCCAGCTGGTATATTTGCAACTAAGTGTTAAGTTTCCTTTGCGGTATCCCAAAAGAAACATGGGTTGCGTTTGACTAGGACAGTTACTGTGTGTCTTATTCAGGGCTCTGTTTCATATACAGGAGCTTCAGTTATGATGTTTCTAATCCTTTCTTCCTTTATTCCATTCTGCAGTGACTTTGTTCATCAAATGTCGGAATGACATTACTTGTATAGCTCTTTGAGCAGATGTGTAAGTCGACCAGAGCCAAAATTTAGCAAACATGGGTGGGATTTGTTCAAGGAAGAGAGACCAAGAGGTCCTCGGGGATGGTATTGCCAGCAGACTTTCCGGAAGGTATGGTAAAAGCGGGAGTTCAAAATGGCTTCGCAACTCATTTGGTCATGTTGCCGTTGCTGACTGCCAAGCAGGAGGCAATCGCCCCTCTTTGATGGAACTATGCATACAGCAAATCTGCAAGGTTACTTCAGTTATGAACTCTCATTGTTTACAGATCTTGCCTTATTTCTTGTCAAAGAGTGTTGAACATCTTTTGTTCTCTTTATTCTAACAGGACATTGGAAGGTATAAGTCCTTTTCTGTACTTCCAAGGGATATAAGCCAGCAAATATTTGATGAGTTGGCGTTGACTCATAGTCTCAATGATGATTCTCTTGTAGCTTTTCTCGATTGTGCCCTGCAGGTAATCCCTTTGTAACATACTTTTTCAGAACTAACTTATTTGGCTTGTGTTAAGAATTTCTCTAATTGGTGTTGGTTATTATGTTATCAGGATGTTCATTTAGGTGACTGTCCAGGGGTCAAGGATAGTTGGATGGATGTTATATCTTCACAGGGATCATCTCTACTTTCATTGGACCTTTCCGATTCGGAAATCACAGATGCTGCTTTGGTTGGTCTAAAAGATTGTTCGAACCTCCAGGAAATGACTCTAAATTATTGTGAAAGTATTACCGAGCATGGGCTGAAACACATAAGGGGTAATGCTCTGACTAATTCATGAAGTAGTTGACACTCGAATGAGTGTCTCTTGCTAAGATAACCAATGGACTATATGCCTTTTTGGGTTGCTACTCATTTGATGCTGTTTTTCAGGCCTTAACAGCTTAACTTCTTTGAGTTTCAAAAGGAGTACTGCTATTACCGCTGAAGGGATGCAAGCCTTCTCTACTTTGGTTAATTTAGAGAAGTTGGACCTGGAAAGATGCTCCCAGATTCATGGTGGACTAATTCATCTGAAAGGTAAGTCTGTTAAAACGATGTAGATTCGGCTGAATGTCTTGAGCTGAGAAGGGTGTTTCTGGGGAAATTTGTTTCATTCACCACTTACACGGGCCAAGTGTTGGAACATGATTTTCTTCTCCGTGTATTCTGTTACAGGATTAACAAAACTGGAGTCTCTTAATATTAGGTGCTGTAAATGCATTACAGATCTGGACATGAAGGCTCTCACTGGTAAGTACTGGTTGGATTAATCGACTTCACTATTAAGAGAAAGCTGGATTAAGTACTGACCTATAACAAAATGTTAACTGTTCCATGTCATTGGGCTGTACATAAGATTGAATTGGTCTGGCCTTTGATATCTATTCTTAGCTGTTTCTTTTTTATTCTTTTTCTTTATCTCTCAGGTCTCACTAATCTGAAGGAACTGCAATTATCCAATTGTAACATCACGGATTTTGGGGTTTCCTTATTGAGAGGTATCCAATTGCTGGACATTAATTAACTTTTTTTTCATCTGTCATCCTAGAGAGCAGACACACTCTGCACTTCCCCCGTTTCGGCCACTTTGGCTTCTTGTGAAGCTCCATCTAATACTAGTTTGAGTGTGGTGTTGATGCCTTCCTAGTGTATTCCAGGTCTTTGCTATATTTTTTCTGTTACTGCACTTATAGATTGTGTGGATCGCTCTTTCCCAGTCTGAGTGCAACATCTAAAGATCCTTCAGTCAAGTCTGACAGGAGTTGTTTGATAATTCAATGATCATTCTATAGTAGTCTTGCATAGCTGATATCACCATTACTTTTCATGTGTGTCCCAGGTTTGGAGAAGATTGTCATACTGAACTTGGAAGGTTGTAATGTGACAACTGCATGTTTGGATTCACTTTCAGGTAAGCTTTCTTTTGATTATTTCATCTGCAATGTTCCTTACAGGTTACTGTATCGCCTAGTAGCTTCCGTTGCATGCAGAGAGAGGATTTCAAGTTGTAGATTGGTCATTTTGACTTTTCTTTGTCTGAGGGGAAAAAAGGTGATTCTATGTAGGAATAGTATTGATCGACCCTTTTCCTTTTGCAGCTCTTGTAAATCTTGCATACTTAAATTTAAGCAGATGTGGATTGTCAGATGAGGGATGTGATAAGTTTTCTGGTGAGTGAACTTACCTGTTTATTTATCAAGTCGTGTTGAACTGCTCATTTTAGCAGTCATTCAGCTTTCAACATGTAAGGTGATTGTGTGTTTGAGAAAACATGCAGAGCTGAAGAAGTTGAAGGTATTGAGTTTGGCATTCAACAACATTACAGATGCTGTTTTGGTCCATCTAAAAGGTTATTGCTCCCCTTCTTTCTCTTACAGAATGCAAGACTTTGGCCTCTGACATTCTGTGATGTCTTGTAAAATCCCACCAAATGCTGTTGTCTATTTGGTTCACCGTGAAATTAACTAGCCTGATACTGAAAGAGTTTGATCACTTTTTTCAGGCTTAAAGAACTTAGAGAGCTTGAACCTGGATTCTTGTAAGATTGGTGATGAAGGGCTCGCTAACTTGTCTGGTACTATTTTTTTATCCAAGTTTCTATTTATTTGTTTGTAAAATTGTCCTTGATATTAAGGCGTACTCCTTGTGTGTCTCCTCTCAGGACTTCCCCTCAAAAGTTTGGAGTTGTCTGATACTGAAGTTGGCAGCAGTGGTCTTCGTCATCTTTCAGGTAGGGCTCTCTATGCCATGCCACAAGTTCACCTTGGTACAAGGATTTGCAATCAAGTTTAGGGTTGAAAGTAAAGTTCACTTCCTGCTGAGTTGCACTCATCTTGTTACTATTTCTAGGTTTGACCCAACTGGAAAGCTTAAATCTGTCTTTCACCTTGGTCACCGATGGTGGTCTGCGGAGATTATCTGGGTTGACTTCTCTTAAATCACTCAACTTGGATGCTCGTCAGATTACAGATACTGGTCTTGCCGCTCTTACAAGTAAAGCATTTATCATCTACTTGCTTTAATATGCTTTTATTACACACCACTAGTGGGAAGAATTGTCAAAAAAGAAAAAAGAAAAAAAAACTAGTGGGAAGAATTACACTAGAACTATTGTAGCAATGTGAGACAAGGCAGCATGTTCTCAAGACGTCAAGCTGCATACAGTCTAATGTTCATGCCATTCTCAGTAGCTCCATTGTGCCTTCATTGATGCAGGTTTGACAGGTCTGACCCATCTGGACCTCTTTGGAGCTCGAATTTCAGATGCTGGAACAAAATATTTGCAACGTATGGATTCTTATTTACTAACCATTCTTTAACTTCTTTCACTTACAGTTCCCACATCATGCTATTGCTCCTGTTCAGTCATCCTTGGATGATATCATGAGCAAAATTAAGATTGTTTCTGCATAATGTTCTTTCTAGTTTCCTATGTTCTGAAGTGTTTTGCATTCATGCATGCAGACTTCAAGAATCTCCAATCCCTGGAAATATGTGGTGGTGGTATAACAGATGCTGGGGTTAAGAACATCAAAGATCTTTCTCGCCTAACCGTGTTGAACCTGTCACAGAACAGCAACCTTACAGACAAAACCTTAGAATTGATCTCTGGTACTTCTTCCTTCTTTAATCTCGCTCGCAATATCGTAATAACATAATTAAGGCGTCCTAAGTAACATCATTGTGGGTTCCCCATATGAAAATGCAGGGTTGGAGGGCTTAGTGTCGCTGAACATTTCAAATTCTCTGATAACCAACAAGGGTCTGAGGCATTTGAGGCCATTGAAGAATTTACACTCCCTAACCTTGGAGTCCTGTAAGGTGACTGCCTCCGAGATAAGGAAGCTACAGTTAACTGCACTCCCCAGTCTGGTGAGCTTTCGACCAGAGTAAAGAAGCGCTATGTGGACACACATATAGCGAAAGGGGAACTACTTGTAAATATAGCTTCATATGCTCTCAGCTGGTGGTATTATGCCATGTACAGTCTCTAAATAAGTATACCTACCGCCTCATCTGGCCGAAGGGAAGTTTGAAGGCTAGCAATAGGAAGCACGTCATGCAGAAAGAAAGCCATCAAAGTGTATGTAAATATATTGGGGGTTTTCTGCCTGCTTGAACCAATGAATGAAAGTTGTACATATATGTTTTTATCAAGTGGCACATGAAAACTTCTGCCCTAGTTTGTTGTGTTATGATAAGTAAGCTCCAGTTTGAAGAGTGTACCAGTGCTTATTATCCCTCTGTTGTAAACCTCTGATCGATTCAAATAGAAAAATGTTTCTGTCGAATCATTTTGTTCTGAAAATGCTAGTTTCTGTGATTATCATAGCATAGTCAGAACAGAGTCGAACAACATAGCATCAACCTGGATAAAGCAGAGCTCAAGAACATTCGTTCCTTCTTTCAAGCTAAGATTTTACAAGTTACCTTAATCCGCCATCATCATGTTTCTAGGCAGCTGGTATATTGGCAACTAAAATAACATGGGGCTGTATGCTTGCACTTTGACTATGACCTGTTCATGGCTTATGTTTTAGATACAGGAGCTTAATCAACTATGAAGCTTCTCGCCCTTTCCGAACTTTATTTTATTCTGCAGTGGCTTCGCTTTGTTCATCAAATGTGGGAATTACATTACTTGTATAGCTCTTTCAAAAGATGGTGAAATTCCTTCTTACACAGAAAAAGGGGTTCTACAGCTTCTTCTTAACCAGAAGGCAGGGAAAACAGAGATGCTGCCAGTTCAGGCCTATGAAACTATGGAGGTCACAATCAAATACAGATTACTTTCAGACTATTAAAAACAGCTTACGAAACAAGAGCAAGACTGCAATTATTAGCCGTTAGGTTATGCAAAACATCGTTTATCTGGATGACCGCCTAGAATGAATAACGAATTGAACATCATTGTTCCTGCTGCTGGTTAGACTAAAAGAGAAAACTGCGAGGCTTTGCAGAGTGAGGGATCTAAAACTGAAAACAGACTGCCAGCTTCCTTTCCTCATGCCGCGAGGTTGTATAAGAATTAGAGTCTACCTTCTAAGAAGTTGAAATCTGCACACAACCAAACCCCGTGTAACTGTAGTCATTTCTTCCCTTCCCCGTGTAAAAGAACCAAGTTCAAAGGTCTCATCACACACACCCTGCGTGGAGGAAATGGTTTTTAGACACTGCATAGAGATCGTGATGAAGAGGGAGAGTGAGAATGAGCAATACCTTAGTACAAAAGTAACTACTAGATCCTGTCAGAAGTTTTGAGAAGATGATCATGAAACCTCCAAGGCATGGTAGATCTTCGAAACTCTACGTCTTAGCAACGGCTCTAAACGGAATGAGTACACACGTCTCTGCCACTTCTTAGCTTCATCCATATCATTCCACGCCTGTACTATCTCATCACTCTTGAACCCCAATCCTGAAAGATCAAACAGAAAAGAATTGAGCAAAATATCAGAACGCCCGTTGCTTTCACATCAAGTAATTCATAACCAACTAGGTTACAGAACATACCATCCATTGAACTATCATTCGAAATGTGATTCTTCATCATCACGCCAATATCAGTAGCCGAAGCTCCAGCCAGCTGGAACTTCTCAAGTGCAACTTCCAAACACTCTTGCCAAACAGGGATCTCCAATCTGTACTCCATCATGGACCTCTCGTATAGAATGGTGCCACGTAGGAGATTCATCTGTGACCTAAGATCCTTAATCCGCACAGCAGCATCTTCTGGCGACGTGTCTTTGAACAGCTCACCCAAAACCGTACCCTGTAGCACAGGCTTGATCTTAGTTCTATCTGTAAGATCGGTAATCCGTTGTGATTGCGCAGCTTCCCACATCTCCATCCCTCTATCCACATTTCGCTCGGCACTATTATACAGTTCTATGACTTCGTCATAAGACCAATTTGACAAGTCAACTTTGCAGCTAAGAGTATAGTACCAAGTGAGCCTTGCCCTCTCAAATTGCTGCTGTCCTAAAGCCAGAAGACCTTCATAGAAGTCTGGTTTGATCCTCAACGCTGCCGCATACCTGTCCCCTGCGTCTAAGTACTCCTTCTTTGTCCATTCGAATGCCACATTGATTCTCTCAAGCATTGCCTCCCGAGAGGCATCATCTTTGAACTCTATCTTCTTCCTAGCTCTCGACATGTGAACATTCCCCCAGTTGAACAATGCTAAAGCAGCCATTTCCTGGAAATTCTCAGCTGCTGTGTTGAACAACCCCTGTGCTTCCTCAGTAGTCACAGTCTCCTCGATAGCCTCCGAATAGACCTTCATACCGAGGTCATTGATCCCCAAGTAGGAGTCGGTATCGAGTGCCACATGATCTTTAAACAACTTAGCAAACTCTACAATCCATTCATCGATGTAGCGCATTCCCTTCTTGATCTCTCTATCTCTCTCCATGTTCCATGTCTTGGTGTCAACTCTCTTCATTCGACCATGCTTGAGTCTTTCCTCAATCGGGTCTTGTAGAGGATTGATCTCAACAAGATACAGCCTGAATGAGCTGCCTTGTGGTGATGAACATGCTTCAGCTAACCGAAGCTCTTCATCGGTAGTTATGGTGATCAAGTCTCCTTCTTGATCCTTGTACTTGATGAGAACTGGACCTGAACCAGGAAACCGGTCACACACCACTTCTTTCAGCTCCAGAAGGCTACAATTCACAGGAACTTCAGCCATTCTTATATCCTCTCTCATCACCAATTTCATGCTCCTCTTAGGTCTATTATCTACCACAACCAAAGCTTCTTCATTCTCATCCTCAGACTTCTTCTCGTCACTTCTCCCGCTCTTCTTCTTCCTCGGTGTCCTCTCTTTAGGCGGTTTTGCACTCGGCTCAGCATAATCAGCAGGCAACTCGATCGACGTATCATTTACTCTGAGCCCTCTCTCCTCCAGTGATTTCTTCACCCTCTCCCAAACCTCAAACGCCATCACATTTGCAGGCTCCATCTTCAACACTGTCCCGACATCTCTCAAGGCCAAGTCGAGGCGATTCAATGCCTCATAACACCTCGCCCTCTTGAGCAATGCCTTGCCATACTTCGGGGTGACCTCCAGCGCCAGGTTGCACTCGTGTATCGCCCTAGGGTACTGGCTCAACCCCATCTGCATGTAGCAGGCAGCCATGTTGCTCCTGAGGTATGACACATCGATGTGGGTTTTCGGAAGGAGCTTGATGGCCTTCTCGTACTTCTGCAGAGCTCCATCGTGGTTTCTCTTCTGGAAGAGCTTGTTGCCTTCGTCCTTCAACGCTTGGGAGAGGGCAATGAAGGCTCCTTCATCTTTCTCTACGGTGGGGGACTTAGGGGTACTGATTACTCTTGCTTTCCCATTCTGTTGTTGCTGCTGCTGCTGCTGCTGCCTTCTCATTGCAATTAAGGTTATCCACAGTGCTAGAGACCAGAATCCCACACAAATGGATAGGTAGAACTTTATAGTATCCAGAACTTCGGAGCTTAGTAATACTACTACAGAAACATATCATGAATGGATTCAAGAAAACCCAGGTTCCTCGTACGGAACAAAACACCACACACAAATGAACCCGTTATAATCCCCCCCAAAAAAATTTCTGCACTCCCAAAATCTGAACTTTCTCCCTCAAATCTCTAAAGGGTTCCTTCCTCTCCAAACCAGGATTTGTTTGTTTTGCTTGTACGAATGAAACGAACAAATCCCAATTCGGAGAAACAGAGGAAATGAATGAATGCGCTTCTGGAATGGGGATTCAGAGATGGAATCAATCTACTGCAGATGATTGCGTGAACCAGAAGGAAAGGGGGGATCTTTGAGAAGATAACTTATCTGGGAAATGAATGAATTGGTGGGAGAAGTTCCTCGCTTGTGCTTGAATTTTCCTGGGAAAATAATTAAAAAAAAAAATCCTCTTTTCCTCTCGTTGCCAGCTAGAACAATGAAAAATGGGGGAAAAGAGAAAGAAGGAGAAACGGAAGGGAGACCGGCCAATGTATGGTGTCTGGTTTTACGAGGATTTTCAATTCTCAACGTGAAAGCCACAGAAAATGGCAGTTGATTATCCAATATTCGGTTTGTTTGATATGATTTTTTTTCTAAAATTTTTTTCTCGTTGGGTGGGACCCACGTTCTTGGTCGGGGATTCCAAGTGTCTTGGGGGAAGATTTCATTTGACTCCCTAGAAAATTTTGATTAATGCGGATGGGTTTTGTTTCTATTTGTGTAACATCATTAACATTATAAGAAGTTAATGATGGAATTAATTAGTAGTTAATTATGTCTATGAGGACATTTAAAACAGGCTAGTCTTATTAAGGAAATAATAACATTTGGGCCTCCAGGTACTCATTTGGGCCTCCACAATACGTGTAGTGGACTGGGCTCTGCATGCAAAAGTTCAGGTCGTTGTACACGTCACAAAGGCTTGATGTGTCACCAGTTCATTGGCTGGTTAGCAACAACCCGTGTCACCACCGGCGCGGCATCGGTATAATCCTACACGGCGGCAGGAGCCTTGTCAATCTCAGCTCTCCCGGCAACAAATCCCAGAAGCTTCAAAATTCAGGGAAGCAAATTTCTCGTTGCCGTCTTTCTTCTGGGTCCTCTTCTTCACCGTGGATCTTTGCGGGATTAATCGAAGCCGAAGAAAGATGAGATCTTTGTTGCCACTCCTTGTTCTAGGCGCTCTTTCCACCTACGTTTTAGCTGACCAGATCCTCCCAGCTCACGTAGGTAAATCACTCACTTGGAACGATTTGGAAAACCGTGTTCATTTGCTTTTTGAGTGATTTGAAAGCACCATTTTTCGATTTTGATATCAAAGGTGATCAATTGATGATCTAGTACGAGTAGTGTGTACTAGCGAATCTCAGAATGTTTCTTGGTCCTTGCGCCAGATTTCGTCGAAATCTCTGCATTACAGTTTTCAGGGGGGTTTATGGGTTTTAATCTTACCTACCTGGGTTGTTTAGGTGATTAGAACGTTGGCTACTGGCTGGTTGGTCTGTGGTAACTTATGCTTTTGGGCTCTGCCATGAAAACCCCAACATCTTGCCCCATTGTGCTATTGTTAATGATCTTTCAAGCTGCATCCTTTCTGGAACAATTTTGTGTTCTCTGTTATCTATATGTGTGGTGTTTTACCTTAGTTATCGACATGATGACAGGTGGTTCGTTCAGTCGCAGTTCTCGCGAGCCCAAGTATAAGATGGAGTTCCATCCTGAAGAAGCACCATTTCATCCTGTGAGTAAACGTAGCGGTATTGGCATTATGCTATATTTTGTCTAAATTGTAGGACTTTAGAGTTGGTGGATGTCTAATATGCCAGAAACCGACCTCATCGTTGCAGGATGAGGATCAAGAATCTGTTGTTATGCCTGATACAAACGGGCGCAGTTACATATGTTACTTGCCTAAGATAGAGAAAGCCAAGAGTGAGAAGCCAGTCAATCAGGTGAACATAACCAGCATGATTGTGGAAACTGAGAGACGGCTTAAATTGAAGACTCCCGACGAGCTGCTTGAAGTGTTCAAAGGCAAATGTCTTGTCAGAGTCAGTATTTGCTTCCCCAGTTCCAATGAAATATCATTTTACATTTCTTGTATGCTTTGCTCCTGATGTTGTACTATCCTTGCAGCAAGAGGGTTGGTGGACTTATGAACTCTGCCACGAACAAAAGTTAAGGCAGTTTCATGTGGAAGACGAGAAGGTGAGAAATTCGGAAAATTAAAGTTTTGCTGATATCTTAGTTCCTACAAGGATGTATTTTGGTTACATCTAAAATTCTCTCATTGCAGGTGGTACAGGAATTTGTTTTGGGTATTTATGATGAAGAGGCCACAGCTGCATTCAACCAGAACTTAAAAGACGTTTCCACCTTGAAAGATCCTCGCTCCAAAGATGCATCTCAAAGGTATCACAATGTACTAGAGCAAAAGGAAACTTTGTAGAAAGGTTTCCTCACATACCATAAACGTGATTTGTGTAGGTACCATGCTCATCAATATACAAATGGAACTCTCTGTGATCTCACCAATCAGCCACGAGAAACCGAAGTAATGATTTGGAAGGAACTCTCTGATATCTCCCTTTTCCCCTTTTCCTTTTATTTACACTCCGCAATTCCGTTTTGGAATATGTGCAGGTGAGATTTGTATGTTCTGAGCCAAGAGCAATGATTAGTTCTATCACAGAGCTATCCACTTGCAAGTACGCCCTGACAGTACAATCTCCGATGCTTTGCAAGCATCCGTAAGTCTGACCCTCTTGATAAACTTAAAATGATTTCCCGCTTTTTAGCTGCCTGTAAACTTTTGTTCTTCTATGAATTTGCAGACTGTTCCAAGAAGAGAGACCTGTGTGGCACACCATCAACTGCAATGCCCTGCCGAAGACTTACAAGGAAAGCAAAGTTAAGAAAGATTCAACTGGAGGGGATAAGCAAATCTTCATGGTCACTGAGGTTGAGAATCCAACCAACGCACAGTCTGAGGAGTGAATCTAACACTTGGAAGGAGGGAGATTTTGTACTTTGTATTCACATCACAGTCGTTCACTTGCAGAAACTCCGGGCCTCTAAATTGTTCCTTGATGTCCAGGTTAAGGGTGGCAAACTGGCATTTGTGTTAGTTAAGTGGCATGTAAATATAGAAGACGAACCTATTCTCAGATAACGGGATCTTGTAAATGAATGGATTGAAGAGGAGTTTTATCTCTATAAATTTTACTGTTGGATTCAGTTAAGTTGGAAACGTTGGAGAGCCTGTGTAAGCCTAGTGTAGTCTGAAGCTTGCTTCTTAGGGCTTTTTTCCTTCTCCTTAGGGTTGTGGAGCCAGTTAAGCATGATCATTTAAAACAATTATATGACAGAATTTAGTATAACAGTTCAAACCCATTCTCTATTCCCAGGTTGAGAATTTCAGTTAACCGCTACAACTTGAAGAGCAGGAAGAACATACTATATACACCGTTAAACTCAAATAGGAGTCCAAAAGGAAGATGATCTTATATTAGAATGTGGCAAACAATATGTAATTTCCTTCACTAGAAAATCTTCCAAGATTGAAGTTACTATTGTCAAAAGAAGAAATAGGACACATTATTTATTGACACTAATAATTTACAGAGACTAGTTCCTTATTTCCTTCTCCTGGTGGCCTCAACCAGAAGTTGAAGCGCTTCCACTGCTACTACCAGTTGAATCAAGTAATGCCAAGTACTCATTAATGGCTTCCCCTTCTCTAGTTACATCAATATCATAGTCAGATAAAGCGTCCGTCCTTGCTAATTCATCCGCTATCTCATCCTCCATTTCCACATCTCGTGGTTCAGAGAAACTTGCATCGGCTGGTGGTTCAGCATTTGCAGCAGCAGCCTGAGCGGCAGCCTGAGCCTGAGCAGCAGCAGCAGCGGGATTTGGAAGTGGTCCTTGTTGGAGAAGTCGCTGCATTATTGCCTCCATAGTGCCACCAGCTTGGACCGCTGCAACTACAGCTGACATGTCAAATCCCATGGATACAAGTAGTTGGATTTTAGAGTCCGTGTCTTGCTTCTGTCTTTTGGCGTTTTTTGTTTCTATGTAGTTCTGCAAACTCAGATTAAGATAATAACAATTAGTTAAAGATCTTGAAAATGCGAGTGGAAGATGTACCTCGAAGACTGAAGACACAGCCAAAAACTGACCTGGATGCTAGCATTAATTTCTGGATTTGTCAAATCATCCAATGCCTTCTGAGTGTCGTTCTCATTCCTTCGCAGTGCTTCAGCAGCAAGTTCCTTCGCAAACCTGATACATTTGACAAGTTTTTCATCTCAATATGCTGTGCAAGTGGCATCGAGAATAAACAATTAAAAACTGGCAGTGAATGCTTACCCTATGGAGACCAATCCATTCAATAGTTGGATATCCACAGCTTTCTTCAAGGGTGTAACACCATATTTTTTTTGCTCCCTGTGTACAACGTTGACCAGTCAGAATAATGACAGATGAAAACTGCAATAAAAAAAAAAGCAACCTGATTGGCACTCACAAGATTTCCGCTTGTCGCTTAAGGTTCTCTTCTCGTTTCAGTGCTTTCCGTGCCCTTTCCTCAACTAGAAAGTCGACAGCACGTTCGACATCTTGATTGTTGATTCTCAATGCTCTCTTTGCTTCGTTTTCTTTGAAACCCATCCCCATAACAACTGACAAGACTTCATCTGATACTTGTAGCTACAGTGGAAAAGGTCACATATCATCAAATGGTAATGATTACTCGATAAGAGGATATACAAAGAGCTCTAATTCATGCTTACCCGTTTGTATTTGGTCTGTGCAGACATCAAGTACCTCCTAGATTTCTCAAGCTGGCCACTGTGATATGCCACAACTGCTTCGAGTAGTTCCAATCTCATATATCTGAAAGTAACAACAAAAGAAGAGTATATACCTTTGAGCACAAGATATCCATTAACTTTATCGTTTTTTGGTACCTCTCTTAATGAAGATTTTGCAGAATACTTACACTGCAAGCTCCGAGGAGTTTCCTGCTTGAAGGAGTTTGAGACGGGAAGCATCCTTGCCATGAGCACGTTCGAATCCATCTCTTGCCTTATCAAGACGTACTCCAGCAACAGAGAGGCATGCAATGTCTTTCAGCATGAAATAGCACCACACCATGTCCATTTGCAGCATTGCAATATTATCAACAAGCTGGAAGCAAGTAAAAGAGAATGAAGAAAGGGTTTAGCCAAAAATTTCAGATAAAAAAGAGTCAATGGAATGGTATGAAGCTATAAGAACGGTCACGTACTTCAATAGTCTTAGGATTGCAAAGAGAGAATGATTCCTGCAAAACACAAAACAACCAGCAATGAATCCTCGCAATTATGGGGAACACAACCAAAAAGCTTGAATAGGCATGCAAATTGTACTACTAAGTTGAGAAAAAGAATAAGCAACTAACCTCTGCCATATTCAGTACTTCCAAAGCATCTCTGAACTTGCCCTTTCTGATTAGACCCTTTCCATTTGTGTGGAGCATCAAACCCATCATCAGTGCCCTGCCAATCCATATTGCAAAGTTCAATCAGAAAGGCCATAAATTAACACCACTACAGATAAAAAAACAGAAAAATTATCAAACTTTCACAAGAACTATCTAGTCAAGAATCATTACTGTCTATCAGACTCAGGTAAGTGCAGCTTATTCCCAAGTTGGTCTTCAATTTCCATATTGAAGTCCTCGAGTGGCAATGCACCATCTGTGTGTCTTGTAGACAATGCAACTACAGCTTCCCTGCAAAGTTTACAGCAAGAAACCCCTCAAATTGTTATCAACTAGTCATAATTGAGCTACAAAACCCAACTGCCATAGGTTCGTTAAGCCTCGTCAAACAAGCTTTTAATCGAAGTAATGCATACTGAAAACCGGAATCATACAATTGTCTCAGCCATATATCTCAAGGCCAACAGCAATTCAAGGATTCTCAAAAGCCAAGCAAAATCAAAACCACTGTTCCTTCTCCTAACTACACAGCTTAGGATTCACGTTGTTCCCTACCACCTCAACTATCTCCAAGAAACATAACCAAAGACTGTTCCTCCTCCCTACTAATGAAACAAACCTTCTTTCACCATCATCATCACACAAGCAACAAAAGACTATAAAACATTTGATCCATTATAAGCAAAAACCCATTATCAGACAAATCAAAACAAACGAACAAGACAAAAAAAAAAAAAGAGTGAGAAAGCTACGCACTTTACGCGAGCAAGCCTCTGATTGAGCTCCTCCGCATCCTTCAACGATTTCCCTTCGTCGACGGCGACCCGACTGGCCAGAATCTTCGAATTGGCCTTGATGCCCAACTCCGACAGCTTCTCCGTGCCGTCGCCGTCTTTCAGCATCCTGCCGGCGCATATCAACTTGATCGAGCCAGCGGGAACGTTCGATCGCTTGGCGACTTCTTCTCTCAACATGGGCACCGTCCAATTCTCCAAGTCGACCTCATCCAGAACCCCCGACCATGTCCCCGCCACTCTCAGCTTCGCCATTGTTCTTCGAAATCGGAACTCCGACGGGAAGTTATCGAACGATTTTTTAGTTTCGGTAACAGACTCGTAAACTGATTCGTCGTCAAAGTCTGCTGCTTTTGCTCTCTTCCTTCCTTCCTTGCTGGTTAATCCAGAGTGGGGTTTTCCTTCTTATAAGGCTTTCTTTTTCCAAATTATAATCTGATTATGAAAGACTTTTGGGAGTCATTCGTGAGAAATACGACAGGAATTAGGCATGAAATTAATTACAATTCAGCACACCATCTTAACTTTTATTGTTGTTTCACTCCTTCTTTACGTTTTTAACACACCAAAAGATATATTGGGTAGTATATTGTAAGTCGTTTATATTAAGAGGACTGATTTAGATTTACACTCTCTGAGATAGACGTAGAAGATAGAACTCAGAGTCCGTGGGCCCCATTATCCAGGTGGCAGCCATGCGCTGACTAGACGAATTCACATTTCTTCGAGGAAACCGTCAAAGAATCAGTCGCCATCGCAACATGGACGCCGTCGTCGACGATGGATCCCAGGCTCTCTTCCAGTTCCAATCCCCTAATACGCCGCCGCCGGCGGCCTCCTCCGCAATAGCGACGACGACGCCCGCGAGGAGCAATTCCCTCGGAAAGCCCAAAACCCAGGCAAGCAAGAGAAACCGCAAACCTCCCCCGCGGATCCTCCCAATCCTCTCCGTCGCCGCCATTGCGGGGCAAGGTTTCATCTCCGGCAACGGTACTCGGATGCTCCCTTCTCAGATCGTCGATTTCCAACGCCAACTCGATTCCCTAAATCTCCCCGTCCAGATCCCTTCATCAATTCCCCCTCAGATGCCCTCATCTTTCGGTGAGGAGTCGATCTACGATCGCCTTATCGCCTTCGGCGCCGCCGGCGCCGAATTCGATTCCCGGTGGTTCCAGTACTTCCGAATGAGCAATCCTACCTTCCGCAAGCTCCTCGAGCTCCTCGCCCCTTCAATTGCGTCCCGCCTCCCGCAGTCCATCCTCCCCGACGTGGCCCTCGCCGCCGCGCTCTACCGCCTCGCCCACGGCGCGCCCTACGCCACCGTGGCCCGGTGGTTCGGGCTCGATTCCCCTGAGGCCGCGCGCCTCGCGTTCTTCGTCGTCTGCCAGACCGTGTGCGAGAACATGTCGATGTTCGTCGAGTTCTGGAAGGAAGTGGAGCTGACCCAGATGGGATTCCGGTGGGTTTCCCTGCCGAATTGCTGCGGCGTTCTAGGCTTTCAGCGATTTGGGTTCGAGAACAAAGAATTGGGCACCAGTGGGTCGTTTCTGGTTCAGGCATTGGTCGATACCGATGGCAGGTTCTTGGATATCTCCACTGGCTGGCCTGGAACCATGAGCCCTGAATCGATTCTCCGAGAAAGCAAGTTCTTTGCTTCTGTTCAGCAATCAGATGAGCTGCGGACAGTGCCGGCTTATGATCCTGGTAATGGGGTATTGTTCCGTCCTTACATCATTGGTGATCCTTCTCTGCCATTGTTGCCCTGGCTGTTAACACCGTTCATCGCCATTGACGATGAAGTGACGAATTTGGGGGAGAAAGAGTTCAATGCACAGCACAGTAGAGGAATGGCGCTGCACAGCACTGCGTTTGCTCGGCTCAGGGCCCGGTGGCAGCTGTTACGGATGAAATGGAGAGATGACGAGGTCGAGTTTCTCCCCTTCGTGATTGTGATGGCTTGTGTTCTGCACAACTTTTTGATCAATGCCAAGGAGCCGTTCCCCGAGGAATGCCAGGAGCTCGGCGCTTCGCAGCAGCGAGAGCAGTTCCCAGTTTACAAAGGAGTCGTGGATGAGAGGGCAAGGTGGATCAGAGACAAGCTTGCACATCATTTAGGCAGGGCATGCTTTGGAAGAATGGTTGGTAAAAGCTCGGCTTAAGCCGGGATCCTTCTGTTGCTCTTTAGTTTTTCTTGTCGTGCATAATTAGATGTGGCCTCTGTCATGAATCTGGTTGAGCTGCAATGGGGATTTCAGTTGAGTGCTGACTGTTTTGGTGATGAACTAGCCTTTAGCTTTGGTGAGATCTTTTGCCCCCGCATTGAGCGATTTGACTTGATTATCGTACTGTTGTTTTGCCTTGGAAGTAGCTTGTTCTTGTGGTTGAACTGAACTAGACAATAATACAGAATGCAGAAGTTGGACAAATAGCTTTACATGGCTGTTGAGTGTATACTTTTCCTACAAATCATGATCAACACTACTATTTCAAAAAAGAACTGTTTATAGCTAGTTGTAAAAAGCCACAAAATCATGGCTAGAAAGAAAGGCTGTATTGCGACTCTCCTTCTGGTCTGAGAGAGCTCCGAGCTAGAAAGGCCATCGTTTCGAAATGGGTGGTTTCTAATTGAAGAAGGGAAGGTCTAACTAACTAGCTAATGAGCTTCGTGTTAATGGTGCCTAGGCCTGTGAATCTTAGGACCATAGTAATCTTCATGAAACCAATGATGTGAGGAGGAAGAAGATGATGATTTATTGGTAACTGATGACATTGTCTTCATCTCATCAGTACCTGTATTCTTACATTCCTGCCCTTCTTTGCACACCGCTCCATCTTCTCCCACTACTACTGCTACTCTGTTTCCAATACTATGATGATCATCAAAACTACTTCTTTCCTCCATTGATGGTGGTGACGAGCTCCTCTTCTTCTTCTGCTGGTGATGATCAAGAAACCCCTTCTCCGGCCGAATCCCTATAACAAAGAACAAGAACCAACTTGTGAGAACACAAAATTTCATCTTGTTATGGCATGCACATTAAGATAGTGAAGTAGTGATAACTGATAAGTGCGCCCATATGATTACTTTGAGCTTGTTGAAGGAAGAAGGGTAGGAGTAGAAGAGAGACAACCAAAACAAGCTTCATTTTAGGGTTTGGTATGTGTTTGATTTGTATGGCAAAAGGGTTCGAAATGAAAAGGGCAAGAGGAGGAATCAATTTGGGATTGAAATCACTACCTATCTCTTGATGAATTTTATCTTTGCAGCAAGTTGCAAGCTTTGAGAGATGAAGAGGTGTTTGGAGCTAAGGAGAGGGGGTTGGGCTTGCTTTTAAATACAAAGATTGGATTTTGAGGCTCTTAAATAAAGGAGGGTCCTACAAAATAAACAGAGGGAGGGATGGAAGGGATTCTCTGTTTCCTCTTCCTCCAAAAAATTTGTATATCTTGTAGGGTTTCCATGAATCCCCACTTTGGTTTGTTCTTCCATTATGTCTTATTTGGGGAACAATCACAGCTTGGCAAACCATGAATCTTTTGTTCAAGGGAGTTGAGTTATTACTTATTAATCATTGAGCCAAAAAGGCTCAAAAGAGTACACAGTGCCATATGGTCATTGTTATGTCGTACATAAGATTTCGTATTCTAATTTTCATAGTGCATAAACAATATATCTAGTACGGATCAGAAAAATTATATTCGATTACGAGTTTTAACACCTTAGATGTGATCCGAAAACACTAACCATGCAATTTATGAGTCCCTAACAATACTAATCGAGCAGTGTAATAAGTAAGTTGATATTTTTACTTTTAACTCTGAAGTATATAGATGTCAACTCCAGCGACCCTTTTGGTGGTCTCTTTTCCTATTAAAAGAAGTGATATCTCCAAAACTAAGCTCTTCACTTGTCGCCAAGCCCTATTTTGGGTTGTTATGTTGGATCAATGTCTGACCTTGACAAAGCAGCAAAGCCTTAATCTATGGGTTTACTATGCAAGCTAGTCGTATAATCACGTAATTAATTACTACCATAAGGCTAAAAGGTAATTAGGTAGGTGAAGCTAAAGAACCTAAATGGTGCCACGAGGCCACAAGCTATAGCTATTTTGTTCTTACTTGTACACGTTATATAGTTGTTGGTGTAAAGAGGAATTATGTAGGCTAACTCTAGTCGATTAGATTAAGAATGGGTGTATTATCATACTGTATTAATGTAGTTATAGGCAGCTAACTACGAATTATCTTTTGGTGAACGAGTCTTGTTCATATCAAATAAGGATACCATGTAAATCGTCTGGTTTGTCATATTATTTTCTACGGTCTTGGATATAACTAATTGGAGGTTCAAACTCTGTGGTCATTTATAGATAATTAATTGTAAATACTTGTACATGAATGTTCAAACTCGTGAGCGTAATTGTATGAATCTGACAGCAACGTAAGTAATTTTAAGATATTTGTATGCACGGAATATTAAAAATATACTCTAGACAAATCGTCTCTTCTCCTTTATTCTTATTAGTTATTGTCAAATTTATAAGAAGATTGTAACTTGTTCTCCTTATGTTCATCATTTAGCGCAGGTTGTAACATATTAGATAGTCCATGTAAACTACCGATTGGTATCATTATCCATACAAATTTATTATTTTTGTATCACTTAGATTCAAGACTGAGTCATATTTTCATTAGAACTTGAAACTTGATAGGGTGATTTAATGTTATAATGATGTTAATTCGTCATTTAGTAAATATAAATGTTAAATATGATATCGTATAAGATAATTTATATGAATTATTTTTGTTATCATTAAGCTTCATTGGGAGTCAAGATAGGATGATAGCATTAGAGCTGGTAATCCATGAACTCATGTAGGTTTATCAACAACGGATCACAAAATTCATCCTTAAACAATAACCTTCGATTTTTCATGATGAACAGTGCTCCAATTTTGTGACTACTTATACTATAATGCATCTACATAATTATACTTCTCAAAGTTTTATAATGAGGCACAACACATTACACATACAATAAACCACTATCAAACTATTCATGTGATTGCTATTACAAGTGAGCTTAAATGGTCTTAAATCTACTTACCACTGAAAAAACTTGCAATAAAAGAAAGTCAAGAAAAGACAAAAAAAATAAAAATATAAAGGCATAAACTCTTTGCAACATTTGGAATTCCTTCTCTTTTTAGTGGATTGGGCCATACTCATAAACTAGTTTCCTCCTATTATACATGAAAAAAACCCAAACAAGCTAAAAACAAGTACAAATTGCTTTGTACAAAAAAAATAACCAAACAACTACACTTACCACATAACACATCTTTCCTTTCCTCTCCAATGGCAAATAATTGAACCTTTGGGGAGGAAAAAAAGGGACTTATGAACTTTCAGTCAGCAAGAAGACCAGTGTAATCTGCAGGTCCATATGGCATAAACAAGTCCCTCAAAAACCCTTTCTTTCTCCTACTCTGCAACCCCATGTCCTTACAGAACTGGTCATTGTTCCATATGTGGAAGTTGCTGATGCATGCCCTCCTAGACTTCCCTCCACTGTGCCTCCTCAAGAACCTCTCCCAAACCCTCACTTCCTCCTCCATCTTGCTCACACTCGGAAGCTCGAACTTCCCCGCCAGGAACTCCACCAGCCATTGGCACCTGATCTCCGTCGCGGACAGGCTCGACAGGCTCTCCGCGTACCCGATCACCGCTAGCTGTGGGATCCGAGGATGAATCACTTGCCTAAACAACAAAATTTCCAAAACCCGTCATGAGAAAAGAAAAAATTTGTAGGTGGCCTTCGTGTTTGAAGCAGGAATGTCAATTGGGCGGGTCCGAAGAAGGTATCTCGATACTCATACTCGTCTTGTGGCTGGTGGGGTTAAATCGAATAATTTATTATGGGTGTGGGGTTGGACAAAACAGGTTGAGAATATGATGGGTCAAGACAAGACAAGTCAGGTCAAGGAGAATATCTATTCCGGTTCGGCTTTAAAACAAGTCAAATAGGCCACATAAATCGAGTCAGATCAAAATTGAGTTATAAGAAGTTATTGAGTGTCTGACCTGTAAAGTGGGACAATGGAAGAAGACCCAGTGATGGTTTTCTGCAGAGCAGGGGAATCGAAGATGTCTCTGAGCTTATGGTCTCCCCTGTATCCTGTCGCCAGGATCACTACGTCTGCTTCCACGACAGGCTCCAATCGACCGTCGCCGATCACGATGCCAGTTTCGCAGAAGCTTATGGTTTTGGATTTCTTGATGACGATGCTTCCTTCTTCCACTCTGTCGTAGAACTTGTCGGGCAACATGCATGTGTGGCACGAGGAAACGTCTTGGAAGAAGCTGAGTTCTGGTACCATTCCATGTTTCTTGAGTGGGAGCTTCCATCTCAAGTAGAATTCTATCATCTTGGAGATTCCCCATCTCTGCCCCCGCAGAAGAAAAGAAAAAATAAAAAAAACAGGAAGAAAATTTCAGCATTGGAGACGAAGACAGGGTCGGTTTGGTTAAGTGTATCTTAGAGAGTACCACTTTATAATAACGTATAGTTGAACGTGGTCGAAATAAAAGTGTTATGAGATACTCTAGGGTCGGTTTGGTTTAGTGTATCTTAGAGAGTTTCACTTCGTAATATCGCGTAGTTGAATGTGTTGGAAATAAACATTATGAGAAACTCTAGAAAACTATGCCTCCTGCTTTTTCCAGTCCAAACACAATTTGCTAATACATGTGAAATGTATAGGAGATACGGGGTAAGTGAACAAATACACATTAGAAATTCTCTCTGAAACTTCACGTGCAAAGGCTACTCAACCAAACAACAATTTAAACACATACTACTCATGTAATAGTATACAATCGAACCGAATATAATTACGCTTACACATGTAATGAACCAGAATGCACACGATAAGATAAGATGAAAAATAGAAATGAAAGTTTACCAATGGCATGAGGAATGTGGCTAACAAGCTGAGAAGGAGAGATTCACCAGGCTTGTGAATCAAGAACTCTGAGAAGCGATTCAAGTACAAGAAACCAATGTTGATCCCTAGCAAGGTCTCACTAGGGATTGTCCAGTGAGTTGTTCTTTGAACCATTGTGCAAGGAAACTCAGGCCCTGTTTTTATAAAAGCAAAGGAATTAGTTTTGGGGCAAATGAGCAAAAAGAAAGGAGTATAGAGTCAAAATTGCAATTAACAAAACTGTACCATTTGCCTTGGCACATTCTGCAGCAATGTCAATTGCAGTCTTCTGAGAGCCAATGATGGCAACTCTCTTCCCTTTCACAAACTCAGCTGCCTTCTCACTCCCCATTGCTGAGTAGTCCCATGAATGGACCACTTTGCCCTTGAAAACCTCAGGTCCTTGATTTGGAGGGAAATCTGGGATGTTTGGGTACCCACTATACAACCCAATGCAGAGAATCACAAATTCAACCTCATAAACCTGCCCAAATACCAAAAAGTTCACAACTTCATCAGTCAAATTGGCAAAAAGTCCAAAACTTTGAACAGAATTGGCACTAGAAATCAGAATTCTCCAACCCCCCCCCCCCCCCCCCCCAAAAAAAACCCACCTCCATACTTGAACTTCTCACATCCTGAACCCTAATTTGCCACTTCCCTTTGGTTGGCAATGATGAACCAAAGGGCTTCCCATTCCCTCCCCAAACAACCCAAGACTTCATCTCCTCCAAGGACTCACCAACACAGTCTATCCCAACAACCTTGGAGTGAAACTTGATGTGTTGGTAAATCCCAAACTGGTTTGCATATGCCTTCATGTACTTCAGGACCTCAGTGTGTGGTGGATTCACTTCCTGGACCGACTCGGGCCAGGGGAAGTCAGTGAACCGGTACGTACCCTTTGAGTTCTGAAGCTTCGTGGATGCGATCGTACGAGATGACCAGATCCCACCCACGTCGCCCTCAGACTCGAACACGATCGGATCGAACCCTTTCTCGAGAACATACTTGCAGGCTAGGAGTCCACTTGGTCCGGCTCCAACGATGCCAACCCTTCTCCTCCTTTCCATGTTATTAGAAGCACCATGTACCTTGCATTTATGCATAATTGCATCACAACAAGGCAGGATTTGGACACATCAAAAGATAAAGAGGGCAGATTAGGAAACAACAAAAAGGGTCCTTCTTTCTTTCTGAATTGAAGTGGGTTCCTTTGAGAAATGTTTGATGGAGTTAGAGAGGAGGAGGGTTGCTTCTACTACTTGCTGCTACTGCTTTTTATTTAGGGAGCAATGTCCCTTTCTCACATGCAAGTTTTAAATACAAAGTTAGGCCTTTTTGGGGGGGTTTGTTTGAAGGGCAAGGTTCATTATTTTGCGGGTTAATGTAGCCTTGTAAACTATGCAAGTGCCCTTATTTTATGTGTCTTTTTGTTCTTCTCTGCCATCAGGGGAATTCACATCAGCTTCCAGCTTACTTCCTAATTGCTAGAAATCAATATAGTTTTCTTTGATTTTTTTTTTTTAATAATTCCCGCAAGGACATGCTTGAAGAGGAGAGGAGGACCATTGGGATTAGAGACCTTACAACAAATTCGTTTAGTTTTTGGCTGTGTAGGATATTTGGTGACCGAATACGGACAAGATGCTAACACTATCTGTAAGGACGTTTGTATAATGTTCCTTGACATTTGTTGACTATTGGATGAACACGGTGACAATTTTTGCATGATATAGTGTTGGACGTTCTTTGACTGTTGGATCTGGATGAACAGGGTGACAATTTTTGATTTTGTTTTATGAGAACGATTTTGAGCGTTTTAAAGACATCCTTACAAATGGCGTTGTTACTTCATACTTGTTACACCATGGCTGGATTGATGTTCATTCTGGAAGTTGTGCTCCACGCTGAAAAATTATTTTTATTTTTTTAAAAACCCAAAAATTTGGAAGCAATGTCCCACAAAGTGAGAGATAGTGACTAAGATCATAATGGCAAAGGGGGAGAGGAATTAAATTTTGGATTGCATTTATCCAATAGACAATCAATAATAATTGGGAGGTTATTTATTATCCAACAGTGACACTATATAGTGCTTGATAATATAAAGAGCCAAACCATTATGTTCATGCATTTTTTCTTGTTTGGACCAAACCATAATTGGGCAAAGAATGTAGAAATTGAAGTCAAGCAAAACTGATTACCATCCTCCCATCAAATTGACAGCTACTGCAAAGCTTCTGTTGTGATGGAACAGAGGGTTTGTTGACACAGTAGAATGTTTGGCAGATTTAGAGATTGATTGCTTGGTCATTCTTTGTTTAAGGTGCTCTAATTGTCTCCTCCTTAATAGCATCGTCGAATTATAGACCCTATATCGTTTATAATAAAAGCATTAAGGCCGCAAATACCAATGCACCAATTGCGGTACAATAAAGTTGTAATTCACTAGTTATTCCCGAAGCTCTCCAAATCTGTTTTCGAAGATGAACTTGAGAATATGCATCAAGCTTACAAGAGACATGGAGATTTCAAGTTGGTGATTCTTCAGATATAGAGGTTCCATACGTCTTATCAACATTGGCCGCACAACATTGCACTCTTATCTAATCTCCATTGTTTCCATCGTGAAAACGCATATTTAAATTAGACGTGTTCCGCCTGCTCTTAGTCTTAGAACTGGTTTCTTGTTCTAGTATTAGTTGTAATTGTCCAGGAAAAATAATTACGTCGTCGTCGCCACCCAACAGGTTGTCTACCTAGATTAGGACAAGATTGCATCATTTGTACATACATTAAGGGAGTGAATGCCTAATTACACTACCAAAACACATTGAATAATCACAAGTTGTGGGAGAAGGTTGGACTTAGTGCCTAATTTTATGGTAAACGGTAATGGGAGTTGGTTGAAGACAATGGCCAAAAAATGGAGTAGGTTGGTTGGAAGAAGCCATAGAGACACTTGCGAATTGCGATTGGTGTACAAACGAAACAAGGCTGCGTTTGGCTGGTTCTGAGTAAGGAACGCATGTCATCAAATTTAGCGACCACTGCCGGCTTCGGTCGCTAATGCAAACAAAAACCCTTTCCCATGAGGAAATAAGAAATAATTTTGGTTACTAATGGTTGTCTTTTTTCTCCTTGATCCTTGGGATCGTGTCCCTTGTTTGGTTATATGTTAAATCTATTTTCTGTTTTCTCCAGCACGTACGTTGACCCAATTCTCGCCCTCATTTGGCTCTGTTTTGTATCTAATCTAAGGCTGCAGAATTATTGGGAACCATAGAAGGAATCCACCTCAGGATTAGGACGGCAAATTAAGTCGAGCGGTTTGGTGTTCGATTCGAGAAAAGCTCGTTCGAAACTCGGTTTGTTAATAAATGAGCCGGAACATGAGATAAGCTTTGTTCAGCTCGTGAAACTCGCGACGACTCGGTGGCTTGTTGAGCTAAACTCGTGAGCTGGCTCGTTTATAGCTCATAATATAATATGTCTCAACATGTGGCTAGAGAGCCAACTCAACTACCGACTTATGGACGAATCAATCTATATCTTATGATTTTAATTCATATGGTTGTTAAATTATATATCTAGCCATATATAAAGTTGAACACGTTGAGTATGTGAGCAAATATATCTTATTTTCTATTTATTAACTAAATTATATATGATACCAACAAAGTATAATATGAAATTAGCTAACAAAATAAATCATATGTATCATGATATACAAAATAAAGTGCCAAATAAAATTCAAGATTTTAGTAAACAAGCTAGCTCGACTCGACTCATTTATTAACGAGCCGTGCTCACACTGGGATAAAACTCGATTTGACTCATTTGTAGCCCTACTCAGCATCTTAAACTAATCTTCTTCCCGATGATGCCTGCTGCTTTTTCTCTCCTCTTTTTTTTGGTTGCCAATTATGGGGATTGCCAAACAGCTAGCTAAGCTGTTGAGAGTATGGGGACTGGGAAGCAAAGGACCACTTGTGCTTTATCAGAAAGGAGATCATGAAAGTGTGTGTATATGTGGGTTGGGAATGAAGCAATGTGGCTGGTTTGGGATTTTGGGGACACACATTCTCTCAATTGGAGGACCCTTTTTAGAGTATTGAGTGGAGAAAAAACTAACTCTGATAAGGTTTTTTTTTTTTAATATGGATGTGTTGGGATCGGGGAAAACGACTTTCAGTGAGGTCGACTGGATGTTGAGTGCGAACGCGCGTTGGCAGGTTTTAGTGGATTGAATCGGTTTGGCTAGTGAACGCTCAAAGTTATTTTAAGTGTTTGACTCGAGTCGTTTCATGTTAAGAACCATGTTAGGAGAGACGTATTAAATTACGCTTTTGTGAATCTCGTAGGTGTCGTAGAGTATATAAGGAGGGTTTATGGAGGTTATTAGAGACATGTGTTTAAGAAGTGCTTGAACAGATGACCACATGTTTAAGCAAAACAAGAGCTATCATAGGATTAGATTAGCTTAGCTAATTAGCTGCAAAAATGGGGAAACAAATGAATTGATCGAAGACCAGTCCTCTTTCTCCCCATCAAAACATGTGGTATTTGTTAATGTATGCTTCTGTCAGTATTTTCAATCATTTAGTGCTTCCTTACTGTCATGATCTCTCAGATGAACTGCATTAACTCAGTCTACGTGCTGCATGCTTAATGGCTAACTACTTCCAACAATAAGTGTGGCTGGCACAATTCATTATTAAGCACTAATTATTATTATTATTATCTTCTTGTGATTTTTTATATATTATATGAATGATACTATGTTGTACAAAATATCATGACAGTACTGTACCAGGAAAAAAAATTAATAATTGTAAGATTATCTTATCTGTTGCCAACAGAGTTCATTTCCTGGCTGGACACTTATCAGATTGAAGTGGTATGATTAATGGTTAATTAATTAAGCTTTAAATTGGATCGTGCAATAGATCCATACAGATTTGATTTACACGGTATAGTTAGCTAATACAACCAACTGATATGGTATGATATCACAAACACTTCGTTTTGAATACCGACTCTCTACCCCGCGCGCCACTCTAAGGTTCTGCTTAAGTTATACATCCATTTGCATTGCATACAAACTCTCTCTATGTTGTTACTTATAATGAGATCGATATATGTTGCTACGAAGGTCAGCTTTTTTAGCTCGAACTAACTATGAGTTTGTGAGTCCTTATATGATTCAAATTAGGTTATTCCGCTTGCTGTTATTCAATTTCCAATTGAAAGTAAGGGAAGATAGAACAACTTTCGTGCGTGTTGGTGGAGGTGCTATTTAAGGGATTCAAACATGTAACTTCTCGGTTCAAAACTAGTGATATTTTTATTAAGGGTGTTGTTCGCAACGAGGCGTGGATACAAATTCTCCCCCCTTCCACGATCAAATCATTAAGATTTAAGAGGGAGAAATAGAATGAACCAACTAGTAGTCCCTTAATTAGGTGGGTATATGAATGATTAAGGAAATTATATGAATAATCATTTTGTAGATTTTACCTTTGACTTAGACTTGGGCTTGAATCCTGGATCCCCATATTAACCTTGGGCCTTCCAAAACCCAATACAACGGGCTTGAGCCCTGAAACTATGCGTACTTGGGCTATTTGCAGACCTGGCCTCCACAAAAACTTGAGCTTGTAATATGGAGTGATAACTGACCTCTGTACTCCGTAGTTTAGTTGGATAACGTACAGAAACAGAGCACAAATGCCACAGGATTTAGCAACCAAAAGATAAGAGTTGCTCATGGCGCAAATGCCAGCTAAAAAAATCAACTCTAGGTTGCGTAACCCTCTGAAAAAGGACGAGACTTTCAGGATAGAGAATTTAAAAAGCTACAACCTTTGAGCTCCCTCCATCTTTTCATGGCGGCCACAATCAAACCAGTACTTCCTCCCCAACAACAATTCATCCCAACGAAACAAACCCTTCACCCCACTTCTCCTCCATGGACTTCCTGCAAACCCACTTTCCATGGCGGCCATTCATCACTTGCAATTACTTCCCATCACAGCAGGCCGCCGCTCTCAACCTCCGTTTCATTCGACCCGTCGAGAAACTTCGACCTTTCTTTATTCGACGACGATCAAGGTAAATAACCACTAATTGGTCTCAATAACTCGAGTTAATATAGTAATTTGACCGGTTTTGCGACAGATGCGTCGAATGTCGCTCCGCAGCCGATGCCGCCGAGCGAAGGAAGGTACGAAGTTGTCATCAACAGTGGCATCATTAGCGCACTCGATTTGTCCCCGTTTCGCGATGTTATGCCTATGGGGATTTTTACTTCTTCTAGCTCCCCTGCCTCAGGTAAAGAAATAAATAAAAAAGCAGGGGAAAAAACAGAGTCCCCGGAATTTCATCCGACGAAGTTTGCCTAAAAGAGGATTTTTTTTTTTTTCTTGCTGAATTTGTGGGTTTTGACCAGTGGATGAAGTAAAGCAGTTGTTGGAACGAAGCGTGGGGTTTACGATAAACTATACGAGGGAGGATCCTCGGGATCCTCGAGAGCTGTCGGAACTCCCTGATGTGAGGCTCTGGTTCGTGAGGCTCGATGCAGCTTACCCATGGCTGCCGGTGGTGCTTGACTGGAGAGCAGGGGAACTCGCCCGTTATGCCGCCATGATGGTCCCTCATCAGGTAGTAATACATTCGGTCATGATACGCGTGTTGACATTGTTCGATTGTAATGGTGCAACTTTTTTTTTTCTGTTGGAACATGAATTCGATGGTTTGGGAGTTATTTGTAAATGGTTTGGTTTATGTGTGTGTGGTGTGCAGATGAACATGAAGATGGGGGTTGTGTTCAATCCAGAGGCGTTGGAGTTGTTTGTGATGAAGAAAGTGTTTGTGGTGTATTCTTGGTTGAAGGAGCAGAATGTTAGCAAGGCTAGATTGAAGACAAGTGATATGGCTAGAATGCTAGGGTTTGGGATTGGAGATGAACTTTTTGACTTGATTGATAAAAATTCTTTCCCTTTATAACTCTCCATACGAGTGTAAAGGTTTAGTTTATCATTGTTAACTTCAAATTTGTGACGCTGCATGTGTATTTAATAATCGCAAATCCACTTATTTCTCGATTCTTGATGATTTATGACAATTTAACAGAGGCTGGTGAGGGAAACATCTCAATCTCCAACCGAAATTCTTTCATGATGGACTCATACTTTCTCCCTCGTCCATGTAGCTTACAAGTTTCTTTACTTTATTATCTTGGATTCATGTCATGCTTTTAAAGTTAATACGATTTTCTATACTTTCAATGATTTTTATTTTTACAATACTTGTCTCCTTGTAATGCTAGACTCAAATTAAAAGAGAAAAGAAAAAGAACATAGTCAATACAAACGTCCAAATCCGTTCCATCGGAATATAAACTTTATTTCTAGACCACTTCTAAAAAATTAATAACTTTTGAAATTAGTTTGATGGAAGCATTTATATCTTTTATATACTTTGTTCTGTCATCAAAACACGACAAACTTTATTCAAAACGGAAACAGAAGAATGCGAAGTAACTCAACAGCTGTATTCTCATTTGCGGAAGTTAATCCCAAGTGCTTTTTCTATGGATCATGATCTACTTAATGAATGTCTGATGAAGAAGTTCGGTCAGCATCTCATACGTCAAAAGGACTAAGATGAGTAAAAGTACTTTTAGGTGCGGATTACGCACCTCGCATACAGGATATTGCACGATATTTTCACCAAGAAAAACATATCAGACAGTGATGTACAATCCTTTGTATCTACATGGGGTTTTGAAAAGACTTTTCAGTTTTTCGACCGCTATGCCCAGATGAACAAAGAGTCTTCAGCAGTAGTTTTGTGTATGATGAAGTTTCGCTAATGATACCTCATGTGCTAGACTATGATTACATGTAAGATCAAAGAACGAGGGGCGTATATATTCTAATGTGTTTGAGGATAACATTGAAAAAAAATTGGATGTGAAGAAGATTACTAAATTTAATTGATGGAGCTAACATGTTAAAAATTTAAAATTGATTACCCAAAATAATCTATCCTACTGCTCATAGTGGCAATACCTTAGGATGGAGGGATGAATGGGAAACACAAAGAGATATGCAACTCCTTTTTGTTATTGATATTGCTTTTTTTATTATTCTTAAACAAAATATTTTGCTTCATTGAGGGTAGTAAGAAGAAATTTAGTTTTCACCAATATCTCATAAAACCATATTAGAAGATAAAAAATAAGCAATGCATTGTACATTACTGGGATTGGAAAGTACAATTTCTTTCTCAATAAATTACTACTTATATGTGAAGAAATCATGTATTTTATGTGATAGGTTGAATCTCAAGACTAAGTTAAATTTCACAACTTGTATATGTGTTTGGTATTATAATAGCTTTAGAGTTGACATGGTTATTGTTGAAGATCATACAAAACGACCAACTTATACATGGTTGTTGGTTCATGCCATATAACACAGTTTTTTGGTGTTACTTTTAAACGAATCGAGCTTCATCAGAGCTTGACAGTGAAGTGCTAACCCGAGTATAAGTGGTTAATAGATTATAATCTATATTTGAATGTATAAATTGTGAAATTATTGGTGAATATGATAAATAAGAGTTCCTATAGAAAACAAAGGAAGAACAACAAAATTATTGCGTACAAAAGAAACGTATTAAAAATGTATTAAGATAAATGTCCTAAACTTTATATGACATAAAAGTATCACACTTCTGAAAGTAGTTCAATAATATAAATTAGTACATTCAAACAATAAAATTATTGATGCTCGAGAAATTAAAATAAATCTCGTTGATATCTTCTTAAACACACCATAATTATTAAGGATTAATAGCATAATCTGCCCTTTTGTTATACATATTTCTCAAACGGATCAATGCATGGGCTCAATCAAATTGACAACCTAGCCTTAATCCTCCTTCCCTCCAATTTCTTTTTCCCGCTCTATTGTCCAATTTGTGACATGTTTTTTTGGCATGATTAGGGAGATAAAAGACAAAGGAAAAAACCCCAATAAAGTTTTTGTTTGAAGGGTTGTAAACAAGAAAGCCAACGTGGTTCATCAACGATCGCATGACTGCCAACGGGCATAACGAACGCGCAGCTACAGCCAGAGACGGAGAGTCCTACATGGAAATGAGATTGGTCGTGCCACCATAAGTACGGAACGACCTGCGAATCCTTTCCTAGCTAGGAAAAAACCTCCATGGCAACGGCTGCTGCAATCACTCCTTCGTCTTCTTCTTCCTCTCGTCTTCGCCAAGCTCTGCCGGTAAAGAACCCTCCACTCTCTCGCAATTTCCATCTTCCGCAGTCGTTTTGCGCCCGTCGCCGGCTTCCCTCCATCACCACCACAATTCGCGCCGTCGCCGTCAAACAGGTATGCTTGATACTTGTTTACCCACCTCGTTAACACTTCAAAGTTTGGAGCTTTTCTCAATTGGGGGTTTCAATATCTGTAACGATGTCGAAATTGTGGATTCTTTGTAGTATTTGGAGTTTGGTGGTACTGAAATTTGCAAAAGGGTTCTTGCTAATGTTCTCCGTTCATTCGTTAATTGAAGAAATTGCCGTGGGGAAATTGGATGCTGTTGTTTGATAGGCTGTTGGCAAAATTCATGACTCTCAAATCTGAATCTGAAATCTCTGAGGGCCATGTCTCAAGTTTTCTGACACAATTGCTGATGGCTAGCAAGAAGGGAATTCAATCTCATTTCATGTGTGGATAGTGTAGCAGGCTGATATATTGTCATTTCAGAATATGATGAAGTAACAGTTGATTCCATATGGGATGCAGTGTGTTTGTTTTGTTTGATTGTTGCTGGGATAAAGTAAGAACTTCTGATTTTGCACTTCCCAGGACTCAAGAGCGCAGCTTGGTAAGAATGAGTATGTTGACCTATTCGCCTGTCCAGTGTGTTATGAACCTCTGATAAGAAAGGGCCCTTCTGGTTTTAACTTGTAAGTGCATAAACTATGATATACTGCATAGAGATCACTATGCATTAGCTTTTGCAAGTCTGGGATGCATAATTGGAAGAACTGCAGGGCAGCAATCTACCGTTCAGGCTTCAAGTGTACAACATGCAACAAAACATATTCTAGCAAAGACAACTACCTCGATCTTACAGTTACTGCTGGGATGAAGACTTACAATGAAGCCATGCCGATAGGGACTGAGCTTTTTCGGTGAGTTCATGATCATCTACGAACTTCATTAATGCATGTCACAAGTAAGCTGTCGAAAGGGGTATCAGGAGCCAGGTGCTGCATTAGATCTTATTGTCCTAAAAGTATAAGCATTTATTATGATTACTATATTATCAAGCCACATAGTTAGGCTATGGTTAGTTTGAAGGAGGAGATACCATTCTTCCTCAGTTATTGTCAACCTTTGCAGGAGTCCTCTTATTTCATTCTTGTATGAGCGTGGATGGCGTCAGAATTTTAGCCGTAGTGGCTTTCCCGGTCCAGATGAAGAGGTTTGTCCAGTTGGCTTTGCTTATGATCTCATGTCATTCTGATTCTTCAATAAAAGCTACATTTTGTAGAAACCATTTAACAGGTATATAGTATTAGATGAGTAGCTATGAACACTTGCTCTCAATCATTTAACTTATGAAATTATAGGATTGGAACTAAACAAGATGACACCTTGACATGCGGCTATTGAATGATGATCCATGGCTCATCTCCACGTGCTTCTTCAATGCAGTTCAGAATGGCTCAAGAGTACTTCAAACCAGCAGAAGGCGGCCTTCTAGTCGACGTCAGCTGTGGCAGTGGTTTGTTTTCCAGGAAGTTTGCCAAATCTGGAACCTACTCTGAAGTTGTTGCACTTGATTTTTCTGAGAACATGCTTCGTCAGTGTTATGATTTCATAAAGGCAGATGGCACTATCTCAGACGAGTAAGCTATATACCCTTTCCTGCTTAGACAGCTGGATCAGACAAATTTGTTCTCATCAAGTGAATGCCAATTGTTTTGAAATGAGCAGAAATCTGGCGCTGGTGAGAGCAGATGTTTCAAGGCTCCCATTCGCCTCAGGTTCAGTCGATGCTGTCCATGCTGGTGCTGCCTTGCACTGCTGGCCTGCTCCTTCCAATGCTGTAAGCTATCACGCCATCCTGCTTTAGACTTAATGTAATGATAATTGAGGCAAGGAAACATAGAAATGTACTCCCTGAAGCATCGTTTCCTTGATATTTGCAGATTTCTGAAATATGTCGTGTATTGAGAAGCGGTGGAGTCTTTGTTGGAACTACTTTTCTTCGTTACACTTCATCAATGCCAGCAATAGCACGGCCTCTCAGACAGGTAGATCTATCCTTCCATGAATTATGATGGAGAACTGTTAATGGTTAATAAATGTTTCAGACTAAGTGCATCGTGAACTGCATACTATAGACTACTAGTTCCAACACCATTGTTAATTATGCCATTAGCTTAACTAATTTCTTACCTTCTGTGGCAGCAATTTATGGCGAGAAGTAATTACTACATAGAAGAGGAAATTGAGGACTTGTGCATGTCCTGTGGTCTTACAAACTATACCAAGAATGTTCAACGATCCTTCATCATGTTCTCAGCTCAGAAGCCCTGATTCCAGGTTTCGGTCCCTCTCATACCGTCATTACCATTCACTGTATAGACATCTCAAATGAACAAAAGGCTGAAATAGGCAGAAACCAGCAAGACATACACAAACATTGCAACTGTACAAGTAATCATTGATGACAGTCTATGACTTTGTCACACCATGTTTCCTTCAAAATTCTTTTTGACTGTCATCGACACCCAGCCTTTCTGCAACAAACCAAATTTCAGGGTGAGAAATAAATCATTCTAATCATATGTCTCCAGATACCTGTGGGCCTGCTAATAGGGGTAAGCCAAAGCTTTCAACTAAGAATCAACTGGATTGTTCTTCCATTTCTTTATCTTTCACACTCTTGTGGCTGAGATTCATCAGTGAAAACAACCATGTTCTGCAAAATTGAGATTGCTGCAAATTCACATTGGCAAGAGCTCCCCCCTACCCACATGATCTGTGGTGAAGCTTTAGTATAATATAAATGGGGGGAAGGGAAGGCACATGACCTTAGCCTTAAAAAAGTACCTGCAGAAGGATACAATATACCATTTTGTTTTTCTGACACACAGCAGATTGGTGTGGGTATGGAGAAGTAAAAGGAAAGAGCCCACGTATGGCCATGAGTGAATGAATGACTAAAAGGGTTTTGGGATCCCCTCGTGCGGCTCACAAGCTGACTCATCCCTCTAGCTCCTTGTTTGTTCTCTTCTGTAGGAACCCATCAATTGGTTCTTTAGGTTTGTTTTTGTTTATGGATCTTTGACTGTTGGCCAAAACGATGCAGAAGGAGGGAAAAAATTTACAGTTCATAAAAGGAGGAATATTGGCGAGCCCAAGGCACCACCACCACCACCCTCCTTTCTACTAGTCCTTTGGCTTTAGTTTGGCCATTGTCCTTCATATTTGTGGTTAAATTTTGGAACTTTGAAAAGTTTTTGAGTGTGGCAGCCTGAAGCTGCTGCAGGTGGAGGCATTGGATCCTCTGCACGTGAACTTCCTCTTCATCTTCTTCATCCTCATCCTTTGTTAAAGAAACTGATCATTAGTATGGCGTCTGGTGCATTTGATCAGACTCTTAACATGATGGAGTTGTAATCATTATATTTCATCTACTATTCGATCATATTAATAAGTTAGTTGGCTTTGAGGGGAATCGTTTTATTAGAGTATGTGTAGTACGAGCAGTATTATCAATTATGTTATACTATGGGTACTAGTATAACATTGGACAGAGTTTATATTTTTTATTAGAGTCGTAGAAGTTAGATAATTTCCCTGTTAGTATTAGGGTTATTATAGAATGTCAGTCTCTGTACTCTATATAAACTCATGTGATTTCAGTAATAATATACGACAGTTTCCACCGTATTTTGATTTCCCAACACGTTTGAACATTTTTCACACGATTGAATGAATGCTTCTTTGTTTTAATGAAACAATCTTTTAGCAAATAAGATCATATCCGTTACACAACTGAATATCCACCATCGACCTGGTCTCAACCAAATTTCCATAACTCAACCACCAAATTCCATAACTAAACTCATACTTAATACGAGACAAATATAAGTATCGAGATACTCGTCACCGCCCCGTTTTATCATTATCATCACTGTTTTGATCTTGCGTATATATCAACAAAATGATTACCACACACATCAATCCAACAGCTGACAAAAGTACACAGAAACTATCTAACTGCATCACTCTGCTCAACGTCTTACACCTCCCACCCGAATCGGCGGCCACCGCCGGCCCCTACCAATCCTCCCACGACATGCAGAAAAAGAACGGTACAGTCTTATATAACTCGAAGTTCCACAAACCCTAATAAACAAATCTTCCCCGGCCGGGGTTACAGGTACCGAAAAGAGGCAGGAGGACAAAACTTGGGAAGTTGGTCACATGAACTGGACCGCAACAAATTAAGCCATTTAGGCTTATAGCTAGAACAAACAGGTTTAAGTAGTTAATTATTTGTTAAAAATGGGGTTAGGAGAGAGTTTTTTTTTTTTTTTTTCTTCCTCCAGTTTATCTTCCTGTTTTCTGGGTGAACTGTTGTTTTTACCAAAAGAAGAGCCAGTAGTAGTTGTCCTGTATTAAGGGCATGGTTCCCTGCATAATTGGTGTCAAAATTCTATTCAAACAGTAACAAACCCCAAGGGCTGCCTAATTTTTTTTTTGATTGAAGGGAGGTGCCGGCAACAAGACTGCCGATCACCAGGGGAGAAAGCAAGAGGTTATCTTCGAGGAAGGTAGTTACAAAGATCAAACGATCACCTGTCTAGGGAAACTTACCCCCCTCAGATCTTCCAGTAAAATTTTCTATAATTCGGGTGGGGGATTCAGCAGTTCAAACGTCCCGAAGGGATAGACGAGACTGTGCTTCGAGAGCCAGTCCGCGACTCTATTCCCTTCGCGGTACGTGTGAACTAACTGAACTACCCAAGGGCTGCCTAATACTAGCTACCACTATATACCTAGCTAGCTAGTCTTAATTAGTTTCAGCTTGTAAACAACTAGGGGTTTGTTCTGAATCCTTCTTCTTGTTAATGTTTAGGTGACTTGTGGCCGTTGTGGGGTTGTTTCTCTGATCCCAACTGACGGATTTGTGAGAGTAGGACCGGCTCGTGTGGTAGAGTTGCGGAAGTTAGAGCGCGATGGTTTGTTGTTCTTGATCGAGTGGTGAGAAGTTATGAATTTCGGGATTTGATTCTTTTGAATTTGCTTAAACCAAGTTAAATCTCATACATTGGGATTGTCGTGCTTGGATCGAAGGGTATATCTTGCCCAGATAGAGCTCATTAAGGTGATGTCCTTCATTTCAAGATGTCAAAAACCTGCTTGCAAGTTGACAACTCGGATCATCAAAGAGCAAATTTGTGACTTGTTCGTCCAGATTGAATTTAGATTCTTAACCTAATCATCATGTCATTCCACAAGATTGTCTTAGGAGCTCAAGACATTCAAAGAACGAAAGTAGGGGGGGGGGGGGGTCATATTACGTTTATTACATTAATCATGTTGATTTTTACCGTGTAGTATTATTTTTATCATGATTTTTCTATAATACGATTTTAATTTGTAGATGATTTTCCCACCGTTTTGATTTTCTTTAGGGGATGACCAATTCGATGTTGATTGTTGGCTCAGATTTTTAACAAAAAAATGGGCTTATTAATAGCTCATTATTTCCCTCAAAATATGCTTAAAAAGGAAACTATGATGCAAATGGGTGCTAAGAGAGATGTGTTTGTCTGTCTAATGTCACATCACAAACACCACAAATTTCAATTTGTCGTCATGAAATGAGGAAAAGAGAAATTAAAGTGAGAGAGGCTGCGCGAAATTGTAATTAGTGGAGTTGTTAGTTTGATTAATTGCTGCCATGTTTTTTGAATGCTGCCATTGGCCAATTAATCTCTCTCCCTTTCCTGTTTTGGTAGTGTGCTGTTTTGCTGTGCCGACAACAGACCAGATACCAAGTTCTTGGCCACTAATTAGACAATGTCTGGTTTGCTGTCTGTCTGATCTTTCTCACCATATTAGTGCTCCATTTTTTTAGCTCCAAGAGGTGAAAATCTATAGGCACATAATATGAGCATAACTATCTAGCTAGGAAATGTGAGTTACATTTGCATATGTGATGCTGTTTACACCTATAAATTTTTCCATGGAGGAAAACATATATTTGTACTATGAAGTAAGACAATGGCTCACTATGTTGGGACTTGAGAGCATGCATGCATTTTCAAACATATATTTGTACTATGAAGAAAATTTTCCATGGAGAATCAACAAAGAAACCTAACCTTAGGATCACCAGAATTGTTGAATTTTCAAACGCAAAATCTCTCTATATGACCACATCAACCACCCAACACTACACAAATTTCCCTCCAATCGCGACTTTAAGATCCTAATCCTGCGCATATGGTTCCAATTAACCAGGTTGGATGGTGGGTCTCGAGGGGCAAAGTAGAAGTTCCAACATACATAACGTACGAGTCAAGAGGGAAGTGTCGGTTGATCATATGAACATCTCACCGTTAACAAAATTTAGATGAAATTTTCAACAAGCATACAAAAACTAATAAATAACATAATACACAAATGTATTTACTTATTAAAACGTTATTGCATAACAGATGAATGAAAACTGTCATTTAACTTTTAGATGTTTCATAATAAAAAAAATAAAATTTTGCCCATAAGAAAGGGAGGATGTTTTCATAATTCTCCAAAATTAATGTAAAGACTAGGATTGCATGGGACAAACAAAGATTGAGACAATCAAGCATTGCAAAACACCCAAACTTTCCTACGTTGTACATTGTCAACTAACACTTGTGGGCCACCAATTGCATCTATGATCTAAATTCTAACCACAGGTGGATCAAAATCAAAACATTGAAAAATACCAAAAGAGATTATAGCAAGTGGCTATCAAGCCATTGGTGCCTATTAATCTCCAAAATCCCAATTAACCCACCAAAACAATTTAAAAAATCTTGAGTATTTTTGTATATTTCAACTAATTAGATACGAGAGAATTCCATAAGAAAACAATAAAAGGATACCCATACAAAATTTTAACTATGATTATGTAGATCACTATGCATAAGGGCATGCAGCTATTTCAAGAAGCCCCGCTTATTAATTAACAACAAAAATATTAGAGAGCTCTTGAGCCAAGGAGATTGAGCAAACCTATGAGTTAAAAAATGCCCAAGTTAGTACAAATTTTTGAAAGGTGGTGGTGGCAATTGGCATAGAATGGGAGACACAGAAACAGCTCCCACGTTGCCTCTCAAATTATATTTCATTTACTTTAGTTTCTTCTTTTGGTGGGTTGGGTTCAAAATCAAACATATATATAACACACTACACTAGCAAGAGAGAGAGAGAGAGCCCTATATTGAAAAGGGAGGAAACAAAATTGGGTTCTTTGTACATTCCAAGGAATAAATATATCCCATTTCCCTCTTGTGAACCTCCATAAATACTCTCTATCTTCCATGCCCTACACTCTCCTCTCCTCTATGTCTTCTTACCACAGCAAACACCTCTTCCCTTCCATAGTTTGACTGACAACTATATATCATCATCTTAGAGGAGAGAAAGCTAGCCAATTTCGAAGAAGGAGCTTTCTTTGGATCATCATCATCATCATGGTTGGTTCTCTTGTCTACTCTTTTTTTCTCTTGTATAGACCATAATTCTAGGTAGGGTTTGCTTAATTGAGGTTCAATTTTGGGTGGAAACCTCACAGGGAATTCACCAGAAGCCCGCATGGTTGGAATCACTCTACAACGAGAAGTTCTTCGTTCCCTGCCCATACCACGAATCCGCCAAGAAGAACGAGAAGAACGTATGTTGCCTCGATTGTTGCACCAGCATATGTCCTCACTGTGTCCCCGCTCATCGTGCTCACAGATTGCTTCAAATTCGTCGGTATGTCTATCATGAAGTTGTGAGGCTGGAAGACCTCGAGAGGCTCATGGATTGCTCGAGCGTTCAGGTGTGGTTTCCTGATTAAGATTGTGCCATTCCAATTTCAATCCCAATTATGATTGATTTTCTAATCATACATCCATCTATCTTCTTTATGGATGGCATAACTAAACTATTGCTTGATTGTTGATCATGAATTATAGGCTTACACCATCAATAGTGCCAAAGTGGTGTTCATCAAGAAAAGACCCCAAAACAGGCAATTCAAAGGGTCAGGGAATTATTGCACTTCATGTGATAGAAGCCTCCAAGAACCATTCATTCATTGCTCCCTTAGCTGCAAGGTAACTTTTCCTATTTCCCACTTCTATCAATTTCTAGTCAAAATTCTATTGATTTCGGCTCCCAATCAATCCAAATTGCTAAAAAGTATATTATTATTATACCATCAAGAATTGCGGCAAGAAGATTGGACTCCCAAGAAAGCATACATGCATCACCAATCTTCTACATCAAATAAACTAAACAAAACAATGAACTTTTTCTGGCTTTCATGATCCAACAAGTTAGAATTTCTGATGATACGATGATAAGATTATCGATCTGACATTACTCTCTATTTACATAGCACAATTCTTTTTCATAAATTTCGACATTCGTACGAGCACGACGACGAGTGAATAGTGCGTATACTAAAAATCAGATAAACCCATTTGACGTGGTATCGTCGTTCAGATGGAACGACGATATTTGAGTAATCCGAAGCTCAATTAGTATCATTATGGAGTGATGAATTGCGTTCAACTTAGTAAAACACAATTTTCAATTATGGTAGCTTAGATGAATTGGATATTGTTGTAATTATAGTTGTGTATATTTTAATTACAGGTGGATTTCGTGCTGAAGCATTACATGGACTTAAGCCCATTCCTAAAGAAGTGCAAGACTTTAGTATTAGGACCGGACTTCTTGATCCCTCAGGACAACATGGGAGACGTCGACGACATGATGACCAACTCCGACGAGCCGGCGATGAGCTGGTCGTCGGGGTCCGGCGGCGGATCGTCGTCGTCCTCCTCGGGGTCCGAGAACATGATGATGAGCAGCATGATGATGATGGCACCGCCGTGTCCCGACAAGATCGTGCGCAAGAAGAGAAGCGGGTTGATCTACGTCTGGTCCAGATCGCCGTCGACAAACTACGACGACCACCACGGCCACAATCATAACCATCAATATCACAGTAATAGAGTCTCCGACGAGGACATGGCCACCAGCTTGAGCCGGCGGAAAGGCGTCCCTCAACGGTCTCCTTTGTGTTAACTAATTAGCAAACTAAGAGGAAGAGGAAATAACAAACCCAACATTATGATGAGGATTTTTAACATTGTAGCTTTAATTACTTTTTCTTTCCGAATTTTGACTAAATCCATCCAACGGAGCGCGGTATCAGATTAATAATTAATCATTCTCCTAACAAATTCGAGTTATTGGTTTGAACGGTTCTCTTGACACGATATCAGAATCTTGGATTGCCGAAAAAGTGATCACGTGTTTAAATCTTGACGGCTCCCATTAAACACATGGTATCCGAGCTTATGCAAACTTCAAACAAATATGAATACCAATCATTTGAGAGGACATGTTATTGTGACTATATAAACATTTCTTGACATAGTATCATATTCCACACCGGTGAAATGTTTCATTCTAACATATAGTATAAGATTCCACGCGGTTCTATCTTTTTTGGAGTCATTTAATCTCATCTCTTTAATCCAATAAATTCGAGATACTGGATTGAAAGACTGTTGACATGGCACTAGAGCCTCCTATTGCTGAGTAGCCATGTATTTGAATATTGACTATATCCAATATTAAACACATCATATTCAGATTTATTGCAAACTTCAAATCAATATAATTATCTTGAGTACATATCAATAATATTATTGAGACTAAACAGTTGTTCACATAGAATCAGAGTCTTAACACTTTGTGAAATGTTTCACTCCCACAATATCTCTCTACCTCTATCCCTAGTTGAAAATTTTGGAGTTGATTAATCACTTGGTCGGAAGTTTTGTCTTAATGGCATCACGTGGTTCCCAATTCCAAGTAATGGTTTTGTACATTTTTCAAGGGGTTTTTTTTTTGTCACGAATTCCTTAGTTAATTGGAATGATCATATCGAGACCCAAGTTTGTACTATTTGGCCATATTTTCTCGTGCATGGTTATGTTATAATAAAGCTTTGCATACGTATAAGCTGAGGTTGTACTTGATCGACCATGGGCGGTCCTAGAAATCTTATAAAAAAGGCTATGCATGTAGAGTGATCAATTAAGGTGAAAGAAATTAGGGGGAAAATGTAGATGAAGAATCCAAACATTAGGGTTTTGTTAATCAAGTTCATCACCATTTCAAAAAAAAAATTACGCTTTTGCAATTGTACATAAAAACTGAATATGTATAAAATCGAAACACTCATTATTAAGAGATCGTTTTACATTTTTTATATATGTTAATTCTGAATGTATAGACCGTCTTTGGTTGTACCTCCTTACTCTTCGTTCAAAATTATTTGGGCTTCCAAAAATTACTAAGCAACATATACACAATCTAGCCAAGTTTATAATTAGATAAGAACTAGAAATACATCATAAAATCAGACGATCTCGAATAGTAAGATGGTGAAACTACTCATTCTTCGAAAATACAGAAGTTTTGGTAAAAAAAAATCTAAGTGACATGGAAAATTGTCAAAATTTGTGGATGAGAATTAGGGCAAGAGACAAAAAAGAAAGATATTTTGTGGGGTTGTTATTATAAAGAAGATAGAAGATATTATTGTTGGAGAATTTTGGAGATAACGATATGAAATTGATAGCTACCTTTCATTACCCTTTTCTTTAACTAATTAAATTCTCATGCATGATAATGGCCCAATGGGCATCCTTTGACTAATCTAGTAATTTCCTTAATACTGGGGTTTTACATTATGTACATGATCTTAATTATGTCGCATTGCAGACACACCCCACCGGCTTCTTCTTGAGAACCGAGAGATAAACCAGACAGGGTTAAGGTTAATAATAATTAAATTTCTTTTAAATAAATACAGGTACTCGAGATTTAAACATGGGTATATATATATATCTTGACCAGTCAAATCGTACCACGTTATATATCATATATGCAAGTTGGTCATAAAATAGAATTAATTTGTGATAATACATTTGTTGATTCAGTAGGTCGGTAGTTAATTCATTTGACTTGTTAGATTTCCCGTTGTTACATATGAGGATTTGTATGAGTTAATCATGTTCATGATCTCGAGTGAGAGGAGAACATTGTTGTTTGTGTGGTATACTAATGATGAATTGATTATCAATAAGTAGTCCCATTGGGACATCCAATAAAATGAATATCTATACGTAGAACGGTATTATTTTGGTTTAAGGAGATCATAGATCAAAAGTATCTCGATTTGATACTCTAGTATCATAAGAAAAGAATGAGGAAAAAATGTTTTGTGCACGGCACAACCTGCAGAGCTGAGCCGCATAAAAAAAAAGTAGATTATAGTTGGTTAGTGGCCTATGTTAAATGTACTTCTGGAGGAGGTGAAGCCTTGAATTTTACGTTCATTTATCGAAGTTCTGTGTTAAACATTTGAAAAAGAAACAAAACGACTATAGGTGACATCGTTCCTTTATACCTCTTCTCCTTCAGCCGCTCGGGGTATGATAATTTATCGTTATGAAAAGTCACCATTTTCTATTCTTAATTATGTCTAGTTTGTTGTGAAACAAGCAAATCTTTCTAAGTGTTTGCTAATTCGTACGGTACAGGTGGTTATGAGAGTCCAAATCAATATAATATTTTGTCGATATGAAACGGATCAGCTACGATTTAATTTAACCCAAAATATCATATCATTGGTACGGTTTTATAATCTTTGCATTGTGGACAAATGCTGGCCCTTGAAATATATGGCTTTTGTGTTTGGGCCTGACGTAGTATGGTTTGGTCATTGGTGCTATTATTGGGCCAAGAACTTTGTTGGTTTTCAAGTGGGTCTCCAAATGGCTCTCTAGCACAGGCTGGTTTTAGTTTGTGTTTGGGCCTTAATCAACCCTGGGGGGAAACATTGTAGTTGGGCTTGCTACACAAGATCAAATTTTCATGATTGATGTATTGAACATAAAATCAGATAATTAATTAATCCAAATGTAAAGGTTTGATATTTGTTTAAAATGATCAATTTCTTGGCCCATTAGTCACTAATTTTGGGATTAGACAGGAACCAAAATAAACCCATTCTCTAAACTGGGCCCCATCCAAATTATCACTAAAGAGTAAAGACAAACATTCAAAAATAAAAGGCTTCAAAGTTGGAACTATCCATTACTGTTGTTGGAATATGGAACTTTAGTTAACATCACAATAATTTTGATTTGGATATCATATAGTGCTTTAGCACTTTAAAGGCGATCAATTAATTTGAATAAAAGGACCATATACAGCCAAAGGTCGTAGTCCGATTGATGAACCCTCGTTGGATGCTCGTTGTAGACGTATGAGATCCTGAGTTTGACCTTTCTCAATGCTCTTTCGCGTGAATCCTCAAGTTTGATCTCACCTCGTCATCGCTCAAGGTGTGACAAGGGCTCTCCCCTCCTCTGTTTTCTTCTGTTCCGACAGTATTCCATTGTGCGAGGAATGATTGTTGATTATCCCGCCGCCGGGACTCATCGCCGACGTCCGCCGCCACAGTATCCATCGACCCCATGAGCTAGATGATTCATTCACCGGACCCCGTTGGTCCACAGATCGTTCTCCTCTCGACACGTTTCTTCCTGATCAGGAAACTTAATCAATGAACTCAAGAATATGGAAATCGCATATGTTGGCCACTATATCAAAGTGGTTGAAAGTAACCATCAAAGGGGACAAAGAGAGTGAGTGGGTTCAGCTTCAGCCCCATATATTCAAATAAAAAATACCTTAGACTAACTCCAACTATGGAGCAAATGGAGGAGCAAAAGAAAGAAAAATAAAAACCCTAGCAAACAATCCTTCAAGGAATGATGCGGTCGATATTCTGAAAACATGAGATAACACGATCGTAGCATATATAGAATACATACATATTGTAACGTATATAAGATACTTTGAAAATATGAGATAACACGATCAGTCGATATTTACATTGCACTGAGACTCGGCCACTCTACCATAAGTCATACACATTACTCTTTAGGAACGTGGGAGAGATGTCTCATATATATCCAACATTTTTCTTCAATGATTTTTCGCGAAATACATTATTATACATTTGGATTTGACTGAGTAATGAAGTTGAATCCGTGATTTCGTGTATTCAATATCTTTAAACAAAAAGCGATGCTCATAGAGATAGGAATGATATTTGATTTTACATCGTTGAATTTCACGTTATAGTTATTCGATAAAGTACAATCATGTATATCGGAGGTTCATGCTACCATCCTTCCATGAGAGAAAGGAAAAACAAAAACATGAAGAAGTGGATGGGGTATTTTTTCAATTAGTCGAGTCAAACTTTTTGTTCTCGGGGTTTACAATAACTTGTATGAAATTCAGCTGTAAAACCATCAAATTTATCAATTTTTCGTCGATAGTCTGGTTGTGTTTATTTGTTTGAATCGACCTGATGAAAACTACTATAACAATAAAAGAATAATCAACGACGAGCTAAATAAAATATAACATAATATCTTAACTCTTAAGATTAAGGCGCTATCACCGGACCAACTAAGACATTGCCAAAATATTGTTAGACTATGAGTGGTAATTTTTTTGTATCACATTTTAAGCTTTAACCTTGAATTTGAGTTTTCCCCCCTTCATGGACACATGATAAAATTAGAAAGATATATAGAAGATTAGTAAATTTGAAGTCTCCTTGTTAAAAAAATATTGGGTAAAAAAGGGATTTTCTCCAAATGATAATACCAACAGTTTTTTCCCATTTTAATTTTTACTCTCACTCGCACTCTTCCTCCTTATTTCTTCTCTCCCACTCGCACGACGACACCACCGCTCACCGAATAACAGATAAAACAAGCCATTCACCGTAGCTTCAGAGCAAGCAGCAGAGAAAAGAAGAAGAACAAGAGAAAATTTTCACAGCAATGTCGCCAACACGAAGAAACCCACCATTGTTGCTTACTCTCTTCCTCTCCGTGCTCATTTCCTTTCTTTTCGTCTCCTCCACCGCAGCTCCCGGAGCTGAAACTGCGACGTTTCATTTCCGAGCTCCTCGATTTCCCGGTAAAAAAAAAAGAAAAGATTGTTCCTTTCTCCTTCCTATCTTTATGGGCTTCTGAAATTATTTTCCTTTTTTTGGTGAACAATGTGTTTTTTCTGTGATGGGTTTTCCTTTTTTAGAGTTTTCGAGAGCTGGGCATGGCTTAGTGTCGCCATTCGGCATACGACGCCATCTCGCCGGTGGCAACTCGACGGCTGCCGGAGATGGGAATTCGACGACTCTGGTGTTGGCTGAAGAGAGGACTCGAAGGAAAGACCCTTCGGATAACATGAAAGTTTACACTGGTGGATTCAACATCAGCAATCAACACTACTGGAGTGTGAGTTTCTTTCTTCCCCAAACTAAAAAAGAAACATAAGAATCTGTCGTTTTCCCTTACCTATTTTAGTGGTTTCCCTCAGCTGGGTTTTCAATTGTTTCTCTCAATCATCTCTTTGCTTTTATGAAGCTAGCTGATTTTGATTGCATCATGCTTCTTCTGGTTCTATGCAATGAGTCCATAGCAGTTCTGTAACCAAAATTGGGTCATTTTTATTATTATTATTGAACTAGTGAATTGATTGTTCCTCCTGGTTTCAGTCTGTGAGTGGAACAGCAGCGCCATTCTTTTTCATAGCTGGAGTTTGGTTTCTTGTCTTTGGGATATCTCTGTTCTTCACCTGTCTATGCTGTTGCTGTTGCCGGAGAGAGCCTTATGGCTACTCTCGAACTTGCTACGCCATCTCCCTCATCCTCCTCATCATTTTCACCATTGCTGCAATGTAATATAACACTCTCCTCTCTCCCTCTCTTTATCCCACGGTTGTTATACTCGGATTGGTAACTAATTGTTTGTGGGGAAGTTCACAGTGCTGGATGTGCTGTTCTGTATACTGGACAAGGGAAGTTCATCGGCATAACATCAGACACATTGGACTATGTAGTGAGCCAAGCTGATGTTACTGCCGAAAGCCTCAAGAATGTGTCCGGTTACCTGGCTGCAGCGAAGTCGATTGGCGTGGACTCGATTTTCTTGCCTCCTGATATGCGGGGTAAACTCGATGGCCTTGTGGCGAAGGCCAATTCGTCTGGGAACACTCTGTCCAGCCGTACTCAGGATAACAGGAAGAAGATTAAGGATGGGTTGAATAGCGTGTAAGAAGCTCTTTCAAACTTGAATTGAGTATCTGAGTTTGTTCGTTTGGTCTCTTAAATCATTTGCTGATGACCATTTCTTACCGCAGGAGATTGGCTCTTGTTATCATAGCTGCTGTTATGCTTGCTTTGGCATTTCTTGGCTTCTGTAAGTTCTCTTCAGTTCTTTGAAAAATTGCAGATGTTGCTGTTGGTTTCCTTCTGATCTTATTATGACTTTGTTTTTGCAGTATTCTCTATTCTTGGGATGACTTGCCTTGTATACTTGTAAGTGATACTGATAATCGAGTCGTTTTTCCTAACTATTCAGAAACCAGAAACGATAGTGCTGAATGTTCTGCACATTGTTGTTAACTGCAGCCTGGTGATTCTAGGATGGATCCTTGTTGCTGGTACTTTTATCTTGTGTGGTGTGTTTCTTCTTCTCCATAAGTAAGTTCCTTTGCTCTCCCATTCGTTAATCGTTTTTACCTTACCAATTTATGTTCATCATGGTTAAAATCTCCCTTCCATTACTCTTATGGTTGTTTGGAACCTCTCTCTCCATCAATTTTAATCTTCTCTTGGCATTACAGACCCTTGTCCTGCATCACAGATTCATACGAAAATCTGTTAACTTTTTCCTCCTTTTGTCATTTACTCTATTGCTAAATTACTTCCTCTCATCTTGGTTTGGTCTTTTGTGTCATCTTATCATCATCATCTTTATCCCAGTGTGGTGGCCGATACATGTGTGGCAATGGACGACTGGGTCCAGCACCCTACAGCTAAGACGGCCATGGACGATTTCATCCCATGTGTGGACAATGCAACTGCACAAGAGACCTTGGTGCAATCGAAGCAGGTCTCTTTCCAGCTCGTCAACATAGTCGACAACGTCCTCGCCAATTTCTCCAACCGCGACTTCCCGCCACAACTTGGACCTCCTCTCAACTACAACCAATCCGGTCCCTTGGTTCCTGTTCTCTGCAACCCCTTCAACTCTGATCTCACCGTCAAGGACTGTGCTCCAGGGGAAGTCGGCTACCATAATGCAACTGAGGTGAGCCCCCATTCATGATCAATCAGGCAACATTATGTTACTGAACTCTCGGTGACTAGGCGAATCGACCATTGGAGACGATTTGGCCACTGAAGTTTAAGAAACTTGACACAAAGTTAGCTACTTGTGCGAATCCTACTTAACTAAAAAAATCTCGATTCTGTTTCGTTTCGTTTCCAAATGCGCAGGCGTGGAAAGGCTACGTGTGCCAAGTCTCGAGCAGCGGCATATGCACAACGCCCGGTCGACTGACTCCATCTTTGTACTCCCAAATGGCATCTGCCGTGAACGTGAGCTACGGACTGTATCGCTATGGCCCGTTCCTCGTAGAGCTGGAAGACTGCACGTTCGCGAGGAGGACGTTTACGGACATCAGCAGTTCGTACTGCCCCCACCTCCGACGGTACACGCAGTGGATCTACGTAGGGCTGGTGGTTGTCTCGGCTGCCGTGATGCTGTCGCTGATCTTCTGGGTGGTCTACGCCAGGGAGCGACGCCACCGTGTGTACACCAAGCAGTTCATGACTGGTGGTGGAGAACACAACAAGGGCCCCGAGCATATGTGAAAGGGGTTTTGATTGATCGATCGAGTACAGCTTCTGTAAATCTTAGTTGTTGTTGTTGTTCTAGGTGTGAGATGTATATGTAAGACTGGTAGTTTTAAGCACTGAAGAAGTTAAGGCCGGTGGTGCAAGAACCGAAACTATTAATCGATTCCAAGAAGCATTTGTTCATGTATTCATTCATGAACAAATAATACAACTAGATTTCTTGACATTGATCAAAGATTTCTCCAATCATGAGTAGAAGAACATGCATGAATCTGAGATGCAGATCTTTTTCTACTTGATACGTCTATTATTCGAGGAGTTTGTGCTTGACCTACAATAAATAACATGTTTTTTTTTTTTGCATAAATTTCTAATACCAATTGCTACTTAAACTATAGGTATTTCGAAAAAAAATACTACTTAGATCATATATCTAATTATAATTTTAGGTTGAAGCGGTTGTTTTAGGTGGTAATTATTATTTCGAGTACAAATACAGTATACTCGATATTGATATATAGAGTCCCGTCAACGTTGAATACCAATACGAGTCTCTGTCTGATCAAAACTAGCTAAAACATTAATGAAAATAGTAAAGTATGCATTATATGTAGAGAAACTCGATAAGCTTATCCGTTAAAATTTTTACCAAGTCAACAGAAGATTTTCTACCTTTCTCAGCAAAATATTGGCCAAGTTTTGTGGAGTGAGCAACCAAAAATAAGAGCGATCGTTTTCTTGTAATTTACCAGACAACAAACCGAAAGAACCCAAAAGACTCGTACTTGTACACTGACCGAACCAGTAAACCAGATAACAAAGCCAACCAAATAAATTTTTTTTTTTTGTCTAAAACCATAAAAACACAATCCCAAAATCATATGATCCAACCAATAAAACCGGGTCAACAATACTCATAGTAACCGGTTCAACCGAATTGATTCCACTCCTGCAAAATAAATTCCAATTAAGTCCCGTCCTATTCTTCGGCCATTCTTTCCCGCCGCGCGCGTAACCGCTAACCAACCACATCCTTTGCGCCACCTCACTAGCGCAATTACCATCTAACCCACCCCTTCCGGCAAAAATTTCTTGGCGCAGCAAGGGCAAACTAGTAAAACCCATACCTATACAGAAACAACCGCAAATCCTCAGATTCCCAATACTACCCTCCAGATCCCTCTCACCTCCTCCTTCCCCACCAGGGACAAAAATGTCCATCGCGAACCTATAAAACCACCGCTTCGGAGTCGGTCGCTCGGATTGCCTCTGTTTCCGATAAAGCTCACGAAACCAAAGAAAAGGATCAAAATTTCTCCCAATTACAAAAACAAAACACACAGATTCTTCCCACCCCATCATCAGAAATCAAATCCCAACCAATGGCGACTGGCAGTTCTTCTCCGTCCAAATTCGTCAAGACCCGGACGTGCCTCTGCTCGCCGACGAACCACCCGGGGTCGTTCCGATGCAGCCTCCACAAGAACCGGCCGTCGACGAGCAGCATCCGGTCGAATCGACGGGAATTGGCGGCGGCGGCAGCGATGGCGAAGGCGTTCACTTTACGGGCCTTCCTGCTGCAGATCATCAAGCCGTCGAATCAGGATCAGAAGCGGCGGAGGAATTTCCAGCCCCGGCCGTCGAGATTTTTCACGATGAACGCCAGCGGCAGTGTGGCGGTTTCGTAAAGATCGATCCTTTTTCTTTTCATTTTTTCGAGAATTGGATTCAGGAATCTAGAATTTTGTTTTTGTTTGTTCTTCGTGATTAGTTGTTTGGCATGTAAATAGGGGCAGGGGAGAGCAGAATTTTCTCAGACGGATCTGTTTTTTTGTTTGGACTCTGAGAAAATAGAGTTCTTTCGTTTTCGTTTCCCCTTTCAGGAATTTGTTGATTGGGGAATGTATTGAAAGCGGAAGCAGATAGAAATTCACTGTCGTGATTTCTGGAATTGGTTTCATTTCACAAATTCATCCTAATTTGTTTTTTCTTGTGGGTTTAGTTTGATTTCATTGATTAAAAGCTCCCTGTAGAAGAGCATTCAAAAAGCTTACCCTAACGAATGAGGATAGGGAGATCAAAGGAAAGCAGGCGGCATTCTACTGCTGGTTTTAACACTTCTATAGTTCTATATGGGTAAGAGATTTAAGTAGGCCCGCCGCCCATAGAATTGGGAAGGGGAAAACAAGGGGCCCAATTAACTGAAGCCCACGATACGTGCAATACCACGTGGCAAGTAATGACGCCGTCTGAGTGTCACCGCGATACGCCGTGCCGTCGTCCTATCAGTTTGCGCAGTCCCTCCCACGTAGAAAAAGATCCCCGTCAAATCGTCAACTAAAACAAAAAAAAAAACTAAAACGGGACGGGAGAGGACGGGATTTTGTTACTCAGAATTTTTTAAAGAAAGTGCGAAGAAAAAACGAACGACTCGCCCACCGCTTTCCTTACGGAAACCGTTGGATTCCCCTTCCAATCCAACCCGACTAATCCACTCCACGCGCCTTCGGCGCGTTCTCCACGTTCCCCTCTCCGCTTTTCAGCATCAGTCCCTGAAAATTCTTCTTATTTCCCCGTATTATTATTCTTTTCCTTTTTCTTTTCTATATGGAATTATTATTATTAGGATACTTAGATTACTAATGAGTAATTAGACTGATTATCCCTTTTTGTGAAGAAAGAGTTAACACTTAAGTATGGTTTTACCCTTTAGGGGAGAGTAATTTCATTGAAAAAGGAGGGAAAATGGAATCTCGGGAATGGCAGTCAAGGAAATGAATAATTTTCAAACTTCCGAGGAGCACCATAGCAAATACACAAAAGTTGATATCCTTGGACCTGCAAAATATCGCGGGAATCCCGAAACTACCCTACTCAGTACTCACGCGCCACCTCACCACCTGCCTTTGCAAAATAGTATAAATTCATAACTGGACTTAAGCTAGGTTTGCCGAATTAGCTAGCCAAACAGGCTTTTTTAGAAATAAAATAAAAATCCCCTCTTTTTTTTCCCTCTCTCTAGATTCCTTCTTCTTCCACACTGAACTCAGAAGTTACAAAAATGGCGATTACTGCAGCAACCGGATCCTCAAGACGGCAAACACCCGGAGGATCGGTCAACCGGTCCTACTCCCAGTCCGGCGGCAGATTCAGCCTCTCGCCGTATCAGTCCTCTACAACAAACGGCTTCGCTTCATCCAGCTCCAGCTTCGCGACCCGCTCCTCCACCTTCTTCGCCGGGAACGAAATCAGATCCGCTTCACCGCCGCGAGTCAGCATGTCTGGCCAATCCATGTCGGCCTCCGCCGTCCGATTCTCCCTCGACGGGTCGGTCTCTCCCAACCGGTCGATTTCCACCGTCAGCCCCTCCCGGAGCCGGACGCAGGTGGTGAGGAAGCAGCCGGGTCCCAAGAAGACGTGTATGTGCTCGCCGACGAACCACCCCGGGTCCTTCCGCTGCAGCCTCCACAAGAACCAGAACGCGCCGGCGCACGCGCCGAACAACCGCCTCAACGCGCGCAGATCCGCGATGACGAACTCGCTGGTGAGGATCTGCGGCGTGGAAGGGGATCTGGTGAAGCGAGCGCTTGCGGCTTTGATCCGGCCGAGCTCCCACCAGCAGAGGCGCCGCGCGGGGTTCCAGTCCCGGCCGAGCCGGCTCAGATCCATGTCCAAGGTTGAATCGTAACGGTTTTTTGGAAAACGAGAGAATTACTCGAAACTCTCTTTACTTGGTCTTCCAAAATTTTTTCCCCCTGCGACGGAGGGCTCAGATCTGCGGTCAAAGCCGGTTTGACTGAAGACGTCGGGGAAGAAACTGCCTGGAAACATTCCATCTAGCCTGTAACTCCGGTGACCGGGAAAAATAGTGTATATAGAAAGAAAGCCTATATGATGAAAAAGTTATATATTCTAATTTGCCGCCATCAATGGCGAAAGTTTTGGTAACCATAATTAGGGATCTCGGTCTTGGAACGATGCTTGGCTAACTCCAAATTCGATGCTAATTCCTCATCGCCGTCGCCGTGATTCCCGTGTAGTGTGTTTCCGGTTGTGATTGCTCCGTTCGCCGTTCAGGCGTCCTCCGTCGCCCGTCCCTTTCAGTTGGTGAGTTCCGTTCTGTATGTTGATTGATTCCTTTATTTATTGTATTAATTAATTTTATCGTTTTTACTTCGGTTTTACCGCCTTGCAGGTGCGGTTATTGGTCTGATTAAAGCTGGAATCGGTGGTTATGGAGCCAAAATGGTGATTATTGGTTGATCTGTTTATCAGTGGTTCCTGGTTGGACCCGAACTCTGATTGGATTACAGCAATGAACCGAACATTGGATTCACCAGACGACCGGAAACCTGGACGTTACCATGGGCAAAATTTTCAACTAGGTCAAGGACGGAAATTGAAATTGAGGAAAATTGGGAAAATTATTTGAAGATGACTGGGAATAAAGTGAGAAATTAGGTTGGAAAACAAATTTAATTAATGGAGTTTCATAATTTAATTAATTGGTCAATGGCTCATTTTAAGGAGGAGGTTGTCCATAGTTTTGAAGTGGACCTTTTTTTTTCTAGTAAAAGGAAACGTACAAAGCCAGGCTGGTGAGAGGATTGATCGGAGTATAATAAGCAAGGGATAAGTTCCACCCAATGGAAAGATTTATGAGTTTTGATAACCTCAAGGATGATTTGAATCATGAAACGATTAACAGTGGACTGATCATTACGTAGGACGTATTTGTGGTAAGATTACTAGAACATCGTAACGTCGTAGTCGTAACGAAATGCTGATACATGCGTTTGATGGTTTTCAATTTATGTTCTTAATTGTTGTTCACTGTTGTATAATCAGAAATCGAGATCGTATTGAGATAACTTTTGATCATTCAAATGACTTATTGAGAGTTACTGTCGCCGCAATTTGATCATATAATTGGGTGATCTACTGACTAATTAGATTTTAGTACGTGGGGTTGCTTGCCAAGTTGGGCAGCTGCCTGTCACTACCAGGAGCGGTATTGGGAATGTGATGTGTCATATCATCTCAACATCCATTACTGCTCTTTTTTCCTTTCTTCTTCTTCTTCTTCCTGTGAAATAAATGAGGGTGAAGAGGACTTTGGAAAAACCGTCGACATGGAATGGAAAAAGGGTTAAGAGCGGAAGAACAAGAAAGAGCTAGTGGTTTCCATGGTGTAAGAAGCTCACTACGTGATTAGTTATGCGATGGAAACGTGTTGATGAAAGTATCAACGAAAATTTATCTATTTCCTCTCTCATAGAAGTAGGAAGAGTCGGGACCAAATGCAATAAAAAAAAACATCGTGATATAATACACTCTTTGAACCTTCTCTTATTAACATAAAAATAAAAACGACGATAGTCTTCTTTCTCTGATGTAAATCTCTTTGAGTCTTTTAACAAGATTCAATACTATCTTCGCAATACTTAACTCTGCACTTCTTCAGGTTGTTTTGTTGGTCTGTAAATTCAAAAAATTTATAGTTCACGTCAAACGTGTTTAAGGGATATAAATGTTAATCATCTTATGAAATGAATACATCCACTGAACTTAGTTAATTTTGATCATTTTTCCATGGATAATATTCGAAGGAATCACGATCTTTTGGATTCTTTTGAATGAACTGTGTTTAAGAGTTTTCCTTTCTAGTTGAACTTGGGCAAACATGGTAAACAGTTTTCCCACTCAAAGCTCAAAAAAGCTATTTTGAAGGATGGATATAATTTTGCTTTCTAGTTGTTTAATCCAACCTTTCGATTACGTGTACCTAGGATAAATATCAAATTATAGTCAAGTGGAACCCTAATTAAAGAAAAGAAAAGGGAACAACATGTCATGATTTTATATAATATCACTTGCTTGTCACTACCCCATTACAATGATAAAGTTTATGTCAACTTTGAGAAACTTTATTAGACCCAAACAAATATCAGTGTCACTAGTGGAGAGATATTGTTAAATTGATATCTAGACCTCAAAACAGTACTTACTCTTGACTAGAAGAGATATATATATATATGGTTGATAAGAAAATCAAACTCAATAGTTGACAAATTTGCAAACAAACTATAAGATAGGCGGGTCTACCCTTTTAAGACAACATGGTGTATTTGATCGATTACAAAAATTCTAATACAGATGGGTTGATATACACTGCAGGCATAATGAAAAGTTCGTTAAAATAACAAGTGAGTGACCATGTTCATGGTAACCTTAAGACCCTGTTTTCATTTTTCGTCGTCAACCAGAAACCAAATAACGGTAACGGTGGATAGTGTTGTATATACTACGAATCTCTAGACTCTATATGGATTGATAAGAAGAAGAAGCAAAACTCATTGACAAAATAGTACACAATTGGAGGATAAGGATTCAAATAGTTTATCCACTAATTACTTCCTTCCCGAGAATTACTAAGATGCCAAGTTTTCCCCCATTCAATAAAGACTTCCCACATCAATATAAAACCCCACTTAGCTTATATCATCTTCAATCGAGCAAGTTGCTACACTTTTTCATAAACAAGGCTATGGCCCAATTAAAGTAGAAGAGTAGATGTGTACATATACCCATTGATGATGGTGATAATAACTTGCAATTTTGCACATAATTATTATGAAGATGGTGGCAGCCCACAGGATGGATTAGTACACTTGAAAGCTAAAGAGATATGAGTGTAGGTTGGAACAAAGAAGATTAGGATATGCATTGGCGCCCCCTTTAATTTGTTTGGCTTTTGGCACGAGGGTGTTAGAAAGTGGTATAAGATCCAGCATAACTTTCTTCTAATAACTCGAGTTATTAGAACCAACTGGTTTATGACATGACATGGTATCAGAGCTGGTTTGGCCAAGTGGTCGTGTGTTCGAATCTCTACGACAAGGTATGGTGGGTCTGTGCAAACTTCAAGCCTATGAGTTGACTTTCGTTTGAGAGGGCGTATTAGAGAGTGATATAAGATCCAGTATAACCTTTTCACAACAACTCGAGTTATTAAAAGTGCAAACTTCAAGTTCATGAGTTGACTTTCGTTTGAGAGGGCCATAGTCCAACGCCTAATAGGGGTGAGACTGCTCATTGTACAACAGCTACTTATCCTTGTTTTTATCGACCAACGATGTCTACATCTTGGCTGGGGAGTTTGAGAGATAAATCCCAAAATTTCCAATTGATAATGTCGTATTTCAAGATGAGTTGTCTCTTTTTTTTTATGGGACAAATTATAGTGGTATAATGATATTCCCTCCCTGCTCCGTTCTAGTCTCATTCTATCTTAATTTTTTACAGTATCTGTTCATATTTTCCTTATTTTTGCGTTTCTTCAACTAGTTAAATTTGATATTTCAACTAGTCAGACTCAATTACCCATTTTATTATCACTAATTTTTCATTCATAAAGTATTTTCCCTTCGTTTTACAGTAAAAAGTAAAATTTTGCATATGTTTTTTTCCAAATAATATGTAAAAGTGGGTTGACTCATCCCGTTCCGTACCCGCACGAATATTGCACACCCCAAGCCGCACTAACGTGGGACAAAGCATGAGAGTATTGAAATACCCGTCCCGCGCCTTGCCCCCATTGCCACACTAGTTGGACACAATCTGGTTAGCGTATGCTCAGGGGTTCGATCGGTATGTGTTGAAATGGTTGAATCGTGCCATTTATATGACCTTGATATTTAAATCTATAGAATCAAAATAATAGAATCTGACGGTCCAACTATATCTTCATTATTTGATCATGCTCCACTCCATGGATAAACCTTGACAGGAGAGGAGAAGTTGGGGATCCAGGATCTCTTGTTCTTGTAGGGGAAGATATTGCTAGGAAAGTGTTCTTGTTTTTTCTTTTTTTTTCGTTGCTTTCCAATTCTAGATTTTCATTTTTATACTCGATTTATTCTTGTGATTTACAATGGTTGTCCAACTAATGAAGCACTGGACTGGAGAAGGACAGTTGAAATATATGTGCTAGAATGGACCGTCAATTTCATGGAGATATCAGTCCACTGGACTGGAGAAAGCCCAATTTAAAGAAGTCCCAAAAGGAATGGGCTTGGGCTCTTTCTCAGAGGCTCTTACAGTGGTGAAAGAGTAAAGAAGGATAGCTAGCTTGGTCATAAACACTAGTGTTAGTCAAAATGTTTGGAAACGTGCATTTGCCAAACTTTTGAGCCTGAAATTCATCACAAAAAACCAATCGAATCGGTGAAAGAAAGACGATAGGCAGAAACGAGTCGAACATGTGGTGAGTGATCATAGTCCGATGTGTAATGATGAGGAAACATTAAACTAAGAGAGGGAGATGTGTATAGGCAAAATTCAAGTTCCCTCTCCTTAACTTTTTCCCAATCCTCATATTGTCTAACCAAGAAACCTTTACTAATAAGTTGTTATGTTTGATAAGGTGCGAACGACATGTATTGACGTTGTTGGATTGTACTCGTGTTTCTAGTCGTTGGATCGAAGAGTGACATTTTTTGAAAGATAATGTCAGCATAACTGATCCACCTTGGAGCACGCAAAATATGACCTAACGTCGGCAGCACAAGTTGACAACAAGAAACCGAAAGTCTGAAATTTCGTGGCGTCCATGAAAATGACAAACGGAAGAAGAAAGAAGAAAACAGAGGACGTGAGAAAGGGAAAACAGAGGAGCGAAAAGGGGGAAAAATCAAAACTTTAAAAGCAACAACTTCCCATTATGAAGTAGTGTGGACTGTGGACGGTAGAGTAGTAGGTTGGTAGTGCTTGTTTGTCAGTCTCAAATTCAATCCTCCATTTTGTACGAATAAAAGCCGGCAGGCAGGGCATCACTTCGCTACCGCACTTTCTACCCAACATTTTCCGCTTTCTCTCTTTTTACCCTCGTCGCTTGTGCCATGGCGACGGCGACGGCGACAACCCTGAAAGCAGGGACAAGACCGCCGTGGGTGGGTCTCGGAGCGGCGGTCTGGGTCCAAATTGCGGCAGGGAATGCGTACAACTTCCCACTCTACTCCCATTCCTTGAAATCCGTGCTGGGTTTCAACCAGCAGCAGCTTTCTATGCTCGGAGTAGCTAATGATATCGGCGAGAACATTGGCGTTATCCCTGGGATCGCTTGCAATTACTTGCCTCCATGGGTTATTCTCCTCGTCGGATCTCTGGCTTGCTTCTTTGGCTATGGCGTCCTCTGGCTCTCCCTTAGCCGGACAGTCGAGTCCTTGCCCTACTGGCTGGTGAGTTTCTTTGCCTAGTTTCTTCGTGTGAAGTTCTGAACTTTATTGCGTAATCCGACCACCCGATTGATGAAATGGCTTGAATCTATTCTCAGAATTGGTAAATATTTTTGGATATCAAGTGCACGTTAATGTGGGGCTTGATTGTATGATTAGAAGGGTGTGATCCCCACTGCAAAGAGCTGATCTATTCTGTAATTAACTTATTATGGTGTAAAGTTCCAAACTTTACTCGCGGGTTTCGCCTACCCATCTATCGAAATGACTTGATCAGAAATGGGTTTTTTCTTGAGCTCCGGTAGGTTGTAGATCGACATGAAGCAAGGCAAATTATATGCTGTGTTACTTGTTCGATTAAAAATGATTGTGTAAATTGCATGAGTCTGCGATGGGGAACTTCACTTTATTCTTCGTAGTGGACATGTTCTAACGTGGTAGTTAGTATACTCCGTGATTCCGATCTGCAAATAGCTAATCTAACCATGAAACTTTGGGAAAACTTGCTTATTTCCACAGCTCTGGCTAGCGCTATGTGTTGCTACAAACAGCAGTGCGTGGTTTAGCACAGCGGTGCTGGTGACCAACATGAGGAACTTCCCTCTCAGCCGAGGCACGGTCGCTGGTATTCTCAAAGGCTATGGAGGAATCAGTGCTGCGGTGTTCACCGAAATCTTCAACATCTTGCTCCATGGATCCTCCTCCAAGCTCCTCATGTTCCTTGCTGTTGGGATTCCCATCCTGTGTTTTGCAGTGATGTACTTTGTGAGAGCTTGTACTGAATCATCTGGTAATGACCCTTCCGAAAATTCCCATTTCCTCTTCATCCAAGGTGCTCTTGTTGTGCTTGGCGTGTATGTCCTGACGAGCACAATACTTGATCACGTGCTTAGCCTGAACACTGTGGTTTGTTACACGATTCTGGTGGTATTGTTCGCCCTCCTTCTGGCTCCTCTGGCTGTTCCCGTCAAGATGACTTTTGCTCGAATGACGAGTAGCAAATCAGTACCCATCGACATAGACCAAAGGGTATCCTCTACTGACTCTTTGGTGCAAGGGGATGGGAGCATGGAGAAAACTGAGCCATTGCTGATGAAGAAGTCTTCGTCGGCAACAACAAGTGAGAGCTTTAGGGAATGCGACGATGGGTCGGAGGTGGCAATGCTTCTAGCTGAAGGGGAAGGAGCAATCAAGAAGAAGAGGAGGCCTAGAAGGGGGGAGGATTTCAGTTTCACTGAAGCTGTAGTGAAAGCTGATTTCTGGCTCATTTTCTTCATTTACTTCGTGGGAGTTGGCTCTGGCGTGACCGTGCTAAACAACCTGGCTCAGATAGGGATTGCACAAGGAATGCATGATACAACAATCCTACTGTCACTCTTCAGCTTCTGCAATTTTGCAGGGCGCCTTGGTGGAGGCGTCATCTCTGAACATTTCGTCAGGTTTGTTAGCAGCATTGACACAATGCTTGGATTGAACTTAGTACTGCTCTTTTCATGTTGCATCCCTAAAGTCAAATGGTATGAACTTTCCATTTGCAGAACGAGAACAACCCCTCGAACAGTATGGATCACATGCGCCCAAGCATTGATGGTGGTGACATATCTCCTCTACGCATCTGCCTTAGACGGGACCCTCTATGCAGCAACTGCGCTGCTCGGTATCTGCTATGGGGTTCAGTTCTCCGTCATGATTCCGACTGTCTCGGAGCTTTTTGGGCTGAAGCACTTTGGTATCTTCTACAGCGTCATATCGATAGGGAACCCCATCGGGGCATTCCTCTTCTCGGGCCTCCTAGCAGCATACGTTTACGACACCGAGGCAGCCAAGCAGAACGAATCGAATAGTATGCTGTACAGTTCTGGTTTCTCTTGCTTGGGTCCAGACTGCTTCAGGCTGACCTTCTTGGTTCTAGCTGGCGCCTCTGCCTTGGGCTCCATCTTGAGCTTCGTACTAACATTGAGGATCAAGCCTGTTTACGAGACCCTTTACGCTGGTGGCTCGTTCAGGCTGCCTCGGACTTCTGATGATCAGTAGTAGGGTCATCTGTTGTTGTAGTAGGACTGAAGGTCTTATTTTTGGATGACCTAAGGAAGCAGCATATATATGTGTGTGAGATTTGACTATTTGTAACACCAAGTCCTTCTCCAATCGGAGCAAGGATTTGTAGACGTGATACTTCTGTCTACATATATGAAGACCATGATGCAGAATCGCTAGAATCAGAGTGCGTTTAAGCAATTCTTCCATCTTATTTTCAAGAATCGGAATGGGAGGGGATCCGTACTTCGGCAAATTACCGCCGGAGCTACTAGGGAAGATAGCCACCGCCCTTCCGCTCGATGAAGCCACGAGGACCAGCATCCTCTCCCGCCGATGGCGGAGTCAGTGGAGATCGGCGCTGCCAAACCCGCACTTCGCCGGCAACCCGACCACCCAGTTCGCCCCCAACGGTTACCCAATCTCGTGCTTCGACACCGTGGACGAATTCCTGAACTGGGTCGACAAGGTCATTATCCGCGGGACCGCCGCCGAGCTCTCGATCGAATCGCTGGGGCTGAATTTCGAACCGGAGGATACACATTGCGGGTGGATCGAGTTCAATTACAAGACGGACGGATCCAATACGGCGGCGGCGCTGGTGGACGGCGCTTGCACCTGCTGCCGATTCAAAGTCGTGTCTTTTCGCAGGCCGGACAGAGTACTCTCCCTGAGCGGTCTGTTGTCGGGAAGAAGGCGGGGGGAACTTCTCAAGCGCTTGGCCCTGCGGAACTGCGACATGGGAATCCTGAGGAGCCAACTCACCGGCGCCGGCAACAGTTTCCAGTAAGCTAATAATTTCATATTCACACTGAAATTTCTGAAAGCAATAGAGTTTGGCGAATTTTCAGCGCTCTAAGTATTGGTTCGCTCGAGATCAAAGCGATCTAATTAGATTGTGGCCGATTAAAACAAGCGATCTAATTAGATTCAATCAAAGTGATCCACCCAGATCGTTGATGAAATTAGCGATTTATGTGTTTAGTTATCCGATCGTAACGATTTTGAGGGTGAATTTACAATTTATTAAAGTTTCAACGTGTGTTAGGTGTAGATCGTTGGTTTATGAGCGATTTTTTGGAGCAAGATCATTGGAGTTGGCTGATCTGCGTGGTTCGTTCTTGTCTCCAATAATCTTGATTCTTGACTAGTTGTTCAGGATCGCTCGACACTGGTGCAAATCACGCCCAACTCTAGTACTTTGAAAAATATTAGTGTAGGTGTTGTATTGTAACATTTTCATTCTAACTCTTATATCTTGGAAAAAATCCCTAACGAACTTTTATTGCTTCTGGTATGATAAGGTTTCTGATATCCCTGGTGGTGCAGAAGGGGCGATTCATAGAGGCGAGATTCCTAAGCTGTTTCATCTACGGTTGCCCGGTTCTCCAGGAGGTGACCTTGGAAGACTGCTGCATCGTGGACAATTACGAGTATGGGGATGAGGACGGCACCGTTCTACGACCTTGCTCCGGTGGTCGGTTGATGATCGTGAGGGAAAGCTTGATGCTTTTGAGATTGACTAGGTGCAGTGGCTTCGCAGAAGTTGTGTACGTGTCCCGAAAAAGGAAAAATGATTATCGCCCCACAATACAAGATGACACGATAGAATTCGATTTTTCTGATTTCGAGCCAATACCGACCAGCGATGTTGCCTTATTGACATTCTCTTGGCAACTTGGGTGACAATGAAGAGAGAGATTACAGAAGTTGTGTTCAATTTCTTATGTTCTATTTTGATCGTAATTAGTTTTAAATTGTACTTTACAATATAATGATTAATAAAGCACCAACCCATAATGACAACTGGGCCTGAAAAAGTAGTGATCCATCCATGAAATGAAGAGTCACGGGCCCATTATCAGCTTTATTTGGACAAAAAAGAGAACTGGGCCAAGAGAAAAAGTGATGGTCCAGTTTGGACAGCCCGACAGGCTATACGGGCCTGAGAGTCACCGGCCTGTTATCCCTCCACTGCCTGGAGCGGGAAGCCGCGCTGCTCTGTGAAACCAGCCTGACGCTTTATCCGCCGACTCTAGGAACCAGGTCAACTCGGCCTTCGCCGACCTTCCTGGCCCAACTCCAAGCTTGGAGCGGGCAAGCCAGAAATCTGACTCATCAAGCCCAGCCCTTGAGGCCGGCCCAATGTTCCACCACATTATTGCCTCCACTCGGATTACAAGCTCGCGTTACCAAGCTCGGCGACGGATGTTGATTTCCAAACAATAATAAACGTTATCAACAGCTTCAGTTTCAGCAATGTGGTAGATAGAAGCATTCTTAGGTTTGCTGCGTCTTCTCTTCCTTCTGTATAACCTTTTACCACAGAAGCTCAAAAATGGTCTCCAACAAATAACTCAAAGTCAGATCGGTAGCTCCATCTTTCTTTTACTTCTGTGTTTTCCTGGTTTCGTCTTTGTCACTGGAAGCTGTCGATTCCAGTATCGTAATTAGCTTGCTGTTTGGACCAAGCTTTGGAATGGGAACAAAATGCCTCTTTTGTAAAGAGTTGAGCAACTTAGGGTCTTGGAAAGCACTCTCGTTCATAATGGAATGAATATGAACTGAACTATTGAGTTAATGAAAGGGGGAGAGGACTATTGATTGACAATTCTGTGCTTTCTTCTGTGTGTTTACCAAAGAAAAGATAGGAAGATTTGCAGCAGTTAACTTTAACCCAGAATATGAGGAAGAACAGTAAGTATACTACATATAGGACTAATTAGCATCCCTAGTAATCCATCATGGCATATACAAATTGTATTCCTCAATGGTATATTCTCTTTTAGTCTAGAAACTACATTGCATTGGTTTACCACGTATATTAATTATGGTCTTTTGTAACTCAAAGCATTAACGATTCGTCCAATTTTTCGGGACCTTATGTTACGGTTCTTTTGCAAACCCAATAGTGCATTCTTGCATTACAGGAATTTTTATAATCTCATTTAGAATGTTACATGATTTTTCCTCTTAATACAAATATTATGTAGTTTTGTACATCAACCAAAAGCGTCAACAATTCAACGAATTACAAGCATGAGGCCGATTCTACATTACATGAATTCTTAATGTTACTCAGGATACAAACATAATCTGTTATATATATAGTTATGTCAAATCTTTACGTACATTATATTGTTTTCTTGATACGAGCACTATGTGTTCCGTACTTCAACCCATAGTATAAACAATTCACCCAATTATATGAGATCCTACATCATAGTTCTTGGAAATTAAATAACGCTTCGAGTTCGTGATTGAAGCTCGCTTGGAATAGAGGCCATCGTAAGGTCCATCTCAATCTTGATTCCATGACGCCTATCAAAAGTAATCCGGCTGATGATGATCACCATCACGGACTTCTCGCCAAACAAATTAGTAGTTTACTTATTAAAAATTGAGAAGTGAAAATCTCTCATGTGTATGGGGAAAGAAATTTTGCAACCGATTATTTTGCTTCTAAATAACATGATTCACTTTTTCGGCACACATCCACTCCATGTAAGTAACCTGAGCCTTCTGTACAGGTTCTCGTATGACATTCATGGAATCTCCCAGAATCGTAATGGGGTTCTGGTTAAGCAGATTAGGAGTTTACTTAGCAAAAATTGGGAAATAAAAATCTCTCATGTATATAGAGAGTGTAATTTTCCAGCCGATTATTTGGGATAACCCTTCGTGCACTACATGAATTTTTATAATCCCATTTACAAAACTCATGCAACTGCTTGTTCCTGATAAATAAATAAATAAATAAAAAGTGATGGTTCGGATCGATAGCCCAGAGCGGCTCGACGATCAAACTGTGCTTGTTCCTTCTACCTCCAACAAGAGACTCAACCCCTCAAGTAATGGCTCGAGCGGGAATTGACCGCCGGCCGAAAGGTTGAGCGTGTTACGGGTTCCGGGGTGCGCAGTTATGTTAAGACAGTCGATCCTCTCACAGCGGGAACCAGGGACACACTCCTCAGTCGTCACCGGGAGTTTTCTGGTTAACGGCTGCCCGGAGGCCAAATTCAGGGCCGGCTAGCCTCCGGTGGGAATTGGGAAGGGTCCCATCACTTTATTGCCTCCACTCGGATCATAGGCTCTCGTTAGTGAGCCCGGCGATTCAAAACGTCTCCGCCGGGCAATATGAAGTGCAGCAGCCGGTTCAATTCCAACGATGTGGGAGTTCTTGTCGTATATATCCTTATGGTTGTGTCTATTCTATTCTCCTTATATCTAAACGCAACTGCTGATCCTAATGGCTCTTTCACCATTTGGTCTCGGTGGGTAAAAATCGCCGGAGTTGATTAGAATTATACACGTCCTCAGATTGGCTATAGATTTCGGAGCAGTCTGCTCGAGAAAATTTATTCTGACACTGGACTCGTTTATTAATGAGTTGTGTTTGAGTTAATCCGTGTTGGGCTTGCAAGGCTCGTGAGCCGGCTCGGTTTCTGGGGCTTGTTGAGCTCAACTCATGAGCTATGAGCTAGATTGACGATATGGATATGGCGAGCCACCACAACTAGCAAATTATGAGTGGAATCGTTTAACACACCTTATCATTGGCTTCTTGATCATTTATAGATTTGTTAGATTTACATATCTCACCACCTACGATGTTTAAGAAATTTGAGCATGCGACCTCATTTATAATTTAAAAGAGAAATTGTATATATCATAAATTGCTTAGAGACTTATTATCATTAAATAACATGATATGATATGAACAATTAAAAATTATGAACTAAAATTGATATGGTACCTGCGCTCAAGCCAACCTAGTGAGCTAACCAATGAATCGAGCGTGAATAGAGCTCATGATATCGTTAATGAGTCAAGCTCGAGACAAATACAAGCTAAAAAGTTTTCGTAAGCAAATCGAGTTCGAGCTCAATTCGTTTATTAACCAACCTAACTGAAAATAGGTCGAAACTCAGCTCGACTCGACTTATTTGCAACCCTCCAACATAAATTGAGAAGGTAAAAAAAAAAAAGTTATGGTCCAGTTGGACGGCCCGACAGGCTATGCGGGCTTGAGAACCACCGGCCTGTTATCCCTCTACTGCCTGGAGCGGGGAGCCGCGCTGCTCTGTGAAACCAGCCTGGCGCTTTATCCCCCAACTCTAGGAACCAGGTCAGCTGGGCCTTCGCCCAACCTGTCTTGCCCAACTCCAAGCTTAGAGCGGGCAAGCCAAAAATTGGACCATCAAGCCCAGCCCTTGAGGCCGGCCCAATGTCCCACAACCTTAGTGCCTCCACTTGGATCACAAGCTCCCGTTACAGAGCTCGGCGGTGGACCTCGTTTTCCGCGCAGTAATAAACACAACCAGCAGCTTCATTTTCAGCGATGTGGTAGATAGTCTTTTGCATTGTGACGCAAAGCTCAAAAAATGGTCTCCACCAAATAGCTCAGGCTCAGAAATGGCAGCTCCCTTCTTCCTTTACTGCTGCGATTTTCTTGGTTCGTCTTTGTAGCCGGAGGCTGTCAATACCAGGACACCATTAGCTTGCTGTTTGGACCAAGCTTGGAATGGAACAACGGCCTCTTTAGTACAGAGAGCTGAGGAAATTGAAAGGACAGATGAATATGAGCTCAACTTAGATCGTGTAATGAAAGAGACAGAGGACTACCTGCAGATTGACAACTACTCTAAGTGTTTTCTTCTGTGTTTTAACCAATGGAATGATAAAAAAAAGATTAGCAGCGCGCAGAACTGGTCGGTGGTCACTGCACTCTTTCCATAACAATTATATCTTCATAGGTATAAATAAGAGAAGAAGTCGACAGAAATAAGGGTTCCATAATCAGACAATTGATGTCAACGTCAAATTTTATCCATATGAGAGAAGTGTTTAGAACTCACCAATCAAACACTCTTGTTTGAACTGTGTTCAAAGAGGGTGTGAACCGTGTTTAGAAATCGTTTGGTTAGAAGTGAAAAGTACAATGAATTCTATTCGACGCCAGTTTTCTCACCGGAAAATAATTCAACACCTGTTTCTCCCAATAAATCAATAATAAATATTTTCAAGTCTCTGAATCACATACCTCCTTATTCTCTTGTGCTGCACAAATTACTTCCGACTCTTCCAGTGAGTTCTTCTTTCCATCTACTGCTGTCGCCATTAAATATGCTTATCGACGAGTCACAAGTCATTACGATGCAAATTTATCTTTTAAACCCTCAATTCAACTCGTAATATCCTCTCCCCCTGGTCATTTTCTACTTTGTATCTATGTTAGCAATAAGCAAAGTTAAAAGGCAAAAAAAAAAAAAACGCATATCCAACACACGTGACATAGAGTAAACTAGGACGTAACCATAGAAGTGCAAGCAACTCACACTATGTAACAACAAGAGACTCAAACCCCTCAAATAATGGCTCGAGCGCGGGAATTGACCGCCGGCCGAAAGGTTGAGCGTGTTACAGGTTCCGGGTTGTGCAGTTATGTTTAAGACCGCCGATCCTCTCACAGCGGGAACCAGGGACACACTCCTCAGTCGTCACCGGGAGTTTTCTGGTTAACGGCTGCCCAGAGGCCAAATTCAGGGCCGGCTAGCCTCCGGTGGGAATTGGGAAGGGTCCCATCACTTTATTGCCTCCACTCGGATCATAGGCTCTAGTTAGTGAGCCCGGCGATACAAAACGTCTCCGCCGGGCAATATGAAGTGCAGCAGCCGGTTCAATTCCAACGATGTGGGAGTTCCTGTCGTCTATATCCTTATGGTTGTGTTTATTCTCCTGATATCTAAACTCAACTGCTGATCCTAATGGCTCTTTCACCATTTGGTTTCGGTGGGTAAAAATCACCGGAGTTGATTAGAACTATACACGTCCTCAGATTGGCTATAGATTTCGGAGCATTCTGCTCGAGAAAACTTATTCTGACACTGGACTCGTTTACTAATGAGTTGAGTTTGAGTTAATTTTTGTTGGGCTTGCAAGGCTAGTGAGCCGGCTCGGTTTCTGGGGCTTGTTGAGCTCAACTCATGAACTATGAGCTTAGATTGACAATATGGATATGGCGAGCCACCACAACTAGCAAATTACGAGTGGAATCGTTTAACACCTTATCATTGGCTTCTTGATAATTTATAGGTTTGTTAGATTTACATATCTCACCACCTACGATGTTTACGAAATTTGAGCATGCGACCTCATTTATAATTTAAAAGAGAAATTGTATATATCATAAATTGCTTAGAGACTTATTAAAATAATATGATAAAATTGATATGGTACCTGCGCTCAAGCCAACCTAGTGAGCTAACCAATGAGTCGAGCTCGAATAGAGCTCATGATATCGTTAATGAGTCAAGCTCGAGACAAATACAAGCTAAAGTTTTCGTAAGCAAGCCGAGTTCGAGCTCAATTTGTTTATTAACCAACCTAACTCAAGATAGATCAAAACTCACCTCGACTCGACTTATTGCAACCCTACACCTTGCATTCAAACTGCATATGTGCTAGGGTTTCAGTGTCGGTCGCCATATGCTTCATTCTACACATACAAAATTGAGAAGGTAAAAAAAAAAGTAATGGTCGTCATATGCATACAAAATTGAGAAGGTAAAAAAAAAAGTAATGGTCGTCATATGCTTCATCTTCTACTTGGGCCCGTTGCCCAAACATACAAAATTGAGAAGGTAAAAAAAAAAAGTAATGGTCCAGTTGGACGGCCCGACAGGCTATGCGGGCTTGAGAACCACCGGCTTGTTATCCCTCTACTGCCTGGAGCGGGGAGCCGCGCTGCTCTGTGAAACCAGCCTGGCGCTTTATCCCCCAACTCTAGGAACCAGGTCAGCTGGGCCTTCGCCCAACCTGTCTGGCCCAACTCCAAGCTTAGAGCGGGCAAGCCAGAAATTGGATCATCAAGCCCAGCCCTTGAGGCCGGCCCAATGTCCCACAACCTTAGTGCCTCCACTTGGATCACAAGCTCCCGTTACAGAGCTCGGCGGTGGACCTCGTTTTCCGCGCACTAATAACCACAACCAGCAGCTTCATTTTCAGCGATGTGGTAGATAGTCTGTAATATGACCAGTAGACTTTTTTTTTTTTTTTTTTTTTTTTAAAGTAGTAGACTTTTTTTGCATTGTGACGCAAAGCTCAAAAAATGGTCTCCACCAAAATAGTTCAGACTCAGAAATGGCAGCTCCCCTTCTTCCTTTCCAAGCTTGGAATGGAACAACGGCCTCTTTTGTACAGAGCTGAGGAAATTGAAAGGACAGATGAATATGAGCTCAACTTAGATCGTGTAATGAAAGAGATAGAGGACTACCTGCAGATTGACAACTACTCAAGTGTTTTTATTTTATTTTTTATAATGGATGCAATGGCTTCCTAGCTTTCATTCAAAATCAACCGGGGTTCGGAAATCTCCTGACAATCATATAGGATCCAATAGTTCAGCAGAGGATCAGAAATCGGAACCTCAAGGAAAAACATGCCCTTGACTAGTCAGATAGTCTGCACAACTATTACCCTCTCTGTACACATGGGTGATGGTAATAACCTCCCACTGGCGAGACACAAGTTCTCTGAACCTTTCAATGATACCAGCACTATGGTGATCACCATAGTCCATCCGCCCTAGCAGCTGGATAGCACACCGGGAGTCGAGCTGGACCTGGACCCGTTTGTGACCTGCATTCCACGCCCACCTGAGGACCTTCAACAACTCCCCTCAGCTCCACCTGGGTGGGTTATAGTGCAAACTCCCAGGTTCAAGGCGAACGCTGTAAGACAACGCCCTAAATGATCACGAATCAAGCCACCAGCAGCAGCTGTTGCAGCCTGAACTGGGAAAAACGAAGCCGTCTGATAATCCATTATTGCATAATACAAATGTCTTCCTCAATAGTATATTATCTTTTAGTCTACAAAATTGCATTCCTTTGTTTTTCTTGACACGAACATTACAGTATTTCATACTTTAACTCAAGACATCAATGATCATCCAATTATTGTTCCTCCTAACAAAATAGTGCAGTCTTATGTGTTAGTGTTACATGAATTTTTACACTCTTACTTACACATTATATTGTTTATTGTTTTTCTTAATACCAATATGATGTATTGCGTACCTCAACCCAAAACATCAACAGCTGACCCAATTATATGGATCTACATTACAGCTCCTGCAAACCAAATACTGAGTTCATATATTACATGAATTCTTCTAGTCCTTTCTATGCATTATGTTGTTGTTTTTTCATACGAACTGTATGTATTCCTTAATTCAATTCATCGTATAAACGATCTGCATAATTATACGGGACTATATATTACAGTTTTTGAAAACAAAATAATGATTCATACATTAAATATTAGGATCTCATATCAAATGGAGAAAAAAGAGGACCGATCCGGTTAAAAAAATGATGGTTCAGATCCGTTGCCCAGAGCTGGTCGGTGGTCACTGCACTCCTTCCATCTCCCACTAAGACTCTACCGCTCAAGCTTGACCACCGGCGGTCGAAACCCTTCCATCAGTCTTTTATCACCGGCGACTCGTTTCGGCTCTCCGGCCAGGATTTTAACCCCGGTTTAGGACATGTGGTTCGGCTTCAGTGGGTGGCCACCCAAAGCTCGGGATCCAGCCGGCAGGTTGGGTCTTTTCGGTTCAGGATGAATAGCAATTGTTGACCGATCCTCTCTCAGATTTGAACCAGGAACGTCTCAGTCGTCACCGGAAGTTCATTGGCCAATCTTCCCGTCGTGGCTATATATCCGCCGGCTAGCCTCCGGTGGGCTTTGCAGTTGGGCCAGGCCTGAGCCCAAGGTTCCATCACTTTATTGCCTCCACTGGGATCACAAGATCGCGTCACTGAGCCCGGCGTTTCGACACGTTTCGGCCGGGGAAAATGAAATGCAGCGGCTGGTTCCATTTCAGCGAGGTGGGAGTTCGTTGTGTAACGATTTTTCTACACTTTTCCCCCACTTCCATAAGACCATAACGATCAAAATTGCAAAATAGCAAAAATGTCCCCGATATAACCATGCCCAAACTCGACTAAGGCCCAACACCATATCCAAAAGGCGGTTTTCCCTAACAATTATTATATCTTCATAGGTATAAATAAGAAAAGAAGTCGACAGAAATAATGGTTCCATAATCAGACAATTGACATCAACGTTAAATTTTATTCTTTTCCTTGCAAGTAGTCATAATTTGTAGTTTGAAGCTCTCACCGAACCTCCATATGAGAGAAGCTAATGTAGTTATGTTCTCAAAAACCATCAATCAGACACTCTTGTTTGAACTGTGTTCAAAGAGGGTGTGAACCGTGTTTAGAAATCGTTTGGTTAGAAGTCAAAAGTGCAAAGAATTCTATTCGATGCAAGTTTTCTCGCCGAAAAATAATTCAACATCGGTTTCTCCCAATAAATCAATAATAAATATTTCCAAGTCTCTGAATCAATGTAGTCAAAAGCGAGTTTCTACGTAGAAACGTTTTGGTGATCTAGAAGCGTAAAATCGTAAGTTTTAAGTTTTAAAGCTTAGTTTTTAACTACATAAGTTATAAAAACTAAGATTTTGTGTAGAAGCGCTTTAATGACCTAGAAACGTAAAATCGTAAGTTTTTAAGTTTTAAAGCGCGATTTTGACTACATTGCTCTGAATCACATACCTCCTTATTCTCTTGTGCTGCACAAATTACTTCCGACTCTTCCAGTTAGTTCTTCTTTCCATCTACTACTGTTGCCATTAGATATGCTTATTGACGAGTCATAAGTCATTACGATGCAAATTTATCTTTTAACCCCTCAATTCAACTCGTAATATCCTCAATGGCGGAGCCACTTGGAGAAATTTCTTGTCTTTTATTTATAGTAATAAATTATTGTCTTTTGTTTAAACTATCTCATTTCTTTTGTAGCTCTACAACAGAGAAATTTCTTGTCTTTTGTTTAAACATAGCTGAAAGTGAAGAAGTATCAATTGAAGTTCACTTGTTTGTTTCACAAAATCAATCTCAAGGTACTTCTGAGTTCTAATTTATAATATTTGATGAATGGAAGTCTTGTCTTGTATGTACTGATCTTATTTGTTTGACGTTGTAACCAGTGTACGTGAAACTATTTTTATGTAATTGTATGAATTTAGAGTATTGTGTTATTGACTTTTTGTTTCATTTAGAGTTGACTTTTCTGTTATATAGGTAATTTTTTATGATATGATAAAAGCCACCCCTTGGCCAATTTTCTGGCTCCGTCACTGAATATCCTCTCCCCCTAGTCATTTTCTACTCTGTATCCGTGCTAGCAATAAACAAAGTTAAAAGGCAAAAAAAAACGCATATCCAACACACGTGACAGAGAGTAAACTAGGACGTAACCATAGAAGTGCAAGCAACTCATACTAAGAACGTATCCCAACAAGATGTGTCTCAAAAACATGTCATATACTAAAGAAGAAAAAACACATTATCGAAGGTGATGGGTCTCGAAATATTATTATCGCACTCGCTACCTAACCTTCCACGTTAAAGAATATTCATTAATAATTGATAATGTATAATCAACTTGTCCTATAAAACAAACTATTTTCGTATTAGTAGTTGGTCTTCATTGTGATTTTACTCCAAAAATTACTGAACACTTTATGTTTTGTGAAAATTTTATAATAGTCAGGGTTTGTTTCAACAGAATGACACAATGATTAAAAACTCATCAGCCTCAAGTCCCCAACAAGTTCATAGGACATATAAAAGGAAGGAAGAACTGGGTTTTTGTTTTACCGCTTACAGAAAAATAGGAAAGTAAAACTAGACAAATAAACACAACACCGCCTTGTCTCTCTTCCTCGTCGTGTGCATTGCCGAAAGAGAGAAAGAGGGTTAGAGAGAGAGAGAGAGGCAGCTGCCAGAGGTGTCAGCTTCAAAGAACGGAGTCGACAACAAGAGCCAAGCCCCACGAAGAGAAGCGCCTAAACCGCTAATCCCTCCTTTTCTGCTTGGTTGCCCATCGATCCTCTCCATCCCTCTCTCTCTTTCTCTACCGCTGCTTCTGCCATATCGTAAGTATCCTCCAATTCGATTCAATCATCTTCCCTAACTCTCTTGATCCCCTGCCCTTTGGTTATAGCTTGTAATTTCGCCGTCTCTCGTTTGTTTGATCACTGAATTGCGCCTTATGGACTGTAAATTTCGAAGCTTTTTTCCCTATTCGGTTCATGGGGCAACGTTTCCTCTCCCTTTTCCATGATTGGGAAGGGTAGTAGTAGGGCTTCAAATGCCGCAGCTTTTTTTGGGCTGCTTAGCCGTGAACCCTAAAGTTTGTCACAGCGAAGTTTTTACGGTTAAAGTTCGTGTCTTTGAGAAACCCTATGGCTGCAAAGCCTCTCAAAGTCGCTTGCTTTTTTCTTTTTTCGAATTTGATTGTTCGCTTCTTTGGCTGTGAATTTTGTGTTCCTAGATCAGGATTGCGTTTTTAGGAACTCTTGTCTCGAGATTTTCTGTAATGAAGGTGTTGGTTTGAAGGAATTAAGAGCTCAATGTTTTGTACTATTCTTCTGTGCTTGCTAGATATCGTGTTTGGCTTTGTGGAGTAGAATGGGAAGTGCTGCTGAAGCGATTCCGGCTCATGTTTCCGAACCAACAATTGAGATAAAGATAAAAACACTCGACTCTCAAACCTACACTTTGAAAGTGGACAAGCAGGTGACTCTCTTGAGCTCCTTTGTTTTCGTGGCATGTTTTGATTATGGCATGTACACGGGTGCTTTAGTTTCCAATGCAGATCTTGTTATCTTTGTGGAATTGTACCAACATTATGTTAATGTGGCCGTTACATAACTGGTTTTTGGTTTGCTGGCGAGTTAAAATCCGTTACGGTGCGTTAGAAATAACTGTTTTGTCTTTATAAATGGATGGCACACTTGAATGCTGCTTCAGCGATCTGCACTTTATAGATTTAGTTGCCATAATGTATGTCAGACCGATTCTTAAAACCATGAGCAAGGTGCTATCTTAGTCTGTTTGCATGACAAATCCCTGTTGGAACCTCTAAAGCGCTGGAGATAAGATCAGCCCATGGAAGTAACTAGAGTTGTTCACCTTTATCAGTGTATCCATGCATTATCGGATTCTGTATGAATGTTAACTTGGACTGAGTTTGTAATTATGACCTATGCATGATAAGGTTATGATCTTATACTTATTTGTTGCCTATATTGCAGATGCCAGTTCCGGCTCTGAAAGAGCAGATTGCCTCTGTTACCGGTGTCTTATCTGAACAACAACGTCTTATATGCCGTGGAAGAGTTCTAAAGGATGATCAACTTCTCTCTGCCTATCGTATCTTAAAAAAAAAAAAAAAAATTAACTCAAGCTGTTATTGCTGATTCTTACATATTTCTCTTCCATCATATTTTGGTCTATTATCATTTTACTTCACCTGCCATTTCTGTTGTTTGTATTGTCAATCAAGTTTGTCTTCATTCCATAACTCCGACTAGACGTGGAAGATGGTCACACCTTGCATATGGTGGTCAGGCAACCAGTCCCATCATCATCTGAGAGTTTGCATGATCACCAAGGTGTGATTTTGATCAATTTTCATTTATCATTTGCTTCAGGTTATGGGTCTGCTAGATTTTGATAGACCATATGCCACAAAGGTCGAAGTCATTGCCCTGCCACCAAGTTAAATTCACACTGTTTAGCTCCTTTTCTGGGAATTTTTTACATGAGTCCTAATTCTATGGTTTTATGTTAAGCCGCACCAACAACAATCAGCTCTTAAACTCATTCTTTGGGGCAAAAGGAAGGATTCTGTTTGCTGTTGTCATATTTGTAGTTTAATAACCTTTGAATATAAGCCATCCTCTGTACTATACATTTGCGGTGTTTTATCATCTTTGAGACTCAAATAAAACCATTACACATGACAGATTGCTTAATTTATGTTCCATAAGTAATCTAGTATGATTTAACTGCAAGTGTTTTTTGCATTCCTGCAGCTGATCCTACTTCATTTTCAAGTTGGAGTCACAGCTTTTCTGCAGCTGATCCATCTGCTTCAATTGCAAGTTGGGGTCCCAGTGTTGTTATAGAAAGTCTCAGTATGCCTGATCAAGGGGATGGAGGAGTTCCTCCTGAAATAAGTAGGGTGAGGCTGCAACTTGATGGTGAATGGAGCTCGTTCTTGATGGTTTGAGTGGGTTAATCATGTGGTGATGTGTTATTGTTTTATACTTTTTCTTATTTAATCCAGATTGTTTCTGCTGTCCTTGGGTCCTTTGGAATGTCCAGTCTTGGAAGTACCATTGATGGGGCTGATGTAACAAGGGTAACTCCACCCTCTCTCTCTCTCTCTCTCTCTCTCTCTCTCTCTCTCTCTCTCTCTCTCTCTCTCTCCCTCTCTCCCTCTCTCATATTCAAACACCCTGCTATTGACAAACTAAAATCTTGATACCTACAGATATATGCAATGAAATTAAATACATTTTTCTTTTCATGAACTAACTATACGCCTTTTTCCATTATGCTATTTTAAGGACCTTGGTTTGGGAAGAACATCATCTGCTGGTGCCACATTCGAGATAAACCAGCAAGCTGGTGCTAGAGTTCAGTCTGACAGATCACATAGTGCATTTGGAATCCCCGCTGTAGGTTCATTGGGGTCTTCTTTACACCCTCCTGTGAGTTAGAAACCCTTCTCTCCCTGCTTTCTAGATGCAATGTAATGTTTTCGAACCTAATGCTCACTAGAACCTTTTCTTTTCTCCCCTTGTCATTGGTAACTTTAGGTTATCCCTGATGCACTGACAACTTTGTCCCAGTACCTAAGTCATATCAGGCGTGAATTCAATCACATTGGTCAGTCACTTGATATCAATAAAACAATATTGCATATGCTCTTCAAATCATGTTATTTATCTCTATGGTGTGTTCAAATGGCCATCAAAATGACAGGTACAAGTAGTGAAAACAATTCTCAAACTGACGACATCAGCAGATTGGAGCATAGAGATCCTAATTCCTCTTCATCAGAATCTGGAAATGTAGAGGGAAGACTTCCGACACCGGCATCCTTGGCGGAGGTCATCTTGTCCAGCAGAGGATTGCTCACTGAACAAGTTTCTGAAAGCTTACTAGTACGTTTGTTCTATCACGTTCACTCAATTCAGTTCAGACCATGTTGGGAACTTTTGTCTTCATCCTGGTCAATCACTTCCAATCTCTTGTTTTCTATGGTAATCAGCAACTTGGAAGGCAATTAAACATCCAAGAAAGTATGACTGATTCTTCAGCAAGGTTGAGAACTCAAACTACTGCATGGAGGACAGGAGTTCAACTTCATAACCTGGGTGCATTTCTACTTGAACTGGGACGGACAACCATGACTCTACGACTAGGTCAAGCACCGGTAGAGTTCTTTCTTCCTTGGACCATCTATAACATCCTTTCATCTCAAGTACTCCTGTCATTAATAACTGATCTTTGTTGAATCAGTCAGAGGCTGTCGTCAATACTGGTCCTGCAGTCTTCATAAACTCCAACAGTCCAAATCCTCTCATGGTTCAGGTCATAATTAATGGTACCTTGCATAAAATACATTCTGCTTTCCTTAGTTCATTTATTTTGATCGTTACTGGTTTACAAACAGCCTCTTCCTTTCCAACCGGGAGGAACAACACTCGGTGCTGGCTTTCCTATGGGCTCTGTGCAGCCTGGTTCTGGGTTTGTTCCTCGTCGCATTGATATTCAGATACGGAGAGGAGGTAACCGTAAAGTGTTTTATCATTTCCTAATTGCTTATAAACTCCATGAAAATTTCAGTTCTTTGACTTGTGAATTCCAATAATTAAGGTTCGTCAACCACCTCATCTACTGTTACAAACGATGAACGCGGTGAGCCTGGCCAGAGAAATCCTGCAGTTGGTGGTCGTGCTGAGAACACGGCTAATCAGACGCTCGCAGGGGAATCCGGAGTACGTGTGGTGCCCATTAGAACCGTGGTTGCTACTGCAGCAGCAGCAATCCCTGGTTCAATAGGTCATCCTTTTCTCGGAAGATCTCCGCTGGTGGGCTCTGAACAAAGGTCTCAAGCACAAACACAGCAGCAGGCAGTTCCTCAAGCTGCACAAAATGATGAGAATGCCGAGGTTCGGCCAAGAGAGCACTCAACTACCACCCGTAGCATTAACATCAACATTCTATCGGCAGCTGGTGGGGCCCGAACTGGTCAGGAATCTGATAGACAGGTCCCTGGAAGTGTTATGCAGTTCCTGAGGTCTTTGTTTCCTGGAGGAGAAATCCACGTTGAGGCTGCGGGTGGCGACCCAGGAACAACAACAGCAACCCCTCCTCCTGCCCCTCAGAACGGTGCACCAGCTACTGCTGCCTCTGAAGTAGGATCAGAATCGAGACCAAGCGAGGAAGGGATATTTCTCTCCAATTTACTCAGACAGATCTTGCCGGTGGTATCTGAACATGGTGGGCCAGGCGATGCTTCTCAAGGAGAAGCACAGAGGTCTCAAGATTCTTCGAGCCAGGTACTTGAAGCATAATGACACCACTAGCCATAAACTTACTGTGAGTCAATCCAATCAAAGTCCTAAACTTTTAATAATCTTTTTGGTGCTTTTTGCAGGTTGAGAACAATGGGGTAGGGACGTCCCGTCGTAGCAGTGATTCACATCCAAGCAGTCCAAACTCGAAACGCCAAAGGGTACATACATTCAAGATCTCTCCTTGATTATGTATATACTCAATCCTGTTGGGATAACACTGATCTGTTTTTGTCCTTACTCTTCCTATGACGATGCAGAGGGAGTAAGGGAGCTTCGGTGGATTGAGGAGGCAGTGCTTTGTGGCGATAGAGAGCTGTTGTTGAGAATCAATAATGGATGGTATTGGATTTTCTTTAGTACAGGTGAATGGCCTATTTATATTTGTTTTTGTGATCTTTCTGAATGTAGGTTTTAGTTGGCTTTTCCAAAATTTTCCAAATAACTGGGGGATATTCTGATATTTGAGGAACCGAAGAAGTTAATTTTGTTTATGAGTCACCTTTTGAGTTGGATTCACCCTCTCACATTATACCAATCAGTATACAGATTACAGCACTTCATGCACATGATACAAGTAGAGATACCTTTCAGACAGAGTTGCTTGATCTTGCTCACTTGCCCTTGCCCTTGCCCTGAATTGGCAATCTAGCCAATGGATACTGTGTGCAGGCTCGGAGGGTTCGCTCGTAGTTACGACTAAACATGAGCCTGCCATCGTCGCCTTCTGATTTTTCGACATATACGGTATCCATTCCAATTGTACCATGCAAATTTACCAGTGGTAGTGGATGTCGAATTGTATCGTTGATTTTTCGCCACATGTATTGAATTATCCGTGGCAAGAACAATAATGTACAATCACTCATAGATGGTTGAAAGGGCATGTTGGAAGTTTGGAGTCACTTGTCCTACTTTCGCCATGATAGTTAACACAAACTAGTCAAATTTAAGAGATATCCTAACCTTGTATGAACAAGAATCAGGACAGAAGGTAAACTTTGAGAAATCAGAAATTTCTTTCAGCCCTAATGTGGAGGAGGTTAAAAGACAGGATCTGGCAGCCATTCTTGGAATGAAGGTGGTACCTTTTCATACTAAATACCTAGGCCTACCCACCACAGTTGGAAGAAGAAAGAAGGTGTTCAGCTATCTTGTGGATAGGGTCAGAAGGAAGGTGAAGTTGTGGAAAGGGAAGTTACTTTCTTTTGGAGGAAAGGAGGTATTGATAAAAGCAGTAGCCCAAGCACAAATGACTTATGCAATGCAGGTTTTCCTAATCCCTATGACTGTCACTCAAGAAATTCAGAGTCTGGTTTCAAACTTTTGGTGGGGACAACAAGACTCAGAACGCAGGACGCATTGGGTTAGTTGGCAGGAGATGTGCATATCCAAAAAGCAAGGGGGCTTGGGGTTCAGGAACTTACATGATTTTAACTTGGCCCTTCTGGGAAAACAACTGTGGAGAATGATTCAAAACCCAACCTCCTTAGTTTCAAGAGTTATGAAAGCTAAGTACTTTCCAACCCGGGACATATTGGAAGCAGAAGGAGGGTATAATCCGAGCTTTATATGGAGAAGTATCCTAGCAGCCAAAGATCTCATGAAGGAAGGATTGCGGTGGAGAGTTGGGAATGGAAACAAAATTGATATCTGGCTGGACAAATGGGTTCCTACCTCCCTAAATTATAGAGTTCAATCGCCAGTCTCCCTATTCGCATCATACACATAAGTGAATGAGCTTATGGACACAGAAACGAGAACCTGGAACCATGCTTTACTACAAACCTACTTTCTCCCTCAAGATAGACAGAATATACTGAGAATACCAATACCAAGACAACCAGCAGAAGACAAGAGAATCTGGGGGAAGGAGAAGTCGGGTCAGTACACAGTGAAATCGGCTTACAAGGCACTGAGAGCGAGTAAAGAGGCGGAAATGGGAGAAATCTATACCCAATCAACTGGGAACGAATATGGAAGCTCCAGATACCTCCTAAAGTCAAAGTCTTTGCATGGAGATGGATTCGCAACATTTTACCAACAGGAGCAAATATCCTAAAGAGAACAACTAAGGGATGCGATGAATGCCCATTTTGTGGACAGGAAGAGACACAGAATCATCTTTTTCAAGAATGTGGATGGGTTAGAAGAGTTTGGTACCCTAGTTCCCTAAATCAGTGTTTCGAGAAGGGAAAAGACCTTACCTGCGAAGAATGGATGGTGGCTCTCCAGGAAACAGAATCCGACGAGAAGATAGCCCAATTTCTGGCGGCACTTTGGTTCATATGGGGCGAAAGAAATAGTCAATGCTGGAACACGAAGAAATTGGAAGAATTCGAAATAATGGGGAAAGCGGAACGTTGGTTGAATGAATACCTGGAATATCAACAACAAGGATTGGAGGTGACTCCCAGGCAGGTGGCTCGTTGGAAACCGCCTGAAACTGCTGATTTCAAGATCAATGTCGACGCGGCGACGCTCACCGGAGCGGGCACTGGTTTGGGGGTTGTGGTCCGAGATAGAAATGGGGGATTTTGCTGTGCAGTGATTAAAAGAACGAGGATTCAATGGCCAGCGGAATTGGCTGAACTGCAGGCTATAAAGCTTGGACTAGAGATCGCGAGGGAGAAGGATTTTGTGACTGGAGAAATCGAATCGGATTGTCTCAGGGCGGTACAACAAATCGGAAGGGAGGAAATGTCGATGACGGAGGAAGGGGTGGAGAGTGCTGAAGTGAGGGAGCTGATCGACACCTTTGCTGGACAGATGCAGATCAGGTTTGCAGGCCGAGAAAGTAACAAAACGGCCCACATATTGGCCCATGTACAATGTGGGTGGGACGAAACTGAGATTTGGGTCTCTAGGCCACCAATTTTCCTGGTGGACCAACTTATCTTTGATTCCTGTAATATTTCACATTAATGAAATAATACAGGTTGATCTATCAAAAAAAAAAACTATTTTCGATACCAGTCATAGTTGACTGTGTCGACAAGGGGGCTTTGAATTCGAGTTTCGTCGTAGAAACCAATAGTTCTTGTGTATCAAATGCAAATTTACCAGTGGTAGTGGATATCAATTTGTATTGTTGATTTTTTTGCCACATGTATTGGATTATCTGTGGCAAGAACAATAATGTACGGTCTCTCATAGATGGTTGAAAGGACAGGTTGGAAGTTTGGAGTCACTTGTCCTACTTTCGCGATCACTGTATGATAGTTAGCACAAACTAGTCAAATTAAATTATTTCCAATACCAATCATTGTTTGTGTGGACAAGCGAGCTTTTAATTCGAGTTTTGTCACAAAAACCAATAGTTTCCAGTCTCTCATAGATGGTTGAAAGGGCAGGTTGAAAGTTTAGAGTCACTCGTCTTACTTTTGTGATCACTGTATGATAGTTAGCACAAACTGGTCAAATTAAACTATTTTCAATACCGTCATAATTGACTCTGTCGACAAGTGAGCTTTTAATTCGAGTTTCATCACAGAAACCAATAGTTCTTGTGTATCATATGCAAGAGTTAGATTTTACTACCATGGATATGATCTTATCTAAACTAATAGCCTAAAAATAAAATTCTACTTGCCCTATTACCTAATAATAATGTACAACTATAAAACCTAATTTGAGTACCAAAAATAAAATGGGTACCAAATAGGCAAACAACAACCGGACCTTTCAACGACCCACTTGCAAAAGTGGGAAAAAGGGATGCGTCTCTGATTTCGTTAACTAATCACCTGAGATCTAAGGCTTTGTTTGAAAGTCCGGTGGGATCGGGGATATTAGTATCTCTTTCCATCGGAGTCCGGTACGCGTTCCGGAAGAGCGGCCAGTGTTGGCCGCCACCATTCAACGCCATATTTGTCACGATTTATCATCAAATTGAGATTCCCGGAGTCCCAACCCGAACCCTATTCTTCATTTTTCCTATTTCCCTCCCAAATTCCAGCTCGAAGCCCGACTCGCATTGACGAAATTCTTTGCCGGGTCAACAATTCGCCGATCCAAAAATCAACCCTTTGAATTTTTCCTTCGTATTGTTCATCCTGGTCACTGGTTCGATCACATTGCTTAGAAAAGTTGACAGCTTTTGATTCTTTTGATGTGCAAATGCCAGGAGTTTGATGAGGGATCGGTGGGATTTGGGTGGTAGAGAGTTATAATCAAGAAGGTTTGGTTTTTGGACGATTCGTTCTTTCTAATCAGCAAAAATGCAATCCATAAGCCAAAGCAGCCTCCCACCGGGTTTTAGCCTCTGCCCGTCTCTCAAACCTCCTCACAAAACCCTGACTTTCCATCAAATTGCAGTGTTGATCATCACTTTCCTTGCTTATGCTTCCTTCCACGCATCACGAAAGCCCCCCAGCATTGTTAAAAGCGTCCTGGGACCAACCACATCGAATTCATCATTGGCAGTGTCGAATTCGAGCTCTCTCGATGCAGGCTGGGCTCCATTCAATGGAACCGAGGGCACACAGCGGCTTGGAGAGCTAGATCTTGCTTTCTTGTCAGCATATGCAGTTGGAATGTACTTCGCAGGACACGCTGGAGACCGGATCAATTTGAGGTTGTTCCTCGTCTTTGGGATGGTGGGCAGTGGAGTTTTGACAGTTGTGTTTGGATTAGGGTACTGGTTGGACATACATTGGTTAGCATTCTTTGTAGGCGTGCAGATTTTGTGTGGCTTGTTTCAATCTATAGGATGGCCCTGTGTGGTGGCAGTAGTTGGGAATTGGTCTGGGAAATCAAAGAGAGGGTTGATAATGGGAGTCTGGACTTCGCACACATCAGTAGGAAACATCGTCGGCTCGGTATTGGCTTCAGCAGTTTTGGAGTTTGGTTGGGGATGGTCATTCGTCCTGCCCGGGTTTCTGATCATATTAGTTGCCGTTTTGGTGTTCTTGTTTTTAGTTGTTAGTCCTGAGGAGATGGGATATGAGCTTCCAGGGAAGGAGATCGAGATGAATGAGAATACAAATGGTGTTGAGCCAGCTGAAAAGGGTGAATCAGAGGAAACTGTGCTTCTGGGGACGGAAGATTCAGTTTCTTCTACTGCTATTGGATTCTTGGAAGCTTGGAGATTGCCAGGGGTTGCACCATTTGCTTTCTGCCTCTTCTTCTCCAAGCTAGTTGCTTACACATTCTTATATTGGCTGCCATTTTACATTAGGCACACAGGTAATGCACCTGCTTTCCTTCAATACTGAACTTCCTTGTTAGCATATTGATCCTAATCACAAGCTCTCTACTATTACAGCTGTTGCTGGGGTCCATTTGTCACATAAAACTGCCGGAATTCTTTCGACGGTATTTGATATAGGAGGAGTCCTTGGTGGAATTGTAGCAGGGTTTGTATCCGATCAGATCGAAGCTCGTGCAGTAACCTCTGTGATGTTCTTGTTGCTATCAATCCCAGCCTTAATCTTGTACAGGGTCTATGGAAGCATATCCATGGCCACCAACATTGCACTGATGTTCATTTCTGGTTCACTTGTGAATGGTCCGTATGCTTTAATCACCACAGCTGTCGCGGCTGATCTTGGCACACAGGACACAATCAAAGGCAACTCCCGTGCTTTAGCAACCGTGACTGCAATAATCGATGGTACTGGGTCGGTTGGTGCAGCTCTTGGTCCCCTTCTGGCGGGTTACATATCGACACGAGGGTGGAACAGCGTGTTCTTCATGCTTATTGTTTCCATTTCGTTTGCGGCTCTCTTCTTGATTCGGCTGGCAAAAAATGAGATTGAAGAGAAGCTTTATGGGAGAACTCTTGTACCTCAGCAGAGCACAGCTTCAAACTGACAAGTCTCTTTGTTGATATGTTGTCTTGTTTTGTTGTTGTACTCTCTGTACATTTGATAATTGATATTAGAGATTTTGATTTACGGGAATAGAACGAAGGCTGAGAATTTCTTGCGTACACTGTTACACAGTATTAAGATCTCATTCTTTAGGCACAAGTTGCCTTTGTCTTCTTGTACACTTTGAACAGAAGCTCATAATGTGATCATATATATAGGTATGCTGCTGAATACTTTGACATGTTTGTTTCACTCTAAAGCCACTTCCTAGCATGATGTCTGACTGGATTCAATATAGAGGACAAATGAGTGGTAAAAGAGGATCAATTATATATGTATATACATCTCAAGACTTTCTTAGTCCAGAATTTGATATTACAGTTCTGCGATTCCGAATGACGGCAGGGGGGAATCTGTTGTACCCCAATGAATGTATTTACAAAAACAGATGAAGCCAGCAAAGGTTATACACCATTATTGATTAGCTTCTACCCTTCCTAAAAGTATGGGTGAAGAAAACCGAAAAGAAGCCAACTTTTTTCGGCATTATCCTTGTAGTAGACATCTCAGGTTCTGCAGTCCCTCAGCAGAGATGCTCCTCCTCACTCTCCCCTTTGGAACTACAGTTGATGGAGGGGGCTCGGAGTGAAAGCCTACGATGACAACTGTCAAGTTGTCAGTCGCTCCTCGTTTGATAGCTTCCTCCACCATTTCTTTACAGCACTGCTTCACATCATTGTGCTGCTGAAGCCTCCTCCTAGCGAAGTGCACTGCATTCTGGCTGAAGAACACTTCCCAGATTCCATCACAACCTATGATCAGAAACTCATCCTCGTGTGTCAATGTGATTAGCTTGAGCTCTGGTTCAGCAATCAGTGGGCCGCCACCACCATCCTTTTCTCCTGCGTCCTTCATCCCTTCGAGATGCCAGTCTCCCAATGCACGTGTAACACTCAACTGGCCGTTGAGATAACCATCATCGACGTACCCACCCAATGACTCAACTCGGAGTCTCTCGATAATGCTGCATGGCCTATGATCCATGGATAGCTCAATCGCCATTCCATTTCTAGATAAGACTGCCCTGCAGTCACCTGCATTTGCTATGAGCATTGACCTGAAGAAGCCAGAAGCAATTTATCAATAAAGTATTTATCTGTCATATGAATTGAAAAGAATGGAGTTTAAATTTTTCCAATCATGTGACTTCAGAAAGGAAACACGAGAAACTAAAGAGTTCTGCAAATGAAGACTACTGGTTGATTTACCAGTAGAGAAAGCCAGGATGCTTACCTCCCAAATATCATAGCGGTTAGTGCAGTTGTACCAGACGAGATCGTGGAACCAGAAGAGCAAGATTCTGCAAATGCAGCATCTACCTCAACGAATGAACGTGTAATCACTTTCTCCATCTGAAGAGGAAAGTCTGCATCTTCAACAATGATCCTTGGCAAGTGGTCTCGGACAAACTGTGCCGCGCTTTTACCCCCATGGCCATCGAATACCTGTATCAAGTGTTTTAACATTCAAGTCAAGACCATCTTTCAAGGATCTTCATCAAGTTAAGGGTTCGGACAATGAGCACTTACACCATAGAGAGAAATGGTCTCCTGTGTCAGCAGATCATCATAACCAAACTTCTTGGCCAAGTCACTAATGCAAACATAAGTGTCCTCCATTTCAGAGCGGCCACCAATATCAGACCACTCCCCAGACCTAAGGGCAGGAACAAAGTTTGTCGTCCTCCTTTCTGTTGAGACTCTATCCTCACTAATGCTCTCCAGCTGAATCAAAATCCCCAAAACAGGAAACAAGAATCAGACAATGGAAAGCAAAACACACCAAGTGTATCAACTTGCTCTCAAAAGCAAATGTTGAACTTTCATTCATAACAAGACAAACCCAATTTTCTTGGCTGGAATCTGATTGGCCACATTATTGACACCCCAAAAGAGGAAAGCTACCCAAAGAAAGTAAAAAGGTTAATTCCTGTTGCCATGATTAACACCCCCACTATCACCTGAAAACGCCTCAATCACACCACGAGTCTGAATCCCAGAAATTGGCCTTTCACCCTCACCTAACAAATTCCCCCCAACCAAAAACCAAGCCTTGATTGGATCACAGGAACAGTAACAAACTGTGGATTTTAACTAACTAATCAAAGCAAGCACAATCGAACTCAGAAATGAAATGGAACTATTCAATTAAGACCATAATCAGCAAGTCTCTTCAAAATTGCTTACAGGGCAGGAGTTGCCGCCGACACTGATTCCGGCGCCAGAAGCCATAAAGGAAGAGTCTTTATCCCAATTCTCCATCTGGGCAGGCCTGAACGGCCGAGCTTGCTTCCTGTTATCACCGCCGCCGCTGCTTCCTCCTACTCCACCGCCGTCGTTCTTCTCCATCTTCTCTTCCTCCTCCATTTCCGCTTCCTGAGCAACGCTCTCTGCGTCTTGAACACACATGATTCGGCCCTCCCTTTATACAGTTCCTCTTTCTGTTTCTACTCCCTCTGGTCCTGTGGCCAAGTGGAAGAAGTTGCGGGTAGAAAAAAAGCGATCTTTGTTTATTTATTCGGTCCAAAAGTCTGCTGTAGAAGAAGCAAGTTGGAGGCTTTTTTGTTTTTGGTGTGGGTATCCAAGGAAGCAACTGAGAACAGGGGATGGGGGAAATTTAGAGGAAGAGAGAGGGGAAATGGGAGAGTATAATTGGTGGTGTGGGGATGGAAGATGGGAGAAAGGAGAAGAAGATTCTGTGGAATATGTTTGGGAGCAAAATCTGAGGTGCTTCCTGTTTTGCTTTGTTTTGTTTTTCTTTATAGCTTGAATGGAAAAACAAGGAGAAAAGGGTAGAGCAGTAGTTGTGAAGATGTCTTGCTGAATGGATGAATGGGAGCCGTTAGAAATTTCCAGATTTTTTTATGTTAATTTTTTTTTCTCTATGAAAGAGTGTGTTAGTGTAATGTGAGGATGCAAACATCCATCATACTCTATTTTCGAAACCCTGTTGGTGTTCTTGAAGTATAAAGTTGTTGGGGGCGAAGTCTAGTTGGCGTCGAATTGAATGCATGTGGCAATCAGATTTATTAGGACTCGCTGTCGCAAAGTGGCACGTGGGTCTGAGGTTCATGGATAATTAAAAAAAAAACCATTGAGTTAAACAATCAACGGAAAAAAGAGAGTGGTTGGAGATAGTTTTGGGTCTTAGGATCAACCATGATTAATCAATGATATACAGTAATCTAGACCCAGTTAGACCCGTTTTGGATCTAACCCAAATGAATTAACCCAAACATGATCCATTTCATACTCAAACTCGAAATCATTGAAAGTGCATATGAGTCCGTTTTAGCCCAACTCAATACTTATATGGATGATGACAATTGGGTCAAATTATCTAATGAATCGACTCATTGTCATGTCTACTCATTACCTTAAGTTGGAATCGAATTGCAAGGATGAAATGTTATTAGTCTTTTACCTTCAAGACTAAAAAGTTCAAGACTTGAATACACCTGTAATTTCTCACTGTGCTAAATCATTATGTGAATGTAATTACTAGTGGCAGAGCTACGGGAGGCTATAGCCCCCATCAACTTTCAAAATCATGTAACTTTTGTAATAAATTGGCAAAATATAGTAGTTGATAAGACGTTAGCTCCTCTCGTCAGTTTAAATTTTCCGTGAATAAATTTTTATTATTCTCATTCGAATTTCTGGCTCCATCATTGGTAATTATTAAACCGGATTATAGTATGGCACTATACATCCATATTAGAATTTGACGAGTGAAAATTCCAAATCGAAAAATGGGAAAGAAATTGTATGTGCAATTGGCCTTTCAAGTGGGTAAAAAGGGATAAGATTCTGGGTAGGTTTTCAACATTTAAAGGACCGGAAATATGTTGTTATTTGATCAAGTCAATGGCATATTCAAAGTGCCATTGTCTTCTGTGTAGTAATATCATTAACAACATCTTGCCCCCTTTACAAAACAAAGGGAAAATAACAAATCACAACACTCTTCAATAGAAAAATAAAAACTCAAATGGTTCGAGGATAACAACATTACAATGGTCCAATTATGGGTTCTAGAAAAGTTTACCTAAATTAAGCAAACAATTTGACAATTAAGTAACCCATGTGTATTTTTTTTTTCTGGAGTGGTTCGAATAAATATGATTTTTGTCACGGAAAAAAAATAGCAATACACAACAAAAATCAATTTTTATTAACACTAACAAATAATTAAAATGATTTCTACAACAACAACAATCTTGTTATTGTTCTTCGTAATTGTAATACATAAACGATTATTGTCAAAATTGGAACACGAAAAATGGTTAAATTTGAACTTGCACATTTGACTATCTCACCAACTCGTGGTGGGTTATATTAATTTACAATTAATTATCTTTCACACTTCATAGATGCCTTTAAATTAAATGGAGAAAAAAGCTACACAAAAGAAAGACAAGGCCATTTCACTGAGACATCAAAAGTTTGTTGGCTGATTGCAACCAATAAGAGTTTCAATTATTTTTCTCCATCACCCTCCAATTTTTTTTTTTGTTTGTCAAAGGAGTAATTGAATGACAAAGTGTACCCAATTCCCTCGTTTAATTTAATTTTGCTCCCACTTTTTCATTACTAATGGAAAGTTGCATCATAGTTTGAAGCTTTAATAAAGAGAGATTGACCGAAATAACTTAACTCGAGCGGAAAAAAATTATGTGTTAAGTATATATGGTACGATTGTTATCAGGGGTATGTTTAGTACTCATAAATCAATCGGTTACAAGAATGTAGTGACAAAACCTCGATGCAGTAGAGTTTTCCAATCTAATAATATCCTTACCATATTCAACTCACTCAAATATACAAATAGAAGTAGTAAACCACCCCCTCCCTCACAAAACCCGACTTACTAAAATCGTGTTCACTCGATTTGCAACAGAAACGACTTTAAATCTACTTTTTAAATGATATAGTAGACTATTGTACATGTTTATTACCTTTTCCCTTTATTATCATATGCTTTCAAGTGTGAACAATTGTATATTCTTTCTAGTGGAGCATATGGATCTAGGATTCATTGTTATATAGCATCATCATCAACTCCATTGATTGCTTTTTTGTTAACCATGAACTACATCCAAACAACGTGGATTGCAAGTTTCCCATAGCTAAGTAATCAATCCTAAAAAAAAATACAAAAAAAGATATGAAAGTGAAGTTTTTTTGGGGCAATTGCGAAAATGAAAGATATATTATCGAATTGAAGACTTTGCTATGCTAGACAATGACAAATAGGTTTGGCCTTTTTCCCCCCATTTTGCTTTCCACGAAATGTATAGAAGCACAAGCCACAAAGTGATTCGACCAACATAGCACTATTTTCTCCCACAAAATATATTTTCCTAGATGGGCACTACATAGTGTTGGTGGAGGAAATTTTGTCGTTTAGATAGATGCATTCCGACTTTGAGGAGGGCTGAGTACTGTGAAATCTTACGGTTGTATTTAAACCGGGTCATATGTATACGATTGATTGTTCGTATTAAGGAGCTGGAATGCAAATCACAAATCATAACAATTACAATAAGATATAGATCATATCATCTTTGTATACAATCTTGTTCGGTACTATCCGAATTAGGCATACCAGATTGAGCAAAAAATGAACCGTTTATTTGGTTTACCACACAAAAGATCGAACCAATTCCTTACAATATATATTTTTTAAAAATCTCAAAACTCTCTATTCCAACACACATGCATAATTTTGATCACCTAAATTCAATTAAATTACAAAGACAAGGCACAGAGTCAGAGCAACCAAATTTCACCATAACCTCATAAACATTAACATAACGTCATATGAAGTTTTAACTTAATTATACCGATTTCTTCCAGATTGTTAGGCCAAGATTCAACCACGATATCTAGTATACTAGAAAAAATATATTTCTCACACATCACATGCCAAGCGTTGTTTTAGGCCATTACACCCAAGGATGAACATGTCCACTAACTTCTCCACATGAATTCACTCTTGTTCCTCCATTTTCTCATCCAATTCACTATGAATTCCTAACAATAACAACAACAAACCAGTGAACCATTGCCTATTCGGGCTAGGCACATGATCATTGCCTTTATTACTCCTTTCCCTTTGCCTAACTTCTAGCCAAACTTACTGTATCAACATATATGAAAGTCAACACACAACTGCCTGGTGCCGACAGTACTGTTCCTCTAGAACATGAAGTCTTTCTTCCACACTGAGAGGAAGTTCCCAACCTCCAACAATCTTCACCATGTTAATCACATGCATCAAAATTGCCGTACGTATATGCAGCTCCATCATTCGAATAGACAATCAAACGCCAATGGAAAAATCTGAGGTTCCTTTCATGATTAATCAATCCAATCCAATTAGACACCGGAATCAACTAAAATCGAATAGAAAACATGTTCAACCCGGTTGGATCGCTCATGTTTTCATCCACCTTCAGATTCATGAAATCAAGATACCCAGAAAGGAGACCACATATAATGTTAATGAGCATCCAAAACAAAATAGCTATCGTGTCTGCAACAATCCACATATAATCAAAGTGTTGAGAGACAAGAAAGGCTTCTAATTGTTCCAAGTGATTGCCAAAACCAAACTGTTCAATTTCACCAGTAGCTTACATAACGTACTAACAAAGGTTCATCGATCAGCCTAACGCACAAGAAAACTGGGTGCGTTACATCTCACATCCCAGTGAAGGCCTTCTTTCCGCCACCAGAAGATCCAGCTGGAATAACTTTCAACACATTGAATCTAACGGTCTTCGAAAGAGGCCTACAGCAACGAAGGAGAAGATTTCAGTCAACGTCTAAGAAAAGGCAAAGTTAAGAGCACTTAATGATTGACAACGGTTTAATAAAAAGGTGTAGTTACCTGCACTGCCCAATGGTGACATGATCTCCTTCCTTCACACGGAAGCATGGTGAGACATGAGCCGGGATGTTAGAGTGTCTCTTCTCATACCTATAGAAGAATGGCGAATCATTATTCCTTCTTAGTAGTTCAGACTGAAAGGGTATAGAACAATGCATACAGAAAAATGATGCATCAAGTTTGTACCTCTGGTATTTCTTCACATAGTGAAGATAGTTACGACGAACAACGATTGTTCTCATCATCTTGGCACTGTGGCATGTTCCAGCAATGATACGACCCCTGATGGAAACAGTGCCAGTGAAGGGGCATTTCTTGTCAATGTATGTTCCTGAAAGACCAGATCAAATTAGCAAGAAGACCAGATTCAACATAACTAATGAGGCAGGGAGGGAATCATCATATATTCAAGCACCACATGACATTCTCAATAAATCTATCTGTAGTCAGATGCAGAAAGGAACATAAACAAATGCTGCCAGAAAAATACCTACTGTCTTGGGCTGGCCAAATACTCACATAAACAAACTCTCCCAGAAACTAAAGAAGATACTTAGAAATTCTGAAAGCCAGATGGCTTCAATTGATCATCATCAAGATGGAAAACAGAAAGTGACCATGAACTTCACATTTGCAAGCTCACATTGAACAGGCATCACAAGTGGGGAACAAGTAGCTCTGCTAGAGGTACAGCAGTGTAAGCAGGAGTACTAGATAAGTCCGTCGCCCTCGAGCAGAGTAAAAAGGAGGACAATCTAACTCCTCCGGAGAAGATTTAGCACAAGATCTTGTTTAAGTTCTCCCAAAACTACTATGCAACAATTTCAATGTACTGAACCTCTTAAGTTATTTACACAGCCATGTTGGGATCAACACTCAGAAATTAATTGAAACGACCTAACTTTATGCATCAAGTGACCTTAATCCATCCAATATAGCCTCTTCAATCACTAATGAATTCCCCTATAAGCAATACTTGAACACAATAATTGCACCTAATCCTACACGACCATCGATACCCATTATCAATCATCAGCTTGCACAAGTTTATCCAAGGGAAACAGATAACCAAAGGCGCAAACTGAAGCGCCATAAAAAATATATCAAGACCAAAATACCTTCGATGGCTTCTCTGGGAGTCTTGAAGCCCAACCCAATGCTCTTCCAGAAGCGGTTTCCTCCCTTTCCAGGCCTCTTTCCCTTGCCAGTTTTCTTCGAGCTGAGCGACAAAGCAACGAATCAAATAGTCAGCACGAAAGACATTGGCTTTGAGAAAAACTAATCAACAGGGCAGAGAAGATCCTAGCTCGTTGAGAAATCTCACCTAAGGAAAACCTTTGGTTGCTTCAAAAATGCCTTCTCAGTCTGAAATAACACAGGAAAAAACCAAAACCCTTCTCGGTAAGAGGTCGATTTCAGAGCTCATTTTACCAAAAATGGAAAACAAGAGGAACGAGAACAAAACCTGCTCCGCCATGATTGATCGAGAGCTTGTTTCTCCGTAGAGCTAGCAGCAAAGGGTGGGATAGCGGCAAAATGAAGGCGGAGAGAGGCGAAGAACGATGACTCCCATCTTAAACCCTAGTTTGTGCTAATATATACCTGGACCCGACTCTCCTATTCTTCGGGCTGCAAAACTGGGCCTTCCTAGGCTGGTCGGCGGTATTACAAGGTCGGACAATAGATCAGACCAAGCCCAATTTCGGTAGGACCAAAGCCCATTGGATTATGCAGACCATCATTCTCCTCCTTTCCTTCCTTTCCTTCCCTCCCTTTTCCCTAACCCTACACTATACACCAAGAAAGAAAGAAACAAACAAAGAAATGGCGAAGAAAGAAAATGGCAATGGATTACGAAAGAAAGAAGATTATAGCTCGACAGCATGTGGCACCGAATATTTCCCCTTGTTTCCCTTTTAACCCCATTCCCGACAAATCCCTCTCCGTCTCTCTCCCTCCATTTCATCATCTCTCTCTTAATAATTGAAGAATTCCCATTTCTGGAGCCGAATTTGAAACCAGAGACGTAGCAGCATCGGCTCCCTCACACTTTTTCTTCCAGAGCTCTCTATAGACCACGGTGGTCCGGCGACCGGAATGGGTTCTGGCAGCAGTCGTCCGCGGTCGCGCCCATCTGAGTCCCGACCCAGCAGCCCCCCTGTCAACCGTTCACCTTCAAGGATTCTGTCATCAATCATCTGCGGTGGCTCCTCTTCTTCTTCTTCCCGCGCTGCAGCTGAGGTGAGAGCGACAGGGCGAAATTTCTCCCCTTTGTTGTTGTGAATTGCTGCTTCTTGAATAAAGTTGGGGTTTTTGATCGTGGGGCGGTTGTCATTTCTGATCGGGAACAAACATTGTTGACTTCTGGATGGCTTTCCTGAATGCCAAATTTTAGTGGGTTACTGGGTTTGTTGGTGATTTTTGTGATTGTGTGGGGGGGTTTGATTAGGTGGGCGATTCTTGGATTGTTTATAGGTTGCTCTTTGTGTGCTCAACCTTGATCATCTAGGATAACAGCTTGATTCCATCAAGTTTTAGCGGAGTGATTAGGGGAATGAGTATGCCAATCGATATCTTTGATTTTGTCTAATGGTGGTACTATAGCTTGCCATGTTGGAGTCTCTGACCGTGTATAACAAGGTGGTCAGCTCTTGATGATCCATTTAGAGGAGATAAGTCTGCTACCGAAAACAGAACAAGTGGTAGAATGATGGACAAATGCGTAGTTCAGTAGTATCTTGGAAGAACATGGATGATTGTTGATGTCGTTCAGCAGGCGGCACACATTTGGCACTGAGACCTTTTTATTTATCTAGTTTCTTCCGTTTGAGCTATCGAAGACTCTGAATCACGAGATGTGGATAGTTCCCAAATTGATTGACATGTATATATGTGGTGTTAACTCGAGTGCTTCTTATGGGTGTGCCGCTTTTGTTTATATGTTATGAGCCTGTTTGATCATATGTGGATTCATTTGTTTGATGAATCTTCTGAACGACCCTCCCTCTTGATTTTGTGTAGGTGGAAGGTCGTCCCTATGAAATGTTGAAGAGCTCTGTGGAAAATGATGACACAGGAGCAAGCAAAATCCAAAGCCCTATACTGGGATCGGCTGGCATAATTTGTTCAGAAACAGTTTCTGCCAATTCTGGTAGTGGTATTGGTCATTCATCAACAGGCAGTAGTATTACAGCCAGCAAGAGAATTACCGGTGAAGGTGGGTTGAGAAACTCAGGAACAAGTAATCAAGAGAGACGTTTCTCCGAAACTTTGGAGTTAGTCTCTTCCCAGGTATGTGATGAATATAGCTACGACGACTCTTTTAGGAATAGGTATAGTGGTCATGAAGCTAGTACTTCATTTAGAGAACAACAATCTTCAGATCCACTCTCTGTAAATACATTGGCTAACAAACATGCAGTCAATGGTATTGACAATCCAGAGAATAGTAGGTATATGCAAGCAGAGAGTTCATCTCAAGGTCTACTGCACACATCGAGTTTTGGTAGGGCTTCCGTCGAGAATCACATGGATGAAATGACAACTTGGCCTCTGCACAATTCTGATTCTGTTTCTGTGCAAGAAACGAATACTGAGGATTTAGGACTTCCGATAAGGGAACAGGCCCAGGATGATGGTGATGTTCTTCATGTAGATGTTGTGAGCATCTCTTCCAGAATCTTCTCTAGGGGAACTGCTGATAGGACTAGTTATCATGAGACCAGAAGAAACAGTAGACGACTATTCTGGGATGCATTTTCGAGGCGTAGTTCCTGGAGGCCTATGGATTCTCCAACCATTGTGCTCTCTACAGATGATAGTCCTGATGATTTACAATCTCAGGATAGATGGCTCCTTAATTTCAGTGGCAACTTTCTCGACGATGGTGTTACTAGTAGCGATTCTGAATACCTTCGCAGCAGGATTCATAGCTGGACTGACCGGAGACGCCAATCTAGATCAGAGGTGACTCTCTTACTTATTTGACCTTTCTTTGTGCGTCAAACTTCATTCAATATTTGGTTAGAAACTTAGAACGATTAGATAGTTTGTCATGCATCTTTATGGCTAACTTCTGCGTTTACCTTTCATCATAAGATTTGGGAGAGACTTGTTGGCAGCCTTGATGATGACGAACGGCGAACAACATTCTGTCCTTCTGGACTTCACCCCGAGGGTACTTGTTCATGTGAAACACTCTTGTCAGGAAGGGAGTCGAGTACTCGTGCAAATATATCACGGATAGTCATGCTTGCTGAAGCACTGTTTGAGGTGCGGCTTATCTTTGATTCCTTGATAGTGCTTGGACTCTTTGTTGCTATATTTTAACAATACTTATTCTTTCAGGTTTTGGATGAAATCCATCGCCAGCCTTCTTCACTTTCTATGTCCATGGTCTCACTCCCAGCTCCAGAATCTGTGGTCGACTCTTTCCCTCTTAAGAATCACAAAAAGGAGGACAAGATCGACGATGGTGAAGAAGCCGAGCAGTACGTTCCTTCCCTAATGTTCTTATGGTGTCAAGTTTTCATGGAACCTTAGCTAAAACTTATGATGGTGTATCGATTGACAGGTGCTACATCTGTCTGTCGGACTATGAAGAAGGGGATAAAATAAGAGTGCTTCCCTGCCATCATGAGTATCACATGTCATGTGTTGATAAATGGCTCAAAGAGATCCACGGGTATTACAAAAAAGCTTGCTCCCCCACTGTTTACTTTAGTTTGCAATGATCTCTGCCCTGAGCTCTTCCTTGCTTTTGCTTTTTTTAGGGTCTGCCCACTCTGTCGCGGAGATGTTCGCCAGGGTGAAAACGATTCTGTCTCCACCTCGGAGATTCCTTCACTCTGATCATAGAATTATATGTGATGCACAATGTAAATATCCCTCTCATGCGAAAGGAAGTTCATTTCATCCAACATTTTGTACATTCCTGGGTAAAAATCGAATCGCCTTTTCATATACCAGATATCTCTGTATACATTTGAAACACATCTACTATGATACTGAAAGAACCGGAATCTACATCGACAAACAGATTATAGAAGAACATGGTTCTTCTTTTTGGCAGTTTTGCTAATGAAACAGAGAAGAGCCGTTCCAGAACGGATTCTGGAAGGAAGTTGATAACGATTGTGGCTTCTCAATCCCATGATGGCTCTTCCCTGTGATGCTAGAATCTTGAAGGAACGGGTTATTGCTCTTGTTGATGTTGTTGCTATAGGTGACACTACTGAAAAGATTCGGGTGGATATTCTCATCATCGTCCTCATCGAATGTCGTCCATCTCTTCGAGTTGTTCAGATTCTTTTCCCTGGTAACATTCTTCATGTTCTCAATCTCACCCACATGATCATCATCATCATCACTGAATGTCGTCCACCTCTTTGAGTTATTCAGATGCTTTTCCCTGGTAGCATTTCTCAAGTTCTCCATCTCACCCACATGATCTTTGAACTCTTTCTTCACCACATCGCCATATTGGTCGCACCATGACCTTCGTTCAATTCCAAAATCCGTCAAAATCAGTGTGGTACATAGAAACTGGAATCATTTTCATCCGAAGGGTTCATTTGTAGACTTACTTGGGAAAGAAGTTCTTGAGGTCAGCTTTGTCAACAGGAAGCTTAGTGGAGATTGCTTCCATTTGGTCATCCCTAAAAAAATTGATCGCAAACACCTTTAAAATATGCTCTGTATATTCAACACTAACCTATATGAAAACGAAAGGCTTACGAGAGTTTCAGATTTGGATTGGTGGTGGAGAGCTCAGTTTGAATCCTCAACAGCTCTTTCTTTATGTTATTCCCCAACACTTTGTCAATGAAGAAATCCGAAGGGGTTCCATCGGAGTGAAGCTTCCTTTTGATCTGTTTCGTATCAGGGCCTTCTCCGATCGGGCTTGTAACAAGGTTTCCATACTCATCTTCACAATCTCCTGCTCTTCCAATGTTCAGTGGCAGTGGAGCTGTCTCGTCCTCCGAATCATTCCTCTTCCACCATTGCTTCTTCTTCGCAGATTTCTCGCTACTCTGCTCTTTATCAAACAGAGTCCTGAATGGCTTCCTCTTCACCTTCTCGCCACTCCCATTCTCCTTCCTCGGAGATGCAGCTGTCTTTCCGCTTGCTTGCATCAGAATCGACTTTGTTTCGCTCCCCTTCACTGAGTTACCACCATTCACAATTGGGCTCTCGTACATTTCTCCGCTGTTGTTATTATGTTGTCCACAGGACTGCCGTTTAGCCTCGATCTCGAATATGCTCTGCCTCCTATTACTCTGCTTGTTAAATCCTAGCAGAGAAGAACCCGCCCCTTTGATCTGCTTCAACGCAGGTGAGCTCTGCTCCTTTGATTTTCGCTTGGATTGCGGAGTGGACTCACGTTTCTCGTCTCTCAAATCAATCACTGACCATTCTTCATCTCTGTTTTCATCCACTTCGCTCTGTTTCCCGCCTACGACCACATCCCTCGCCTCGATTTCTGCACCTTGGACCGCCATTCTCTGCATCAATGGCCCCTTCGACGAATGGTACTCTTCCTCCGTTATACATTTCGCATACAGCAACTCCTAAAAAACGAACCAGTTGAATTGAATCTCTCCACTTTACGTTTCGTTCTGTGAAAAAGGGAAAAATCCCTAATTTGATAGTAAAGACTCTAACTTTCTTGTTACCTGGAGGAAGAGCAATTTGTCCCGCAAGACGGCGGCGTGCTCGTGCTCCGGGGGAGAAGCGATGAGGGTCTCGAGCAAGTGGGATCGGAACGCCGAGACCTCGTGCTGCTCCAAGATCCCTGCTTTATGGAGTCCCGTCAGATTGAGGATCTGGTGGAACGAGTCCTGCTGCCATTTGAGGTTGTCGGACTGGATCTTGTTGAGGCGGTGCTCCGCCGCGGCGAGCCGGCCGCGCTTCTTGAAGGAGAAAGGGAGGATGGTCTTGCAGAGGGAAGTGATGGAGTCGTGGAGCGTGGAGTAGTAAGCTGGCGTGTAGTTGTACGCCATTTTTATGACGAAGAAGAAGAAGAAGAAGAAGAAGAAGAAGAAGAAGAAGAAGAAGAAGATCTGATTGGGATCACCAGAGCTGCTAACTGGCTAAGTTCTTATCGTGTTGAGAGCTTGGGGGATGGAAATGACCGGGGATCGTTTGTTGGAGTTGGTTTGAGGCGCACTTCAAGAAGTTTGAATTTGCGAGGGGGATTGGGGACGGTCACTTCGAGAGGAACTAGCCGTTGTGTGTGGCGGTTAATGATTAAAACGCTGTCGTGGAGAAGGTAACGGTCGTGGTTCTGGGCCCATATGTCTCTAGTGGGCCTGTATGTGGGATGGAAATTCTTATTAGCCCGTCACCGTTGTCTCTAGTGGGCCTATTTGTAGGATGGACCTTGGAAGTTCTTTTCTTATTAGCTAGTTACTAGTTAGGCGTGCATTTAGCAAGAATTTGTCCTATTATGTTCGGATTAAATCGAAGAACCAACATAAAATACTTTTGTTTTTGTATCAATTATATGAATTTTGTAAAATATTAAGTACAAATTCTTTAGGATACTAAAAATAAAATTGTAACTTCTGTTATGATGAGATTTTCAATCTCAAAATTTGAAGATTAGTTTGGAGATCTATTTTTTCTTTCAATTTTTTTATTTATCAAATTGTAGGCTGATTCGGTTTAATTCTGAACTAAAACAACCCCACTTGTCTTGTAAATTGTAATCTAAAAAATGAGTTGGGAATTACTTTGACTCGATTAGTGACAACTTATATGATTTTATATTTTTCTCTCACTCTCTGTTAGAGATGGCAACGAAACTTCCTCTAGGCGGCCAAACCATTGCCTGGAAGCTGCACATGGCGAAAAAGTCCAAATAATTCCAGAACAAAGATCATCTTTTGATCTTTCTTCCATCTTTCCCCATTAAAAAAAAAATAAAACTTTGGAGGAACCCATTTCAAGTTTCTCCTCTACCTATAATGGGTAGTTAATGCTTCACCTGTTTAGTACCTGATTCAATCTACTCCCTTCCGAAATTCCTCTCTTTCTGTGTTCCTTCTTCTGGGGTAGTAATCAATCATGGCGGGAATGTTGCCCGGCGTGGAATGCGCTCGGAGAAGACGGCTCCGCCCAACCGCCGGCGATTCTCCCGGCGGATCTCGGAGGTCCTCGCTCGGTTTGTACGCCACCAACTACGAAGCCTCTTACTCTTCTTTCACTTCATCGGTAAATTGCGAATCCATCTAAATCTGTTCATGATTTAAACCATTCCCCTGTTTTTTAATGAAACAGAGGTTTCACTTTCCCTTTTCTGGACTTCAATTTTTGACAGAAAAACGTTTCTTTTGTATAGCAGAGAAGCGTGCAGATTGAGACCAAAGAGGATGAGAAGCTGAGAGGAGTAGCCAGAGAAGCCAAGGAAAGACTGGACGAGAGGCTTAGATTGCAGAGGAAATCGTCGGATTCCAAAAGGTACCCCCAAACCGAACTTTAACGCATTAGATCCTCCACTTGGATAGTTTTTTAGGGGTGGATTCATTGAACTCCGCGATCCAATCGAATCGATGAAGCTGTAGATCTTGGTGACGAGAAGTGTCCTCAAATTTTCATTGTTCTGTGTGTTCGACAGACAAAACGTGGATTCGGGAACTAAATCGTCGACATTTGGGAAACTTAGGATGATTGTGGCTAATTGGCGCCCGTCGTGTGAGGGAACGTACGCGTGAAGGCGGCGTGGCAGTGGTCCGGCGAGTCGGGAGGGCGGTGGTTCCGTGGTGGTGATCGTCAGTGCGGAAATGGGTGAAAGGAGGCGGGAGGATATCGGACGGCGATCGATGGCTGCAGTTAGTTTTTTTTCCCACTGGTAAACGGGAAACGGCGGTAAGCAATCGTCGGACCGACTTGAGATTACAATGCTCAAAAGCCCAATGGGCCAGTTCGCTTGCCATCTCTCGCGAGCCTACCAACCCGCTTGTGGACCACCAAAAGCCCAACCCATGAATTTTAATCATATTTATCAATTGAGGGGCATGGTGATTAGGATGTGGTCAATTGTTTGTTATCTCGTGGAAGTAGGGAGGCGTATTTTCGTGTGCACCTTAATCAGTATTAGTTTATCAGTTAAATTGTAACGATTACAATGTATTTAAACATTGAACTATCATACAAGATTAAAAACGATTCAGAATTAAGACTCCTTTACTGATGACAATGATCAACCAAACATTGACATTTTTCTTCGAGACAATGGTTTGAAATTAATTTTTGAAAAGAAGCAAAGTGACACACATTGACATATTTTCATCTTCATCATAAGAAGGGAAAATTGCACTTGATATTAGCCCTTGGTTTAATCAAAATGCTATACAAGGGTCTCACCATGTTTTTTCATGGCAGGTTAAGCTCGAACAAGTCTACAAATATGTCAACTCTACAGTTGAGTGTATGGTGTAGCCAGTTCACTCAGTTATGTTTAATAATATCAATTCACCTTATAACTTTCTTAGATATTGGGTGTATTTTGATTATATTGGAATTGAAACTCATACATTTTATTTAATGAACAAATGTTAGAACGCCCCGTGAGCGTCACAAAAGAAGAGAGAAGGCCTCAGTAGACTACAAACCTCAACCCCGATCAACAAACTTTTCCAATAGGTTATGTTATTGGAATGAACTAAGTTCTTCTATCATTGCAACTAGTTTATGATTGACGATGTGAATGGTAGAAACTTGCATCGACCCTCGGCTCCGAAACAAAAAGTCCATGACATGAGAATCACAATTCCACAAACCCTAGTGAGGGGGTGAAGAACAATGGAATAGTATGATATGAGATACTGACTGATCTCTAGTTTGGTCCACATATGCTTCACTTGTTTGGTTGTGCATTATATGGTTACTTGGGAGATCAATAAATAACCAACCACTCCTTCGTAGCTCCTTGTCTCTCTTAACCACATAATTCAAAAACCACAGCAACACACTAGGACCATTAGAGAAAGAGGAAATTCACAGTCATCGGTAATTTTCCGGCGATAGTATAAAAGTTGACACATAATTTACGACAAAGAACAAAACTGTACAATGCAGACACCACACAACTCTCAAAAAAGAGATTTAATTGTGCTTGGTAAATGATTGGAATGCAAAAAGATTAGGGAAGCCAGAAGAGGATCAAGGAAGATAGACACATCCTTTTCTGTTGTTATTTTGGCTCATCACAAGAAAAGTGTAAGGATTATGAATGTTGTGTGTTGTATTAACATAGAAGAGGGTTATTTATAGCCAATATTACAGCAATACAATACTACAAGGAAAGGAAAGACTAATTACAATCCTACTAGAACAAAGTTTAATTACAATCCTACTACAACTAGGATAAAGACTTACCCTTAATACGCCCCTCAAGATGGAGGCGGCGTCCGCAAGCCCAATTTTGGAGCAGGGAAGGCAGAAGCGGGTGGAGGGAAGGGGTTTAGTAAAAACATCCACAAGCTGAGAAGCTGTAGGCACATGACGGACGATGAGTTGCTCGGCTTGGACAAGCGGACGGACGAAGTGGTAATCCAACGCAAGATGCTTCATGCGCGAGTGGAACACGGGGTTGGAGCTGAAGTTAACCGCCACCATGTTGTCGGAGAAGAGAACGGGGGCATGCGGAAGTGGTTGGTGCAGCTTAGAGAGAAGGTTGCAAACCCAGCGAACCTCAGCAGTGGCAAGAGCGATGGCCCTATATTCTGCTTCAGTACTGGAACGATAAACCATCTTTTTTTTCTTGGATTTCCACGAAATTAAGGTGCCGGCAAGATAGAGAAGAAAACCAGACGTGGAGGTGCGATCATCCGGATCACCCGCCCAGTCAGAGTCGGAAAATGCTCGGATACGTAGTGGAGTGGACTGGCGGCGAATGTGAAGGTCGAGGGAGCTAGTGCCGGCGAGATAGCGGAGGAGGCGCTTAACATGCTGCAGTGGAGGGAGGTCAGGGCGGGCATGTACTGAGATAGTTTGTTAACAGTAAATGCGACGTCCGGACGAGTAGTGACCATATACTGGAGGGCACCAAGAGCCTGATGATACAGGGTGCCATCAGTAGGAGTAGTGTCGTCGGTAAGAAGGAGACGAGTCGTGGAAGCTAAGGGGTAGTGGCGGGGTTCACATCCTGCATTTGGAATCGAGTAAGTATATCTTGGATATACTTGTGTTGAGACAATGTGAAACCAGTAGGAGTAGGAATGACATCAATCCCCAGGAAATAGTTCACTTGGCCAAAATGACGGAGAGCAAACCGAGTGGTCAGTTGTTCCTGGAATGTACGGAGAAACTCGGAGTTGTTGCCGGTGAGGAGAAGATCGTCCATATACATGAGGAAGTAAGCGAGAATTCCATGTCGATGATAGACAAACAACGACACATCAGAGTGAGTCTTAGTAAACCCACATTGTACAAGGAACGAACTCAACTCGTCGTACCACGCGCGAGGGGCTTGGCGAAGCCCGTAGATAGCTTGGCGCAGTTGACACACGTGATTAGGGAACTGGGGATCCCGAAATCCAGGAGATTGAGCCATGCAAACCTCTTCATGAAGTGGACCCTGAAGGAATGCATTGTTGACATCGAATTGATGGATCGGCCAGTTATGAGAGAGGGCAATGATGAATACTGTGCGGACTGTGACAGGCTTGAGAATGGGACTGAAGGTCTCGTGGAAGTCAACTCCTGGCCTCTAGTGAAATCCCTTGGCGACGAGACGAGTTTTGAATAGTTCAATGCTTACATCCGGACGATGTTTGATGCGATACAACCACCGATTGCCAAAGGGGTACCATCACAGATTTCGGGCGATTTTTCCGAAATGTCATTTTCTTTCGATTCTGGAGGCTACTTTATCACCGAATCAGGCCGAGGCTATTCTCCGCCGATAATGAAGTCTATTGATCCTATTCTCCACGGATGATAAGTCCATTAAGCACCGATTTGAGCCAATTTATTTTCGGATGGCATTTTCGTAATTTTTGGGTGACGAAAGAACATTTTCTTTGCATATTGAAGGCTACAGATCACGGATTCGGCCTGAGGCTATTCTTTAACGATGATTGAGTCCATTAAGCACCGATTTGGGTGGATTTATTTCGGGTCAATTTTTGGCAGATTCCAAAGGGGTACCATCACAGATTTCGGGCGATTTTTCCGAAATGCCATTTTCTTCCGATTCTGGAGGCTACAGATCACGGAATCAGGCCAAGGCTATTCTCCACCAATAATGAAGTCTATTGGTCCTATTCTCCACGGATGATAAGTCCATTAAGCACCGATTTGGGCCAATTTATTTTCGGATGACATTTTCGTGATCTTTTGGGCGACGAAAGGCCATTTTCTTTGGAAATTGAAGGCTACAGATCACACATTCAGGCTGAGGCTATTCTTCAATGATGATTGAGTCGATTAAGCACCGATTTGGGTGGATTTATTCCTGGTCAATTTTTGGCAGATTCCAAAGGGGTACCATCACAGATTTCGGACGATTTTTCCGAAATGCCATTTGCTTTCAATTCTGGAGGCTACAGATCACGGAATCAAGCCGATGCTATTATCCGCCGATAATGAAGTCTACTAGTCCTATTCTCCACGGATGATAAGTCCATTAAGCACCAATTTGAGCCAATTTATTTTCGAATGGCATTTTCGTAATTTTTTTGGCGACGAAAGGCCATTTTGTTTGGATATTGAAGGCTATAGATCACAGATTCGACGTGAGACTATTCTTCAACGATGATTGAGTCTATTAAGCACGGATTTGGGTGGATTTATTCTGGGTCAATTTTTTGCAGATTCCAAAGGGGTATCATCACAGATTTCGGGCGATTTTTCTGAAATGCCATTTGCTTTCGATTCTGGAGGCTACAAATCACAGAATCAAGCCGAGGCTATTCTCCACCGATAATTAAGTCTACTAGTCCTATTCTCCACGGATGATAAGTCCATTAAGCACCAATTTGGGCCAATTTATTTTCGGATGGCATTTTCGTAATTTTTTGAGCGACGAAAAGCCATTTTCATTGAATATTGCAGGCTACAGATCACGGATTGGGCATGAGTCTATTATTCAACGATGATTGAGTCCATCAAGCACTGATTTGGGCGGATTTATTCAGGGTCAATTTTTGGCAGATTCCAAAGGGGTCCCACCACAGATTTCGAGCGATTTTTCCGAAATGCCATTTTCTTTCGATTTTGGAGGCTACAGATCACGGAATCAGGCCGAGGCTATTCTCCCCCGGTAATGAAGTCTATTGTTCCTATTCTCCACGGATGATAAGTCCATTAAGCACCGATTTGGGCCAAATTATTTTCGGATGGCATTTTCGTAATTTTTTGAGCAACGAAAGGCCATTTTCTTTGGATATTGAAGGCTACAGATAATGGATTCAACCTGAGCCTATACTTTTAACAATGATTGAGTCCATTTAACACCGATTTGGTCGAATTTATTCCTGGTCAATTTTTGGCAGATTCCAAAGGGGTACCATCATAGATTTCGGGCGATTTTTCCGAAATGCCATTTTCTTTCGATACTGGAGGCTACAGATCATGGAATCAGGCCGAGGCTATTCTCCAGCGATAATGAATTCTAGTGGTCCTATTCTCCACGGATGATAAGTCCATTAAGCACCAATTTTACCCAATTTATTTTTGGATGGCATTTTCGTCATTTTTTGGGCGATGAAAGGACATTTTCTTTTGATATTAAAGGCTATAGATCAAGGAGTCAGCCTGAGGCTATTCTTCAACGATGATTGAGTCCATTGAGCACCAATTTGGGCGGATTTATTCCGGGTCAATCTTTGGCAGATTCCAAAGGGTACCATCATAGGTTTCAGGTGATTTTTTCGAAATACCATTTTTTTGATTCTGGAGGCTACAGATCAAGGAATCAGGCCGAGGCTATTCTCCACCGATAAAGAAGTCTATTGGTCCTATTCTCCACGGGGTGAAAGATAAATCCGAATTCTTTGACTATAGATAATAAGTCAATTAAGCACCGATTTGGGCCAAATTACTTTCGGAATCAAGCCGAGGATATTCTCCACCGATAATGAAGTCTATTGATCCTAATCTCTACGAATGATAATTTCATTAAGCACCGATTTGGGCCAATTTATTTTTGGATGGCATTTTTGTAATTTCTTTGGCGACGAAAGACCATTTTCTTTGGATAATGAAGGCTATAGATCACGGATTCGGCCTGAGATTATTCTTCAATGATGATTGAGTCCATTAAGCACCGCCTTGGGCGAATATATTCCGGGTCAATTTTTGGCAGATTCCAAAGGGGTACCATCACAGATTTCTAGTGATTTTTATGAAATGGAATTTTATTTCGATTCTGGAGGCTACAAATCACGGAATCAGTCCGAGGCTATTCTCCACCGATAATGAAGTTTATTTATAAAATTCTGCACAGATGATAAGTTTATTAAGCACCGATTCTGGCCAAATTTTTATCGGAATGCATTTTCGTAAATTTTAATGCGACGAAAGGCAATTTTCTTTGGATATTGAAGGCTACAGTTCACGGATTCGGCCTGAGGCTATTCTTCAACGATGATTGAGTCCATTAAGCAGCGATTTGGGCGGATTTATTCCTTGTCAATATTTGGCAGATTCAAAAGGTGTACCATCACAGATTTCGGGCGATTTTTCCGAAATGCGATTTTCTTTCGATGCTGGAGGTTACAGATCACGGAATCAGGCCGAGGCTAGTCTCCACCGATAATGAAGTCTATTGATCCTATTCTCCACGGATGATAAGTCCGTTAAGCATCGATTTGGGCAAATTTATTTTCGAATGGCATTTTCGTAATTTCTTGGGTGACGAAAGGCCATTTTCTTTGGATATTGAAGGCTACAGATCACGAATTAGGCCTGAGGCTATTCTCCACCGATAATGAAGTCTATTGATCCTATTCTCCACGGATGATAAGTCCGTTTAGCATCGATTTGGGCAATTTATTTTCGAATGACATTTTCGTAATTTCTTGGGCGACGAAAGGCCATTTTCTTTGGATACTGAAGGCTACAAATAACGGATTCGCCTGAGGCTATTCTCCAACGATGATTGAGTCCATTAAGCACCGATTTGGGCGGATTTATTCGGGATCAATTTTTGGCAGATTCCAAAGGGGTACCATCACAGATTTTGGGTGTTTTATCTGAAATGCCATTTTCTTTCGATTCTGGAGGCTACAGATCACGGAATCAGGCCGAGGCTATTCTCCAGCGATAATGAAGTCTATTGATCCTATTCTCCACAGATGATAAGTCCGTTAAGCATCGATTTGGGCCAATTTATTTCCGATTGGCATTCGCTTAATTTCTTGGGCGACGAAAGGCCATTTTCTTTGGATATTGAAGGCTACAAATCACGAATTCTCCTGAGGCTATTCTCCAACGATGATTGAGTCCATTAAGTACCGATTTGGGAGGATTTATTCCGGGTCTATTTTTGGCAGATTCCAAAGGGGTACCATCACTGATTTCGGACGATTTATCCGAAATGCCATTTTCTTTCGATTCTGGAGGCTACAGATCACGGAATCAGGCCGAGGCTATTCTCCACCGATAATGAATTCTATTGATCCTATTCTCCACGGATGATAAGTCCGTTAAGCATCGATTTGGGCCAATTTATTTTCGAATGGCATTTTCGTAATTTCTTGGGTGACGAAAGGCCATTTTCTTTGCATATTGAAGGCTATAGATCACGGATTTGGCCTGAGGCTATTCTCCAACGATGATTGAGTCCATTAAACACTGATTTGGGCGGATTTATTCTGGGTCAATTTTTGGCACATTCCAAAGGGGTACTATCACAGATTTCGTGCGATTTATCCGAAATGCCAATTTCTTTCGATTCTCGAGGCTACAGATCACGGAATCAGGACGAGGCTATTCTCCACTGATAATGAAGTCTATTGATCCTATTCTTCACGGATGATAATTCCGTTAAGCATCGATTTGGGCCAATTTATTTTTGAATGGCATTTTCGTAATTTCTTGAGCTACAAAAGGCCATTTTCTTTGGATACTGAAGGCTACAAATCACGGATTCGCCTGAGGCTATTCTCCAACGATGATTGAGTCCATTAAGCACCGATTTGGGCGGATTTATTCCGGCTCAATTTTTGGCAGATTCCAAAGGGGTACCATCACTGATTTCGGACGATTTATCCGAAATGCCATTTCCTTTCGATTCTGGAGGCTAAAGATCACGGAATCAGGCCGAGGCTATTCTCCACCGATAATGAAGTCTATTGATCCTATTCTCCACGGATGATAAGTCTGTTAAGCATCGATTTGGGCCAATTTATTTCCGATTGGCATTTTCCTAATTTCTTGGGCGACGAAAGGCCATTTTCTTTGGATATTGAAGGATACAAATCACGAATTCGCTTGAGGCTATTCTCCAACGATGATTAAGTCCATTAAGCACCGATTTGGGCGGATTTATTCCGGGTCAATTTTTGGCAGATTCCAAAGGGGTACCATCACAGATTTCGGGCGATTTATCCGAAATGCCATTTTCTTTCAATTCTGGAGGCTACAGATCCCGGAATCAGGCCGCGGCTATTCTCCACCGATAATGAAGTCTATTGATCCTATTCTCCACGGATGATAATTCCGTTAAGCATCGATTTGGGCCAATTTATTTTTGAATGGCATTTTCGTAATTTCTTAGGCGACGAAAGGCCATTTTCTTTGGATAATGAAGGCTATAGATCACGGATTCGGCTTGAGGCTATTCTCCAACTATGATTGAGTCCATTAAACACTGATTTGGGCGGATTTATTCTGGGTCAATTTTTGGCAGATTGCAAAGGAGTACTATCACAGATTTCGAGCGATTTATCCGAAATGCCAATTTCTTTCGATTCTGGAGGCTACAGATCACGGAATCAGGACGAGGCTATTCTCCACTGATAATGAAGTCTATTGATCCTATTCTCCACGGATGATAATTCCGTTAAGCATCGATTTGGGACAATTTATTTTCGAATGGCATTTTCGTAATTTCTTGGGCGATGAAAGGCTATTTTCTTTGGATATTGAAGGCTATAGATCACAGATTCGGCCTGAGGCTATTCTCCAACGACAATTGAGTCCATTAAGCACCGATTTGGGAGAATTTATTCCGAGTAAATTTTTGGCAGATTCCAAAGGGGTACCATCACAGATTTTGTGCGATTTACCCGAAATGCCATTTTATTTCGATTCTGGAGGCTACAGATCACGGAATCAGGTCGAGGCTATTCTCCACCGATAATGAAGTCTATTGATCCTATTCTCCACGGATGATAAGTCTGTTAAGCATCGATTTGGGCCAATTTATTTTCGAATGGCATTTTTGTAATTTCTTGGGCGACGAAAGATCATTTTCTTTGGATATTGAAGGACACAGATCACGGATTCGGCCTGAGGCTATTCTCCAACGATGATTGAGTCCATTAAGCACCAATTTGGGAGGATTTATTCCAGGTAAATTTTAGGCAGATTCCAAAGGGTTACCATCACAGATTTCGGGCAATTTATCCGAAATGCCATTTTCTTTCGATTCCGCAGGCTACAGATCACGGAATCAGGCCGAGGCTATTCTTCGCCGAAAAATGAAGTCTATTGATCTTATTATCCACGGATGATAAGTCCGTTAAGCATCGATTTGGGCCAATTTATTTTTGAATGGCATTTTCATAATTTCTTGGGCGATGAAAGGCCATTTTCTTTGGATATTGAAGGCTACAGATCACGAATTAGGCCTGAGGCTATTCTCCACCGATAATGAAGTCTATTGATCCTATTCTCCACGGATGATAAGTCCGTTAAGCATTGATTTGGGCCAATTTATTTTCGAATGGCATTTTCGTAATTTCTTGGGCGACGTAAGGCCATTTTCTTTGGATATTGAAGGCTACAGATCACAGATTCGGCCTGAGGCTATTCTCCAACGATGATTAAGTCCATTATGCACCGATTTGGGCGGATTTATTGCGGGTCAATTTTTGGCAGATTCCAAAGGGGTACCATCACAGATTTCGGGCGATTTATCCTAAATGCCATTTTCTTTCGATTCTGGAGGCTACAGATCACGGAATCAGGCCAAGGCTGTTCTCCACCGATAATGAAGTCTATTGATCCTATTCTCCACGGATGATAAGTCCGTTAAGCATCGATTTGGGCCAATTTATTTTTGAATGGCATTTTCGTAATTTCTTGGGCGATGAAAGGCCATTTTCTTTGGATATTGAAGGTTACAGATAATGGATTCGGCCTGAGGCTATTCTCCAACGATGATTGAGTCCATTAAACACTGATTTGGGGAGATTTATTCAGGGTCAACTTTTGGCAGATTCCAAAGAGGTACCCATCACAGATTTCGGGCGATTTATCCGATATGTAAATTTCTTTCGATTCTGGAGGCTATAGATCACAGAATCAGGCCGAGGCTTTTATCGACTGATAATGAAGTCTATCGATCCTATTCTCCAAGGATGATAAGTCCGTTAAGCATCGATTTGGGCCAATTTATTTTCGAATGGCATTTTCGTAATTTCTTGGGCGACTAAAGGCCATTTTCTTTGGATATTGAAGGCTACAGATCACGGATTCGGCCTTAGGCTATTCTTCAACAACGATTGAGTCCATTAAGCAACGATTTGGGCGGATTTATTCCGGGTCAATTTTTGGCAAATTCCAAAGGGGTACCATCACAGATTTTGTGCGATTTATCCGAAATACCATTTTATTTTGATTCTGGAGGCTACAGATCACGGAATCAGGCCGAGGCTATTCTCCACTGATAATGAAGTCTATTGATCCTATTCTCCACGTATGATAAGTTCGTTAAGCATCGATTTGGGCCAATTTATTTCCGATTGGCATTTTCGTAATTTCTTGTGCGACGAAAGGGCATTTTCTTGGGATATTGAAGGATACACATCACAGATTCGCTTGAGGATATTCTCCAACGATGATTGAGTACATTAAGCACCGATTTGGGCGGATTTTTTCCAGGTAAATTTTAGGCATATTCCAAAGGGGTACCATCACAGATTTCGGGCGATTTATCCGAAATGCCATTTTCTTTCGATTCTGGAGGCTACAGATCACGGAATCAGGCCGAGGCTATTTTCCACCGATAATGAAGTCTATCGATCCTATTCTCCACAGATGATAAGTCTGTTAAGCATCGATTTGGGACAATTTATTTTTGAATGGCATTTTTGTAATTTCTTGGGCAATGAAAGGCCATTTTCTTTGGATATTGAAGGCTACATATCACGGATTCGGCCTGAGGCTATTCTCCAACGATGATTGAGTCCATTAAGCACCGATTTGGGGGGATTTATTCCGGGTCAATTTTTGGCAGATTCCAAAGGGGTACCATCACAGATTTCGGACGATTTATCCGAAATGCCATTTTCTTTCGATTCTGGAGGCTACAGATCACAGAATCAGGCCGAGGCTATTGTCCATCGATAATGAAGTCTATTGATCCTATTCTCCACGGATGATAAGTCCGGTAAGCATTGATTTGGGACAATTTATTTTCGAATGACATTTTCGTAATTTCTTGAGCTACGAAAGGCCATTTTCTTTGGATATTGAAGGCTATAGATCACATATTCGGCCTGAGGCTATTCTCCAACGACAATTGAGTCCATTAAGCACCGATTTGGGAGGATTTATTTTTGAATGGCATTTTTGTAATTTCTTGGGCAATGAAAGGCCATTTTCTTTGGATATTGAAGGCTACATATCACGGATTCGGCCTGAGGCTATTCTCCAACGATGATTGAGTCCATTAAGCACCGATTTGGGGGGATTTATTCCGGGTCAATTTTTGGCAGATTCCAAAGGGGTACCATCACAGATTTCGGACGATTTATCCGAAATGCCATTTTCTTTCGATTCTGGAGGCTACAGATCACAGAATCAGGCCGAGGCTATTGTCCATCGATAATGAAGTCTATTGATCCTATTCTCCACGGATGATAGGTCCGTTAAGCATCGATTTGGGCCAATTTATTTTCGAATGACATTTTCGTAATTTCTTGAGCTACGAAAGGCCATTTTCTTTGGATATTGAAGGCTATAGATCACATATTCGGCCTGAGGCTATTCTCCAACGACAATTGAGTCCATTAAGCACCGATTTGGGAGGATTTATTCCGGGTCTATTTTTGGGAGACTCCAAAGGGGTATCATCACAGATTTCGGACGATTTATCCGAAATGCCATTTTCTTTCGATTCTGGAGGCTACAGATCACGGAATCAGGCCGAGGCTATTTTCCACAGATAATGAAGTCTATTGATCCTATTCTCCACGGATGATAAGTCCGGTAAGCATTGATTTGGGACAATTTATTTTCGAATGGCATTTTTGTAATTTCTTGGGCGACGAAAGGCCATTTTCTTTGGATATTGAAGGCTATAGATCACGGATTCGGCCTGAGGCTATTCTTCAACGATGATTGAGTCCATTAAGCACCGATTTGGGCGGATTTATTCAGGGTCAATTTTTGGCAGATTCCAAAGGGGTACAATCACAGATTTCGGACGATTTATCCGAAATGCAATTTTCTTTCAATTCTATAGGCTACAGATCACGGAAGCAGGCCGAGGCTATTCTCCACCGATAATGAATTCTTTTGATCATATTCTCCACGGATGAAAAGTCCGTTAAGCATCGATTTGGGCCAATTTATTTTCGAATGGCATTTTCGTAATTTCTTGGGCGACGAAAGGCCATTTTCTTTGGATATTGAAGGCTACAGTTCACGGATTCGGCCTGAAGCTATTCTCCAACGATGATTGAGTCCATTAAGCACCGATTTGGGAGGATTTATTCCGGGTCTATTTTTCGGAGATTCCAAAGGGGTACCATCACAGATTTCGGACGATTTATCCGAAATGCCATTTTCTTTCGATTCTGGAGGCTACAGATCACGGAATCAGGCCAAGGCTATTCTCCATCGATAATGAAGTCTATTGATCCTATTCTCCACGGATGATAAGTCCGGTAAGCATTGATTTTGGACAATTTATTTTCGAATGGCATTTTCGTAATTTCTTGGGCGACGAAAGGCCATTTTCTTTGGATATTGAAGGCTACAGATCACGGATTCGGCCTGAGGCTATTCTTTAACGATGATTGAGTCCATTAAGCACCGATTTGGGTGGATTTATTCCGGGTCAATTTTTGGCAGATTCCAAAGGGGTACCATCACAGATTTCGGACGATTTATCCGAAATACAATTTTCTTTCGATTCTAGAGGCTACAGATCACGGAATCAGGCCGAGGCTATTCTCCACCGATAATGAATTCTTTTGATCATATTCTCCACGGATGATAAGTTCGTTAAGCATCGATTTGGGACAATTTATTTTCGAATGACATTTTCGTAATTTCTTGTGCGACGAAAGGCCATTTTCTTTGAATATTGAAGGCTACAGATCACGGATTCGGCCTGAGGCTATTCTCCAACGATGATTGAGTCAATTAAGCACCGATTTGGGAGGATTTATTCCGGGTCTATTTTTGGCAGATTCCAAAAGGGTACCATCACAGATTTCGGACGATTTATCCGAAATGCAATTTTCTTTCGATTCTAGAGGCTACAGATCACGGAATCAGGCCGAGGCTATTCTCCACCGATAATGAAGTCTTTTGATCCTATTCTCCACGGATGATAAGTCCGTTAAGCATTGATTTGGGCCAATTTATTTTTGAATGGCATTTTCGTAATTTCTTGAGCTACGAAAGGCCATTTTCTTTGGATATTGAAGGCTATAAATCACGGATTCGGCCTGAAGCTATTCTCCAACGATGATTGAGTCCATTAAGCACCGATTTGGGAGGATTTATTCCGGGTCTATTTTTTGGAGATTCCAAAGGGGTACCATCACAGATTTCTGACGATTTATCCGAAATGCCATTTTCTTTCGATTCTGGAGGCTACAGATCACGGAATCAGGCCGAGGCTATTCTCCACCGATAATGAAGTCTATTGATCCTATTCTCCACGGATGATAAGTCCGGTAAGCATTGATTTGGGACAATTTTTTTCGAATGGCATTTTCGTAATTTCTTGGGCGACGAAAGGCCATTTTCTTTGGATATTGAAGGCTACAGATCACGGATTTGGCCCGAGGCTATTCTTCAACGATGATTGAGTCCATTAAGCTCCGATTTGGGCGGATTTATTCTGGGTCAATTTGTGGCAGATTCCAAAGGGGTACCATCACAGATTTCGGACGATTTATCTGAAATGCAATTTTCTTTCGATACTATAGGCTACAGATCACGGAATCAGGCCGAGGCTATTCTCCACCGATAATGAATTCATTTGATCATATTCTCCACGGATGATAAGTCCGTTAAGCATCGATTTGGGCCAATTTATTTTCGAATGACATTTTCGTAATTTCTTGTGCGACGAAAGGCCATTTTCTTTGGATATTGAAGGCTACAGATCACGGATTTAGCCTGAGGCTATTCTCCAACGATGATTGAGTCCATTAAGTACCCATTTGGGTGGATTTATTCCGGCTCAAATTTTGGCGGATTCCAAAGGGGTACCATCAAAGGTATCGGCCAATTTATCCGAAATGCCATTTTCTTTCGATTCTGGAGGCTACAGATCATGGAATCAGGTCGAGGCTATTCTCCACCAATAATGAAGTCTATTGATCCGATTCTCCACGGATGATAAGTCCGTTTAGCATCGATTTGGGCCAATTTATTTTCGAATGACATTTTCGTAATTTCTTGTGCGACGAAAGGCCATTTTCTTTGGATATTGAAGGCTACAGATCACGGATTTAGCCTGAGGCTATTCTCCAACGATGATTGAGTCCATTAAGTACCGATTTTGGTGGATTTAATCCGGCTCAAATTTTGGCGGATTCCAAAGGGGTACCATCAAAGGTATCGGCCAATTTATCCGAAATGCCATTTTCTTTTGATTATGGAAGCTACTGATCATGGAATCAGGACGAGGCTATTCTCCACCGATAATGAAGTCTATTGATCCTATTCTCCACGGATGATAAGTCCGTTAAGCATCGATTTGGGCCATTTTATTTTTGAATAGCATTTTCGTAATTTCTTGGTCGAAGAAAGGCCATTTTCTTTCGATATTGAAGGCTATAGATCACGGATTCGCCTGAGGCTATTCTCCAACGATGATTGAATCCATTAAGCACCGATTTGGGCGGATTTATTCCGGGTCAATTTTTTGCAGATTCCAAAGGGGTACCATCAAAAGTTTAGGGCGATTTATCCGAAATGCCATTTTCTTTCGATTCTGGACGCTACAGATCACGGAATCAGGGCGAGGCTATTCTCCACCGATAATGAAGTCTATTGATCCTATTCTCCACGGATGATAAGTCCGTTTAGCATCGATTTGGGCCAATTATTTTTCGAATGACATTTTTGTAATTTCTTGGGCGACGAAAGGCCATTTTCTTTGGATATTGAAGGCTACAAATCACGGATTCGCCTGAGGCTATTCTCCAACGATGATTGAGTCCATTAAGCACCGATTTGGGAGGATTTATTCCGGGTCAACTTTTGGCAGATTCCAAAGGGGAACCATCACAGATTTCGGGCGATTAATCCGAAATGACATTTTCTTTCGATTCTGGAGGCTATAGATCACGGAATCAGGCCGAGGCTATTCTCCACCGATAATGAAGTCTATTGATCCTATTCTCCACAGATGATAAGTCCGTTAAGCAACGATTTGGGCCAATTTATTTTCGAATGGCATTTTCGTAATTTCTTGGGAGACGAAAGGCCATTTTCTTTGGATATTGAAGGCTACATATCACGGATTCGGCCTAAGGCTATTCTCCAACGATGATTGAGTCAATTAAGCACCGTTTTGGGAGGATTTATTCCGGGTCTATTTTTGGCATATTCCAAAGGGGTACCATCACAGATTTCGGACGATTTATCCGAAATGCCATTTTCTTTCGATTCTGGAGGCTACAGATCACGGAATCAGGCCGAGGCTATTCTCCACCGATAATGAAGTCTATTGATCCTATTCTCCACGGATGATAAGTCCGTTAAGAATCGATTTGGGACAATTTATTTTCGAATGGTATTTTCGTAATTTCATGGGCGATGAAAGGCCATTTTCTTTCGATATTGAATACTACATATCACGGATTCGGACTGAGGCTATTCTCCAAAGATGATTGAGTCCATTAAGCACCGATTTGGGCGGATTTATTCCGGGTCAATTTTTGGCAGATTCCAAAGGGGTACCATCACAGATTTCAGACGATTTTTTCGAAATGCCATTTTCTTTCGATTCTAGAGGCTACAGATCACGGAATCAGGCCGAGGCTATTCTCCACCGTTAATGAAGTCTTTTGATCCTATTCTCCACGGATGATAAGTCCGTTAAGCATCGATTTGGGCCAATTTATTTTCGAATGACATTTTCGTAATTTCTTGGGCGACGAAAGGCCATTTTCTTTGGATATTAAAGGCTACAGATCACGGATTCGGCCTTAGGCTATTCTTCAACGAAGATTGAGTCCATTAAGCACCGATTTGGGCGGATTTATTCTGGGTCAATTTTTGGCAGATTCCAATGGGGTACCATCACAGATTTCAGGCGATTTATCCGAAATGCCATATTCTTTCGATTCTAGAGGCTACAGATCACGGAATCAGGCCGAGGCTATTCTCCACCGATAATGAAGTCTATTGATCCCATTCTCCCAGATGATAAGTCCGTTAAGCATCGATTGGGCCAATTTATTTTAGAATGGCATTTTCGTAATTTCTTGGGCGACGAAAGGCCATTTTCTTTGGATATTGAAGGCTACAGATCACGGATTCGGCATGAAGCTATTCTCCAACGATGATTGAGTCCATTAAGCACCGACTTGGGAGGATTTATTCTGGGTCTATTTTTGGGAGATTCTAAAGGGGTACCATCACAGATTTCGTGGGATTTTTCTGAAATGCCATTTTCTTTTGATTCTGGAGGCTACAGATCACGGAATCTGGACGAGGCTATTCTCCACCGATAATGAAGTCTATTGATCCTATTCTCCACGGATGATAAGTTCGTTAAGCATCAATTTGGGTCAATTTATTTTCGATTGGCATTTTCGTAATTTCTTGTGCGACGAAAAGCCATTTTCTTTGGATATTGAAGGCTACAGATCACGGATTCAGCCTGATACTATTCTCCAACGATGATTGAGTCCATTAAGCACCGATTTGGGCGGATTTATTCCGGCTCAATTTTTGGCGGATTCCAAAGGGGTACCATCAAAAATTTTGGGCGATTTATCTGAAATGCCATTTTCTTTTGATTCTGGAGGCTACATATCACGGAATCAGGACGAGGCTATTCTCCACCGATAATGAAGTCTATTGATCCTGTTCTCCACGGATGATAAGTCCGTTAAGCATCGATTTGGGCCAATTTATTTTTGAATGGCATTTTCGTAATTTCTTGATCTACGAAAGGCCATTTTCTTTGGATATTGAAGGCTATATATCACAGATTCGGCCTGAGGCTATTCTCCAACGATGATTGAGTCCATTAAGCACTGATTTGGGCGGATTTATTCCGTGTCAATTTTTGGCAGATTCCAAATGGGTACCATCACAGATTTCCGTCGATTTTTCGGAAATGTCATTTTCTTTCGATTCTGGAGGCTACAGATCACGGAATCAGGCCGAGGCTATTCTCCACCAATAATGAAGTCTATTGATCCTATTCTCCATGGATGATAAGTCCGTTAAGCATCGATTTGGGACAATTTATTTTCGAATGGCATTTTCGTAATTTCTTGGGCGATGAAAGGCCATTTTCTTTGGATATTGAAGGCTACTGATCACGGATTCAGCCTGATGCTATTCTCCAACGATGATTGAGTCCATTAAGCACCGATTTGGGCGGATTTATTCCGGCTCAATTTTTGGCGGATTCCAAAGGGGTACCATCAAAAATTTTGGGCGATTTATCTGAAATGCCATTTTCTTTTGATTCTGGAGGCTACATATCACGGAATCAGGACGAGGCTATTCTCCACCGATAATGAAGTCTATTGATACTATTCTCCACGGATGATAATTTCGTTAAGCATCGATTTGGGCCAATTTATTTTCGAATGTCATTTTCGTAATTTCTTGGTCGAAGAAGGACCATTTTCTTTGGATATTGAAGGCTATAGATCACGTATTCGGCCTGAGGCTATTCTCCAACGATGATTGAGTCCATTAAGCACCAATTTGGGCGGATTTATTCCGGGTCAATTTTTGGCAGATTCAAAAGGGGTACCATCATAGAATTCGGGCGATTTATCCAAAATGCCATTGTCTTTCGATTCTAGAGGCTACAGATCACGGAATCAGGCCGAGGCTATTCTCCACCGATAATGAAGTCTATTGATCCTATTCTCCACGGATGATAAGTCCGTTACGCATTGATTTGGGCAAATTTATTTTCGAATGGCATTTTCGTAATTTCTTGTGCGACGTAAGGCCATTTTCTTTTGTTATTGAATGCTACAGATCACTGATTCGGTCTGAGGCTATTCTCCAACGATGATTGAGTCCATTAATCACCGATTTGGGCGTATTTATTTCGGGTCAATTTTTGGCAGATTCCAAAGGGGTACCATCACAAATTTCGGGCGATTTATCTGAAATGCCAATTTCTTTCGATTCTGGAGGCTATACTTCACGGAATCAGGCCGAGGCTATAATCCACTGATAATGAAGTCTATTGATCCTATTCTCCAAGGATATAAGTCCGTTAAGCATCGATTTGGGCCAATTTATTTTCGAGTGGCATTTTCGTAATTTCTTGGGCGACTAAAGGCCATTTTCTTTAAATATTGAATGCTATAGATCACGGATTCGGCCTGAGGATATTCTCCAACGATGATTGAGTCCATTAAGCACCGATTTGGCCGGATTTATTCCGGGTCTATTTTTGGCAGATTCCAAAGGGGTACCATCACAGATTTTGTGCGATTTATCCGAAATGCCATTTTATTTCGATTCTGGAGGCTACAGATCACGGAATCAGGCCGAGGCTATTCTTCACCGATAATGAAGTCTATTGATACTATTCACCACGGATGATAAGTCCGTTAAGCATCGATTTGGGCCAATTTATTTTCGAATGGTATTTCGTAATTTCATGGGCGATGAAAGGCCATTTTCTTTCGATATTGAATGCTACATATCACGGATTCGGCCTGAGGCTATTATCCAACGATGATTGAGTCCATTAAGCACCGATTTGGGCGGATTTATTCCGGGTCAATTTTTGGCAGATTCCAAAGGGGTATCATCACAGATTTCGGACGATTTATCCGAAATGCCATTTTCTTTCGATTCTGGAGGCTACAGATCACGGAATCAGGCCGAGGCTATTCTCCACCGATAATGAAGTCTATTGATCCTATTCTCCACGGATGATAAGCCCGTTAAGCATCGGTTTGGGACAATTTATTTTCGAATGGCATTTTCGTAATTTCTTGGGCGATGAAAGGCCATTTTCTTTGGATATTAAAGGCTACAGATCCCGGATTCGGCCTGAGGCTATTCTCCAACGATGATTGAGTCCATTAAGCACCGATTTGGGAGGATTTATTCTGGATCTATTTTTGCAGATTCCAAAGTGATACCATCACAAATTTCAGGCGATTTATCCGAAATGCCATTTTCTTTCGATTCTGGAGGCTACAGATCACGGAATCAGGCCGAGGTTATTCTCCACCGATAATGAAGTTTATTGATCCTATTCTCCACGGATGATAAGTCCGTTAAGCATCGATTTGGGCCAATTTATTTTCGAATGGCATTTTCGTAATTTCTTGGGCAACGAAAGGCCATTTTCTTTGGATATTGATGGCTACAGATCACGGATACGGCCTGAGGCTATTCTCCAACGAAGGTTGAGTCCATTAAGCACTGATTTGGGCAGATTTATTCCGGGTCTATTTTTGGCAGATTCCAAAGTGATACCATCACAAATTTCAGGCGATTTATCCGAAATGCTATTTTCTTTCGTTTCTGGAGGCTACAGATCACGGAATCAGGACGAGCCTATTCTCCACCAATAATGAATTCTATTGATCCTATTCTCTACGGATGATAAGTCCGTTAAGCATCGGTTTGGTATAATTTATTTTCGAATGGCATTTTCGTAATTTCTTACGCGATGAAAGGCCATTTTCTTTGGATATTGAAAGCTACAGATCCCGGATTCGGCCTGAGGCTATTCTCCAACGACGATTGAGTCCATTCAGCACCGATTTGGGCGGATTTATTCCGAGTCAATTTTTGGCAGATTCCAAAGGGGTACCATCACAGATTTCGGACGATTTATCCGAAATGCCATTTTCTTTCGATTCTGGAGGCTACAGATCACGGAATCAGGCTGAGGCTATTCTCCACCGATAATGAAGTCTATTGATCCTATTCTCCACGGATGATAAGTCCATTAAGCACCGATTTGGTCCAATTGATTTTCGGATGGCATTTTCGTAATTTCTTGGACGACGAAAGGCCATTTTCTTTTGATATTGAAGGCTACAGATCACGGATTCGGTCTGAGGCTATTCTCCAACGATGATTGAGTCCATTAAACACTGATTTGGGCGGATTTATTCTGGGTCAATTTTTGGCAGATTCCAAAGGGGTACTATCACTGATTTTGTGCGATTTATCCGAAATGCCAATTTCTTTCAATTCTGGAGGCTACAGATCACAAAATCAGGCCGAGGATATTCTTCACTGATAATGAAGTCTATTGATCCTATTCTCCACGGATGATAATTCCGTTAAGCATCGATTTGGGCCAATTTATTTTGGAATGGCATTTTCGTAATTTCTTGGGCTATGAAAGGCCATTTTCTTTGGATATTGAAGGCTACAGATCACAAATTCGGCCAGAGGCTTCTTCAACGATGATTGAGTCCATTAAGCATCGATTTGGGCGGATTTATTCCGGGTCAATTTTTGGCAGATTCCAAAGGGGTACCATCATAGATTTCGAGTGATTTTTTCGAAATGCCATTTTCTTTCGATTCTGGAGGCTACAGATTACATAATCATGTCGACGCTATTCTCCGCCGATAATGAAGTCTATTTATCTATTCTCCACGGATGATAAGTCCGTTGAGCACAGATTTAGGCCAATTTATTTTCGGATGGAATTTTCGTAATTTTTTCCGGATGATTCGGCCTGTGGCTATTCTCCAACGATGATTGAGTCCATTAAGCACCGATTTGGGCGGATTTATTCCGGGTCAATTTTTGGCAGATTCCAAAGGGGTACCATCACAGATTTCGGACGATTTATCCAAAATGCCATTTTCTTTCGATTCTGGAGGCTACAGATCACAGAATCAGGACGAGGCTATTCTCCACCGATAATGAAGTCTATTGATCCTATTCTTCACGGATGATAAGTCTGTTAAGCATCGATTTGGGCCAATTTATTTATGAATGGCATTTTCGTAATTTCTTGAGCTACGAAAGGCCATTTTCTTTGGATATTGAAGGCTACATATCACGGATTCGGCTGAGGCTATTCTTCAATGATGATGGAGTCCATTAATTACCGATACGTGTCAATTTTTGGCAGATTCCAAAGGGGTACCATCACAGATTTTGAGTGATTATTCGAAATGCCATTTTCTTTGGATTCTTGAGGCTACAGATCATGGAATCTGGCCTAGGCTATTCTCTACCGATAAAGAAGTCTACTGGTCTTCTTTTCCACGGATGATAAGTCCATTAAGCACCGATTTAGGCCAATTCATTTTCGGATAGCATTTTTGTAATTTTTTGGCCGACGAAGCGCCATTTTCTTTCGATGTTGAAGGCTATAGTTCACGGATTCTGCCCGAGGCTATTCTTCAACGATGATTGAGTCCATTAAGCAGCTATTTGGGCGGATTTATTACTTGTCAATTTTTGGCAGATTGCAAAAGGGTACCATCACAGATTTCAGGTGATTTTTCCGAAATGTGATTTTCTTTCGATGCTGGAGGCTACAGATCACGGAATCAGGCCGAGGCTATTCTCCATCGATAATGAGTCTATTGGTCTTATTCTCCACGGATGATAAGTCCATTAAGCATCGATTTTGGTGGATTTATTCCTGGTCAATTTTTGGGAGATTCCAAAGGGAACCATCACAAATTTCGTGTGTTTTTTCCGAAATGCAATTTTATTTCTATTCTGGAGGCTACAGATCACTAAATCAGGCCGAGACTATTCTCTACCGATAATGAATTTTATTTATCCTATTCTCCATGGATGATAAGTCCATTAAGCACCGATTTGGGCCAAATTAATTTAGGATGGAATTTTCGTAATTTTTTGTGCGATGAAATGCCATTTTTTTTAATATTGAAGTCTACAATTGATGGATTCGGCCCGAGGCTATTCTCCAACGATGATTGAGTCCATTAAGCACCGATTTAGGAGGATTTATTCCGGGTCAATTTTCGGCAGATTCCAAAGGGGTACCATAACAGATTTCAGGCGATTTTTCTGAAATGCCATTTTCTTTCTCTTCTGGAGGCTACTAATCACGAAAGCAGGCCGAGGGTATTCTCCACCGATAATGAAGTCTATTGATCCTTATTCTCCACGGATGATAAGTCCATTAAGCACCGATTTGGGCCAATTCATTTTCGGATGGCATTTTTCATTTTTGTAGTTTTTAGGGCGACGAAAGGCCATTTCTTTGGATATTGAAGGTTATAGTTCACGGATTCGACCTGAGGCTATTCTTCAACGATGATTGAGTCCATTAAGAAGCTATTTGGGTGGATTTATTACTTGTCAATTTTTGGCAGATTCCTAAGGGGTAGCATCACAGATTTCGGGTGATTTTTCAGAAATGCTATTTTCTTTCGATGCTGGAGGCTACAGATCACGGAATCAGGCCGAAGCTATTCTCCACCGATAATGAAGTCTATTGGTCTTATTCTCCACGGATGATAAGTTCTTTAAACACCGATTTGGGCCAATTTATTTTAGAATGGCATTTTTGTAATTTTTTGGGCGATGAAATGCCTTTTTTTTTATATTGAAGTCTACAGTTCATGGATTCGGCCTCAGGCTATTCTTCAACAATGATTGAGTCCATTAAGCATCGATTTGGGCGGATTTATTCCGGGTCAATTTTTGGCAGATTCCAAAGGGGTACCATAACAGATTTTGGGCGATTTTCCGAAATGCCATTTTCTTTCTATTCTGGAGGCTACAGATCAATGAATCAGGCCGAGCGTATTCTTCACTGATAAGAAGTCTATTGATCCTATTCTCCACGGATGATAAGTACATTAACCACCGTTTTGGGCCAATTAATTTTTTTTTATGGTTGGCCAATTAATTTTCGAATGGCATTTTCATAATATTTTTTGGGCGACGAAAGGCCATTTTCATTGGATATTGAAGGCTACAGATCACGGTTTCAGCCTGAGGCTATTCTTCAACCATGATTGAGTCCTTAAGCACCGATTTTGGTGGATTTATTCCGTGTCAATATTTGGCGGATTCCAAAGGGGTACCATCACAGATTTTGGTCGATTTTTCCGAAATGCCATTTTCTTTCGATTCTGGAAACTACATATCGTGGAATCCTGCCAAGGCTATTCTCCACTGATAATGAAGTCTATTGGTCCTATTCTCCACGGATGATAAGTCCATTGAGCACAGATTTAGGCCAATTTATTTTCGAATGGCATTTTCCTAATTTTTTGGGAGACGAAAGACCATTTTCTTTGGATATTGAAGGCTACAGATCACGGATTCGGCCAGAGGCTATTCTTCAACGATGATGGAGTCCATTAAGCACCAATTTGGGAGGATTTATTCTGGGTCAATTTTTGGCACATTCCAAAGGGGTACCATCATAGATTTCCGATGATTTTTTCGAAATTCCATTTTCTTTCTATTCTGGAGGCTACAGATTACAGAATCATGTTGAGGCTATTCTACGCCAATAATGAAGTCTATTGATCCTATTCTCCACGGATGCTAAGTCCATTAAGCACCAATTTGGGCCAATTCATTTACGGATGGCATTTTTGTAATTTTTAGGACGACGAAAGGCCATTTTCTTTGGATATTGAAGGCTACTTATCACGGATTCGGCCCGAGGCTATTCTTCAACGATGATTGAGTCTATTAAGAAGCTATTTGGGCGGATTTATTCCGGATCAATTTTTGGCGGATTCCAAAGGGGTACCCATCACAGATTTCGGTCGATTTTTCCGAAATGCCATTTTCTTTCGATTCTGGAAGCTACAGATCGCGGAATCCTGCCGAAGCTATTCTCCACCGATAATGAAGTCTATTGGTCTTATTCTCCACGGATGATAAGTTCTTTAAGCATCGATTTGGACCAACTAATTTTCTGATGGCATTTTCGTATTTTTTGGGCGACGAAAGGCCATTTTCTTTGGATATTGAAGGCTACAGTTCACGGATTCGGCCTGAGGCTATTCTTCAACGATGATTGAATCCATTAAGCAGCGATTTGGGTGGATTTATTACGGGTCAATTTTTGGCAGATTCCAAAGGGTTACCATTACAGTTTCAGGTGATTTTTTGGAAATGCCATTTTCTTTCGATTCTGGAAGCTACAGATTTCAAAATCATTTTGAGGCTATTTTCCGCCGATAATGAAGTCTATTTATCATATTCTCCACGGATGATAAGTCCATTGAGCACAGATTTAGGCCAATTTATTTTTGGATGGCTTATTCGTAATTTTTGGGAGACGAAAGACCATTTTCTTTGGGTATTGAAGGCTACAGATCACGGATTCGGCCTGAGGCTATTCTTCAACGATGATGGAGTCCATTAATTACCGATTTAAGCGGATTTATTCCAGGTCAATTTTTGGCAGATTCCAAAGGGTACCATCACAAATTTCGGGTGATTTTTTCGAAATGTCATTTTCATTCGATTCTGGAGGCTATAGATTACAGAATTATTTTGAGGCTATTTTCTGCCGATAATGAAGTCTATTTATCCTATTCTCAACGGATGATAAGTCCATTGAGCACAGATTTAGGCCAATTTATTTTCGGATGGCATTTTCGTAATTTTTTGGGAGATGAAAGACCATTTTCTTTGGGTATTGAAGGCTACAGATCACGAATTCGGCCTGAGGCTATTCTTCAACGATGATGGAGTCCATTAAGCTCCAATTTGGGCGGATTTATTCCGGGTCAATTTTTGGCAGATTCCAAAGGGGTACCATCATAGATTTCGGGTGATTTTTTTGAAATGACATTTTCTTTCGATTCTGGAGGCTACAGATTACATAATCATGTCGAGGCTATTCTCCGCCGATAATGAAGTCTATTTATCTATTCTCCACGGATGATAAGTCCGTTGAGCACAGATTTAGGCCAATTTATTTTCGGTTGGCATTTCCGTAATTTATTTGGAGACGAAAGGCCATTTTCTTTGGATATTGAAGGCTACAGATCACAGATTCGGCCTGAGGCTATTCTTCAACGATGATTGAGTCCATTAAGCATCAATTTGGGCGGATTTATTCCGGGTCAATTTTTGGCAGATTCCAAAGGGGTACCATCACAGATTTCGGGTGATTTTTCCGAAATGCCACTTTCTTTCTATTCTGTAGGCTACTGATCACGAAATCAGGCCGAGGGTATTCTCCACCGATAATGAAGTCTATTGATCCTATTCTCCACGGATGATAAGTCCATTAAGCACCGATTTGGGCCAATTCTTTTTCTGATGGCATTTTTGTAATTTTTAGGGGGACGAAAGGCCATTTTCTTTGGATATTGAAGGCTATAGTTCACGGATTTGGCCTGAGTCTATTCTTCAACGCTGATTGAGTCCATTAAGCAGCTATTTGGGCGGATTTATTACTTGTCAATTTTTGGCAGATTCCAAATGGGGTACCATCACAGATTTCGTGTGATTTTTCCGAAATTCCATTTTCTTTGATGCTGGAGGCTACAGATCACGGAATTAGGCCGAAGATATTCTCCACCGATAATGAAGTCTATTGGTCTTATTCTCCACGAATGATAAGTACTTTAAGCACCGATTTGGGCCAATTTATTTTAGGATGGCATTTCGTAATTATTTGGGCGATGAAATGCCGTTTTTAAATATTGAAGTCTACAGTTCATGGATTCGGCCTGAGGCTATTCTTCAACAATGATTGAGTCCATTAAGCATCGATTTGGGCGAATTTATTCCGGGTCTATTTTTGGCAGATTCCAAAGGGGTTCCAAAACAGATTTCGGGTGATTTTTCCGAAATGCCATTTTCTTTCTATTCTGGAGGCTACTGATCAATGAATCAGGCCGAGCGTATTCTTCACTGATAATGAAGTCTTTTGATCCTATTCTCCACGGATGAAAAGTCCATTAACCACCGATTTGGGCCAATTTATTTTCGGATGGCATTTTCATAATTTTTTGGGCGACGAAAGGCCATTTTCTTTGGATATTGAAGGCTACAGATCACGGATTCAGCATGAGGCTATTCTTCAACGATGATTGAGTCCATTAAGCACCGATTTTGGTGGATTTATTATGGGTCAATATTTGGCAGATTCCAAAGGGGTACCATTACAGATTTCAGTCGATATTTCCGAAATGCCATTTTCTTTCGATTCTGGAAACTACAGATCGTGGAATCCTGCAAAGGCTATTCTCCACTGATAATGAAGTCTATTGGTCCTATTCTCCACGGATGATAAGTCCATTAAGCACCGATTTGAGCCTATTTATTTTCTTATTGCATTTTCGTAATTTTTTTTGCGACGAAAGGCCATTTTCTGTGGATATTGAAGGCTACAGATCACGGAATCAGGCCGAGGCTATTCTTCAACGATGATGGAGTCCATTAAGCACCGATTTGGGCGGATTTATTCCGGGTCAATTTTTGGCAGATTCCAAAGGGGTACCATCACAGATTTCGTGTGATTTTTTCGAAATGCCATTTTCTTTTGATTCTGGAGGCTGTAGATTACAGAATCATTTTGAGGCTATTTTCCGCCGATAATGAAGTCTATTTATCCTATTCTCCACGGATGATAAGTCCATTGAGCACAGATTTAGGCCAATTTATTTTCGAATGGCATTTTTGTAATTTTTTTTGGAGAGGAAAGACCATTTTATTTGGCTATTGAAGGCTACAGATCATGGATTCGGCCTGAGGCTATTCTTCAACGATGATGGAGTCCATTAAGCACCGATTTGGGCGGATTTATTCCGGGTCAATTTTAGGCAGATTCCAAAGGTGTACCATCATTGATTTCGGTTGATTTTTTCGAAATGCCATTTTCTTTCGATTCAGGAGGCTACAGATTAAAGAATCATGTCAAGGCTATTCTCCGCTGATAATGAAGTCTATTTATCTATTCTCCACGGATGATAAGTCCGTTGAGCACAGATTTAGGCCAATTTATTTTCGTATGGCATTTTCGTAATTTTTTTGGAGACGAAAGGCCATTTTCTTTAGATATTGAAGGCTACAGATCACGGATTCGGCCTGAGGCTATTTTTCAACGATGATTGAGTCTATTAAGCATCGATTTGGGCGGATTTATTCCGGGTCAATTTTTGGCAGATTCCAAAGGGGTACCATCACAGATTTCGGGAGATTTTTCGAAATGTCAATTTCTTTCAATTCTGGAGGCTACAGATCATGGAAACTGGCCTAGGCTATTCTCTACCGATAATGAAGTCTATTGGTCTTATTTTCCACGGATGATAAGTACATTAAGCACCGATTTGGGCCAATTCATTTTCGGATGGCATTTTTTTAATTTTTAGGGCGATGGAAGGCCATTTTCTTTCGATATTGAAGGCTATAGTTTACAGATTCGGCCTGGGGCTATTCTTCCACGATAATTGAGTCCATTATGCAGCTATTTGGGCGGATTTATTGCTTGTCAATTTTTGGCAGATTCCAAAGGGGTACCATCATAGATTTCAGGTGATTTTTCCGAAATGCTATTTTCGTTCGATGCTGGAGGCTACATATCACGGAATCAGACCAAGGCTATTTTCCACCGATAATTAAGGTTGGGAAACGGTGCGGTCTGGGCCAGACCAGACCATCTATACGGTCTATGGTCCAGACCGAGAGGCTAAAGTATAGACCACGGACCAGACCACAGACTATACGGTTCGGTCCAGTCCACGCCTGTGCGGTCTGGTTCGGTCTGGTCTGGTCCAGATAGAACACACTCAACAAAAAATGAATAATTAATTTAGTCAACCACACAAAAAATTGAACCAATAACCAGGAAAAATAATTGTTATTTTCCTTAAATCATTAATCCTAACATGCATGAATAATTTTGATACTCTAAATCTTAGTAGATACCAAAGATACAAAGTAAAAGCATCCCAACTTGCACCATAACGTCATAAACATTAACATAATGTCATATGGAGACACGATTATCTCTACTCTCTAGTTAAATGTGGTTGTGAATTAAGGAGGGACGAGATTCACAAAACTAAGGTTGAGACTTGGGTGTCGTTTTGGGAGTGGGGAGAGTGGTCGAAAGGGTTGTTAACACGTATTTACAAGTCAGTTGAGTCCACGGTTTGGTCCGGTAAACCGCGGTCTAGACCAGACCAGACCAAGAGATCAAAATATAAAATAGTACAGACCATGGACCAGACCAGACCATACTTAACGGTCTACGGTCCGGACCAAACTGTATGGTACGTGTTTGGACCACGGTTTTTCTATCGGTCTGGTCTATTTTCCCAGCCCTACCAATAATGAAGTCTATTGGTCTTATTCTCCACGGATGATAAGTTCTATAAGCACCTATTTGGGCCAATTTATTTTAGGATGGCATTTTCGTACTTTTTTGGGCGACGAAATGCCATTTTTTTTTAATATTGAAGTCTACAACTCATGGATTCGGCCTGAGGCTATTCTTCAACAATGATTGAGTCCATTAAGCATCGATTTGGACGGATTTATTCCGGGTCAATTTTTGGCAGATTCCAAAGGGGTACCATAACAGATTTCGGGCGATTTTTCCGAAATGCCATTTTCTTTCTATTCTGGAGGCTACTGATCACGAAATCAGGCCGAGGGTATTCTCCACTGATAATAAAGTCTATTGATCCTATTCTCCACGGATGATAAGTCCATTAACCACCGATTTGGGCCAATTTATTTTCGGATGGCATTTTCATAATATTTTTGGCGACGAAAGGCCATTTTCTTTGGAAATTGAAGGCTACAGATCACGGATTCAGCCTGAGGCTATTCTTCAACGATGATTGAGTCCATTAAACACCGATTTTGGTGGATTTATTCCTAGTCAATATTTCGCGGATTCCAAAGGGGTACCATCACAGATTTCGGTCGATTTTTCTAAATGCCATTTTCTTTCGATTCTGGAAACTACAGATCGTGGAATCCTGTCAAGGCTATTCTCCACTGATAATGAAGTCTATTGGTCCTATTCTCCACGGATGATAAGTCCATTAAGCACCGATTTGAGCCTATTTATTTTCTTAATGCATTTTCGTAATTTTTTTGGCGACGAAAGGCCATTTTCTGTGGATATTGAAGGCTACAGATCACAGAATCAGGCCGAGGCTATTCTTCAACGATGATGGAGTCCATTAAGCACCGATTTGGGCGGATTTATTCCGGGTCAATTTTTGGCAGATTCCAAAGGGGTACCATCACAGATTTCTGGTGATTTTTTCGAAATGCCATTTTCTTTCGATTCTGGAGGCTATAGATCATGGAATCAAGCCAAAGCTATTCTCCACCGATAATGAAGTCAATTGGTCTTATTCTCCACGGATGATAAATTCTTTAAGCACCGATTTGGGCCAATTAATTTTCTGATGGCATTTTCGTATTTTTTAGGGCGACGAAATGCCATTTTCTTTGGATATTGAAGGCTACAAATCATGGATTCAGTCTGAGGCTATTCTTCAACGATGATTGAGTCCATTAAGCACCGATTTTGGTGGATTTATTCCTAGTCAATATTTGGCGGATTCCAAAGGGTAACCATCACAGATTTTGGTCGATTTTTCCGAAATGCCATTTTCTTTCGATTCTGGAAGCTACAGATCGCGGAATCCTGCCGAGGCTATTCTCCACTGATAATGAAGTCTATTGGTCCTATTCTCCACGGATGATAAGCCCATTAAGCACCGATTTGAGCCTATTTATTTTCTTATGGTATTTTCGTAATTTTTTTGGCGACGAAAGGCCATTTTCTTTGGATATTGAAGGCTACAGATCACGGATTCGGCCTGAGGCTAATCTTCAACGATGATTGAGTTCATTAAGCATCGATTTGGGCGGATTTATTTCGGGTCAATTTTTGGCAGATTCCAAAGGGGTACCATCACAGATTTCGGGAGATTTTTCGAAATGCTATTTTCTTTCGATTCTGGAGGCTACAGATCATGGAATCAAGCCAAAGCTATTCTCCACTGATAATGAAGTCTATTGGTCTTATTCTCCATGGATGATAAGTTCTTTAAGCACCGATTTGGGCCAATTAATTTTCTGATGGTATTTTCGTATTTTTTAGGGCGACGAAAGGCCATTTTCTTTGAATTTTGAAGGTTATAGTTCACGGATTCGGCCTGAGGCTATTCTTCAACGATGATTGAGACTATTAAGCAGCTCTATGGGCGGAATTATTCCGGTTCAATTTTTGACAGATTCCAAAGGGGTACCATCACAGATTTCGAGTGATTTTTCCGAAATGCCATTTTCTTTCGATGCTGGAGGCTACATATCACGGAATCAAGCCGAAGCTATTCTCCACCGATAATGAAGTCTATTGGTCTTATTCTCCACGGATGATAAGTTCTTTAAGCACCGACTTGGGCCAATTAATTTTCTGATGGCATTTTCGTATTTTTTTGGGAGACGAAAGGCAATTTTCTTTGGATATTGAAGGCTACAGTTCACGGATTCGGCCTTAGGCTATTCTACAACGATGATTGAGTCCATTAAGCAGCGATTTGGGCGGATTTATTCCGGGACAATTTTTGGCAGATTCCAAAGGGGTACCATCACAGATTTCAGGTGATTTTTTCGAAATGCCATTTTCTTTCAATTTTGGAGGCTATAGATTTCAGAATCATTTTGAGGCTATTTTCCGCCGATAATGAAGTCTATTTATCCTATTCTCCACGGATGATAAGTCCATTGAGCACAAATTTAGGCCAATTTATTTTTGGATGGCATTTTCGTAATTTTTGGGAGACGTAAGACCATTTTCTTTGGGTATTGAAGGCTATAGTTCACGGATTCGGCCTGAGGCTATTCTTCAACGATGATTGAGTCTATTAAGCAGCTATTTGGGCGGATTTATTCCGGGTCAATTTTTGGCAAATTCCAAAGGGGTACCATCACAGATTTCGGGTGATTTTTCTGAAATGCCATTTTCTTTCGATACTGGAGGCTACAGTTCACGGAACTTATTTGGGCCAATTAATTTTCTGATGGCATTTTTCGTTTTTTCTTTTGGGCGATGAAATGCCATTTTCTTTGGATATTGAAGGCTAAAGTTCACGGATTCGACCTAAGGCTATTCTTCAGCGATGATTGAGTCCATTAAGCAACGATTTTGGCGGATTTATTCCGGGTCAATTTTTGGCAGATTCCAAAGGGGTACTATCACAGATTTCGGGTGATTTTTTCGAAATGCCATTTTCTTTCGATTCTAGAGGCTATAGATTTCTGAATCATTTTGAGGCTATTCTCCATTGATAATGAAGTCTATTGGTCCTATTCTCCAAGGATTATAAGTCCATTAAGCATCGATTTGAGCTTATTTATTTTCTTATGGCATTTTCTTAATTTTTTTGGCAATGAAAGGCCATTTTCTTTGGATATTGAAGGCTACAGATCACGGATTCGGCCTGAGGCTATTCTTCAACGATGATTGAGTCCATTAAGCATCGATTTGGGCGAATTTATTCCGGGTCAATTTTTGGCAGATTCCAAAGGGGTACCATCACAGATTTCGGGAGATTATTCGAAATGCTATTTTCTTTCTATTCTGGAGGCTACAGATCATGGAATCCGGCCTAGGCTATTCTCTACCGATAATGAAGTCTATTGGTCTTATTTTCCACGGATGATAAGTCCATTAAGCACCGATTTGGGCCAATTCATTTTCGGAAGGAATTTTTGTAATTTTTAGGGCGACGAAAGGCCATTTTCTTTGGATATTGAAGGCTATAGTTCACGGATTCGGCCTGAGCCTATTCTTCAACGATGATTGAGTCCATTAAGCAGCTATTTGGGCGGATTTATTACTTGTCAATTTTTGGCAGATTCCAAAGGGGTACCATCACATATTTATTGTGATTTTTCCGAAATGCAATTTTCTTTCGATTCTGGAGGCTACAAATCACTGAATTAGGCCGAGGCTATTCTCCACCGATAATGAAATCTATTGATCCTATTCTCGGTGGATGATAAGTCCATTAAGCACCGATTTGGGTCAATTTATTTTCGGATGGCATTTTCGTAAATTTTTAGCCGACGAAATGCCATTTTCTTTGGATATTGAAGGAAACGGATCACGGATTCGGACTGAGGCTATTCTTCAACGATGATTGAGTCAATTAAGCACTGATTTGGGTGGATTTCTTTTGGGTCAATTTTGGCAAATTCCAAAGGGGTACCATCACAGATTTCGGGCAATATTTCCGAAATGTCATTTCTTTCGATTCTGGAGGCTACAGATCACGGAATCAGGACGACCTATTATCCACCGATAATGAAGTCTATCGGTCTTATTCTCCACAGATGATAAGTCCATTAAGCTCCTATTTGGGCCAATTTATTTTCGGATGGCATTTTCATAATTTTTTGGCGGCGAAAGGCCATTTTCTTTGAATATTGAAGGCTACATGCCACTTATTCAACGATGATTGGGTCCATTAAAAACCGATTTGGGCGGATTTATTCCGGGTCAATATTTGGCAGATTTCAAAGGTGTACCATCACAAATGTCGGGCGATTTTTCCGAAATATCATTTTCTTTCTATTTTGGAGGCTACAGATCACGGAATCAGGTCGAGGCTATTCTCCACCGACAATAAAGTCTATTGGTCCTATTCTCCACAGATGATAAGTCCATTAAGCACCTATTTGGGCCAATTTATATTCGGATTGCATTTTCGTAATTTTTTAGGCGACGAAATGCCATTTCTTTGGATATTGAAGGCTACAGATCACGGATTCCGCCTGATGCTATCCTTCAACGATGAATTAGTCGATTAAGCACGGATTTGGGCGGATTTATTGCCGGTCAATTTTGGGCAGATTACAAAGGGGTACCATCAAAGATTTCGGGCGATTTTTCCGAAATGCTATTTTATTTCCATTCAGGAGGCTACAGATCACGGAATCAGGCCGAGGTTATTCTCCACCGATAATGAAGTCTATTGATCTTATTCTCCACGGATGATAAGTTCATTAAGCACCGATTTGGGCCAATTTATTTTCGGATGGCATTTTCGTAATTTTTTAGGCTACGAAAGGCCAATTTCTTTGGATATTGAAGGCTCCAGATTACGGATTCGGCCTGAGGCTATTTTTCAAAGATGATTGAGTCCATTAAGAATCGATTTGGGCGAATTTATTCCGGGTCATGGCAGATTCCAAACTAGTCCATCAAAGATTTCGGACGATTTTTCAGAAATGCCATTTCTTTTGATTCTGAAGGCTACCGATCATGAAATCAGGCCGAGGCTATTCTCCACAGATAATGAAGTCTATTGATTCTATTCTCCACCGATTTGGGCCAATTTATTTTTAGACGGCATTTTCGTAATTTTTAGGGCGACGAAAGACCAATTTCTTTGGATATTGATGGCTACAGATCAAGGATTCAGCCTGAGGCTATTCTTCAACGATGATTGAGTCCATTAAGCACCGATTTTGGCAGATTTATTCCCGATCAATTTTTGGCAAATTCCAAAGGGGTACCATCACAGATTCCGGGCGATTTTTCCGAAATGCCATTTTCTTTCGATATTGGAGGCTACAAATCACGAAATTAGGCCGAGGCTATTCTCCACCGATAATGAAGTCTATTGGTCCTATTCTCCACGGATGATAAGTCCATTGATTACCGATTTGTGCCAATTTATTTTCAGTTGGCATTTTCGTAATTTTTTGGGCGATGAAAGGTCTTTTTCTTTGGATATTGAAGGATACGGATCATAGATTAGGCCTGAGGCTATTCTTCAACGATGGTTCATTCCATTAAGCAGCGATTTTTGTGGATTTCTTCCAGGTCAATTTTTGACAAATTCCAAAGGGGTACTTACCATCACAAATTTCTGGCAAGTTTTCCGAAATGTCATTTTCTTTCGATTCTAGAGGCTACAGATCACGAAATCTGGCCGAGTTTATTCTCCACCGATAATGAAGTCAATTGATCCTATTCTCCACGGATGATAAGTTCATTAAGCCTCGATTTGGGCTAATTTATTTTTGGATGTCATTTTCATAATTTTTTGGGCGACGAAAGGACATTTTCTTTGGATATTAAGGTTACGGATCACGGATTCGGTCTGAGGCTATTTTTCAACGATGATTGAGTCCATTAAGCACCGATTTGGGCGGATTTATTCCGGGTCAATTTTTGGCAGGTTCCAAAGGGGTACCGTCATAGATTTCCTGCTATTTGTCCGAAATGAAATTTTCTTTCGATTCTGGAGGCTACAGATCACGAAATCTGGCCGAGGCTATTCTCCACCAATAATGAATTCTATTGATCCTATTCCACGGATGATAAGTCCATTAAGCACCGATTTGGGCCAATGTATTTTCCGATGGCATTTTCGTAATTTTTAGGGCGACAAAAGGCCATTTTCTTTGGATATTGAAGGCTACATATCACAGATTCGGGCTGAGGCTATTCTTCAACGATGATCGAGTCTATTAAGCACCGATTTGGGCATATTTATTCCAAGTCAATTTTTGGCATATTCGAAAGGGTACCATCACAGATTTCGGGCGATTTTTCCAAAATGTCATTTTCTTTCGATTCTAGAGGCTGCAGATCACGGAATCCGTCCGATGCTATTCTCCACTGATAATGAAGTCTATTGATCCTATTGTCCACGGATGATAAGCCCATTAAGCACCGATTTGGGCCAATTTATTTTCGGATGGCAGTTTCGTAATTTTTTGGGTGACGAAAGACCATTTTTTTATATTGAAGGCTACAGATCACGGATTCGGCCTGAGCCTATTCTTCAACGATGATTGAGTCCATTAAGCACCGATTTGGGCAAATTTATTCCGGGTCAATTTTTGGCAGATTCCAAAGGGGTACCATCACAGATTTTGGGCGATTTTTCCGAAATGCCATCTTCTTTCGATTCTGAAGGCTCCAGATCACGAAATCAGGCTGAGGCTATTCTCCACCGATAATGAAGTCTATTGATCCTATTCTCCACGGATGATAAGTTCATTAAGCACCGATTTGGGTCAATTTATTTTCGGATGGCATTTTCATAATTTTTTGGGCGACGAAAAGCCTTTTTCTTTGGATATTGAAGGATACGGATCACGGATTCGGCCTGAGGCTATTCTTTAAAGATGGTTCAGTCCATTAAGCACCTATTTTGGTGGATTTCTTCCAGGTCAATTTTTGTCAGATTCCAAAGGGGTACCATCACAGATTTCGGGTTTTCCGAAATGTCATTTTCTTTCGATTCTGGATGCTACATATCACGGAATCAGGCCAAGGCTATTCTCCACTGATAATGAAGTCTATGTGTCCTATTCTCCACGGATGATAAGTCCATTAAGCACCGATTTTGGCCAATTTATTTTCGGATGGCGTTTTCGTAATTTTTTGGCCGGCGAAAGGCCATTTTCTTTGGATATTGAAGGCTACCGACCACCGATTCAGCATGAGCCTATTCTTAAACGATGATTGAGTCCATTAAAAATCGGTATGGGCAGATTTATTCCGGGTCAATTTTTGGCAGATTCCAAAGGGCGATTTTTAGCAGATTCCAAACTGCATCACAGAATTCGGGCAATTTTTCCGAAATGCCATTTTCTTTCGATTCTGGAGGCAACAGATCACGGAATCTGGCTGAGGCCATTCTCCACCGATAATGAACTTTATTGGTCTTATTTTCCACGGATGATTGAGTCCATTAAGCACCGATTTTGGCAGATTTATTCCCGATCAATTTTTGGCAAATTCCAAAGGGGTACCATCACAGATTCCGGGCGATTTTTCCGAAATGCCATTTTCTTTCGATATTGGAGGCTACAAATCACGAAATTAGGCCGAGGCTATTCTCCACCGATAATGAAGTCTATTGGTCCTATTCTCCACGGATGATAAGTCCATTGATTACCGATTTGTGCCAATTTATTTTCAGTTGGCATTTTCGTAATTTTTTGGGCGATGAAAGGTCTTTTTCTTTGGATATTGAAGGATACGGATCATAGATTAGGCCTGAGGCTATTCTTCAACGATGGTTCATTCCATTAAGCAGCGATTTTTGTGGATTTCTTCCAGGTCAATTTTTGACAAATTCCAAAGGGGTACTTACCATCACAAATTTCTGGCAAGTTTTCCGAAATGTCATTTTCTTTCGATTCTAGAGGCTACAGATCACGAAATCTGGCCGAGTTTATTCTCCACCGATAATGAAGTCAATTGATCCTATTCTCCACGGATGATAAGTTCATTAAGCCTCGATTTGGGCTAATTTATTTTTGGATGTCATTTTCATAATTTTTTGGGCGACGAAAGGACATTTTCTTTGGATATTAAGGTTACGGATCACGGATTCGGTCTGAGGCTATTTTTCAACGATGATTGAGTCCATTAAGCACCGATTTGGGCGGATTTATTCCGGGTCAATTTTTGGCAGGTTCCAAAGGGGTACCGTCATAGATTTCCTGCTATTTGTCCGAAATGAAATTTTCTTTCGATTCTGGAGGCTACAGATCACGAAATCTGGCCGAGGCTATTCTCCACCAATAATGAATTCTATTGATCCTATTCCACGGATGATAAGTCCATTAAGCACCGATTTGGGCCAATGTATTTTCCGATGGCATTTTCGTAATTTTTAGGGCGACAAAAGGCCATTTTCTTTGGATATTGAAGGCTACATATCACAGATTCGGGCTGAGGCTATTCTTCAACGATGATCGAGTCTATTAAGCACCGATTTGGGCATATTTATTCCAAGTCAATTTTTGGCATATTCGAAAGGGTACCATCACAGATTTCGGGCGATTTTTCCAAAATGTCATTTTCTTTCGATTCTAGAGGCTGCAGATCACGGAATCCGTCCGATGCTATTCTCCACTGATAATGAAGTCTATTGATCCTATTGTCCACGGATGATAAGCCCATTAAGCACCGATTTGGGCCAATTTATTTTCGGATGGCAGTTTCGTAATTTTTTGGGTGACGAAAGACCATTTTTTTATATTGAAGGCTACAGATCACGGATTCGGCCTGAGCCTATTCTTCAACGATGATTGAGTCCATTAAGCACCGATTTGGGCAAATTTATTCCGGGTCAATTTTTGGCAGATTCCAAAGGGGTACCATCACAGATTTTGGGCGATTTTTCCGAAATGCCATCTTCTTTCGATTCTGAAGGCTCCAGATCACGAAATCAGGCTGAGGCTATTCTCCACCGATAATGAAGTCTATTGATCCTATTCTCCACGGATGATAAGTTCATTAAGCACCGATTTGGGTCAATTTATTTTCGGATGGCATTTTCATAATTTTTTGGGCGACGAAAAGCCTTTTTCTTTGGATATTGAAGGATACGGATCACGGATTCGGCCTGAGGCTATTCTTTAAAGATGGTTCAGTCCATTAAGCACCTATTTTGGTGGATTTCTTCCAGGTCAATTTTTGTCAGATTCCAAAGGGGTACCATCACAGATTTCGGGTTTTCCGAAATGTCATTTTCTTTCGATTCTGGATGCTACATATCACGGAATCAGGCCAAGGCTATTCTCCACTGATAATGAAGTCTATGTGTCCTATTCTCCACGGATGATAAGTCCATTAAGCACCGATTTTGGCCAATTTATTTTCGGATGGCGTTTTCGTAATTTTTTGGCCGGCGAAAGGCCATTTTCTTTGGATATTGAAGGCTACCGACCACCGATTCAGCATGAGCCTATTCTTAAACGATGATTGAGTCCATTAAAAATCGGTATGGGCAGATTTATTCCGGGTCAATTTTTGGCAGATTCCAAAGGGCGATTTTTAGCAGATTCCAAACTGCATCACAGAATTCGGGCAATTTTTCCGAAATGCCATTTTCTTTCGATTCTGGAGGCAACAGATCACGGAATCTGGCTGAGGCCATTCTCCACCGATAATGAACTTTATTGGTCTTATTTTCCACGGATGATAAGTCCATTAAGCACCAATTTGGGCAAATTTATTTTCAGATGGCATTTTCGTAATTTTTTGTGCGACGAAATGGCATTTTCTTTGGATATTGAAGGCTACAGACAACGGATTCGGCCTAGGGTATTCCAGGTGGATTTTGGGAAGATTTCAAAGCGGCACCATCACAGATTTCGGGTAATTTTTCCGAAATGTCATTTTCTTTCGATTCTGAAGGCTACAGATCACGGAATCAGGCCTAGGGTATTCTCTACCGATAATGAAGTCTATTGGTCCTATTCTCCACGGATGATAAGTCCATTAAGCACTGATTTGGACGAATTTCTTCCGGGTCAATTTTCGAATCGCCGGAAATCGGTGATGGTACCCCCTTTCGAATCTGCCAAAAATGGACCAGGAATAAATCCGCCTAAATCGGTGCTTGATGGACTTAATCATCGTTGAAAAATAGCAATAGGCCCAATCCGTGATATGATGCCTTCAAAATCCAAAGAAAATGGTCTTTCAAAAAAATCACCCAAAATATTACGAAAATGTCATCCCAGAATAAATTGGCACAATTCGGCGCTTAATGGACTTAATCATCGGTGCGAAATATGATCAATAGACTTCATTATCGGTGGAGAATATTCTTAGGCTGAATCCGTGATCTGCAGTCTACAAAATCGAAAGAAAATGACATTTCGGAAAATTGCCTAAAAGCGATGATGATACCCCTTTCGACTCTGCCAAAAATGGACCCGGAATAAATTCACCCAAATCGGTGCTTAATGGATTTAATCATCGTTGAAGAATACCCGCAGGCCGAATCTGGATATGTAGCCTTCAAAATCTAAGTAAAATGACATTTCAAAAAGAAATTGCCCAAAATATTATAAAAATGCCATTAAAAACTAATTTGGCCCAATTTTGTTGGACTGAGTACTCTATTAGTATAATATTGTCTGTATTTGGGTTCAAACACTCAATATTTTACCTTTGTGTATCCTTTCCAAAAGATCTCATACAAATAAAATTAAAGATGCCATATTGTCCGAGAATTCACAGTAAATTAGAGTTCAACAAAATCGTCGTAGGACACCTCTACTGTTTATAACACCCACTTTTATCATCCATCGTACATATTTAGCTCGTCATCATCGACGGGGAGAAAATTAAAGGCTTACGGTAGTTTTGTTTGTTCCATTTCAACGATTAACCATAGCTGGCCGGACGTTAGTTGGTCGCTAATTCCAAACGTATATGTAGACAACCATTTTGGCTTTCATAATCAATGGCGCGTATATATACGTTTTTACATATAACGACCACTAAATAATCAATTATCTTATAAATAATCGCTCAACATATCCTCTACCAAAATCCTCCAAACCCAAAAAAACAATCCAAAATAATACCAAAACCGAAAAGGAAACGAAATTCCACATCACAGTTGGAGATCAGTTAGCTCCCAACCCCTATATATAATCACAAAAGAATTCCCAAAATTGGATAATTAAAAAAAACGGAAATCACAATTCACACACAGCAAAAAACCACGAAAAAAGAAAGAAAACAATTCTCCGTCGCTATAACTCCATCGACCGTCACAAAAAACCCTCCTCTGCCTCTCCCCTGTTTTTTTTTTTCCCCACCGAGGGCTTTCTTTCTAATTCACCCGTTTCCGATCTCCGATTTTCATGGACTACAGAGATGAGGCCGCCGATTCTCCGACGATCAAACACCGCCTGATCTCCTCCTGCCTCCTCTCCCCCTTCCGCCGTCACAACCACCACCACCCCCTCTCCTCGCCTCGCCACCACCGCCACCCGTCCCTCACGCGCACCCCGTCCCGAGCGTGGGGATCCAGGTCGCCCGTCCGCCGCCGCACCAGCGACGGAGATTTAGCCTCAACCCCCGGGAGGGCCGCCGCGACGGTGGGGAAGGAGAAGTGCATGCAGTTCATCTCCCGGATCGGCTGCGGCGTCGGGCAGGCGGGCGGAGGAGGGGGAGGAGGCGGATGCGGCGGAGGAGGGGGGAATCATCACCGGCGGAGGCACTCGGTGGGCGGGGATTTCCACTACGACGCGCTGAGCTACTCGCTGAATTTCGACGACGGGAATTTCGATGATGACGTCAGCGGGGAGCTTCCCTCGCGGGATTTCTCGGCGCGGTTGCCTCATTCGCCGCCGCCGCCCCCTGCTCGCAGAAACAGGGAGATCCAATGCAGTTTCTGATCCAATTGAATTCATTGTTTTCTTTCTTTCTTCTCATCTTTCTTTGCAATGTGTGGAATTGATTTGTGGGTTTGTTCGATTTGTTCGAGATCGATGTTCGTGTTTATCGGATCGTGATTTACTGTTAATTAGTTTGATTTGCATGCATGTATATCATCATTAGACAAATTGAACGACGGAAGGTGTGTGATCGGAGAGATATTGATTGGTAGTGACGGAGGCAGAGATCTGTATCGAAACTACAAATGCTTACCAATTACAAAAAAAAAAAAATCAAATTTATTACAAAATCTACATATCGAAACTACAAATGCTTATCAATTACCAAAAAAAAAATTAAATTTATTACAAAATTTACATGTAATCGATTTTCTTCTGGCGATGAGGGTGACCGCCGGCCGGTGGAGGAAGTGATTGTTCATCACGCCTTGGTATAATCGAGATTTTGGGGTATAGCTTAGGTTAGCTCGCAGAATAGAATTGACGTGTGGAGGAGTCATGTTGAAGAGAAGGATTTCTTGGTTCTATATCGATGAGAACCAAGAAGCAAAGAAGGAACCAAAACCCTAACGCACCAAGAAACGGCATACGTACCCCAAAAGACAGATTAAGCATTTCTTGTTCCGAATCCAAATCCCGATCGACCTGATCAATGTTCAAATAATGTCTAATGCTTAGCACGCCTAAGCAAACGTCTAAACTTTTAAGCAAAAATATCGGTTTTTAGTAGAAATAAAAATTGTATGACATATGTTTTACTTTATATCAATTTCAAACTATTTATAACTTAACTAACCTCAACAACAAGTAAAATAATTTTATAAAGACATGGGTTTATAGAAGTCATGGATTGTTGCTTCTTTTGTGGTCAACGACGGTGAAGAGCAAGACAAAGGGTCAAGTTGACCAGAGCTGGAGAAGAACCGAAGACGTCGTGTGTTACGACTACTCCGTGGTCGACGACATCGAGAACGTAGGGCATACAGTCGAGTAAACTAGACCTAGAGAATCCTTCCATACCAAAACCGTTTTCGATGAATTTCACGCCCTTGAGATATTTTCCAGAAGTAAAGAAGCAAAGAAGAAAATCAAACACCACTTGAGATATTTTCCAGAAGTAAAGAAGCAAAGCAGAAAATCAAACACCACTTGAGATACCTTCACCGATTTGGCTCCTCAATTGGACAGAACTCAGACGTAAGAAATGACATAGGTTATATGAGTTGGAAAACAAAGAGTTCATCGGCTGCTGTATGTTAGTAGTTTTCGAATGGGCTACCAGACAGATTGTAGATGGTTCTATGACCACTTATTTAAAATAATAAACATGATGTTTTATCGGACCATTTAAAAAACCCCCAAAATTAGTAATTTATTTCGCTTGATTACCATAGAAACTAGAGTGCAACGGTGACATGTGTATAAAAATTACATATAATGTAGGGAGAAAAAAAACAAAAATAAATTATTATAATGCTAAATCTTCAACAATCACCACTTCTTTTCACTCATCAATAAGTGTGCCGCTAGACTTTAGGTTCTATCCAACCACAAATGTGCACTTTAATAGTGAGAAATTTTACAATGCTATATAGTATTGGTGCTATAGGATTTTGCCTTTATGGTACAACTTAAAATTGTACATTTACGTTATGGTACAACTTCAGATTGTACCTATACTTTTTGTACAAATTCTTTCATGGTACAACTTGAACTTGTACTTTTATGTGATGGTACAACTTCAAGTTGTAAAGTTGTACCGTAACATAATGGTACAAATTGCTTTATGGTACAACCTAAACTTATACATTTAATGTTATGGTACAACTTTAAGTTGTACATTAAAGCACCAATACTATATAGCATAGTAGAAGTGCTCCTTTAATAGTAGGTAGGAAGTCTTCCATCGCTTCATTGTCATAGTCGAACGTGTGATATTTGCGAGAATCTAACGAATAAAACACAATGCTTCCTTTGGCAGAACGTCTAGGGAAGTATATTTTGTTTTCCATTCAAGGAATTTTCGCCATAGTCGAGAAACATGAAGTGTTGCTCAGAAACACCATGTTCGATCCCAAGCTCTTGACTCTCCACCAACCCTTCTTCTGTCGATCGAACCGGTAAACAAGAATTGACTTGCCGAGATCACCCACTGCTACTAGTATAGACAAAATTTAACCTCCACATTCCACTAGGAGATTGGCTTCCCGTTTCCCACTCTGATAGGGAAATTAAGTCCTCTCTGATTCCGACCAGGAAGGAGAACGTCAAAGTTTTCTCAGACCGGTGAGTCTTCCACCTCTATAGTTCCCCAAGCTCACTCCAATACCATTGCAGTAGGTAGTTGATGACGCACGTGTTCTTCTTCTTCTTCTTCAACTTGTCGTTGAATTGCTCTACTCGTTTGCTATTCTGAGATGAAAGTTTCTTTCTTTCTTTAAAATATTATTGTGGGTTATTTGCGGGTACCCGTTATCCATCCCGTAAGAGTAATGGGTACCCGTTAACCCGTACGGGTTTGAGACATGGGATGGAGTTTTCTCTCCAAATAGGATTGGCCGGATACCGGTTTCAAACGGGACGAATACCCAGTCCGATTAAACGAAGGGCACGTGGAATATAGTGATTAGGACAGATGGAGATGACGTAATTTTGGGAAGATTAACTACAATTTTTTTTTATATCCTTGATATGTCAGTGCGATTAAGCTACCCTCGTTTTGATTAATCACACCTCACACCAATTTTGAATTATGCATAGTTTTGCCTAGGCGGTATGAACTCCTAATTTTTTGCATAAAAGAGTTGTTTTCCATTTCTAAACCTAGGCGTACACATAATTATTATGTCTTCTTGAACCTGAATAGTGACCAATTGTTAGGTTCCACAACGATCTTGTGGGCTTTATGTAGGTTCCCTGTAATCGCTATTTCGTAGCTCAACAATGTAAACACGGGCCTGCTTGCGGGCTCGTGAGCCACATGTAGCCCACATTCTGGTTGCTCAAGAAGTCCAAAAGGACACAGGAGGCAACACCGATGTGAAAGGCTTCTTGTTTCTTTCGTTTTTCCCAGGGTGACAACATTTCTGTCTTCGACTCTTTGGTAACGAAATTGGAACACGTAATTTCCATATATTAATTACCTTTGGCCGCCATCCTACTGCAGAAAAGACAGAAATTTTTGACTATAAACTAATGGTGTGAGCTCCATTTGGGCCCAAAATGCCCAAATCGAGGGGTCTCTTTCGAATGGCCCAAAATGGTGGGTTTCTGCACTGCATGGAAGTTTAACGAACCGCACAACTAATCTAACTAACTAAACCATGTCCACTGAAACGTCGCTATTGCTGTAGTCAACGTCGAAAAGGAAGAGACGACGACGACGACGACGACGAAGGATTAGGTTGCTTTTGTTGGCTTCTTTTTTCTTCTTGTGGCAAAACATGGAACTTCCCAACGAAGTATATGTAAAGAGAGAGCACAAGATTGATGTTTGGAGTAAGCTAGGTGGCAAGGTTTCTTCCTTTCGTTATTGTGTAGTGGATACTCAACCATACTACTTTTTGGATTATCATAAGACATAATCAAAGATTAAAGAATGAAAACCCATCTGCTGCTGCAGGGATTTGACTCATCAGAAAGCTTTGATCATTCTGCCCATTTCCCCTAATTATGGGGCAGAGAAGAGATATAGATAACGTTGGAGTAGTTATGTCGGTTTTTATCCGTTACCCCTTCTGAGTTCTGACCACTTCCCTTGGAAAAAGTTTCATCCACAGTGGCTGGATCCGGAATCCGGAATCCGACCGGAAAAATCTCCCGTCGAGTTCAAAACAGGTAGACAGTTTTTAGCAGTATGAAATGGTTGATTCGAATCACGATTTCAGCAAAAAATAGCTTACAATTCTTGTTTTTTTCGTAGCTGGCAAGTTAGTCTCAATAACTCGAGTTGTTGGAAGAGTTTCAATTACGAATCTTAAATCACATAATTAACCATGGTAGGATTTGACTGCAAGGTAGTGGGATGTCACCAACAAAATAAATGCAGATAGATCGAAGATGAGGCTTATTTCAACGTGGCCATGCTCTATAATATGGTACCACAGTCATATACAATAATTTTAACTTGAGAATTTTGTATTCATTCCCAAGATTAATGACAACCGGTTGATTTGTAAACCATCAGGGTGGGTGACCCATTCCACAACTGTTCTAGTTAGTAGATGCCATTTGGTGGAAATTATTCTCTTGTATGTGTAATTGTATATATATATAAATTATATATAAATAGATTTCGTATTACTCAATTGGTTTTGCGTGAGAAATTTCTGATTTTGAACAACAGATTTGAGGCAAATATTGTAACCGACGGAGGAGTCTGATGTATAGATCATCCGGTAGGGACGGAGTTTTTACTCTTTGATTTTAGGGGTTTGGAGCGCATTTGAAATTATCAAAGATTTAGCATGAATCTTTCTTTTATTAGTATCAAGTGTGAGATGAATAACTTATTTTGTTCCCAATAAAAGAAAAAAAATACAGCTAAGCTCTTGAGTTCTCGTCGATCTAGCTAGTAATAATGAATCGATCAAATCATGCAAAACGCCATGAGTTTCGAATGTATAAATCAATATCGTCAAGATACAAGAGTCTATTTATAAAGTCTTTGAGGAAATTATTCTGCACAAATTACACTTAAAAGAGTGGGAACACATTTGGATTTTGTTTATTTTCCTCCTCAACTTGCATGGGTGCATTTTGTATTTTAGTCGTCAATCATGCATTATTGATACAATATAATGGTCAATTCAATTCAATACAACTTGAAGCCAAGAAACAGAAATTTCAGGCAATTGGCCGACATCTAAGCATTGAAGTTTGGGACTCCCCCCAACGTGCAAGTAAAACACACATGAACATGACAGAGAACGACTTGGATTAATATATTGGATACTCAACCATACTACTTAATGTGATTTGTTTATGATGAAAATGTAGTTTGCCTATGTATAATACAGTGCTGCACTATTGTATATTGGGTTAGTTTGACCATGTTGTAGCTTTTGCAGAAAGAGTTTGTTGCTGAAACTTTTAGAGAAATATTTATAAAAAAAAAACCAGCTGAGTGTTTAGTTGAAAAATTATTAAAAGTGATTTTTAATGTAAGAGATTATGTACAATGACTATAAAGCATTTATAATATAAAAGGTTATGTACTTATGTACAATGTAAGAGTTTATGTACGATGACTATAATGCGTCATTATGGTTTGCAAACTTCACAAATGGATGCCTCCAAATGATGCACAGTAAACACATCCTAACAACCTATAAATTAAGCCACGATAATTTCTAAAATTCAATTCTAAATTTTTGGTTAAGCTAGAAATTTATTGGCATATATCATCTCTGAAATCCTTCACATATCGAACTTGACGGTAAACGCGGTAGGTTTGAATGAAGGTGAACTCTGATTTGAACCAAATTATGATTATTGAAATATTTGTCATCATACTCAAATCAATGATCATATTAACTGAAGTTTTACCTTCATTTCAGCGAGAGGTTCCGACATAAAAAAAAATCTATTGAATTTATCAAATATTCACGTTAGTCTCCAATACACGTTGAATGTTCTACTAGGTTCATCGACATTAAAAAAAAATGTTCTATTAGCAATTGATTCAGTAGGCTGACCAAACTTACAAATTCCTCTCTTTTGCACTTTCGATTGGTGTTTGACTGATTAATGTAATGATAAATATAAGATAATTTGGGCCAAGTTGCTACAGAAATGTAACGTTAATCAAACGCCATACCTAAACTATGGAATATTATTTCTTACCTGCTAGTCAACAACTAGTGAGCCTCCTTACTGAATTACGTACAAGATGTTAACTACATAATGATTAAGCTGATCCAATAGTTAGCGAGGATTAAGTATATACTAATCACTATAATTTGGTGACATACAGATATACTTGGTTCATGCCGTGAAGTAAGCTCTATAACGATATGGTTTAGTTGCATCTACAATTGCTTGGGAGAAGCTATTGATTATTGTTACAATAATGTATCTATTTTATAATTTATTGGTGAATCCATGTTACATGGAGTTTGTGATGCGGGTTGGGACACGTCCGGATTGATCGGTCGAATTTTGGTTGGTTTTCGATCTTAAACTCTCGTCATTTGATTGATGTATTTATTTATATTTGAAAGACATGAATTACAAGTCATTATGACTTTATGAGCACATGACTATCCCCTTTTATCTCTCAATTCTTCTTTAATAACATCCACTGTTCTTTAACAAATCTTCAATCTATCCGATAAAAGTTAGTGTCTCAGAAATTTTCTATAAGATTCATCATTTAGAGCTGTACTAGGTACAATTTATATCTTTTTTGCCACATGTAGAATTATTTTATTGGATGAACAATTTTTTTTTGTTACAACTGAGATCAAAGTTAGAATCAAAGAAGACATAAACAAGATCTGCGAGATACTTTTGATCGCAAAGTGAGCACTTGTTGTGGTCGAAATTGGTTAGCAAGTATGAAAGAAAGGACAAAATATCTTCATCCTCAATGTGTTTGTCCGAATTAACACTTGCTCAATCACAACTCATAGGGCCCCTCCAAGTTCATCTTCCATTTCTATGATTCCATGTTTCTCTCAAATCTCTTCGTACTCTATTGTCGTATCGTTGGTTATTGATTTCTCAAAGAGAGGGGATGTATTATGTCAGCATATGATGGACAAGTGTACGTAAAACAACACAGACACTAAATAAGTATCATGTCGATATTAATACTAATTAAATCTAATATCTTTAACTTAATAAAGCGTCATATCTATCCTTAACACAAACAACTCAACATCACATTTATCAGTCTGAAACAAAATCAAATATGTGCATAAAATCAAATGGTTACCCCTTAGGATATGAGTAAACTACTTCACCAAACTAGAAAAAATACACTATATACAAGATCAAAGCAAACTTGGTCTAATATAGGGATGTCAATGGGTCGGGTTGGGGCGGGTTTTGTCAAACCCAAACCCAAACCCATGGGTTTATCCGGAAAAAAAAACCCGGGGTAAAACCCGTTGGGTTTGAAAAACTCAAACCCAACCCAACCCGCTGGGTATCCGTGGGTTCATGGGTACCCGTGGGTTTTTGTGGTAAAAAATTTACAATAACAAGTTTCTTTCAAAATAAAAGTTTAACATCAATTTTCTCATACAAATTAATCATACAAAAAAACACTAATCTAGAGCATACAAGCAAACCGCAAATGATCAATACAAATTGTTCAAAATTAAAGATAAACATCTATAAACAAAAGATTAATTGAAAACTTCTTCCTCGTCAACTAAGTTTCTTCACTCTCCACTTCATAATATCAACTTCATTCTAAACAATTAGAAAGAACAAATTATACATGTCTCCATAAACATAAAAAATATTAATTGTTTAAGAAAAATATATTATTTAGAATATTAAATATACCGGGAAAATAATTATATGTGTGTGGGCGGGTACCCATGGATCGGGTTTACCTAAACCCAAACCCAACCCGACCCGGTGAATAGTGTAGCGGGTTTAAACCCGAACCCGGCCCAAAACCTGTCAACACGGATTTTACCCGCGTTAACCGGATTGGGTCGGGTGGGTACCCACGGATTCGGGTTTTGTTGTCATCCCTCGTCTAATATCATTCCTTGATTTGGCTTTTACCAAAAGCTCAATAGCTATAAACAAATATGTAAAAACTCACCCAAATCTCTCTACCCCACAAGTCACCTTCAAATCAAAACAATATTTGTCATTTTCTAGTTACCACCCTCCAACCCAACACAAAAAATATCATAAAACTTCTTTTTTTACTCATATATAATTTAATTTAATTGGTCCCCCCCCCCCCCCCCCCCCCCCCCCCCCCCCCCCCCCCCCCCCCCCCCCCAAAATGAAAAAAATACAAAAATTTACAATTATATATATTTGCATGAAACCGTCCACGTGCCTTCACCCATTCTCCTGCCTTCCTTAAAACCTAAGAATTTCAAGCACAAGACACCACACCCACCACTTCCCCTGTTCTTTGGCCATTTCCTCCAAATTTTCTTTTTGATTCCCAGCAAAAACCCATAAATCCAAATCCCTCAATTAGTGCATTTAGCAGCCAAAAGATGGATTCTTTTTAAAAGGGTACGAGGGAAACAGAATAACAATAACAATTAAGATTCAGAGGCAGAGCAAGGCGAGAAAGAGAAGACGAAGGCACAATATAAAAGAAAGATTCGGCGAGTTTCCTGAATCAGAAGCTAGAAAGCTCGCTCCTTTGCGGGAAGAAAAGAAAAAGGCGAAGCTGCACCGACTCGGCTGGGAACCGAACTCATTCTCTCTATCGTCATTTCCCACTTGGGGTACTTATCCGTTTTCCCCCCTTCTCCTTGGTTTTCGAAACTCTGTGTTGAGCTAAAATTCCTCGCATTTACAATCCCTCGTTGAGAATTCGTCAATGGGGGTTTTGATGGTGTTCGTCTGATGAATGTAATCGGGCGGCGCTGAACCCCCGCAATTAGCAAAACCCTAGGTTTTCTGATTCGTTCCCCCATTGTACCCCTTTTTTTGTGTGAATAAGAGGCTTTCTCTATGGCATTTGATCACAACTTGGTTTCGAAAGATCTGAGGCCGGTGAACGTTGCTCGGCCGTTGATCGACGATGGCCGCATTGGGGTGGTGGGAGGAGCGGCCAACACCGCGCCTAATTCAGCTACGTCGGCGGCGACGGTTATGAGCCCTGAATTTTTCACCGCCGCCCCGGACGGGACTATTCCGGTTTTCTACTCGGCAGCAGCGGTGCCGGATTCCGGCGGGTTTGTTGGCGTAGGGTATAGAAATGTGGCACCGGCGGCCGTTGCACAGTGGGTCCCGGTGGCAGCTGCAGCTGGTAATGTAAATATTGGTGCGACGACTGTGCCAGCTGCTGTAGGGTACGGTTATAATCATCCTAATAATTTGGGGAATAGGGTAGTGGGTAATGCTGTTGATCAAGCTAGTACTGAAATGTTGGTAGGTGGATTCGGTTCTAATCCTCGTACTAACCCCAATTCGAACAATGATTTGTTGAACTCGGGTTATGGTTACAGCCCGAGTGCAGCAAATCGGGGGAGTGGTGGTGGGGTTGATCACACGAGCGAAGATGGCGGGGATGACTCAGCATCTGGGAAGAAAGTCAAGCTGTTGTGTAGTTTTGGAGGGAAGATTCTGCCTAGACCGAGCGATGGAGCATTGAGATATGTCGGAGGGCAGACGAGGATTATCAGCGTGAGAAGAGAAGCCACATTTGGTGAGCTGATGCGGAAGATGGTGGACGCATATGGGCAACCAGTTGTTATGAAGTACCAGCTTCCCGATGAGGATTTGGATGCATTGGTTTCAGTCTCGTGCCCTGAAGATCTCGATAACATGTTGGATGAATATGAGAAGTTGGTGGAGAGATCCTCAGATGGCTCTGGTAAATTGAGGGTGTTCCTGTTTTCAGCTGCCGAGCTCGATACTTCTGGTATGGTGCAGTTAGGAGATATGCAGGATAGTGGTCAAAGATATGTTGATGCAGTCAATGGGATTGTTGCTGACAATGGTGGTGGTGGGATGATCTCAAGGAAGGAGAGTATGGCTAGTGCTACCTCGACTCAGAATTCAGATGTTAGCGGGGCTGAAGCAGTTGACATCCAGGGTTTCGGACTAGGGGATGTGACTGGAACTTCATCGGTCAGCGGGCTTTCTCCTAAGGGGAATTCAGTTAACTCCCAAGATGCTACCCCGAGATTGTTGTCTGGGGATCCTAATCCTAACCCACCACTTTATGCTGACACATCATCTGTTTCTTTGGGGATTCCACTTATGAATTCCGGTTCTCCTCCGGCATTAATTTCCCAGCAAGAGTTTGATTATGAAAGGTCAGCTGCTCCGGTAAATGTGTCACAGCAGCAGATGGGATATGAACTACCTCAAACAGGAATGCCAGTTCAATCGAATGCACCTCATCTGCCAGCATATAGGGACTATTTACATGCAGCTCCTCAAATGGGATACCCGAATTCCCAAATGTTGGCCACTGCTGGTGGGTCCCTGTTCACTCAACAACCGATTCATGATGTTAATGCTTCTCTGAATCCTCATCAGTATATCCCCGGAGTGCACATGACGATGGCACCCTCATCTTCTCTTGCTCCCATGAGGCCCGTGATGGTTCAACCCATGATGCAAGCTCAACCACCTCGGTTGGACCATTATCCGAACGAAAATATGTATGGAACGAGGATAATGCAGATTCCGGTCGATTCGAACTACAACATGTATCAGACACAGGTTCCTCAGGCGGCAGTTATAGGGGGAGGGTATAGCTGGAGGCAGGTTCCTCGGCCAGAACATGTTGTCTATTCTGACGGTATGATTCATCATCAACAAGTACAATATCCTGAAAAAACTTCAAGACTGGATGATTGTCTGATGTGTCAGAAAGCATTGCCTCATGCACACTCTGATCCTGTTGTTCAAGAACAAAGTCCTCTGTCTCTTGACTCAGTCTATCATAGTCTTCGTGTGGAAGAGAGTTCGAAGGTCCGGCCATTGAACAGGGTAATGGTGACTGGAGCGTTGGAAGGCACTGTTGGAGCTCAATCAGAAGCAATGGATTTACCTCGGTGTGCTGAGGCATTTCATGAAGCCGAGAAAATTTCCCCCAGGAAAAAGGAAGTTCCTCCAGAGCAAACTCAGATGTCGGCTCCTCTTGGTATGATGGGTATACAAAGTGATGCTCAGTCTAGTTATGAGCTGTTAATGGGTGCTATGCCTCAATCTCGGGCAGATGATTCTCTTCAACAGCAGCATCCAGTAGCAGCACCTCGTGTAGCTGGTGGTGATCCACCTGTTCAAGCTTCCGAAGGCATGATATATGAGTCTCCAGGGGCTCCACAAGTTGGTAACCTTCCGCATGTTGTTTCAAAAGAAAACATGCTTGATTCTTTTATTCCACATGACCAGCTCAAACCAATTGAGGCCAACAAGTCAGCTACTGATCAGAAACCTCAGCACGCTGTACCTTCAAGGGAGTTGCTTCCGGACTCAAATTATCGCAAGCCAGAAGCTTTGCCTGCTGCTGAATTCTCCTATCTACACAGCTCTCAACCCATCGAATCATATGATTTTGCTCAACCACGATATTCAGGTGATCCGGGAGCACATCTGCACTCCATGGTTGGTGCTCTCTTAGATTCTGGTGATGTCAGTTGTGTCAATCCACAGTATGTTGCTGAGCCCGTGTATCATGCTGATAGAGTCCTTCCTCCTGTCAGCGAGAGCAATACTGATATCTCCAGGCTATTACCGACTACTCTTGCCAATGAAGTGGAATCTTTAGCACTAGGTGGGGATCCACCATCTACAGCATCACCATCTAGTAGACTTGGAGCGATGCAGGAATCCTCAGACTCCCTTTTCAGTAACCAGGATCCTTGGAACTTGAGGCACGATACTCATTTCCCTCCTCCTAAACCTCTCAAGATTGCGACTAGGAAGGATAATTTGAGTGCTGGAGATCCTTTCAAGGAAAGCAACATTGTTAATGCCAGGGAATTGGTTCCAGATGTGCTGTTGGATGATGGAATTTCTCAGACACACTGTGGTTCGGAGCATACTCCATCTTCCAAAGGTTAGAAATTTCTTTCTCTTGCATATTTGTGAGTTAATAAGCAACCTCTTTTTGTTATAATCTGTTTGTGCCAACCTTTAAGCACAGGCTCTGAGGATAGGCTTATCAAACAAGAACTTCAGGCTGTAGCTGAAGGAGTAGCTGCCTCTGTTTTTAAGTCCAGTACACCAAGTACTGACTTAACTGGACATGAAGGAAATGAACCTCCTTTCGGAGCAAGTGAACAACCCAAGGAGGCTGCCCCGATTAAAGACGTGGAAACACAGTTTAAAGCTAAAGCTGAGGTGGAGCCTTGTTAATACTGTTCTGTTTTGTTACCTTGCTTCTGCTACATTGTATTATATTAGCACTAATATTGCTAAAAAAATTCTATACATCATTCCATCAGGATCTGAAGAACAAACAGCCGGAAAAGGTGAACGTGGGATTTCCAATGTCGGAAGGTGCAGGACGCCTACAGGTTGGACGTTGTTATGCAACATTCTTTTGAGCACCTGAACTTCTCGTACACTTATTTGGCTCAAACCTCCATTGTGGAACAACAGATTATTAAGAGTGATGACCTTGAAGAGCTATTCGAATTGGGTTCTGGCACCTTTGGAACAGTTTACCATGGAAAGTGGCGGGGTACAGATGTTGCAATTAAGCGGATCAATGACAGATGTTTTGCTGGAAAACCTTCGGAACAAGAACGCATGGTTAGACTTTCAGTTCCTATAAGATAATCAGATGTTTTCCATGTTGTTCTGGCCTCTTAATTCCTCAAAACTGCTATTGATTTTTCATGTATGCCTAAAAACCAGATTGACGATTTCTGGAATGAAGCTATCAAGCTTGCTGATCTGCACCACCCAAATGTGGTAGCTTTTTATGGGGTTGTACTAGATGGCCCTGGTGGTTCAGTAGCAACTGTGACTGAGTATATGGTTAATGGCTCTTTGCGGACCGCTTTGCAGAAAAACGAGAGGTATTTTCTTATAATCTCTTGATATTAACCATGTAATGCTTTCATCCTTTTATCTCCGTTCTATCCAAAATTTTGATTTTGAAAGTGCTTGTTTATCAGGAGCCTTGACAAACGTAAGCGCCTCTTGATCGCCATGGATGTGGCTTTTGGCATGGAATATCTGCATGGGAAAAATATAGTTCATTTCGACCTGAAGAGTGACAATCTGCTAGTTAATCTTAGAGATCCTCATCGTCCGATATGCAAGGTTAGTCGTCTTATTTGTTTATCTTCGACCTGTGTATACTAGCTTCGCCTTTCTGATATTGTGTTATTGGTGGACCTTCCTATCTACTGTATTGTCATCAGTGCGTGTGTACTTCTATAGCTAAAAGTTACTTTGTTACTGAATACATATAGTTTCACAATGCATGTATTCTGTATGTATGGTTTATAAAATCTATGTATTGGCATCATATATTCTGAATGAATGGTCTCTTCCAGATTCAGAAGGAAAACTGCATGTTGGTAGAAATCACACATTCTCGAAACGAGTGGAACAATACATGATTACCTAATCGAAATTTAGTTGTATTCCTTCTCATTGAAGACTTGCTTTATGCTACGTTTCCAGGTTGGCGATCTGGGCTTGTCGAAAGTAAAGTGTCAAACGCTAATCTCGGGTGGTGTAAGGGGAACACTTCCATGGATGGCACCGGAGCTTTTGAATGGTAGCAGCAGCCTTGTCTCTGAGAAGGTTTTTCATTTTCTCTCTTAAAAACATTCCACACTACAAGAACCCTTTAATGTTGATTCAGTTTGTCAGATTGTTAAAACGTCCACTGGTTCTTCCATATAGGTTGATGTGTTCTCATTCGGTATTGTGTTGTGGGAGCTTCTGACTGGGGAAGAGCCATATGCAGACCTACACTATGGCGCGATCATAGGTAATAATTAGTCAACTGACTGACTGACACCATCCTGGCATCGCACTGGTAACAAATGATATGACAAATACAACCCTTTGTGGCAGGTGGTATTGTCAGCAACACCTTGAGGCCGCCAGTGCCAGACTCTTGTGACCCGGAATGGAAATCGTTGATGGAGAGATGCTGGTCCTCAGAGCCTGCCGAGAGGCCGAGCTTTACCGTGATAGCGAACGAGTTGAGAGCAATGTCAGCCAAGATACCTTCCAGGGGGCAGACTCCCGCTCAGCAAGGTGCTTCCGCGCAACCTCAACCTCAAAAGTGAGTCTCCAGGGGAGTTGGTTCTTTCCTCGTGGCTCAATGGAGACAGAGTTAGCAGACATTAGAGGTAATCTGCTGCAAGTCAATATGGGTTTATCTGTAGGAAGGATGAGAACGCCCGTCATTTAACCTTATTTTCTTTAGTAGAGATGATTATAGTTGCAGGACTCTTTTAATAGTAACTAGGGTTTTTATTTATTTATGGTTGTGACTAGTGTTTTTGGTTTCGTTTCCTGTGTGCAAAAAGGGTCAAAAGGAAAAAAAAAGAAGAAATTTTGTTTCGTGTACTTGAAACTTTCGTCTCATTGACAATCTTGTTATATATATCATATATTTGTGTACATTATTCGAAGAAAACGAGCTTATAAATGTTCAAATCCAAAATGATCTGCAGATCAAACTAACCTGTTGTTCTGCCTCTACCCATGAGTTAGGCAACAACCCATCTGCAGAAAATGCAGTCAACTCCGGGAAAGGAAGGAACTTTTGTTCACACACTTACGAATCTTCCACTGTTCAGTTCTTCAGTAACTCTTCCCGGCCGCAGCCCTGATACCTTTTTCGTCTGCCACGGCCGCCGCTTTCTGCATTTGTTTCTTCCCTTTTCAAACCCCAGCTAGATGCTGTTTTCACTACAGCTGCACGTCTTCATTGATTGCGTTAAAACTAAACGAAGGTGGGACGAAGTTTTCCTTTTTTCCCCTATGGATAAGGCTTGGACAGAAGAAAGGAGAAGTCTTTTCTGGTCATATTTGCTTTGATATCAAGCACAAGAAGAAGAGTTAGAATAGTCGTCTTTCGGCCGGTGGGTGGAGGAGCAGAGTTGTAGTTATCACTCGCGTATGGCAAAAACTGACTCTTTTTACAGAGTCCGCGTAAACAAAGCGCACAAGGCAAACAGTTAGCTTCGCAGCAAGGAGCCGGCAACGTGGAAGAAGAACCCAACAAAAGATCTCACTGTTTTGATAAATGCAGACTGGTTAGGCTTGGAGAAGGAATCGGGGTAGGTCGATCCATTACAATACGTGATTCAAAGATGTATAAAACAGATGGAGTTCCGTATGAAAAAGTTAAGTGAGAAGCACTTCCTATTATATTAAGAGGATAAAAACTATATTATTATGAAGCAAATGATTTATGAGATGCACGAATCGAAAATAGGATTTAAAAATGAATTTATGCTAAGAGAAATACGGAATGGTACAAGAAAGAATCGAGATAAAAACGAGTTGTGAGTGGAGCAAGGCCTATAATAAGAGAATGGTTAATGTGATTACTAAATAATGTTAGAGAACGAGTCGAAACAAATCGAAGCGTTAGAGTATTGATTGTGTTTAGAATTACCATCTACATTAAACTTTTAACCTACTTTACAAAGTGTTCATACATATCCGATGTGGCAGACTCCGCAACGTGACACGTGGCCGGACACCATTGACATTTCATACAAGATACAACTAATCTCACCGAACGAAACAGGAAACCTGAAGTGGGAAGACAAATTGGTCAGACTTCTCTGAAGCTTCCTTCCCCCACCCATTTGCTTGTCGAAATTTCCGTTTCTCCATCGTTGAATTTCAAAGCACGTATATAACTTAGCTCTCTCCTCCCTTCCTCATCCATTGTACTGCCCAATCTCAAGCTCACACCAGCCCCAACCTCCCGCCGCCAAATGGAAACAGAGCGTCTCCGCCCAGCTGCCGCCGCCGGCAGCTACCAAGACGAAGAGAACAACTCAGCCTTCTCCGGCTGCAACTGCTTCGGCTCCTTATTCTCGAGATGGGGAAGCAAAACCGCCAGCAACGAAAGCAACGGCTACCTTCTGATGCAAAACAGGGGAGGAGTGAAAACAGGGGAAGGTGAAAACCAGCAGCAGAAAACAGAGCCGCCGCCGTCTTCGTGGGTCATGAGCCAGGTGAAAAAATTGAAGGAGGTTTCGGAGATGGTTGCGGGGCCTAAGTGGAAGAACTTCATTAGAAAAAAACAGAGGAGGAATCAGAAGTTCAATTACAATGCAGAGAGCTACGCCCTCAACTTCGATTGCGGGTTGGAGGAGGAGGAGTACGATTACGTTCCTGGGTTTTCACAGAGGTTCGCCGCCGCCGCCGCCGCGGTTCCGGTGGATAACAGGAATCGTGAAGCTTTTGGGTTGTGACATGGATCAGGGGATGCTCTGTTAATGAAATTATTCATTCTTGTTCTTTGTTAAATTCATTGTCCTGTTGATGATTCAATAGTCTGAATGAATGAAACTCAGAACTTAATTTGATGGTCTGATATTTGTACCGTCACTTATGAGGCTAATTAGGAGATTAGTTTGAATGAAGCGCAAGGAAAAACAGAGCAAATTGTTGCATAGGTCTGTCATCTGTGGCCATGGATGACCAAAAAAAGGAAAAGAGTGTCGGCAATGATCTCTCTGGAGGAACCAGCTGGTCCCATAAGCAAAGCAAGAACAATGTTATGATTAGTTTGAAGTTAATTTGTTTGGTTAGGATCTAAAAAAGTTGGTGATAATGACGATTAACATGAAGGATAATTGCACAACATAATCATTATAGTTTTACTAATGATTTCATATCGGCTTCTTTATCTAAGATTGTATGTCCGAGAAACTATTTCAATCTCAATCTCATTCCACTAAATGGGCTGGGGAACATGAGTTAATGGAGATGAAGGAAGCAAGGCAGTCTTTTCCTATTAGCTAAGTCCCTGTTTTCAGCCCAGACAGAGAGTTATGAGGAAAAGGATCCGTGTTTTTCCTTCTTCTTCTGCTGCCGCCCTTTCTTTAATCCTCTGTCGGAAAGGATCGTTAATGCCAAAACAACACACAGCAGAAAAACGTACGACTTGTTCTTCGAAAAGGGCCACACCATTATGCTGTCAACCACGAAGCTCTTTTGTCCTCCAGGAAAAAAGGTTCCTTCAGCCTTCAAACATGGTGAATTTAATTAGCATATACTTGTGCCCATTCAGAAGGCGATGAGAAGATCTTGGTGAGTATTACTAGGAACTTGAAAAGAAAACAAAGACCTGATACTTGATGTTCTTATATATGGACCTACTTTAGATTATTTTTGGTGAGTTAGACACATTGATGGGGATGATTTAATAAAGGTTTACGAAGCTGTTATGTTGGTTATTGTAAACTTCATTTACAAATTCATTAAGAATCGAAGTCAGAATGATCTATTATTATTAGTAGTCTCAAAGTTTGTGAAAAACTATGACAATTCATGCGACAACTCATTACCCTTACACATGCCTTGAATTGAAACCAAGGATATACGGCCGTATAAGAAATTGCACCGAAAAAGTTAATAATATGATAATTTATGTTGAAATCGTGATTTAACAGTGGCTCAACCTTTTCATACAGTTAAAAACCACATACATGTTTAGACTTCAATAAGAAATTTTCTGGGTCAGACCGTCGATATAGTATGACACTACTCATAAGATACTAGCACTATGCAAATTTTCTTTAATCTATCAAGTTTCAACCATTCCCATACGTTCATAATTCTAGACCTAGACTTTTCTACTAATGACTTGACAATTGAGGGACAAAGTCAAGAAGGCCTCTAGCAAGCTCTAGGGCAGGAGACTTTATAGACTCTTTACCAGTTACCACTGTTCCTCTCACTTTTTCCACTCTTCACACTATTTCTTCTCTCATTCACATTCATAACAGAATCCAGCAGTAGCAATAGTAACCAATAACTATCCATATTTCTGCCATAGGAAAGATATTACATAAACCTGTGGACACTACAAAAGAGAGACAAGCTACTTAATAACTTAACCTCTCACTTTCACTGATAATTCTTCCATTCTCAATTTACCTTACAAGTATAAAAAGAACAGCATCATAGATGTTTTCATTACCCTGCAGCCCTCTTTCTCTTCAGCTGTTTTCATCTGTCAACTACAAGTTTCAACCATTTTGTGAGGTTCTTAAGCCACCTAAGAGATGTTTAATACTAAACAACAATAAGACCAGCCTCTCCATACTTGAAATAGATACTTTCTTCTATCAGCAAAAGAAGGGGGGGGGGGGGGGGGGGGGGGGGGGGGGGGGGGGGGGGGTGAAAGGGTACTATAAGGCTGTCTCCCTAACCCACCACAGCCATGCAACTCTTTCATCGGATCATCATCCTGCTGTGGAACCCCTTTCCAATATATGCACAAGAAGGTCTATTTTCTCTCTTTCTCTTCTGGTTTACGATTCCTCCAAGTCTAACTAGAAGAGGGTGGGAAAAAAGGTTTGAGCTTTACTTCTTTCTTTTGCTCTTGACAGTAGACCCAGATGGATTGCTGTGCCAGTTCCTCTTCCTCTGGTTGATGAACCAGTTGTTTATCTGCTTCAACTGCAGCCCCGTTTCTTGGACCAGCCTCGCCTTGTCTTCCTCCTGTGAACATACAAAACTTGTGTAAGAAGCCACATCTACGATCGATAACTTGTGTAAGAAGCCACATTTTGTTCGATTCATGATTAACAAAAGGAGATTTGAATAAGAACATAACTTGCTTAAGCAGCCACTATACGATTGTTTCACAGTCTTAATTAAAAGGAGATTATAGGAAGAACACTTACAGTTGGATATGGCCACTTGGAATGTGATTGCCACCAAGATTTCAACACTGATGTAGTGTCTCCAGGCAGTTTCCCTGCTCTTCTCTTGCGGAGAATCTCCTCTCTTATGTCCAATAGCTTCTCCTTGTAACCCTGGGCAAAGGAAAGCACAAAGCACGATGTAAACCTTAGTGTTGGCACAAGGGGAGACTTTTGAAGAGTTGTGTGCTGCACTCCATTGACTAATTTACCTGTTTGAGCTCATGCTTCAGTTCCTGCCTCACTCGCTCCATCAACGACCTCTCGGTTTCAGTAGGGACGAGTGGACCGAATCCCATGGTGTCCATCGCGTCCATGCTTCCCTCGTACAAGTTGGCTTCACTGTCTACTTGATCATCATCGTCGTCTGACATCGTTGCGCCTGTGCCTTCTCCCGGAGATACACCTGCAATTGATCAATGCTTCGGTTTAGTTTCAATGAAGACCAAGTTGTCTGGGAAGCTACCATTTGCAGATTAAGGATTTTACCTGTGAGGCTCTGCAGGGCTTGCTCCAGCTCCCAGCAGGCCATGACAGCCTCCATGGCGTGAACTCGGACATGTTGTTGGAGTTGGTCTTTGAATGAACAGAGCAACAGAACATAATGCGTCTACATCAGAAGGAAGAAGAAGAAAATGAAGAAAGAAAGAGAGTTATAAAAAGGACATACAGAATTGATTACTCTCCATAAAGACATGGAGGTCCTTATAAGAAAATTCATTAGTACAAAGGCATTTAAATTGGTGAAGACGCTGCTTTCAATCAATCCTTATAACAGCTGTCTCTAAGCCATGCAAAACAAACATGCAAAGGTGACTGTTCAAGAACCAGACTTGAGGGATCGTAATCTTGATTGATCATTCCATAAGTGGAAATGGCTTAAATCTTCTAATTGTGATCAGTTCTATAAGTTTATCTCTAAATACATTTCGCACCCTTCACACCATTGAAGAAACAAGCAAAGTGCTATAAAAGCTAATCGAGAACATGTTGAATCATAAGACTATGTCAATCCTATTCCAGCTTATACTGAGAAGTTAGACTGTCAAACACAATCCAAGACAAAGACTTGATCTTTTAGCAAAAGATTACAGCTTTGCCATCAGTCCTGCGAACCATATGGTCCAAATTCTAAAGGGTATGCCCTAAGTTTTTCTTAGCACATTTTAGGGAGGAAATAGGGCTGAAAAAACTGCATCAGCAAGAAGCTTGCTGCTTAGTTGGTCCATCGGTTACTAATGACGTATGCCCTTAGGGAAAGGAGAGAAACAAAACTCCCACCTTAGCTTCTCCTCCAGAAAACATGGAGGAAAGGCCCAAACAATACTTTGAATTCAGTTATCAGTTATACAATTTCAGTTACTGCATAATCAACGAGATAATCACTTGATTAGTAAGCAATCCTCAGACCAAGTCTCTCAAATCTTCCCCATAAACCATAAACTAAGCAGAAATCCCATTCCCCAAAACCCTTAATCAACGATTAAGTACCGAAATTGTGTTGATAATCGTTAATCCCTGGGGCTGGGAAACTGAATGAAGGAATCGTCGACAAAGATTAAGACTTTCAAAATCAGGGAAGAAAACCCAATTAAGAAAACAAAACGCCGGCGAAATTTTAATACCATGAACTGATCGAGCTCCTTTTCGTCGACGACGGGGCCGTTTCCGACGACGGAGTACTTGGCCACCACTTCCTGCGACTGAGCCAGTTGAGCGTCGATCCTCGGCAGCTGGTCGACCGGCGTGGCAATTCTCAGGCAGGCCACGTGTGCAGCCAGCAGCTGCTCGTACAGCGGGTGGGAGAGTATCTCCGCCTTGCATTTCGCCCTCTCCCAATCTGCCGCTCCGCCGCCGCCGCCGCCGTCCAACAGCTCCTCGTCCCCGCCACCGCCGTGGTGGTGGTGGTTGTTGTTGCTGTCGTTCTCGCTCCTGTCACTGCCGTCGCCGCGGCGGAGGACGGCGCTGCTCAGCCAGGAAGGCCCGGCGGAGGCGGCAGAGAGCGGCGGGGGCGGCTGGAAGCCCATTTCTTGGGACATGTGGTCTTGGAAAGCCATTTTCACTCTCTTTTACGGGAAATTTCACAGTGGCAGTAGCAACATTAATTTGTTCAGCCAACAAGAGAGAGAGAGAGAGAGAGACAGACAGAGAGAGAGAGAGAGACAGAGAGAGAGACAGAGAGAGAGAGAGATGGAAACTTTATCAAAGAACAGAAGAAGGAGAAGGAACTATGGCGGAAGAGGAGAATTGGGTAAGGGCGCGTTTGGCGGAATTTTCTGTGGGGAGACGGAGTTCTTAAGAACAAGCCCTCTGCTTTTGGACTGTCTTGCAGAGAAGGAGAAGAAGGAAGGGGAAGAAGGGAGTTTTCATATTTATTGTAAAAGAAAATAGAGAAAATGAAGGGGAAAAAGAAATTTTAAATTATTTGTTTTTTCAATATTTTTGTTGGTGGTTCGTTTGGGTGGACTTTTGGTAGGAGATCGGACGGTCGGATGAGGGAACACGTGGATGTTTGGTGATGTTTTATTGTAAAATAATAGGTGTCAAGAAAATGAGAAGGAAAAGAAAATGAAAAAGAGATATTTTTGTCCACGTCACCAAACAACAGTAAACTACCTCCGGTCGCGCGAGTTTAATTAAACAATTGATTACAAAAATAATGGCATCAAACCAAACAACAATATTATCCAATGATTTGGTGACTCTTGTTTTCTTAATCCTCTTTTTAACGGGTATTCTATGCTTTCCTCCCTTTCAAATACATGACATTACCATATAAAAAATTCCGGATAAGATGTAAAAAAATAGTCAGTACTAATAACTCGCGAGTTGTTAATACAGGTTCCGTAGTGAATCATTATATCAATTCATTGATTGCAGTTTCCAAGGACGGAAACTCAACAACATATAGGTAGAGACCAGAAATCCGCATGCGTACATTTGAATGCTATTCGTATCCATGATCGAGTATCATGCAAATAATAAGAGATCAAATGTTACAGTGAAATTCGATCACTGGTCATAAGATAGAGAATTCGTCTCATGACTGGACATTATCGATCGCTTCATGAAAGAGAAAAGATCATAAAAATAATTACTCCACAATTCAATTATAACATATATTGTGCTTCGCATCCCCTATAAGACTATATCGATCTTTGATTATATATATTAACCCAAAATAATAATGTCGTCTATCATACTTTATTAGATTGAGTCTGGAATATTATAGACTTCCTTGCCGGCTGCTCTCTCTGTTTCCACCTCCCCACCCGTAAACTTATTAATGGTGGTTTTTTTTATTTCTTTTTTTGTGTGTGTAGAAAATGGTCCAAGCAATGGTTGAAAAAGTCGTAGATTTGAGATTGGAAGACTCTAATTATTAATTTATTTACTTCCTTAGAAATCTATTTTAATTTATTGATGAATACGTGCATCAGGTAGGAATTAGGATTAATAAATACGATGAGAAAATGATCGGCAGAAAGGGAGGATTGTGTTGTGGTGTCAAGTTGGGTTAATCCTGGCCGTCGTCTCTGGCTAGCTCCCAGACAAAAGGAAACAAAAGCAAAAAAAAAAAAAACTAAAAAGGAAATCCAGCAAGAGAAGAGTGGGAAATGGGAATTCAGAATCACAAACTTTTTTTTTTTTTGTCTTATGTCCGATATCCTTAATTAAATAACGATAAGACGTAAAGAAAAAAAAAGTTAGAAAATAGTACGTACTATATATTAATTTGAATGGAATTTCAAATGTTGGTATAGTAGAAAAAACGCGTAAGTATGATGTCACAATTGAGTATGGAGAGTTTGTAAAATCAGTAGAAGGTATTACTAGGGTAGGAGTGCGAGGGAGTGTGATTCGGAAAGTGGTGCGCTTGAGTCTTGATAATTAGTACGTTTCTCGTTATTATCGTAATTCTATGTATAAATTGTGCGAGTTGGATGTTTTTTATTTTGAGCTCTGTCTTGTTTAATTTATGTCGGCTTCTAGTTGCATCACCGTTATGGTTTTGTTTGGAAATTGTTCTTAGCGATGCAAGGGACAACATCTTTACATACATGCATGGCAGATCGTTATGTCTTGCCGTTTGTTTACCAATCCATTTCCTCCAGTCGGATGCGTGCTCAAGTTTGACAAGTAAAAAATCTGCAGATTTTGGATTGCTACTTTCCATGCATCAGAGGAATTAGTCTCTCTTCGATCCGGTATCATCTGCGCAACTACAACTTTAATAACAAAATCTGTCTTTCTTCTATCTAACCATATTTTTAAACACAAATTAAAGTGGATCAACCGATGTAAAATCAACTTATTGTTCAAAACAAAGTTTCAATTCCCTCCTTAATTAGCAACAATAAACAGTCAAAACTCACATATGGTCTGAGCTAGGGTTAGATCCACTAGACCGAACCACGAAGAGAGAAAAAAGAGGCTCGGGAACCCAAACTGGGAAGAAGCAGCAGCAGCAGAAGAAGGTGAAAACGGGGCGCTGCCTGCCTGCCTGCCGTCTCTTCTGCCAGCCAAAGTCATAAGACTGAAGGACGGACAGAACAGAAGTCCGACGCTGCAGAAGCAGCAGCAGACGCAATGAGCTAAGCCGAAGCTATAGATCAGAATTAGCAGAATATAGGGAGGGATCGGAACCAATGGCCAGCCAGCTGAGACAGCACAGAGAAGAGAAGGGACCATTATCAATTTTATCGTACATTAAATTAGAGAGGGTGGTGCTGCTGCTGCAGTGTGCCGACTGCCGAAGTCAGTACATTTATTTGTATCGGATGGAGCGCTACTGCTGCTTTTTCTGCTTCTGCTGCGGCTGCTAATTCAGTAAACGCCTGTGGCCACAACTGCGCCCGTGGATCTAGATATCCACTTTCTCACTACCACTGCTGCAATTAATCATCGGGAGAATGTCCACGTCCATCGGCCGGAAGATGAATTTCTTAGCGGATAGTCGTTTGATCCATTGGGTCGGCGCCATGATTTACGAGTTGTTACAGACATTGTCTATCCTGTTTCACTCTACTATTGCTCATTAATTTACTACTTGTATGACTCTCTCAACGATTTTATTGTACGTTTTTATTAATCATCGGGAGGTAATGGTGCGTGGTGCGTTACACCCTTTCAAAAAAAAAAAAAAATCTCCTGTATTAATAAAAAGGGTTATAGGTATAATATGCCCCTTTAGCCTCTACTATGTAGTTTTATCAAACATGCCCATTTACTATTTTTTACATCAAATATGCCTTTGTACTTTGGAAAAATTATCAAACGTGCCCTTCTGTTAAAATTTCATTAAAAAAATCGTCAACCATGGTTGAACCGAGATGTAGACGACCTGACATGGACAAATGAGAGGAAAAATGTTAGTTTCGTCCCCCATTTTATTTTTCTAGGTCTCGTTAAAGTGAAATTATTAGAGGTAATTTGGCTCTACAAAAGAACCCAAAAAATTCTAAAGTGAAATTACCAGGGATATTTTAGACATTTGTGTCGCCCAAACTAAGGTACCACCGTGGTTGACTGTTTTTGGATGAAAATAGTATTATACCTATATACCTAATAAAAAAAAGATAATAATCAGGGTGTCTTTCGGCAAACGCCACAAAAAAGGTTCCGTCGGGGTTAATAATATCCACCCGTCCGACAGCAACAACCATCGCCATTTGGCCTCTACCCGTTTGTTCTCTTCCTCGTGGCCTGGCCGGCGGTCCCCTCCCCTCCTCCCCCGTCGCCACGCGTCGCCTCCACGTTTCATGGACCACTCGGAAAGCGACGTGGCGAATCCGAAAAATGGGCCTTTCTCTGTGGGCTGAGCGGGACATAATTTTCTTTTTTTTCGCAACAACTCGCAGATGGCCTCGATGACATACCACTGCACTCCCCTGCGCCACACCGCAGGGGACCACTCCCCCTCCATCTCTCTCTCTTTTTTCGATGGTCCCCCACCCTCCCACTGTTCATCCCTCGTCTTGCGGGCTTCGGAATGTTGTGGGCCCATCCTGGGAAGTGGGCTCCATGGGGGGAAATGAAGGAAGAGGATAACTCTGAGAGGAATAGTTCGCGTACGGCCCAATTTACTGTAGCGAGAGAGGGTCTGTAATGGGCTTTTCCCAAAACCTTATCCTTTTGTGTTTTGTGGGCAGCAAACGGCGTATTTATGGATGGCCATGTCCGGCGAGATCTTTTGGTAGGTGGGTGCGTCATGTCGACTGTTCGATCGAGGTCGACTCGTTTTCCATATGTAAGGTCGGTGAGAAAATAAGAGTGCTGCCAATGAGAGTGAGGTCTTTGGCATGTCGAAAGACCAAAAAAAATGGTGTTGAAAAAGGAATGTGGATAGAGAGATAACGGTAGTATGAGTAAGGCAAAGTAAAGATGAAGTATTTTTCCGGATAAAATGAGTTGAGAATGAGGGTAACGAGATGGTGGGGCATGAGAAGAAGGAAGAGGATCATGCTTTTACAATACCGATGAAATACGAGATGATTAACGTATGTTAGTCGTAAGCCGTAACCAAATGAGCCGAGTCAAGGACAGACGAGTCATCAGGACGAATTCCTCGTTCATACTGGTGTCTGTGGCCTTTGCATCTCGAGGAGTTGTCAGAGCACAAGAGGTGCAAACACACGTAAATATCCACTATAGAAATTTCCAAAACTGGATGTGTTCGTCTGTGAAAGTTCATGACTTTTTATGAATAACGTACTTGACATTCTAAGTGATAACGCCGGCGTCGAGCTAGCTAACATCTAGATTGAATATAGGAGGTAGCAGTCTGAATTATTGAATACATATATGTATTTGCTACTACGACTACTCATAAATAGATGATAACGTCCACCACACAATTTACCTGGGGATCGTGTGGATGAGGATTCTAACGAATCAAATGTGATACAATTGATCCGTTTTGAGACAATTGGACCAAACTGACCCATTTCGCCTCGTAAAATTTGGATGGTGCAATTTGTCCTGAGAAATTTCGAATTATCTCAAGACAACTAGGATGGGACAGGTAATTCAAATTGATTAGTTTTGTAAAATAAAACAATTAATCAAATCGTTCAGTTTTTCAAATAATTCATCCAAACCACCCTTAGTTCAGAACAATTCACTTAATTTCCAAAAGGTGACTATATTATGAGATCTAGCCTTTTTTTTTTAATATCTGGGTTTAAAAGGGAAGAAAAGGACTTGAAAAAAGTCGAAAATAAAAAGGGAACCCAATACCTTTTTCCCCACGAAAACGACATCGCTTGGAACAGGTCCCTACATTCATCGACCCATTATGGAGGCCAGGGAGCATATGCCAATCGGCCTAACTTTCACAGAATGTGCGGCCTCCCCCGAAAGTCCAAAGAAGGAACACATCAATCCCCCATATACTGTTGCTCATCACGCCTTGGGAGAGAAACGTGAGAGCGAAGGCAACTTCAATACAGAGCCAAAATGGCAGGACCACGGACGAGATCAGACCAAAGTAATGATATGACAGTAGTGAACGAGCTAATAATATATCCAACTAAGGTAAAGATGGAGAAAGGGATGGCTTTGTGACTCGGAGCTCCCCACAGTCGCTGATGAACACGGTTTTCAGTGGCCGGTTCCAGCTCGAGCGCGCGTTCTGTGCCCTCTCGTCGCCCAGGAACTCGGCGAAGTCGTTGAACTGCCGGATCCTTTCTCCCGGTTTGTAAGTTGGGAGCGAAGATATCGCTGTCACGACGTCCAGACCTGCATCATCATTGTCATTAGGAACCATATTGCAAGTGTTAAGAAGTTTGAGTTTGAAAGATCAAACTTTTCATTAAGCATGGGGGAATAACAAGTGGTAAGAATCCATCCAAGATCATCATTCATTGGTATTTGCAGCAATCACAAGCAAAAACCACAAACAAATGGCCTTTCCCAATTGTGTGATTGAATTGGTTCCCAATTATATGGATCTAATACCCTTCCATTGTACGCTCCATCAAACGAAAGTCTATTCATCCCAATACCACATGAAGAACCACTACATTCTGATAGTTGACAAGAAGTGAAGAACCACTTCATTCTGATAGTTGACAAGAAGTGAAACGATTTGGAATTACAGCTGCATACTATAAAAACTAGGTCCATTCAAGAACCTATGCCCAAACAAGACAGCACTACCTAGGGTTGAATACTTTAGCCTTTGTGTCAGGATTACTACTCACTAGCTGGTCTCACTCAAAGAGGAGATATCAGAAACAATCCTGAAAGGAGGAATAAAGATTCCCCCATAGCCAGACGCGGAACATTGACAAATTAGGCACTAGAGATTAGGATTCATATACTATTCTTAAGCAGGCTCATGTAGTCATGTAAAAAAGTTGGCGAACCCACCTCTGGAGCCAATAGAGAGGTCAATCATTGAGTTCACTTGCGTAAGCAACAAGATAAAAAGCAAAACAAAGTACCCTAGAACATATTGATCTCATTGGTGCTATGAATGAAAGAATAGAGTTCTAATAGCTGGTCATTCTTAGACAACCAGATAATCATCAGAAGTTAAAGGAGACTAGGTTAAGATAAAGCATCCACATTGTCCAAGTCTTATTCTGTCCTATATCAGGCGTGCTCAGCGAAAAAGGGGGGAATAGAAAGGGCGTGTATCTCAAGTTCTATCAGGATGTAAACCCATAGACAAATGAGAAAACGTGATGCAAAAGGTTGAGAGGAACATATGACTCTGCAGACGTTCTTGGCATCTATTCTCAGAATTCCACCATTTACAAAAAGGAGGCATCTTTATAATGATCGGTTGACAGCTGAATTGACCCCAGAAAGAAACAGCAGCTATATTATGATCCTAGTACACCAGAGCCAACTATCATGAACTGAAATTTAATCCATTTCACCTACTTCTGTCAGCAATTGAATGCATATTGCATATTTTCACAGACTCCTGATCCAAACCATGGCAATTGGCAATCACTGATTGCAACAACAATTTACAGATTCTAAGCCCTGGGTTATCATCCATTCACTAATCGAAATTGACCTCCCAATCCACTAACAATCTCACCACTAAAAACCTGACTCAGACAAAACGTCGAACACCTTACAGGCGAAACAAACCACACTAACCTTCAAGCACATGCCCGAAGACAATGTTCTTGCCATCTAATTCAGGGCAAGGACCGGGCCCCGTAGTGATCAAGAACTCGACATTCCTGTAATTCGGGTCCAGCTTCACATCATCCTCATCATCGTTCTCCGACAAGCACAGCGACAGAACACCTCCCTTCGAATGCGCGAGCCGAAACGCCTTGGGATCGACAGCCTCGACGTTCCTCGGCAAGTCAGCGGGGGGTCTGACCTCGCCCAATTCCCTCCTCCCCTGCCTTCCCGCGAGGAAGAATTGCCCCGGCAGGACTTTGTGAACTAAAGTGTTCTTGTAGGAGTATGAATTGACCATGGATTTGAAATTGGACACGGTGGTGGGGACCAAGTGGCCGTAGAGGCCGAGGACGAGGCGGCCGATGGGAAACGGCTCGGTACAGAGCGTGGCGACGGTGTCGGAGACGGTGCGGTCGGGTTTGTTGTAGGCCGGGCAGATGGAGAAGTCCATGAAGATCCTGTCGGTCACTGTGGTGTCCGGGGGCGGCGGCGGCGGAGGGGTGATGGTGGCGAGGGAGGTGGAGAGGAGGAGGGAGCGGCGGGTGAAGGCGGCGGAGGATGGGAGGAGGTGCGGCGGCGGAGGGGTGAGAGGGAAAGACATCGCGGCGGTGGTGAAGTGGTGGTGGGAAAGGCATTGTTTTGGATGTGGTGGCGGGAGATGAACCGATGGTTGGTTGGTAGTTGGAGATGGAGGGAAGGGAGAAGGCGGGGTCCACGTGTCTGGATAAAAGATGATGACGCAAACGAACTTCACCAAATCGACGTCGTTTAGAAATTTGATTTAGCACAAACTCTCTAATAAATTAGTCTAATACGATATACCATAGTTCTAAATCCTCAAAATAAAAGTAAATTTTGATTGATTTTTGTGTAAATTCATGCATTTTCCTATCTGTCATATTACAGTTAACATTGTTATTACATAAATTTGTCGACGAAAATGAAGAATATGAGATGTATGAAAGTAAATGTACTGAAAATAAAAATATAAAACGATTATTCGCATGCAAACATGCAATATAATTAAAATTACGCGATTAATAGATAACCTTGTATGAAAAATTTAGAATATATAAGCTTAATGCCATAACAAGGATAGTGGATTGGATAAATACTATTGTCGAGAATTTCGATTTCGAAGAGAGACAATAACATACGTCAATGGTGAAGCTAAGTGTAGTCCAGACTCGTACGACGATCACTACTCGTCGGCAGGAAACACGGTGACTTCCATCACGGGTTCCGCCGGAGAAACCAGCTGAAACAGACACACATCCCCGACTCGCAAACCATTCTCATCAACGAACCGCTTCCTACTCTTCACCGCCATGGAAATCGTCTTTGATCGACCACTCCTCTTAAGGTTCACATCCCATTGCTTCTTCTTCCCCTGCACCCGAAGCTTCACACTCTGCCATTCATCGTCAATGTGCTCTGCCACAAATACAGCCGGTATCATCTGCCGAAAATTGCAACAAACCCACAAAAAAAAAAAAATTTACTAACAAACGAACAAGAGCAAAGGTCTAGAACTGAGTTATAGCTCCCACTTACAAGCTGGCTGTCCCATCTAATCAAAGCACAAGTCATCAGGGTCAAGAAACAGGGGCGATTCGGCGGCTTCGACAGAATTGCTTCTTCTACTCCCTTCTTGCACTGCATCCAGTGCTTGGGAAGAATCCGATCGAACTGGGAACCTGTGACAATCCCGCTTTCTTTCACCAGATTCATCAATTTCTCCACCTCCCCTGTTTTTAAAAAACAGAGTGTTTTCAATTTCTGCAGTTTAGTAATTACAATGTCATAATAAAGCTGGATTGGAAACCCTTACCCTGCTCGCAGCGATCTTCTTCCTCTTCGTCGGAGCTTACACCTAGATTTGGTGAAATGGGTTGAGCTCCGGTGGAAGCTCTGCCTTTACCAATCGGCTGCCGGCCGCCGCCGCGACGAGGGTAATTGATGGAGCAGGTAGTGAGGTTGAAGATCTTGACGTGGAACTCCGAGCTGCCGAGATACTGAAACGTGAGGAAGAAGCCTACGGCGATCGAATAGTGTTCAATAAATCGATCCCAGTTCTTGGTAAACCAGGCCTTCCGAATCCGACCGTCGGTTGCTTTCTTGACGCCGATCTTCCAGACGGCGCCGTTCGGTAGTTTGAGAGTGGCAGTAGAAGAGAGTTGAATCCCGTACATCACCACAAACTTCAGGGGCAGACTCTGGGAACCACCAAATCCAAATATGGGTTTCAGAGACATAAAAAAAAAAAAGATTTCTACTTTGTAAGATCTGCCAAAAAAAAAAGCAAATGAAGAATGGAGAGTTCTGTTTCGGAGAAATCTGACTCACCATTTTCTTTTGGTAGGGAATGGTTGGGAGGATGACTCGGAAGAAACCAGCAGATTGACGGTTAACTTCGGCAGCAGCAGCCATTGTTGTGTAAAACTCTGGAAGAAGAAGGGTTTTCACTTACCGGAAAGCAAAGACTGATTTTTCACTCTTGCTCTGAACTAGAGTGTTGGATATAAAGACGCTCTGTTTTTTTTTTTTTTTGTCTTGTTTTGCAGCTCTGTATATCAGTGCATTTCCTTCTTCAGCTTACAGAGATACTAATCCCAATTTGGGAAAGTCTCAGTGCTGCTTTATCAACATTTTAGAAAGGTTATCTTTGCCAGGGAGAGGCAGAGATGGAAGACGAGAAATATGGTAATGGTACAGATATCAAGGGCTTGGCTTTCTTTTGTCCTCTGTTTTTTTTCCTCTTCTTCCTCTAGTCTAAGACCTCGTCTCCCATCGCCCAAATACTTTTCGGGTTTTTGCGTGCATATGATGAACAATTAGTCTTCGACGCTACGATATTACTTTACACCTGTCCCTAACACAATGCCGAACCTTGGCGGCCGCCACATTAAGTGACGCCGTCGGCACGGTAAACTCCGGGGCCGCCGCCCTTCGGCCCAGGTGAGAGCGGAAATGCCTCCGGGAACACCTTAGCGGCGGTGAGGATCGAACCCGTGACCTATTGGTCACTGGCCCTCCTCTCCTACCACTAGGCTATGTCACCATTGGCAACACAATGCCGAACCTATCCGTTCCTTTTCAATGTTAAAGGTGTTGGCTTTGTACTTTCGAGTCTGGATATAGAGTTTGAACTGCTCAAGGTTTTATGGACATGGTGATGGTTTACAGGGTTGTTTGTTAGTCACTCGGTTTAAAGTTTAAACCTGATTTCATCGTTGATTATCATGTACCGTCTAATCCCGTTAAGTTTGTTTTAGGTGATTGTCAATTATATTCATTGATCGTTAGATAAGGGGCGGACCCAAAGCTCAACGGGTGTATAGGGTTGTCCCGGACGCTCCTAAATTAGGGGAGAAAATTAACGAACTTCCGGTAGTAGTTTGAGTATGAGCAAAAATAAAATGATAATAGCCTATGTGATTCAAACGTGTGACACTTTAATGAATATTTTTATTCTATTAGACTACAATTCATCTGTTGTTATAATTTTAACATAAACATAGTTATAAACAACTATCGCTTATTTCCAATCTTTGCAAAACCTACAAATAAACCTCATTCCACTTACGTGATACCTTTTATCCCTACCCTATTCTATCATACAACCAACAGCTTTGAGCTTTCGACCACATTCCACTAAGAATCCAGTCATCCAGTCCACCACTCCTCCAAAAATCCGACGGGCTGACCTTGATCTACGACAGGTGATGACTGAATCGTATAGGCGATCAATTTTATGAATATGATTGTTTAGTAGAATATATTGAAAAAGATTTATTAAGTATTATACACTATGAGTATTTTACAATTTTTTTATAATAAGAAAACATGTCGTGGACTTTATTGATAGGTCGAACTTTCATTCCTTCCTTCCCATTTATGCAATTTACAATAGCATATAGAATTCAAAGAGAACTTAATCTAAATAGAAGGACTTCTATCACTTGAACATTGTAAGCACAAGATCAACAAGAAATAAGTAATCGGTATTTTGGATGTGATTGAATCTAGGCCGGCGAGAAAATTGAAGAACCATGTTTTTTTTCCCGGCGATGAAATCAATAGCCAATGCTTCCTCTTTATTCCCATTTGCTCTGCCTCAAAACAGAGTTAGTAACTCGTCACAGTAAATCGATGGCCAATGGATGGGAATGATCGAACAAAGAGCCATGCTTTATCATTCCATTTTCGCCGGCGCCGGCGCCGTCGCCATCATCATAATCAGCGCGACGGCGCAAGATTATGCAAACTGCAGCCGGCAGTTCGACTGCGGCGGCTTCCGAATCAGTTACCCTTTCTCGGGGCTCTACCGCCCTGCCTACTGCGGCCTCCCGGCGTTCAATCTCGATTGCAAATTAGGCGTGATTCCGACGATCGTCATCTCCGACCGGCTTCACCAGATTCTCGGATTCGACGAACGGTTGCGGACCCTCACCGTTCTCCGGGTCGCTTACACGGAGTTCCTCTGCCCCACCGCCGATCTCCGGAACACCACCTTGGATCCGCGTTTGTTCAGTTTCACGCCGGACACTCAATTCGTGGCGCTCTACTACGATTGCCCGCCGCCGGCGACCAGCATTCGACTCCCGATGAGCTTGGGGCGGCTCAATTGCAGCGGCGGTAAAACAGGGGATTACTTTCTGCTCAGCGAGGACCTGGTCGGGGGATTTCAGGATTCGGTCAGGAATTGGTTGGGATCCTGCGGCAATCGAATTACGGTCCCTGCGAATCCAACCCAGGTGGGGAGCTTGTTGCCGACGGCGGAGAGGTTGACGGCGGTGATTTCCCGAGGTTTTGGGCTGCAGTGGACGGGAGAGTTTGACGGTGATTGCGTAAATTGTAGGAATTCCGGTGGGGAGTGCGGTTTCAATTTCGGGGAGATGAGGACGCGTTCGTTGTCGTTCGCTTGCTATTGCTCTAATCACGCTTACGGCGCCGAATGTTTGGACCTTAGTACTGCTTCGCCGCCGGCGAAACAGGTCGATGAAACCGGTACGATCTTTGCCTTTAGTCTTGTTTTTTTTTCCCCAAGAGAAAATTACACATCATGATCCTATAGGAATCCTCCCAAAACAATTTATAATGCATAAACTAGATTTTGCTCTGAAGTTCATGAAGGGAAGAACAGGGTCCTGCTGAAAATGTTGCTCCCAATTGCTATCTTCATTACTCTGTTCGTTGTTGTCATCGCTCTCTTTCGCTACATCTGGAGCAGAACATTGCGGAATCAAGATCGGAAAAGCTTCTCTCTCCATCTGAAACCACCAGAGTTCATCATCAAACATCAACGAGCCAAATGTTCACCATTCGGCGGCGGCGGAAACGTCGAGTCTCCTCCGAGCCTCCAAGCATTCACCTTCTCCGAAATCAAAGCAGCAACCAACGACTTCTCCGATGATAACTTGCTTGGGTCTGGCGGGTTCGGCCCTGTCTACAAGGTCAGTAAGCTTTCTTCAGGAATTTCCTGAAACCAGCCATCAGATTTCAGTATAGTTTCAGAAGCTCTAACTCTTTTCTTTTTCGTTCCAAGTGCGTGTTTCCCGGAGGCGAGAAAATGGCGGTGAAGCGACTCTCGAAATCGTCGACTCAGGGGCTCCGGGAGTTCACGAACGAGGTTTCGCTCACCGCGAGGCTTCAACACGTGAATCTGGTCAGGGTTGTAGGTTTCTGCACCGAGAGTGATGAAAAGATGTTGGTCTACGAGTTCATGCCGAACAGAAGCTTGGACATTTACCTCTTTGGTAAAATCTTCTCACTTTTTTTTTTGTACATTGTCACTGTTAGTTAAGCTAGCTGGCAGATGAATGAATGGATTTCATCTCTTGTCTGGACTAGATCCGATAAAAAGGTTGAGCTTGGACTGGAGCACTAGGGTTAGGATTATCGAAGGAGTGGCTCAAGGACTTTTGTACCTCCAGGAGTACTCCAACTTCACCATCATTCATAGAGATATAAAGGCCAACAATGTTCTTCTCGACAATGGAATGAACCCGAAAATTTCGGATTTCGGGATGGCAAAATTGTTCAGTAAAGATCTATATGAAGCTCACACCAACAAAATTGTCGGAACCTAGTAAGTCATAAGCATAACCCTATACATAATTGTTATTGAGAATAGTTACTAATGATTTCTCTCGATTGCGAATGCAATGTTGATGCCTTGTACAATCTTATACAGTGGATTTGTTCCTCCAGAATATGTGAAGAATGGGATATACTCGATAAAGTATGATGTCTACAGCTTTGGAGTTTTGCTTCTACAAATTATTAGCAGTAAAAGGAACCAACATTACTATGGCCCAAATGAGGACATGCACCTTTTAGACCATGTAATGATTCCACTTGTTTCTTCTTCCTATTCAACAAAGCTTGAGATATTGTAATTTCTTACTTGTGATTTCATCGTAGGCTTATGACTCATGGAGAAGAGGGGAAGGCGTGGAGTTTTGCGACTCCTCATTGGATGATTCATCTTCGCACTATAAATTGATGACATGTTTGCAAGTAGCATTGTTGTGCGTTCAGGAAGATCCAGACGACAGACCAACAATGTTGGAAGTATCATTTATTTTGAGAAAGGATGATTTAGGTAAGACTGCCCCAAAAACACCTGCATTTTCAACGAGAAGGGAAACAATATATACCATGAATTCAAGATCCCAACAAAAAATTTGGTCATACAATGATGCTGACATCTCTCAAGTCGAACCTCGGTGACACACATATGCAAAGTGTATATCGGGGCTTGAAAATAGTATTAATTAATCGTTAGAATAACTTGTATAAACTTGACCATTATCCAATATGATGCGATATATTTTCATCACAAGGAAGAATACTAGTGAGATGCTAATGGAATGATTGAATCGAGAGGTGAACGAATAGAATTGAAACCCTCATAATTCCCCATTTTAAACTTCATCGATTGTCTGCGTCTGCGATGAAAACAATAATTGTATTCACTTTGCTCCAATAATTCAAAGGCAAAATCATTCGAAGTTAAAATTCATCGATCAAACATGAGAAAATCACACGACCATGGATCATCAATAAGGAATCATAACAACACCAACAAAAAGAGACCATGATAGTTTGCTTCACCTCACTCATCTAAGGCATCATGCGACGAAAAAGCTACACTAAATAACTTCTCAATTATGAACTCACCACTCACTACCTAAATCGATGACCCACCCAATTCTCCCACAATCACAGCGTTGAAAATTTTGAAAGACTAATGAACAAACCTCTTTAGAGAATGTTTGATCTCGGATTCGGTTTCACGATCACTGGATAAATCTTGTATATCGTTTGGCATTTGCATCATCTGGAGAAAATGTACAAGAAAATCTTAAGGCTCGTCAAATTTTGCTAGCCAAAAAATTCACTAGTACCTAACAATAATTCGTGCACAAATCTGAGTTCATACAACGATGAAAAAAATTACACTTTTAATTTGATGTTATGAATGCGATGACATGGATCTCATGACATGTACATTAATATTCTACTAAGAAACACATAACATATCCAGAATCCAACCACCTAAAATAAAAAAATAAAAAGAATACCCATTTCACTCTAATCTCAACTTAAAACGTAACACTTTAATTCTAATCCTCAATCAGAAATTTTGTGCCCATTTTATCGCCGCCGCCGCCGGCGGCCCTCTTATTGGTTCTCTCGACCCAATGAGCCAAAGACAACCTTCCCCGGTGGTTCATCAACTTCGCCGCCGCTTTCTTGTCCCCCGGAAATGTCACCGACCTCCTCAAACAAGCGCTACCAATGTTGCCATCACCATTACCACCACCACCACCACTACTACTAGAAGAAGAAGAAGAAGAATGTTTAAGGCTAGATGACCTCTTCAACTTGTGAAGTGCACAATCGCAGAACCGATGGTACGGCCTCCTCTCCTTCTCCATGTCGAAGATCGAGATGCAAGCGTCGAACACCAAGCCGAACGATTCAGACATGACAACAACGCAGTCTGAACGATTCAGATATAATTACGACAATCAGCTGTACTGCCTCGATCTCTCTCTCTCTCTCTCTCTCGTGGGTTCGAATACGATCTCGAGCTTTGATTGATGATACGAATGTGGTGGAAGATTAGTGATGATGAGCTGATGATTATATATGATTGTGTGTGTGCTTTGAGGAGATTTAATTAAGGAAGTGTGGAGTAAACACTAAACAAACGAAGCAAAACTTCTACGTACGTTGCCACAAAAACGACGAGCACGAAAGAAGTAAACGACGAAATTTCGTTCGCCGGTTTTGGAATATGCCCCCGTCGTAGTAGTGAATTTGTAGTAATTCCAGGATGAAATCTGCTTGTCTTTTACGGTTTTGGCCAACGTTTTTACTGTGGGGATCTTTGCCTGCCACGGTTAGATCGATGTTGACATACGACAAGGCAATTTGGTCGTTTAGTAATTTTTTTTAATTTTTTTCCCCTACCCAATTTCTACGTACCGTACGTAGTTGTGTAGTAATTATGGCTGTTGATACCGTACGTGATAGTTTACTCGGATAACTTTGTTTCTCTTTCACGTTTCCAATTTTTAAAAATGATATATTACAACATTGGCAATAGATAACCGACGTAATACGATTGAAAACTTAGAAGTACTAATTTATTGATAATACCACTACTTTTCAAATCCGAAGGTCGTAGGTTTGATTTTTTTTAAATAGTACCAAAACCATAAAAAACATACCTATAAAAAAAATGATGATAACCAACCTCTTCACAAAAAAAAAAATGAAGTATGTAACTCGAACTGTAATAAGAATATTAGTGTGTCCATGAATCAAGCACTCTCGATTAGACGCGTTCTAATTTTTTATTATCAATTACGTACTTGTTATATGTAATTATCCCTTTTCCTCCCGAGGAGTCCTAGGTACACACTTACACTCGCATAGTTATATGTCTGATTTTGAGTGAATCATATGCAAAATTGTCATTTAACTCGTTCCGAACTTTTTGAGTATGCCAACAAAAAATATATAAAATCAAACATAAAATATTTGTAAGGTCAAATAGTATCAAACTTTAACTTTTGGACCGGATAGGGATTTGGTTTGGGTCCAATGTGAGCCCATACAAAACCAAAGGAGTAAACTCTTCTGAACTGTTATTAAGGCCCATTTTATACAATAAGCAGAACTCAACTGCTAGACTTTGCGTAATTTTGCGGCAGCTCGTAATTTTGGTTATAGACAGACAGCTAGGCCCAAAGGCCCGTAATCACCAAACTCTTTTAATCAAGCGCAAATCCCAACAAAGAATGAAATATTTCTCCAATTCATAACCAAGAAATCGAAAAGTTCTCCCCTCCCTCACTAGTTCAATTTCTATGTATGTATATATCATCTCTGAAAAATTCGATGGTCTCTCTAATTTCACATCGTTCATGGCCCACTCACGAGAAGTACCAATGAAGATTGAACGTGAATTAACTCGACCACTAGACGAGGCTGACATGATCAAAGATCCTCTCGCCTTCTTTGAAAGCGATAGGTTCCTCTCCGAACACCATATGCCGGAACCTTTACCTTCTTTCGACTTGTGAAGTGCACACTCGCAGTTCCGATGGTATGGCCTCTTCTCAATCACCGTATCGTGGATCGACAAGCTCCCTTGCAACGCACACTGAACCACCATGCTCACTATCGAGTCAGCCATCGATGCTATCAATCAACCAAATGTTCTTACCCTGAGCAAATCAAAACAAGATCTTACCGATCACCTAATGGTTACTGTCTCTGGTTTATATAAGTACTTTTTGTATTCACTTTTGTTTTTTTTTCTTGAGGTAATGCATTCGGCTGTGACAAGTACAAGTGGAATGTGCAATTTCATAGTCTTCACCGGCAAAAAGGATTCTAGAACGAATTCCACATTTACCCACCGCTTTTAATATAAAACGAAAAGTACAACTGTACGAGGGATATGAATGGAAAGAAGGAAATTCGGATATAATTTTATTAAAGATATAAATGAAAAGAAAGAGACTCGAATATAAAAATAAAAATCACAACAATCTTAACTTCTAGCTGAGACGGTAAAATACTTATTTTTTATTGATAATTTAAGATGAGACCTATACAAAACAATATATGCATTGTTTCTCAGAGTTTGAAACTTCCTAACGCATGTATTGATGATAATTTAAGATGAGACCTATACAAAACAATATATGCATTGTTTCTCAGAGTTTGAAACTTCCTAATGCATGTATTGATGTAAGCGGTGAATACAAACTTTTAGAAACAGAACTTTCAAACCGATTTTGATTTCTCCTTCTCACGAACTCTTTTGAGCATGGAGTTGCTTTTGGGTACTTGAGTTGCAATTGCGAAAGCTTCAAGCATGAATAACAAGACTTCATGCGAAATTCAATTTTTGAGGTTGAAATTTTGTATAGACCCGCCTTAAATTTCACTTAAATCAATCATTAATATAAATATTATAGGGATTCAATCACAAGATCTTTCAATCATAACATATTTGATATCATGTCGATATCCCCAATGAATTATGCATGGTTATTTACCACAAAATTATGGTTATTTATCACAAGATTATTGACATGATCCATTCTCATCTTCTTGGGGTAATACAAAAGGTTGAAATTTTAACAGAGAAATATATGTATAGAGGTTAATAATATATGAGGATCAACCTACAACGAAACAATACATGAGAGTATTACAGTACATGTAGAGGTTAATGAAATTGATAAAAATGCATTCATTAAACAAAAAAAAAAAACACAAAATGGTAAATCTTCTCCATAAAAAATGGTAAACCTTCCGACCTTTGATCTCCCCTTTGTCCCTCTCTCACTACTAAATTTCTATGTATATATCATCTCTGGAAAATTCGGTTGTCTCTTTAATTTCATCTTGTTCAAGATTCACCGACGAGAAGTACCAACGAAAACCATACATGAATTAACTCGATCAGCAGACGAGGCCGACATGGTCAAAGATCCTCTCGCCTTCTTCGGAAACGATAGGTTCCTCTCCGAGCACCATACGCCAGAAAATTTACTATCTTTCAGCTTATGAAGTGCACACTCGCAGTTACGGTGGTACGGCCTCCTCTCGACCACCGTGTCGTGGATCGATAAGCTCCCTTGCAATGCACACTGAACCACCATGCTCGCTATGGAGTCGGCCATCGATACTATCAATTAACCAATCTTCGCTTACCCCTAAGCAAATCCAAACAAGATGAAACTCGGGGCTGACTCTGGTTTATGTTAAAGTGTGGGGGTTTGATGATGGAAAGGGTGGTTTTGCGCCACACTTCCGAATGACTTATATACAAGTATACAGCGAAAGTAGCTATGGAAAACTATGGCAAAAGAGAGTTGTTCTGCAAATTCTATGGTACAAGTTTGGACTGATTGTTCCCACCAAACCAATAACAGTGGAGGTGATATTTAGACCCTTTTTAAGTTTGTTGTTTTTGTTTTCACACTTGGGCTTTTCCTTGAGATGCTACATTTGGTTATGACAAGTACAAGTGAAATATGCAATTCATAGCCTTCACCGACAAAAGGATTCTATAAAGAATTCTGGTTTTGCTTCATTGGAGGTGCTTTATTTCGTTGTAATGAGAGCGAACCATTCCATAGTTCCTATCAAGGTTGTCAATCCGCGAGTTGACCTATGGGTCGACCCACTTTGACCCTGTCCCGTAAGAAAAATGGGTCGCACGCACCCGTCGGGTCGACCGCTACAAGGTACAGAGTTGTAGATCAAATTATGTCATTTTTTTCTTTGATTTGCGAAATGCGCCTATTTTTCGATTTTTCTTTTCGCCTAACTCAATCTTTGAAATTCTAAATTGAACATTTGAATATTGATGTTATATAAGTGTGTGTGAATTTGACTATATATTGGATCTAAGTACGACATAATATTTTGGTGGAATATTATATGTTATAACTCATATGTTAGATGAGATTTGATATAATTTTTCAGGATAAGTACAATATAATGACTCTTTCCATATTTTTGAGCTAAACCGGGCTAAACCGGGTGACCCATTAACCCTTGACCCACAAGTTTGACCGGGTCTGGGTCAGCCCGCGGGTTGACAACGTTGGTTCTCATAAAAAGTGCCTAAGTAAAGCCATTTTTGGACCTTTTTAATAGTTAGGATTTAGGGCGGTGGACTCTCATTCTATGGCCTCGAGATTTGAGATCAACATCTGTTTGGCGGATACAAGAGATATGTGTTTGTTGGGCGGATCAAGAGAGATTCACGCTTCTGTTTGACGGATCAAGAGTGATTTTCATTTGGTAAATCCTTGTGTCGAGCAAAGTGTGTTATATAAGGTGTGTGGTCGTTGAGGGAGAACACATAGTTCGAGATCCTAGTCTTGAGGAGAGAATTAGTATGGTATAATCCAAGTACCACATCGAAATACAAGGAAATGAATCATTATATCAAAATGTTTGAAGAACTCATTAGTACGAGGCCTCTTAATAAACCACCAAAAATAAATCCGTAAGGGTTTGGCCTAAAGCGGACAATACCGTACTAATAAAGCTACCATATTTCAGTAGTAATGAATCACTATAGTGTAAATACATGTATTGTTAAATGCAACTTTCACTATTGGGTTTTTTGTTGTAAAATTCTTATTTTTTTTTTTTGTTGGCTTTTAGGTGGGACCTATCCTAGGCGCCTACAGACCATCATTATAGTACGCCTGAATAATGGGGGGACGATTCTCCGCAGGACGTAAGTCCACGCTCTCCCCCGCACAAATCAGGCGGGCGCCGTCTTTCTCGGCCCGAGACAATGTCACGGGCGAGTTGAATTGATCAACGTTGCCCAACTCCCACCGCCTAAGAAAGGCGCCCCCACTCTCATAGAACGAATCTTGATACGCCTTCATAAAAAAGAAGCCGTTGAACCATTTACGGTTGAGCTTGGGGCATCGGTGCACGAAGTGATTTGGGCGCTTCTTCCGCTTCTGAAGGGATAAGCAGTTGTCGAGGGGCGCCATCTTGAAAAAATACCTGAACAGGTTGAAGGTGGGCTCCACGTTATTTTCCCGACACCTCAACCTGAAGAGGATCACGATGGTAATGACGGAGGGGGATAGGCGCCCCAACGAACAGCCGCACGTCGATAGAATCCCCTCCATGATGTGGTCGAGGGGGAAGTGCAGCCCAAATCGGAAGTACTCCTGGTACACCCCGATCCACTTGGGCCCGCAGACGCCCACCCGGGAGATAGGCGAAGGAGGGGCATACCACCAGTCCCGTGGCAGTTGCAAACTCGTGACAAGTTCGTGGACGCGTGCCAACGTGACCGTCGACTGATGATTTGGCCCGGCCACGTCGAAGGGCAGATGGGCCGTCTCCGTCGGTAGGTGGTCTGGGGGGAAGCACTTCTCCCAGGTTGTAATTTTGTAAGATCCATCCGCTGGCATAAATCCGGGCGCCGACGATGTGGATGGCCCGGCCGATGTCGATGCAGGCGCCTCCTCTAAACCAACAAACGATCCAGGCGCAACGGGGACGCGGGGTAAGTGGCGCCCTATCCTAAGTAACTAGAATTAACTAAGCAAAACCAAGGAAAGACAAAGGATTTCTTACCGCCTTGAGTCGGACGTCTTGGCCCGCCACCGACACCAGAGGCGCCTGCGCCTGAAGCACCAGCCGCACCTGCATCCTGGGCGCCTTGATCAGCAGTTTTGTCTTTTGGTGAGGACGACATGGTGGACGAATACGAGAGTCGAGGATGACGCACGAAGAGTCTGACAGGAGAGAGGACAGAGCGACACGTAGAGAGATGTCGGAGCAAAATCTAGAGAGAGGTCAAATGGAAGAAAGTGACAAGAGGGGAAGAAGGAGGAGGTATTTATAGGCAGCGACAAGTCCAGGTCAAGGGTCGCGCCAACACGCCACGTGTCAGTGTCACGGGCCGACTTTTGAGCTTCCCCCACTTTCCCCTCCCCGGAACTTTCGAAATTTCCCACTTCGAATTTTTCCAATCTTCGCATTCGAAATTTCGAATTTTCCCGCCACGTGAAAGGTGGGGTTCATTTCAAAACTCTCCCCGTGAGGGGGGCATAAGGGCAAGGGACGCCCGAACGTAGAATGCGATCAAAAGTCGCCCACGAGTCACGAAGAAGAAATTCATGTAGCAAGGGGCATCATTGAGAACGGGACGCCCACCAATGAAAGGAGGGGGCAACAGCGTCTCCGAGTCGGAAAGGAAGGCAGAGACGCAACACGGGCGCCCCACAACATGAGAAACACCGAAACCGCAGCCAGAGAGTCAGCTAGGCGCTCAAAGGTGAAACCATGAGCACCTAACTGGGGGGGCAATTGTTGGGGGTAGTACGAGTGGTCTTGGAAACTTGGGCTCCCAGAGTTAAGGAATTGGGGGGCAAGGCCTGAAAAGAAAGATCCACCAGAAGCCCTTGGGCCCAAATAGGGGGAAGGGCCCAAAGAATAAAACACTAAAAGCCAAATGGAGACCAGCTGTCCAGGGGACCACAGCCTGCGGGCGCCTGTCATGTGTCAGGAGCCTGGCAAGGCAGTTGGGTGCCTGGCGGGTGTCAGGAGCCTGACAAGGTGGTCGGGTGTCTCACAGAAGGGACACAGAGCATTAAATAAGGATAGTGACGTGGAGGAGATCAGCCTCGAGTTCGGTGAGTATAAATAGGGGCAGTCGGTAGCATTTATGCAGGTCGGACTCTCTCTCGATATAACACTACTTGAGAACTTTACTCTCCCACTGAGACTAACTTGGGCGTCGGAGGATTAACGGGCCGAGGCGCCCTCCTCTTTGTGTGTGTAGGTTGACGCCCGAAGACGTCCGGATAGCGAAGTGGGGTTCGTGGCTCAAACAGTGATGATCTCCAAAATGGACTTTTCAATGGAGTTGAATAGATAGTTCTTAGTTTTGAGATCTTTCAGCTCGAGATCATCCAAATTCTTGAAATCAATAATAGACAACCAAACCCCAAAAAGTGGTTCATGAAGCCGTCACTGACGACAGTCCAATACTCCCTTTATCTTGGGATATTTTCCATAAGTAGACTCCACTTATTAAAGTCCAATTTCACTTGTGCAAAGCTAGCATCGTCACTCATTTTTGCAAAGCATAACCAACCCTGGTAACGCAATAGTCTCACTCACCCTTTCAAACACAAATCCTCACAAAGTAATCCTGTGTTTCCCAAACCCAGATCCGGTAAATCAACACTCAATTTCACTCTTGATCAATCACTCAGAAACTTGCTAAAAACAAGAATGGTTACAGCTTGCTAATGCCATGATACCTAATGTAGAACACTTGTATTGCAATCTGACAACTTTTATTGGATGAAAACCAAGATACATATAGTTGTTGATGCAAGCCACAAACTTAGGGTGCTACCAACGTTCTATGATCCTTAAAACAAGCTAACACGATCTGCTAGCAACCTAACAAGCTGAAAACTCTCAACTAACCCTCCACACACAGGACTCAAATTCAACTAAACATAACTACTAGACTGACTCTGCAATACTCCAAACGAAGAAGTACTGTTTATTTGACAACAGCAACACGAGATGAACTCTGAAACTTGGCGCCCAATACTCTGGGAATTAATCACCGAACTACAGACGAGGTGTAGCACCGGCGCCTCCATCAGCTGGAACCCTCGCAGCAGCAGCAGCAGCAGCAGCCTCCCGGGCAGCCTGAGCGGCTTGAAGAAACCTCGGGACGTAGTATCCAGCAGCACCACCTCCACCTCCATGGGCCGGAGCAGCAGCATCACCATGGCCGGCGGCGACAGGCACTACTACAGCAGCTTGCCCCAACCGAGCCTCCGGCCTCAACCTCTCTCTCTCTTCCAGCTCTCTCTCCCTTCGCCTCTGCTTCTCCACCATTGTGGCCAGCATCTCTCTATGGCGAGCTAACTCTTCCTCTGCATCGAAGTTCCGGATTAGTCAGAAAACAGGAGTCCCGGAAACTAATCATCATAACCGTGGAAGATGACAGTAAAATAACAAGAGGGCATCAAACAAACAAACAAACGGAACCCAATACATCGCCGATCGCTGCTCACTATATCCCAGTTCATGATGATTTAATTCCCGAAATTCGACTAGATAAGACACTAAGCCACCACCTAGCTATATTTTCTACAGCTAGAATCCTCATGAATTCGGATGAAGGAATTGTGAAATAAGGCACAATGTACAGATCGGTGAACTATAAATCCACGAATAAAATCAAGGAAACGTAGACAAACAAACCTTCAGCACGCTTCTCCGATTCTCTGAAAGACGACATGATGGCGCAAGCAGAGCGGTGACGACGGTCGTTGTGGTGGCGAAGGCGGCGGCGGCAGCTGCTGTAGGGTTACTCGTACTCGATAGGGTGGACTCGAGGTGTGAGAAAAGTAAAATCGAAGGGATTTATAAGTTCTAACCCCCGACGCCTTTTCGTACCTGACGCCTACTCTCTTATCCTTTAAAAAGCCGTTCTTTTTGTTATAACTTTAAGTGACGCCTTACTTGTTTCCTCGTTTGATCGACGCCTTCTTTTCCTTGACGCCTAGTACGTAGATGACGCCTAGTACTATACAGTTAATGGTGAGCATCTCCCAACACTGGCAAAACACTCTTAGGATAGGTAAATTTACGAGAGAACCATTAGCTAGTTAATTGATTCTAGAATCGATATTATAATAGGAGACATGATCGAAGTGAATTTTTCTATTAGTTTAGGGTTTTGTAGTATAGTTTAGTTAGGAGTAGGACTAGTTTGTTATGTATATTTACTTTAGGTATCCGAAACCAGTTAAACCGGGGGAGGGGGATTCATCAGTTAAATCGTTTGGTTCATCCCTAACAATACAATCAAATGAACTGAACCACTATTGCAATTAGATTTTAGTGGTTCTATTGGCCAACCGTTTATCTGATCTGCTTCCTTAACAATGGTTAGGAGGTTAGCAGCTTGGAAAAAATGGGAGGAGAGGAGGGCTTTACCAAACCCGGCACAATAACAAGTTCCTTTAAAAATAAAATTGTAACATCAATTTGACCATACAAATTTTGCATACAAAAAATACCAATCTAGAACATACAAGCAAACCACAAATTTTCCATACAAATTGTTCAACATTAAAGATAAACATTCATAAACAACATAATTAATTGACAACTTCTTTCTCCTTTAGAACTTGAACAGTGTCATCTTAGCTTCAGTCTCCAAAACAAACTAAGCCAGTATAGCGATTGAAAATTTGGCATGTGTTCTTTGATAGCACACACAATGATAACACTCTAATTGCACATGTTTATTCGCTCACTTCTTGGGCGTTTAAGATTGATTCCTTGCATATTGAGCCAATTTTATGCTAGGTTGTGCACATATGCAATGTTTCAGGCCCTAGAGCGTGAATGGAGGCTTAGGAGCAAGTTTGGGGATAATTGGGCAATGTTCAAGACCTTGGAGGGTGAAGAACTGAGTTCCACGGTCTGGGCATCATGTTCCATGCGTGGAACACCAAATGAGCCCATGGATTGAGCAGAGGTAATTCCCCTATCTGAAGGTGCAATTTTGGCTATTCCCCTATCTGTGCTAGCATTCCACAGTCGTGGAATTGGACTTCAACCATGCAATAGGCCCGCAACAGGTATAAAGGGTCGTTTTATGCGTTTTTGGAGGGGGGAGCTGGATGTGGACCCCAAACACCCAAGAGACGAACCAAAGAGAGAGAGGGTGATTTGAGGGCGATCTTGGAAAGGAATTGGATGATTTCTATGTCTTGGCGGCTCGAGGAACAAGCCCATACATAAAGATTAAAGGTCTGGAAAGTTATAATGTACTCTCCCTCTCCTCTATAGTAGCTTCCCTTCACTTAGGTTTTGAAGAACCCTAGTTCCATGTGTTATCATCTTTGTTGTATGAACCTTCAACCTTTGGATGTTATAATGATTGGTTTTATTCAATTGAAGTATGTTGATTTAAGTCAATTGGATTTTGAACACATTCTCTTGATTTCTACTTTGATCCAGGATAGATAGAATCTTATTAGGTTGATAGAGCTCTTCGATTGGAAGTAGTATATCGAGTGTGCGAGAGTCAATATCGATTCATTACTCTGTACTGGAATTCATTCCACTAGTGGAGATTTTTGTTTATTGTCTTAGCATTTTATTGCATTGTACGTTAGTCGCTTGTCGGGTACTTTTCCTAAGAGGCTTAGTCGATTTAAGAGATTCCAAACTATTATTGGATCTTCCAAAATATAATCATCAGTAAAACAACTAAAATGAATTACAATTTGGACCTAATTGAGGATCTAGGGGAAATCATACCTAAATGAGTTCCCAACCTGTAATTAGTAGTTTAACCAATTTTAGCTTGTCGATTAGTTTAGTTAATTAAACCTTCATCTAATTTGCTAGATAATAAACTGAAGCTGAGTAATAGTAACTCTAGAGATCCGTGGATTCAATATTTATTACTTATGACCCTATACTATAGTCCTTTTTATTGTTTCCACTTACCTTTTGTTAGGAGGTGTGTTGTAGCGAATCAAGTTTTTGACGCCGTTGCTGGGGAACTTCTGGATTTTTAGGAAAGGCCTAGGTTTGTTACTTTAGCAATTTTCTTTTCTTTTCCACCCTTTCTTTTAACTTGAGTGTTTTGTTTTTGTTGGTGTATATCTGAAACATATGGATCCTCATGGCTTCTCCAACCATTGGGGGTATCCACCACTACCCGAGTGGTATTACCCCGAGACTTCCTGGTAAAATCAAGGAGGAGAAGACTACATATTTTCGTACTAATTTTCAACCACTAGCTATTTGACATCCGAATTACTATCCGTGAAACATCTCATACATTATTGGTTCGGTTTATTATCATTTCGGTAAATCGAAACGGTTGCCCACACCCAATTTATATGAAATAAATAGACACACATGCATCTTTTTGTGTTGTTGTTGAAAGATTGCCATCAAACGTCTAATTCATAATAAGAATCAAACGATCATGAGCAATGCCCATTGCATTGTGTACCATCCATCGACCAAGTTCGGGATCGCACACATTGAAGCGATGTGTGCCAAAATCAACAAAGTGACCCATATTGGCTAAGAAATCGACAGCAAAATTAGCCTCCCTATACACATGGTTAATCCTAACCTCCCACTCGCTACTAAGGAGGACATGAAACTGCCTAGCAAGGATTCCATAACGATGATCATCATCAAAACAGTTCATGGCGATGTTGATAGCAGCAGTGGAATCCAAGTTAAGTTGAAATTTTTCTAACCTCTTTCCCAAGCAATATGCAAACCTTCAGTTGCACCCTTGAGTTAAGCACTTATGATTGAGAAATTACCAAGGTTACAATCCCCAAGTGATCTCGCAGAAGTCATCCTGTAGCACCTATTCCAGATGGTGAGATGACCGATCAATCGGTTTGAATCTGAATCCATCCAGCCTCAGGTGGTTTCCAAAACACAGGATCATTTTGGTAGTGCCTTCTTGAATTGCAGCAATTGCCCTAGTCCTTTGTTTAGCTTACTTAAATATGTAAAGCCAATTATCCATTCTGCAATGAAGACTGGGCTCATTGTAAGTTCGTCCATCCATGACTTCCTCATTACGCTGCTTCTAGTGGTTCCAGCAAATGACTCTGAAATCGACCACTTTTCTTAGTGGAGAAGATTCAAGAGGAGCCATTCCTTGAAGGTGCTGTTGGCATTGGTCATGGACAGCTTGCAACAGAATTTCTCCCAGATTCTTTTTGCCTTGTCACAGGTTCGCATGATGTGTTCAATTGATTCATCACTGTCTCTACAATGATTGCAGTTGTTGTTGGTTGTGATGTTCCTTCTTGCACGTTCTTTGTTAGTAAAGAGTCGTCCGTGAAGGACAAGCCACAGAAAATGCTAAATCCTGTTGGGGCCTTTCCACCTCCAAGAGTGTTTTCCAAGTTCAATATTCTTCGTCCTCTTCCTCCAAATTACCAGCAAGGTTATCAATCGATCTTTTCCGCCCTTGCAATTTTGTTACCAATATCAAGGAGAATATCTTCATCAAAATAAGCAAGGGGAAGGCAAGGGAGACAAACCCAAATAGTTGATCTATTGATATTATCAAAGTCAAGATCGAAATTGAGTCTCCATGGCTCCGAGACGATGTAATGGTCCTCAATTTTCCGTGGACCGCCATAGAGTGTTCGATCGTGATCAAGCTGTGAGTCAAAGGTAGCATGGAAGTACCCATTTCCAATATCACCCACTATCAGTCCTCCCGTCTTTGCCCACATACGCTAGATCCTTCGTTGAATGAAGGTGAATGGGAAAGAGCACTCGAGGACTCTGAAAGTAATTGCACGTCTCCATCTGTTGCAGATTTTTGCATTAGTTCTCTTTTTTATCAGATAGTCGGACAATAGGGATCATCCTCAGCCTTTTTGTGTCTGATTCGCCGGACATTAGATCGTCTCCTTCTGGGATATCCAGTGGCGGATTGTTCCCTATAAATGGGTCTCTGTAGCTAGCTTTCCCTACTCCTACCTCCAGTGTCCCCTTTGTTGGCGATGCTAAATTTCCCTCCTCGGGCTCTTCCATACTCTGCATCTCTTCATTCGTCGCTCGAGCTATGACGACAGCGACATCCATCTCAATCTGCCCAAAAATCCCGTACTAGTGCTCGCCTTGAATTTCTTGCTTGGTTGCACCGACGAGGCGACTTGCGACCCGTCCGACGGCTTCATGCAGTGGTCTTCTCCCACAGTGGCGGCTGGACTCACAACGGTCATTTTTTCAAAAGATGAGAGAGTAGACCTGGCAATCGGGTCGGGTTAGGTAATTTGGGGTTGGAGTTTCAGGTTACGTGTCGGGTCATGCTAGGTTGGCTTATTTCGGGTTAAATATTGACCCAACCCATTCGGTTTTGGGTCCGGTTACTGGTCGTTTCGGGTTATGAGCGCTCTCGGAAACATTATCAAACATACATCATATTTTTTTTTAAAGAACACAAATCTTCACATATGCATAGCAATAGTTTACCTAACACATGTCAATTAACATATTCTCAAATCCTCTCATGCTAATGAAATGAAATACAAATTGCACAAATCGTCAAAAAACAATCACAAGAGTAATACTACTACAAGAAACACATGATATTTGATTATCCTTAAACTCCAAACATGTCTTTCAAATCCTTGTGAATTATTTTTTAAACATCTCACCAATTTATGAGGGATTTTATCATTTTGTGAGTTACATATGAAATGGAACGGGTCTAACGGGTCGACCCGCTAACCCACTCAACCCGACCCAAGAAATCATGTGTTATCGGGTTCAAGTCATTCAGATTTCGGGTCATAAAAAAATTATTTTTCGGGTGGGTCCGGCTCTGGTTGTAATTTGTCAGGTCTATGAAAGAGGTTAGAGCGATCCTCTCTCTACTTTCTCTCACCTTATTTTCGGTTCTAGAGCGGTACACATGCATCTTTCAAACTTCGTATTTTGCTTTTTTCCCATCATCAATTGGTAATTTTCTACATGAAGGGGAGAACTATTTGGTATCCCTTTACACTTCCAAAAATTGAGCTACAATTTACGCATCGGTGGTCATACTCATACATGTGTAAAGGACTACAAGAATTACCTTATATGTCTAAGAATGAACTTTCAATCAACGACTAGTAGCAATGATATCGTTGCTATTTGCTATATTATACAGAATCAATTAATGGTGGTCGAGATCATAGTGTGCTCCTTCCCGTGTAACGGGAAACTCTAAGGGGGGAATTTGGACTGCATTGTCCACTCCAAAAAAAAAAATTGTTTGATTTTCTTGAAAACTTCCGATCAAGAAATTGGCATTTATAGTTACTTTCACCGTTTAACCTTTTTCCCCAACTAATTAACGAGAAAGTGGGGCATGTTAGTTTCCAACGGTAATTAACTGTTTTTTTAACCAAACCTCATATTTCTTAGGTCTTAATTACCTTAGTTTGGAAAGGAGGGCATACATAGTTTTCACCTCTATTGAGTTCGTACTAACTTTTGCTAAGTGTGCCTCTTTTTTCCTAGTCTTGTGGAAGTAGGAATTAACGGCCTACATAGTTTTCAACGTTGCATGTGTATGGTTTCTAACTAAATGTCATTTAGCCTTTTGTTATACTAACAATAACAAATAGAAATCATGTCTCTAGCTAAACTATTTGTGACAAAGCTGACTGGTCATTAGCTCCGTCACTGCTTTAGTGTACGAGTCTTGGAACTAGTTGTAGTGTGTAGTTGTTGATCGCTTGCTAGCTAGAACATTGCAATCTTTCGTCGATTTACAATGTAATGCCCAAATGTAACTTCTAATACTTTATCTAAACAGACACTCAATAGAACATTGCAAACTTTTGTCGATTTAGAATTTGATGTCCAAATGTAACTTCTAATACTTTATCAAACAGGCACTCGATAGAACGTAGCAAACTTTTGTCGGTTTATAATTTGATGGATGACTGAAATGACCTCCAAACCATATCAAACTAGAAAACAATTCCAACAAAGCACAAACCCATGAATTCGACTAGTTTGTCTCTTAAAGTGACACAAAGTTTATCATTATCCTCATTCAGAGGTCTTGAGTTCAAAACATGTAATCGACACAATTCATGAATTTGGGGTAAGTAGTTTTGACGATCATATAGGTTATGATTTTGTACAAAAAGTTTTACTCTGTACGTTCATATAATAAGATTTACACTTTCACGACATTATAAAAAAGCTCATTTCCATTCATTTCTATCGATCCAAGATTCTGACAACTATTATTGAAAATCTTATCAATAAAAGACACAGAAATTTTGAAGATATGAACTTCTGATTTGTATTTGATGTAGGTACACAACTTACAAAAAAAACATTGGCTTTCAAGATAATCAACCTAAACGCATTGCTTGAGAAAGCAAAAATAAAAAAATAAAAAATTAGCAACCTCCTAATTAACTAGCTTGGCTTACTTCCCCTCTATTCTCTCAGCCCAATTCTCTTCGCTTCCACCAGATGACTCGCTAGCAACATGTGCCGACGAAGGATGGGAATGAATCGAGTTGTTGGACGAGACCGTCATGGTTAATGAACCACCTATTGTCTTCTTCGGAAAAGATACATTCCTCTGTGTAGACCAAATATGAGAACAGTTACCTTTCTGTTTGTGAAGAGCGCATTTACAGTTCTTATGGTACGGTCTCTTCTCTATCACCGTGTCATGAATTGATATGCTGGCTAAGCACCCGTCAAATGCACAATGAACCAATATGCTCGATATCGCGCTCGCCATCCTCCTCTTCCGCCCTCTTTCTTCCGACTGGCCGTTACTTCTTCCTGTCTGACTATGAGAGACAAATGTAATTAAAATCTTTGGTAAGTAGTTCTTCTTAATTTTCTAGATGAATGGATGCTTTCTGCACACTCTCTAAATGGTGTTTTATATAGAGAGGTAGTGAGTGAGGTGAGCTATAGTAGCTCCCAATTAGTGTCGGGAAACTCTAAGGAAAATTGGACCTATTGTTGTTGCCTCCAAAAGACCAAAACGTGGCTATTTCTCTAGAAAATTAACTTATTCACGTTATTGATTTTTGGCAGTTATATGCTCTGTGTTATTTATTTATTTATTTTTAACTCTTCAAGGGTTATGTTATGACTTCATTGGGTGTTTGTTTGGCTTTTTACTGCCTTAGTTATTTTCACCGCCGAACTTTTCCCCTTCAACTAACGAGAATCGAGGAATCTACTGCCACAGTTAGTTCTTAACTAACTTGGCAGTTGGCATGCTTTTCCCCCTTTATTCCCGTCGAGTAACGACATTACATAGTTCTCATCGTCCATATACATTTTCGTTAGGCACCATGATTCCTCTAAACTAAAGATTCTGGTTTGTCTTGGTCTATACTAAGTGTTCATTGATTACCAAAAGACAGTACTTTTAGTTTTACTTACCTCTTCGATATCGTAAGGCTGTTGGAGGTCGCACGCCGTCATGCTCGTTGAGCTTTCAACGTTGAAGGCGGCCGATGGAGGGCGCCATTGTGAAGGGACGAACCATAGAGAGAGACGATGAATGGAGAAAAGACTAGAAAAAATTTGTTAGGGTTTGGGGAGAGAGATATGGAAAGCCATAATTTAATGGGTAATAATTACATGCGGGTATTTTTTCCCGTTTTCCAAACTACCCCAAAGCAATCTTGATCATCAATTTTAAAAGAAGAAAACAAACGTGTAAAGTTAGATTATCACTGTGACAAGGTTGTCACCCTAACCCATTCCCCTACATAGTTCTCAACGTTGCATGCTTGTGGTTTCTAACTAAAATGTCATCAGCCTTTTGTTACTAACAATAACCAATTGAAATCATGTCACAAAGAGGTTATTTCCGTCCATCTTTATCGATCCAAAATTCTGACAACTAGTATGGACTATTGAGAATATTTTGTATTTAAAAGTCATGGTTTTCATGGTATAGTACTGTTCATTAAGCGGTCAAAACGCAAATAAACCGAAGTTTAGGGGCATTTGTCCGAAATGGTACACTTGGAAGGTTTTTAGTGGTTTCCTTCTATATTTGTCTATTTCTCTCCCTCCTTTTCTTTAACTCATGAATTCATCTTTTTCTCATTCACGGCTTCCACCCATGAAATTCTGTTATACATCGGCATTCAAGTAATAGTAGTTATTTTATTTTTGCATAAAGAATGCTATTTTGAAATCTGAAATCTCGTTGACCATCTAGTCCAATTTACTCTCTCTATTCATTGTCTGAATTCATCGTCTTCTCATTCACCATCTCATGTCCATTGAATGTTGTTTTGCAGCCGTATTCAAATCATTCAAATAATTACTATTCTTAATATAACTATTTTGGAAGATGAGACATCATTTATCATCGAGTCCAATTTACTATCACACCTCATAAATGTAATGTTTTAATGGTAGTTTGTTCAGTAGTTTCAACATGTCCTCCTCCAAAGCAAGCTTCTGGGCTCTGGCATATCTTGCATTATTAAAAGAGGAAAGAAAATTTTGAAGCAAATGAACTTCTGATTTGTATTTGACTGCGCAATCACACAACTTACAAGAAAGCATTGGCTTTCAAGTTACAACATCATCTTCATTATCAACCTACATGCATTGTTGCTGGAGAAAGGGAGAAAAAAATTCAGCAACCTCCTACCTAGCTAGCTTTACTTCCCCTCTATTATTCTCTCTGCACAATTCACTTACTCTTTGATTCCTGTCACCAGATGACTCGCTAGCAACATGTAACGACGAAGAATGGGAACGAATCGAGCTGTTGGATGAGACGGTCATGGCCAGTGAACCACCTCCCGTCTTCTTCGGAAACGACACGACGTTCCTCTGTGTAGACCGAGTATGAGAACAATTACCTTTTTGTTTGTGAAGCGCACATTTACAGTTCTTATGGTACGGTCTTTTCTCGATCACCGTATCATGAATCGATATGCTGACCGAACACCCGTCAAATGCACACTGAATCAACATGCTCGCTATCGCATTCGCCATCCTCCTCCTCCCTCTTTCTCTCAACTGACCGATCGATGTTACTTCTTCTCGTTAGAATATGAGTGAGAAAGAGAGAGAGAAAAATGTGAAATCTAACCTTTTGGTAAGTATTTCTTTCTTAATTTTCTTTTTGGTGTTTGATGGATCAATGGATGTGTTTTTGCCTACTCTCTAAAGGGTGTTTTATATAGCAAGAGTGATGTGAGCCATAGTGTAGCTCCCAAATGTCGGGAAACTCTAAGGAAAATTGGACCTATTGTTGTTGCCTCCAAAACGTGGCTATTTCTCTAGACAAGTAATAACTATTTAGCGTTATTGGTTTTTTTTGGCAGTTATGTTCTGTTTTGATTCTTCAAGGGTTTAATTTATGTTATGGCTTCATTGGCTGTTTGTTTGGCTTTTACTGCCTTAGTTATTTTCACCGTCGAAATTTTGGCCCTTTAACTAACGAGAAAACGAAGAATCTACTGCATAGTTTCCACCCCCCCGGCCGTTGTTTGTTCTTAACTAACTTGGCATACTGCTTCCCTTTATTCTAGTTGAGTAACGGCATTACATATATAGGTCTCATCACGACATAGGTTTTCTAATAACTAACTTCTCCAGCTTTCATCGTTAGCCACCATGATTTCACCAAACTAAAGATTCTCGTATTAGATTGTATACGTTTGGGCTTCTGTTATGTGTCTTGTCTGTAACCTTATTTTTTACAGGATTGGCGATTAGGGTTAAACTACATGGAGAAGTATTATATAGTAAATATACTTCTCAATCCCTCTATATAGTAAATCTCTGTGTTCGTTGCTTACTTTCTTGATATCGTTGTCTTTCATGCATTGTCGATTGTCCGGATCCGATTCTTGACAAAGCGTTTGATTACCAAGACAGTAGTTTTAGTTTCACTTACCTCTTCATGATCATGAGTGAGTCGATTTCTCGATCGCGATGAAAAGAACGTCATGTACGTTTTTTCATGAAAAATCCAGCAAATCACCTATCTGTTTGAGCTCAACCCATATATTTGCGAATCCTTTAATTAAACTCATCTCGAATGACACTCACATGCTGATCCAATTCATTTGTCACCTCTAGTCCCGAAACGATACAAACAAAGAAAAGCTAGTTTTCTGGCCGTTAAGTAACCATCTGACGGCCTTATAGGAGTGGACACAAAACAAAATGTTAAGAGACCAAGTTCGTTGTTTTATTGATAACTATGATACAAGATCGAAGCACAATTTTGTCTCTGGAGTTCCCTTTTCAGGACTTCGATGCAACATATATATGCTAATTAGCTCGTGACTATTGCGGGGGGCGTGGTCGTTGCTTTTACCGGTAGAGCATAGTTATAAGTTATAACTAACTACTTCTTCTGTTATTCATTGAAACTATTATTGTTCGTTACAAACTAGAGTCTAACGAATAAAACACAATGCTTCCTCTCCATTGGACAGTCTTTAATTTCTCCAAACAATGTCCAGTTATCATCGTTTTTATTACAAGAGTTAGGTAGTTGTTGGCTCAACCATAATAAAGATGATTGAAGACAGACAATCTAATCGATAATCCTAACTTTTTTCAGTGATACTGTGGTCTTGTACTACGAGAGGACTGGATTGGGCCAACCTATGGTGTACCGATTGTTATGCTAATAGCAGCGCCGGGCGGCCCATCTATGGACAAGATTCACGTAAAATCTCTAAGGAGTGTGCGCAATTACGAACCCATTCTATATATCGTTTAACTTAAGTGACCATATATGTAATTAAGCCGTTAGGTGTGCAACATGCAGATTTTTTCCTCGAACAAAATCTGCCAGATATGTGCAACAGCTGACACATGCAACTGTTGCAAACCTATGATCCTAATTTGTAATTTGATTGATTAAGAAACCGTTCGTCCCATACTATGAACTATCGGCCCAATCTGTAATGCCTGCCATGTTTGTTTGAGACTTTACTCTTGAATGTTTCCTTGCCAAAATTAGCCTGAAACCGTCCAAAAGAATTAATGATAAAGTTTACTAAATTCCACACACAAATTAACTTTTTTTTTGGATGAACATTGATGGACTCAGTCTGCAACCGGACCAAATTGGAATAACATTGCAATTTGTATCACATGCAAATGAAAAATTAGGATCAAAACTGAACCAAAAGCACGTTTGTTTCGACGTGGTCCTATCCGGATCCAAATCTAGTCCCCGTTGCTTTATATTTAACGACAATTTCTTATCTGTCCAATCTAATTTTCGATTCAACGATTTGGTATGATGCGAGTCGAGTTATTCCCAACCCAAAATTTCATTTTTTTCCCTCCTCTTTTCATTTATGAATTAGTTATTACTTGTTAGTTGAGAGTTTGAATAATTTTTATTTATGTTACAACTTCCAACTGTGAGGTGGGATATTATTTTGAGAAGAAAGGTGATGATGGGTCCATTAACAATGGAACTCTTCATGACCCTTTTCTAGTTAGTTTATTCCCCCCATGAGGCCCACGGCCCACCTGTGAGAACTGATCTGTTCTGTCCTCCCTTTTATTTTATTTTCTTTTAGTTTTGTTTTGTTTTGAATTAAAATATGATTAGATACAATCAAATTACCAAAATATGGTTTACGGTTGGACTGCCTTCTTTTCCTTTTGACTCTTCCTTACCCTTATTTTAAATAAAAACAAGCACATGCATCTTTCAAGCTTTGCTTTTTTTAAATTTTCCCCATCGTTATTTGTTAATTTTCTATAGGAAAGCAAGAACTATTTGCTAGCTACTATTTTTCTCACCTAAAAAAATAGAACTGAAACAAAACAATTCAAATACCATACCGGCAATACAAATTTAAAAAAATCATTATGTATTAGTGTCCATCAAACTTAATACGAGTCCACCAAGCTCACAAGTGAGACTACACCCAAATCTGGCTAAAAGATTTCTCTTCAAAACGGGGAAAGGAAAGTAGGCAGCCGACCACCAACACGTAGAATACGCTACAAGGCAGCTGGATAGCCTGGCGCTAGCTAGTGGACTACCCTTTTCCCCTTAATCCAAAAATTAAACAACTAATCTACCATTAATTAACACACCAACACAAATTAATTAAATCATCATGTGCTTGTTGCCCCCATGTTAATGAATAATGATCTCTCACGTCTCGTCCGATCCCATCTCCCAAATTTTCTCTCCCTTTCCAACCCACCAACTCAATTTTCCCGGAAATTTTTTGGGCCAAGAAAGAAATGTTGGTTTACTCCATTCCATCTCCATGCATGCAAAATTTTCCTCCCGTCCAAACAAAGAAGAAATATGGGGGTAACAAAATCCAACCCTCATCTTGGTTTCATCGAATTACCGTTTGGGTTTCTACCTTTTACCCACGGAATTAACAATGAAGTACTGAAAAAATGGAATCACTCCCTAGAAATCACCGGAAGAGAAAACAAATCCCCAATACGGTAAATGATGAAGAAACTAATTTCGCACGATACTGATTCACGTCAAACAATCAAAAAATCGTGTCGATTCGAGCATACGAAATTCGGATAAGGAACAATATGATGATGTAGTAGAGACGATAAGGAGTTCTATGTATTGATATTAACAATGAACGAACACAGTTACCACACCTAATTTACACACTAATTATTACCGCACAAAAAAACCGACTAAGGCCAGAAGACAGAAGTCCAGAACAGAGAAACAGAGCATATACAGATTTATGCATTATTTCCCTACTACATAAAGATTATGCACTGGATTGGGAACGAAGAGAAAAAACAAGCACCAAAATGTAACTTCTCTCTCTGTTTTCCCTTTTTTCTCTTTTATATTTCCTTCTAAAGAAGATTCTTCCAGCTGGCCGGAGACGGCAGATCTCCACCTTCCTTCCTTCTTTCAACTGTTCCCGGCGGAAGCCAGATCATCCCTGCTCAAACTCCGCGCGAGCGACTGCAACGACGGCGACGGCGGAGGAGGGCCGTACCCCGATCCACCCGCGTGAGGGGACGAATTCGACGAACACGAAGGGGAGGCTCCGGCGCCGGCGAGGGCCAGAGACCCCTCGCTCCAGGACCGGCGGATCTTATACGAGACGGTGTTCTTGCAGTTCCCGCAGCCTCCGCCTCCGCCACCAACGCCGCCGTCTCGGGACTTGTCGTGGAGCGCGCACCTGCAGTTGCGGTGGTACGGCCGGCGCTCGATCCCGTGGTCGACCCCCGACAGCGAGCCTTCGAAGACCCAGTTGCGGAAGAACCCGTCCGCCGCGGCCGATCCCGCAGACATTGACGCGAAGCTGTTGTTGTTGCTGCTTCCTTCTGAATTCCCTCTTTCCTTCTCCGAATTGGAGAAAGGGAGATCGGCGATCGAAAACAGAGGAAAACAGAGGAAGAGAGAGAGTAGTGTTTGTTTTTTATTTGGGGATTTTAATTGAATTGAATTGAATTGAATTGTCGAGGCGGCTTTAAAGAAGGGAAGGCGTGTGGGGACTACCAATATATAGTCGAAAAGAAGAGTAGCGATTACGGAGTTGATCACTCTTTTTTGTTGCCACAAACAAATTAGTCACTGAACTTTAGTATTGCTACAAAGAAGTGGATTGGTTATGATTGTTCGTGTTAAACTTTTTAGATCTTGTTGATGTTTAAGAGGGTGGTGTTCGATGGATCGATCAAAGCTCAGATTAACCCGAATTGAGATTTATAGGTTCTTTTCTGTGCAAATTGAATTAATTTTCTTGTTGAAAAATTGAATCAAAACAGCTAACTTAATCGATATTTGATTTCATTTATGAGCAACCTAACAAACGAGGTAGTGCAAAATTTATGATTCGGTAGAACAAACATCATTTACAGGACATCATAAGGTCCCAAACAATTCACATTTTAGGGATGACTTTGATAATGGGTATGGAATTCGAGCACCAAAGGTGCTATTTGATCATATAGGAAAGAGTGAGGGAGAAAGAGGACAAAAGTGGAAGAGGTGTTTAAGTTGGGGAGTAAAAAGAGGTTGGGAGGAGAAGCGTTGGTCGGGAGGATTTTAGGGGGAGAGGCGTGTGAGAAATTAATGGTTTCCCCTTCACTCTCTCTCTCTCTCTCAACCTTCGATTTGTTCGAGAAAATATCAAACAAAGAAACAAATTTTACAAAACAACTATTTTGCGATGTTTGGTTTTCGGGACCAAATCGTGTGCATAATCATACATATCGTATCATAGTTATAAAGTTTCGTATAATTTAGGGTGTGATATCTTATAACAGGACTACATAATTTTGGGTTATGCACAAAAACTCATACTTTGGTTTACCGTATATTCTTTAATTACATCGTCGGAGATTTAACTGTGTTTGTCACAATAGTCCAATAGTACTTGGTAGAGGATTGGTTACAATGTGGTGTGTTGCTTGATCAACTCATTCCTACATCATGTAATGTGCCGAGTTCGATCTCGTGACGAATTTTTGTTTACTAATTTGTCATCATTCATTCAGTTTATCGTCTCATCGATTTCGATTTCCGGAAAGAGGTCAGAGTATGACGCGCCTCCAAATTATTCTCTTGCGTGCATCTTGAAACGAAAGTCAACCAACAAGATTTCTAATTTGCACATACCCACCATATACCGTGTTTAAATCAACCGTCTATATTTGAGACCAAATGTATGACCTAGAATTACATCTCATTCGTATAATGAAGTGATATAAGATTTATATATAAACCCTTTTTTAAGGAATGCAGCCTTTCGAGTTGGGTTGGAAAATGGGGATGGCTGGGGGGAGTGTACCTCGTTGCAATCGATGCAGCCATGCCACGAAGCTTCTGGCTCCTTGAGGTTTTCCCTCTCAACGTGTATGGTTTCCCCATTCTCTCTCTCTCTCTCTCTCCTCTTTTCTAGTCATGGCTTCCAACTAACCTCCACCATCCAAATGAAAGAAAAACCCATGAGGGAAAATAAGAAAGAACCGCCATTGAAGAGGTGCACAGAAGCAATTCTACATCTGGCTAGCTATATACGGCTCAACTACAAAAAAACCACAGGCTTGCTAAGAGGTGTAAAAGAACGGTTCTACAACTGGCTAGGTTGGCAGCGGCTGTAGTTGGTTCAACTGCAAAAACCACAGGCTGCTAGGAGGTGTAAGGAGCGGTTCTAATTTGTTTGAATTATTGACAGATTCAAAGAATAGGTTATACAGTAAAAAAGTGGGATTACAATGGGCGGGTTTTCGGGTATTCGTGGATAATACCTTCTTCGTCTGTCAAATCTTAACATATCTAGAATTCAACATGTGGATCGTTAATTATAACAGTAGGCGAACATAGTAAATCCCGAAATTAATGAAGATATATACAACTCATTCTTAGTATGAATTCAAAGAATCCAATCATTACACATCCATTGATCCGTAAGACAAAGTAGATGAAGCAGAGATGAGAATTTTACCGGCGGAAGAGGGTATGAATTGAACAATACGGAGGGTGAATTTGAGTGGTCACTCAATTACATTTCAACTCTTTTTTTATTGAATTAAGTAAATTAACCTTCCTGTCATCGATTAGTTACAACGTGATCCCTATATTCTTTAAACTATACTGTGATTTTAGCCTCTCCTATAATCGTAGATCAAATCAGACCATATTACAACAAGTTTCGGAGATAATCGGACCGAGCTATATGGTTCGATTTATGAGTTAGACCGAAAATTGAGAACGAACTCCCACCCCTAATTACGACACGGTAATTAATTAACTTTCATACACTCTTCACAACCGCACTTGGAATCATCGAAGTCAACCTAGATCTTAAACTAATTAAGGTTAAATTGCTAAAAATTTTATTTGTACTTGGGCAATATAGTGTTCCCTTCGTCCGTCCACCAATAAGAAACGCCATGTTTTCTTCCACACCGTCAACTATAAAACAAAATTAGTGGAGGAAAACAATGGAACAAAACAGCATGCACCAAAATATTTCTTTAATTTGGTTTCTGGAGGAAAACAACATAGTATATACGCTAATTTAATATTTTACCTGTTTTTCCGAAGGTGGAATTTTGGAATAACGAATTATTAGTTAAGACCTAAGAGAGCTGTTTCTTCTAGACGAAACCATGGACGGAAAAAAATTTAGATTAATTAAGTACCGAGCTGTTATAATTACTATGTTTTGATTCTGTCGTTTTTCACTTTTTCCTCTTTAATTTACTTCTTTTATGTTTGTCGTCAGAGAAAATATTAATCAGAGTTTCGTCGTTTTTATGTTCTTTTAGTTTTGTCGTTCTAATCGATGTATGGGATGGTCTTATTCGATTCTCATCAACAACGTTCTTTCGCACATACAGTTTGTGTTCTGATGAGTTTGTCTTTATGCATATGGCAAGGATCTAGATCCAATTTGAATGAAATTTATTCCGCCAAACAATTCACTATTTTTTTGGGTGTGGTATTTGTGGCTTTAGTTTCAGTATGATTAATGATATGGATATTCCATGTTACACTTCTCAAGTATCACGAAAAGATACATTTATATGCATAATACTCTCAAATTGGTTGTCACCATCTTAAATTAAAACTATATATCAAGTACTCGTGGCATATTAATATCTTTATGTTAGTAACTTAGTAAAATAATGTATTTAGCACATTTCCCAAATAAGAATTTTGATAAAAGTTTTCATTTTCAAATCAAATTAACAAACAAAGGATGGAGGCTCCCATTAATATCATTTTCCGTGTTTTCAAAGGTGAAAATATATATTGAATATGTTTGGGTTAATATTTTTGTATGGTCTGAACTTTGACCAAAATAAACATCTTGGTCAATCTTTTCGATCTATAACATCCTGACTCGAACTATACACCAATATAAACAATTTGGCCAGATCCGGCTAATGGAAGTGCCGCTGCTGCCCCTCATCAGTAGTGTGGTACTTAATTCCACATGAGCTCATTTTATTGTTCCAAATTATTATTACAATATCTTCTACATAAGTTCCTTTGCTTTTCAAAGAACTATTTTGAAGTAGTATAAGTACTATAGTAATAACTAATAAGCACAAATAATTAAGTTGTGCATGTCAAACTAACTGAGGCTGATTCACTAATTGGTCTCACGGACGAGGAAGTATCTGACACGGATGACAAATGGTGGAAAATAGTTTTTGATGGAATTTTGGAGCCAAAGAACGAAGAAGGTGTTGCTGTTGTTTCTTCCACCAATTAGACGGGTATTTACGGGTAGTATGAGTACCTGTTATTCGTCCCGTATGGGTTTGAGACATGAGATGAATATTGCTCTCCAAACGGGACAGATATCCCGTCCTATTCCGTTGCCTACCCTTAATTGGGACTTAGATAATAATGATTAGGTTTTAGTTAGATTTGATTTGGGCTTATTTTTCTTTTTAATTAACAAAAAGTTAGTGTTTTCACAAGTGAGTTCAATTGTTATTTTTCTTTTTAATTAACAAAAAGTTAGTGTTTTCCCAAGTTAGTTTTTTTTATGCCTTTTCCCAAGTTAGTTCAATTGAACGATTTGTATTACAATATATAATATAATAAATTTTTGTATATAACGGGCTAAACCGGGTTAAAGATGGTTAAACTAGTTGATCCATTAACTCTTGACCCGCTAGTTCAACCAGACCAACGGGCTAAACCGAGTTGACAACTTTGCTTCTCATGCTTAATCCAAATTTTCTTTGACTGCTTTTGTCCCTTGAAAACCATAAAAATACATACTAAAAAGGCATCAAAGAGTACAAATACACAACCCATGGACTTTGTCATCAACACAAATCCCACATTTTTGGGTGGAATTCTCAAATCTGTGGGGTCCACGAATTTGGACCCTCAAAGTCCATGGACCCCACAGATTTATTCCTGCTAAATCCATCAAGCAAACAACGAATTATGTACAAAGTCCATGATGCTTAGTTCTTAAGTACCAAATCCATGACGAATTCCATGAAGCAAACGAGACCTAAATGTCCATTCCTCAAATTACGGTTGGGCATGTAGGCGGATCACCCGCGAGTTTGGGCCGACCCACCCGCATTTTATCCGAATTTTGTTATGTGGATGGGTCCGTGGGTGGGTGAAGGGTTGCGCTGGGAGCCATCCGTCGGGTGGTGGGTGTGTACTGGGAGGGCGTGCGGGTGACCTGCTCAACCCAACAGCAAAAAGAACAAAGGCGTAGGCGCTCGAGAGTGAAGACATTAGACGAAAACTACGACTGCTCCCGGAGAGTGGAGATATTAGATGGAAACTAGGACTGCTCTTGGAGATTGAGCCTCAAAGCCAATCTTTCGAATTGTAATCCCCTCTTCTCCCTTTTTTTTTTTTTTTTTTTTTGCCTAGATCAGTTCTCTCTTTTTCGTTGAATTATTTTACTTGGTTACATGCACCTGGTAATCATCTCCATTTGTAGAAAACTCCACCATAATAGAATTTCAATATAATTTTAGAACTAATTTAACATTTTTTCTTCCTATTCCATCTTTTTGTTTCCGCCCGATAACTCTCTCCACCGATTATTATGTCAAGTGGACTCCTTTATATTATGTACTTTGTGATGTGGGTGAACCCGCAAACTCACCCGCATCATCCACCATTCGCTCAACCCAACCCGAGACTAAATGTGGGTGGGGTGGTTGGTTAAAAATTGTTGAACACTACATTATGCGGCCATTGCTGGATCAACATGTAGACCCATTTTGCATAATTAAGTTAATGTGGTAACAAATACCAATTTAGCTATTTCCATGTGTTTGTTCTTACAGCCTTTGCATTTCATTGACAAATGATTATAAAATCAAATTTATTCCGCAGCAGAGCGCGGACTAATTACTAGTTTCAATTATCCTTTTTGACATTGAACCGAACCGGTTATCACCCTTCCTACCGATAACTATATAAACCCCTTGGATGCTGTTTCCTATCTTTAGGGTTTGATTTTTTCATGATGCAGCCGCCGCCAGAGGCTGTTTCTCTGGAGAACAGTTTGCCATGTCAGATGAGTGGCATCGACCCGACAGTAGCAACGAGCTCAGCCCGTCCGCCGCCGCCGCCTCATCTCCTCCGCGCCTGCGAAAACCTACGAAAAGAAGCAGCAGCAGCAGCTCGTTCAAATGCTTGGAAACTTGGTGTTTGCAGATCCAAGCAGGGCAACCTACGCCGCAAGAGACAGCGAGCAGCTGAAGGACGGCGGCCAGTTAGTTCAAAATCGGACTCCCCCATCAGCTGCTATATCCCCGACAGTCTCCTGATCCACATTCTGCAACGCCTTCCGAATCCCAGATCGGTTTGTGTGTGCAAATCCGTCTGCAAGCTTTGGAATTCGCTCATCTCCGATCCGGACACCCTCGCTCAGTTGGTGTCTCGCCAGAAGATCAATCTGACCGGCAGCGCTGAAATAGAGGAGCGACGACCGCTGTTGATATTTTTCGATCGGCCCCAAACACACGAATCAATCGTTAGGAGCACCGTTCCTCCAAATCTCCTCTCCATCAACAATGATCTCTATGGCGACCGCTACACTTTCCAAGTCATCTCATGCTGCAACGACTTGCTCCTTTGCGGGAGGATTCGACCCAAGAACAGGTACCGCAGGAGGTTCTTTGTTTGCAATCCGTTCACAAAGCAATGCGTCGCTCTCCCTCTGGTCCCTCTAGACCTCGCAAAAGACCGGTTCCTATTTGGAAGTCATCTATACGTAAGTTTTGAGCTGGAAGCATCCCTAATTGGATTCGTTTGCGAACCCTGCTTTTATTATGATGATGGTAATGTGGTGAGGCAGAATCCCAAGTTCCGATTCCGTGTAGTGTTCATATCCAAGGGTCTGTTCGATCTTGGAGTGACCACTTTCTGCTCTGAGACGTGGGAGTGGAAGTTTGGTAGTTTTGGGAACAGACCGTTGTACCTTCCACGGCACCCTATATTGGCATCGGCAATGCCCATTCCACCACCATTGCTGGTAGTGGAAATAAGCTGTTTTGGAAGTCTTCGAATGCCAAAGTTGCTGTTTTCGATCCTTTCAGCGAGGAAGCTCGGCCAAAGATCAATTTGATCGATTCTTCTAGTTTGTGGTTGAATGATACTGTTGACAACAATTTCTTGGTTGGGGTTTCCCAGGGCTTTTTGCGTGGGATGGTGTTTCCACGCCCAGGTCCATCAACCAACAGTAAAGAAGGATCCTTTAGTCTTTGGAAGCTGCAAGAGTTCCAGGTTGGCCGGTTTAAATGGAGCTTGGATTACAAGGTGCCCATGCGAGTACTCTACAACCTTATCGTCCGACGACATAAGATCAACAAGATAGAAGGAGGAAGGAGGAGGACGGGGACGACGCGGTTGGGGGTACTGGGCGTTCACCCAAGCAGGCCAGAGGTGATCTATTTCGAGTGTCGTGATTATACTAAAAAGCATAGACATGACCCATTCTTCTTCGACTTCAATCATCATTTCAGAGATGATTATGATAATGGCGTTGGGGGCTCGAAACTACCTGATGATCAAGCCTATGATCCCATCTATGTTGTCCCCTTCGACGTGCTTAAGCAAGAGGTGGTGGGAGAGATTGTGCCAATTGCTGAGAGTAATGCGAGCCATCTGAGGTTCAAATGTTGGGGCATGTTCGGAGTTGGGGACCCGATCGGCTGGGCTGTGTTTCAGCCTTGGATTCCTTTTTGGCCGACTCCGATTCCGGTGCCGGAAGAATATAATCATGAAGAAGAAACAGAGGAGGACATATGTGAAGATTCTTTAGGGTATGGCATCTACGATGTCTGGTATGATGAAGTATTTTTCTTCTTCCAATTTTTGCTGTCCTTTTCCATCTTGTTTGTTGCCATGGATGATCGTAGTATAACACATCTCCGATTCTTTGTTCTTATTGTTCAAACTGAAAGGTGACTCAACTGCTGCCAAACTTCCAAAGCAAAGATCTGGAGAAAATGAGGGGTAATCGGCTGTTATTTCGTTTTGGCAGCAGAGCAACCCCGATCGTATCAAGGTGCTGCAAAAATGACAACAATGTACTCAAAAATTAAAGTCAAAAACTTTCTTTTTATATGTAGTAAATTGTGACGTTATTTTCATCTCACATAATATACATTGGATGCGGCACAATGAGATTCCCATATTATCCCCTACAAAACGGCACATCCCTTTAATATATCATTCAATTCCGATGTACATGTCTCCATCGTCGCCGGCGGCTACTGTGAATCCATTACGCCGGCACACGGAGACGATGATGACGTCGCCGAGAAGGACGACGACGACGACGACAGCGTCAAGCTGCTGCCTTTGTAACAGTTGCCGCTCTTCATCCTGTAGGAGACGGTGTTTGCTCGGCAGTAGCTACCGGCGACGCCCGTCGTGGCAGCGCCGTCGCTGAATCTGTTTGGAGATTTCGCGTGGAGCGCGCAGCCGCAGTTGCGGTGGTACGGCCTCCGGTCTTTGTCGGAGTCCGCCGAGGACAGGCAAGCGACGACGTTTCGGAACAGGAAGCCGTCGGCTGCCATGTTGGCGAGAGAGAGAGAGAGAGAGAGAGAGAGAGAGAGAGAGAGAGAGAGAGAGAGAGAGAGAGTATTGGTGGTGTCTATTTGTTTTGGGACAGCGAAGGAATCCCCCATTTTATAGAGGCAGGAAGGAGAGTGAAAGAAAGAATCGATTAATTAGTTCGAGAAATAAAATAATGAGGTTTGTCAAGGAAAAAGTACTACTATAAAAGAAACCTTGAGAGTTGTTGGTAATTTGGGAGAATAACATGCATTACATTTTCAATCTTATGATTCATCATATATGGAGGTTGTTATAGTTGCAATTTTGCAAAATGAGCGCTATTAAAACGTTGGTTTTAGACTGATAAGACGATTAGTCGAAAAAATCTATCAACAAGGTGAGACCCTCGTTTTAACTCCAATCCAGCTCGAAATCACCCACAAGAATTCATCACGAAAACCGCCAGGGGGGGTACTTGGTCAGAGATGGTATATAAATTCAAAAGCTCGAGTTTATATTCGGGCGAGGTTCGATATTCGAGTCTCGACATCCACCGTTCCCCTGCGCTATATCCACCTGGGAGTGGCCACCATCAGAATTGTGTGCTCGTTTTGACTGCTCTTGTCAATTTAACGAGTGCTCATGATCTTAAAATTTATCGTTTGTTTTTACGACGAAATTTTTCTTTGATAGGTTGGACAGGAACAGTTTAGGGCTCTCTCTCTCGAAGTCTCGATCTTCTCGTGTCTTGCATGGATAGTTTGCTTTGATTGCCCCCACATAATTAAGAAAACAACAAGTAAACTAATCCCAACCACTAAGCAAACTCATAACAACAACTACAGTAACTCACGCCCTATACGTGTCTCGTTTTCCACAGTTCGTGTGGTTGCCGTTTAGTTGGTTGGTCGTCGTTTTTGCCACGGCGATTCCAACGAGAATCCTTAAGAAACTCTTTCGTGGAAGTTCAGGTATATATATATGGCTAACCTAGATATGCTGGTCGTGTCCTTTTGTGCTAGCGATGTCCTGTAAAAATGGCGCAGAGACTGATGGAAGCTGGCCAAGAACTCAACGACGACTGTCAAAATGTTTGGAAGAGGCCAAAAAGGGAGCTAAATTATGTGTTTGTCATGACCTGAATTTTTTTTTTTAGCCTTATTAGCATACAACTCCTCCCCCACAACACAAACAAGGGGTGAAAATGATATGTGCTCGACATTAATGGAATGAATTTCTGGGGAATAAATGAATATTATATATATGCACTTTAATTTGTTTTATAAGTTCGATGAAGTGCGATAAAGTGTTGAGTATTCAAATGACATTTTTAGAATTCGAATTTTTGAAATTTTCGAGTTGAAACTTAACAAATTAAGATGTGTCGACTTGCATATCTTATTTCGGACCGAATATCCTCGGTTTCATCGCTATTAATTAGAATTTGATAAGAACACATCTCGACTTGCCTTGAGATTTCGCTTGTACATATTTTCATCGAGATATAAGCGAATTATTGTGGAAACCCCACTACGGAGAGTGTATATATGAGTAGTTTTATTTTAGTTTAATTTCAAAAAACTCCAACTAAATCCTTGTTGAGTTGTAAATATTCCGATGAGTTTCCCGTTCGTTTGTGCTCATGCGTCTTGATTGATAGCTGAGAGGTTACATTTCTCATGCAAAGCGTGATGAAATCTTCAAAGAATTACGAAGAATTGACGAGCTAGCTAGACAAATGTGTGGGAGACAGACAAGAAATGATACTTTTACTTGCTTCTACAATGACATAGTATTGAATCTACCTCTTTGCAACTGCTATTTGCGTAAAATAAAATATTTTCATCTACGAACATTCATCAAAAATTAATATGAATGCATTTTATAATTTCTCAGAATATGAAAAGTCTTCGAGAATCACTGTAATAAATGTTGAAATCGTACACAACGTGACCTAATTTTTATTTAATTTCATTGTTAATAAATTTGCTAAGTCCTTCACTGGTTTGGCTACTCCCTCCATATTAATTAATACCTTTCAGTATTGCTTGTTTATATTAGTTAAGCACTTACACGAGGTATCCCCTTCTCACTTAACTCGATCAGTCAAAGAACGCATGAAATTCATGAACTTAACTATCGGTCGAAGAAAAACATATATGCATGAAATGCAAAGTATGTTTGGTGCAAATTAACTAAAATGTTATATATTACTTCCTGATTTGTTACCACCAAACGAATTAAAAAGAGCATGCATATTTGTGTGTGGTTAAACAACACATTTTTTAATAAGGGTGTATATTCTCCAACTTTACAAGCATGCATATTGCCTACTCGGCTTAAGTTTCGAGTCCTCCGACAAATTGGAGCTTATTATCAGGATATCCATAGTAGACAACAATGACAAGTTTATCATCGGTCGTCACGAGTGATCACGTAAATGGGTAAATGGTTGGTCAAAAGAGTACCGAGTTATCCTAATCCGATTCCGAAACTCGATCTTGATTAATTTAATAGTAAAAAAAAATCACATCTTGCCGTTACAACTTATGTGTAAATTACAATTTTTTTTAGGTGTAATCGTATAAAGTGTGCCGGAGATAACAGTTTCAAATTTTATAGCAACGAAACATGAAATTTTTCACCAAAATGTTCGGTGGAGGTGTGTCTGCTCGCTCTTCCCCAAACCTAGGCCAGCCCCAAATTCACGACTTTCATCTAACTATGTCTAAAAGCGAGACAAAAAGACCGGATGGAAATGTAGTAAACTCAGATCCAATATGTGAAAAGCTTGTCTTGTGCGTTGAAAGAAATTAGAAATGGCAACCTTGTATGACCTCCCAAATTAAGAAAAGAGTACGAGGAAGGATATCCATTTTTTCACCATGGCCGGCTTCCTTGGTAGAGTGTCGACGGTTACCCCAAGAAGTTGTCGAATTGCTGGCTGTATTCGTATGCACCAATTAACTCTTTGATCGGTAAATCCGCAAGAGACCAGAACTTGGAATAAAGCAATTACCAACAGCTACAGAACAAGCGGGTAAACACAAGAAAGCGAAACAGTAAAAAAAAAACAAACAAACAGAGCATTGATTCATTTTGGCTAGTAAAAATAGAGACATTGATTTTCCCGTTTTTGAGGTTGTTTGGACTAGGATTAGGGTTGTTTTTCGATGGTTTGCATGTAACGGTTGGAATTTGGATCATACCCATGGCTCCTTTTCTTATTTTCTAATTGCTTCAAACGGAAATTTGAGAAGCTCTTTTTAAAATCCCGTACATTACGTTTAAAGTCGAACGAGAATGTTTAGTTCAGTTGATGAATAAATAAGCGGTTCGACAGGCAAAATCTCTTGAAAAAAATATGAAAATGATAAATAAATAGATGAAACATTTCGGATTCTCAAACCAAATTCGAAACACGGTAAACTGACGAGAAAGTGAATTAAGGAGTTGGGGTTGATGAAAATCGTGATAATTTGGCGATATCTTGTCATGGGACGATATATTGATTCGCCATGGGCCTTGGGCCCAATCCCAAAGGCCCTCTTGCATTCTTCGGCTACGTGTCGGTCGATCGGCCCGCAAACGTGTGTAGTTAGAGAGCTCCCGTCTCTCAGCATACTGTCCCTACGATCTCCCTCTGGCTCGTGACATCCGACGGCTATAAGCCGTCCATGAAGATCCGAACCCGAAGTGCAGGGTAACCCGGAGAAAGGGAAAACCAGAGAGTGGGAAATGGGAATCGCGCACAAATCATCGAATATCCACCAGTTTTCGGGTCTCTCACAAATCAACGAACCCAGAAAGGCAGAATCGGTGAAAGGGGAAATCGGCCGGATCGGCGTGTCGGGAAAAAGTTGCAGAGAGCTTGGAATATGGGTGGAAGGGGCCGGCGAAGACCGAGCAACGGCGGCAGGAGCGATCCGAGGAACAACAAGAGTGGTGGTGGTAGCAGTGGGAGGAGATCCAATTCGTCTTCTCGGACCAGGAACTCCCTCTTCGTTGATGGTGGCGCCTTAGATGATTGGCAAGGTCCTTCCTTTTTCCCTCCATTTCCCTCTGTTTTCGCCTTCTCGGTTTATGGCCTGGGATAGTTGGGTATTGGATCAATCGAGCTGGATGATGTTGTTGTGCCCATTTTGTTGGGTTTGCTTTTTTCATCATGATGAAACATTGTGGTGGAGCTTATGCGCGGCTCTTTAATTTTGAGTTAATTTGGGATTACCATCGGTTATATATCGCAGAAAGGACCCCTGGATCGAATTCGAGGTCTGGTTCCAGACCTAGGAATCACAAGCGAAACAAGGAGCCCTCAATCTCTAACAGTGGAATCCCTCAGTCACCGGGAAATGCTTTTGGTTTTAGCTATCCAACTGTTGAGCAACAGGTATCCATCTGATGGCCCACAAATTTTGTTGATTGCACTCGCATATGCGGAGGGAGGATGCGCAATCGATTATGCTAGGCACGAGAAATCATCTTACTAGGGTTACCCTGTATTAAGTGATAGCTTGTGCTTCGCTTTCACAAGTTCAATACTTTTTGTGCCCACCTGATGAACTCAGTGTCTGTTTCTTATAGGAAAAAGCAAGTCTCCTATTCTGAGAATGGATACTGTTTGCTACAAAGCATTAAGTAATCAGTTTACTTGAGTGGAGTTTGATGAACATTTCTGCTTGCAGTTTGGGGCTAAATGAATAAGTGAAGCATGCTTGTCTCTTTTAGCTTTTTCTCTGTTGAAAGCAACATAGTAGAATTGTGTCCGAGAAAATGAACATGTCCTAAATATCGTAGTTGTTTTTTTTTGCTCATTCGTGGTTTGTTTTTTTTCTTCTTCTTCCAGGAGGGACATAATACGGGCAATACCTTCGATGCAACACATCCTATTGTGTTGTTTAACTCCAACAAGACCCAGATTGTTGCTTATTTAGATGAAACACCTTCTTCAGAGCCCCAGACTGAGAATGCCTCATATGATTATGGTTCCAGTTTTAGTTTCACTGATGGTTTGCATAGAGGTCTTGGGTTCCATGATGAGTCAGAAGAAACTCCTGGTGGTGTCGGGTCATCATCGAAGGAAACAGTAGGCAAAGAACAAGAAGGATCACCTTTTGATTCATCACCCTCCGACTTAGAAATGAATGCTAACACAGATACCGAAGATCCCGTTGAATCACACTCTAAGGGGGAAAATCCAGCATTTTTGTCAGTTGCAGGAATGAGATTGTACACCCAGGATATCTCCGATGAGGAAGGTGATGAAGAAGCGGATGCTTTCCAGTCATGTGATGATGAAAGCTCTGAATCTGAACAAGAGCAATCAGAATTGTCTGAAAGTGATGATTCCGAGGAGAACAGCTCGGACAGTGACCTGGATATTGATGATGAGGTGGCACAGGATTACTTGGAAGGAATTGGTGGCAGTCGCAGTGTTGTGGACACGAAATGGTTGGTGGAAAATGATTTGGATGATTCAGAAGAAGATGATAGCTCTTCTTCTAGTGGAGGATTTAATGCCACTGTGGAAAAGTTGGGTGGGATTGCCCTTCAAGAAGCTTCAATGGGATATGGTAAGATGACACCACAGTCGAGGAAAAAGATTCCTACTAGTGGTAGAGGCTCATGGTCGTCCGGCTTGGATGACATCATGTTTGTGAAAGATCCCAGGACTCGGTCTGTTAAGAAGAAGCATGTTACGCAACTGCCTCAGTCCTGGCCAGCTACTCAGAAGAGTAAACGCTTCAGAAACTACCCAGGTAACAGCATCGTTTCTTAAAGTAGTGAATCTGAGTTTCCAAATGTTTCTGTTGAACAAGAGCCAACATGAATGTAAAAGAAAGAATTTGGGATGATTCTATTTTCAGTTTATGGATGCAACTCCTGAAACTATTCCCTTGAGATTTTTTTTTTGCGATCCTATCATTCAGGTGAAAAGAAGAAACATCGTAAAGAAATGATTGCTGTGAAACGCCGTGACAGAATGCTGAACCGAGGGGTTGACTTGGAACAAATCAATACGGTATTAATTTTATTGCTGTTAGGTGGACTCCTCTATCGGAAAAGCTTTTTCATTTCACTTCCTGACTAGTCATTTGAGAATTTTCGCACTTGGGAAGGAATATACAAGTTTTGTTCTTTTTGTAGAAATTGGAGCAGATAGTGTTGAATCAAGTGGATATATTTTCCTTCCCGCCTATGCATTCGAAGGATTGTTCACAGGTATAGTTCTTCATTTTTTGCTGTGCAGCCTGTAATCTTTGTTTCTCATCTGGCTTAGCAAATTCATTACCCTGTTAGTATTGGGGCTGCTTGTACATCCCACGATGATTTTCACCAATGAGTGGTTTGATTTATGTACTTTTTTTTATCATTCCGCTGATAACTCAACCTTAATCTTGTGATTTCCCCTTTAGGATCTAACAATGTGATTACATTCATATGGTGACAGGTAAAACGGTTAGCATCAATTTACCGCCTTCGTAGTGGTTCCCAGGGTTCTGGCAAGAAAAGGTACTGTGTGCAGTTGGATATGTCATTGCATGAAACCACAGTTTAACGTGGCTCTTGATCTGGATGCTAAAATCAGCTTGTTATGTATTCCAGCTTTGTCACAGTAATGCGAACTCAGTATACATCCATGCCATTGGCGAATGATCGAGTCCGCCTTGAGAAGGTCTATACATAATCTGATGCTATCGTCCAATTTCCGCATGATATCTTTGGGTCTTTAGTTATGATAGCTATTTCCCTAATGCTGCAGCAATTTGGTTTTCCATCAGTTGAACTGCTGCCAAGTGCGGAGAACATATAAAAAGTCCATGTACCTTGATTAGTCTTGTTTCGAAATTTCAGCTGATAGGTGCTGGGAATGAAGATGAAGATTTTGCCGTCATTGAAGGGAAGTCTGCAGCTGGTGCAGATAGGAGAATATTCAAGAACAAAACCACTCCAGATCTTCAGGGAAGCCGAACCAAATCATCCAGAAAGTCAACTAAGAAGGCTGGTACGAACGGGGCTTATGCTAGTCAACCCGTGTCATTCATTTCAAGCGGAGTAATACAAACCGAGGAGGAGAACGCCTCAAACAACACAACAGCCATGGATGAGACGGTTGTGGCGGTCACCAGCTCAGCAAAGGTCGGTGCTTTTGAGGTGCACACCAAAGGGTTTGGATTGAAGATGCTTGCGAAAATGGGGTACATAGAAGGAGAAGGCCTGGGGAAAGATCGTCAAGGTATGGCTGCACCAATTGAAGTGATTCAAAGACCGAAATCTCTAGGACTCGGCGTCCAATTCTCCGACAACGACGTCAACCCCACCAGCAAACCCGAACGTCCAAGTGGAGCCCGACGTCCAGCAACACATGAGAAGCGTCGTCCTAAGCCACAGAAGAGTCTTGGAGACTTTGAGAAGCATACCAAAGGGTTTGGATCGAAGATTATGGCTAGAATGGGGTTTGTCGAAGGAAGTGGCCTGGGGAGAGATTCTCAGGGCATGGTTAACCCTTTGGTTGCAGTTAGGCGCCCGAGAGCTCGAGGATTGGGTGCCGAAGGTTAGAAAAACGATAGCTTATAGTAAATTATTCTGCCGTAAAACCAATTTAACTCAATAACTCGAATCGAATCGTGGGTAATTGTATGTTTTCTGTTTTTGCATGACTTCTGGGAACTGCAAAAGGGTAAGATGAGATCTGTCCACTCTTCCAGCTTGCTTCATGTATGTAAATATGTGCAGAGCATTAGTTTATGGGGCCTTAATTGGTGACATCTCTTCATCTGGGTTTGTAAAGTGTAATTTTCATATCTTAGAGATGCAGTTTCTGTAGTATATTATATCAATCTTTTCTTATGGGGAGGAGGCATGATCTGATATTCCTCCGGTTAAGCTACGTTGGGAAACCGTTTCCTTCAGTAATTAATCATTAATGTGTGTTGGCATATGAAGTTGTAAAACTAATCTTATACACTGATATAAGATGTAATATTCATGAGAGTTTCACCATGTCTATATTTGAAGCAGGATACTTTTCAGTCTGTCGCTCTACTCATGAGAAAAAAACTTCAGCGTTATGATATTTTAATGCTAAGATGTCAAAAGTTAAACAATGGGCAATGGTTTAAGAAAGACTCACTTTTTTCTAAAGTACGTAACCAATTTTGATGTAATATAAAGCATGTCACTGCTTTCGCAACAATTATTGACGGACAAGGAAACATCATAACGTTTTTTTTGTAGAAATCTTGAAATATATTGAGTGATGAATTAGATTCTAAGCCGGTCGCAAAAACTAAACAAAGTGACTGAACACAAACTGATACTCTAATAACAAGTTTCTAAATTGAGATTACCCACTTAGCATTGATTTACTTTCCTTCACAACACAATTATTCTTATCCTCTTGTCCTTATCAATGATCCTCCAGCAAATTGACAAAACAAGACATGGTGAGTGTTGCAAAATAGCATAAATATTGTTTCACAAATCCTCCCACTACAAGGGTAGAGAACTAGAGATCTATTGGGAACTTATTCTCTCACTAAAAACAATATTACAAGTGAATCACATTGTTTGTGTCCTTATTAGGTGGTATTTCAATACACAAAATTTGCTTCTTTCCCTATCTATCTTGACTTGTCTTTTCTCTCCCACCATGAAAACATGTTAAGGAAGACATGATTGGACAAAGAGAAATCAATTAGTGTGAAAGATTGGTCATCAATGTCTACATTAGATCTATAGTAAAATGGTTTGTTTAGAATTCTTAATGATTTGGATTCTGAAATACACATGAACAAGAAACTTGGAATAGAAAAATACACTGTAATTATAACTTTTATATTTTGACACTCAAATTTATGTTTACTCGCTTTATCAAGAAAGCTATTGTTTGTTTATGTCACGTGTTATTTTGTCTTCATTATATTTAATAGTTTAAAGGTTAGACAATGTCTACCGTGTCACCATATGTACCTCGATTATGAATACAAAATCCATATTCTTTTAAATCTATTTATTAATCTTTTCATTTAATGATATTCAGATACGTAAATTGTTCTTTTAATTATGACTCACTTCTAACGACAGGATAAAAGTATATTTATAAAATTAAAGAGACAAAATATATAATGATTTAACACTCAAATTAAAAGATCACATTACATTCTCACTGTGACAATCGACAAATCATCATAATCTCATATTAGTTTGATCTCGATTGAACCAATTGTCAGATTAGGTTCTTTTGGAGTGAATTGGGAGTTCTTGTTTTCTTCGTAGAGTTAAATTGGAATGGGTAATCTGGTAAATCCTTGCAGAGAGAGATCCGTCGGTACTCTGAAGAACGGAAGAATGGGCTTTATAAAAACGGTTTCCCTGCGTTTTCCTCCATTTCTCTTCTGTGTCGAGGAACCTCCCTCTCCCCATTGGTTCTTCTGAAATCTTGAAACAGGGAGCTTCTCCTTTTCTTCTTGTTCAGTCACCTTCCTCTCTGCTTTCACAACTGTGTATCTTTCATCCAGGTAACTCTCTAATCTTCTTGATCTCCATTGTTCCCATCCCTTCCCCTGCTTCTAATTGCGCGCATTGAACCATTCATTTCTGCCGGCTACATTGGATCTCTCGCTTAGAGCTCCGACCACCGCTTTCTTTTCTTAACCCCCTGTTTTGATTTTTCCAGTCGTTTCACGATCTGGGTCTCCCAGATCTGACGCGCATCGCATTGAAATCGGGAATAAAGATGGATTCTTTCGCTCGTTTGAAGATCTGGGGTTTCGCCCTTTTGCTGATTCTCCAATTGGGAGATGGGTTCTATCTCCCCGGAAGTTACCCTCACAAGTACGGCGTCGGCGACTCTCTGTCGGTCAAAGTGAACTCCATCACTTCAATTGAAACAGAGATGCCGTTCAGCTACTACAGCTTGCCCTTCTGCAGACCTACGGAGGGCGTCAAGGATAGCGCTGAGAATCTGGGGGAGATTCTGATGGGAGATAGAATCGAGAACTCACCATACAAGTTCAAGATGTTCACCAACGAGACCGAGATCTTCCTCTGTCAGACGAAGCCCTTGTCGGCCGACGACTTCAAGCTTATGAAGGAGAGGATCGACGAGATGTACCAGGTGAATTTGATCCTTGATAATTTGCCTGCAATTAGGTATACTAAGAAGGAATCGTTTATGGTGAGGTGGACTGGTTACCCTGTTGGGATCAAAGTTCAGGATGCTTATTACCTCTTCAACCATTTGAAGTTCACTGTTCTTGTTCACAAGTATGAGGAAGCCAACATGGCTCGTGTGATGGGAACTGGAGATGCAGCTGAGATGATTCCCACTGGTGGAACTCCGGGATCAGAGACCCCGGGTTACATGGTTGTAGGGTTTGAGGTTGTTCCATGTAACTTTGTCCACAATGCCAAGTCTTTGAAGGATGTGCAGATGTATGGTAAATACAAGTCTCCGATCAAGTGCGATCCTACAACCGTAGCCCTCCCGATCAAGGAGAATGAGCCGATTGTTTTCACCTATGAGGTTACATTCCAGGAGAGTGATATCAAATGGCCTTCAAGATGGGATGCTTATCTCAAAATGGAAGGTTCGAAGGTCCATTGGTTCTCAATCATGAATTCTATGATGGTGATCACATTCCTTGCCGGTATTGTCCTTGTAATCTTCTTGAGAACAGTGAGGCGTGATCTCACCCGTTATGAGGAGCTCGACAAGGAAGCTCAAGCTCAGATGAACGAGGAGCTGTCCGGGTGGAAACTCGTGGTGGGTGATGTTTTCCGTGCCCCAACAAACTCGGCACTTCTATGTGTTATGGTGGGGAATGGAGTTCAGATCCTGGGAATGGCTGTTGTCACTGTCTTGTTTGCTGCTCTAGGGTTCATGTCACCAGCTTCTCGTGGTACCCTCTTAACCGGTATGCTAGTCTTCTTCATGATCCTTGGAATTGCAGCAGGATATGCAGCTGTTCGACTGTGGAGAACAATGGGATGTGGTGATGGTAAAGGATGGGCTTCAGTTTCCTGGAAAGTTGCCTGCTTTTTCCCAGGGATCGCATTTGTGATCCTAACGACTCTCAACTTCCTTCTGTGGGGAAGTCACAGTACAGGCGCAATCCCATTCTCTCTCTTCGTCGTCCTAATCCTTCTCTGGTTCTGCATCTCTGTTCCGCTAACCCTGATTGGAGGGTACTTCGGAGCAAGGGCACCCCACATCGAGTACCCAGTTCGCACCAACCAGATCCCAAGAGAAATCCCAGCTCAAAAGTACCCGTCTTGGCTCCTAGTTCTCGGAGCTGGAACCCTACCTTTCGGCACCCTCTTCATCGAGCTCTTCTTCATCATGTCGAGCATCTGGATGGGCCGAGTTTACTACGTGTTCGGGTTCCTCTTGATCGTGTTCATCCTTCTGGTTGTGGTTTGTGCTGAGGTGTCACTTGTCTTGACCTACATGCACCTGTGCGTGGAGGACTGGAAGTGGTGGTGGAAATCTTTCTTCGCTTCTGGCTCGGTCGCCATCTACATCTTCTTGTACTCCATAAACTACCTGATATTCGACCTCAAGAGCTTGAGTGGACCAGTTTCTGCAACTCTTTACCTGGGCTACTCATTGCTGATGGTTCTGGCAATCATGTTGGCTACTGGCACAGTCGGGTTCCTGTCGTCGTTCTGGTTCGTGCATTACTTGTTCTCGTCAGTTAAGCTGGATTGACCGGCTTGTGCAGCGATGTTTTCATCATCCAGAGGTGAAGATCAGAAGATGCATCAGCAGCTCTTTACAACAGTAGTAGTCTACTGCGTTTTCTTCTCTCTTTTGAGTTGCCTTCTATTTTGTTTTACTTTTGGTAGGGAAGAGTAAGTACCAATGTAGTAGGAATAAATTTTCGCGTAATTCTTTTCTTCTTCTTCTTCTTCTTCTTCTTCTTCTTCTTCTTCTTCTTCTTCTTCCTGTTTTTGTTTGTCCTTAGAAGGTGACTTTCATGGCGTGTTACAGAGTTTTCATGTTACACATAGTTGGGCAAATCATAACCCCAGTATGTACTGAACAATTACCCGATTCCAGAGAAGTCAGGAATTACTTCAACAACTAGTATACCTTTAGCTCATCATAAATCAAGGCGACATTTGTTCTGAAACATTTACAGCTGCTATACGCTGGAAACAATGGTCTGCATATGAATCTCATCAACCAGAAACCTATCCATGGCTGAGGTTTTAGCGAAAAGAACAACCTTTTCCACACAATCATCTCTCCAGGGAGAACAGCATAACATTCCCACAATCTCTCTAACTTCTACAACAGAAATGGGAATAAACAGGAATTCCAGTCTGCATAATCAAAGAGTAATCAGGAAATAACGGAAACATACCTCATATACTACCAAAAGCTTCGAACTTTATTTCATAAGTGGTGTATAAGAGAGAGGTTACTACATGGATGAAAGCAGAAAACCCAGAATCCCAAGAACCTCGACACAATGAGGTTACAGAGAGCAAAAGGTTACAGATAGTTACTTGTAATGACTACATTTACAACACAGAAGTATCCTAATTAACCTCACAATTACTGAAGCAAAACTACCCATCTAACCATTCCCCTGTTTCAACCATTGATGGAGGAGAATCTCAGCTTCAACTTCCACCTCCCCTCCAATATGGCACTTCCCACCAAATTGCTTGAGCTCTGATCAGCCTTCCTCTTGAAAAAATAAAGGAGTGATCACAAGCTTCTTGTCACCAAGCAATCAACAACAACAGCAGCAACGAAAACACCAACAACAAGAAAACATCACCATCTACCAAATCATCATCTCTGATCCTTCGATCTTCTCATCGATCACCAAATTAAACTAGATTCAGCCTCAGTAATCGCCGGAGATCAGTATTAGCATCCCCAACCCCACCTTTTCTAAAAAACGCCGGCACAGGTAGCGAGCTCGGAGGCGGCGAGGTGAAAAACGCCGAACCTGCATACATCACATCCACGGCTTTATTAAACTCCTCCTTCCGAACCGTCTCCGGCTCCGGCCCGAACCGATCCGTCGATCCCAATCCCAAATCCACCAACTTCTTCCCCTCCTGCTTCCGATGGATGTTTGGTGAGGAAGGGGCAATTTCGTTACTCCAATCGGAATTTTCGTGGTTGAAGGCGGTTTTTATTTCAGTTGTTGACTGAGCCGACTCTAGTTAGGCCCATCGTGAAAATCATTTGGGCTTTGTTATTGGACTGGATAAACTTTCGACGGGCTTTTAATGGATTTGAGCCGGGGCCCAAGATTCACTTTGGATGAAGTTGTATCAGTAAAGTCCGTCCCGGCTGCCAAGTGCCATGGAGTTCTCATTCAGAACTCTCATTTATTTGTAATCTCATTCGAGGTCACTAAGCACTACATATGTGATAGTGTATAAGGCACACAAACTACATATTACAAAAATATCGATAAAGAAGAAGAGTACAACTTCAGCTAGCATCCCCAAACATTTGTGAAACATCCAATTCTACACCCGAAGTTCCAGCACCTTTACTTGACCGGCACCGGGAGATGATCCACCACAAAATAGTAGCAACTAGTGATGGTGACCCTGACGTAGTAAAACCATACTCCTCGCCAATATGGATTTATGTAGAGAACACTCGCAATTGTCAGCAGCACCATAACGAAAGACACACCACTGCTTGCGTAGAAACTTTCCATGTCAATGAAGCTTCCTCCATAATCATCATCTCCATCGTAAGAAGCTGGTGGCGTCAATAATGGTCCAGAAGGCGGCAGCGGAAAGGTGCAACGGAGATAAGGATTCCCCTGATAGCTACTATCGTTGAATGTAGCAAACTGTGCAACCTTAGGGCACTTGCCAGATAGATTATTGTATGCCACACTAAAAGATCCTAGAAAAGTCAAAGCCGCGAGTTCAGAAGGAATTGTTCCACTCAAATTGTTGTGTGAGAGATCCAAACTCTCAATTTGCAACAACCTTGAAAATGACGGTGGAATTGATCCTTTCAGCTGGTTGTTCGACAAGTTGAGAAATTTCATGTCATCCTTATAGCTGATTTGAGGAGGGATCTCACCACTGAAGTTGTTGTTTGAGAAATCAAAGCCAGACAACGAATCGAGAGGCTTCCCTTTGTAAGTATACAAATTTGTCTTGGTAACCAATTCCAAATCTTTTGTGATGTATCCATTGTAAGATATCGTGCTTATATTGGATGTGAGCACCGAGGCAAGCTGACCGAAAAAATGATTGTGAGAAATAACAATCAGCTTCACTTGTTCCAAGGTAAAAGGTATAGGGATTTCACCATAGAACTCGTTGTTGTTCAATAACAGATAGCTCAATCTAGGAAGTATAGAAATCCATTTGGGGATGGTACCCGAGAGATGATTGTGGCTAAGATCCAAGACAGACAAAGAGTAGATTGGATACTCATTATGAGAACTTAAATTCCCATGATCTCCCTTGGTTAAAGTTCCTTTGAGTTGATTTCTTGATAAATAAACTTCACTCATCCGTGAAGTAATGAAACCCGATGGTAAACTTCCAGACAAATTGTTCTTTGAAAGATCTAAAATTTGGAGCACGGGAAGATTCCAAATCCATCTTGGAATTTTACCAGAAATATCATTGTTGCTAGCATCCAAAAAAGATAACCTAGACCAGTTCTGAACTGTCAACGGAAAAGATCCCGAAAGTGAACAGTTGGAAAGGGTGAGATAGGCTAAATTTGTATTGTTAACTAACATCCACGATGGGAATCCAACCCCCTTCAATTTGATATTTGAGATATCAACATGTTCCAAATCATGTTGATGGTATAAAAATTTAGGAAATACTCCATCAATGTTGTCGTTGCGTTGGCTAGAACCCAATTTCAAGTCCGTGAGCTGGAAAAGTGGTTGGTGTAGTAGGAAAGTACCTTGTTGTTTTACATAGTCACGATGTTCATCTTCATAGATCTCTTGGTTAGAACTCCCATAAAAAATTTTAAGACGAGAATGGTTGAAAAATGGGGAGAGGGAGAATGGGATCAGGAATAGGTTTTGGGAAATATCAATGGTTTGAAGGGAGAATATGGTGGTAAGGGGAGATTGAGATAAATCCCCCGATAACTGATTGTAATAGATATCCAAACGTTGAAGTGACGTCAACTTTGAAAAGCATTGTGGCAACTCGCCGACCAAACCATTCCCCGAGAGTTGTATTTCTTGGAGATGTTTTAAGTTACAAAAATCTAGCAGAAAACATGACAACAAATGCTTGTTAGACGAGAGAGGAAATGCGTAAGTTTTAGTAAACAAATTAGGGATGATAAATATAATTAAGACGAACAATACTTAATATATAAGCTAAAAACAAATGTCTATAAGATAACGAAAAAGTCACGGTCCCAATATAAATCAATTACATACCTTGTGGGATCGTGGAATTCACGAGAGACGGGCTATTGAAAATCTTCAAATACGTAAGATTGGTCATCAAAGTCCCAATACTTCTAAAGAAGTTGACTTCTATGATAGAGGTTAATATCCACAGTGTATTCAGTTTCTCCAGCTTTGACGATCCTAATATAATATCATATGTGTAAGATAATTAATAGAAATTGGTGTAAAATAGATGCGAATTCATCCATCCATTAATAAATACAATCATGAAAATATAAGTAATCATTTCTATAAATAAATAAATCAGGTTGTGTTTACCGAGAAAATACATACCTTGAAAGTCAAACCGGCCAAGTCTTTGAAGAGGAGTAGTGTCGCCTAGTGTAAGCGACTCTAAGTTCATTAAAGCGGCCAAGTCTTTGAATTCAAACAACAGAGAAGAAGGGGAAAAAAAACAATCAGTCCTTAATTACAAGAATTAATTATTTGTTTTCTCTCAATTTAGTAGAGTTGATCCACACCTTCCACTACAAGATTCCCACTTAACTCCAGCTCTTGTAGTTTGGTGAGAGCAGCCAACTCTGTAGCACGCAACACCAAACAAATGGTGTGATTAATTAAATGATTGAAAATCGACAATGTAATTAATAGTGTGTGTTAATTATAACCTTTCATGTCCACTGATCCTTCGAATAGATTGTTATCAGCGAGTGAAAGATATTGGAGGGAGTAAAGCTGCTTGAATGCCGAGAAAATCATGGCGGTGCTGCTAATGCTAGTATTAGATAGCTCCAGCCATTCCAGGTGCGGCAATCTCAACACAGTTTCATTACCTGCACATTTGCCAAATCCAAGGAATCATTAACATTACATTAGAAATTAATTATAATGAATCATGCTAGCTAGTAAGTAATTAACTCTGGAAACAAAAGGTGCATACCGTGAAAGGATGCGAATCCTTGAATTTCATTGTCCCCCAAAAACAGCTCCTTCAAGCCACCAAGTTTATTTAATTCTGTTGCAACAAATTACACCAACACATTTTATTTTATTGATGAGAACGTCTTCGTCTATCCAGAAAGACGAAACTATATATAAGCTAGAAAAGCTCGCATTTGCAAAAAAGTTTATAATTCAAATTATTAGAATAATATGTCATTCTCAGTTCTTACCATCAATGTCAACCATTCCGTTTAGTCTATTAGAATCCAGATTCAGATGCTCTAGAGATGAAAGTCTGCTTAAAGATGACAATATATCATTTTTGAAATTGTTATCAGATAGATCCAGCTCTTCCAAGTGTGACAATCTCAACATACTTTCATCACCTGCACACATTTATATCATTAAAAATATAGTTGAGGTTAAGTACGCGGCTATAATTAGAAATTGATGAATCATGCTAATTAGCTAAAAAAAAAAAATAGTACACACCGTGATATGAAACAAATCCTTGGATGTTATTGTCGCGCAAACTCAGCCGCCTCAAGCCACTAAGTTCGTTTAGTTCTGAACATCCAACAAAATGATTGAACAAGACTTACAATGAAAAACATTTTTTTTTCCAGGAAAGAAGACATTATAAGCTAGGAAAGTTCATTGATACAACAAAAAAAAAATATTCTAATTAATTACCATCAACGTCAACCATTCCTTTTAGACTATTTCCAGAAAGATGCAGTCCTTCCAGCTGTGAAAGCTTGCCTAAAGATGGGAGTATATCATTGCTGAATTCGTTGGCATATAACATCAGAACTTTCAGATTCGCAAGTTTTGATAATTTATCGAATCCTGCAAAATAGATGGAAAAAACAAAACAAAATTCCCTTAGCCTATAACACGATCGATCAGTCAGGTATATTTAGAAAGTGATGAACAAATAATTAATTAACTACAATGCACAGCTGGAGGACATTTATATATATACCTTCATTCTCCATGCAACCACAGAAGGGAAAGTCGAACAATGAAAGTAGTCTGAGTTCTTGGAAAGGTAGAAACAAAGAAGCATTTAGATACCTTCCTCCTGTTCTTAACCTTCCATACTCTGCACCATAAAATCCAAGCTCAATCACCCTCCCCGTTGTGTGATTGCAAGTAACTCCTCTCCAACCACAGCAATCACCGCTGCTTTGTGAATAGAGGGCGGCGTCACCGAAGAAGGCATGGATATCCAAGAGGGCAAGCCTTTCCTGCTCCAAGCAATTACCGACGCAGCTCTGCCACTCCGCCGTCATCACCGTCACCGCCGCTAAGGCCAGCGCCATTAGGAACCTCATGCTGCAACGAGAATCGTCTGCCACTCTAGTGCTTAACCTCCTCATTTTAGTTTTAGTTTTAATTTGAAAAAGCTTATAATTCCAAATATTTTGCAATGCCACTCAATCTATATATAGACAGCAACAATGGAAGTGTCAGACGAATTAACGACCCTCACATTAATTCTAAGTGATAATAAAAAATGACAACCACACAAACCTAATTAAGGATAAGGAGTATAGCCAGCCATTCTCTTTTCAGATTTCTCTACTTTTCTGTGTTCGTTTTTTTGTGAAGTTTCCACAACATTATTGCGCGTTACTTTGGGGGCTCATTCTCCGTCCATCGAAAGAGATCAAAGAGAGAGGAGTGAAAGAGGGGGTGAGAGAGAGAGAGAGAGAGAGAGAGAGAGAGAGATCAAGGAATGAATGCTGGATCAATTTAATTTCTTGCCCAACCTATGGGTCGATGCTGCGAAATAATAATCGTTACCGATTCAAGAAAGAGTTAGGCCCGAGCGTTGAGTCTAGCATGTAACTATGCGTTGAGCGTTACGTATAATACGCTAATATTATCCTCCGGTACTTTTGACAAAGACGAGGTGTTTTTCTTCTAATTTGTGCCTGAGTTTAGACGAGTGTCTAGGCGCGCTTTTTAGAACCTTAGATATTTACAAAGCTTTCTCTTTTGAACAAATTTTCCATCCTATGGTGGAGGCAAGCTACGCTTCCTACGAAAGATGTCACTAACTTCCTACGAGATAATGCAGCATTATGGCGGATCGACTACTCCTCCTTAAACATGTATGCACCACATAATATTATGAACACATCTTAAATCGTAGCAGGCTAGCAGCTTTCTTTCTTTCTTTCTTGTTTGCTTGTTTGTTTTGAAGTTTCCACAAGGAGTCCCTTTTGGGCGGGCTCAATCTCAGTCCAGCCTGCAGGCCACCATTTTCCACAAACAGAGGTATTATTGATGCTACTCAATAGTTGCAGACAAAAATATTAGCCCAATATACGGGTCATGCATGCCAACTAGTAGAAAGATCCGATCACCAGACTATTCATACTGATGATGTGACCTAAATCGAATTATCTAGCTATGACTGGAAAGTCACGAGTCTTACGTTACTGTTGTTTGGGTTTCTGTACTGGGCAGCATGGGCACATATAAAGCATCCACATCCGTCGAGACTTCCCGCCAAGTCTTCCGAGTGGTGCCGTGAAATTACGTTCGGTTGTGGTGCCCTGCAGGAACGGAGTCCCTCGCAAAATGTCTTCTACTCTTGTTGCTAAATCTAAAGTGTGGTTGTGGTTAGGCAGCAAACGAGTCGAGTCGAGTTGAGTTTTTGCTTAGTTTGAGATTGACTCGTTTATAAATTTTTTAGCTCGAGCTCGGCTCGAACTCGAATTTTGATGATCCAGCTCGGTAAATGCTCATTAACACAGGTTAGCTCAACAAGCCCTTTAAGTAGATTTGGGTCCTTAGTTAGAACAAATTCCGACGAAAGTATGGGGTCCATAATATTTGCAGAATCATGCCAAAATCTATTTATCTAATGAATTTTCTTCCAAAATTTTGCCAAGTGGGTCCTCGACCCCTCTCCTCTTTACTTTCCTCCGTCACTGCGTCCCGTGACAGGTCGAATAATTTATCATGGGATACAGGTTGGGCAAGTCGACCTATAGAGGTATGTAATTTAAAAGGAAAATACTAGTAATATTCATTTTTCATTAAAAAAAACAAGGAACTACATATGATAAATAATTAAATATACTTACAACTTCATTATAACTAAAATATGAGTTAATAAAAGTAAAATGCCGAGTAATTTGAGAAAAATTTCATGCAATTTTGGATGGAAAAAAATGGGTCTAAGAGTGAGATGGATCACCACTGATAAGTAGAAGAGATTATCATCCCTCGGTCAAGTCGTCCCTCCTGCAGTACTGTATTATTATTACTTCAAGTAATAATCTACCATTAATGGTCTTCCCTGTGTTTGAGATTCAGTTGTCAATACTTGGAATATGATTCAATATTTTCTTAATCGAAATTGAATCTCTAACAGCCATGGTTGATGCAAAAGCACCTATTTACCCTAAGGAAAGTCTTGCACTTGCCTACACGTTGATGAGGGCCATGCATGCCTTCGATCCGCACTGTAACTCGGATTTGATTGATCGATCGGTCGTTGCCGGGAAGAAAAGTCTGCAGTCAATCTCAATATATATACTTCCAGCCAGTGGTGTCAATCGTGGTTGGACGGAAAGTAACGCCGGAGACTTGGAGTTGACTCAGTTATACATATATATGTGTGGCCAAATCGTGTCCGGCGGATCCTGAAAAAGCAAAGGAACCCACCATGTGGAAATTTTGCTACGAGTTCCCATCATCATTGCCAAATTGGTCCCCGGCGACACCATCAGCTATGGATCTAGAACATAGTAGAACACTGGGCCTCATTTCATTAGAAAATTAGATACCGTAAAAGAAATTAATAATTTTTTTACAATATCAATTGTACACGTCGATCTTTTAATATAGTGATTTCATCAATAATGGAGTACACATACATACCAATAGCATATTACTCTCTTTCAACTCTAAGCTAAATTTATAATTGTGATTTGAATATGTCCATCTGACCCATTTTTTTAGTTACACACAACCTTACTATAAAATAATACTGAACCGAATGACTAAAATCTATAAACTTATAAAACCTATACTACCTCCGAATACAGAAGAGGACTGAGCCGTGACCCGGGGTGGCCACCCCTGGATCCGCCACTGGCAGCATTCATTTTGGTTGCACGAAATGTCCAACCCAACGTATAATTTGGGACGTGGAAAGGTAATGACTTTTTTGGACGTTATGATATTGGGACAAACTAGTTCGCGACATAGATCTTTGATTGGATGGAATTTTTTTTATCGAGAGGATTTAAGTTTGACGGACAATATATGTGGGTTTGTATACAGAGGCGGAACCATAAGATTAAAATAGGTGTATCTTTTTATAGAATATAAATATTTTAAAATTTTAATATTCAAGTAATGTATTAACAAAAAAGAGAAATTAGCCTATGAATACAAGTTTCTTGTTGTATAAACAGTCGTGACGTGTATTTGGAAATAATCGTTCGTTATTTATATGCTTAAGTAATGTCTAAAACTTCTCGTGTTACATAAATGTCTAATATGTAGAGTCAATATTCTTTCTTCCAAATTTTAGGTGTGTCTCGTGACAGAGTTTTAATAGGTTGACTCCGCCGCTGTTTGTACAAACATAAACTCAAAGGTTGATTTCTATTAAAAGAAATGTTTAAGAAATTTATATAAGATTCATATTTACACCAAATTTTGAAATTAAGAAAATAAATTACGTAAAATAATAAGATATATATATATATATATATATATATATATATATATCAATCTATTACCCTAATACATCAAATTTTGAACTTTAATTAGTACTCTCAATCTAACATGATGATATGACATAGAATCATAACAAATCAATCTAGTACCCTAACCCCTTAACCTTCAATTTTGAATCCCAATGCAAAATTCCAAACTGTAACCCTAACCCTAAACCCCTAAATACTAAATCCTTCAAATTAAAGTAAATCTTAAATCATTTTTTTTAATTCATGGGCTTATTGTTCATAATATCATAAGCAACAATTGATACCATTTTGACATGAATCGCTTGCTCAGAATGATGATTATGAGGCGGGTGCGCTGAGTGTACACAAAAAAGTGAGATTATATATATATGGCGAGTTCTACGGTACCCCGAGTGAAATCCGGTGTACCGCATACCTTGAGTATGAAAACGCAATCTAGACCTTGAATTGATTGATCTTTTGGACATGATATTATACTCTAACCCTTAAAGATCAAAATCTAGGTCTTAGCTCCTTAAATCTTATACTCCAATATCAATTTAATTAGAAACAATAATCGACGGCTATGATTCGTCCAAATATAGGCAAAAAAATGAATGCTCCGTCTTAGGCTTTATAGTTTATGATTTAGATAATTAGGACCTAGGGTTCAATCAATAAGGATTAGGGTATAGTACCAAGCCCAAAGTTTTTTCTATTTCGAGGTCTAGATAGTGTTTTCGTACTCAGGGTATATGGTACCCTGAATTTCACCCGGGGTACCGTAGAAGCCACCATATATATATAGTGGCGTATTCGGTGCACCCACTTTTTCGGGTGCAGTGCACTGAGTGCACCCGCCTCATAATTGTCATTCTGACCATGCGATTTATGTCAAAACGGTATCAATTGTTGCTTATGATATTATGAACAAGAAGCACATGGATTTGAAAAAAATTCATTCAAAATTTACTTTAATTCGAAGGATTTAGGATTTAGGGATTTAGGGTTAGGGTTTAGGTTTACAGTTTGGAATTTTGGGTTGGGATTCAAAATTGAAGGTTAAGGGGTTATGGTAATGGATTGATTTGTTATGATTCTATGTCATATCATCATATTATATTGAGAGTACTAATTAAAATTCAAAATTTGATGTATTATGGACGCTTTTACTCAGTGCACCAAAAAAAGTGAGTGCACCGAAGTAGACACCATATATATATATAGCCCGGTAAATTATAAGGAATTAAGTTGGGTATACGCGCATGCGCGCGGTGTCCTCCATGCATGCATGGACGTTATTACGTACTCCTATTTCATCCGAAAAAGTTAATCTGCTAACTTAAGACTCGTTAGCAGATAAGAACAAAGTTACCCTTGTTATTTTTTTTCCTGTTTCGACAAAAGATTGACCGATTTGTTGATTTTTATTGAAAATTGTAGCGCGAAACTCCTCATGGAATGTTTTAGTTGGGGAGGGGGTTAAGAATATGAAAGAATATTTTTGTAATTATGAGAACATTTCATGCGCATGAGTCATGTGTCAATACTTAGATAGGTCCCAATGTAACAGATACTAATGAATTTTGAACGGTAAAGATCAGATTAGGAAAAAATATGTGCTTCAGAGGCCATGATATATGGGAAAATCGATATCGAGAGTTCGCATTACAATTCGATTCTATGATCGCTGATTTTAGTTTATGAGGCATACAGAGCTTCCCAACGACTGCACTTGCATAGGATGCCAGCGGAGTTGCCAGGAGTGGAGCAGCCCCGACGAGGCGTTTGTATGGACTTGAAAAACGTCTGGCGGCCCATCGGAAGGGTTGAGACCAGTTTGCCGGATTTAGTTACGCAGGCTACTAGTTTCAATCAAGGTAATTAACTATACATGTACGTTCAATCAAGGTAACCAAATAGTACATATGTGACATATCTATTATAGTTACGTACTTTCAGTCAATGCCACCAAAGACTACGTATATAAGTCACAAAATAGTACCATATGCATTACAAAATATTTTTTTGTTGCAATATTACAAAATATTTGGTAAGGAAGGAGAGTACAACCTCCGACGACATCCCCTGAAATTTGCAGAAATCATTCGCAAATACAGCTAAAGCTTCAGCACCTTGTATTTGACCGGCACGGGCAGATGGTCCACCAGAAAATAGTAGAAATTTGTTGTGGCGACACCAACGCAATAAAACCATGTTTGTCGCCAGTATGGATTTATGCAAAGAACACTCGCGATGGTTAACAACACCATGATGAAAGTCACTCCACTGCTTGCGTAGAAACTTTCCATGTCAATGAAACCTTCTCCTCCATCATCTTCATCATTATCATCTCGATTGCCAGAAGTTGGTAGACTGAATATTGGTTTAGACGGCTGCGACGGAAAGGTGCAGCAGAGAAAAGGATTTCCATGATAGCTAGTCTCGTCGAATGTAGCAAACTGTGCAATCCTTTGAGGACACATGCCGGACAAATTGTTGTATGCCACACTAAAAGATGCTAGAGAAGTCAACTCTGTCAATTGAGTAGGAATCGCACCACTTAAACTGTTGTGAGAAAGATCCAAACTCTCAATTTGAAACATCCTTGAAAGTGATGGTGGAATCGATCCTGTCAACTTGTTGTATGACAAGTTGAGAGCTCTTATGTCACTCATATGATCGCCGAGCTTAGGAGGGATCTCACCAGTGAAATTGTTGTCTGAGAAATCTAAGCCAACCATTAATGTGAGAAGGATTCCACCATATGTGTGCAACTGAGCCTTTGTAACAAATTCTAGACCTTCTAAAAGAAATCCATCATCACTTCTTACACCGCAGCTTCTATTGGCATTGATTGCAGAGGAAATGTGACCAGAAATATGATTGTGAGAAATAGCAATCAATTTGAACTGCTCCAAGCAAAAAGGAACAAGAACTTCACCATGCAACTTGTTGTTGTTCAGTAAGAGATAGGACAATCTAGGCAGTTTAGAAATCCATATCGGGATTGTACCCCTGAGATGATTGTGGCTCAGATCCAATACCGATATCTGATAACTTGAGTAGTCATTATCAACACCAGAAATCTCATGCTCTCCTTCAGTGAAAGTTCCTCCCAGATGATTTCTCGACAAATAAACTTCTGTCATCCGCGGAGTAATGAAACCCGATGGCAGACTTCCAGAAAAATTATTATTTGACAGATCTAAAAATTGGAGCCTAGGAAAATTCTGAAAAGATATTGGAAGTTTACCAGAAAGATGATTGTTGCTAGCATCCAGTATTTCTAATTTAGAACAATTTGGTAATTGTTCAGGTACTATTCCAAATAGCTGATTGTGTGGCAATTGGAAAGCCCCAAAAAGTGAACAGTTGGAGAGAATAAGCCATCTTAAGTTGGTGTTGTTAGCCAACAACCACCACAAAAATCCAGCTTCCTTCATTATGATGTTTTCGATAGAAATAGACTCCAAGTCATGTTGATAGTAGAGAAATTTAGGAAATCTGTCATCGACGTTTCCATTGTACCAAGAAGACAGTGACAAGTCTGTCAACTGGAAACGTGGTGCGGCCAGTAGGAGAGTGTCTTGTGTTTTCATATCATCTTTATGTTCGTCTACGTAGATCTCGCTATTGCCACCCCCCAAAAACTCCTTAAGACGAGAATGGTTGAAAAATGGGGATAGAGAGAGCGGGATCCGGAATAGATTTTGAGAAATATGAATGACTTCAAAGGAAAAGATATTTGTGAGTGGAGATTGAGATATATCTCCTGATAACTGATTGGCAGCGATATCCAAATTTCGAAGTGAAGTCAGGTTTGATAAACACTGTGGCAAATCACCGATCAAATCATTCGTTGAGAGGTCTATTTCTTTTAGACGTTTTAAGTTGCACAAACCTAGCAAAAACATACCAATAGGTGTTGGTTAGACGGGAGATGACAAAACAAGTTAAATGGATGAATGAATAATACTATAAAAATGTCATAAACAATAGCCAATTAAATATAATACCTTTTAGGGTAGAACGGAGAGATGAATCGGAAATGGTTAAAAATCTGAGATTTGTCATTAGGATCCCAGCCGTCTCAATGAAGTTTTCATACAGATTCGATTCCGTTATATACAAACTTTTCAATCTCTCCAGCTTAGCCCCTCCTAGTAAATTATGTTTAAAAATTAGGGATAAATATATGTAAAAAAAATTAATAATGACGTGTAAGCTTAAAACAAATGGTACAACATATGACAACTGAAAGTCATGGTCCCCAACATAGTTTGACAAAATAATTCAATTATGTACCTTGTAAAATCGTGGAATTGACGAGAGACGAACGGCGAATATCCACATGTGTAATGGAGTCAGATATCCAAGTCCCAATACTCTCAAAGAAATTGCCTTGTATAATGGAGTCAGATATCCTTAAGCTTTTCAGTTTCTTCAGCTTCGATCGTCCTAATTTTATATATGTATCAAATTGTATGTTAAGAGGGTTTGATCTAATGAGACTTTCAAATGAAAGATCTCATATTTGAACCCCCACGACAAACTTTCCTTTCGGCCCCTCGGATCCATTAGTAGCTTATAAAAACAATCACGACAACAAGCAATCATTTGTGTAAGTGAATTTAATTATGATAAATCAAGAAGTATGTACATACCTTGAAGTTCAAAACGACTACTCCGATATAGATAAAGCGACTCTAAATCGCTCAAGACAGCCAAGTCTTTGGTATATCAGTTGATTCATGGAACCAAAATATACAAGGAAAAACCATCAGTCCTTAACTATATGAAGTAATCGTTAAATAATTTTTTCTCTTAATTTTGGCAGTTGATACATACTTTGCACTACAAGATTCCCACTTAGATAAAGCTCTTGTAGTTCGGCGAGAGCAGGCAATTCTGTACCAGTACCCAAAAAATGATTGCCAAAGATCAACCCATTAAAACCATACATAATAATAATTAATTGAGTGAAATTTTTTAGAATATTATCAACTTATTATTGGGCAGAGGGTAATTAAGAGTTAAGTATATATTTCTAACCTTTCATGTCTATTAATCCTTCCAGTAAGTTTTTGGATGTCACGGATAGATATTTGAGAGAGTAAAGCTCTTTGAATGTAGAGATCAATAAGCTGATGTTGCTAAAATTATTATAAGATATATCCAATTCTTCCAGCTGCGCCAGTTTCAACAAATCTTCATTACCTACATAGTATCATAAAAAAAATTAATTACTAGATAGTAATTGACTGAGATTAACAAAACATAATTAACTCTAGTAACAATTAATACATACCATGAAAGGATGTGAATCCTTCTATTTCATTCCATCCTAAACTCAGCACCCTCAAGCCTCTAAGCTTATTTAATTCTGATGCAACAAATGAAAATAATAATAATTATAATCTAGAAAATTTAATTGATAAGAAAGAAAATTTTCTAGACTTAATAAACAAATTGATTAGCTAGAATTAGTATATCCTTACCATCCATGTCAATGACTCCATTTAGCTTATTGTTATCAAGATACACATACTTCAGCGATGGAAGTGTGCTAAGAAATGGCAATACATCGTTACTTAACTCATTTTCTCTTAAATCCAGATCTTCTAGATTAACAAGTTTTGGCAACTTCTCGGACCCTGTCAAAAATGAATATAAGATAACATAAGTCATAGATAGATACGTATATATATGCAAACATAATTGCAATCTAAAACATCATGTTTTAGCCGAAAATTTTCTTTTCAATCAATCTCAAATTGATGACATATTTGGGCGGCCACCAATAATTTACCATTACTTCCTACACTTTTCATAAGTGTTTCATTATGCATTTGAGTATTAGCTGTTTATTTAATTTTATATAGTAAGCATTAATTAATTGATTTTTATGTACACATTCATCAAAAGTGTATGCGAAGGAAAAGGCAGAGAACTTAAATGATACTTTATTAGACAGTAAAACAACAAATCTTTGTAACTTTTTGCGAAAACCCTCCACAACCTTGGTATGTCAAACCGAAGGTATATTAATTGAGATGAAAAGACAGTAGTTAATTACGAGACTGTAATTGAGATGAATAACGGTAATTAACTCTAAAAATAATACACACCTTGAAAGGATGTAAATCCTTCAATTTCATTGCCTCCCAAATCCAGGTCACTCAAGGCACTAAGTTGATTTATTTCTGATGCCACAAATCAATTATAAGAAAACTTATTAGCATCTCAGAGATGGATAGATAGAGAGGTAAGAACTTTTCGAACTGGCTTTTTATACGTCAGGATTAGTGCCATTGATGAGAAGGGATTAGTGAATGCTTGATATTTAATCATGAAGATTAATTTCATTAATTACTTACAACAATCAATCAGTATTCTTACCATTAATATCAATGACCCCTTTGAGGCTATTGTTACGGAGAGACAGATAGTTCAACGACGAGAGTCCACTTAAAGATGGCAGTACATCGTTACTCAGACGGTTGTAACCTAAATCCAACCCTTGCAGGTAAACAAGTTTCGATAACTTCTCGAATCCTGTAAAATAAATATAAACATCTTTAATTTGTCAGATAATTTAAATCATCCTATTTAATAGGTAGGCGTGGCGACGAGACTCCTTCATTTTCTTCCTCCTCGAGTTCGGGAATTCTTTCTTTTCTTCTTCGTCCTAAAGATGGGCAACAACAGAGGTGGCGGCGGCAGCAACAGCAGAGCGAGAGGTCATTATTTTTTGGGGATTAGGGACAAGTCGGGGGGTTAAAAATCGTATGTTTGGATAAAGTTTAGGACGAAAATTTCAAAACTTTAGGGCGTCAAATAGAAAAGTTCAAAGCTATAACGCAGAGGGAGGATCTTGTTATACCTTCATTCTTCATGCAACCAAGCAATCCAGCGCTCGTCAAGGAAAGGTGTCTCAATCCTTGAAGAGGCAGAAACAAAGATGCATTTAGGTACCCTCCCGACGTCGTGGTTGTCGCAAAACGAAAATCGAGCTCAATCACGTTCCCTGTTGTGTTGCTACATCTAACTCCTTCCCAACCACAACAGTCACCATCCCTGTTTTTGGGATCAAGCCCAACTTCTTGATCATGGAAGAAGTCCAGAATGTCCACGAGAGCAAGTCTTTCATGCTCCAAACAGCCGTCGACGCAGCCCTTCCACTCCGCCGTCGCAAGAAACACCGCCGCCGAAGCCAGCGCAATTAGTAACCACCAGTTGCTGCAATAATGTCGAGAATCTGCTACCCTGCTTGTTATTGCTCTCCTCATTTTTAATATGATCTGAAGATTTGTAATAATTCCCATAAATTAATTGCCTCAATATATATAGAGCTTTGTATTAGCCATATACGATATGGGTCAGGTCCGTCAAGTCGTCTCGCACCCACACTGACTGATGAGGCGGCCGGCCGGCCGGCCGGTCAAGTCTTCCGACGACCGATCGTGCACCAATTAGTTGACTCAGACTGACCATTATTGTGCTGTGTTGCCAAACCGGTCCCCCGGCCCGCGCATTTTTTAGTGGACTCCATTGGTCAGTGATTCACATAGTGGAAGGGTATATATGTCCCTCAGCTCAAATTGTAAGATATATATGGCTTGGGAGGACGTTTATGTTTTGTCAAAATAATAATGGTGGTATAATTTTGATATATATAATGTTGGTATGATACTTAGATGTATTATGTTTGTCGAAAATAATTTGAAGGTATCATATTTTTGTCATAATGATATAATATCATGATATGACAGTGATATGATATTGTTATGAGCGAGGTCGTGATAAAGCATAACAAAATTAATATCATTAAGTAGATCTTACTTAATGCATTCTTTCTATACACATTTTTTAAAATGAGTTGAAATGAAGAAGATGGGTCATCATATCGCTATCATGTCATGATATACGATATGACATTGATAATACTATAACCGACACGTGTTTTGAAGAGTTAATTTTTTTTCTTTGCTAAAAAATTAGCAAAATGAATATCATTGTACATATCATAATCACAACATTTTTCTAGGTAAAAAGTTCTAAATTTTGAGTTAAAACGAATGTTATAAAATCCAATTAACAAAAATAGGGGATTATAAATAGTAGTTTTGGACTAGTTAGTTGTCTTATGTCCCTCATTTGGATCTGTATTAGGCCAAAGAAAAAAAGACAGAGCAGTTGGTGAACGTGATTATGTGATAAAATATGATGGGAGTGTATATTTCTAATCAAGAAACTTTGCTTTCACTCGTTAGCTTCCACCCTCAAGTTATATGTCAATTCCCGGTAAGAAAATAATTTCCAAACCCCACAGATAATTCTTTACATGCCTACTAGAATAATGATTCGCACGACCAAAAAATCAATATTGTACGTATACAATAATGAAAATTTTGTTCTTATATATAGAGTACCGTTAAATTTTTATCAGCGAAGATGTCAAGCATAATCAGCACCGACGACGATGGGCGTCTCTCCTGAACCATAATTAGCTTAAAGTCAATCACGATCTGGCTCCAAACGATTCAACACATTGTAGGGACATGGCTGACGGCCTCTGCCCATATCATCACAACGGTGATTGGGTCGGGCGTGCTTTCGCTGGCCTGGTCGATCGCCCATCTCGACTGGGGTGCAGTCGGACCGGCCAGCTTGATCGCATTCTCGCTCATCACTCTGTTCACGTCGCTGCTACCGCGCCACCCAGAGGGCCGGCGGAACTACACCTACCTAGGCGCGTGCATGCCCATTTGGGCGGGCACAAGGCCCAACTCTGCGGGCTGGCCCAATACTCGAACCTGGTGGGGGCCACGATCGGCTACACCATCACCGCGTCCATCAGCATGGCGTAAGCTTAGCTAACTAACCATGCACGTACATTATTTGTGCATCCCTATACCAGGTCTCGAACTTCCATAAGCTGACGTGCCTGTCCATCCTCGCCGCCGTGATGTCGGTCACCTACTCCGTCATTGGTTTGGGACTCTCCGTTGCCAAAGTTGCCGCAGGTTGTTATCGATTATGTACGTACGTATGAAGTTTAATTAAAGTAATTGTACTTATATAAGAACTAGTAAGTTGAACTGAATTAATTGAAGGAGGTGAAACAAAGGCGGCGGTGACGACGGCGACAGAAGCCCAGAAGGTTTGGGGGATCTTCATAGCAATTGGCGACATTGCCTTTGCTTATGCAAAAAGTACGCGAGAAGAACTTAATGAATCAATTAATTCCAGCTAGCTAGCTTAATTAAGATGATGACGATGATTGATTCATTTTGTCTGTCGCTATATAGCTGGCTTAATTAAAATTCCACCCCTTGTTTTTATGTATGTTAAATGTTTCACAATATTTTAGATAATTTATTTTATTTACGTGTGACGGTTCAACAACTTTGTTATATAACACAAGTGTTGTAACATGTGTTATATAACATAATTGTTAACGTGCGTTTTACTAATTAAGTATGGAAATATAAGAAAATTTAGTGATTTTAAACTCATTGTTGGTTGGAATAAAAATACATCATGCACTTAAACAAAACCAACGATTGAGAAAGATCTAAACCTAGCAGAAACCATGACTAGGGTTGTAGAGAATAAGCTGAGAACAGCATCCATATTTGGGGAATTGGTGATGATGCCTTTCCTCTTCGGAACTTTCATATATATACATGTAATTACTATGAACAATATTGATTATCCATGTAATTACTATGAACAATATTGTTACCGAAGAAGAATTAACAGTGGGGCCGGGTTTGGCAATTCACTTCTTACCGGAAATGACAATTAACTTGAGGCTGGCACAGATAATAGCTTAAATAATTGTATAATGGTGCATCATACGTAAAGATTATTAGTAGTTTGTTAGTTCATAATACATCGTAATGATGGACACTTGCTGCTAGGGCTGTTAATGAGCCGAGTCGAGCCGAGCTTTGCCATAGTTCGGGTTCGGCTCGTTAATATATTTTCAGGCTCGAGCTCGGCTCGTGTTCGACACGAGCTTTAATATGCAAGCTCGAGCTCGGCTCGTTTATGAAAATGAAAGCTCGAGCTCGAGCTCGGCTCGTCAAATAAGCTTAACGAGCCCAAATTCGTGTTCAGCTCATAAAATGTTCATGATAGCTCAAGATTGACCTAGAACTGCGCACAAAATTACATTCTAACCTGTAACAAAGTCTAGCAAAGTAAAACACAATATTTATCCCAATTTCAATACATAAAATCCATGAATTCTAATCCTTTTTTATGTCAAACCATTAAATGAGCTTGTTCGCGAGCTTTCGAGCTGAACATGGTATGGCTCGAGTTCGGATCGTTTAGTTAACGAGCTTGTTCGCGAGCCGGCTCGATTAAAACGAATCGAGTGTCGAACGAGTTTTTCTCGAGTCGCACACCGAGCCGTTCATGAGCGGCTTGGTTCATTAACAGCCCTACTTGCTGCTGCCTCAATCATGGCACAGTGTGTATTTGGTCGCAAATGTCCAGAAACCAAATGCCGTGGGAAGATGATGAACACAATGTTGTTTCTTCAACGAGTTGCCACGACCCTTGATCGTGTCAAAGTAATGTGAGTCACCATGATCGGGTAGGGTTGGGAAAACGGTTTCGGTTTTGCGGTTAGACCGAAACCGCATCGAATAGCTAAATGCGGTTAGTGGTTAACCGCAAATCGTGTAAAGGGGTCTTTGTTAAGATTTCATATTCAAAGCATAAAGGAAATCGACACGAGATTTAACGTGGTTCGGCCTCTTAGAGAGACTTTACTCCACGGTCGCTGTTAAAGCTAGCAGAATTGGTCGTTTTGCGGTCTGTGTACTAACTGCAAAGCACACCGAATAACAAAATAACCGTATAACTAACCGCATAATTGCAAAAACTATAGAATATTTTACCGACCCAATAAGAAATGCTTCATGTCGATGGGCCCAACCATCCACCATCAACCCTCTTTCAACGTGAATCCAATCCATTATGTTTTCCCATCTTGGAGGTCGACAACATCTTCACCAAATCCATTATTTATTTATTTTTTGTTCCCATCATTTTCGACTATCGCGGTTAACCGTAACCCATTTGCGGTGCGGTTGAGAGGTTGATGATTTTGCCCTTATTCAGTTGCAGTGAACCGTATTATTCGGTGCGGTTAACCGAAACCGCACCGTTTCCCACCCCCTATGATTCCATAACTTCGTTGGATCTCGTGCCGCTCACCTTGTACATGCAAAAGTTCCGTATGTTCTTCCTCAGTCAATGGGAGATCTCGCCATAAGAATGTAGTGAATCCACCTATTGAATTTGAAAATTTCGAAGGTCGTACTAGGTTAAATTCAATCTCTTCAAGTTGAAGAGGGTACAAACTACAAGGTACCCATGATCGATATATAATAATACCACTAGCCTAGAACCTGGAGGTCCTAGGTTCGAATCCCTTAAATAATACCTTAATCACAAAAAAGAATCCTATATCACCCTTATCAAAATAAACCAAACCAGAACTAATCAGCGACTAGTTTGCAAGTTCATGCAGCCTAATTGATGAGGACAACTAATGCCACGTGGACCAATAAGAATTCGCCGTACCGGTCCCGCATTTTTTAATTTTAATAGCGTGGCCTTAACTTAATTCATGTCAAGCAAAAGGCCCGTAACAAGCCCAGACCATAGCAAGGTTGGCTCTAGCTTTGAGCCCGTTCAAGCCCATCCTGTTAGCGAATTAACCACTTGGTCCCAATAACTCGAGTTGTTGGGAAAGGGATAGTTAAGCCTTTTTAACCTCTTATACGCCCCCTCAAACGAAAGTCGATGCCGAATTGTGGATTTTTACGGTTTGCACAGGTTGCACCCTTGTGCTGCCAAACCACGAGGCTTTAGTTTGCACAGGTTGGACATACCATTCCTTGTGCTAAACGAATTGGCATGAAATGGGGGTCGTTATGAGGATTCGAAACCATGACCTTTCGGTTCTAGGCTCTGATACCATGTTAGCGAACTAACCACTTGGTCCCAATAACTCGAGTTGTTGGGAAATGGATAGTTAAGCCTTTTTAACCTCTTATACATCCCTTCCCTTTTGTACCTGCGCATAGTTTAATGATGACCATTTTGTTATATCCAAAAAAGTTTAGTGACCATGACAAAAGATGGTCAATTCCTGAGAGAAAACCCGACGGTTAAGGCGTTAGTTATTTAATTAATCCATTTAAGAAACCGACCAACCACCGGCTACCAATAAATCCACCCGGTCCAACTAGATATTCTGTTTCTT